CAGCAGCAGGGTTGAGCCTAGCCAACAGGTCTGAGGATGATGGTCCTGCCCCAGCAGGGCGAGCTGAGCTACCAGCAGCCCGTGGATCTTCGCGGCCTCCCATCCCAAAACGGCCTGTCCAGGTGGGAAGTCCAATTGGGAGTGCCCGGGCGGTTTCTTCGGCTTTGCGGAGCTCTTCGGCGGCTTCATCGGCGACGCGGCGAGCTTCAGCTTCGATCATCTTGGGGTCTGCGCGAAGGACTCGTTTGCCATTTACGATCTGCTCGTGCTGCACTGCAGAGTGGACGCCAGAACGAGCGAAGATACCATGCATAATGCGGTCTTCCGAAGTTTTGGCATTTTTCTCCTCTTCGGCGGTGTTTTGGAATTCTTCGACCTTGGCGATACCATGGATGTCGTTGATGTCGTCTTCCTCCTTGGGAGTCCGGGCAGGCTTACTCTTGCTGCCACGTTTATCATCTTTAGCCTCTTCCTGATATGTGACTTCAGCGTCCTTGAAGAGTTTAGTCGTCTCCAACTCGTCGTCATTTTCGTCCGTAAGAGTAAACAGATCATAAAGATCACTCAGCTGGAAACCTTCTCGTTGGTGAGGATCACGGGTGATTTTATTGGTCAAGAATTGCTTAAAGATCTGGCGGTGATAGATCTTCTCTTCGATAGTGCCCTTGGTCATCAAGCGGAAGATTGTGACATCACGCTTTTGTCCCAGACGCCAGGCGCGCTCTCGCGCCTGCAAGTCAGTCGATGGGTTCCAGTCGGGATCGTAGATAATGACACGGTCAGCACCTGTCAGATTCACTCCGATTCCGCCCACACGGGTGGTGAGTAAGAAAACATGGATATTGGGGTCGTTATTGAAATCGTCAACCAGGCTCTGCCGCTCTTTGATTGGAGTAGTCCCGTCCATTCGGCGGTAATCGAATCCACCCAGCACCCCAAGGAATTTCTCAATGATGTCTAGCATCAGACGGCCCTGGGTGAAAAGCAGGGTCTTGTGGCCAGTATCTCTCCAGACCTCAAGCAAACCCTTCAGAACTTTCATCTTGCCTGACCGCTCCGCATCACCATAGTCGGCCTCGCGAGAGCGCAATGTGTGGTCTCCCAAGTCTGGGTGGTTGCTGATCTTACGCAGGATGTCGATTCCATACAAAGAGTTTCTTTTCCCGCGTATAATAGACTTCATGTCATCCGAGCCAAGGAACCTCTTATAGATGGTTCGCTGGAGTTGGGTCAATTTGCAGAAAATGACCTGTTCGCTTTTCAGCGGCAGATCAGATGTTACATCAGCCTTGAATCGCTGGAGCAAATAAGGACTGATGGCATCTTTGAGAGTTTCTGCACATTTTGCAGCCGTCTGCACTTGAAGGTTTGATGCAGATGCATATCCACCCTGACGGATGGGGATCTCAAACTGATTTTTGAATGTAACAAGGTTCCCCAGGCGCATTGGAAAAACAAAGTCAAATAGTGACCAAAGATCCACCAGGCTGTTCTGCATTGGGGTCCCCGAAAGAATGATGCGATGTGGAGTGCGGAGTTCCTTGCAGCTGAAGGTGATACCGGCATCTGGATTGCGGATTTTATGACCTTCGTCAAGGATAGCGCATCCCCATTCAACATCAACAAGAGCATCTGCATAAGATTGCAGACCTGAGTATGTAGTCACGAGGACATGGCCCTCCTCCGTGACACGCTTAATGATCTTTTTAGCCGCTTTCTGACCAGCAGATAGGTGACGAGAGCTGTGACTGCCCATCATTTCTGATGTAAGCGCATTTTCTCGGCTGCTTTCCTTGCCAATATTTATCATTCCGCTGCCTGATGAGTGTAGGATGGAAACACGGAAGGGTGGCCACCAGCGGTGAAACTCATTCACCCATTGTTTCATAAGAGTTGCGGGGCAAACAACGATGGCAGGTTTGGTGAACTTCTTGCTATGATGCAGTGCCGCAAGATAAGAAATCGCCTGAATAGTTTTCCCCAACCCCATCTCGTCTCCAATAATTCCGCCGACAGTTTGCTGGTGCAGCTCCCAAAGCCATTGCACTCCAGTTTTCTGGTAGGAAAATAAGAAGCGGCTGATGTCTCCAGGGACCCGCAATCCGTTGTCAAGCTCCATGGCTGGTTCAGTGGGATGTGGCCGGAGCCACTCTCTTCTTCGTTCAGGCCAGCTTCGACAGAATGACTGTCGGCATGTTGTCGAGCAGAGCTTCGCCGACTGATCCACTCCTGGACGCGGGACTGGTATATTGCCTCGTTTCCATCGTCAACCCCACTCAGGTCTTCAAGTTCAGTGGTCACTTTTTCTTGTTTGCGCTTGCGACTTGGCTTGGCCTCAGGGAGAGTATCTGGCATGAACTCTTCACCCTCGGATGTAGCGTCGGCATCAGAGGCAACATAACTTGCCGAAGAATCTGCTCCCGGTGATCTACGACGATCCACCTTCCTCCGTTTCCTCTTGCTTTCGATGCTCTCCTCAAAGTCGAGGTCTGGACGTGCAAGGTCCCGGTGGGACACGGCCGGCTGATGTTTGGCTTGTTCGCGCTCCTCCTCCTCCTGCTGCTTCTGATCCTCTGTATCGACAAGTGCATCGTGGAGATTGGCAAGTGGTCCATCTCTGGAACCCTCTTGCATCAATGCGAACGGGGTGATCTTTCCGGTTCGCAGGAGATAGTCGCGGCGGGACTCGTTCGGCTGTCGCCCTGATCCATGCGCCACCGTCGACTTTCCCTGCGACTCACGCCTTTCATCAATGCGCTGTTGTATGTCTTTCAGGTCTTTCCCTAGGTCGGCCTTGCGCATCTGCAGCCTTTTCAGCTCATTCTCGACCCGATGGCGAGTGGCGGCTCCGACGGGCTGTGTCAAGCGCTGCTGCGCTTGGCGGACCTGTGAATCGACCCGCCTGTGGATGGATTTAGTAATGCCATCGAATATTAGGGCATGCGCTCTTACTCCCGATCCACAAGGGCTTTCTCAAGTCGCTTGATGTCATTCTCTTCCGCTTTGTCGGCCAGAACTTTATCGGCCTAAAAAAAGAGAAATGTGAGCCCAAAGTAATAGGCAATCAAGAGCTGGGTCATACCTGGCGAGTGATATCTCTCTCAAGATCATCCTGGTCGCGAACGTCTGCTTGGAGATCACGCAAGCGACTCGCCTCCTCGCTCGTAGACATTGTGAAAGTCGTCCAAATAAAGATTGTATTAAGTGAGAAGAAGTGAGAAGACTAATATACCTTGTCTGAGGGAATGCTAAACATGGTGATTGCTCAAAGAGCAAATACAATAGTACAATAGCACAGGCAGCAATAAGTCTAGATGAATAGCACCCAAATCTAGATCTCTATCAGAGGCATTGGCACAATCGGCCACCGCCTGTGACACCGCTCACGTGAACCATTTCAATGACTCATCGAAAGCTTAGTCATTCCATCGGGGGGATAGGCGGGGGAGCGCTAGAGGTCTGGAGGTCTGGACCGGTACAGAGTACTCGACCTTGAAATTTATATACATGGAGGCCATAGCTACGCCATTCTGGTTCATTGGTGAACTAGAGTCGCAAGAGGCCAGGGTCAACCGAATGCCAACTATTCATAAGGGAGCAACGACGGTGACGGGGTTTAGCCCTCTCACTGTGTGCCGTATCTCTAGCATTCTAGCGAGGTCCACTCACGAATATCCTCAGGAGGCAAGATGACAGGATCAGAGAAATGATTGGTCTGGATATATAGCCTTAGGCGCAAAGGGGCGGTATAACCTGAAAACAAATATCTGAAAGAGATCTGAAGCCACCTCGGCAGAATATATCAGATTATGCATTAGACGTGAAGAAGAGACAGAAGGAGCAACCAGCCATATGTTTACATGTATATATATACATATGTAGAGATTGGTATGGACATATTCTTTCAAAAATTGTGCCTTCCTTATACAATTGAAATATCTAAGCAATTTGGATTGCTGGATGAACTGAATACATGTATAGATCTGCTCAGTTGTACAGAGTAAAAAGCAGCAAGAGGTGAGCACTCAAACAGTTGTTGTGATGAAGTGAAGTGATTGGAATGTCTTTTTTCCCCTATCCTTCTCTATATAGTCAGAATACCATACCGTTATTCCAAACTATAAAAATGATCAACTCATCCAAACCTCGGGCTCCTTCGAGGACGTCCCAAGGCTTCTCTATAACAATACTACCGACAAGATACCCCCATGGTTCATCTAGCTCATTTAATACTGGTAGTAGATCTAGTATACTCTGTGGGATCAGACCAAGCCAGTCAACAGCGACAAAAAGGCGCTCTGGCAGTTGGGTATGCAATGGAGCGTCGATCATGTGGAAAGAGTCACGTCGCCGAGGAGACCACAATCCGGTACAAATGTTGAGATTTTGGCATCAAGGGCTTGATTATATTTATATCTGTGTACATAGTATGGTTAGAGACAGAATATACTCTATGTATATATAGAGAGAGAGAGAAAAGACATGATACTGCTACGTAGATTCAGATCTGGCAAAGTTGACCCTTAGAAACTCAACCCATCTTCCCCTCCTCTTCTTGATCCTCTGTATACTACCTAGGTAGCACCTAGGTAACTATTTCTATGCTTCAGTAAGCCAAGATATTGTTTTAACATATCTGTTGACGCCAGTGTCTTTGATTTCCCGATTTCACGAGGTCCCAAGACGAGTCTATTGACTTGGCTAAACCCCCAGCCGCCTACGTCTACTGCGTCGCAACCAAATTGCGACCGCCCCCTCCCCTTCAAAACTTGTCTTCACCAACAATTCCTCAAATAATGAAGCATAGTACGACCTCATTTTAACACCAATTCCCTACATTTCATCTTCTGTCCCTCGAATTCCGTCAAGATTCGCCTCGAACCTGCGGTCGCATTACGAGTGCCGTCCCCCGCTGGCATCCCACGGACCTTGATCGCAGTGCTTCAGACGAACACGGACCCCGAATTCATTTGTTGGCCCAACAAGAGGGTTTATCCAAAATGGATCCTGGGTGGCAGCCTTACCAAGATCCTTTGATGGGCCACCCTGCGCAGTTCAATACTGCGTTGGCATCTCATCCCCAGCAACTTGCCTCGAAATACGGTCAGCCACCACAGTCACAGCCGCCCGTTGGATACACGTACGAAACTTTCCAGACCCCCGGCACGACATCCAAAGCCCCTTCGGCCGGCTCAAATTCCAAAACGGTCTCCATGGCTTCCTCCCCACCGCCACGCCACGTACTCGGGATTATGTCACCGATGCGGATACTACCATGGAGGACGCTGACCCGTACAACCGGGCGAAGTACCCCTCGAGGCCAAACCACAATCGCGCTTCGTCACAATTCTTGAATCAAGCAGAGGAATCATCGGCTGCCCGCAGATACTCTCCGGGGAATGTCCTTTCGCCGCCAATGTCATATCCCACTAGTCCTGGCAAGTCCCAAGGCTCCTATGGATTTCCGTCTGCACCCCAGGGTGCTTCCCGCCGGTCCCCTGCGAGACCAGACTATGCATCACCACCACAAGGATATCAATCGCCGCCATGTGAGTTCGAGCTCAGTCACTTGTTCCGCCATGCCTCGTTTGCTAACACCTCGACAGCCACCCGGCCCCCCTAGACTCCCTCCCCTTCAATCCGGCGACCTCAGCCCAAACCAGTACTACCCGCCATCCGCATCTTCGCACATGAGTCCGGGATTTGGTCCAGGGTCGCGATCTCCGCGATCTGGCTCGCTACCATCTCAGGCCCCTCCAGTGCCCGGTCGCGGTCCAGTTCCCAAGTTCCAAAAGATCCAGTCTGTGCAAGAACTGAAGCCGCGCATGAATGTACAGCCCGCATATCGGCGCGCTAATCCAGAGGGCGGATTCATCAGCGTGAGTGCTCACCAGTTCTCGGCCTGTCGTCGCTTTGACTAACCTGTTCAGCCGCTTCAATCGCTGACAACCCACCTCCCGGCCACCTACCGCATATGCAACCCTGGCTTCAACTACGAGTCCTCCAGAAACCCGCGACGAGTATTGACCAAACCCAGCAAAGGAGTCAAGAATGATGGGTATGACAATGAGGACAGCGATTATATCCTTTACGTCAACGATATCCTTGGAAGCGAGGAAGCCGGTCACAAGTATGCCCCCGATTCCCCCTGGATAGCCGACCCTCGGGCTGACAATGCTTTCTCCTCCCGATCTAGAAATCGGTACCTCATTCTCGATGTTCTAGGTCAAGGTACCTTCGGCCAAGTCGTGAAATGCCAGAACTTGAAAACGGGTGAAGTAGTGGCTGTCAAAGTCATCAAGAACAAGACCGCCTACTTCAACCAGAGTATGATGGAAGTTTCTGTGTTGGACCTGGTATGATATAGCCTTCAACCCTTATTATCCGAATGCTCGCTGACTCCCCGCAGCTCAACAGCAAGTATGACAAGAATGACGACCATCACCTGCTTCGTCTCAAGGACACATTCATCCACCGTCAGCATTTGTGTCTCGCATTCGAATTGCTCAGCGTTAATCTTTATGAGCTGATCAAACAAAACCAATTCCGCGGATTGAGCACTACCTTGTCCGGGTATTTGCCCAACAACTGCTGAATGCCTTGAGCTTGTTGAACAAAGCGCATCTGATTCACTGTGATTTGAAGCCGGAGAATATTCTTCTGAAGAAGTCAGTATCGCCCGTTACCTTTCAGGGTCGTTTTCTAACTGTTCCCAGCCTCGAGAGCCCGATAATCAAGGTCATTGACTTCGGTTCTGCTTGCGATGAACGCCAGACTGTCTACACCTACATTCAATCACGATTTTACCGATCCCCAGAAGTGCTATTAGGCCTGCCGTATGTACTTTAGTCTGATCTGTTTTGTTCCTTGTTAATCCTTCTCCTAGTTACTCATCTGCCATTGACATGTGGTCTCTTGGGTGTATCGTGGTAGAACTCTTCCTGGGTCTACCTCTGTTCCCTGGCTCTTCGGAGTACAATCAAATCTGTCGGATCGTTGAGATGCTGGGTATCCCACCGACATGGATGTTGGAGATGGGCAAGCAGTCGGGAGAGTTCTTCGAAAAGACACAGGACGAGTTCGGAAGAAAGACGTACCGCCTCAAGAGCCTGGAGCAGTATTCCCGAGAACACAACACGAAGGAACAACCGAGCAAGAAGTATTTCTCAGCCTCAACACTAGAGGAGATCATCCGGAGTTACCCAATGCCTCGGAAGAATATGAAGCAAGCAGAGATTGATCGAGGTAGGCTTCCCCCCCCCTACCCTATGTTCACGCTGGGACTTGACTAACTATCGCAGAACTGAACAATCGCATCGCTTTCATCGACTTCGTGCGGGGACTCCTGTCGATCAATCCTCTCGAGCGATGGTCACCCCAACAAGCCAAGCTGCACCCGTTCATCACCCAGCAGAAGTTCACGGGGCCGTTCATGCCACCAATGAACCTCAAGTATTCGACGGCCAATAAGCCGGCTCCGGGGGTTCAACAACAACAGCAAGCCGAGGCCGCTAGCAAACAAAGAGCAGCTCAGGCGGCGCATGCGCAAAATGCCTATGCCGTACAGATGAACCAATTCCATACTCCACCTCAGCCCCAGCCTCAAGCCCCGCCCATGTACAATGGCATGTACCAGCAAGGTGCGCCGCCTCCTCCGTACCCTACCCAACAGCCGCCTGGCTATGGTCATCAAATGGGAATGATGCCAGGCAACCAGGTGCCGGCTCAAAGTCTCTATGCACAGGCGACCACACGAGCAGGCCGTCAACGAGCATCCACCATGGACCCTAACGGAGGAATTCCGACTACCATCCAACGAGTTGCTAGCCACCTGGATCCCAACGCACCGATTCGATTGCAGCCAAGCCCTGCGTATTATCCACCTCCCCTGACGGGTACGTGGATGCTAATGCCAGTCAACGGCGTCGTGGCAGCCGAGCGGGTAATGGCAATGGGAACCAACGCAATCGGGATTTCATTCGCACCCTCGAAGACGGTGTGCTCAGCGAAGGATATATGGGCCAGAATCAATGGCACTAGGGTACCGGGGCAAAAGGGCATTCCTCATGCCCAGCATTTCCTACGATTCGGGAGCAGGCATACTGATATATTTTGTCCACGGGTGTCAATGATTCCCAAGACACTGTGTAAGCCTTGCTCTGCTGACCCATTCCTTGCCAGCCAGCCTGTTCTCATATGGCCGGCTCTTGTAGGTATGAGTCAAGCAAAAGACCCCTTCAGTGGGTCAACGTGGTCTCACAAGGGTCTCGGACCGCTGATACACGATCTGCATTGCTACCTAGCGCTAGATCGATCCGCACGCTTACTTACCGTGAGCTGTGCCCATCAGTGGCCAAACGTTCGCCGCGAGATATCACTCCCCACATCATCATCACTATTTCATTGCGTTTCATTACGTTTCTTGCTGTGTTACGATCCCAATTATGTTTCTGCGATTTTTTTTTAGGCAGTGCTTCGGCATATCTGTTTGCCTTTTATCTCTCTCAGCATAGCCTGGATGGAGTATGAAAGAACGATCTCATCCATTTCTTTATTTTCATCTCCTCGTAACTGTTTCAATTAATGCTGATCTTCCCGGGAATGTTGATATATGTTTTCTTCTTTTTGTCGAGGCAAGTTTTTCGGTCGTATGTCATAGCATGTTATTTCTTCCAGGAGGGTCCTCGTTTTGTTTTCTGTATGCAGTAAATAGTAGAGTTAATAGTCAAATGAGGAAAACAAACATGAGTTGATAGTGCAGCTTTCTCTCCATGGTTATGTTGTCGGAGATTTTCTTTGCTTCCAACCTTGGAAGCGTCTGCCTGATCAGTCAGGCCTTGGTTCCCAGATAACAAGAGGCAGTTGCCCAAGTCCAAAGCAGCGAGTTGTATAAATTGCTTGGTGGATATATTCGTACTCCCTCGAAGTCAACAAATAGTTAAAAAGGGCCAAACGGTCAAACCAAGCAAGCAGAGGCAAGTCTGAGGCAATAAAAGAAGTATAGTTAAAAAAAGGCCGTCACTGGTTCTTTGTTATGCGCTATACCTAATTGGGTTTAGTCAGCCCCTCGCTTAAATTTCGTGTGTGGCTCTCAACTGCGGGAACTTCAACTTCGTATCGCCGACGACCTGATTTTCAGCTTTAGGATCGCCATTTCCTTTTAACGAAACTGCAAACCGCAAACATGGCGTCGCGTTTCTTCTACGGCAGCGGCAGCGACAGCGACAGCTCGTCTGATGAGGAGGAGGAGGTCTACCGTTCCGACTCCGGCAGCGAGGAAGATTCTGACGAGGATGACACCGACTCCGGCTCCAGCACCGACAGCGAGGAGGAGGGCGAGGAGGGCCGCACTGGTGCCTCCAAGTTCTTGCACGATGATACCGATAGCGAGGAGAGTGAGGAGGAGGAGAAGGTCACAATCGTCAAGTCCGCTAAGGACAAGCGTCTCGAGGGCCTCGAGAGCACTATCCGCCTGATTGATAACGCTCAGAAGATCAACGACTGGGCTGTTATCGCCACTGGTGAGTCCACACCCTGCCTGGAAGGACTGGAGAGCCAGAAAAATTGGAGGGCCCAAGGAATGGCGTGAACTGACATGATCTCCCACAGAGTTCGACAACCTGAACCGCCAGATGTTGAAGATTACCGGCCCCACCCCCAAGATCTACATCCAGGCCGTTGCCGAGCTCGAAGACTTCACCAACGAGACCGCTACCAAGCAGAAGGCCTCGAACAAGAAGATGAATGCTAGCAACAGCAAGGGCTTCAACGCGGTCAAGCAGAAGATTAAGAAGAACAACAAGGAATACGCCACCCTGGTCGAGAAGTACCGCGCCGATAAGGATGCCTTCATGGCGGATGAGGTCGAGGAAAAGCCCGCCCCTGCTCCTGCCCCCAAGCCCACCAAGGTCGAGAAGATCGAGAACTTCGCTGCTGCCGCCGCCGCCGCTGGCGGTGAGGATGATGGATTCGCTACGGTTGGACGTGGTGGCAAGACTCTCCAGTACACCCCTGAGAGCATCCTTAAGCACCTCCGTGTCATTGTCGAGTCCCGCGGAAAGAAGAACACCGACCGCGCCGACCAGATTCGCACCATGCAGAAGCTCCTCGAGGTTGCCACTACCCCTTACCAACGCATCCGCACCTACATGACCTTGATCTCCACCCGCTTCGATCTTACTGCCACATCCGCCGCCACCTACATGTCAAGTGAGCAATGGCAGGCCGCAAACGAGGAGTACTCTGCTCTCCTTTCCGTGTTGGAGGAGAACCGTCAATTCCTTGTCAGCGAAGTCGCCGACGAGTGGGAGGACGACGAGAAGCAACCTACTGTTGCTGAGGGCGAGACTTTCTTCATTCCTGGTTCCGTTGTATCCCTTGTGGAGCACCTCGATGACAGCCTCACGAAGGGTCTCCGAGAGATTGACCCTCACACCTCAGAGTACATTGAGCGTTTGACGGACGAGCAGGCACTTTACTCCTCGCTTGTTCGCTCGCAGCTTTACGTTGAAAGTCTCAAGGGTGCTGATAAGAACGGCCAGGATAGCATGAACAGACTGGTTATCAGACGGTTGGAGCACATTTACTTCAAGCCCGCCAATGTTATTGCCATTGTCGAGCAGGCCAAAGACAAGGCAGTTCCCACGAATATCAAGTCAGCAGTCACTGCTACCTATAAGTCTGGGGATATGCAGAGCCTGGTGGCTTCTATCTGCAACTACATGTTCGAACACAGCGATGGTATTCCCCGCGCTCGCGCCATGCTCTGCCAAATTTACTTCCTTGCCCTGCACGACCAATACTACAAGTCTCGTGACTTGATGCTCATGTCTCATCTGACTGAAAACATCGCCACCTTCGACGTCAGCACCCAGATCCTCTTCAACCGCACCCTTGTTCAGATCGGTCTCTGTGCCTTCCGCGCTGGGCTCATCTACGAGGCCCAGAACACCCTTAGCGAGATCTGCGGCAGCGGCCGCCAAAAGGAGCTTCTTGCCCAGGGTATCATCATGCAGCGTTACTCCACTGTCTCGCCCGAGCAGGAGCGTCTGGAGCGCCAGCGCCAGCTGCCCTTCCACATGCACATCAACCTCGAGTTGCTCGAGTGTGTTTACCTCACCAGCAGTGCTTTGCTTGAGGTGCCTTTGATGGCCCAGACCTCTTCCGCCCCCGAGCTGCGTCGCCGCATGATCTCTAAGACCTTCCGTCGCATGCTGGACTACAATGAACGCCAGGTCTTCACCGGTCCCCCCGAGAACACCCGCGACGGTGTTATTGCCGGAGCCAAGGCCCTTGCCGCTGGTGACTGGAAGCTTTCCGCCTCTACCTTCGCCGCGATCAAGATCTGGGACCTCATGCCCCAGCCTGAGTTGATCAAGGCTATGCTGTCCCGCCAGACCCAAGAGGAGGGTCTGCGCACCTACCTCTTCACCTACGCCCCCTACTACGACAGCCTCTCCATCTCTTCTCTGGCCACTATGTTCGAACTCGAGCCCAAGAAGATCGTCTCCATCATCTCCCGCATGATCTCGCACGAAGAGCTCGCCGCCGCTCTCGACCAGGTCAACGACGCCATCATTTTCCGCAAGGGCGTTGAGCTCTCCCGTCTCCAGTCCCAGATTGTCACCCTGGCCGACAAGTCCACCAACCTCCTCGAGTCCAACGAGAAGACCCTCGAGCAGCGCACCCAGGGTATGGCCAATGCCTTCCAGCGTGAACACGGTCCCGGTGCCCGTGGAGGCCGTGGTGGTCGCGGTCGTGGCGGTGGTCGTGGCGGTGCCCGCATTCCCCAGGGCGATCGCCGACCTGGTGGTCAGCAGTTCGGTGGTGGTGCATTGGGCGCAGCGATTAAGGCTTAGATTCTGATGTAATGGCATGTTCTTTCTCTTTTATTTTCCCCCTTCATGGTTTCTTTTTTACTCCTGTCATCCCCTTCGTGTTAGTACGACCGTTCCTTTTTTTTTAGGTCGGGAAAATTGCCTCGTTTCTGCGCTTTTTTTGTGATTGATCTACATGATATTCACGTATGGAAACGATCGAGAAAGAATCAAGGTGCATACTGGTTAGAAATTGACGGATTACGGATTAGTTCTTCGTTCTGGTGTAGGTGCTTGTAGAGTTCTTTTTGTACTATAGGAAGTACATACGTCTCCAATACATACTTGATAACCTCATCGGTATGTGTGTCCTCCTATAGTCTACCTCAATTGATGAGGAGACATGTGTGGAAAATATCGTATGATGTTTCAGCCTGAGATGCTTTTCCATTCATGTCGAGAATTTTGGAGGTAAGAGAGGTTCACAGTCCTGGGGCATGGATCCCCAAGTTAATTCACATTATCAGCGTCTCTCTCGCTTGAAAGAACCTTGGAAGCCAACCGTACCTTCGAACGTACAAGTGGGCTTCTGGTTGACATGAACCCAGGGCCCAGCTTCTTTGTTACTGGTTATTTCACGCTACGAACATCTGAAATGATGCTTTGGATCAGGACAAAGAAGTGATTGCCGGAGATAAAGACTCTAAGATTCCGAATTCGTCACTATTGGCCCAGTTTGCAAGCCCCAAGCGAGTTTGGACGATGTCGCTTTATTCGAGCCATTGCACAGGCAATTGATGATATCCTTCCAGTGGCTGCTCAAAAGCACCAGAGATTGGAGCGTGCAAGTCTTTCGCATCTCTGAAGTTGACGAGCGAGAAGCTCAAACGCACTACGCTATACCAGATTGGAACTACACCCATGGTAATCTATTGCGCTTCACTTATTCCCCTAGTATGCTTCGGCAAATACGCCCTGTCCTTTGACAACTTCTTTGATTCGCTCTTTCCATCAGGGATAGGACTTATTGGTACGGAGTACATTGAGATGAAACAAAGAACGTTGAAGCAACACCATGGGCTGGGTCCCGAGAGAACGCATTTCAACCTCGAGTCATTTCCACCGATGAGCTGCACGCCCGAGATCGAGTTACTCTCTCGGCTTCTTTGTTGTCGCGCACATGGGCTTCTTGGAAATTCAAAAATAGCACCTTTGAAATGGCTCCATCTACACAAGCACGCAGAGCTCACCTTCCCCTATTCCACAGGTCATTTCAATTCATCGTGTTCTTTGTCCCGGCCTAATTCAATTTACCAGGATGTGTACTACAAATATGTCTATGTATATCCCACATTTCAATGCTTCTTCTTCTTATCCTAAGTTGCCAGGCCCTGTCCTGTCGTGCCACAAAGTTCATCTCCTGTTTCTCCAAGATGCCTCCTCGTCGTGGCACGAAGCGGGCGTACTCAGAGCCCCCTGTGGACGAGGAATCTACCAAGAAGCGCAAACCGACCAATGGTAAAAGGGAGGTTTCTCCTTCTCCTTCCTCCTCTGACTTTTCACCAGACGAAGGTGAAAGTCATTCGCCCTCGCCCCAGAGGACCCCAACTATGTTGACTACAGTGCGATGTCTCAAGGAGACCAGCATGAGGGGTCTTCACGGCCCCCGAGACAACAGCGATGGAAACACAATGGGCACGAGCCCATTACCGATCCAGCGCTTGTTCCAGAAGGCTGGAACGCCAACGAGCTAGATCTCGACGTCAACGACATCGATAGTCAAATTGAGAGATGTGTGGAGAGAATCAGTGATAGAATTTTGCCTGACTTCTTCAAGTTCAGACTGTCGCAGTACGAGAGAAGAAGAGCTGCTCGCGATGAAATGGTCCATTCTGAACCGGCCGGACTCGGCTGGGACATCGTTCGACGCTTGAATCATTTAAAAGAGATCGAGACCCATCTCAATACCAATAGGGACCCAGACAATCAGCTTTCCAATGTCAAAGCTCTCATCAAAGCTTACAAGGAAGGAAAATTAGGGTGGTCGAGAGGATGGGTCAGCTACTGGTCGAATGGCGTGCAGCTCAATGAGCCGCAGAAGTTTGACGCGGAATTTCACAAGAACCTGGCTGAGCAGTACGACACCACAAAAGCGTGGTGGGTGGAAGGTGTAAGTTGATCGTCACCACATGCAAAACACTATCCTTGGTTCTGACTTGCCATATCATATATAGCTCCTACCTCCAGGTCATAGCAATCTAGGAGCCTTGCACTGGTTTCAGCCGCACACCCCCCTTCACTCGGTTGAGGTATAGTGTCTATATTGATCTCTCAACTTGTTATTTCATCTTTCTAACCTTCAGTTGTTTTCTATATAGTTCCCGGTGGATATCGCGCCTGATAGTCAACTTCCTGGCCTTACTGGCATCAACATATGGACGTGTCATGATACTGGTGCCGATATAATGGCGATACCTCAATGTTATATAGACCAACTGGAGGCGATGGGTCTCCCCGTTCATGTCCAGGGCTATAATATCATGGATATCCCTGGCGGATCGTCTTGTCACAAGGTTGTGGAGGTTGACGTCCGTCTGACTGACCCCAATGGTGGGCCTTTGTCCCATTGGATGAGAGTACAGGCTTGTGTTATGCAATCTCTACTAGGGCCTAATTTTGGAATGCCTCTTTCGGGGCCTTTCCTGCGATTTGCGCTCTACACTGCAACATGTCCAGACGGACAGGGACTTCTCTATGTTTGTGATAACAAGAGAGATCTAAGGAAGTTGCCGGTTCTGCCAAACGATTTCGTGCGAACGGCACCGCCACATCTGCCTACCGCTCCTCCAGCTCCGGGGGGTGGACAACCACCCGATTTTTTAATGAGGCAGGTGAACGCCGCAAAACTACCCGCAGTGCCGGCACCCATACTTCCACTTCCACCGAAGGCACCAACGGTACCAGCGAAGAGAGGGAAAAAAAGAAGGGCAAGGGAGCGGGCCCTTAAGTGTCGAGTGTTTGGATATCTGTCAACTCGACTGTTCGCTTTTTATTTGCTTTCTTGTTGGATTCTGTGTGGTTCCTTCGCTCTTTTGGCTTCCATATCAGACATGTTTGGATTTAGTTTTGGATTTGGATTTGGATTTTTGTCTTTCGTCATACTTTCGTTATATATCTGCTCCAATTGACATGTCAAATCTCGCCCCGATTTCCAGAACTCCATCAAACCTCCCTTGAACGTTGTTGAGACCCAGGCTTTGCCGACGAAAGTCCTTTACAAGGCTCTCGAGTACATGTGGTACTCACTTTCTCGAACTAACAGATTACACAGCCTTGTAGTCAGGCGGCCTTCGCCGCCTTGGGAGGGTACTTCTTCCCATCCTTCTCAACTTGAGGAGTGCAGGAACACCACTCGCCTTCGGGAACTGAGTCCATCACCGAAGGGATATGGCTTCCACAACCCCACCAGGTGACCTTGTCTGTAATAATTAGTTGCTATTCTGTGGACACAGATATTGGAAACTCACTGCAGGTCGAGCAGGTAGCCTTCATACACATGATGAGATTGGATGTGATATATTGGTTTTAGAGGGAATATGAAGTAGAGAGGTTCGGAAGATTTGGGCTTTTTATATTCTTTTCCCTCCGATATTAGTCATAGCCGTCATGACCGCGGGGCCCGGGGGAAGCCCTGAAGTCGCCGATGTCTGAAGCCCGAATCCCCGATGTTTTTAGAGAGGTTTGATTAGAGTTTATATGCAGATCAGGAGTTGGAAATACATAAGTTACTACATAAAGACATAAGAATAGAAGTTGAAGTAGTAAATGCGTGAAAATCTGCTTAGTGGGGTTATCGCGGGGAACACTTGCGTTACAACTTCAACTTCAACTATTTCAACTATTTCAACTTTTCCACTTCTAAACACTTCTCAACTATGACGGTCATTGCTGTGGCTGGTGGAACTGGTGGAGTGGGCAAAACTATTGTTGAAAAATTGCTCGACTCTAAATTTGATATTGTTGTTTTGTCTCGCAGTGTACGCAAAGTAGAGATATTTTCCTGGCCAAGTAACTGACTTCCTCAGGTGAAACAGGACTTTGCCTCGCAGAATATTCAAAATGTACAGATCAACTACGACGATATTCCCTCAATGGCACGTGCGCTGGAGCGACACAACATCCACACCATTATATCTGCTATTGGTCTAGTTTCCGACGAGACGAGTCAGTCTCAGTTAAACTTGATCGAAGCTGCAGAGAAGTCAGCATCAACGAAAAGATTTATCCCCAGTGAATACTCATTCGTCCAAACCACCGAGTAGGTCAGCTTCAGCTGTATGCCATTCCATGCTAATTATTTAACCTTGCAAGATTACTTCCGATTGACCCCAGCATTCAATACTGGCTTGATGCGGCAGATCATCTCAAGGCTAGTGCCTTGCAATATACCAGGATAATCCCTGGTTTCTTTATGGACTATTGGGGAATGCCACATGTCCAAACTCACCTGCAGCCGTTCACCTTTGGTATTGATATATCCAGTGGCACGGCCGCAATCCCAGGAGACGGGAACAACGTGATCTGTATGACATACACCTATGATATGGCTGTTTACCTGGTCAAAGCCCTTGACCTCGATGAGTGGCCTGAATTCAGCGTAATCGTTGGGGATGAAGTTACCTACAACCAGCTTCTCGCCATGGCAGAAGAATTCACCGGTAAGCGTATCCCACACCCTTTTCTGAGATATACCCGCAGCCTAACAATAATTTCCGAAACAGGCAGAAAATTCAAGGTAACTTACGATAATCTGGGACAAATCAAGACTGGTGATGTTACCGTCCCTCCTCAGCCAGAGGGAACGGAATGCTCATTAGACGAACTCAAAGAGGTGACTGCGCTGGTGAGCAGACTCACGGTCAATAATGTCTTTCAATTGCCCGGTGATCGTCTCAATACTCGGTTCCCAGAGGTGAAGCCAATTACAATGAGACAATTCCTACACAATGCTTGGGACAGAAACAGTGCATAGAGATATCAATACCAGCAAGCTTCAAAATTTTGATTCAGTGAATGGCCGTCTGTAATAACAGCGCAAACAAGGTCAGAACTCAAAAACCAGACTCTCATTACTTCCAAACAATCTGGGGATCCAACAAGTCGGCGATGCCAGGCATTTCACTTTCTTTGAATTATAATACCGGCGCTCCAGCCACCAGGCTGATCAGCTAGCAGACAGGCCCAGGACGCTCAACTCCAATACAGACCTGTCGGCCTGGAATCAGGTTCGAGCACCATGGGTTGATATCGTTGTTCCAGCACAGTAGCTGGCTCATGGTGAACTTGTTCTGGTTCCGCGCGATGATGTCCCAGCAGGTGTCACCGTTACTGACAGTGTAGAACTCGTTACCTGATTTTGCATCAGCCTAGCTTGAGATAGTGGGGATTTACTTTGGCTCAACTCACAGTATTGGGTCAGCTGCCAGCTTTGAACGGCATTATCGACGGCGGCAGATGTGCCAAGGGAAGCAATTCCCAGAATGCAGAGGAGAGATCGGATACCGATGGCAACCATTGTGGGCTTTTGAGGCACGCTTGGACTTGTTGGTTATATGGCTGGAGACTCGCAATGAAGCTGAAGACTGTTGCTGATGGAAAGAATAAGGATTGAAAGGGATGATTTGTTGTCTTTATATGTGGGAGTTACTGGACCCCGAGATACCAAAGGTCAAATGTTTTGAGTGATCTTTTGCCTTGTCGGACAAATTCATACGATTTGGGAAGCACCGTACCTACAAAACGACCGGGTAAAGGCATATAATCCAGCCACAGGTTGCATTGAGGTTTTGTTACTGCAACCATATTCACTCCTTGACAATGAGGCTTTTGAAACAATGTGAACGGCAACATCGCCACAAGCTCGAAATCAGCCAATGGATTCAATGAGTTGGTCTTCGCCGTGGCTTCGTTTCTTCTCATTGATCGATATATGTCTCAGCTTGACCGATAGAAGTCCCTTCTGTTTTACGGTTACATCTTCCTTGGATATAGTTTATAAATAGAGTAACCTCGGTCAAAGAGGCCCAGTTTGTCATGCACACAATAGTGTGACAATGACCTAGACCACAACCATTCACGGGAGGTAGAGTAAAGGTAGCGCAAACAGACATCTAAGACATAGCTGTATTGTGCAACAAGATTTCGATGGTTGTGGCGGTCAATAAGCAATCATTCTGTAAACAATCTATTTAGGCTTGATTATGGTTCGCGGCTATATGCTGTGGCGAGATTGGGTTGTTATACAGAGTAACATCCTGTTGCATCGTCATGGCTTTGAGTAAATAGATCTTGGCATAGCTGATTGTATGAGAGAATTCAGTGAACAGGTTCGAACTATGGAAATAATTCGCGAGCTCGAACTATTGCTGATACACAAAGATCAAAGTACATTGACGGTACCTATGTCAGGGGAGTACAAGGTGTACAGCATCACCTAATTTGAATCAAATGATTCATATCAAGCGATTGATGGTCTGCTAAGTGGTAAGAGATTATTACTATTTTAGTCTGATCTAACACAGAGTGTTAGCATGACTTCTGCTCTAGTTCTCTGGTTTGCCTACTATAGCACTGGTTTCATTCAGGGCGGCTATTCAAAAGCTACAGGCTAATCATGAAAAGGAGGTCTAGATCCACGACTTAAAACAAAGACATGTCCGTCGCTATGCTGACCGATTTAGAAAGTTCGAAAGTGTAAGTCTTCCAGAAAGCCAAGATGAATGTTCTAGGCCACTTCTTCGGCAGGCCGGTATTCCTCCCGATGGATATACCGCGGCGAGTACACATTATGAGAAGCTTCAATCACGCAATTTTTTATGAGGATCACTGGTATGATCCGGAGCTGACTATCGAGGGGAAGTGTCAAATCCGATGTTAATTACTATAGTGACACCTAGGTATACATCATGCTGGCCTGAGGCATATACAGTGACTCAGCATTAATGCCTTAACGCCTCAACATCTGAACGCCTGAATCTCAGCGGGGAAACGTTGCCTTAGCCTACAATTCTTAATCATGACGATTGGAGCCGCGTAGGGATTGCGATTTTGAAGAAACAGTTCTGGTGTTACCTATACCGTCTTGTATCATGGATGGGAACACCAGCGACGTTGTACGCCTTGCCAAGGTATCGACTGGCCCCCAGATGGCCCCCACGGCCCCTATACTGAGGGAACGACTGTAATTGGACGCTGACCTGCATATGCTCCAAAGGCATGCAGTATATGCAGACGGAAGAAGGTCAAATGTGATGGGACTAGGCCGGTCTGTGTCCCCTGCAGAACATTCGACCTACCCTGCAAGTACGAGGACACCGTGCGCCGCAAGAAAAAGCACAACCGGTATGTTCTGTTTGACTTGTTGGGACTTTTAGATTAACGCATGTTCCCTCCGTCACAGCGAGGAACGTTATCACGAGCTGGAACAGCGCATTCAGTCTCTGCAAGATGAACTGAATGAAGCACATGCGTCCAAGAGACGGCGAGTGCCTAGTGACGAGGAAACAGGCCTAGAGCATGTCCAACCTTCGGAAGTATCCGATTCAGAGTTACCATGTCCGAGAAATGTCACTGCTCAAACGTCTTTCGAGGCCGAGGCCGATCGAGGTGATGGCGACGGAGGGTCATATACCCTTAAAACTCCGAAGGGCGCAATGCGATTTTTTGGTGAGTACTGGCTCGCTGACTATCGTTCCTCAACGGTTGCACGAATGGGTGGGCTGATTTTACCGACTACGCCTAGGTGCATCCTCTCATTTTTTCGATCGTTTCCCCTGAGGGTGTGTGCTGGCTTGAAAGCAAGACGGGTAATAATGTGTGGCGCCATGTCGCTCAGAAAAATGGCAGTCGATGGAGGCTCGCTGATTGGTATCCTCGAGCTCTTCGAGATGATTTCCAAAGCAGATGCTCACAACCCTTACCACCCAAGGCGGTCATCCTAGGTCTTGTTCATGAATATTTCAATACGTTCAACAAGGCCCTGCCGCTCTTTGGACCCGAAAGTTTCATGGGAATGGTCAGCAGACACTTCTCATGGCATCCCAACGAAAGTCCCTCATGGTGGGCTGCATTCAATATTGTCCTTGCGTTTGCATACATGCAAAGGGCAGAGAGTTCCGGTGCCAGCAGCGACGACTGGCAGAAATGCTTGGGTCATGTCAAAAACGCAATGAACGTGGTTACAGAGCTTTTCATGCGGACATGCGATCTCCTCGCTGTTCAGGCGCTTCTTGGACTGGCAATCTTCTTCCAAGGCACGCCAAACCCCCAACCTCTGTTCATGTTTTCCGCTGCCGCTGTACGCCTGTCGCAGTCTCATTGGGTTGCACAAGTCCGACTCTTTTGGTCTCCCGGTCTCCCAGGTCGAAGAGCGGAGAAGGGTCTTCTGGATAGCGTTCATTTTGGACGCCGACATCTGTCAACGGACCGGCCGCCCTGCTGCACAAGATACCCGTGATTATAATACTTTACTGCCTCACCAGGATTCCCCTGATGGCTTGGGTGTGATGGAGGTTGGGAATGCCAAAATCAATTTCTTCTCCGCACTAGCCCGATTTTCTTTGGTCCAACGGAAGGTTTGCGATGAGCTGTATAGCACTAATGCATTCAATAAAACCAAAGAACAGTTGATGGAAGATGTGAGGGGTTGCCTTGACGATCTTGAGGAATGGAAACGAAGTATCCCACCGATCCTCCGGCCCCGAAGGAACTTTTCGGTCGGCGACCATGCCTTCCTACCGCACATCCTCAGACTCCCCTTTGCATACCATTGCTGCTACCTCAATATCCACCGAGTCTGTCTACTTCCTCGGCGCTGGCCGACCAGTTCACATAATGAGGGGCTTAGCCCACCGGGACTGTCGAATGACACAGAAAGATCAGTGCGACAATCAACAGAAGCAGCACGAGCGGCAATTGAACTGATCAGTCAAGTCCGAGGCCACTATGGCCAATCCTTTGAATGGTAGGCTCGTCTGATCGCCAAACTTTTATTTTTGCTAATATTCCATACAGGAGTATTGTTTACTTCACAGGAGCAGCCCTGGTCGCATTGTTCTCCCAAATTCTCATTGATCCTTCACGTCCCGAGACCGAATCAGATATTACTATGATTAATGGGGTCGTCAGCTTTATATCAAAAGTCGCATCCCAAGAACAAGATACATACCTGGACTATGTATTGGCGTTGTGCTCTGACTTCGAGAGAGCAGCCAGGGAAGAGTTACATCGGGCCAGGAATCCCAAGCCAGACTCCGCGAGTGGTATTCAGCCAGTTGCTATTCGTACGCAAGGGCAAATGTTGACGCATCATGACTACTTGCACCCGAACTCTTTCCCGGCTTTTTTCAATCCTCCCCATCCGACTGAAAACGATGGCAGCAACATCCAGTCTTCGAACACGATGTCTACAGATCAAGGTTTCTATACTACAGGGCCACTACCGTTGCCCGCTCCTCTTTCTTGGAACTGGCAAGACATGCTAGCAGGCGTCCCTCCGGCGTATGATTTTGGGGTATATGATTTAGCTGAAAGCACTGGAGAATTGTGAATTTGAACATTATTATTATGGAGTTCTATCGTATGTACTAATATGACAACTCGGGAAGCCTCCTTGCAACATGGTCATGCCAGGTGATGCCTTGGTCATGATGGCAATTTGGAACAGGAGAATCTTTCCAAATAGGACTTGCGTCCTTGTCATCTAGTCTGGCTACGGGCCTCAGCATATCCATCCGTCCCCATGGGCTATCTTCAAAGCTCATCATAAATGGGGAGTCTTGTGCAAGATATTCCGGGAAAACTCGTTTCCACCCATCGATCACCTGAATCATAATTTCCGAGACGAACTGATCCGGAGACGAGCGCGCGAATTTGAACGTATCGAAAGTTCTTTGTACCACCTCAACTGGATAGAGACCAACTTCGGGGTCTACCAGAATCGCGTCCCTGCCACAAGCGAGCTTACAACGTGATATGAGCCTCCTTTCTGAGCCCTGTCCCGGATGGCCAACATTGTCGCGAGGGCACCGACAACGCCAGTAGTCATGTCAGAGACTGGCAATGGTGGAAGAACACTCGTCCCTTCATCGAATCCAAGCGACCGACCCATCACGTACGAAGCACCCGATGCGGCATCCCCGATCTGCTGCCAGCCAGGTCTCTCGGCGAATGGTCCAGATGGACCGTAGCAGTTTTCGTCGACGTAGACAATGCCCTTGTTTCTTTTGGCTGCCACATCCAGCATGCTTTGCAGACCGAGTCCCTTCCGATCTAGCGACCCATACCGGAAGCCCTGGACAAACACGTCTGCGTCGCCCACCAGCTCCTTGAGCCGAGCCATTTCCTCCGCCTTTCCAATATCGAGATCAATCGTGCGTTTGCCGGCGTTGAGCGTTAATTGGAGGACCTGTTGGGCATGTCAGTATTTGGTTTCAAGACAAAGGGGGGAAATCCATTTCACTCACATTCAAATCTGCCAGTCTACTGCAGTTGACACGGATGACATCTGCACCAAACGATGCGAGGATTACCCCAACAGTGGGCCCGGCGATAATCCGCACCATTTCCACCACCTTGATCCCCGCCAGAGGCCGACGATCAGGGAGCTGACTTAATGGGACCGACGGCGTCGATTGCGCATACGATTCACGCGTATAATTCACGAGAGGGTATTCCGCAAGCCGCTTCCCCATCTCAGTCTTTCTCCAGCCCTCGGGTGAGTAACAGATGCTCCCACATAATCCATGTCTCAGGTTATGCATCTCAAGTTCATCAGGACCCCATTTCTGCACATGTTCCCGAATATACGCATATCCCTCCTGGAAAGATTTCAACGGCACATCCATGTCGATCCCCATCGAGCAGAGTGTCTTGCTTGCATCCAGCGACCCGTGAAGTTGATACCACACCCCGGAGTCCTTGGTGGGATACAGTGCAGTTGCTCGACCAGCCAATGGGCCGATCCCGAACCCCTTCTCAAAGTCCCTGTCGAAGATGTTGGGAAGTTCGCGGGCCCGTGCAAGAGTCGAGATGTCCTTGCCATTCACGAATGCCGTGAATGTCGATGCAAGCCAAATCCCAGCATGGTCCGTGTTTACAGTCACGCTCGCTTCCTTGGCTGGCTTGCCATCCCGTAGCTCAAGAAGCTCGTTTCCGACTAGCCCGCACATGGCATGCAGAGCCGCTGTCACGACGGGGGGACTTCATCGGACCGGGCACCATAGGGTCCGGCCGGCCTTCGAAGTTGACAGTGTCCCACAGTGCAGTGTCTTTTGTGAAACCCGGTGTTCGCGACGCCAACAGCTCAAAGATTCGACGGGCATCTTGGGGTATAGGGAGAACGGACTTGTCGATGTAGGTTCCGGGTCCGTAGACCTCGTTTCCGGGAATAGTCTCGTGCATGGGCATTTTGGGTCGAAGACAGACAAAGGAAAAAGGAACAAAGGAACAAAGGAACAAAGAGGACAAAGAGGACAAAGGAAGTGACAATTGCAATTTTTAAAGCTTGACGGATCTCTAAATACACGGACAGCAACACCCGTCCTTATATGGACATTCGGAGTACTTACATGGGTTCTGAAAAGTTCTAAACCTCAAGCCTCAATTCCGGGACCCAACACATCAACTCGTATTCTTTTTTAGATAATATCCAAATCTTACCAACATCCAACCATGGTGCAATGATACTACTGGTCCATAGATCGGCATTGTTCCCAATCGGGCATGGATTGATGTGACTCCCCTCGCAGCCGGCGCTTTCGGGGACGCCACGGGAAGAAGAAAAGAGCCCACGGGACAATCTTGACAGGGAAAGTCAGCCTCAATCAAATAGAAGGCTTGGATTAGCTTGAATTAAAGCCATCACTCTCATTTAATTGGCTCCATCAGTGAAGTTATTGACACCGATCATCTCCCACGGCCCACGGGCACGGGGGTTTGTCACGGGGATTTTCCGTGGGGATTTTCTTCTCTGCCTGCTCTTCTCTCCAACCGAGGGGATTCACGAACTTGGCTTGGAATAACTCTGGGAATATACTTAATAGTAGATATAATATTATAAGAATTTCCAATATTTAGTTATAATCTGCATGAATCTAGTCCAAGACCAACTATTTACCACAATACTTACTCTATGAAAATAAAGAAAACCAACATACCATGTCTACCAGTCCAAGTGAAAATAGCCGACCAGTCCGAGTCGCCAATTGCTCTGGCTATCATGGTATGGAGAACATTTAGATTAAAAACCAACAGTACTAATGTACAAAGATGATCCTGCATACGAGATGTATCGCCAAGCCGCTCTAGGAGATGTAGACTTTATCACGGGGGATTACCTGGCGGGTATGTTGCTTGGCGACATGGACTAACGATCGTACTAAGGACTAACTAAGCTAAGAGGTTAACATGGCAAATAATTCCCAGTCCTTCCAACGGGGTGACAGCCTGGGAAGGTATCCAGCAGACCATCGACGTGATCGCCGAAAAAGGCATCAAGGTCGTACTAAATGGAGGAGCCCCCAACCCTAAAGGGCTCGCTCTGAAAGTGCACGTGTTAGTCAGTGTAGACTTCATCCACCTACATAATTCTATATACCAACTCGTCCCCACAGATCAACCAGAAAGGCCTCGCTTTGCGAGTAGCTTACCTATCTGGAGACGACCTCTACACCAAATTCGGCCCCAACATGCCACAATCTGCAGAACAACTCCAACACCTCGACGCAGAAAACGATTCCATCAAACCTAGCCCGCTCACCTATGCATTCACCAACACCGCCAAACCCATCCCTATGGTTTCGGCACACGCCTACCTCGGTGCCCGGGCATCATGGACGGACTCCGTCGTGGGGCAGATATCATTATATGCGGCCGGGTTGCAGACGTCAGCCCTGTTATTGCAGCGGCGTGGTACTGGCATTCCTGGTCGGAGTCGGATTATGACCGGCTGGCTGGGTCCCTAGTGGCGGGTCACCTTATTGAGTGCTCGGCCTATGTTACTGGCGGCAACTTCTCCGGGTTTGATAGACACCCCGTTGATACGTTTGTTGAGCCGGGATTTCCCATTGCCGAGATCGATGTCGATGGATCGTGTGTTGCTACGAAACATCCTGGGACTGGTGGTATGGTTGGTGTTGATACTGTTCGGTGTCAACTTTTATATATGAGCTTCAGGGTAATATTTACTTGAATAGTGATGTTAGTGCTGTTTTGGATGATGTTATTGTTGAACAAGCTGGAAGGGGGTAGGTAAGCGTCTTGTCTTATTCCTCTTTATGTTGATACATTTACTGAAACTACGTCTCGTCCAGGGTTCGTGTTCATGGCATACGAGGCTACGCCCCTCCTCCAACAACCAAGCTGGCCGTATTCTATCCTGGTGGCTTCGAGGCTCATATCTTACTGGATGCTACTATGGACCAGGCGAGAAGTGGGATCTGGTTGAAAGACAACTCCGACATTTCATTGAGAAGGAGTCAATTGATCGAATTGACACACTTGAATCCCAAAGGTATCCTTTGTCTCATTCATTCAGCTTGGACTAGAGTTGAGACTTACGAATGTCCAGAATCGGTATCCCTGCTCCGAACCCTAGTTCACAGCGATAGAGCACCACATACCTACGCATCTTCATTGCTGCAGCCGAGGCCGAGGCCGACGCACCTGGTTCTATCCGCTCGTTCCCAGCAGGTCATCCGCCAGCGTACAAAGCTCTACATCCACGCGCAAGCTATAATTATGCCCCATCTGGCGAGGAAATCGCCCTCCTCCAATCCCCAACGCGGTCTACCCGATTGGGAGACATTGCTCTTGCCCGATCTGGTGACAAAGGGTCTAATCTCAACTTCGGGATCTTGGTCCCTGACGCCACTCACTGGTCTTGGCTGCGGTCTTATATGAGCGTTGAAAGAATGCGAGAGATGCTCGCTAATGAGAATGACTGGGATGAGTCGTTCTTGGTTGAGAGAGTGGAATTCCCGTACATCCATGCTGTTCACTTCGTGATTTATGGGATTCTTGGTCGGGGTGTTGTTAGCAGCTCGAGTCGACTGGATGCGTGATAAGGTTGTTGAGGTTTCAGTGGAAATTTTGGATTGAATTTTCATTTATATCGCGAGACGTATTACGGGATGTAGTTATCAGTGAGACGCAGAAATTGGACCATGAAGGCTGTTGACACATGTTGAGTATGCTTCATATCATTGCAATGAACAGTATACACACCACATGAAACATCGGACATGTAAAATCATCCCGTTCAAGAGACTGCCAGAACAGCGACAGCCCAAGGATCCATGCTAATTGAATAATTTCCTTGCCCATTGAAGATACTGGTGGTGACGGTTTGGATTTGCACGTTGTAAGGCGTGTTGCCCTGGTACTTGGGACCAGCAAGCATCTCCAGTTTACCAGTTTTGGTTCCTGGTATACTCACTTTGACAGTCTGCTGTTCGGGACCATAGTTCGCCAGTTTCAAGTAGTATTGTGAGCCTGTCTTCGAAGCCACCCAGTAAACAGGTCCGAATCCTGTTGATGAGTGAACCGGAAGAATGGTGTCACCCTTGTTGGATGCAAACATCTTTTGCACAAAATATGAAACCGTGGGTGTGATAGAGTCGGGAGCCGAATCAAAACCGTAAAGTGTGGGCTAGAAGTAGGAATAGCATTGTCAGCTATATCCCGAGTGTTGCTTTAACAGATTCTTGGATAGATATTCTTACCGTCCAATTGTCGAAACCAAAGTGCTGTATCAAAGGCGCATAAGTCACCATCTTGACAATATCACTGTTGCGCTCCATTCCAATCATGTACACAGCCTCACTACAGCTGCCCTGCATGTACGGCCACGATACTCCTCTCTCTGCTGTAGTATTGCGACATCCGAACTCACCAACCATCACTGATTGGTTCCGCGGCTGGTTATCAAACTGGTCAAACAATTTGACAAAATCGTCCGGTGCTCGGTACAGATGCAGATCGATGATGACATCTTTGGGAAGTGGAGATGGCAAGCACGAATAGTTCCCATGGGAAGCAACAATTGTGATATGCGGGTACTTGTCGTGGATGGCCTTGTATAATTGATTGAAACGGTCCGGATAGGTTTCACAGCCACCGGTGAGGTCATCTTCGTTGCCAATTTCAATAAGGTCGACCTTCCATGGATCTTTCCGACCGTTCTGGGCTCGCAGTTTGCCATAATGTGTCGAGGAGTCGCCAAAGAGATATTCCATCTCATTCATGGTATCCTTGACGAAGGGCTCGAGGTCCGGCCCGGAGAGAATGTCCCCATAGGACTTGCCAGACCACACAGCCAGTAGTGGCGCCATGTTCATGTCTTCACACCACCACAAATACTCGTCCAGGCCGAGGGCATCTGTATTGGGGTAGAACCAGTCGCTTTCTCTTCCTGGGCGCTCGACCACGGGTCCAATCGTGGTGTTCCATTTCCAGCGAGAATCAACCTGTAAGCCTTCGATGTTGTTCCCGCCTGCAAACCGGAGAAATGATGGATTGACCTCGTCTAGAAATGTTGCAATATCATCTCGTAATCCGTTCTCTCTTCCTTTGAAAGTGGGAGGAAACAGCTGGATTAAGCCAAAGTTCAAAGAGCTACCAGCAACTTTTGATCCATCGAAAGTCAAATGCCACTCATTATCCCCTTTTGGTGTATAAGTCGTGTTGAACCTGGTTTTGAATTCCGTGAATTTTGAATCCGTACTCTTCACAGTCAAGTTGTGGTCAGCATACACCGAACCACTATGCGACCCAACAAGCTGCAGGTTGATAGTCCCCGAGTAGTTACCCATCATCCAGAAGGAACAGTTGTATGTGGCGCCTGTGACTGGAATACCGTTGTAACCGGTGTTGGCAAAGCCAACATAGTTTGTTACTCCATCCGGTACTTCAACGTTGAGCGAAGACGTAATTGCTTTGCTGACGGGCTTTGAGGTATCCTGGAAGATTGTCACATCCCCCACCGGAGCGTAGGCAGTCAACCCAAGACTAGTTCCTTGGAAGCCATTGTTCTGCAGCACTTGTCCGTGGATTCCACCATCGCCTTAAAATATTTAGTCATGTTCGTGATCACTTAATGCAAATTGCCTACCAGAACGGTCCATTTCCTAACAATATCGAAGTTTAGCGACACAGATGATTGCACATAGAGCTAGCTTGTTACTCACCTCGAACATAACTCCATAGAGAAGCGGACTAGATTTATTCCCTCCCTCCCTTGCAACTGTCAGACTGACTGGGACAGTTGAACTATTCCTTTCGGTCGAACTATTCCCTCCAGCCAGCACGCCTGTTAAACATGTAGCCAAAGCAATAGATGTCGCGAGGCCGGCGCATTTCACAGATTCAGACTTCATGACTAGTCAGAATCCAAAGAAAATATATGTGTAGCAAGAATTTGCAAGGGAGCGAAAGAGAGTCGGTAAAAAGCCATGATCAGGAAAGTTAAGATTTTCGAAAAAGCACTGCCCTGTCTTAGACGGAGTAATCTGTATGACTGTGGGGTATGATTCGTTCGTGTTGGACCTGGCCTGAAAGTTGTTCTCTATAGAGGCATCATGGACCCTGAAATGGTGGCCGCATGCGTGTCTGGGACAACTCATAGAACACTTGGGTCTATTGACATGGCGACATATAGGGAGACGTGCGTCCCATCAAGACGAGCATCTTTTGGACGTTTGATCTTGCGCTTAGATTTCACATGTAGTACCTCAATCTTGCTTTCCTCCTACCCCATGCGTTGAGTATTGGTGTCGATTCTGCATTTACAGTTGAGGGAAGTCATGACGTCGGATACTCCCGAGGTGGGATTGGAACTTCATGTTAGGTCCTGCAACTACCTAGGTAAGCCCATCATAGTCGAAGTCCTGAATATCTGTAACTTGAATAACCAAAAGAAACACTGATATCGAAATTCACCTGATGGTAGTTGAGTTTATACCTTCGACGATGTACGATAGCGGTACCGTACAAGTGTCCATCCAAATTCCACCTCCAAATTCAGGCGAACAAGTAATTCACCATGTACGGACACACGTAGCAAATTTGGTCCTTCTTGCTTCTTAGTAACCTCATTTCTGGCAAACAAAAAAGGATCCATGGATGGTCAGAGAGAAGAGGCTGAAATAAGAAGCTGTCTAAAGATGAAGGCGGTGTCTGATCTGCCACCTCACATGTCAAAACAGATCTGTTTCCAAATCGGGATTAGCTCTCCTCCCTCTACATATGCAATCTTGCCCTTTGATTTCCATCAATATTCATATCCGACTTTGAACAGAGTGTGAAAATGAAGTACATCGTGGTATCTGGAGGTGAGTTTAACGGTGATCTGCCAGAAGTGGCTCCACCGTTAGCCCGTGGAGAAAAGCGGGGCAGTCTCCATTTCGAGGTATAGCAAGAGATATAAGAGACTGACATTGCTAGGCGTCATTTCTGGGACAGGGAAGGGCATTGTCGCTTCGAGTGCAGGTTTGCTGCTGCAAAGCAAAGGGTTTGTCGTCACCGCCATCAAGATAGACCCCTACATCAACATCGATTCCGGCACTATGAGCCCACTCCAGTAAGTCCCGATCTGATGCAGCTTCTGTGGACTCATTTCCTGATTGGTATAGCCATGGAGAGATCTATGTGACGGACGATGGGGGTGAGGTTAATCTTGACCTTGGCAATTTTGAGCGTTACCTTTCGACCACTCTCCAGCGTGGTCATAACATCACAGCTGGGGAGATCTACCTGAGACATCATCTCTAGGGAACGGACCGGCAACTACTTAGGAAAAACTGTTCAGGTGGTGCCTCATTTCACCAACGCCATACAAGAATACATCGAACGGACCGCGAAGATACCTGTGGACGAGTCCCAAGCCGAGCCTGATGTGTGTATTATTGAGCTAGGTGGGACAGTGGGCGATATCGAAAGTTCGCCTTTCATCTACGCTCTCGCCCAGCTTCGAAAGAGGGTCGGCAAAGAAAATTTCGTTCAAATTCACGTAGCTTATGTCCCTGTTGTGCCGTAAGCTCTTCTTGCGTCAGGCGACAAAACACCGCTATAAGCTAACCTAACATCTGGCCAGACCGGGAGCTTCTGGCGAGCAAAAGACGAAGCCGACTCAACGATCCATTTCCGACGTTCGGAGCGCTGGGTTGAGCCCACTTCTAGTATGTTATCACTCTCTATTCATACATGTCTATACCAGGCACTCTGATCTAATCAATTAAAGGTCGCCTGCCGCTGCGAGGTGCCATTGGATCCAGGTACCATCCAAAAAATCGCCAATATGTGCTCAATGGAGCCGGAACAGGTCATTTCCGTACATGACGGATCAACCACATACCACGTACCGCTTCTCCTCGAGAAACAGAATCTTCTGGGCATCCTCTGCGAGCACCTCGACCTTCGACTTGATCGATTACACCCCGTATTGAACAGGGCAAGCGTATGTGGGACAACTGGGTTTATGTTGTTCGAAGTCAAGATACTATCATCGACACAATATCAATCGCGCTTGTTGGAAAATACACATCCAATAAAGATGCCTACCTCAGCGTCTCTAAGTCGATCGAACACGCGGCCATGTACTGCCACAAGAAAGTCAAGATTATATGGATTGACGCGGCACATCTCGAGGAGGAGACTTATCGCACCTCTGCAGTCAAGTATCACAAAGCTTGGCATGATCTCTGTAGCGTCAAGGGCATTGTTGTACCTGGTGGCTTTGGTACTCACGGTACCGGCGGGATGATCAGGGCAATCACTTGGGCAAGGACTAATAAAAAGCCATTCCTAGGTGTATGCCTTGGCATGCAACTCACAGTGGTTGAATATGCCCGCCATGTCATGGGTATCCCAGACGCTGGAAGCCAAGAGCTCCATCCAGAATCCAAGAACCATGTGATCATTTACATGCCTGAACATAATCAGGAGAATGGCCGTGACGCCATGCGTCTGGGCAAGCATCCATGCATCTTCAAGGAGGGTACCGAGTGGTCAAAGCTACGATCCTTGTATGGTCCCACGATTTCCCAAATTGAGGAGCGTCACCGGAACCAGTACGAAATCAACCCGGAAATGGTCGAGGGGCTTGAGAAAGCCGGTCTTGCTGTTGTTGGCAAAGATCCTACCGGCAAGCGTATCGAGATTATTGAGATCCGCGATCATCCCTTTTTCGTCGGCGTGCAATTCCGCCCTGAATACTTGAGCCGTGTGTTGCGGCCGAGCAAGGTCTTCCTCGGCTTCTTTGCTGCTGCTGCTCGGTGCTTGGAGAAGATCCCTATGGCATTGAAACAGGGCCAGCAAAGTCTTGTGGAAGAATATTAAAGAGCTATGAGCAATCTTTGGAGTTCTTTATGTTATCCCATTGGTTGACCTCCTTCAATTGATCACTTAGCGTCCCTTTTGAGATTGCATTTCCAGCTTAGAAAATCAATTTATCCCAAAGGTTTATAATCTGCATTAAAACACTACAATTTTAACTGATAGCACAGTTCTAGTGATCTCTTCTGACAACTATATATGAAAGCTTCCAATGGATCATTAAGGGGGTCCTAGAAAAGGCTTAGGAGAGTTCTTCCACTCCTCGGTCCATCATCCATGGGAATCCATCCTTCCGTTGCCAATCTCCGCTTTCGTTCTTGGTCTATGCCATGCATTCATGCTCATACACTGACCATGTTAATGAATACATACGCAAGAGGTTGACTTCGGGTTTTACATGGGAAAACAGAAGCGAGTTCTACCAAGTAGAACAATATTATGTGATTGATGTATTGGGAAACCCGAACAGGTCTAGGAGAGCAGTTCTTCCACAGTCATGTCGTCAATTAATTTCATGCAAAGGGAAAGCCCGGAATGAGAGTTGCAGAAACCGAGAAGTGAAAAGAGCAACAAACAGAATCAGAGCTGGAATCAGAACAGGAATAGAGATGAAGGTGGATGGTGAAGTCCAGACAAAACTCAACAGGTAGACGATCAGGTTGACACCGAGGATGAAGAGAAAAGAAAAGTGGGTGTATAGTGCATAAGGATAATGTGTATAGATAATGGGAGATGAATGAGTAAAAAAGAAGGTCCGGGCCTGGGCTTGAGGTCAAGTCACATGCATGTCGGGAGGAACTGAGGCCAAGACAAGCGGCTTAATTGATAGCTCGCTTCCAGAACTTCCAGCCCCTCTCTTCTCCTCCACTCCTACACCAACAAGACGTTCAATGCCTTCAGGGCCCTCGGCATTTTCGAACTTCTGCTGATCGATTTCCTCGCCACCCTCTTCATCTGAGCCATTACGCAAGACGGCCGGGTAGAGGACACCAACACCGTCACCGCCAAGGATAACCTCGTAAGTAGCGAAACCCTCCTTATCGAACTTCTGTTCGAGGTCCTGTTTGACTTCCGCTTTCGCGTTAGGCCGGAGGAGGTAATCGCACACCCACCACCGCCTGCACCGGTCAGCTTTGTCCAGCCGATGTCAGCGTAGTCGACAAGTTCACGAATGCGTTCGAGACGGGGGTGAGAGACGCCTAGGGGAGACAAGGAAGCCGTGGTTGATACGGATCAGGGTTCCAAAGTGGGCGAGGGTGGTCTCGCAGATGCCCTCGAAGCTGGGGTCCTCGATTAGACGTTGTGCAGAACATGTCACGTGGTCGATGCCGTTAAGTATTGACTCCGTCACGATAGGATGGGCGTCTCTTAGGGCTCCGACTTTGCTAACTTCTGTCTTTGTGGAACGCGCTTGTTGGGTGTTGACGAGTAGAAGAGGGAGTTCGGGGAAATTCGGTAGTGAAATAACGGTTGGAGGCTTCGAATAATCGTCGCGCCGGAAAATCACAGCCTTACCGCCTGCGGACACCGTGTTGTCCACCCCACTAGGATTGCCATGGATACAGAGCTCTCCAACGAATGCCCAGCGGTTGATGCGCTCGATTTGTGTCTCCGCCTCCTCCGGTGGCTGGTCTGGGTGGGGCCCCGAAAGGGTACGGATTTGAAGAAGCAGCGCAGAACTGAGACAAACGCAGACACTGGCACTACTACCTAGGCCGGCCCCGGTAGGGATAGTGGATCGAAGGGTGTAGATGGCGCCTGGGCTTTGCGGGGAGCCCAGGGAGAGGAAGAGGTAGAGGGAACGAGGATGCGGAGCGGATATGAATGTTGCGCTGCTCCTCTGGTAGACCCTTGGAGACGCCCTGGAGGTGTGGTTGGATTGCCTCGACAAGTTCTGGGTCGAGTTCCGTGACAAGGCTGTAGTAAAACTTCTTTTTTGTGGGCTCGTGGAACTTGTCCCAGGGTAGGGTGTCAATATCCCAAGTGTGACTAAGACCTAGGTCCCGGAAGTTCAATGTTATCGTGCGCTGTGATTTGGAGAGGGTGGTGACAAGAAGGTAGGAGCGGAGAGAGATGGCTGCGGCCATGGCAGCCTTGCCGTGGACAACCGCATGCTCGCCAAAAACGATGACTTTGCCCGGCGCCGACACCATAAAGGTGGGCGCCATTGGCGAAGAGGCCTTGCGAGTCATTCTCGGCCGCGCGATCGCTTGTGTTTCTGAGGAGACGGAGGCGCTGTCGGAGCTATCGTCGACACAGTTCCCATTCACGCCCTTAGTAGGGAGAACTTTGACCGTGCTTTCGGGGTGGAAGTCGACCGTGCGACGATTTGTGGCACCTATACCTTGCAATGGGAGCGTGACATTCTCGGTCATGACAGGCAGGATTAGGTGGGATTGGACAAGCGGGATCAGGCGAGATTGGAATTCGAGGGGGGCAACAAAGGGGCGAAAGTCTGGATTAGAAATTAAAAGGATAGAAATAGAAGACCAAGGAAAGAAAAGAGTGAATGAAATAGCCAAAGAGCCCAGGATACAGTCAAGTATATGGAGTACTGGAGCACTGGAGTACTGCAGGTAAGCAAGTCGACGAAAGTTGGAGAAGTGCTCGAAGCTACTGGGTATACCAGGGAACGAGAGAGAGGGATGGCCCAATCACAGCCACACCAATACCAATTGCTATTAATCTCACTATTAACTGTTTACTACTATATATAGAATGGTTATTTTGCCTTATTAGGTCGATTATTTCCCTTATTTTTCACCACTCTAGTTGTCTGGTGTTTCCTCTGTACAATAATATCCCAAGTGCAGAGATTTTGTGGCGTGCAGTAGCGCCGGAAGTGATCGTCTCTATGTCTTGTCTGGCATTTACACTATCTACAGGTACTCTCTTGTTTTGAAATCTACTAGGTATAATAAGTATGTGCATAATAACATTCCCATTAAATACAACAATCTAAGTCCGAAAATAAATCTAATCTAGCGTGTGCTATGTACAGTTCTGTATAATTCTCGCAGTCATGTATTCATCACAAATTCATCGTCACGGTCATACTATTACTATGCACCAGCAGACACGGGGGCAAGCCGGTCCATAGGACGTCCAGATCGCTCAAATAAGACGCACTGTCATCCGCGCTAAGTGAAGTCCCCTCCACGGGAGACGGCAGAGTCGTGAAGATAACAGCGGTATCACCGCTCTGCTGAACCATCAGTTCATTCAAAATCAAATGCTGTGCTCGACTCGGGAGATCATTGAAAGACAATGGAACCGATGCTACACCAGGGTAACCTGTTGCATTTGTATGTGAGCTGCTTTGGGTCCCAGGAGAGGTAGGGGACACGGCAGATGGGCGACGAGCGTAGATAGAATCTAGCTTGTTTGTAAATCGTGGAGGTGAGTTTTGTGTTGCAAACATGATAGACGGTCCATTGCCCTCCTCAGATTCAGTGTTCACTCTGGCTTCCGGGATGGGTGAGGAGCTAAACCGATTGCTGGAAGCAGAACGGCTCATAGAGGGCCGTAGACCTGGAGTTTTGTTCTTCGGGGAGGCATCGTCGCCAGTCTCAATTATGGACGGGATCACCTGGTTGGAAAGCACTGGTGTGCTTGGCGAGTCCCCGCTAGGGCTGCAATCCTCGGTCTTGGACCGGCCAAGGAGTCTTGAAGAGCCGGAAACGGGTACAGGCTCGTTTCGAGCGCTGACTATGTCCTCTCCGCCGTCCTCTGGTTCTGGATCACTAACATATGCTTCTAAATCACTTTCTTCGCTGTCAACCGAACTGTCGGAGCTGTCGTAGTCGACGAATGCATCTAGCAAGCGATGCGTTTGCATGCCGAGGTTCACTCCTCCGAGAGCCCGGAAGCTGGAGACAGATCGTCTGCGACGAGTGGACTGAACCAGTTTCCTTAAGCCAGTCACTCGAGGGTGCAAAGGTTTGGTTCCACTGTCTTGGCTCGATGGTCCTTGCCATGTATATGACTTATCAAGATGAAAACTGTCACTGGTTCTATCCGAATCCTGGATATCTCGTGCACGAGCTCGTAAGAGCCCTTGCCACCAGTCCTCCCCATGTAGAGCAGAATTAACCCTCTCTCGAGCATCAGCTGTAACCGAAGTGTCGCCATTCACGATAGTTTGGTAGGCCTGGAGATCACCGCAGGCAAGCCAGAAAACCAAGACTTCAGCTTCAATCCGTAATTTGTCAAGGAGAGCCTCGACTCGTCCTCTCTCGTCTTCCACATCGGTCTCGTACTCCACGAACACCGCAACTCGGATTTTGTATGTCTTCTTCCAGGAGGGAACAGTGTTGAGAATACAACCCAGTTGAAGGATCAAAGTGTACGTGTCAAAATTAGTGGTCAGCACATTTTGCTTGCTTTCACTGTCAGCCCCAAGCTCGGCAGACATTTGGATCGGCCACAAATCAATATACTTCTTAGTATGGCGACCGTGGGAGTCGGGCACTCCAGATCCTCGAATCCTTTAGCTACGGCAACATTTATCCGAAGCTTGAATAAGAGGTCTTCGAGGATTGTGACATAACTCTGCCCGCTCATGGGCGGGTTTGCGGATCCAGACGCGCTGGACCCTTCGGTCCGTGGGCTCGAGTGAATCGAATGGCGTCTGGCCCTCGAGTCTCTGCGGCCACTGTTCAAAGAAAAGGTCTCAACAAGCGACTGGTCAGATCGAAATTGGTCTATCACAACGATGTTGGGCCTCATGCCGCCCAATCCGGAATTCAAAACAATATTCCGCATGCCCCATTCCGCAGCGGGCGAAACGGCAATGTTGACAAAGGCTTTGATCTTGGAATACTCAACAAATTTTGTCCACGCTGTCTGTTGTCGACGTGCTTCAGGGACAGCTGCTGAAAAGTCATCCGTAACAAGAACATGAGCTAGTACAAACAGAGATCCTTTCTTTAAAGAGTTGCAGAAGGAGACCATTTTGTATTGCCTGTCGATGTCGCTGACAAATAGCAGGATCTGAGGACGCCAGAACTTGACGTGCTCCTGACGCAGACGAAGCAAGTATTTTCGCACTTGATGATAGATCAGACTTTGGCTGACATCGCCCCAAGGCTTGGGTGGCGAGCTATAATGGATCAGTAGGAAGAGAATTACCAGAATTCCTACACATCCTGTAGCGTAAACCCCGTCGACAAAAAACATGCTGATCCCACTGACGAGTGTTCCAGCCGCCGCAGTCTGCCAGTTGAAGTAGTGGAATGACGGACGGAAATTGGGTGCGGAGCCAATCTTTAAGAGGAAACACGCGAGATTCGTCACAAGGAAAGTCATCAAGTAGGTCATGGTAACAAAAGATGCGATGCGATTGATGTCGAAGAGCATTGTAACCTGAGCGAACACAAAGGTCACAATAATGGCATATATGGGATCGTCGGTTTTCTGCGCGCCTTGGGCAAAGATCCCTATGCCAGGCAAGAGGCTATCTCGCGCAACAGCTTGAAGAAGTTTAGCAGATCCAATCACGCCCATCAGGGCGGAAAAGAAACTGGTTGCGAATTCTCCGAGAAGGATCACACTATCAGAGGCATTGACCTATACTCAATTAGAACGTTCTTGTAGTCTTCCTGTCAAATAGAAACTTACAACTTGTATAACATTCACATTGTTGTAGAAAGACTCCCTGGTCACCGAAGCCGCCATCGCAAGGATGACAAGTCCATAGGCGACAAAGGTCAAAGCCAAACCCGAGAGCGTACCCTTAGGAATGGATTTGCTGGGGTTCCTAAGATCACCTGACATGCTTGCACCGCTGATGGCAGATTAGTGAAATGTGGTAGAAAGTCTGCAGTCGCCAACTTACGCAAAGATACCTCCTGTGGCAGGGAATAGAATGCCAAAGAGGTCTTGGAAGGTCTCTCGTCCTTTTGTTTGGCTTCCTGCGGCTCCCTTGGTTAGATGAGGTTTGAGATTCCCCATCAAAGTCTTCAAACGAAGTCCCGTGAACTCCACGCCCTGACGGGGAATTGGGAAAGGTTTCATAAAAACTGCAGAGAGTGGTATGCTGAAAGTGGCGACGAGTAGTATGACCAAGAGCCCGTTACTTGCCCTCGCAAATATGGAACTTCCTGCCAAGCAAATTCCTGTGCAAAATACCAGTATAATAGTTCCCCATAGGTACTGCCACCAAAATCCTTCCTCCAAGAAGTTGGCCCAGTCTCCAGACTGTCTCCCAAAGTTCTGAGTGAAACAGTCCACTAAGCCAACAGCATTCATGCCGGTGTTAAACACATAACCAAGGTAGAATACAATGCCGATGGAGCCACCAAATTTGGGGCCCAGAGATCTAGAAATAAGGTAGTAGGCACCACCGCCTCGGACCGTCCCGTTGGTTGCAATCGCGGATAGAGACATCGTTGTCACGAGGTTGATTGTGTATGATACAAGTAGCAGCCCTTTGATGTATCAGACGTGGGATCCTGACTTTGTGAGGACGTATGCTCACCTAATATGCCCAATACACCAGCTTGGCCCAGGATGAATCCGAACCGAAGGAACATAAGAATGCTCAGGACATTCAATGTCGTTGGCACAAAGACACCAGAGAATGTACCGAGCTTCTTCGGCTCATCCACCGATCGGGATCGATATCCACTCTTGTCCTTCTTATCGGCACGGGCGTCGTGGAGAGGACCCGCAGACAGGTAAACATTTTGGGAAGTGGTCTCTCGACTAGTCTCATGTTCTTGATCGTCATCTCCTCCATTATGCCACCACCGAACAAGGCCCCGGAAGTAATTCATGGGTGAGGAATGGCGTTGGTCCTCCGTTGGTTCTGACGAATTCACGGGCTCATACGGACGGACCCATCGAGTCGGTGGCCAGGGTAGCAAGCGAGTACGTTCGTCGGAGATAGTATGCGTTGAGTCCTCGGGGTCGAGACGTGAGACATCCTCTTGAGCGGTTCGAGTCGCGAAAGTTGGGCGTCGCCGAGACAAGGAGTCGGAGGATTCTCCGACTCGTTTCGCCATATCAGTTGCAAAATTTATGGTATGAACATGAGGGCATAAACAACAAAATAATTTAAATAGCAGATAGTCCCAGCAAGACCATTGAGTCTGCAAAAAAAAGAGACGGCGCTAATATCAAATGAAGAGAAAAACAAGCTGTATCAGTATATGACGTTGATGGGTGCAAACATTTTCCAGTTTGCATCCCATCAACCGCTCTTGGAGCTGATCGGCCATCGGCCGCTTGGCGCTATTATTAGTGTCTCAAACCCTCCTCAGTTACATCTTGGCCTTTTCACCTGAATATTCCCTCCGGGAAGCTGAACTGCACTGTTATTTCAATCATCCGGGCTTCTTTTCTTGCCCATTACCAAATCTAACGCGACACCCTGTCAGGAGCTAACTAGACGCTGAGGCCACCTTCAAAATGCCGGATAATGGAGAGGGCTCGTCCCTGAATCCAGCTCGATCTGTCCCGATAGCGTCGTCCTCGGTGCGGTCGAGGTCCCCCGCACCGGAGTTCGGTAGCAGACAGGCTTCCATGGCACGCCTCGCATCCCCAGTACCCTCCCCTTCATTGGGAACATCCTTGTCGTCTCGACAGGGTATTCCGGCCAGCCGACCTGTCACAAATACCACCACGGAGCAGGAGTTTTCCAGGTCAATTGCCAATCTGTCCTCCGTCCCGGTCCTGGTCATTCTATCATCGCATCCCAACTCCAAGAAAGCCTTGGTCGATCGCCTCCGAGATTTGGAACTCCGTCACGACACAACGGATCCCCTGGGGTGCATTCGACTCTAGATAACCGACCGTTAGCCTCTCAGTATGGCTCTTTCGATACCAAAAATGGAGCCGACTCCCCCAGCATGGCTCCGTACGAAGACCCTGAAGTCATCAAGCGGCATCTAGTCACGGAACACACAGATAATCAATCGGAACTTGCAACCAGCCTGGGTGGTGAGGATAACTTCTCAAGTCTACAGCTTCAGGGTGGTGATATCACACGACAAGTTTACCGTTGGGCGGAGGATGCTGAGGCCGAAGCCGCAGGGCGGTTCTTGCGCAGCAAAAGTTTCAGCGTCAGCCGACCAAGGCCAGAGGCTGATACGGAGGACATTGACACAATTCGGGTCCCTGGAGGGTTCCGCAGAGATTATCTACGGAGGGCAGCTGGAAGCCCACAACGTGGAAGTGCTCACGGTTCAACTACAGGGGTACCCCCATGGAAATGGCGCACCTCAACTGCCGACTACTAGCTTCTTGGAGTTCTTGACCCTCTATGGGCACTTTGCCGGAGAAGAATTAGAGGAAGATGACGAGGTACTAGGTCCGGATGAGTATTTCTCGTCAGATGCTTGGGACGAGCCAGAGGGCAGGGAGTCTGGGGAAGATGCAGCGCTGTTGCCACCTGAAACACCGGGTCTGAAGAAGAGAAAGCACAAGCAGCGCTCACCAGCAGGAACAACTACTGCAACAGGTGCAGTACTATTGCTGCTCAAATCCTTTGTGGGTACCGGTATTTTGTTCCTGCCTCGGGCCTTCCTAAATGGTGGTATGCTCTTCAGTAGCATGGTGCTTCTGGGAGTCTCGATTCTGAGCTATTACGCCTTCATTCTTTTGGTTAATACTCGCTTGAAGATCGAAGGGTCCTTCGGTGACATCGGTGGCATTCTATACGGCAAGCACATGCGACGCATCATTCTCGGATCAATTGTCCTGAGTCAGTTAGGCTTTGTTTCAGCGTACATTGTCTTCGTCTCGCAAAATCTGCAGGCGTTCGTACTGGCTGTGAGCAAGTGTGTGACATTGATTGACATCAAGTACATGGTTTTGTTGCAGCTGGTCATCTTCCTGCCTCTGTCTTTGATTCGGGATATCAGCAAACTTGGGTTTACCGCCTTGATTGCTGATGTCTTCATCCTTTTGGGTCTACTATATATCTACTACTACGACATCAGCACTCTGGTTGACCAGGGCGGTATTTCAGACGTCATTTCCTTCAATCCAGCCACCTGGTCTATGTTCATCGGTACCGCCATCTTCACTTATGAGGGTATCGGTCTCATCATCCCGATCCAAGAATCGATGAAGCAGCCAAAGAGGTTCCCTGGTGTTCTGGCTGGTGTCATGGTTGTGATCACCTTTATCTTCCTGTCTGCCGGTGCCTTGAGTTATGCGGCTTACGGATCGGCAACGAAGACCGTCATCCTTCTTAACCTCCCCCAGGATGACAAATTTGTCAACGTGGTCCAGTTCCTCTATTCACTCGCCATCCTGTTGAGCACTCCGTTACAGCTCTTCCCCGCTATCCGCATTATGGAGAACGAGCTCTTCACTCGCAGCGGCAAGTACAACCCATATATCAAGTGGAAGAAGAACGGCTTCCGCTTCTTCCTTGTTATGGTCTGTGCCCTTGTCGCCTGGTGTGGTGCAAATGATCTAGACAAGTTCGTTTCGCTGGTCGGAAGCTTTGCCTGTGTTCCATTAATCTACGTATACCCGGTATGTCCTTATCCTGTCTCCTCCTGATCACCACAGAACGGTATGACTAACTCATGATATTGCTGTAGCCCCTCCTGCACCTACGCGCTTGTGCTCGCTCCAAACGCCAAGCTATTGCTGACGTAGCTCTTGCTGTCTTTGGCGCCATATGCTGCGTCTATACGACGTACCTGACCCTCATGAGCTGGATGGGCCCAGATGTCCCTCAAAGCCCAGGATACTGTGACTCTCATTGAAGAAATTATACTTTTTTGGTTACTGTAGAGCATGGCGAGTTAGGTCTTGTTGCATTTACTTGCTCTGTTTCAACCCTAGACTGGCATATCTGTCGTTGGATTCCCTTATGTTGCTTTAACACATGGCGGGCATACTTGCGATGTTCATTCACAGCCTCAGTCAAATTGTCAGTATAGTCGGCGAATTTTGGGGTCACACTACACTTTCTGTATACATATTTCTTGTTTTGGGGATTATCTACTTGAGCATATTTGTGGAGCATTCTTTGGAGGTTCATTGGGTCAGGAATAAATCAAGACCCAGCCTAACACTGAATCCCGAAGTTATCACGATCAAAAACTAGGTCATCCCATAAAAGGAATTGATTCGAGCGCAATAATATAGAGCCTATGTACAGTGACTATCAGCAAACAGGAAGTAGATTGTAGCCAGCGCCGATATCTAAGCGTCTTCCTGAGAACAGCAAGTCTCCCTCTATATGTCTCCTCTTTTATCATTGTCCGAGACTCAAGCGGCCTCAGGCTGAAAACAGCAGACCATGTATGGAGGTGCAATGCTGCGAGACAAGACAGATGCTTATTAGCCCCAATAAAAACTGGAAAGAAAAAGCACAACTAATTTCTTCTCGATGGCGATTCTTAAGCACCGGCCTCGGCGGCCGCGCCGCCCTTAGCAGCCTGCTCGGCGAGCTGCTTTTCCCGGCCTCCCCACCTGAAAAACAAACCAGGTCAGTAATTATGATCACACAATGCTTGTAGACAAAGACAAAGACCAAACAAAGTCTCGAGGGGATGAAACGTACTTCCAGTAGTTCATGTAACGGAATCCCTGGGTAGTCTGGGCGCCAAAGTTTGTCAAGTGGCATGCGAAGAGGAGGTAGTTCTTGGGAGTGATAGCGAGGGAATAGCGCATGAAGGTGGCGGCGTAGACAATGAGGGCACCGGTCATAGGGCCGGATATGCTGCGAAGATGGAGATATCAGTATAGTTGCTCTGGGACCATTGCAGCCAAGGGAAACGCAGTAGACGAAATCCAGCTCCCATCATTCATCGGATAAGAACATACATCTCAGCGTCCTTCTGTGTGTCCATAACAGCGGCAACCGGGATACCAAAGTTGGAGACAGGGCCCCAGAAGTCTAGGAAGCACCATTGATTGTCAGCAACCCATGCAATTCATTTGTACTTTATGGCTTCGCTAAAGCGCAATTCGGGAAAAAAAAACGAGTTCGTCTCATTCTCGACCTCCTTCGAGTGTTTATTCTCCTTCGGTCTCATTCGCCGTTGGCCGATCTCGGGACCGGAAGCGCTTCGGGAAACTGGGGTCGATACGTACGGGTTGAACAGACATAGTCCAGCACCGAGTTGGAGCGGATCTTGGCGTTGATTGCCTTAATAGCAGCAGCCATTGTGAAAGTTGCTGGGAGTTATCACACGGGATTGGATTCGGGGGAGAAGAGGTCGGTATCTGGAGGATGCGGAAGTGCTCGACTCACCCGGCGTCGGCCGTATCACGTGAGCTGCATTGCTCCAATATCATGTTCGTTCAAACTGATTTTTTGTTGAATAATATTTTACTATACTGAGTTGGTTGGTAGTAAGTAATGGCTATTAATGGTTTTTAGTTGTAGTCTTGATATATTGTAGTTTTCGGGCTCAATCTTAAGACGAGCAATGCAAATATATATTGGATTCCTCAACACTGATCGTCCAAAATCTATACCTATTTTACGGCTAGGTTCAAACCATGACAGAATAAGAAAGTATCTCCTGTAAGACACAAAAGCAAGGCTGTTATATATAGGCCTCTCCAGACACTGCAAGAGTGGAAGGAAGACCCGACGCAGATATACTAATGGGGTAGGTGTAGGAGAGGTGTGTAGGAGAGGTGTAGACAGCATACAACCTGGAATATAAAAGACGCAACATAATCTAATAGAAAGTGGACAGGGAGAATTCGGATATTAAACGTGTTTGAATGAAAAGGCCGCGTTTAAAAAGCTAGCATGTTTTTTTGACTAAATGCGTAATTCAAAAGGATTTTGGTCTTTTTGTCCCATTCCTAGACACGACCTCCATCCATGCGCCGCAACGCCTTGCCCAGTAGAATTTGGGGGGTAATCTAGCCTGTCCGCGTGTCGTTATCTCTCGCTGGAGGCGTTGACAATGGTTCTTATTCTGCGCTGAGCCGCCCTTGTTCCTTTCGGGGTGAAATCAGATCGCCGATAATTTAAAGCATAGAATAATCCTTTGTGCATATTTCCAATTACCTGCCACCGAATCCAGGAGGAGGGAATCCGCGTCCCTGGCTGGGGGGCTGGAAGCCAGGAGGAGGTTGGAAACCGGCAGCTGCGAGAATGGGATATCAGTATGGGAGACGAGATGGGAGAATCATTCGGGTGTAAACTTACGGGGACCACCCTGAGGAGCAAACCCAGGAGGAGGCGCGAAACCGGCTAGAAAGGAACCAGTCAGTTTGAGTCTCAGGTAATCTTGGCACATGGAAGTACTTACGGGGTCCACCGGGGGGGCCTCCACGTCCAGCGAAGCCAGGAGGGGGAGCACCGGGGAAACCGCCAGGGGGGAATCCAAAGCCCCCTGGGGGTGGGGGTCCACCAACACCGGCTGCAGGGCCTCCGAGGCCGATAGGCAGGCCGCGGCCAGCAGGCTTGCTGATACCAGGGCCCGCGGCAAGAGTGGCAGCAGCACCAGGTCCGGCGGTGCCAAGTCGGGCAGAGGGGTCGGCAGGAGGAGGTCCTTCTACAGAACAAGAGACAACTTGAGTACCGCGCACGATAGTCAGGCCGAGGCTTCGCTTCTCTTCCGCTTCGACCAGCGGGGCGTTTGTGGGACCGGCAGCGGGCTTGGATTTCCGCTTGATGCGACGGAATTCTTCTGTATCGGCAAGAACTAGGTTCATGTGCTAGAGAGCAGAAAGGTCAGCTGGGCGCCTCAGTTTCGGAGCAGTGCGAAATACCTTATCGAATGCAAGCATGGAACCGGTCATTTGACGTCCATCGTTCAGTGTTACGCGCATGCGGTAGTTAATCTAGAGGAGTTAGATACTGCAATCGAGAACTGGAAGTAATTCGAGCCTGACTCACAAGGTTTTGCTAAATGAAACAAGTTAGCGACAGCCATTGACCGCACGAGTTTTGGGGGTGCAAATGGGGACGAGAAACTCACCATCTTGTGGGAAGCCATGTTGGCTTGGGAGCGCGCACGGATGCGACTTGAGAGACCAAATAATAGAAATCAGTAGATAGAGAAATACTTTCTACTGCGGCGGATGAAGCAAAGGTGCAAGATCCTATCAGAGATGTGAAGCTCGAGCTTGTCGGGTGCTGCCAGTTCTTGATACTGGATTACCTAAAATATGAATCAGCAGGATCCGCAACATTGATGCCTCAGGCATAAAGCGGACCGAAAGGCTTAATGACTAAGCGTTTGAATTAGGCTCATTATCTAAGCAACAATCAGGGCTTCCAAGTCACGTGTAGGAGCCCACAGTCCACACTTTCTCTTTTTCCGCGATCAATCTTGTCTCCTCAGTCGACAACCACTTCACGCCCAACCGCCGTCATGGTATGTTTAGCTCCCTGCAATCCAAATCACATATCCCCGATCGCCTGTATTGTTTCTTTCGTTCCATTTAATTTGGCCCACAACCTGGAGATTTCCGTCTTGCGCGTGCTCAATCTTCAATTCCTTCAAATATCTTTTCTTTGACTAGACATACCCTGCACAATCTGAGACTAACATAATGCAGTCCGCCCAAGTTGCTAAGGCCGAGAACCCCTGCCGATCCCTTCGCCTGTCGAAGTTGGTCCTGAACATCTCCGTCGGAGAGTCCGGTGATAGACTCACTCGTGCCGCCAAGGTGCTCGAACAGCTCTCCGGTCAGACCCCCGTCTACAGCAAGGCCCGTTACACCGTCCGTACCTTCGGTATCCGCCGTAACGAAAAGATCTCCGTCCACGTCACCATCCGTGGCGCCAAGGCCGAGGAGATCCTCGAGCGTGGCCTCAAGGTCAAGGAGTACGAGCTCCGCAAGCGCAACTTCTCTGAGACCGGTAACTTCGGATTCGGTATCAGCGAGCACATCGATCTCGGTATCAAGTACGACCCCGGCATTGGTATCTACGGCATGGACTTCTTCGTCTGCATGTGAGTTTTCCACGGGACACTGCCTTTTGCGACAATCCACCCCGGATATTAACAAAAAATAGGGACCGCCCCGGTGCCCGTGTTGCCAAGCGCCGCCGCTGCAAGTCTAAGATCGGTGTCAACCACCGCATCACCACCGCCGAGACCATGAAGTGGTACAAGACCAAGTACGATGGAATTATCCGTTAAGTCTCGAAAACTGAGATAATGGCTGGGTAGGGCCTGTGAAGTACGAGGTACTCGACAAGAACCAAAAAATTATCCCGAGTACTCGAGGAAACAAAATTTGTGGCACGGGCACCCCTCTGCCAGTCAGCGGGCCCCTTTGATCTCTGCATCCAACATGGTCTTGATTTTGTACTCCGGCAACCAGGATAGGCGTGGGAGAGACATGAATTGATTATTACCCTTTTACTGCTGCTTTTCCCTTTTCACAATGAGGCTTCACGAGAGGTGATGTTTTCCGCATAACCATTGTTGAATTGGATGGCGGGCACTGGGTCTCGACCTAGTGTCTAGCCAAGGCTCGCTTGAGAATGCCTTCTGGGCTTCGTCAAAGAGTCGGTCCCTTTCCCAGCGAGAATGTCTCGTGGTGGATTGGGTACCTTGTTCTGGCCTATCTTGTCTGTCCTTATCCTATCCTCGTAGTTGTCATTTGCCTGGCATAGAAGTAAACCGGTCGTAGCTTGTAGAGCGACAACAAGGTCCTCCGATCTCACGACGATGCCGACATGGTAACTGCCCACGCTTATGCACAACATACTGTGTGGCCGCTTGAACAACAGCTTGTCCTACAGTGTGGATAGCTCATCCACCAGAAATCGAGTTACAATGATGTGAACTGGAGACATGCAACTAAGACTTTGGTGTCTACGCCCCAGAGCCTGTTATAACCGGCGCTGCTATATCCATCAGGAAGGGTTACCGATCAGTACATAACAGCTGAAATGACATAACTTTTCATCGAGACATCTGAACTACTTCGATACCTAACAAGAATAGTCGGCCGCTTATGGCCGTAGTCTGGTGGTCTTGTCAGGTCCATGTCTTGCTTTTTTTACTGCTCTTTTTTGGTAGTTCACTCACTTGGTCCTTTTAGATGCCTGGGTATATAGATATTTTCTCCCCATATTAGTTTGTCGGGTAGATAGTAGGAAAGGGCCACATAAAAAAAAAAAAAACCAAAAATGTTCAATTTCTAAAATGGACTCTCTATATATAACCTTTTGGTGATGGTCTGTCTATATGCAAGACTGTCTCTGGAGACTCCAGTAAAGTAAGTAATACAGGATGATGCATTTAATCTATGTTGTACCTTTAATCCACCATAACAGTAATAATGAAACCTTCCCCTTACTATGAGCTAATTGTAATTTACCTCGACATTGTGTTTCATTGCCGTGATTATGATTAAATGTAGATGCCCCTAGATAACACAAACCAAAGCCAAGAGTGGTAGAATCCCTCGTCATCCACTGGCTCTAGGATCATTGGCAAATATTTGGTCCACCATTCCTCTTGAGTAGCATCATCGAAATGTTGCGGGTCGATCCTCACTCTTCGCGCCATGCAATACTCCCAATATGCGGGATACCATCCGGCCTGACCAAAGTCAATAATTGCTGCTACCTTAGAATTAAGTCCAGGAGACAGAAAAATGTTCGGTGGGACAAGATCATTGTGGGTAAAGACAATAGGCACGTCGCTGTAGATTTCAATCCCGCAGGCATCCTGGAACTGGCGAAATGGCATTTGCACCTTGAAATGGCCCAGCGAGATCTGGATGGAACTTGAGGAACGTCTCCGTTAACGGTTGCTTCCCAAAACTGCCTAGAATAGGGGTTGTGTTAGCTATGTGTGCTTATACATTGTGCCTAAGGAAACCCCAATACCGATATAACTGTTTTGCTCGCCCTGCGGTAAGGACCTCCAAGCCTTCACAATTTGCTTGAGCTCGTCACACACCGCTAGTCTCTCATTCTCATCCATACCGCTCCATCTCTTTTCTAACGTTCCAACCTCAATCAATGACATGTAAATGAATGTCTGGTCTCCATCCTCGATCCAGCCAAAGACTTCAGGGATAGGCACTTGGCCTTGCAGTTGCTCGTGAATTATCTTCTGAGTCTCAGCCTCAATGGCGGTCACATTACTCCGTTCTTGACCATCAGCCCTAGGAGCGGTATCTTAACAGGGATTGGCCGGCTGGAGCTTTTGGCAGAGACATCGTCTAATGTCTCGTTGATAGCTTGGACTTCGGTTGGCATAGGGAGGGCAAAGGCTCGTTTCTCCTTGAAGAAACTTGAATAGGGAAAAAAATTTCATTTGCTGAGAGAGGTCCTTGAAGTTGTTGGTTGGGTTTGCAATATCCACGGTCGAGATGGGACATGGAGCAGCTAGGCCAACGAGACAGGATATTGAAGCCAAGTTGGGAATATTTCTGTGAGAGAGAGAACAGGAGCAGAACGATTTAAAGTTGCCTAGTGTTTTTGTTCACCAGCAATAAGTGAAAGGAAATATCCTTCAAGATGATTACCGTCTACTAACTGAGATGAGATCATCAATCACATATCAGTCAGCCAGTTTCGACGGGGCCCCGCGCCACCTGGGGAATTAAAATGCCTCGCCGATCGATCCCTCTTAGAAGCCTCCACCTCCCAGAAGGTCACTCTCCGAGGGTAGCGGGGGCTCCAGCTCTTTCTTTCGAGGATGGAAACCAGTCAACTATGAAACTTCTATAGAAACATGAGAGTAATTAGGATCTATTTTGGATGTTGAAACCCGGATATAAATCAGATATATATGTTGTCTATGAGGTGTGGGGACCTCGGGATATGTGCAAAGGCTTTACTATAAGAGGAATAAGATGCGCATGGTCTAAGAGACAATCCCCTCCTCCCTCCCAAAAAAAAAAAAGTGCTCCATTCCTTTCCCTAATTCCTGCTTGGGTTGGGGCCGCAGCACATTGAACATAATCCCATGTAAACTCCAGCTGCTGGAACTGTACATTTTCCAAGGTTGTATGGATGTCCATGCATTGAGTAAAACCCTTATACCGCAACCACAATGTTGAATATTAGGAATATACCTTGGCTTCAAGAGTTAATCAATTAATTATTGGTACAAACCAGTCCTTTGTTCACAAAAAACCCTTCAGTTACTATATTAGAGTTAAAAGCTGAAGACCCTTATGTACTAAAAGATAGCGTAGAAACTTCCTCAGCCAGTACTTTAGACACTAATTATCGGTAAATCAATTCCCCTGTGATATATGTATACGTTCAAGGACCAAGTATCGTACGCTATCTTTATTTCATACGTATCCAAGTACCACTAGCTGTACTCAGGACATGCCTACATATACGGCGCATTCTAGTTTACATGGGATTGTGTTTTACGTGATGCGGCGCAACATCATGCGAAGGGCCGGGTATCGTGCCATTTTCTCATTGCTCGTTGCTGTCATTGACGTAAATCATAATGTGAAGTACCTAGGTACCTAGCAGCCATAAGCCTTTGTATTGCACTCTTGTAGAATGGTAAAAGGACCCGAAACCACAATGATTCCAAAATTAGCCATGACCAAGATCAGATTTACAATTTCTTGTCCGCCATCTCAATGTTCTCCGCACTATGTTTATCTTCACCTGTTTCCAAGTCCATGGTTTTGGCGTCGACAGTCTCATCAACCCCGGCCACAACACTTTCGAACCGGCGACCCCGTTTCTCAGGACCAACAGCAGCAGTGACCATAATACCGAGAGCGATGATGGCAGTGGCAACTCCCATCACAGGCCCATAAGCCTCGACACGATGGCCGGCTGCACTAGTGATAAATGTGGATTCGGCGACGGCGTTTATAATCTGCGATGATGGCGAGGAAATCATATTTCCAATCTGGTATGTCAGACCAGTGAACGAAGAACGGAATGCTGGGGGAGACAGTTCGGCCAGATGAACAGGAATCACGCCCCATGCTCCCTGAATGAAGAATTGCATGAAGAATCCTGTTGCGCTCAGAGATCTCTCGCCTTCTGGGAGGATCCATGCCGGGATGAGGACTCCAGATGAGAATGGCGGAGACGATGATTGCTCGGCGACGACCGACAAATTGAGACAGGTAGCCGATGATGGTTCCGCCCACACAGGCTCCTGTCTTCATCAGAATAGAAGCCCGCGAGGCACCATCGTTCTCAAGCTCCTTTTCAGTGAGCATGAATGTGGTGTACGAGTCTTGGGATGTGTGGGAATAGTAATTGAACTATCGCAGGACATATTAGATATATGCCGATAGGAGCCGGAATATCGGTCAAAACATACCCAGGTCATGAGAATGATACAGTAGACGCACATGCGCCACTCCTTGCCCAACATGCTTATTGTTTCACGCCAAAACTCGCCTGCCTTCATTGTTCGCTTCCCGGCTTTCTTGGCTTCGATGAAGGACTGCGACTCGGGGAAGCAGATGCGAACGAGACCAACTGCAATAGAGATACCGGCTGCGCACGACGAATCATTAGTGGTAGGCAAACGGTGTTCGATGGAATAGTAGACTCACCTGCAATCCAGAATACGGTCTTCCAAGTATCTGTTCCACCACCAACACCAAGGTTGGCACATGCTGCAAACACATATCCCATTGAATACCCCTGTTGAAGGATTCCAGACATAAGACCTCTCGCGTTGACACTGGTTCGCAAGATGATTAGCGAAAGTCAGTTAGCCATGGAGGGTAATACTCACGGGCAATGTTCCAAAGCCATCGAAATAGCATTTCCATAAACGCCACCCATGAAAAGACCAAAAAGACTTCGTACAGCCAGGAACTGCTGGAAAGTCTTACTATAAATGGTGGCAATTTGCAAAATCCCTAGAATGATCATATTGAGTACCATAGGCCATTTACGACCATATTTGTCACCAGCAAGTCCAAAGAATGCAGCTCCTACACTCCTCAGCAGCAGAGTCAGAGTAATGGCAGTCGAGATGTCTGTTTTGGATCTGCCATAGTAATCTGCCAGCTTTACTGTCTGGATGGAAAGGGCATGGAAGTCAAATGCATCGGCAGTCCAGGCAGCGAGTCCCACTATAAAGAACACCCAGTCTCGAGCTGAAAGCTGCGCCATCAGACCGAAAGGGTTCTTAATGCGCTCCGGGGATTGCCATTCTGCGTATGTCTCTCCATGTTCATTGGTCACCTCGACACGCTGCTTCCAGACGAAGAGATCTCCGATGGACTGACGTGCCGTGGCGAACATACCATCCGGAATGGGATCTGCCCTTTCATTGGAAGATGCCATGATGGCTATCTATCAGGAGAGGGGAAGAAAAATATAAAAGACAAAGAAGGCAAAAGGGCGGGAAGATAGAAGAAGAAGAAGAAGAAGAAGGAGAAGAAGAAGCAGCCAAGACAAGGCAACTAACAGAATAATCAGCTCACTTTAAACGAAGCAGCCCAGCAAATTTGATAGTAGACTTTGTGGGATTCTTCCGAGGGATCTTTGGCATATTCCTTTCAATTTCTACGTCTGCGCTCACCATTTTATAAGTGCACACCCCAGTATACCCCCGCATCTCCATCCCGCATTTTCCTCGTGATGGGAAGAACAAATGCCGCTGCACCCCAGGATGGCCCGAGTTCGGACGGGTAGAATGCCACTCGGCTGGGGAGCCAAGCAGATGCCAAGGACTCGAAAGCAGCGTACCTCCAATGCCAGGACAGCATATAAGCAACATCCCGCATTTCGCACTTTAAGGCTGGCTTGGCGTGGGGATGACCTTGGCCAGCGATCCTTACGGGCTTGGCCCAGCCGACAGAAACAAGCACCCGCAAGCCGCGTGGCGCTGTGCGTGTGGTCATTGCTCGGTTACGCCGAAAACTTGTGTTAAAAATGGGCCGATATGCATTCCAGTGGCTCCGGTTGGGGTCTTTAACGTGGGTTTAGGGCTAAGACCATCGGAATAACTTCCTTCTGGACTCGGGCTGTTAACAGTTGGCTATAACCATTGTTTTGGTCTGGGGATGTGTCCTAGATTGGGGGCCACTGGAGTTGGGATCAGCGGTTAAACAACTTTATCATGGGAAAGTAACAAAGCGAGATAGGTGCTGCTCACCTGATGACGTCCGAAGAATTGAAGCGCAATGTAATGGTTGGATGTCAGGCTCCGCTAGAGTGGATCTGGTTAAGGGGCCAGTTCCCAATTCCTAATCCTGAATTCCCGAGTTCGGAAGTCTTGGCTTTAGCCGCGAGAGGCTACGACTTGCGAATATGCACATGCACATTCCTTGCGTTCAGGGTCCGGGGTGGAGGGTCAATATCTCCATACAGGCGTCAATAGCTTGCATTTGAGAAATTCTCATTCAACATTCAAAGACTAGACGCGTGATATCCTCAGAATAGTGATAATATTTGACTTCAAAACAGCCCATCGAATACAGACAAAGAAATACCAGAGAACGTGGGTGAGAGATCAGAACCACCTACGGAGTACAGTGACTACGCATTAATCTTAACCTTGGAACACCCTTGGCCCCACACGATATTATATAATATTCTGTCGGTCAAAATATCCAACCTTGGAAGATTAGCCAGGTAGCTATGATAGCATCCATGGATGCTATGCTAAAAATTACATTTCTGACTAGAATATTATTACCTCTTAAGGCTCCTGGAATTTTTTTTTTTTTAATAAGATGCTTCAGATACTCTGGGCACCTTAAATCATAACTTGATAAGCGGTTTGGTAGGTACCTAGGTAGACCCTTGATACATGTATGGACGGTGTGAGGGTGTTAAAATTAATGCGTCCTGACTGTACTCCGTATGTGAACAACATACGTGAGAGCATACGTAGGTACGTGTTCCCCAGGGCTTGGAGTAAACATCGGCAGTATGAAGGCGGTCAGTTATCTCCATCATACCTAATAGGTAGAAGAGCTGAGTTGATAGCACTTATCTCTCAGGTTAATCTGACAAACGAGATATCAGCAAGTTTGCCACCTATATTTCACTTTGCTCTCTCTTTCTTTATCTTTCCTACATACAAACACTGCATTTGAAAGGAGCGATCTTGTAAGCCCCGTGTCACGTGATCGACCATAAGCGACACCTCAGCAACGACAGCAGCGGCCTCCTGAGGTCACTTCCGCATCTACCAGATCCCTCCCCCCCCCCCCTCTTCATACATCTTCTTCTTCTTTTCTTTTTCCTTCCTCGTGATATTCGCATTTCATCACACTTTTTCATCATACTTCAATCCTTCTGCCTTCTTTGCGTGGCGTTTCATTCGGCGGACTAGGTCGTACTGCGGCCTACGTAAATATGGCACCTCTACCTATCAAGTTCACAGAGTTGGTCAATGTACGTGGCTACCCCTCATATCCATCTCATGACTATCGAAGCTTTGAAACTGACCTGTGCCTGAATTCTACAGTTGACCTCTGTCGGCATTGCGGTATGTACAGCCAACCATGATTACCGGCGATGCTTCGTGCTTAGCTCCAGCTTTGGGACGGATGCACTGCCCGCGCATCACAATATTTTTGGGCAATTTTGAACTGGTACTAACGTTTATGTCTACAGCCGGCATCAATTGGCTTCACTTCATGTGTAAGTTGTTTACTGTCGCCTTGCGACTGACCCTCAAAACACGGTTGACAAGGCCCGGCTAACTTAACAATCTTCCGCTTTAGACACTAGAATCTGATCATTACGTCTGTGTTCGTCAAAAGCTAGACGAGGAGAGCAAACCAGAAGTCATCATTATCGACCTCAAGAACAACAATGAAGTTCTACGACGCCCGATCAACGCCGACAGTGCAATCATGCATTGGAACAAGAACATCATCGCTTTGAAGGCTCAGGGCCGTACCATTCAGATCTTCGACCTTGGCGCGCGGCAAAAGCTGAAGTCGGCGAATATGAATGAAGATATTGTCTACTGGAAGTGGTTCAGCGAAAAGTCCTCGGCCTGGTCACCGACTCAGCGGTCTACCACTGGGATGTTTACGACGCCACACAGCAGAACCCCGTCAAGGTGTTCGACCGACTTCCCAACCTTTCAGTATGTGATTTGAGACGTGGGTACGATGATTGAAGCCTAGCATGCTAATCTGCGGGTGCTCTTTAGGGGTGCCAAATTATCAATTACCGCGTCAACGCCGAGGAGAAGTGGATGGTCGTTGTCGGTATTAGCCAGCAGCAGGGCCGGGTCGTTGGATCGATGCAGCTTTACTCGAAGGAGCGCGGGATCTCTCAGTTTATCGAAGGTCACGCCGCCTCTTTCGCCAGCATTACCGTCGAGGGCTCCCCGCTACCCCACAGCCTCTTCACTTTCGCCGTTCGTACCCAAACGGGCGCCAAGCTGCAAATCGCCGAAATCGACCACCAAGAACCCAACCCTCGCTTCCAGAAGAAGGCCGTCGAGGTGTACTTCCCACAGGAGGCGGTCAATGATTTCCCCGTCGCAATGCAGGTGTCCAGCAAGTACGACGTGGTTTACCTCGTTACGAAATACGGTTTCATCCACCTTTATGATCTCGAGACTGGCACTTGTATCTTCATGAACCGCATCTCCAGCGAGACGATCTTTACCACGTCTCCGGATTCCGAGGGAGCCGGCCTGGTCGGTGTGAACCGCAAGGGCCAGGTGCTGGCCGTCAGTGTTGACGAAACCAATATTATTCAGTACCTCATGGAGAACCCCGCTATGTCTGGTCTTGCTGTCAAACTTGCCTCGAAGGCCGGCCTTCCAGGCGCGGACCACCTGTACCAGCAGCAGTTTGACTCTCTCATGGCCTCGCAGGACTACGCTGAGGCTGCCAAGATTGCCGCCAACTCTCCTCGGGGTTTCCTTCGCACTTTGGAAACCATCAACCGTTTCAAGAGCGCTCCTCAAACTGGTCAGATGTCGGTGATCTTGCAGTACTTCGGTATGCTGCTGGACAAGGGTTCGCTCAACAAGTACGAAAGTGTTGAGCTTGTCCGACCCGTCTTGCAGCAGAACCGCAAGCACTTGCTTGAGAAGTGGATGCAGGAGAAGAAGCTGGAGAGCTCGGAAGAGCTTGGTGACATTATCCGGCCATACGACATGTCCCTTGCCCTGACCGTTTATCTCCAAGCTAATGTGCCTCACAAGGTTGTTGCTGGATTCGCGGAGACTGGCCAGTTCGACAAGATTCTTGCATACTCCAAGCAAGCTGGATATCAGCCGGACTACACCCAGCTGCTTCAGCACATTGTTCGCGTAAACCCCGAGAAGGGCGCTGAGTTTGCTACTCAACTCGCCAATGAAGAAAGCGGTGCATTGGTTGACCTTGACCGTGTTGTCGACGTGTTCCTGTCGCAGAACATGATCCAGCAGGCCACCTCGTTCCTCCTGGACGCTCTGAAGGACAACAAGCCAGAGCATGGCAATCTGCAAACTCGGCTTCTGGAGATGAACCTCCACAACGCCCCGCAGGTCGCAGACGCCATCCTCGGTAACGAGATTTTCACACACTTCGACCGTCCTCGTATCGCCCAGCTTTGCGAGGGTGCCGGTCTCATCCAGCGTGCTCTGGAGAACTCCGATGATCCAGCTGTCATCAAGCGCAACATTGTTCGCACCGACAAGCTGAGCCCCGAGTGGCTGATGAGCTACTTCGGTCGTTTGTCCGTGGAGCAGACTCTCGACTGCATGGACACTATGCTGGAGACGAACATTCGCCAGAACCTCCAGTCTGTGGTCCAGATTGCCACCAAGTTCTCCGATCTTCTTGGCGCTAACCGTCTGATCGATCTTTTCGAGAAATACCGCACTGCCGAGGGTCTTTACTTCTACTTGGGAAGCATTGTCAACCTCAGCGAGGACTCTGAAGTGCACTTTAAGTACATTGAAGCTGCTACCGCCATGAACCAGGTCACCGAGGTTGAGCGTATTTGCCGTGAGAGCAACTACTACAACCCCGAGAAGGTGAAGAACTTCCTGAAGGAAGCTCGCCTGACAGAGCAGCTTCCCTTGATCATCGTTTGCGACCGTTTCAACTTTATCCACGATCTGGTCCTCTACCTCTACCAGAACCAACAGTTCAAGTCGATCGAGGTCTACGTCCAGCGCGTCAACCCTGGTCGTGCCCCTTCTGTTGTTGGCGGCTTGCTGGATGTTGACTGTGATGAGAACATCATCAAGAATCTGCTCTCAACTGTTGACCCATCCGTCATCCCCATCGACGAGCTCGTTACTGAGGTCGAGAGCCGAAACCGCCTTAAGCTGCTCCTGCCTTTCCTCGAGGCCACTCTCGCCACTGGCAACCAGCAGCAGGCAGTCTACAACGCTCTCGCGAAGATCTACATTGACAGCAACAACGACCCGGAGAAGTTCCTCAAGGAGAACGACCAATACGACACCCTCACTGTTGGAAAGTACTGTGAGAAGCGTGATCCCAACCTGGCGTACATTGCCTACAGCAAGGGTCAGAACGACCTGGAGCTCATTAGCATCACCAATGAGAACTCCATGTTCCGTGCGCAAGCTCGTTACCTCGTGGAGCGTGCCGATCCCGAGATCTGGGCCTTTGTCCTGAGCGAGAACAATGAAGGCCGGCGTTCCCTTGTGGACCAGGTCATCGCCACCGCAGTGCCCGAATCTACTGAACCTGAGAAGGTGTCTGTTGCCGTCAAGTCGTTCCTTGACGCCGACCTGCCCGGCGAACTGATTGAGCTGCTCGAGAAGATCATCCTGGAGCCCTCTCCTTTCAGTGATAACACCAGCTTGCAGAACCTCTTGATGTTGACTGCTGCCAAGGCCGACAAGAGCCGCCTGATGGACTACATTCACCAGCTCAACGACTTCTCCGCTGATGAAATTGCTGAGATGTGTATCAGCGTTGGTCTGTACGAGGAGGCCTTTGAAATCTACAAGAAGGTTAACAACTATCTGGCTGCCGTCAACGTCCTTGTGGAGAACATTGTCAGCATCGACCGAGCTCAAGAATTCGCTGAGCGTGTCGAGCTGTCCGAGGTTTGGAGCAAGGTCGCCAAGGCCCAACTCGATGGTCTCCGCGTGACTGACTCTATTGAGTCCTACATCCGTGCCGAGGACCCGTCCAACTACCACGAGGTGATTGAGACTGCAACCCATGCAGGCAAGGACGAGGATCTTGTCAAGTTCCTTCGCATGGCCCGCAAGACTCTGCGTGAGCCGGCGATTGATACTGCTCTCGCTTTCTGCTTTGCCCGCCTGGACCAGCTCGCTGAGCTCGAGGACTTCCTTCGCACTACTAATGTGGCGGATATTGAAGCTTCCGGTGACAAGGCTTATGCTGAAGGCTTCCATCACGCTGCTAAGATTTTCTTCACCAGCATCTCTAACTGGGCCAAGTTGGCGACTACCTTGGTTCACTTGGAGGACTACCAGGCTGCGGTTGAGTGTGCCCGCAAGGCCAACAGCGTCAAGGTCTGGAAGCAGGTCAACGAGGCCTGTGTTGAGAAGAAGGAATTCCGCCTTGCCCAGATTTGCGGTCTCAACCTGATTGTTCACGCCGAAGAGCTGCAGAGCCTTGTTCGCCAGTACGAGCGCAATGGTTACTTCGATGAGTTGATCGCTGTCTTGGAGGCAGGTCTTGGCCTCGAGCGGGCTCACATGGGTATGTTCACCGAGCTCGGCATTGCTCTGTCCAAGTACCACCCAGACCGTGTCATGGAGCACCTGAAGCTCTTCTGGTCCCGCATCAACATCCCCAAGATGATCCGGGCCTCGGAGGAAGCCAATCTCTGGCCGGAGTTGGTGTTCCTGTACTGCCACTACGATGAGTGGGACAACGCCGCTCTCGCCATGATGGAGCGTGCAGCCGATGCCTGGGAACACCACTCGTTCAAGGACATTGTCGTCAAGGTTGCCAACTTGGAGATCTACTACCGGGCGCTGAACTTCTACCTTCAGGAGCAGCCCCTTCTGCTCACTGACCTGCTTCAGGTTCTGACCGCTCGTATCGACGTTAACCGTGTCGTCCGTATCTTCCAGAGTTCTGACAATATCCCCCTGATCAAGCCTTTCCTGCTCAATGTACAGTCTCAGAACAAGCGGGCTGTCAACGACGCCATCAACGAGATTCTGATTGAGGAGGAGGACCACAAGCTGCTCAAGGACTCTGTCGACCAGAACGACAACTTTGATGCTGTGGCTCTCGCCCAGCGCCTTGAGAAGCACGACCTTATTTTCTTCCGCCAGATTGCGGCCAACATTTACCGCAACAACAAGCGCTGGGAGAAGTCGATCGCGCTCTCCAAGCAGGACAAGCTCTACAAAGATGCTATTGAGACCGCCGCTATCTCCGCCAAGCCTGAGGTTGTGGAGGATCTTCTCCGCTACGTAAGCTTGCTCTATCTGTCATTGCTCGAGACTTTACTAATTGCAACTAGTTCGTCGATATCGGTAGCCGCGAGTGCTACGTTGGCATGCTGTATGCCTGCTACGACCTCATCCGCCCGGACGTCATCATGGAGATCTCATGGCGCAAGGGTCTTAACGACTTCACTATGCCCTTCATGATCAACTTCCTCTGCGAGCAGACCCGAACGATTGAGATGCTCAAGAAGGACAACGAGGAGCGCAAGAACCGCGAGAAGACAACCCGCACAGAGGAGGACAACGGTCCCATCTTGCAGGGCTCGCGGCTCATGCTGACTCAGGGCCCCTCAGTCCAACGGCGCCGGTCTCACACCCCAGGCAACTGGGTATCGTGCATTCTAGAACCGTGCACCGTCTTTGCTTTTGATTCTCCGTTTCTTTTGCATTTGTAACATACAGCGGAAGCGATGCCTTGAGGTTGCAAAAGGAACGATTTCATATGGGGGATGGTTACGCCAAGAGCGTGCCATAGGAGGGGAGGAACTCATGACAACCCATTAATCTTGCTTTCTGATATTTTTTTATTTTTCCTTCGCCCGCATGTATTTGATAAGCTTGCGTTTCTTTTCTATGCTTTTAACAGTCTGGGCCAAGGCCCGATATTCAGTAATAGCATTGCAATTTCCCTAGTTTCTTTTTAGTCTCACCGCAGTAACCTCAATTATTCCCTGTTTTTCCACAATTCCGAGGCTGCCAAGGGTTTGCCCAGGCGGATCCATTCGAGCATAAGGGTCTTCGGTGAAGAATGTAGTATCGCCAAGACGCCAAGGGAAATCATCTGCAACTTATGTATCTGTCCCCATGAGATTGCAGGTGAGTCTTCCTGCAGATCACTCACTGCCTTATCAGCTTGTAGCTTTGCCCATGAGGTGCGGTGGTAGGCATTGGTGGTGTCTCAGGTTTTATGTCTACGGGGGGGCTATGAGATGCTACTAGTAGTGTATCCCGTCCCCACACTCCACCTCGGTTCGAACAAGCATAATTTACGTTTCTTTTTTTAGCCCCTGAGCTATGAAAATATGAAACTATTGAGGTATACAGTGTACAACACAGGGTTTCATAGCGCCGACGAGCTCCTGCCGACCTCCTCTCGGCCCGGGCAGATGGAAATGCTCGAATTACACGGGGGGAAACTTGGCACCGCGGGGAAGAATCACGCAGCAAGGGTTACTGGCGGAAAGAAGGGGGGTTGGATTTCTCCGTCGGGGATGCGAGATTGCAGAAGGTGCGACCATAAGACCTCAGGGGCTGATGCTGACGAGTTGAGTTCATGTCAACGGCTCGGAGCAACTAACAAGGTTGGGGGCTGGAGATGGACAAGTGTTTCGAGCAGTGATCTTCCGACGGGAGTGCGAGTGGATGCCGGTGGGTGTCGGTGGATGTGAGTCCATGCAGAAGTGTAACCAAAAGAGACCGGGGACTGATCCTGATGCTGAATGAGTGTATGTCAATGGCTCGGGGGAACTTCCAGGGTTGGATGCTGATGGTAGATAAGCGCATCGAGGTGTGATTGCACGGCTCGCACATCATTCAATGCAGAAACCTAAAGCAGAAGCCTATCAGCCAAGAACAAGGGCGTTGCGAGTATCCCTGGGCGCTGCAAGAATAAGTAGACAATGGTAAGGAGTGGTAAGGAGTAAATCAGGTTCCATTCTCCATTCTCCCGGCTTATGGCGCTAACAATATTCCAATGGAATATGGAATAGTTTCGGGGTGTATAGAGCACCTTGGCACCTTGGGGAATTCCAATGCATGTCTCGTTTTTGCGTCAGAACTATTCTGTATGTTGTACTCCGCACCGAATAGCTGTCATACAAGCGGGAGATCCCCGCGGAATGCCAAGTGGGAGACTAGAAGATTTGAAATTGGGGGAGGAGAGGCGCTTAATAGTGGGAAGACAAATCAAATAGCGTCATGGGGTCCTCTATCGGCCCCTTTAATGGTTCTAGTGGACGCATGACCGATCAAAGATTTTAATGATTTTAACCCTTTTAGTGGAAATAGTCCGGATAAATATGAGTCAGATCGGACCCCCCAACCGAGCTACCTTGGGCACATCGTGGTCGATATCGGCTCGGTCACTTCTTCCCCGAATGGGGAATGAAATAGAGGAGCCCTGGAGGACCTTGAAAATCGAATTGACCCGATCCACTTTTCGCCTTGCACATGTTGTCGAGAGTTCTCCGAGTCTCCCCCGGACTTTTCCCTTCTCTCTAAGTTCCCCGTGAATATCCGTGGAGTTACGAATTCAAGGCTTTATATTGTTCCTGGACATTGACGTTGGTTCCCGAGGGCCCGAGGTAGATTAACGGAATCACTTACCTAAACCACCCGAAGGTTATCGTGCGAGAGTATGGGGGGGAGTTCTCCATAGGGAAATAATAGGAGGAGGAATATAGTACGGAGTAGAGCTACTAGCGTTAGTACTCCGTATATGCCAGGTGGAGGAGTACAAAAAAACCCCCCGCATGGATTTCGTTATTTTTTTAGCAAATTACATTATTTCTTGAATTGGATAATTGGGATAATTCCTATTTTATTCTATTTTATTCCATTATTATTTCGATTTGATCATTTCCCAGATTTCTAGGCATTCTCGGTGTACCGGTGAACCTGTATGTACTTGTTACCTCATTCCTGGAGTCAATCGTCTCGCCCCGGAAAGTATCTGTGACATGTAGATCTTGTGATTCCCCTCTTTATCTAACCCCCTCTCCCCCCATTCTACTTCTTTTTTTCTTCTATTTTCTGTCTGTCTTTCTATTTCATCCTTTATTTACCAATTCTATTCAATTTCTACTGTACAGCTCCTGTTGCTTATACTGAGAAACAGTGCGAGCGATTGTGCAGTGATCTGCCGAAACCGGCCTGAGATTGGAACCGGATAGCTCCCCAGCTTCTTTACAGTGAGTCACCGCCTGTGCTTTCTGCTTTCTGCTTTCCAAGAGACTCGAGAGGGGAACATCCACCTAATCCAATCCTCTCTAGTACACCCCTCGTAACCTATCTCTCATCCCACATATCCCTTCACAATGGCTGCCCCGCACCGTCAGCCGGAGGATGCCATTGATGAGTCCGACTTCATCGAGGATCACAATGAGCACCACCAGGACTCAGTCCACCGTCGTCTGCGGGCCAATTCGACTATTATGCACTTCCAAAAGATCTTGGTCGCCAACCGTGGTGAAATTCCCATCCGTATCTTCCGTACCGCACACGAACTGTCCCTCCAGACGGTCGCAGTCTTCTCACACGAAGATCGTCTCTCAATGCACCGCCAAAAGGCTGATGAGGCCTACATGATCGGCCACCGTGGCCAATATACCCCCGTGGGTGCCTATCTGGCCGGTGATGAGATTATCAAGATCGCCCAGGAGCACGGCGTCCACCTGATCCACCCCGGTTACGGATTCCTTTCGGAGAACGCCGACTTCGCTCGGAAGGTCGAGAAGGCTGGAATTGTCTTCGTCGGTCCTACTGCTGAGACCATCGATGCCCTTGGTGACAAGGTTTCTGCCCGTACCGCTGCTATCAAGTGCAATGTCCCCGTCGTCCCTGGAACCCCGGGCCCCGTCGAGCGCTTTGAAGAGGTGAAGTCCTTCACTGATGAATTCGGCTTCCCCATCATTATTAAGGCTGCCTTTGGCGGTGGTGGCCGTGGTATGCGTGTTGTCCGTGACCAGGCCGAGCTGCGTGACTCTTTCGAGCGTGCTACCTCTGAGGCCCGTACCGCCTTCGGTAACGGTACTGTCTTCGTCGAGCGTTTCCTTGACCAGCCTAAGCACATCGAGGTTCAGCTTCTCGGTGATAACCAGGGCAACGTTGTCCACCTCTTTGAGCGTGATTGCTCCGTTCAGCGTCGCCACCAGAAGGTCGTTGAGATCGCTCCTGCCAAGGACCTTCCCACCGATGTTCGTGATAGGATCTTGGCCGATGCCGTGAAGCTGGCCAAGTCAGTCCGCTACCGCAACGCTGGTACCGCTGAGTTCCTTGTCTGTGGCAACGAGCACTACTTCATCGAGATCAACCCCAGAATTCAAGTCGAGCACACTATCACCGAGGAAATCACCGGTATCGATATTGTCGCCGCTCAGATCCAGATTGCTGCGGGTGCAACCCTTGAACAACTTGGCCTTACCCAGGACCGCATCTCTACTCGCGGTTTCGCCATTCAGTGCCGTATCACTACTGAGGATCCCGCCAAGGGCTTCTCCCCGACACTGGTAAGATCGAGGTCTACCGCTCTGCGGGTGGCAATGGTGTCCGTCTGGATGGTGGTAACGGCTTTGCTGGTGCCATCATTACTCCTCACTACGACTCTATGCTTGTCAAGTGCACTTGCCGTGGCTCAACCTACGAGATTGTCCGCCGTAAGATGCTGCGTGCTCTGGTTGAGTTCCGTATTCGTGGTGTCAAGACCAACATTCCTTTCCTTGCTTCGCTTCTGAGCCACCCCACATTCATCGATGGTACTTGCTGGACTACATTCATTGATGACACGCCCGAGCTGTTTGCCCTCGTCGGCAGCCAGAACCGTGCCCAGAAGCTGCTCGCTTACCTGGGTGACGTTGCTGTCAACGGCAGCAGCATCAAGGGCCAGATCGGTGAGCCCAAGTTCAAGGGCGAGATTATCAAGCCCATCCTCAAGGATGCTGCGGGCAAGCCCATTGACATCTCCGCGCCCTGCACTACCGGTTGGAAGCAGATCTTGGACAGCCAAGGCCCCGAGGCCTTCGCTCGCGCTGTGCGTGCCAACAAGGGCTGCTTGATCATGGACACCACCTGGCGTGATGCCCACCAGTCCTTGCTTGCTACCCGTGTGCGAACCATTGATATGCTGAACATCGCTACCGAGACCAGCCACGCATTGAGCAACGCTTACTCGCTCGAGTGCTGGGGTGGAGCCACCTTCGATGTGGCTATGCGCTTCCTCTATGAGGATCCTTGGGACAGACTTCGCAAGATGCGCAAGGCCGTCCCCAACATTCCCTTCCAGATGCTGCTGCGTGGCGCCAACGGTGTTGCCTACTCTTCCCTTCCTGATAACGCCATTTACCACTTCTGTAAGCAGGCCAAGAAGTACGGTGTCGATATCTTCCGTGTCTTCGATGCCCTGAACGATCTTGACCAGCTCGAGGTCGGTATCAAGGCTGTCCACGAAGCTGGTGGTGTCGTTGAGGCCACCATGTGCTACAGTGGTGATATGCTGAACCCCAAGAAGAAGTACAGCTTGGAGTACTACCTGGGTCTGGTTGACAAGATTGTCAAGATGGGTCCCCACGTTCTTGGAATCAAGGATATGGCTGGTGTGCTCAAGCCCCAGGCTGCCCGTCTGCTGGTCGGCTCCATCCGCGAGCGCTACCCCGACCTCCCCATCCACGTTCACACCCACGACTCCGCCGGAACCGGTGTCGCCTCCATGATTGCTTGTGCCGAAGCCGGTGCTGATGCCGTGGATGCCGCTACCGACAGTCTGTCCGGTATGACCTCTCAGCCCAGCATTGGTGCCCTCCTTTCTTCGCTGCAGGGTACCGAGCACGACCCCAAGCTGGACCTGTCCCAAGTTCGCGCCCTTGACACCTACTGGGCTCAGCTTCGTCTGCTCTACTCCCCCTTCGAGGCTGGTCTCACCGGCCCCGACCCCGAGGTCTATGAGCACGAGATCCCCGGTGGCCAGCTGACCAACCTGATCTTCCAGGCCAGCCAGCTGGGTCTCGGACAGCAGTGGGCTGAGACCAAGAAGGCGTACGAGGTGGCCAACGAGTTGCTGGGCGATATCGTCAAGGTTACCCCCTCCTCCAAGGTTTGCGGTGACTTCGCCTCCTGGATTGTCAGCAACAAGCTGTCTGCCCAGGACGTGCTCGACCGTGCCGATCAACTCGACTTCCCTGGATCAGTCCTGGAGTTCTTCGAGGGTCTGATGGGTCAGCCCTACGGTGGCTTCCCCGAGCCTCTGCGTACCAAGGCCCTCCGCGGCCGTCGCAAGCTCGACAAGCGCCCCGGTCTGTACCTGGAGCCCATGGACCTCGTCAAGATCAAGAACGACATCCGCGAGAAGTTCGGTGCCGCCACTGAGTGCGATGTCGCTAGTTACGCCATGTACCCCAAGGTGTTCGAGGAATACCGCAAGTTCGTGGCCAAGTTCGGTGATCTGTCCGTTCTGCCTACTCGCTACTTCCTTGCCCGCCCCGAGATCGGCGAGGAGTTCCACGTCGAGCTGGAGAAGGGTAAGGTCCTGATCCTGAAGTTGCTCGCTATCGGTCCTCTCTCCGAGCAGACCGGCCAGCGTGAGGTCTTCTACGAGGTCAACGGTGAAGTCCGCCAGGTCAGTGTCGATGACAACAAGGCCTCGATCGAGAACCTTGCCCGTGCCAAGGCCGACCCCACGGACAGCAGCCAGGTCGGCGCTCCCATGAGCGGTGTCGTGGTTGAGATCCGCATTCACGATGGCCACGAGGTCAAGAAGGGTGATCCTATTGCTGTGCTGAGCGCCATGAAGATGGTATGTTATTATATCTTGTTTCCTATTACAGACCATGAATGTGTTGCTAACTCTCATATAGGAAATGGTGATCTCCGCCCCGCACAGCGGAAAGGTGTCCAGCCTCCAGGTCAAGGGAGGGCGACTCCGTCGATGGCCAGGACCTGGTCTGCAGGATCAGCAAGGCGTAAAAGCATAGTGACTCTGTACTACCGAACCATGCACGATCTGTGATGCGTGATGTGATTAAATGATTTCCCAGCGTTTTTAGTTCTTGATGTTTTTCCAGTTCATCTCTGGATTCAGGCAATTTGTTGCTCTAGCTTATTCGAAATCGAACAGTATTTCTTTCGTTCAAAGGATGTGAAGTCAATAGTACATTCGCTCACAAATCTCCAGTTTTCTGTACAAACTGCTGATCCCATCGGGGCCAAATGTAGCTCCGAACTTCTGCTGTTCTCCCCGCAAAGGACTTCATCCTTCTCCAACTGCCGATGACCAATGGTCAATGGAGAATTGCCGAGCTCCTTGTCTCTCACCAATAAAACCCAATCGCCTCGTTATCTCGGCTACTAAGTGTCCACAAACTGCGGAATGAAGTGCGCGAGAGATACCGTCTTAAAGGGCGTGGTCCCCGGACTGGGGCTACTTACTTTACTATAACATACTTGAATACCACCTCAGAATAGCGACGTGTCTGATATTATCTACTGTGTCACCTAGGACCTACGTATATACTCCACTAACCCAGATCAACCACCAACACAACGGAAGCCAAATATGGAAACAACCCGCCGTCCTCACCTTAAATCCCTCGCCCACCGCGGAACAATCCAGGGCGTAACAATCTCAACGTTGTCTTCCCTCACCAGCCATGCCAAAGACCTCTGCCACTACTTCGGCGGCGTCCGCTACGGCCTTGCCCCCGCCGAGCGCTGGCGCCGCGCCCAGCCCTTATCTGCGTCCTTCAGCTATGGGAGCGAAGAAGCACCGGGCCGCTGTGATGGGGGAGCAGGGCTTTGTCCCCAACCGGGATTTCTGAATATCACGCCAGAGAATCCAGATGTATGGGACGAGGACTGCTTTCAGTGTAATGTTTGGACGCCTATCGGAGAGGTGCCCGAGGGGGGATGGCCTGTTTTTGTTTTTATTCGTGAGTATTGTCTGTTGAATCTAGGATATATGGTATTCGGACCATGAATGTGGTAATACATCCCATATAAACCGTGCTGACAGGCATTTCTCGGTGCAGATGGGGGATGGCTTCAATTCGGCACACCCAATTCATTCAATCCAGCTGCACTGATCGGCGAGGCAGATTTCAACTGCGTGGTTGTGATGCCTGCGTACCGGGTCAACTTATTCGGATTCCTTTACTCAACCGAACTGGAGGAGGACGCAGCGACTGCCGGGGAGACAGTTGGGAACCACGGGTTCTGGGACCAGAGACTAGCACTCGAGTGGACGAAGGAGAACATCCAACTATTCGGCGGCAATCCGGAGACCATCACGATCTCAGGATATTCCGCAGGCGCCAACTCCGTCTTCCACCAACTAGCCTACGACCTCCGCCAACCAGACGAGAACTCCCTCATCCGCCAAGCCTGCATCTGGTCAAACAGCCCAGCCGTCCAACCCAAGCAGCCAACCGAAACCCAAACCCAATTCAACCAACTCCTAACAGCCCTCGACATCCCGCTCACCCTGCCAAATAGCGAGAAACTTACCCGACTACGTTCAATTCCGGCAAAAACCCTCCTCGACAAAGCAAAAACAATCCCCCTCCACCAATTCCGCCCAACAACAGACACATCCTTCATCTCCCCATCCCTCTTCACAGGCCTCGACAGCGGCGCCTTCGCACGCAGTCTCCTAGCCCGCAATATCCGCATCATAATAGGCGAATGTTGCGATGAGCGCTTCCTGTACAGTACATGGTTCCCGCCGACGGAAAACACCCTCTCCGCGCTGCGCACCCGTCTCGTCGCAGATTACCCAGAACATATCGTCGACGCCGTCATACCATTGTATTACCCTAACGGCTCTCTACCGACGCACTGCGAAAACTGGGACCAGGACGCGTGGGGGAGGATCTACGCTGATATGCAGGTACATCGGATGCAGCGCGGACTTGTGTATGCGTTGACGGAGAATAAGGGCGGGGTTAATGCTTCGGCGTTACTGTTTCGGTATCGGGTTGAGTGGAGGGCGGAGTGTGTGGAGGTGGCTTTGCCGATTGAGTGGGGGGTTACGCATTCGTCGGACTATCCGGTTTGGTTCTTTGGGAATGGGGGGTTGTTGGGGGAGGGGGAGAAGGAGGTTGTGATGGAGGGATTTGTTGGTCCGTTAGGGAGGTTTGTCCGTGGGGAGAAGGAGTTTGGATGGGGGACTTCTGGGGTTAGGGAGGTTAGGACGCTGAGGGAAGATGGGAGTGTTGAGATTGTGGAGGATGGGGATTGGGAGGAGGGTGTTAGGGTTTGGAAGGTGTTGAGGGATGCTGATGGGAGGTTGGAATAGGTTATAGCACATGCATATGTACATAGGTATAGTATAAGTATAGATTATAGTAACACTATAGCTTCACGATATGTTTTATATGCCAAGCTTTCCCCGCATTCTAATTACGTCAAGGCTGTCTGGGGTACATCAGACTACCTGTGTAGTACATCCTGGTCATAGTTAATAGCAATATGATCATAGTACATACTCAAAAGGGATATAAGTACATTATAGTACTACAGCTGGTACAGGAAATACAAGGAACACAGGAACTAGGCCTTTCTAGATCCCCAAGACGGTGATTCACCACATGTAGCGCAGTAATTGGTCTTATAAGCCATCTTCCGCCCTCTTTGCCTTTCATTCTCTTTATTATTTCAATTCCACTAATCCAAGCTAATATTGGAGAAAACCATTAAGGTATGTTTCCATTTCATTTCTCGTTTTAGATTCCATCCCCAAGAGGCAACCCGAACAGGATGACGTCGTCGACTCCCTACCCTGAAAACGATATCTCCTAGTTATTATTTCCTGCTATCATTAACATCCTATACTTTATCTCATTCTCACTGAATCCCCCCTAAAAAAACTAGAACCATCACCGATTACTCCAACTGACTAGACATATCCAATATGTCCAACGACAATACCCGCCGCCACTGGCACGGAACCCCCGGCGACCGCCACGAGCACCTCAATGTCTGGATGAATGGCGGTGCCAAGAGTCCCAGTGGCCGCGCTGCCTGGGCGATGCCTATTCCAGATACCAGAAGAGTATGTCATTTGCCTCTTTCGATTCCTTCTCATCTATCATTCCCTCTACATCACTACTTCACTACGTCATACTACTCTAGACTATCTATCCATATCCATTTGTCCATCTATACATCTCCAAAGCAAACCTAACACTTAAAATGAAGGACTCCAATACCTCCACCTCCTCGAAACGGAAGCAAACGAGTCGAAGACGCCTTGCCTAACGCCCCAGGCATGGGTGAGCGTCGCAGCAGCTCCGTCGACTCTTCCAGCGGCCTATTCTCGAACCTGACTACCCAGAAGCGTGGTTCTACAAACGCGGATATGGCTACCCGTCGCGCGAGCTGGAATGAACAGGCTGCTAACCGGGGCATCTTCGCGAAATGGTGGGACGGATACACCCGGGGAAGTGGTAGCAAGTAGTTTGATTCGGTCTTATTGTTCTGGATCTTCTGTGTGCTTGGGCATTTGTACATTCGATACTCGGGTTTGTTCTGGGGATGGAAATTGGAAAACATGAAAAAGAAAAACAAGGAATATTGGGGTTGGGTCTTTTCTTGTTTTAGTTTGGTGTTTTTATGAGCTTTGATGAATTTTATGAGCATTTCTTATTTCATTTCTTTCATTGAGAGTTCTCTTGTCTTCTTCTCGGTGACCGGTTGATGTCTTTGCCTTTTGCAAGTTTAACATATCATTCAGCAATGTCCGACACTGTCCTTATAACTGGAACCAAACAACTACTCTCATTGTATATGCAAAAAGAAATACCATGGTATTGAACTGGGAGTCCCAAAGCCCAAGGGGCACGATTTCACCCCATAGTTGTCTCCCAACCTTTCTCAATCATAACATCAACCCAATAAGCATCATCATCCCCACTATCCAACCTCCTCCATACCTCATTGACCAATTTCAAGCATACATGAATCGGTTTCGGCGGCAGAACATGCAGAAAGGACGTTAGACGACCGAGGATGAACTTGCGCGTGCGCGAGACTTCAATAGCCTCCATTGAGATGGTAGGTGTTTGGTTTGGGTTGTTATTATCGTTGTCGTCACCTGCTGAACAATCTTCACCATTCTGGGTTTCTGCGTCTGCGTTTGTGGCTAGACGTGGGAGACGGAGCTCTGAGCACGATGCTACCAGGAGGAATGGTTGAAGGCAGCGGGTGCGTGATTCGAGGGGTATGGTCTTTAGCCGGGAGAGGGTTGTCACGGCAAACTCGGTGAGCCAGTTGTTGTATAGCGTTTCTGGGGTAGATGTTTGTTGGGTGTCTGGTGATGGCGGGGATGGTAAATTGTGAGGAAAATTGCGGTAGAGATTGTGAGTGGAAGGTCTTGTACTTGGAGAAGGGGCGTTGGGTCGAGAATTGGTATTTCGTCCTGCTGCTGAACTGGGGTCGGCGAATTCAGCTGACAGGTTCATGCTGTCAAGGTCGATCGGGAAGAATGGGTCGCGGGATGCTGGATCGGTGTTGCTAGGGTATTGGGATGTTGCGGATGTTGCGGCCGGCAGGCGGTTGTGCAGTAGGTCTGGGAAGACACGGTATAGCTGCATGAGGCCAACGCATCGATATGCTTCGGCCATAGTGAGGAGGTGCCATACCGGAGTATCGTCGTCACCAGGACTGACGATCTCGGCCTCGGACGGATGGGCGAGGCCCAAGAGGCGTTCTTCTAGTTCACGGGCTTTCTCGATCGCTAACTGTGCACGGGCGATATCATCTTGGGAGGTGAATCGCCTTGAGTGAATGCGTTTTCGCTCGCGGCGGATGAGTTGCCCGACCTCGTGCACGGTGAACTGAGTGTCGCGCGCGATGCCGGTCCACGGGTGTGGGACTCGTTGTAGGACGAAGGTCTCGCCCATAGATGAAGCGGTTCGTAAATTGTCAGATAGGACCATGGTGTCATTATCTGCGACAAAAGAAAGCAGCATCTCCCAGTAGATGAGAGCTTCTTCGAAGAAACGGTAGTTATTGTTGTCAGTTTTGGGAAAGCTGAAGCCAGAGGTTTGTGATGATGAAGATATAGTATTCAGCTGTTTGCGGAGCAGGTTGAAAAATGATATACCTAAGTCACTTGGGTCGTGCCAGCTAGCTGTCTGTCCGAGCATTAGCAGCGCTAACAAAGACTTGTCATCTATTACTGCTTCGCGCGTGATTATCTCAACAGCTTCATCACGCATCCTTCGGCCCATGTGGCCGAACTGAGGAAATTCGGTGACCAGCGTTGCAGCAGCCATGCTTTGCATTGTCCGGCACATTGCCAGTGAAGATCCCCAAAGACGGGACACCGTGGTTCGGAATGGGTTCATTTGGCTGTCGTAGCTAGAGAACAATGCTGCCACTTCCTTGAAATAGTACTCAATCAAGGTCCATGATGGATTATTCAGTGGACGAGACATTGACATGAAGTTATGTGGTGCAGGGCGATGTGTTGCAGGAGGATAACTGCGCACAATGGCCGAAGGCGAGAAGTCTCGGTAAACATTGTCAATCTGTTCCTCACTTGTTGTTGATCCGATAAGTGACAGAAATTGCGATAGTTCTGCACTGATATCTTCAGACTGTTGAAAGCCATGGAAGGTGTCTCGTTGGTGTGTAAAAGATGAGGATGCCGCCGCCATCGGGGACGGTGAGCATAGATCGGTCAGTTCTGGCAAAGACCCATGGCCCGCAGGCTCCCACAGATTGTCACATAGAGCAGTTCGGTCATCTAAGGCAAAATTTGATGGAGCTGGTTCATGAGTCTCAAAAGTTGAATCATCTGGCAAATCATCGTCGATTTGGTTTGCCGGCTGGCCAGGAGCAGTCGAGCCAGAAGCCGCGGGATTCGGGCTTCTCACCTCCGAGATCGATGACGGTACGGCGGGACTAGACTGCTCATACTTGGTAACCCAGCGCAGAGATTGTGCATAGCCAGGGCACCGAACGCCTAGGCGGGTACAGCGATTGCAGTGAGGTTTCTCCTCGCCGCATTTGACCTGTGTTTGTTAGCGATATCCGATTTTCTGGGAAACGGGAAAGACAAACTCGTTTACTCTTGCATCTTGCACAGCCATTTCTAGACTTCTTAACGCGGCGCATTATAAAACATAGAGAATATAAATCTGAGAAGATCCGACAACATTCAAGTTGCGGAGTATTGGGGGGGAAAGCCGTGCGGGGAGAGAAAATCGACCTTATCAAGATAAACGGGATTCTTTTGCCTCTTTTGGCAAGTAACACGAGGGCAACGATATCTGGCTTGATGACTATATACTACATGAAGAACTATTTCAAGTATCTAGAGAGTATACATGTACAATAGAAATAAGTTAAACCTCTATTGCTTCGACCTTCCAAGGTGTCCAGGTGGGGAAAATATTCATGCTGACTCAGCTATGGCCTTTCCCGGCTTTGTGCTTGGTAATTGAGATCTACACCTGAACAGGACTCGAACATGGTATATCTAGTGCGCAACAAGGTAAGTAGATGTCCAAACGAGCATTTTTATTAGTCTAACATTGAGATAGGCAATCTCAAAAGGGACCTTTTCAGAGACTTGCGACTTTCAAGCCTGTGGTGATCCCGGCTAACGGCCTGGTATCAATCTCAAGTCTCCATACAAATCCAATTGGAAGGCCCCAATTGCAGAAGAATTCCTGCGCAAGTACCTCTGTTCGCGGATTTCGCTCAATTCCCATCACAATGGCAGCATCCTCCGAACTCAAGCAGACTTTGACACCATCCCTCCTTGATGAAGTGCACAAGTTGTGGTTCGATCATCTGAGCAGCGAGGAGGCACTTATCTTACCCGGATGGAGCGAAATGGGGAAGTGGTTTTCTCGCGACGAGGCTTTTGACAAGGCCTGCGTGTGAGTGACGATTCGTCTCTTTATTTAGATGCCAAAATGGGAGACTAACGAGCCCAAACAGCAACCAATTCCGCCCTGCCCTGGAAAAGATAGTTGGCTCCGGAGCATCAGCTTCAGACATCCTATCTGCGGTTAGCCCGTCCTCGCCCATGGATTGGCTCAGCATTATTATTCTACTTGATCAGATTCCCCGCAATTGCTACCGAGGAGCCGAGTCGAAGCTAGTATTTGGACGCTTTGACCCACTGGCCGAGGAGATCGCCCTTCGAGCAATTGAAGAAGGGATACCTACCCAGTCGCCGTATTTCAAGTATCGCATGGCTTATCGCACTTGGTTCCATATGCCCCTTATGCATTCGGAAGACTTGGCTGTGCATGAGCAAGCCGTCAAGGTGCACGAGGGTACAGCCAGAGATGTGAATGAACTTCTGGCTAGGGACGCATCGACTCTTACGGAAGAGGAAAGAAAATGCCACAGCGTTCTAACCGAGAAGGCGGAGGCACTCCAGGCATTCTTGAGCAATACTTTTGACTTTGAGAAGAGGCACAAAGTGATTATTGAGCGATTTGGACGATACCCGCATCGGAACCAAGCACTGGGGAGACCGTCTACCCCAGAGGAAATCGAATATCTGAAAAATGGCGGGGAGACATTTGCGTGAAGCCAAACCGAGCTTGTATGTACTCGCGAGTATACACATACCTACATAGGCAATTATAGTGTACAGTATTGATCTACGGAAGAGTCAGCCTTAGCAGACAAAAACGTCGAATTATTATTTGGCAATAGAAATTGCCACCCTACATTCCGATGAACGATGTGGAATTCCATCCCGAAGCAGTAGGTGAGCGCATGCCCTTTCACCCTTCATCCCTTGATAGCTCGTCTGACCCCTTTCCTGTTTAGTTGGAAGCCACATACCTGGATCTATCCGTCCAAGCGATGTTGAAGTATACATAGAAAAGGAAATTAAACCTCAAGCCGGTTTCAGATAGTGAATGAACATGTACCGCATCTGTTTCTCGTTCCCTAGGTGGAATTTGATTGCTAAGATGGGGTTGCTTTTCTTCATCTTCTTGATCAACAGGTCTCCCTGAACACAAGACGCACGAAGAAAAATCGCAGTTGAACCCTCGTTACTTCTATATAACTTCTGTCTACTGGAAGAGTACTTGCATTCGAGAACGGGTGACTTGAAGGCGACAATGTGCAATTTGGTCTTTCCAGCTCTTTTCCATTCGTTATGATCATCTCACGCCAATCCTCCATTAGACCCTTCATCGTCTCACTTTTGGTTGTCTCAGTGACATCGTCCAAAGTGCTTCACCTTCTCCAACATGCATCTTCTCTCCCCGGCAGTCAATTTGCGCTCTATTTACCGACGTTCTTCGTCTTTGAGGCACTTCTATGCGTAGCTGTGTGGGGGTTGTTATTCAAATTTACCGGCGTAAAGTCCCTTTTGGGTACTGTGCTGGCAGTGGCTGTAACGTGAGTACTCAAATATCCTTTTCCTTGGCAGAGTCAATGGCTCAGATCGAGATCTTAACTGTTACAGATCTCTGAGCTTCATCTTATCTGCATCTCAGCTTGGTTTCTATTTTGTGACTGGCAGTGAGATCCGCTGGGATGCAGCCACAGCTGTGGGAAATGACCCAGAAGGGAGAAAGCTGATGCTCAGCGGGCTGAGATCGTTTTTGGGAGCTGCGAGTGCCCTTCTTCTGATCTCATGGATACTCAAATATTGGCTATATGCTCTCATAGACCATTGGATGTCTGCGCTCTTTAGCGCGCAAACCGAGAAGACAGACGAAGAAGGCATTCTGATCAGTCCTCAAAAACAGTCGCGGGAAGCACGACTCACTCAATTTTGGACAATATGCGCCGCGCTAGTCATTGGATTATTGCGCTTGACTCGGCCGCAGGTGCCTTATAACCATATGTCTCAAACTATACCATTCAGCTTTTTCCAGGCTTTGGGATCGAGACCTGCCGAGCTGCATCAGACTGGAGATCAATCATTTCCACTCCCTGACTTGATTGACGAGCCATACTGGGAAGGCCCACACGATCACTTCAAGGGTTGGACTCCCGGAAAGCCAGACTCAAACACCAAAAAGAATCAACCTGCATGGGCGTCCGGGGATTTACCACCAGGGTTCAAGCGGTGGAGCGAGGGAGAGTCTGGCAGAGACGAAGAAGAGACCGCTACTCCGAAAGGAAACGGGACTTCTCGAAATAACATTTATAGCCCTATGGACGACCCTCTTCGAATCACGAACCTCGACCGTGAAATCCTTGAGCCCATAGCTCGGGCTCTTAAGAAACATAAAGTCCCCATCACACATGTCGTGCTTGTATTGATGGAAAGTGCTCGGAAGGACATATTTCCCTTCAAGGCGGGCTCACATTTGCACGAGCGGATCCTGTCGTCCTACAATACCCACGACCCCGAAGTACTGCGAATGGTCAACGCCAAGTTATCAAATTTGACACCAAACGCAGAGAAGTTGACCGGTGAGGCGAGTGGATTTACGAGAAATAACAATATTTCCAGCCCCGCTGGTGGATGGAATGACCCGACAGAACCAGGAATGGGCGGCATCAATGTCAATGGCATCCTCACTGGTAGCAGTCTATCGTTCAAAAGCGCTGTTATGAACTACTGCGGTGCGGGACCACTGCCGGCGAACTTCATGGATGAGGTCAACTCCCAGAATTACCAGCCGTGTATCATGCAGATCCTTGAATTGTTCAACCAACTCAAGGACTCGACTGAGAAGGGTACAGTGAAGCATAAATTTGGGACTGGACTTGAGCATATCCATGATCGAAACTGGAGCTCTGTGTTCTTGCAGTCCATCACAGGGCAGTACGACGAGCAAGATAAGCTCAACAAGCAGATGGGGTTTCAAAAATCCATCTACAGCGAAGACATTGAGAAGCAGAGTGCCAAATATTACCACGAAAACATGGAGGAGATCAATTACTTTGGGTAAGCATATCATTCTACCGACGGAGGACTATCTTGGACCATCCGCGCTTCAGTTGCTAATACATTACCTAGATACCCGGAGTACGAGATATACCCTTACCTGCAAGATGTGGTCAACAAGACAATCGAGAACAATGAACGGCTCTTCCTATCTCATTTCACGAGCACAACCCATCACCCGTGGGGCACGCCCGCGACATACCAGGAAGAGCAATACTTTGCGGGAGACGGTCTTATGGCGAAGCACGAGGACATCAATAAATATCTGAACGCAGTCCGATACGTTGACACATGGCTTGGGGATATGATGAAGGTCCTCGACGAAGCCGGGATTGCCAACGAGACATTAGTCGTATTCGTGGGAGATCAGTATGTTGCACCTGCTTCAGCAACTGCACAACAACCAAAAAACCGTGTACTGATCTGAAACAGTGGCCAGGCGTTCCCCGAGGACGCGCCAGTTTCCGGCACCTATGAGAACGGACATATCAGCAATTTCCGCATTCCCTTGTTTTCCGACACCCGCTATTGCCCGCACTGCAAATCACTGCAAATGCAACCTCGATGTCCGTCGTCCCGACCATTCTCGATCTACTGGTAAACTCGGGCTCGTTGAACGAGAGGGACTCCAGTGCTGCTCTGAGACCTAATGAATGAATACGAGGGCCAATCACTGGTGCGCGCGTACCAAGCTACCCACAATGGCCGACAGGCATGGAACTTCGGCATTATCAACCCCGGTGGTACAATGCTCAGTGTTGGGTCTGCAGCAGTCCCGTACCGACTCATATTGCCACTCGCTGAGGACTTTGAGTACGTTTTCTCTAATCTAGACACTGACCCGGACGAGTTGAGCCCATTGCGTGGGTGGTCCCTCGAAGAGTTGATCGGCCGTGTACAAAGGAAGCATGGGGACAAAGCCGGGAAGTGGCTGGTAGATGCGGAGAAAGTGGGAAAGTGGTGGATTGAGGAGCAGAAGAGACTATGGAATTACCAATAATAATAGAAATAAATCTCATCAAGGTTATTAAAAGAAAAAGAAGAAGAAGAATAGGAAGAGAAGCGGGTTGGCTTGATATTGTTCGGTTTCTTTGTTTGCGCCTGAGGCAGACAATCTCGCCCCACCTCCACCTCATGTTTTATATTCGCCGCATTTCGCGTTCGATCTTGGACTTAGACAATTCCCTTTTCAGCTCAATTGATCGAAACTGTACACCTTGACCACGAGGTAGTGCAGAGCCTTAAGCCGTGAGACCTCGACCCGGACTTGTCCTGTGCATCTTGACCCCTGTAACCCCACCATTTGATTGCATCCCGGCAATTATTCTCCCGCTCTTAAGCTTCTCACTGCAATCTGCATCGACGAATAATGGAGGGGAAATATTCCACCGATCCCGAATGGGCATCTGTCACCCCAATTGACCTGGACGATGGCTCCAGCTCGGGCGCCATGCCACTGGCAACCATCGCCTACCCAGCCGAGTACCTCGAGGCGACCTCGTATTTACGTGCCGTGATGGCCGCGAACGAGATGTCTGAGCGGGCATTGAACTTGACTAAAGATGTGATCTCGATGAATCCAGCGCATTACACCGTATGGTAAGTCGGCTAGTAATAGCTGCCCCCATGACATTCCAAGATCAATATCTGACATTTTATACAGGATCTACCGAGCAAAGATTCTATTTGCTTTGGACAAGGATCTGAATGAAGAATTGAACTGGCTGAACGATGTTTCATTGAAGTATCTCAAAAACTATCAAATTTGGTATGTCGACCATCACCCAGCAAGCACGAACGCCAGAAAGCCATGAAATAAAAGCCAAGAAAGAAGAAAGTCCAAAGGTAAACCTAACAACTCAACCAGGCATCACCGCCAAGTCCTGCTATCATCAAAAGCACACTTCCCAACATTCCCACCCAAAGAAGCAGACTTCCTAATGGAAATGTTCGCCCAAGACTCCAAAAACTACCACGTATGGACCTACCGCCACTGGCTCGTGCGGCATTTCAGACTATGGGACCAACCACGCGAACTCGAAGATGTGGAATTCCTCCTGAAAGCCGACGTGCGCAACAACTCCGCCTGGAACCACCGGTATATGCTCCGTTTCGGACCGCGAGACACATCGCTCCCGGATGCGGGGATGGTGAATGCGGGTGATCTTTCCACCGCACCGACAGAGAAGGGGAGACTGTCTATTGTTGATGAGGACTTGATTGATGGCGAGCTGAAGTTCGCGCAGGAGGCTATTCTGCGCGCGCCGGAGAACCGGAGTCCGTGGTGGTACGCGCGTGGTGTGATGAGGGCTGCTGGGCGCGGATTGGCGGAATGGGAGGGTTTCGTTAGTGGGTTTGTTTCGGAGGGGGCCGTTAAGAGTTCGCATGCTGTTGAATGGTTGGCGGATATTTTTGCTGAACGGGCTGGGAAGGAGGCGGAGGCTGTGAGGATGTTGACGATGTTGAAGGAGGAGTTTGATCCTATTCGGAAGAATTATTGGGATTATCGTATTCGGAAGCTGGATCAGGCTGTGGCTTGATTTGGGCAAGGCCATTACAGATGTCGCCGCCGTGTGGAGGGTGGAAAATGCGTGGTGCTGGACAATTTTTTTTATCGGAATAATTGATATTTGTTCTGGGGCCATAAATGGGGATCATTGAAAAGTATTGCGTGTAAATGGGGGTCATTGAAGTAAAAGACCGCTGTATACATTGTATGATTGTATGGACAATGCAAAATCCAACCCATATCTAGACGACAGTAATTAGAAAGTCCAACAAGAATGCTGTGAATCAAACGCCAAAAGCCAAGGCAAAACAAGGTATCCAAAACGAAAATATCCATCATCATCAATAATCATGCCCATCCCGCATCCAACATCTTGCGCCATTCACAAGCCATATCAATAGTGACATAGCTGCCACCGCAGACAATGATAACAACCCTACTCTGCGAGTTGAGACCAGGAACAAGCTGCTTAAGCTTCGAGTTGAGCTTCTCGCCGACCTCCTCAACCTCTTGGTCCGTCTCATTATCGGTCGAGATCGACCGGTCATCCCCATAGCCCTCATCGCGGTAAGTAACGACGGTCTCATCCGAGCTCCTCTTCCGCTTCTTGATACTCTGAGCGCCTGCACCGGCAGTCTCCGACACGGGAGCAGCAGTGGCAGCGTCGCCGATGGCCGCCTCGATGCAGACACCACACGCAAGCTCGACGAGGAGTCGTTCGTCGCTGGCGAGGCGGAGCACGCCGCGGGCAGCATCTGCGTCCGAGAGGACGGTGCTGTGTACCTTGATGCCTGGGGGAGGGGACACAGCGTACTGGAAGGTTGTCTCCGAGACGCGGACAGCGCCGAGGAAGTGGCCTGGGATGTGATCTTTGGGAGGGAGATGAGGGATTTATTGGCAATGGCCGCTGCCAAGGAATCGGTACCGGCCGTTTCAATGGCGAGGAGGTGAATGGGGTTTGGTTTGGAAGAAGAGGAGGTAGTTTGCTTCTTCTGTCGTCGCTTTTCGATGCCCATAACGAGGCCGTTGAGGAGACCGCCGCCGCCGACGCTGCAAAGGATGGCGTCTAGCGGAAGCGCCCGGTCATTGTAGGCTTTTTCGTCTTCGGGGCTGGTGGAGGGAGGAAGCTGGGTCTCGAGCTCGTCGATGAGGGTACTGTTTCCTTCCCAGATAGGGTGGTTGTCGAATGGGTGAAGGGCAATCTTAATCACATCCTGGTCATCCCCGCTGCTAGTCTTCATGATAGTTTCCCGCATGTATTCCCCTGCTTCTGAGAATGTCTCGCCATGACGGATGACGTCTGCTGCACCTGCCGCCCGGATCTTGTCAAGCATCAAGGGCTTAGTGCCCATGGGAACCACGACAGTGCAAGGGTAGCCCAGGCTCCGAGCTGCACAAACGGCCGCCAGTCCGGCATTTCCTCCGGACGAGGCGTAGAAGTGGACTCTGCGGCCTACGTTTGCTGGGTTGCGAAGATGAGAGAGGATTTGATTGCCCATAGCACGGGACTTGAAGGAGCCGCTGGGTTGCACATTCTCCAACTTCAGGAAGATCCTACATCCAGCTGCCCGAGAAAGGCTCGCAGACTCGACCAGGGGTGTCTCGATCCATGGCGTTTTGAACTGCAGTTGATCACAGGCGGAGGTGTCAATGCTGCCCATTTTGATGTGTTGAACAAATGGAAAAGGAAAAAAAAAAGGCTTTGCTGTTCACCGGAGTTCTAAGATCAGAAGTATATAAATGATCTCAAAATAGTAAATTGTGAAGTCGAGTGGTTACACGACAGGAAGGTGTAGATTCACCAAAACAGAGAGATAGGGATATATCGGGAAGAAAAAGAAAAACAATGAAACATCCAAACACCAGTATGCAGATATTAAGACATGTTTTGATATACAAAGTGAGCCTCCAGGGCTAAAAGCTTCCCGACGGAAAACTCCAGTTTCCCGCCTGATAGCACTAACCGTAGTATCCACGGTTCTGGCCCAGTCTTTCCCGTCGATAACCTTGAGGGAAAGCCCAATCACAGTGGGTCGGCCATGATCCATGGATGGGACCATGACATACCGTTTCTATTAGAGTGATCGGGCGTGGAAAACCTGACGTCTCAGCTTTCGAGCTGTGGAGGACCCGGGAAAAAAAAACTTCATCGAGTCTGGCGCATCCGAGCGGAGATGATGCATATATTTATTCAGACGGGCCTCTCGGTCGCTCATGATTGGCCATCGATCGATTCCTCTTATCAAATCGAAAGCTCAAAAACAGGCGCATTACTCCTCAGTGAGCAAAGGAGGGAAAAGTATACCTTTCTTAACGCCCTCACCGTAATCTGGATCCGAACCGTACACCGTGGCCGAGAATGCCCGCTTGGAGGGGTCCGAGGTGTCTACACAGAGCAATTCTAGAAGATCATGAGACTTGCCGGGCATGAACGGTTGCAATAAAATGCCAGCGATCCGCAGCGATTCCGCCACGTTGTAGATCGCGCGAGAGTTGGAAGTTTTCCACGGCTCCGCCGCATGGAAGTACTTGTTAGTCTAGGAAAAAAAAACAGGTCAATACTCGCCGAACCCGTGCGGGGATCACCTCTTACCTTCTCGATAATGCTCATAGTTTCTTGTAGCGCGGCACGCGGGTTTAGATTCTCCATAAACTCGGCAACCTTGGGAGGCGTCTGCTCCAACATTTTCTGATGATCCAGGTCTTCAGGGGTAGCAGCTGGAAGCTTATTGGATCGGGCGTCCATAATGTACGAGTGCAAATTGCCACGCGCACATCCAATTGTACGCAGAGCAAGGTTTCCGATGCCTCCCTGAAGCAATTTCTTGTAATCTCGGATGATAAAGGAATTGTCAAAGTCCGCATCATCTGCAAGGCCACCTCGATACGCTAGGAAAAATCGCATGCCATCGACTCCGAACCGTTCAATGGCGAAAAACGGGTTCACAACATTGCCTGTGGACTTGGACATTTTTTTCTCGGTTCATTGTCCAGTGTCCGTGCACTAAGACATTCCGAGGCAGGGGGAGATCCAGTGCCATGAGGAAAGCGGGCCAATAAACACAATGGAATCTGCGAAATGGTTAATTTTGCATGCCCTTCGGGAGAACTCGTGAACTTACCGAACAATATCTTTGCCAACTACATGCAAGTCTGCAGGCCATGCAGATGTGTTTTCTTGTCCAGGTGGGAAAGGATATCCAGCTTTGGTCAAGTAGTTGACCAATGCATCTAGCCACACGTAGATTGTCTGTGTGTCATCGCCGGGAACAGGGATGCCCCAAGTCAGACGTTCCGTGGGCCGAGAAATCGAGAGATCCTGTAGTCCCGACTCGACTCCATTGATCACAGCAGCTGTATAGGAGGTTGGGGTGATGAACGGATCTTCTCTTTTGTACAAGTCAAGTAGGCGATCCTTGAAGGCTGAAAGACGGAAGTGGTAGTTGGTTTCTGAGGACCACTCTACCTCTTTACCCGTTTCTATTGAGACCTGTGTGTGGTTAGTATTCGTACTTGCTGGAGAACTGATAAGTCACGTACCATGCGTTTCCTCCCAGTTGATGGATCTAGGGAGTTCTGCACTTGCGTTTGTGGGTAGAATGTCTCATCGCTGACTGAGTACCAACCTTCGTGCTTCGAGGTATAGATATAGCCCCTGTGTTGCAACATTTCCTACTCGTGATCAGCCATATCCTACTATGAACGGAGAACAGTCGCTTACCCAAAAGTATTGGACGGCATCTCGATGAGCTGGGTCCGTGGTCCTGATGAAATGATCGTTGTCGATGTTTGCGGCCTTTGCTAGGGCCTATAACAGAGAACGAGTTAGATATACCCTTGGATATGGCAAAGGGGGCCCGTACCTCAAAAGTTCGGCAGTTCATGTCGCAAAATGCCTGGGTATCCATGCCCGCTTGGATTGCAGCTTGTTGAATCTGTGACCAATGTCAACGCCCATTCTCGACCAGCGATCGAATCCATATGGTCTACCTTCATCCCGTGCTCATCGGTTCCGGTCAATAGCTGAGCATCCGTATTCCCAAGCAAGACCTGCCACCGTTTCATGATATCGGCAATCACCATTGTGTATAAATGGCCGACGTGAGGCGCTAAACGCAGGTAGGTTATTAGCAAATCAATTTGCACATGATCCTTCCTCACTATAATTCTCACCGGCATTGACGTAGAAGATTGGCGTGGTCACATAGTAAGGCTTGTTGGACCTTTGCGGCGTAGTTGCAACTCCGCGTCGGGGAGTTGTTGCCCACCCATGTTTGCGGGATGTACAGTTCCACAGATGCCTCGACCTCAGAAGCTGAGACGCTCTAAGTAACGAGCGAAGTGGCGTCCTTGCTGTAGACATTGGGTTGGTGGTAACGGTAAGAAGAGCGTTTCATGTTATTCCGCACATCTCGGGTGGTCCGAGCTTCTCCGCAAATCTCGGCCTTTTTTTTGCGCTTAGGTACCTACATTGTCGCGCTTACATCGTCATCGAGAACACCCCACGACCCTGTGGTCTCAACAAGTATATATCCTTTCACCTCATTTAAAGCATATTGCTACGTCTTCTTGGATCACACACATATTCCCCAGTCTTTTGCCAACTTGAAATACATCACAATGGCGACAGCAAGCGAGGATACACTAACCAAAGTGTCGACTGAGGGTAAGTCCCAAATTATGACCCTGGAATCTAGTTTCATCCCTTACTAGAAACCATCTGACCTTTTATTTGCTTCTATGTTCAGCTGCGACCGACTTCGTTAAGACCTTCTACCCAGCTTTGGGATCGAATCGCGAATCTCTCAGCTCATACTATTCCCTTGAGCCCACAACAATCCTGTTCAATGGAAATCGTGTCGCAGATGGCGCCGCAGTTCAAGAAATCTTTACCAATCAAATGTCGCCAACACACTACGAAGTCCAATCATACGACTGCCAAATCATCAACAAAGCATACCCCACCATTTTGCCGGGTGGCGGACTAAAGCCTCAGTCAGAGATGGGAGTCAAAGATATGTCATTTCTCATTGTAGTCAGTGGATTTGTGCGGTACGGTGAGGGTCGCGATCAGCCACAGCGTGGATTCAGCGAGACCTTTGTGCTGGTCCCCAATCCATCCGCAGAGAGGGCGAGAGGCCGCAAAGATTGGCTCATCGAAAGCCAGAACTTCCGCCTTGTCGTTTGAGCAACCATACATTTGATCCAACAATTATGAATCACTCACATGTCAACGGGCTATACCATGTGACACGGAAGTGAAAGAGAACTGAGCCATGTCCACCCACGAAGGATGAATTTCTGGGATGTACGATGCAAACAATGGTCCACTGCTTGAAATTACTTCATTGCTTCAAAACTGGAGCGCCAGACGCCAGGATAGGAAAAGATGATGTTTCCCCGTTATGGTGGGGAGGATGGGGATTATGGCCCAGCCGATGTCTTGCGCGGTATGCGGAGGTTTGCTTTGACTCTTTCAAGCAGCTCCTCACGCGTCGCAGCCTCATTCGGCAAAAGCCCTCTCTGAGGTATTTGGTCAGTGTACCATTCTCAAGAAAATGTGTGATTATCTGGACTCAATCATGACTGAATACTTCATTCAAACATACCGCTTGAAGCCATCTTCTCATTTCATCCATTGTCCAGTTTTCAGGGTCTAGCCTCTGTTAGCCTGTGTTTGATAGCTAGTAATATCTACTCTCACCGCCAGTGGGATCTGCTTGCGCGGGGAGAACATCGCTGCCGAAGATGGTATAGGCAGCCACTGCAGTGACCATTCCTGCAAATCCTATATAGGAAGATTGTGGTCAGAAAGTTGGCAAGTGCCTTGACTTGGGATTATCTACCAAGGAATAGATTCTATCGCATCCAGAATTAGATATATTTCATAAAAGCATGCACAGACATGTAGTACCTTGGAATTCAATGCTCGGTCTAAAGGGGTTGGCATTTTCGAAAATGATGCAATGATTCTTTGAATCTCTTAGGTCGGTTCAGAAGTCTTTTTCCTTGATAATTAAAAGAGAAATAAATAGAAGGAGAAAAAAACCTCACAGGACACATGCGAAAGACAGGTATCCAAGACTAATAGATGTGAACAGTTCGCAATATGCGGGTTACACCGCCACACCGCCACCCTCGCTGCTGCTGCTGCTGCCTTCGAACTATACAGTTGCACCTACCTCAACCACTTCAATAATGGGGCTTGATGGGCAGTAAGTATGTATATACGTAAACATCGAGTCATCGTTGTTACTGTTCTTACCTAGGTAGAAAATGTCAACTTTGTTGGAAGTCTTGCTCTCACTGTTCTAGCAACCATTGCGTCGCATATCTATACCAATCAATCCATCATTATTGCCCTCAATCGTTTCAAATCACTTCAAACAGTCTAATTTAATCGACGAAATGGAAGCGGTCATCGTCTTGTCTTCGATTACATTCGTTATTGCGGTGGCAGTTGTCATCATACAGAAGTAGTTTGATCATCACTGCAGTATCAAGCCACACTGACCATGGCTTATACAGCATAGCCTTTTACAGGCGATACCGAGTCCACGTGCATGTTACAACAAAAGGCATGACTCCTCCACAGAGTGTGGACCTGGAGAGATTCGATCCCGACGGAAGCACGCACGTTCAGCCGCCACCGAAACTGCATCACCATTCACGATTGGGGAGCAGAAATTCAAGGTGGCCAGGATATCCAGAGCGACGGGGTCAACCATCGCGAATAATGGCGGACCATTTCACGTCATACCGGATCCCCGACGCAGAGACAGGGACTAGTATCCATCATTCGCCACCCATTCTCCCAGCCACATTTACCGCCCCAGTTGCACAAGCCACAACACTCCCACCAGCCACGGAAGTTACCCCGCCTGAGGCACCAACTGCCCAGGTGTCAATCAGACATGACTAAGCAAGGGCTTTTGCAGCTTCAAGCCCTAATGTGATCCGCACACATTCACCTTAGAGGCCAGTGTCGACAGTGAGCTTTCTCTTTTGTACCTTGCTTCAAAACACCCGCAACCGTCATCATGCCTGCCGAAGTTTCCGATATCAAGCAGTTCATTGAGATCTGCCGCCGCAAGGATGCCTCTTGTATGTTAAGCCGCATTGATGGACTCCCGAGATGAGACTTGGAGATGATCATCGATGCTGACTGTTTACGCCTTTAGCCGCCCGCATCAAGAAGAACGGCAAGAACCAGCAGACCAAGTTCAAGGTCCGCTGCCACAAGAACCTTTACACCCTTGTCCTGAAGGACTCCGACAAGGCCGACAAGCTCAAGCAGAGCCTGCCCCCTGGTACGTTTCGATCGCATTGTTCCGCCATCTGAGTTGCTGGGAAGACCGAGGGACATACAACTTGGAAGATGGATTTTGAATGTAGCTCTGGATCTATGCTGACGATTTCCTTCTGAACAGCCCTCAAGGTCGTCGATGTCTCCAAGGGCACCAAGAAGACCAACTAAATTCGGTAACAACGGAATGAATGGAGATTCGGAGTGCGGCGTGATTGGTTGTTGATGCATGCAAGACCAACTGTTGGGGGGGATACATGACTTGGGCTTGGTCCCTCTGCGAGCCGACACGGGGAAAGCTCCGTGGCGTGGAACATGCATCTTACGTCGGGGGAGTTTCTTTGCGCCTGTGAAGCCGGCTGCTGTTCTTCACCGGCCAGGTGACTCGCATTTTCTGGACGCACTCGAGGAGCACTTTTGTCGGAGGTTCCAGTCCCTAAATTCAATGAAAAAAACAGTTGAAATATCATTATACCATAGGTTTCTCGTTCTCAATCGAGATTTCCTAATCCATTATCCTCACCATGGATGTTCTCCCGACTTCGACCTTGTCTTCCAGGGCAAAAAGTAGACCGGATAAATACTGGCTATGTAGATCAACTGTCCTTGCATTGTCCAGCTAGCAAGTATGGGCTTCCGGGCTTGCTTCTTGACTCCACTTCAAGCAAGACAGGACCGTGTCGTGGTCTCTTCAAATAATATAAGACTGTCATTGTGAGTACGGTTCTTTCTTTCCTTTGATGGCTCGACTGGAACAACGGCAATGCCTATTTTTATTCCGCACTGGGTTCTTTGATATCGGGTTTGGGGCTGCCTCGCCTCCCCGTGTCCTTGTTCGAGTCTTTGTTCGAGTCCCGATGTCTACTTCATACTTCGGCTCGCATAATACCATTGTTGGGTATTGTTATCTCCAAGAACAGGTGTTTAGAAAGGCCTTTGTGATTCTTTTCTTCTCGCAAAAGTCAAAGCAAGGATGCCCATAGCATATCCTCGAACCTACCTATATAAATCTGCTAGGAACCTCGTCCAAACTGAGGCTATCACCGACCTTGACAGTATTAGTACCGCCTTGTTTCGTACTCATCTCGGCCAGGTAAAAATATATTTCATTCAACTTTCGACCTGGCTCCATTCAAACAACCCAGTAAAGGTAGGATTCAAGATATGTGCCACCAAAAGCCATTGGTCCCTGCTATGGGTATCCTTAGCATGTTCCCACCAGAGATTATCTTCAATGTCCTAGACGAGATCTTGGGGAGCTCTCCCAGATTGACACACGAAAGCTTCCATGCCATTAACCAGCTGATGCGAACTAACAAAACACTAGAACAATACATCAAACTCGGATGGATGGGTAGTAATGTGCCGAACAGTTTCAAGCAGCGTGTTAATGCCGTCCAGTGGTACCCTAACGTCGATATTGCGAAAACAGCTCTAACCCTCCAGGGCGAAGACCCCGAACAGTCCATGCCCATCGCAGGCCCCCACGGCGTAGGCCCTGATCTCATTACAGGCATCATTTTCGACGCCTGTACTGATTGCTTTGAGTGGTTCTCCGAAGTGCTGCCTGGTACTCATATGAGCTGTTGCAACGAGGGCGGTTGGTCATTCCTTTCTCTGGCACTGTACGCCCAGGCTGAGAAGCTACTTGATCTTTTCTTCCTCTCGGGCTTCCCTCGCGAACCGAAGAACTTTATCATCGGCAGTGCTAATGCTATGGGGACAGGACCGTCTATCCTTGGGATGTCTGCCTCATCTAGGGATCATCAGTCTTTCGCCAAGCTCTTCAAGAAACTGAAGTCAGTTTTGAACGGGCACGGCTTTCAGAAGACTCTTAGAGATAAACTCACGCCCAAGGAGCGAGCGTCTATCCGAAGTGTTGCTCCTCAATATCTCCAGAAGATGTTGTATGAAGCTGGTCTAGTCACTATGCATCCGGCTCTCCGTTATAGTCCATACTACTCTGGTAAGCGTACCCTGATGTACTAGTCTTCTCGGTGCATGGGTTGGATCTTAGTGGACACGCTTAGGACGACATATTGACATTCGAGAATATATACTTCTCTATCTGCTTCCTACTTTAATTTTGCATTTTCAGGTGTTACTATCCAGCGTTGTACAATCAATCAAAAGTCAAATGTTTCCTTACCTCGAGTATAGTAGTTGTACATTACAAGATACGTTGACCATGTAGACCTCAATCCTTTCGACATTTAGCCAATTCAGTACTTAGGCCCGGGATATCTCCGTAGATCATTACTATTCAGGTCACGGCACTTACTTTCCTATAGATATTACTCTCCGCATTGCTTGGCATGTCACAGCTTTTCTTGGCATCAACCGCGCATAGGGTGCGGAGTTGACTGATGGTCCTATAGGAATACATATCTCGTTGCAGATTCTATATTCCCGTCGGCCCGGTACCCCGGATTACCACCATTCATTGCCGTTCTTGGCTGCAGAAATTAGCCATGGGGGGCTGGCATTTGTGCCCCTGGTTTCTGCACCCAAATATATACATGTGCATTCTGTTTTCCAAGCCTTTGGCTTGACTTGTTCTCTTTCATTGGTGTGGAATCGCTGACCCCATGACCCCTGGCAATATATCTTTTTGGTGGCTCAAACGCCGAGACCTTTTCATTCAGACCAATAGAACAATGGAGAGCCTGGGCTCCGGCTTCGATCTATGATTTTCCACCAACAAGTGCCTACAGTAAGTCTTCTTAGTTCACCCTGGATAGTACCTTTTTGTACTCAACTCGTGCAAATTGACGTAATTGTGTTTGGCACTATTCCAGGATCAGAACGGACCTCCTTCATGAAAATAACAGCCGGCTAAATCAATAGTCACACAAAGGACCAGACAAAGACGCGCCCTTGGAGGGCTGTGTATATAAACGGGAGGCGTCGAGCTCAAAGACATGCCTTGAACAGATAGAAAACATCCTCAGAATTCTTTTCCAGAAAGCCATAGCAAAATGACACTTTCAAAGCTATCTACGCTCCTAGCCTCTGCCACTCTTGTTGCAGGCCATGGCTATGTCTCCAGCATCGTAGCCGATGGCAAAAGGTAAGTCAATCTAAAACCAAAGTCTCCATGCAAAGAACGAACTGACCACATCATCATCAGCTACACCGGCTACCTCGTTGACAAATATGCCTACATGGCAGACCCCCCTGACAGCGTCGGCTGGACGACAACAGCAACCGACCTCGGTTTCGAAGACGGCACCGAATACCAAGATCCCAACATAATCTGCCACCGAGACGGAGCCAACGCAGCTTTGAGTGCCACTGTCACCGCTGGCTCCAGCATTGACCTCCAATGGACGACCTGGCCAGACTCACACCACGGCCCTGTGATCACCTATCTGGCCTCGTGCAACGGTGACTGCACCACAGTCGACAAGACCACGCTGGAATTCTTCAAGATTGAAGAAGAAGGTCTTATCGATGGCGCAAACCCTCCTGGCACATGGGCTACCGATGACCTGATTGCTGCTGGGGGGTAAATGGACTGTCAAGATCCCTTCCACTATTGCTCCGGGTAACTATGTCATGCGCCATGAGATTATCGCACTGCACTCTGCTAGCCAGTCAAATGGCGCTCAGAACTACCCGCAGTGCTTCAACTTGGAGGTCACTAGTGGTGGAAGTGACGTGCCAGATGGCACACCTGGTATGGAGTTGTATACCAACACTGATCCTGGGATCTTGTTCGATATTTATTCTTCGCTGACTTCGTATGATATTCCGGGACCGGCTTTGTATGCCTGATTCAGGGATATGAGGGAATACCAGATGGAGGATGTTTTTGGAGGGATGTGACTTTGGGTGCTTTATGCTAGTGTTCTCAAGTATTGTGGAGTGAATGCTATGTACGTTGTTCATTTGACCACTACAACACCATATACCTCATAAACCATTGAACCAAATCTATTCTGTTCTCTCATAAGGCAAAGCAATAAACCCACGCACCTTTGCCCCCTCAAGCGCCGCATCAACACCACCCAGACTCAAATCCGTCTTGCGCAACTCGAACTCCCCAAAGAAATTCGGCTCAGCAGAAACTCTCTCAAACCCAATTCCCTCAAACAAAGCTAAACTCCTCAAATTCGTCTGTCCAATCTTGACACTGAGACACTCAAGCGCCAGTCCCTCCGATGACCCCGTCGTCTCAACACCAGTCCGCAACTTCCGCACAGTCTCAACATCAACATCGCCACCGCTAACAAACTCATCTAGAATAGCTCCCTGGTTCTGAACAATATATCGCATGAACATGAGTAGAGCAGCACGCCCAAACCCACGTCGCTGGTTGACTTTTTCAGCGATCATGAGCTCGACTTCGCCGACTATCTGCGGCGGGCTATTGCCCTCCTCGCCGTCGTCGATGCGCAAGAATAGATTGATGTCGCCGACCATAGTAGCCGGCGAATCACTTTCTGCTTGCAGCTTTCTCTGGCTGGGGATTTCGTCTTCAGTGCCTGTTGTGATCGCCCGACAGACAATGAAAGTTAATTTGTCGGCGTCTTGGCGCCAGCTGCGTTGCATCGAGTATTCTTCTTCTAGAGTTAAGGGTTCTGAGGCTGTTGCTTCTTGGATTTCCTTGGGCTTTGTGAGAAAGGGGTCGGTTATAACGAGGATTTATTGATCTTTGCTTACCGGGTCTTTCATCCATTCGTGATATCGGGGTACGTGCCATGATGAGTATGGGACTAAAAGCGCTTTTGAGGAGCAGAGGGCTATTCTCCAGACATTGGAATTAGTCTCTTCTGTTTTATTATAGTCTCGATCTGCGATATTTCTGGGGAAAGTATATATGTGGGTATGGGCATAGAGCAGCGTACCGATGTTGGCATTGAGCAGCATTGTGAGCGGATGATCGAAATATGATCCTTTTCAGTGTGAATGATTCAGAATTGTTCAATTGGTATGTACTCTTGCGAAGAACGGCTCATTCAATGTCTATCAGGGTCTCGATGGATATAAAACAGAGGAAATTGGTGGGATGGATTCTTCCAATTGTGGGTCTTGGCGCGTGGAGCCACTCGGGTTGTATACTCGTCTGAGCAGCCATGGGGTTATATAAATGTATCAATACATATGTGATTTGACAAGGTGGTTATTTCATTAGTACCATTGATTCATTGGTATCTCTATCAGTTCATTTTTGTTCTTCCTGTCCCTTGAATACTCCAAACTTGACCACCTCGACCTCTAGCGTCTCGGTATCAACCAGAATCAACTCCCCGGTTTCGCTGAACTTGGGAAGTGCCAGCAGCCGAACACGGGCTGCGTCAGAGCCATCAGCGGTCCCCGTCATTCCAGTGTCGCCATCTAGGCGGAGAGAGGACGTCACCCTCAATCGTGGCAGTCTTGAACTGTGGCTGATTACCAACGAAAAAGATATGCGGACAGGATTCGATTACATATGGATCGTCTGATTGGTATGGGTATGACCCTAGAGAGTATCGTTAGCGAAAAATTCTGTGAGAGATTGGGGTATCCAAGCATACAAATTGTGTCTGGCGCAGTGGGAACGCCGCAGCGCCAACGAAGCATGGCTTCCATGATTCGCATCCGAGCATCAGAATCTTTCTCTTTGTCTGGGGTGCTATTCCCGCCCTCAATACTGATATACCGCAGAACATCGTCGACATTCTGACCGCTGCATCCCCATAGTCGCCAGCCTTCGATATCTCCGTCCCAGGGATTTGTGACGCTGTCGAACCAGCCCGCTTCGGGCTTTTCATCTCCTCTGACAGGAGGTGCGGAATATGCCCTCGCTTGAGGGAACATAGTACGATGGATCCCCTGCTGAGGGAGGGAGAAGTTTGCGGGATCTTTTTCGCCCGGCATGAGTGTGACTGGAATGCTGGGCAAGATCTCCGCTAGGAAGTTATCGAGTTGTGTGATAGGTGCAGCATTGTATGCAGAGGCGTCATAGCCGTACTTTTTCGGCTGGGCTTTCTTTGCCGCAGCTTCGCCAGAGTCTGCTGACGCCACGTCTCCAATCACGCTGGCTCCAAGTGAATTACCCGCGATGACCAAGCGGGAGATCTTAGAGGAACCCAAGGAAGGACTGTTGTCACCGTGTCCCGAGAATCCCGTGTAGCCCAGAAGATAATCTGTCAATAGCTCCAAAGCAAGCGTGTCGCTTGATGTTCCTGTGATTCCCAAGCCACTGACGAAGGCGATTTTGCCGTGTTCTTTTTCGATTCCAGTTCCTGGAGCATTTCCATTCCATCGTTGAAGCTGCGGAGCCAAGTCTGGCAGCTTGATATCAATAACCTCGAAATCTCCATTCGCATTTTCAGTTCCCAAGGCTGCAATAATGGCACCTGTCGCCAGCTGTGTAGACTGCAAAAAGTTTCCAGTGAGCCGTAAGCGGCCGGACTCATCCTCCAACATAATCTGGGTCAAAGAGGGGTCGGAAGGGTCGGTGTAGGTGCGGAGAGGAGGAGGCGCAGAGGTGAAGTTCTATGAATTGTTAGTATAATGATAAGCAGCAGAAAGGCCAAGAGACCAACCTCTTTGGTGAGATCTTCCAAAATATTCGGCTTCATTGGCAAATGCATGTATACGGTGCCGGCCACCCAGCACAACTCGCCTTGTCGGACATCGAGGACTCGATCGACACGTCGCACCTTCTCTCCAGCGATCTAAATTTGCAAGGTGTCAGGAAAGTCCATAGCTGAGTGTAAAAATATTTCCTTGGATCAGGCGCCCTTACAGTAAGGCCATCCCACGCATCCGTCGCGACTTGTTCGACGGTGGGTTTCAGCTTTGCGAGTCGCAAAAAGTACATGTCGTCATATTGCTGCTGATAGTGCCGTCCTGCGCCGGCTGGTAGGTGGAAGGTAAGACGAGGATTGTAATCGGAGGGTGTACGGTAAACTGGTTCCTGTTCCTGTTCCTCCCTGCTATCGAAACAAAATGCATTCAATGGTCAGAGAAAGGTTCCCGGTGTTTAGCAGCCTGGAAGGAGGCAGAGTGGACCAAGAGGTATTACCTGGGAGGACACAAGAAAGTGTAGTTCTCAGCATCCGGTGCCATATTTTCCGGAATAATGCTGAGATCTTGTGTGTCGGGGATGGTTGGGGTGATGCAAAGAGATGTGGTTGACGCGTGGGCGCGTCAGTTAGCGCGTTCAATTACATTCCCGCTTCGGGGTCTAGTGGCAACTGGTCAAGGCGATTTCTATATGGGAGCAAAGGAATTGACTCCTGAAATGTGCTATTTATTTCATTAGTCTCATTAATAACACAATAATTTCGTCTTCTGATCCCAGTGAAGATCGAATTAGGCTCAAAGCGAAAATATAATGAGAATGATATCCAAAGGATGTTGCAATAGATCACATTAAGCCGACCTCGGGAGCCATCTATGCTCGGTAATGCTGAAAAGGCTGCATATTCACAGAGGCCATTCATAGAGTAGTGTATAATTATACTACACGTTGGAGCTGTGAAATGTAGATCGGCTATCAGCTGCCTCGGTCCGTACATAGCTTAGGGTTTCCCCGCATTTTCTATTCTTCATATTAGAACTAAACGTATATGATTCTCATACATTTCCATGAATCCAAGAGAGCATTGAGACACAGCCGCCCGTTACTTCCACACAGTTCTACCTCTGACAACGTAACATCACCATCGACAGAATCCAATATGTCTCTCGAAACACCACTATGCTCTCTGCTCAAGATCCAACATCCAGTGCTGCTAGCTGGCATGGCCCGCGCATCTGGAGCTCCACTGGCAGCAGCAGTATCTAACGCCGGCGGTCTTGGTACAATCGGTGGACTAGGATATACACCAGCACAACTATCAGAGATGCTCACAGAGCTCAAGTCACTCCTCCGGGATCCCTCTCTCCCCTTCGGCGTGGATCTCGCCCTTCCCCAAGTCGGAGGCTCAGCGCGCGCAACAAACCACGACTACACACACGGCCAGCTGGATGAGTTAATTGAGGTGACCATCTCGCACGGCGCCAAGCTCTTCGTCTCCGCTGTCGGCATCCCGCCAGCGAAGACCATCAAACGACTCCATGAGGCCGGCATCCTGATTATGAATATGGTCGGTGCGCCGAAGCACGCCCATAAGGCATTAAAGGCGGGCGTCGATATTGTCTGTGCGCAGGGCGGCGAGGGCGGCGGTCATACCGGCGAAGTGCCCTTCTCCGTTCTCGTACCTGCTATCGTGGATGTGGCGCGGCAGTATAAGAGTCCCTTGACTGGTCAACCGGCGCTTGTCGTTGCAGCTGGTGGTATTAACGATGGACGCAGTCTGGCGGCGTCGTTGATGTTTGGTGCTGCCGGTGTTTGGGTGGGCACGCGGTTTGTGGCTTCCGAGGAGAGCGGCGCTAGTCGCTTGCATAAGGAGGCTGTTGTTGGGGCGCAGTTTGGTGAGACCAAGCGCACGCTTGTTGTCTCTGGTCGGCCTCTGCGCATGCTGCCAAATGACTATATCAAGGAAGTGGGAAGCGCGGCCTGCTGATATTGCCGCGCTGACATCCAAGGGTGTTGTTCCTATGATGCATGATTTGGAGAACGAGAAGGACATCGATATGCCGTTCCTCATGGGCGATGTCTCGGCCAGTGTCAAGAATATCCAACCAGCCGGGACCATTGTGAAGGAAATGGTCCAGCAGGCTGTCGAGATGCTCAAAGTTGGAGGCTCATATATCACTTCCACAGGGTCTGCGAGTAAACTATAGATAATCCAGAGGTGTAGAAGGATGAAACAGGGAGTACCACATGGCTCGGATGCTAGAGTGCAATAATATTTGGCAAGATTTTTCTCTTCAATGTTGTTGATAATGCGGTTGTACAAAAAACATGAAAATCAAAAAGACTTGAAGAAACCAACGAGGAAGATGGATTATACCTTGGTAATTACCGAGGAATATCGTGAGACAGACAAAAATAGATGGCACAAAACTCCTACATTTTCGAATTTAACACGAATCATCGGATCTCTGTAAACCACATGGCAAAATGAAGCAGTTGCCTAGGGAGATACAAAAGCCGAAGACCGTGTCTTCATCGAGGGTAGCCAAAGTTGCTTCAATCAAAATCGACATCAAATAAATTGGGATAATCTTAAAACACCAAGCCATTGACCTCCGCACCGTTGCCATTCGCTCGAGCCTCCAAAAGATTGGGCGGCGGGGTGGGACCGAAGACAGGCTTCTCTGAGGGTTGTTCGACCCGGGTAGGTGGCTCGAGATCTTCCTCATCACTGATATCCTCTTCATCATCTTCGTAGTCATCGTCGTACTCGCTTTCAGTGCCTTCATCATCCCCCTCTAAATGATCATCGCCTTCCGCTAGAGCAAGTCCTTCGCCTCGGCCCTGGGCTTGCATACGCCGACAAAGGGCTTCTAGATGGTGGCACTTCCGTCGCCATCTTTCAAGTTCTTCATGGTTTCGGGTCCGTTCCTCTGCCATTTCCAGGATATTGCGGTTAGTTTGCTCATGCTTCCGGTTGAGAGTATGATTCTCCTTTTCCAGGCGCTTGGTTTTCTTGGACATTTCTTCCATCTCCTTGCGGAAGGTAAGGAAAAGATCGTTGCTGTTGTTCAAAGTGTCCTCGACCTGGTGGTCTTCGTCAGCGACCGGGGAATGAGAGGGGTTATAGGAACCCTTCTGTACCTGTTTGAACTTTTCCACGTAGATGTTGAGTTGGCTGCGTAACTCGGCCTCGGTATGGGAGAAAGTGGAAACCTGGGAGGTTAAAGCTCGGCTTCGGTTTGCTTCGATTTCACCAGCGCGACGCTGCTCCTCAAACTTGGAAGCGAGACTTTGGATCTCGGAGTCCTTGCCACGTAGGAGGCCCCTGTAATGCAGGTCGCGTGCGTCGAATTGCTCGCTGATGGTCTTAAGCTTGGCACGGAGTCTAAACATCTCCAGTTAGCAAACTCAAAGGCCCGAAGAAGGAAAGGAAATTGAAAACGTACGCTTCATCCAAATCGACATCCACCTTTTCGCTGCGGGGGTTCCCTTTGGCAGCCATGACGTCTTGAATGTCATAGAGGAGCGAGTCGAGACGCTCATTCACAATCAAGCGCGCTTTCTTCTCAGTGTCCTCCAGCTTCTTATTCTCATCCTACCAAATTGTTTAGCTGGCAAGTCCTCCACGGTGTTTGGCGCAATCGTTTAGAGGCACATGCTGATGGACCCACCTTGACCTTCTTGTTTTCCTTCGTCAGTTCTCGACACAGCTTCTCCAGCTTGTCCTTCATTGTAACGGTCTTGTTGAGATCAGACTTGCCCTTGTCCTGGTCTTTTTGTAGCTGATCGGCACGCTTCTTGCTCTTAGAATAGTCACGATCCAACTTCTTCATATCCGCCAACAGCTCGGTGTACTTCTTGTGAACGGTTTCAAGTTTGGTCATAGGAGACTCAATGTTGCTCAAAAGCTGGTTGAGATCACGAGTTGCCTTCTTGACCTCACGCTCTGTAGATCAAAATCCAAGTTAGTGACCCCAAGTTCCAGACTAACCCCGCAGCCCAGTGGCACCAAGCAAAGAGGGAAAATGCCGCCGCAGAATACAAAGGAAGTCACGCACCAATTTCTGCCTCTTGGTCTTTCTCGCCGGCGGCATCTTGCTCCAGCTGGGAGATCTTGGCGGCCAAAAGCTTAGATGTCTCGTTTGGGTCGGCCGCTTTCTTCGCCTTGTTTTTCTTTGCCATGGAGGTGGACGACATTTCGAGGATTTTGCCTGGTGTATCGTAGAAACAACGTATTTGGCGATTCGAATCACGGGGGGGGTTGGTACGAAGGCCGGAAGCCGAAAATTTGCGCCAAATAGGCAAGATACGGGGTAGGATGTAGACGGATCAATCACACGGAGGAGATATCCCAGAGGCAAGGCTCAAGAGTGAGATCACTGGCTCTGGGATGTAGGAATCGTTCGTTTGTCGTAGCGTTCGGGAAAGAGCAAATGGTTGGTCTTCGGAGCAGAACTTCGACGAGCGGGCGGCCAGTGAGGCTTACGCTAGCATAGATGATGTAAGCCTGGGCGGTGGAACCTCCAGGGCTGGACATTTTCAACTCCGGGGTTGCGGTCTTGTTTCCTTTTTACGATCGTCAACTACCCATTATTATGTTGCGCTCATCGATGCGCCTCCGTACGGCGCGAGTGCCAAATTCTAACCCGCTTATCAGTCGCTCATTAAAATCAACGCAAACGATCCTTCCGCGCAATACTTGGAGAGCTGCATCGACGGTAACCAACTTGGATAACTTCCCCAATGTCGGCGAGAAGCTCCACGGATTCACCTTGCAGGAGAAGAAACATGTCCCTGAGCTTCATCTAACTGCAGTCTGGCTGAAACATGACCAGACCGATGCAGACTACATGCATGTTGCCAGAGATGATAAGAACAATGTATTTGGAATTGGGTTCAAGACAAACCCACCGGATGCTACTGGTGTGCCTCATATCCTGGAGCATACCACGCTGTGTGGCAGTGAAAAGTGAGCGACATCCTGTTATTGAATATACTTTTGCTGACCTTGTGCTTCCTAAAGATTTCCAATTCGTGACCCATTCTTTAAGATGCTTCCACGCTCCCTCTCGAATTTCATGAATGCTTTTACAGCTTCCGACCACACTACATACCCATTTGCTACGACCAACCAACAAGATTTCCAAAATCTTCTTTCTGTTTATCTAGATGCTACCCTGCACCCTCTTCTCAAGGAATCGGATTTCCGACAAGAAGGATGGCGCTTGGGTCCTGAGGATCCGCGTGCTGGAGAGTCTGTTCCTGGACAGCCTGAAAAACAGCTGTCGTTGGAGGACATTGTGTTCAAGGGTGTCGTCTACAACGAGATGAAGGGCCAGATCTCTGATGCAAACTATCTCTACTATATCCGTTTCAGAGAGAGCATCTTCCCTTCGCTGAACAACTCGGGTGGAGACCCGGAGTACATCACAGATCTCACACACAAGCAGTTGTCGGAGTTTTCGAAGCGCAACTATCACCCCAGCAACTCTAAGATCCTTACATATGGCGATATGCCTCTGGCTGATCACCTTCAGCAGATCGGTGCAGTCCTGGATGGCTTCCAGAAAGGACAAGCGGATACTGATATCAAGCGACCTCTGGATCTCACTAAGGGACCTCTTAACGTGACTGTCCCTGGCCCCATTGATACATTTGCCAGTGAAGACAGGCAACACAAGACATCCACGTCCTGGTACATGGGCGACATAACCGATGTTGTGGAAACTTTCTCTGTAGGAATTGTTTCCTCGCTTCTCCTCGATGGCTACGGCTCACCCATGTACCGAGCCCTTGTTGAGAGTGGTCTTGGATCTTCTTTCACACCAAACACGGGTCTCGACCCATCTAGCCGGACTCCCATCTTCTCCGTTGGACTTAACGGCGTGACTGAAGCGGAAGCCCCAACTGTCAAAAATGTGATTCAAAACGTCTTCCGGGAATCCGTTTCTTCTGGGTTCAGCGAGGAGAAGGTTCGTGGGTTCCTTCACCAGCTGGAGCTCTCGCTCCGCCACAAGACTGCAAACTTCGGAATTGGTGTAATGGAGAAGACCATTTCTACTTGGCTCAACGGCTCGAACCCGATGAAGGAGCTCGCTTGGAACGATGTCATCGACGAGTTTAAGAGCAGATATGCGAAACCTGGTTATCTCGAGTCTTTGGTGGAGAAATATCTCATCAACGACCAGTGCATGACCTTTACCATGGTCGGTACTCCCACCTTCAACAAAGAGTTGGACGAGAAAGAGCTGGTGCGAAAGAACAAGAAACTTGCCCAGTTTATCGAAGAGCACGGGTCAGTTGAGAAGGCTGTCACCAAGCTTGGCCAGGAGGAACTGGAACTTCTCAAGATCCAAGAAGACGCTCATAATGCTGATCTGAGCTGTCTCCCATCGTTGAGAGTCAAGGACATCTCTCGAGAGAAGGAGCGCAAGCCTGTTCGAGAGTCTAAAGTCGAGGGCGCTGACGTCGTCTGGCGCGAAGCTCCCACCAATGGCTTGACCTACTTCCAGGCCTTGAATGATTTCATCGATCTACCCGATGAACTTCGGTTGCTCATGCCCTTGTTCAACGACTGTGTTATGCGTTTGGGAACTGCCAACCGGTCCATGGAACAGTGGGAAGATTTGATTAAGCTGAAGACCGGAGGAATTTCTACCTCATCGTTCCTTGTGTCGTCCCCAACGCACTTGGATCGGTTCAGGGAGGGTATGCAGTTCTCCGGATTCGCTATCGACAAGAACATCCCCGAGATGCTGGAAATGCTCTCGGTTTTGGTTACAGAGACGGACTTCGCGAGCCCTGCTGCGCCTGCGATGATTAAAGAACTCCTACGTATGACCACCAACGGAGCTTTGGATGCTATTGCCGGAACTGGTCACCGATTCGCCGTCAATGCTGCGTCTGCTAGTCTTTCTCGGAGCTTCTGGGTCCAAGAGCAGCAGTCCGGCCTTGAGCAATTACAAGCTACGGCTAATCTGCTCCGGGACGCAGAGTCCTCTCCCGAGCGTCTCCAGGAGCTTATCGAGAAGCTTCGCTTGATCCAATCCTTCGCTATCTCTTCGTCCAACCTTCGCGTCCGCATGGTGTGTGAAAAGGAGAGTGCTGGTACCAACGAGTCAATTTTGCAAAAATGGATTTCCGGACTGCCTCAAACACAGTCTCCAAGCGCCAACCTCACCACCTCTTCCTTCAAGTCGACCGACAAGGCGTTCTATGATATGCCGTACAAGGTCTATTACTCTGGTCAGGCTTCTCAGACTGTACCATTCGTTGATCCATCCAGCGCTCCTCTCAGCATCCTGTCTCAGCTTCTCACCCACAACTACCTCCATCCGGAAATCCGAGAGAAGGGTGGTGCCTACGGAGCGGGTGCTAGCAACGGGCCCATCAAGGGCATCTTCACCTTTATGAGTTACCGCGACCCGAATCCTCTGAACTCGCTCAAGGTCTTCAAGAACAGTGGTATCTTTGCTAGAGATCGTGCTTGGTCTGAGCGTGAGATTGAAGAAGCTAAGCTTGGCATTTTCCAAGGTCTTGATGCTCCTATGAGCGTGGACGACGAAGGCGCCCGCTACTTCATGAGCGGCGTTACCCATGAAATGGACCAACGATGGAGAGAACAGCTCTTGGATGTTACAGCCAAGGACGTCAACGCGGTCGCTGACAAGTTCCTGGTGAATGGCTCACGACAAACGACTTGCGTTCTGGGTGAGAAGAAGGACTGGACTGATTCGGAATGGGAGCTGCGCAAGCTTTCCATGGATGCCGCCGCGTAGGCCATGTCTCCACTCAGCAGTCGCTTCCTCTCTTTCTTTTTGCACACCTTCCTCTGAACTGGACACGATCCTTGTTCAGGGGAATTGTATCACCACTTCACCTTCCCATGTATTTCTACATACCTTCACCTCCTTGCATCACATCCTACCTTGTACATATATCCGTGTATATCCCATCTGTATACATCTCCATTCTCCTCTTTCTCTCTGTTTTCGTGCTTCTTCCTCTACCTTGACCCCCAACCGCGCGGAAGATATTCACGTGCTTCGGCACCGAGCTAATCACATCTCCAACCAGTCACTACCTTTGGTTGAGAGATGTCGCATTCATTTCCATCGGGATGCTCGCGCAAGAACAAAGAGAATGTGAACCGCCTGGTACACTTCTCTTCTCCGTTTTTCAGACCCGTCCTGGACCTATAAGCCTACGCCGGACGGACTAAAAACGTGGGAACATAAGTATTGTCATATAATCCATAGAAACCGTAGAACTTCGTAGAAAATAACAAAATAAAATCTCTCACATGTCTTGACTTCAAAACGAGGCATAATAATTGGGCGCCACAGCTCTGGGAAAAGCGGAGAAACGATAATTCCCCCCTGATAAGCCCCGATGTAACTGTGTGTCTGCTCACCTTCTCTCCGAGTTCTGATCAATTACCACACAGAGTCATGGGGAGTTACTCTAAGTAGCCATGAAGAGATCAGGCGCCATGGTCGGCCCGAAGCCGACCAAGGCCTGTGGTGAGTCCGGGCATTGGCATCCATTGTGGAGAAAAGCTAACCAGTCAAAGTAAATTGCCGACGACTGAAGGTATAGACATAGCTACTTTCCAATATACTAGGAGATGACTCAATTCCATCAGATGAAATGCGAAGTAACCGGACCTCCTCCATGTCGCCGTTGCCGTCACACTCGAACAGCCTGTGTCTTCAAGCCCCGGGCCAATGTAAGTTAAGAATCACGGATATAATAACCCGAACACGGAGCTGACTCTCATCCAGGCGTCGGCGATGCATGAATTGATGGAGATACATCAAGACCAAGCTTCTGGTTCTCTGTCAATGATGCCGGACCACCAGTCAATTCTGAACCGGCTGGCCAGGATCGAGGCCGCGCTAGGTATCACCGAGGACTTTCAGGATCACGAAGACGAACATAGTTTGTCTCGTGAAGCAAGTCTCGAAGAAGACATAGAGTCCGTGCCACTACAAGGTGTGTGGACAGCGCTCGCGCATTTACGAGTCATTACTCGTCCGCCTCCAGATGATAGTGTCTGGTCGCGATCCGCTGTTCAGCAGCTATGGAGCTCGTATGTACTGTTTAAATCATGACTTGGCGGTCGATGTCTGATAATATCGCAGCTTCTTGAAGAATCTCCCACTTCTGCACTTCCTAACAGACCATAGCGCGTTCGCTTCTCCGACCCCTGTCCTACTCGCTTCTGTGCTTTACATATCTTCTCTGCACCATCCATCTCCTGGGCTAGCATCGCTGGATTCAGGATATTTTGCCGCTATGTATAGTGCTATCGCTGAGCTTGTGACTCCGGGTCTGCATCCAAGTTCCCTGCAATTATTAGACCACAAAGATGAACAGCAAAGTCTCTCACCACAATCGAAAAGAGAGAAAGCATTTCATGACATCCTTGGGTTAATCATGGCTAGTCTGAGCTGCGAGGCTTACATTGGTGCTTCTGGCTCGTGGATTGCAATGGCCTATCGTATCTGGCTTGATCATTGTCCAGCAGAGATGAATTCCACCACGAAAGACTGGCGTGGCTTGTTCTCCGGTCTTCAGGTAGGGGCAGCTATGACACCCGAAATCCGGATGCTTTATTTACGGTTGTTTGCTCTAGGTCATTGATATAGAACATGCCTCAATGCACATGTCCTATCCCCTCCTCCCACGACATGCTGCAAATCCAAATATACAGCGGCTGGATAGCCACCAAGGAAATGCCTTCCAGGGCCTTGCAGAAATGATGCACTTTGGCCTGAGTCATTTTGTCGGCCGTGGACTACCGAGCATATGGTCCTCTCTCAATGCAGATGAGGCCGACATCGTGCCTACAGCTCGGTTCCCGTTTACTGAAAGTGACTCGCAGGTCATCCGACATTGGGCGAGAAAACTTGATGACTGGCTGGTACTATATAATGGCTCATCTCGTGAGTGTCCACGAGCCATACTCCAATTTCAGGAACTAACTATTATTAGAGCCCACTCCGTCTGATCGACAAGGTATTCTTATTCTGCTCCAGTATCATCTACACAAATTATATGTGCTTTCGATCTATCATCCTGCTCGCGGATTTGATCTCAGTCCTGCAAACATTAGTGCTTTTGAGCGACATGAGTTGCTTGTTTCCGCCCGGGCAGTATTGAGGCTGAGACAAGATGATGCGAGCATATGGTCCAATTGGGACTTAGTTGTAGGTTCTACCCCAGAGCCAGTAATGCTCTTTTTAACAAAGACAGATGATTACATGGGCGGCCGTGTTACTCCTTCAAGGCGTTGAGGACGGTATGACTCACCAAGATGGTATGGCATTTAACTCCCGAAAAGCAGAATCACCGGCCTCTTCTAATGCTTTATTCCAGATTTACACCTCATCCAAGCGCATCTCCAAAGCCTAGAGCGCAAAAACCAGTCCGCTGCAAGTATCCATACCGTTCTATTCCACCGACTCGAGTCCAGCATGCAGGCTATGCATACTCCGCCAGACACAAGCGTGGCATTAGCATTCCCAGCCCCAACCGCAGACGACTCATGGACTATATTTGACCAAGAGATAATGTCTCTGGCAAACCCACCATGGTTATTCGATGAATCGACGCAGCTGCCACAGATCCAAAAAGCCTCTGCAGTGCACCAGATACAGTCCGGACTTCCACCTTTCCAGTACGACTCTGGCATTCTAGCATCTACATCCCAACACTTCACAGGAAATACACAGTAGAGCTGCACAATGGGAGTTGCGCGTGTTCGAGCATATTCCCGGTGTACTATCACCAACCCCGAAAAGGATCTAGTGGTAAACGAAGTGCTACTCATTGATGTGATCTAGAACATGCTATGTACACTTTAAATCACAGTTGACCAAAGGAACTTCTAGAGCCTCCGAACACTAAATCTCAGCTTGAAAGTGTCCATCCCTTCATGGTAATCTTTCATCATCTTATCCGCCCCAGCCCACTTCTCCATCCGAGTCTCAACCTCCCATTTCGTCCCCGTTTCAGCACCCACCTGCTCCCAGAACTTCTTCCACGTAGCAGGATCATGACGATAGTGCTTTCCGGCAGCCTCTTTATCTTCCGGAGGGGGAGGGTTAACTAGACCAATCTGTCGGCCGATTAGAAGGGAGCCGGGTTTATCCTGCAATAACCCGACGATCCGCTTTGCAACTAGAAGCTGCAGATCCCAGTTGAAAAGATGGAAGAAGGAAGCAGCATTCACAATGTCAATTTTGTTGGTTAGATTCTTGACTAGATCGGAGTTGTCGTCGAATATGTCTGCTACAATGAACTGGGCTTTGAGGTGATCGTGATCGTTGAAAAGGTCGTATCCAATGTCGTAGAAGTCTTGGCGTAGGTCTGAGGCATAGAGGTTTTCAGACGGGACGCCATCGAAGACCTGATTTGGTATGTTAAATTTGTATTCATTGCCCTACTTTCTGCATGAGCTCTCTGGGGCCTTACCAGTTGGCGCAGCTCTTGCCCGACTGCACATCCGACATCGAGCAGTTTCTGGCCAGACCTTAGTCTATCAAGGACTTCAGGGTATAGTGGTGATTGTGGGATGCTCAAATCCAGGAATCGGAATGATCCAATACAAGGGTATGGGAACTGTGGATATATATCAGCCATCTTTCATCACTGCTAGGCTGGGATGTGAAGATTCCGTAGCCATCGATTGCATCTAGCGCGCAGCAAACACACACAGATTCCAAAATACAGCGCTTCTAGGACATAGCGTTGATAAAGAAATATCTACTTACTACAGCAAATGCTCGATCTCTCTAGTTTCATTTCATCGTCATTAGCATGGGCATTCCCACCATCGAATGGGAAAGGACTCACCACTTTCTTCACATGTTCCACCTCTTGCCCAGGTGGGATTTTGCTGTACTTCTCGAGTAGAGACTTTGCTGGCTCAGGAACCTCAATCAACTCCGGCTCGTACCAGGGGAACTTCTGAGGATCGAAGCCGCCATCGAGGATGGATCTAAGATCGGACTCAGCTTTGGCCATGTTTAAGTAGAGGGACAGGTCGAGGCTTGTCTGCGGTGCACCTTGCTAATCCTGTAGGATTTGGATATCGCAGACTTCGGTCTTAAAGCAGATTAGAAGGGCAATTGGGGTTTCGTGTCGAGGATGCCCGCGTGGGGCGTGATGTGCCGACGCAATTTCCCGGCCCCACGGGTGTCGAGTGAAGGTCCTCTTTCTCATTCTAATAAGGGTCAGAAATCTTGTAATTCAAGATTGGAGAAGTGGCAACATAATCCACGAGTTACTGTAGTAAGACGGACAATTTACAATTTGGTATCTCAATTGTAGTCTATATGGAGGGTTCCTTATAAACTAATATCTCTTAGGTGGTATTTAACGTCTTTAGAGAGTTTGGGAAAACATTATGACTTTACTGCGGTATATATATTTCTACTATATAGCGATGTGCCATGGGAATTTTTGAGATCATGGTAATATAGTCTGCTGCTTTCTTCAAATTGATATATGGTAAGACCTAGGTAAGTATTATCGACTATAGACAAATATGGGGACAAAATGAAACCACTGAGATTCTAAATGTTGAGTATGTTTTAGGGTGATTCATGACCATTGTTGCTATCTATATTTTATGCATTCTGATCTTTTAATCGCATCCTGATTTAGTACAGACCTGGAATCATGCATGGAAGAGGAGATAATTGTAAAGAAGTGTTTTGGATATGAGACCAAGGATTCATCAATCTTCTCCAATTCTCAAAAGGAACCCTCTGGACAAGTGGAACACCTCATATTAGATTTTAGGAGTATCTTAACAGGCTCTAACTGAGCAATTCTCTACTGCAGAAGGTATAGCGGTCTGGTGCTTGTTTGGTTTCACATTTCAAGAAACTCTTTGTGTTTCCGAATGATTGTCAAGAAAATGGTTCTGACAAACAAATGTGAAGGGATATATATGAGACCACTGGCGCGGTTCCTGGTGTATATCCTTTTCGTTTCCCCCTTTAATTTATCAGGAGTGCTCGCCCCTCGTCATATATAATCAACCATCCAAGCACAGACCTCGCTCGAGCATTGAGTGTTCCATGAATCGCCACTGAAGGAGACCTTAATGGAGGACAGTATGCGATCCATATATGACGAAGCCCACAACAGGAGAGAGGAACAACCCGTCGATCTACTGGACCTGTCCATACAGACCTTGACCCACATATGGTGCCTGAAGCCCCCCTACAAGAGTCAATATCAGGAAGATACTAACGAGAGAAGTATGGCTGCAAACCCAGACCGCAAAACAGGAACCCCAAGGTTACGAAGGACAACGGAGAACATACTCAGGAGGAAGTGATGAGTCGCACAGTACAGCATCCAAACAGCCTTGATGATATAATGTACAACCAAACAACCTTGGAAATCCACCAATATTGTACCAACGCCCAAGCTAACCGTGTGGATAGGACGCCTGCCGTCCAGCGGTTCAACCTTCGGCCCGGATATGGAATGTTTCCACTGGAACAGGAACTTGTGAAGCTCATGTGGTTATTGTCTGCCCAGCCAAGTCGCTAAGCGACAACCGAAAGAACCTGGGGGAAGCTGCCAAGAAGTTGTTCCCAAATGGACGATTCATATGCATCCACTTGAACTTGAATTTCTCATGGCGCATCTCCGATACCCCGTGAAGCGTGAAAGACTATGTTCTTGTGGGGGTGCTCAGCAGTCCGCTCTAGCCGCTCACTATCAAATCTACCGTGGGTTACAGACCTCTACGACCTATTGGAGGCTGTGACGTTCATAGGGACTTCTCTCCTGGTTACCAGAGAAATGGAGGGTAAGGGCTCGAGCTGTGAAAGCTCTATCGCCCTATTGCTCGGAAAGGGATTCATCACTTCAACTGGATATCACCGAGGAAGACCATATCATCAATGAGCCCGTTATATACGTTCAACTAAGAGGGAAGAGTTTCGATCTCCATGTTACGAGAAATGCCACCGAAATGAATTTCTTCAATAATCTCACGCAACCATCCACATGTCCCCTTTTAGCCTCCTGATATTCATCACAGCTCGAGTTGTGATTCAAAGAGTTGGCCTATGTTTACTTGAGCTATTGTATATCCTATATTTGATGTGAGCAAGCGTATTGAAGTGGCATTATGTGACATTATGCGTTCAATTTTACTTGAAATTATTGCCTCACCCTTTCCTCTCTATTTATGTAGTCGTGAATGGTAGCAGCGCAAGAGCAGCAGAGTTTACACACCCCGTCGAGCGAAAAACCGAACAAGGCAGATAATTGCCCAGTCCATCAATATACCTGGAGCTAAACCCCGGCTTGGCACTAGCAAATAGAAGGATGTATATTCAGGGGACAGCACAGGTAGGTAACAATGGTGTAAAATACATAGAAAATCCCATAAAGAGCCTCATTCTACCAGTTACCTTGGACATCCCCTCCTGTTTGACCTTCAAACACCATCCTACATATATTGTAGTAGCACCAGAGATGAATCTCAGTATCCAAAGCCATGTCTAACAACGGAAACGTCAGTGACCTATGTTTACCCACCTCCATCCCCTCCCCAGCTAACACTATTCCTAGTTCCAGTATACTTGCGTACCGGCCATCAAATGGCTAATCAGAAACCTCCACAACGACAACATCGAAGCCGACGGACTCGCCACCTGGAACGCGATCCTGAATCTGCAATTCCCGTCTACACAAGGCTTCCTAATCCGCCCATACATGCACTGCGCTTTACGCGGATGTCCAGGCTGGTTCGAGCTTCGAATTTCCCACGTGAAAGACGGTCTCCAGAACCCAGTTCTTATGCTGTACTATCAGCGCGCTGATAGGCAGGATGATGACCAGTGGGAGAATGGACAGAGAGAGCTGCAGCTGTATCTCGCATTTCGGTATTGCAATATTGCAGAGAATGCGGCACCGATTTATGGTATTCTCGCAATTGGTGCCAAGTTGAAGATCTTCCAGTACGATAATCCCTCCCGGAGCATCGAGCATTTTGTTCCGCCTTGGGATTTGGAACGTCATGATGAGCAGGTTTGGAATATGCTCAGGAAAATCGGCAGGAACCATACTGGTGGTGGTGGCTGCTGTGAAATGAGAGGTGTCAAGTCCGAGTCCGGTGGACAGGGGAATGATGGATCCCAGAATGTTTCGGGGACACTCGCAGGTGTTGATGCAGGAAGGCAAAGACTCTAGATCAGCCTTCATTTAGCAGGGACTGGAGATTCTCGAAATAGGGAGACATGGGCAGCATGATGCTGTCTTGATGGGTGACTGTGCAGCAGAAAGCGGACGCGATGCGCATATGATATTTGTCGAGTCATGAATGGAGAGGGCTGAATACACATCAGTGTTTATCCTAGTTTTGTTCAGTTTCCGATTTGAAATGCTCAAGAAGTTCTGCCACTCTTGAGACTCTTGAATTCATGGGGGTATAGTGTAACAAAGTCGCTCATAATATCATACAAAATAGGTGATCAATGGGCAGAGGTCCACAATAACCACCCAAAGCAAATTACAGCAATGCGTGCGGAGGCCCATTGAACGATCAATCGAGGGAAGTCGTATTTTCACCAAGCTCGTGGGGAGACATAGCCCTTGGCGAGGCTTTCGATAAGCCCGGAGAATCCATGGCCAAAGATGAAGGTGACATAGATAGGCGCGGGAAGGGCTCGGTTTGGTTGTCGGACATCCGGCGGCTTGATGCCTCGCTGAATGTCCTTCTCGGGGTATTGAATTGTTCTTGTGATCGCAGACTCGGAGTAGTGGATGTTGTAGCAGGCTAAACAAGTAATCCGGTTAGCTTCTTCTTGATGGGGCCAAAAGATGAAAAGTATCATACTTTATCACCACCTCCCGTATCAAGGCCTCGGCTCAAAGCCAGCTCGTGTGCAGCAAGCCGTCGCCTCGCAATATCCGCTTCTTCTTCCAATGCCGCGCGCTCCTCTTCAGTCTTCAAGTCTGTCATTGATGGTGTGTCGACACTTTGGGCAACAGTTGCGTCATTGTAACTTGGCGATCGCTTTGGGGATCGTTTCTTCTTCCGTTTTGTCTTTTTGGAGGACGCGCCACCCAGGCTGGACGCAGATGCAGACTGTACAATTTCAGATTTCGTCCCAGACTGATCATCTGATTCCAAGCCCGTTCCCCGGCGCCCAAAAGCAAGCGCAAACTCATCATCAAGGGGCACTGCATCTTCCTCCTCATCACTAGGGAATAGATCCCCGCGCGAGCTAAGGGAATTGTCCGTTCCGCGGGAAGATTGGGTCGCACTGCGATTCCTCCTATCAGGGAGGGAGGCAATTGGGCAGCGTCATCATCATCATTATCCATGGCTTCCATTAACGGCTCATCTTCGTGCGCATAGCGCCGGGCGCCAGGGTGTTCTTGGAGATCAGCAGCCGAAGGCCGATACTTGACTCCTCTGGCACCGAATCTCCACGGAAAGCGCTCGAGGAAGCCGAGTAATGAAGAGCTGGGAATCACAGTCGGGTCAGCATGGTTATCCGTAACGTGCGCGGTGCTCCTGCGCCTAGTGTTGCGTGTCCCGTAGCTCATCCTCCTGGGCCGATGCGGCTGGTCAGCAGCTCCGCGCGCCAGCCCACTGCCAGCAAGAAGGCGGTCGAGTTCGCCCGTACCCCATCCAATTAATCCATCATCGTCTTCTTCGTTGGCCCAGTCGTCGTAGAAATCAAAGTTGGCTTCGGTTTGGCCGCGTCGTCGCCGCCTTAGGTGGTCTTCTCGGCTCGGGAGGCAAGGTGCTGTACATGCAGCCACACAATTTCCAATGGATTCAAAACACGGTGATATGTAGTTGTGGGAGAAAGTATAAAGCCCCTCTTGCGCGGTTTCGTTCGCGGTCTCGAGGTTATGGGAGATCTGATTGATCCGTTGTCGGATGCGGGGGTCGCGCGGTCGCATCATGTTGGGCAACGGCGTTAGCAATATGTGCTGCTAGTGTCAGATCTTGTGTGATTCGCTCCACCAGCTGTCGCCGGCGACATTGGAAAAGGTAAGGGGGTATAAGCAGAGGCAAGTGAAGTCGCAACATCAACGATGTCATTCCTTGCTTAGTCAGCGCGGGTAATTTGGGGGGAAATTTGGTTTGAAGAAGATGTGCAGGTGTGTTTAGGAGGAAGCATTGAGGAATCTAGAGAAAGCATTGTGTTCTATATCTCCAAGATGGTCTACTATGTTCGGTTCCTGAAAACCCCCAGGATCCAACAACAGAAAGGGTCCACCTACATCTCCGCTCTTATCTGCATCACCACTGATTTGGGCGACTCTTTTCTCGCTGAAGATGTTGATTTGATGATGATAGCTGAAAATTCCTCTCGGGTTACATTTCAGAAATCGACAAAATGGAATGCCAGTAATCGTGAACTTGCTATTACTCTGGGTCCTCTCCCATCCAACCTCGCCCAGCAGTCTATGGTGTTGACGGTTCAAGTGCCGCACCCATCAGGGCACCTTATACCCCAGTATCCTCCCATACCATTAGTGGTTGCTGCAACAAGTGCTCCATTTGGACCTCGGTTCACACCAGCGGAGAAGCTGGTTCAACGGCGCATTCAATACAGCGGCTGCGAACCATTCCCCATCAAAATCTGGGAAGAGACAGGAAATAGCATTGCTCGGCATATATGGTAAGCCTTCTACATATCTTCCTGTATCCCCCTGTATCTAAACAGGGATGTGCCCAGGGATGCGGGTCTTGCAACAGTTACATATCTTCATATGATCCGTGAGAATATAAGGCGTAACGACAAAAACAAAAGCATTGAACCTAAGATACCAGCTTTGAAACGGGTCCTATCCAACGCCCGCAAGCAACCTCTTCAGGTAGTTGAGCTCGGGGCAGGATGCGGGATAGCGGGAATTGCGTTGGCATCAATGCTTCCCAACTGTTCGGTCTTGCTCACGGACCTCCCTGAGGTTGAGGACATAATAACACGCAATATTAATGCTGCCCAACTTGCAACCATGTCCAGTGTTCACTACCAAAACCTCGACTGGGACCACCCACCGGATGAGCTCTGCTCCCGGCCCATTGAGCTCATTCTTGTTTCTGATTGTACATACAATGCAGACAGCTTGCCCGCGCTAGTCTCGACGCTCGACCGATTGGTTCGGACATCTCCGGATGCGATCATTCTGGTGGCTCTGAAGAGGCGACATGATAGCGAAACGGTGTTTTTCGACATGATGGCGTCGGCGGGGTTTACGGCGGTGCAGGACAGCGTTGAGATCCCCTCGCAACATAATGAGGTGGATGAGATTGAGTTTTACTGCTACAGTCGGGCAAGTGAGGAAATATAGCATGTTGAACATTGTGACCCCGGGATGAGAAAACAATTACAAAGGATCCCTCTCGGTCGAAAGAAAGCATAAAGCTATAGAACGAACAATAAACAACGACAGTCAAGCATAGGACGCAAGAAGTGAGATAACGGAATATCAACAACCTTCAATGTTGTTTGTTTATAATCGGCCTGTACGAAGGTACAGTCCAACCACGACAATGCTGTTTTAGAAAATCCATGGTGTATAATCTGCGTATAAGTAAGGGATATGTTCGGCTCGTCCTGTACACCAACTGCCGCGAGCATATAAAGCAAACATATATACAAGTGAGAAGACATACATATGTGGCCACCAACATGATCCCTCATATTCTTCGTTTTTACGTTCCTAGGGCATCGTTTCTGATATTTTGTCTTTCCTTCTGTAATCGCCAAACTGATCGAAGGAACCAGGTGGATCAGAACCGCACCTTTTCCGGTCCAAAAAAACTCCAGGGCCAGTTACAAACCAGTAAAATTCAGCTGGTGGATAGCTTTACCAAGGGTGCCAGGAAATGCTCGTGTAAATTGTTAGCAACGACGGGTTGGACACATCTCTTCTGATGCATATGAAATACTCTCTGTGGCTGGCTGAATGCCTTGAGGACTATTGAAATTGTGCGTGTTCTGTATGAGCTATATAGTATACATACCTACATATGTAGGTAGCATAGTATATCGGAACTATTTTCGGTCCAAAATTCCGGGTTTGAGGAAAGTCTATCCTCTGGTTGCGACCCATGGTTTTTCCTTTCTATATCAAATATCCCTCCACAAGAATCAAGTTTGCGCTTAACCAAGTCCCCTTTTGGAATAGGAAATAATATAGATTTGTGAGTGAAGGCTTAGGAAGCCCAATGTTGATAAAGGCCACTCTTAAGTATGTATATAATGTTGGAAATGGGGAAAATCATGTTGGTTCATATTTCGTCCGTGCACTAAAGTGGAATAGAGTGTCCGGGTGGGATCAACGGTGCGTCATTATGGGTTCTCGCCCTGCCCATTCCCCAAAGAGCTTGATCCCAGTTCTGGCAGGTCACTTTTGATAGTTTTAGGGCACATTTCTCGGCATTGTGCATAGTAGTGTCACCTGCAAGTCTATCACATAGCTGACAGAACTAAAAATATAAACACCCCGGTAGTACATACAGTACGGCCACGTATGTACCTGGATGTATGAAGAACCTGGATTCAAGTGCAAATGTTTGATCATCCAACAGGGATATACTCCCGAGGTCGGATCAACGACAAATCACAGACTAACACACACACCGCTGTCATCGAATCCAGCAATTCCGAGGACTGTGTGGGATCTACCTCCTGCATGATGCAGTCACACCTAGGAACAGAACAGATGAGCCGAGATAATAAAGCCTAACAAGGCCCAATAGTTAATTCGCGCAAGTCCGAACGAGTACTCCGTAATAGAAAAGAGAGATACAGAGAGGGCTGGCTGAGAAAGTCCAAGCCCTGGAGGAAACCTTGTTTTTTCCTTGCTGAGTAAGCACCGCGTTTTTCCCCCAAGGCCTCCGTCATCTCTTGAGGGCTTTCTTTGAACACACTCCCTTTTCTATTTGGGTAGCTCATACAGCTTATTATTTAGGTGAGTCTTTTTTTTATTTCCAAGTTAACTCGTTTTGGATATGTGTGTGACCCCGTGCGGCGTTTTATTTCCCCCAATGGTCGTGTGCCCTAAGCTCGCTCACTGCCCCTCAAAAAAACGAAAAATTTCTCATCCAAAATCCCTCGACCTTCTCATCCGTCCATTTTTTCTCTCATAGTTTATCCTATAGCAGCTGGAACTATACCAGACTTGCTAACCATTCTGTTCTTAGATCTATTCGGTCCTTTAGGTCCACTCCCTCAGACCTGCCTTTGGAACTCCCAAAGGCGATTCGGTCACCACGGCTCCAGTAGCCTCCCTTCTGGTCCTTAGCCAAATTGTCTCCACTCAACGTCTCCGCGACACTCTTAACAACATTCCACCTCCTGGTCTTCTCTGAATTTTCGTCCGGTGCGCCTTTTTTCGTCCCGTTGACGTCCCCGGAGATTATTCCCTCGTTCTCTGAGCTGCCGCATAGGACTTCTTTCAAGGTTCTTCCTCTTCAGGGGGAAGGGTCTAGGAGGCTTGGTCCAGTCAACTACGGTTGTGACACTTTTCGTCCTCCCTAACGCGCAGTCGCCTGCCGGTTTAAAAACTCTCTATTATCTCTCTATTTTCTATTAAAAATTGTGCTGAGTCGCAGCGGCATGGTTATGGCACCGACTGCGTGTGTATCGACTGCTGAAGTATGCACCTTCAGAAAAGACTATAATAGTCTGGACCATCTTGGTCCTGTCAGCAGTCATGGGGACAACAATTTGTTGCAATCTTCGTTGACTGCCAAGGAGCTCGTTCTGGATGTGTTGAAGAAGCGTGCGGCGGAAGTGGATGTGGACCACTGTGGTCCTGGTGAGGAGGATGCCTTCTACGTGGCGGATATGGGTGAAGTCTACCGCCAGCATATGCGCTGGAAGATGAACTTGGGCCGTGTCAAGCCCTTCTATGGTAGGCCTCTCTCTGCCACTGGATCGCCCACCCTGAACCCCCCTGCTGACGAACACTGAACAGCTGTCAAGTGTAACCCGGACCCGGAAGTCCTCCGCCTGATGGCCCAGCTTGGAAACGGTTTCGACTGTGCCTCCAAGTCTGAGATCGATATGGCCCTTCAGACGGGCATTGATCCTAGCCGCATTATCTATGCGCAGCCTTGCAAGACCAAGTCTTACTTGCGTTATGCCTCCGAGGTCGGCGTTAAGCAGATGACCTTCGACAATGCCGATGAGCTGTATAAGATCAAGGCCACCTTCCCTGAGGCGGAGCTCTACCTGCGCATCTTGACCGATGACTCGACCAGCCTCTGCCGGCTGAGCATGAAGTTCGGTGCGTCCATGGACCAGGCTCGTATGTTGCTTGAACTGGCTTATAAATTGGAGCTCAAAGTTGTTGGTGTGAGTTTCCACGTCGGATCTGGCGCCGAGGATCCCCGGGCTTTCCTTAAGGCCGTGCAGGATGCACGCATGGTCTTCGATCAAGCAGCCGAGATCGGCCATGAGCTCCACACTCTGGATGTTGGCGGTGGCTTTTGCCAGGACACGTTTGAGAAGTTCGCGGGCATTCTGGGCGAAGCCGTGGACACCTACTTCCCGCCGAACATCCGTGTGATCGCAGAGCCTGGTCGCTACTATGTAGCTACTGCCTATACTCTGGCCGCCAACGTCATTGCGCGGCGTGACATTCCGGATCCCGATGATCCCTCTCGCGATGCTTTCATGTTGTATCTGAACGACGGCGTCTATGGCAACTTTTCGAACATCATCTTCGATCACCAGCATCCCGTCGCTCAGGTTCTCACCTGCGCGGCCGACTCCCAGCCTGGTTCTCCGAACTCTGCGACTTCGGAGGACATCACTTACTCTATCTGGGGTCCTACCTGTGATGGTATCGATGTTATAAGTGAGCGCATTGCCTTGCCTGGCCTCCTCAACACCGGTGACTGGCTCTACTTCGAGGAGATGGGAGCCTACACCAAGTGCAGCGCTACCCGCTTCAACGGCTTCTCTGACAACCACGAGGTGATCTATATCTCTAGCGAGCCAGGTGCCTCTGCTTTGCTCAACTACTAGTTTGCAATCTGTTGTGCTTCACGATCTTTTACAAATGTGTCTTTTTGTTTGGAATGACTTTTTGTTCTGGTGACCACTGCCCTTGGGGCCGTTTAATATAGTACCTATCGCGCGTTCTCGCTACATATGCAATTGTGTTTTTCGCCCTCTAGGTTCGAAATTAGAATAGAGCTCGTCTTGTTTGCATCAACGTTCTTGACTAGATATCCTTTGCTATCTCTTGTTGAATATTTTGCTCTGTGATTAGCGTTAATGCGTTTGAGCTCAAAATATGAAAAGTCTTGATATTCGATTACAGGTGTATCATGCTCTATCATCACATTTCTAAGGTATCACGAAAAACAAACCGCATAACGGCATCTATAAACAGGAGCCGGCCCCATCGAAAATCTAGACCAAACGCTCCACACTGAACTCCACACCCTCACCCTCGCCTGCCTGGACCAGCCCACCGGCTTCAAGCTTCTTCTTCCACTTGGCCGACTCGTATCGAGCCAGAATCAATGTAATGCGGGCAATGACAGTCGGGTCTGCAGACTCCGCAACCACAGCGGAGGGAGTGCAAGTCCAGCGTCCAAACGCCCAGTTGAGAATATAATACTGCACCCCAGACGTCTCGAGCTTCTGTCTGGCATTCAAATTATCCGAAGTCTCGACAGGAAGATCCTGGTTCGAGCAACGAACAATCCCCTTGATGCGATACACCTCCTCACGAGGCGCGGAAGAGAGAAACCTCTCGAGAGCAGCAACATCCACAGTCTTCCCCTCAACACCAGACTTCAAAACCACAGAGAGAACCTCCACCTCGGACTGATGATCATGCTGATGCTGGTGGTCATGTCCATGATCACCCAGAGCCCCATCCTCAGACTCCTTAAACAAAGCCCCATCAATACCGAGCATAACATCCATATCAACACGACCCTTATTCGACTTAACCCAAGGCGTCTCAACCTCCAAATCCCCAACCCGATCCAAACAAACATCAAACCGCTCAGGCAAATCCTCCCACTTATTAAAAATAATCAAATCGGTATACTTCGCCTGGATCTTCGCCGTGTACGAAGTATCCTCATACCCTTCCCAGTTCTCAACGTCGATAACGCTGATCACGCCATCGAGAACATAATGCCCGCCCTGCTCGCGCGCAAGCCGGTTCACTTCCATCGCGAGTGTTGCCGGGAACGCGCTCCCGCTGGTCTCGATCACGATGCGGTCGGGTTGCACTTCGGCGCGGAGTTGGTCGAGGGCGTCGCTGAGTTGGCCGACGAGGTTGCAGCAGATACAGCCGTTGAGCATTTCGCGCACGCCGCTGATGGATTGTGTTGAGGCTAGTTGGGAGTCCACGGCTACGTCGCCGAATTCGTTTTTGAGGAGGGCGAGTTTGTAGGTCTTTGGGAGTTGAGGGATTAGGTTGAGGAGGATTGTTGTCTTTCCTGAGCCTAGGAAGCCTGTCACGATCGTTATGGGAATTGGCGCCATTTTGTTGGTGTTTGGCGACTTTGTTGGGTCTGAGTTTGTTTGCTTACTGAGGTTGGCGGGACTATCGCGGATCGCCGATGGAGGGGTTGGATAGCCCTAGATTGGGAGCCCTAATTACCATTTTGGCATTGTAGATATAACGGGTTTCGACTTCAACTTTAACGGGGGCTCATTTTTCAAAATATACATATGTAGGTTATTAGAGCCATCATATTGATTTGTGATACAATCATATAGGTAACAGGGATGAAGAGAAGACACAGTGCATATGATGGAGTCAGATATACAAGGAGAGGGGTGATCAGAATCAATGTAATAGATGATGATCTCTATCTGCTGCTATGGAGCCTATCTAAATATATTCATGGGACAAGGGAAATGAACGCATAAAGCCTGGAAGGATCCAGCAAAAGCACCCCATAAGCAAAGGAAGATCTACCACAACCTGCATGAAAGCATAGCTGGAATGAATGTAGTAGTACATGAGCCGCGCAATCGTTAAGAGGTAAGGAGTGCTGAACGAAGCACCCAAAATGAACCAGAAATTGGGTAGCTGCCTTAATACATGTTAGGTCGAGCTATATTTTGATATGACAATCGCAGCCCTAGGCAGATGCTTACTCCCTCGTCCCGACACGGAGTTGACTCATATCCCCAGGGTTACGTAGCACCGAAGGCTTACGTATCTACCAGCATATCTAGTCCCATACTGGGTGGCATGGTGGATCGTTCAGGGTGGTGATCTTGGTGGTTGTACTGGTTATCCATATTAGTCAAGGGACAGGATGACGGCATCGCCACTAGTTGGGTAGGTAACACTTAGGCAACCCATGGTGGCTAGAAATATACCGACATGGTAACTCATATAAAAAAAGTTCTTGTGGCCCTAGATCTACTTTCCTTCATGTAGAGTAGGAATAAAGGTACTCCAGTTCTCTTCCATCCGCGGCAAGAACTGCGTACGTCCTTTATAGATCAGGCTTATTTTCAGCTACTGGAGTATATAAAGCCCGTCTTCCATTTACCTCAACCCTCATACGACAAGATTCCCGAGCTCATATACAGCCTGTCAGGCACCCTTGTCAGGATATAAATCCAAAATACCGACCTTAAGATGCACGGCGAATGGGAGAGTTGAGATTGAATAGCGAAAGTACCCCTGGATACTAGGTATGCCTTATATACATCGTTTGGTATGCAGGCCTGTCCGGCCTGCAGTAATTCAGATTTGGATGACCTTAATGCAATCAGCCTGTGCACTAGTAATCCCAAGAAATAGCAGTTACCCAAATCCAGTCAGATGATATCGCACGAAGTATGTATCAATGCCTCGAAACGGACCGACTCCTCGACCCCGTTGTTCCCTTCCTTGGTGTATCTCTCCCTCTTTCCCATGATCGGTACTCAGACCGTTCGCGGCGGGAGCGATGTGACGGTCCACCACTGCTGGTAACCACCGAGTGGTCTGTGGTGTTGACGGGCTTCGGATTGCGCTGTTGCTCGGATTCGGCGTCGCTCTTATTCAAGGCTCTGTTTCGAGAGGGCATCTTGTACGATAGTCTTAGAGGAAGAGGGTTCAAGTTGGTTATTGTTGAGTTGAGCGGTAATGGGTGAAATAGAGGTATTGGTCCTCTCTTATACAGAGTGGCGGCGGTGGCACACTTGATCCAAATATTGATATTTACTTCATTGTGAACACATCTTGATGCAATATACAAAGGGGCAATTCGAGGAATTATTTTATCAACTCATCAGTGAGTAGTGGTTAACGTGTCGTTGAAAATCCAAGTTTGATATATATCCATGGATGTTTCCACCGAAATGAATAGCATGACTAGGAACAAAGTCGAAAAGAGTGGATGTGGCCATGCCGATCAAGATTCACATTCAAATTTCGAGTTCGGCTTTCGTTATTCCATCGTCTCAATGTATCTCCTGGCGTCGTCATGGGATGACAATGACACGATGTGAATAGCCAAAAGAAGGGATAGACCCCTGGACCTCGGCCCAGAGGGAACTCCAACTGCGGGGGAGATCTCGAACCTCAAGATCTGATTATATTCCTCATTTCTCCTTTCAATATCGCCATTGCTTTATAGTTCCACTTGGTACCCTCCGTCCTATTGGGTCAGCTGAATCACCCTAAAATTCCACTGAAGTTCCACCATGTCGGGTCCCAAGATTACCTGCTACATCGACATCGTCAGCCCCTTCGCGTACATTGCATTCCATGTGCTGCAGGTACGAAGTCTGGGAACCTCGACGAAGCTTTTTATCTATCTAACATGCTTCTAGAATTCACCGGCCTTTGCGAAATGCGAAATTACATATGTTCCGATTCTGCTCGGAGGTTTGATGAATGCATGTGGCAACAGCCCTCCAATCAACATCAAAAGTGAGTGAAAGTCATGAATCTAAATACAACCATTGCAACAGTGAAAACTTATAATTGTATTTGCGATTTAGATAAAAAAGACTATCTGGGCCAGCAGCGGGTGCGATGGGCGAAATACTTCTCAGTCCCGATTATAGAGGGATTCCCTAAAGGCTTCCCTTTCCGCACACTATCCGCGCAACGTGCGCTATGCGCAATCTCCCAGAAAGCACCAGAAAAGCTCGCTCCGGTGATCGGGGCGCTATTCCATGCGGTCTGGGTTGAAGGCAATACTGCCATCGGCGAGCCAGATGGCTTCGCTCCCTTGATTGAGAGCGTACTCGGGAAGCAAGAGGCACATGAGATAATGTCTGCGGTAAGTCCGCTACAGTACCACCCAATATTGCAGCTAGTTCGCTAGAAATGCGACCGCAAGCACCAAGCTAACTTAGTCCCTAGATGAACAACCCGGACGTCAAGGCTCTTCTGACTGCGAATACCGGTCGGTCTTTTGACTCGGGAGCCTTCGGGCTGCCGTGGCTCGTGTGCACGAACACCAAGGGAGAGACCGAGGGCTTCTTCGGTGTCGATCATTTGGGCCAAGTGGCTGACTTCCTGGGTTTGGATCGCGCGCTTGACAGAGGATTCAGGGCGGCTCTCTAGGGACCGAGAAGTATCAATGGATGGGGTCTTGTGCATTGTAGAATGCGTTGTCAAATTTTTCACTCAAATAGTTCAGTCTGCGACATCAAATTATACATGTTGTGTGATGAGCGGGGATCCTGTCCCCCTAGAGAAGAGATGCGATCAACGACATCCAGAATGTCCGACAAGCTGCTAAAGACACATGATTATAGGTCCCCAGTCAATGGAGACTAGACTCCAAAACGGCGAGGATGTGCTGCCATTTGTCTATTTCGTTGGCTGTGGGTGCTTATTGCTCATATGTTTCTCTCGTAGGAAGTCGCAAACCTGTTCGTTGCTCATTTGATCAATGCGATCACGTTCCTCCTGAGAAAGCTCTAAACATAACACCGTCAACAACCAATTCATATGCGCTGCCTGGGAACTGATGAAAGCCAGAACATACCCTCGGGTACCGTCTCCTCAACTTCATTGGATCCACCTGAGATGGTGCGAATGTGACCCTGAACGGTACGTATAGCTCCTTGCGCAGCAGGTAGTGCTCCCTCCATTAGAGTATCCTTGGCAGCGACAATCTTCTCTTGGGCGGCGGAGCTAACGGAATTTCCAAACTCTGAAATCGAGCCGCCAGGAGCCATCGAGTCGAATTGGTGTTTCACACCCGCGAGAACACCTTCCTGTTCCTCCGTTTGATTGGAAGTAGGTTCATTCGCCTTCATCTCGACTTCGGACTGCCTCCGTTGTTCGAGCGCAACATTGGAATCCAAATACAATGAGTCGCCGGAGGGGGCTGAGCTCATAGTAAGGTGTTCCGGTTCTTTGGAAGGGGAGTATTTGTCGGATTCTGGGAACGACATGGGCGCGGACGATAACGAAGTGGAATTATAAGCAGTAATGGTAATGGTAAGTCGTAGGGCTGAGTTTGACGTAGGTCAGGTTTCGGGTGATCAGTTCGGATCGAGTATTGGGACGAGGAGGGTATGGCACTGGAGAGTAGGAAGTTTGACGACAATTCTTGTGAGCAGGCAGCAACAATATCCTTTGGGTAATTGATCTTGTTTCACTGGACTTTTCCCACGTCCAAGAGGTTGGAGATCGTTCCTAGCAATGACGTCATTAAGTTCCACTTGTGAAGATGCGTTCATCGTTCATCGACGGGGATACTCATCATTATTTTTCGATATTACACCAATTCGAGCTAGATCCTTAACTAGATACTATGCTATCGGTGTTCTACCCTGACTTTTGAATTGGAGTTGCTCTCATGGGAGTATCTTGCCAGGAACTAGTTAACTCTTATGGCACTTATTCAAGGCATCATTTTGATCTTTTAATGACTCGATGAACTGTTTTCGTGGATGCAAATACGGGGGCAGTTCAATTACTTAACGGGATATGCACATTGTACACATGCAATCGTATTCAAGACATGACTAGTTGTAGATCGTAGCCTGGAGGCCAGGAATAATCTCGAGATCCTTCGGCTTATAGGTATACTTCCCCTCACTGGAGATCTTGACATCACGATTTCTTCGCTGCTGTTGTGTCTGTCGAACAGTAACCCACTGCTCGGTCGTGAGGTGCTGGCCAAGTTCCGTGAATGCGTTGGTAGTCAAGCCCAGCCTCTGGAGGAGGGGACTGTTCTGAATGGGATCAAGAATAACGTGGTTATTGGGGCTGCATTCATTAGGCTCTGAAGGCTTTTTATGAAGCATTTCAAGTTAACTTACCGAGCAAAATACAAAACACCCAATCGATCAATGTGAGCCTGGTCAGCGGGTGGTGCATGCACCCGATGAATACTCGACTTTATCAAACCACCAGTGAGTGCCGTCAAGGCATCGCATGTGTTGATAGTAATTGTCCCATCCTGGGGCTTGACCCACTTCCATTGACCCTCTGAATTGAGGATCTGGAGTGCGGCCACCGGTTGCCGGAACAGAAGAGTAACTGTTCCCAAGTCTGTATGGCCTGGACTGTAGAGCTCGCCGACCTTCTTGTTTTCCTCAGCGCTGCGGGCTGCGTAATGCATATAACGTAGGTGGTCCTCGCCCTTGACATCATATTGATGGTCGCGGACTAGCTGATCTTCATCCGGCAACTCGAGCAGGATTGCGAAGAGGCGGAGAAGCTTCTCAACGACTTCGGTGTGACATTTCTATAGTTTTTGTTAGTTAAGGAATACAAGAAGACCATAAAGGGAGAAGTACCCGACTGAAATCTTCAATCTCTTTGATGTTCTCGGCTAGGACAGAAGGCTGGGGTCGGTCGTGGTGACCGTCGAACTTCGGGATATTGTACACCTGGACATTATCCTTGATGCCATTTCCTAGGCTGAGTTAGGACGTGTTAGCATCCGTCCAATTTGCCTCCGGGTGCAATATGTCTCTTACATCCGGTGTCCGGCAGGACGGTAAGAGTTGTATTCGCCCCTCTCAAGATCACTGGCGCTGTGGAACTTGAGTTTCTCTTCAAGTGGAAGGGCATAGAACTCCCGCCCTAAGGCGAACTGGTTGTCGATCTCCTCTTGACTGATATTAAAGTTCTTCACATAGAAGAATCCTGTTTCCAGACTCTGATCAGCACTAAACCTAAAGATCAAGTTCGATCAAAGTGCAGCCTTGAGGTTGTGTTGGGAGATGGAACCCAGTTTTGCCTGGAACACAAGGGAGCGTCGACTCACCAACGTTCCTAACAGCGTGATCGAGCTGCTTGACAAGATCTTCCTTTCCTCCTGGCTGTTCGTACTGGACTAGGTCCAGTGTGATAAGTTCAGCCCAGTCAACTAATCGCCATATGTCAGCGAGAAGAACCACTAACATACTTAATCAAGGATCACCCACGGTCTTCCTTCGTCACAGGAACCTGGTCATATTTTTCTATGTATTTGCCTGGCATCTTCAACAGACTATGATCTTCCAAGGAGTGATTATTGAATATCTGCAGCGACTTCAACTTGCTCGTTCCCACAACAACACCCCCCACCAAGGACATGTCGTATATAAGTGCATTCGCACTTCGTTCCGACCATACCCCGCATCATACAAGCGGAGGGATTTAGCAAGAGCACGCAATAAATCCATCCGATGAGGCCTAAGATATCGGCTAGTTTTTGGCTTCTGTGTGGTGGCCGGGATATGCGCACGCCATCATGCATACACATGTCGCCTCCGCGGGCGCATCAAAGTGAACGGCAAATGTGCTAGCTTTGTTTTGAGATATATTTTAGCCTCGTGGAAAGCTAGCTTTGGCAATTTGGATTTGCTGAAAGAGCGATGGTGACAGTGGGTGGGGGAATTGGTTAACACTTCCCCGGCTGGCTGTTTTTTAAGTGCCGAGATGCTATAGAAAGACATGATCCTATAAGAAGTAATGGCGATGTCTATAACTTAACGTGCGTCTTTTGCACATTCGGGAGCAGCATCGGACGTTTCCCAAGCCTGGCTCATGTCTGATCTGAAAAGCAAGGCCGGGAGATTGTCCCTATTGGGGCTTGCCAAAGAAGTGTTTAATTGGTATCCATCTTCTTATCCTGCCGAGGAGAGAAAGTTAGAATATCAATGCTTAAGAATATATCTGTGGGGGATATGCTGACGTTTCTAGATTACTTTTCAAGTTGGACTTGTCGATTCTGATATTCGCCTGTCTCTGCTGTAAGTAGATGAGTCCGAATGAGCATATGAAAACATCAACTAACAAACTAGTCTTTGTCAAGTATCTGGGTGAGCCTACGTCCTCATGGGTTGCTATTTGACTCGAAGCCAACATATCACAGACCAAACAAACATTAGCAATGCGTATGTTAGTGGTCTCAAAGAGGACTTCGCCCTGTACGGCAATGAACTGAACTACTTCAATGTCTGCTACTTCACATCATATGTGTTATTTCAAATCCCTGGACTACTACTTATGTCACGCCCAAAGTTGTGAGTCTCAGTAATTGAAATGCCTCCACACTCATATCAAGACGCTGACTGATTCCATAGAGCCCGCTGGTTGTTACCTACCCTCGAAGTCCTCTGGGGTATATGTACATTCGCTCAGAGCCGTGTCACCAACGTTCACCAGATTTATGCCCTTCGTTTCTTGGTTGGAATGCTAGAAGCACCTGTCTTTGCAGGAACGCATTTCATTCTTGGTGAGTTCAACAAATATATCGTCGTCTGGACTATACTAACCATAATGAAGGTTCATGGTACACGGGTCCCGAACTCTTCAAACGAGCCGGAACATGGTTCATCTGTAACCCGCTCGGTACCATGGTTAGTGGATACCTACAGGCAGCTGCTTATACCAACCTCTCTGGTGTTGGGGGTATGCCTGGATGGAGGTGGCTGTTCATAATTGACGGCATATTTACCATCCCCGTGGCCTTGATCGGGTTCTTCATTTTTCCCGGTATTCCGGGTTCACCCAAACCGTTCTATATGACGGACCGCGATGTTGCATTGGCCAAGGAGAGAACTACAAGAGCCAAGATCCGCCAACCTGGCAAGATGAGTCTCGATGTCTTCAGGAGGACTTTTAAGAGATGGCATATTTGGGTCTTCATCACTTGCTACGCGTAAGTTTGGGAAATGTTTACCCTCGGTGTAGTCAATATGCTAACGATAGTTTTAGTTGCATGATCATCTGCTCATATCCCAGCAGCTATATGAGCCTATGGCTTAAAGAGGAGGGATACTCCGTGACTCAAATAAATCAACTGCCAACTGTCACTTATGCTGTTAATATTGTAGCCTCCTGGCTCGGGACGACATTAGCTGCAATTTATCCGGAATGGATTATATATACCATTGCATCCGCATGTTGTCTATTCTCAACATTATGCATGATAATTTGGAACATTCCCACAGCACTGAAGTGAGATACCTTCATCAGTCCTCAGATTGATTGAGTCCATATTACTGACAAGACTCTTCAAAGATTCGTTGCCTGGTATGTCTTAGGGGCGGCTGGATGTTTGAGTCCGATCCTATACTCCACCATCAATGTAATAGTGAGGGATGACGCCGAGGAACGCGCTCTCATCATGGTATGTCCATTTCCTTCGTCCTGTGAGAACAACAATACTGATCGAATTTCTTCCTCCGTTGAAGGGCTCTATGATGACATTCGGATATTCGTTCAACATCTGGGTTCCTTTGCTGGCATTTCCAACCGCCGGCCCCGATGGTGCACCGAGATGGCGAAAGGGATGGCCAATATCATTCGTGTTTTTCTTCCTTCTATGGGCTGGCTTCGTGGTCTCTGTGTATATATGGCGAAGGTAAATTCTCGTCGTTGTATATTGGTGGACATCCAACTGACATCTCGTTATAGGGAGCAAAAGAAGGAAGCCTTAGTATCACCCCAGGAAAGTAGTGACGAGGAAACGGATAGTGTGGTAGTTGACGGGACCCAGGCATTGAAGAGTTGAGTCGAATTCGGTGAATGGCTTGGGATTGATATAAACCAATAAATAGGTTATGTCAAGTCCTAACGGATGCTATTGTTCAATGGGCAGCTTTAGATTTTCCAGGACATGATTAATACGATATCTAATACCGTTATTCTGAAAACAAGAACAAGAGAAAACGGTTGTACTGAGTTGGCTAGAAGGCACATCAAGGACAGAGACAGAGTGCTGCACGAGGAGCTTACGTTGGCTCTGTAAACAGCAGACATATGAATCATCTTGGACTACGAGGGCATAACAGTCTTAGTTTTATCGAATATCCCAATAAACATAGTGGTGTTGATTTGTGACTGTAGAGTAGCTTAACTCACGAAGAAACTGACAAGGAGAGTAAAAGTTCGCTGTCGTTCGTTGTGGTATTGTAGCTCCAGGATGAACCTCCGAGGTTCATATTCACATTAATAGCGATGACACTGTGCAGTTACCATCCTTATCCGGGCGAAAATCGCCACTCCTGCCGGGCTCGTGCCTACCACTTGAGTTAGTCTTTTGCTTCAAGTTGTTTTAACGCAACGAGAAAAACCTACCTGCACCCATTGGCGCTGCACATCTAGTTGAAGCTCGCGCTGGTCATCGGTGGGTGTGTCGTTCTAAACGAAGTCTTAGCCCTGGCCACTAAGGAGAACCGAAGATGGTCATAGCAAGCTGTGCAGCATGGATGGCCGAGAAGGTGGCAGGCTCAGTGGCGGCATAGCCTAGGGCGGCTTTCTTGGAATGAGTGGTTTTGGGGATGATGGGAAACCGAAGAGAAACCGAAGTGGAACTGAGGCTTCAAATACCAGGGCCATAGTAATAGAACCGACCATCTACCACTGATAGGAACACAGGCTTTTGGCGAATATTCTCGACTCATACATAGGCAGTATAAGAGAATGGTATACTTACGGTAATTGTGCTTGCACGTATGGCGGCAAGAGCGTACGGAGCCATTGCCTATATCTCGTTAGTGTCAACATCGAAACAAACAATTAAGATGGGTTCAGACCGCTACCCGGGCCTGCCAGTTGGCCCTGTGGCGACGCCACATCTCGAGATCGTAATATGCCTCGCATAACGAGGGTGGAGGGCTGCCTAGGTAAGGCATTGTTCGCAAGAGGATTGTTTGGATATGTGGAAATTCCAAACTTCAAGAGAGAGAGGAAAAGGTTAGGAATGGGAATGAGAAGCGAAGTGATGTGAAAGGAAGAAGTGAAGGGAAGAGAAGGGAAATTAGAAAATTGGAGAGGTTCAACCCCATGACTTCGAAGTTGTCTTTAGCAAACAAGACTTTTAATGCGGTTTTATGGTGACTTCGAAGGTTTTACCTAAGAGGGATAAAGAAGAACTATATATATATATAGATATTTAGAAATGAGAAACTTCTCAAAATATCGTTTACTCTCCAGAAAGCACAAGAGAAGTCCAGCATGTTGAACTTGCTAGGTGGCAGACTAGTATTTATAGTGCCAGGATCAATGATCTAACATGGGCATTTAGCAAACTACATATGTAGTCATCCATGGATGTCACAAGTTGAAAGAAGTCTTGCTTACCCACTACCATGCTATGTATCTAAATGCCCATAAAAAATAAGGGCAAAGGTAGGAGAAGAACAATGACAGATCTTGCATAGTCCAAAAATGTACAGAATTTCCTCAACAATAATCTCGTTTATGGGGTATCTGCAACCGCTGTTCTGTGTATACTATCAATGTGCCGGTCAAATTATTCTTCGAAGGCCCTCATAACAGCGAAAGCAGCCACTGAGCCCGATGCAACACGATTATGACCTAAAGGATTACAAGTCAGTCCGTCGAATCCATAGCGAGGGCGTTTCCCTTCAACATACCACCGTATCGAATCCGTTCCCATCTAACTTTCTTCACAATCTCAGTGCCATCTCGATTGCTGATCACATTCTTCCAGACCTTAACCTCGCTAGGGTTACCATCCTCGGTTTTGTGGTACGTCATAGCACCTGGGGCACCCTTGATGCGTGTGCCCGTGGCACCCTCCCAGACGCGGCGTCCTTCGTACCAGGGAATTTCGGCATCGTCGAAAGCATGAACTATTGTCAGATCAAGACTTTTGTCGGTGTAGTCCATATCTACAGCCCCCAAAGAAGTAGTGTTGACACCGGTAAGGCGCGCCAGTCTTCCAGCTGTGTCCCAGTGGTCCACAATATGGCTCAGCATCCATTTCTGGAACCGAGGATATCCCATAACTGGCGACAGCATAGGTGGTGTGATGCCTTTAAAGCTGTAGGATTCGATGAGATTCGGTAGGCTGCTGAAGGACGCCAATAGAACCACGCCAGCAAATGGATCGGCGTTCTCGATGGCTGGTTGGATAGCTGCCGGGTCAGATGATCCGAATGCAAAACGCTCTGCTACTGCGGTTGTGACCGCAGTTCCAAGGCTTTGGCCCATGATAACGATACGAGAAGTGGGAACCTTTAATGGCCCTGCAGTAAGGAAGTTAATGAGAGATACGCCGTCCGTGATAAGACCTTCCTCTGTGGGAGTTCCAGTGCTAACTCCAAAGCCGCGATAGTCAATTGCAAAGACGTGGACCGGGTTTGATGGGGTAGACAGGCTCAACATCGAGTTGTAAGTGGCGGGGCGATGAGCAGAACCCAAGTGCGCCGCATTTCCGTGGACTTGATTGCTCAAACGTTAACTTGGTAACAGTGAGGATTTAGGTCGTTAATAACCTACAGCTTACGACCACTCGTGCATTAGGGTCATCGGCGAGAAGCTTATGGGCAACTGTCTTGGTGTAATCTTCTGCTGGGCCTGTAGAGGGATTCTCCATTAATTCCTTTTCATATTCCCGGCAAAGATGCAACGGTAGTAAGTGCCACCCGTAGATAGTTTCATTGTCGGGCGTCACCAAATGAAAGGGTTGGACTTGGGTTCCTTTTAGGAATTGGTTAGCAAACATACTTCTGTGGTTCACCTCGACACGCCGTACTCAAAAAGCCAAATTGTTCAACTTGATTGACATCCTGCCACACGCTAGGGTTGACCTTGTTCGCATAAAGAACACTTTGTTATCTATGTTAGCTCACTCTGCGCATACGCCCGGGCTAGATACATACAAACGCTGGACCTCTGGGAAGGTCAAAGAGAGGAGGCACAACACATAGACCAGCCCACCAGCTGCAAGAGACCAGTAAGCCTTCTTGAAAATAGGTTTGAGTTCAACCATTATGCATCCAGGGATTGAGGTGTGCATTAACACCAAGGTGAGTGGACAAGCGGACAAGCGGACAAGCGGACAACCTTAGAAGTTGGAAGACACGGCGCTGATAAGCGGCGCGTTATCGCGTCTCTCCCATTTCTCCCTTCCCTCTCTCCATCCCCCTCCAACCTTTGGCTATAGGATGTTTCTTCTACTTCTATCGCGGGTATCGTGATTATATCATTGTATTGACCATGGCTGAAAAGCGCAAACTTCCGGCGCGTGACCGCCGCGAATCTGCGGCGAAAAGACGTGTCTCCGAAGCTACGCCGCAGTCTCACAAGAAAAAGGCACCAACTCCCCGTGTTCCATCGCCGGAACTAGTTGACGCCCCTCTACCGACAAAGCTTAAGGATGGAGATCCATTGCCTATTGTCCGCACGCGACAGCCACTTTCCTTGCCGGAAAATGAGTACCAGTCAATCGCCGAAAGGTTTGACATCGCCCCCCCGACTGGTGGTGTTGCATGACTGACATTCTCCGTCTTATCCCAACAGTGCAGTTCTCCTCGCCTCACTTGAACGATCGAAGAAAAAGTGGCTGAGCGATGGCATCCTTGTTCGATACTACACAAAGCCGAAGAAGACGAAACGCGAACAGATCGAGAAGAACAACCCATCAAAGGACACTATGACGAAAATCGGGCCCTGCGATGTCACCATCGGTCCCCATTTCTTTGATGCCATGATTTACATTGTCAAAGATCCCAGTGCGCCTCCGGCACTCCAATACGCACCCCCGCAACGGCCGATGGTTCACTATGGCCATCCTAATAACTTCCAACAATACCGACCCTATCCCACTCCATCCAATCAACAACGACCTGCGCAGTATTCTCCTGGTCCTCCGGGTCGTCCTGGGTATACCGGCAGCCATCCTTCGCCCCAACAAGCTCGTGGCCCGAATCAAGGAAATGCACCATCTCCCCAAGGAGGACAAAAGCCACCGCAAGGGCAAAAGGGCCAGCCTGCCAAGCCCAGTCCAGATCCTGTGATTCAAATGCTGGCTACAAGGGCAGCTGCAGACCCTGAACTGAAGGCCTTGATGCGTGTGGTTGCCTCAAGCCAAGCATCCCAGGAGCAGCTCCGGGCTTTCCAAGCACACATCGATGAACTCAACGCAATCATCAAATCAAGAGAGCAGCAAGAACAACGGCAACAACCTTCAACAGGACAGCCACTTACACAACAGCCAGCCCCTACATCGCAAACTCAGACTCAGAAACAACAAGATGGTGGGGCGAAGTCAGTATCGCTGGAGAAATCCTCACCAACGTCGCAGACCCCTTCCAAAGGATCCAAGCAGTCACCTGTCAAGACGGAGGCACAGCTTCAAACCCCTGCGCAGGCCCCGTCGAGTCAGACTCCTAAACCTCCCCAGAGCGCCACAGGGTCAGGCACAATCAAGGAAGAGCAACCAGGCACAGAGCACAGCGGTCCCCGGCCTGCCCCGTCCGAAGCAGGGCGTCCAGTGGCACCGGCCCAATCAGCGACTCCTAGTGCTTCAAGCACCCCAGCCCCTGCTTCTACATCTCAGCAGCAGACCCCTGTGGCAAACTCGACACCGCTAGCCAGCGCTCAACAGCCAGGGGCACGACCGGGACCACCATATGCCCCCCACCAACAACCTTCTTATGGGTCACAACCTCCACTTCAGTCTCGACCGCCTCAATATGGTTCTCCTGTTCCATTCCCCCGCCCGCCTTCAATCCCTTACGTCTCCCCACTTGGTTCTGCGCCGATAAACTACAAGTCTGTGGTGTTTGAATTCACGTCTCCCTTAACCCCATATGGAAGCAGTACCTCAGGTCATGCCGGTTCGGGTGACCGCTATCTCTTCCCTGAGTACACCATCCTGGAATGGCTCCCAGCCGAGAACACGGTCATCGCCTCGTTTTTGGTCGTCCGGAAGGTCGCTCCAAACACGCCCTTCCCTCTGGAGACCGCCACAGAAGCCAACTCCAAAGGCAAAGGCAAGGGGGCATCGAAAGCTAAAAAGGGTGAACCGAAAGTCAAAACCGACAAGGGCAAATTACCAGCCGATAGCCCAGCCGCCAGCCAGCCAGCCACGCCTACCACGGCGACACCACAGAAGCAGGAACCCGCCGACCAAACAGATCCCCTAACCCCCGGGCTCCCAGGGACTCCTGCGAGTGAGGCAAACCTCAAGGAATACTGGCAACCGGTCACTTTCCGCATCCATGCCCCCAATGCCAAAATCCTCGAGCCTTTAGCCCGCGTCGTCAAGCCTGCCGACGAGGTTCGCAAATATATGAACGATATCATGGACCGCGCTGAACGTGCGCCTGATGGCTACCTGGCCATGCGGCTGCCTCGCGAGGCGGCCTCTGAATCCTTTGAAAAGGACGGGACACCTGCTTCTTCCGGCAATGTCGGAACTCGCAGTCGTCTTTCCCGCGTTCAGCTCGCGGGCGAGGAATCCGAGGCGGAGAATTCTGGCTTCGAGTTCGAGGAGGATGAAGAAGATCTCAAGGATTTCTATGATGCGCCGAGCGGACTCCCGCCGTTGAAAGCGTGATGATAGGTTTGTATGCTTCTAGAGGCGTCCAAAGCTTCATGAATCCTTATGTTCAGTGGTTGATTGACACCACACATGGCTCGGCTAGAAGATCGAGTAACTATATAGCATCGATCTGTCAACCGCTGAGTACTAGCGGTTGAGAACAGAAAGGGCCCGGCCGCAACGGCAGTCAGTGTCAAACAGATCGGATTTATATGGAACTCTGAACCTTGGTGATGCTCCTTGGTTGACGTTTGTACAATATATATAGCGTTGTTCTTGCGCCAGTTGTTGAATGTACGATAATGAATAACCGAAGCCCTTATATTTATATCCACCGGTTGTCATCTGAGCTTCTCTCCCAGCTGCAAGAGCGCCGCAAAATGCGAAACACCATCGGCCGTGCAGCCACAGTCGCGAGAGAATCCCAGTCAGGGAACGGGAGGCTCACGAAGAACACCGTGACAAGTGGAAATGTATGCGCCGCTGCGGCATAATAACACGAAGCGAGAGACATGCTCATGCCGCCGTATGTCCACGTTGGATCTGCTGCCATTGCAGGCAAACCCTGCCAAGGTCCGAACGTGACCATCACCGCCAGCAATGTTCCTTAACATCTTGACTGAGGAAATTGATCGTGATTTGGAGGAGGGGATCCGGGATTATGTGGGATGAATATCAGGCTTGCCAACATGTACATATTAGAATCGTCCTAACCCTAGCTCCAACTCTCCCACGTTTCGCGGAAGTAATACCATGCCCCTACTTCTACGTTTAGAATACAATACGGCACTACGTAGATTGCATGGAAAAGATGCCATTGAACATGCTGCGAGCTATGGTTGGCTGGAAAAATTCATGCCTGCTGAACAGGTAATTAAGATGGTAACCTCGCTCCAATCTGAACATTAGTGACACCAAGTGGCAAAAACTATACCACAGGTCCATCCCTCAAACAAACGCTTGCTCATTAAATAGACAACAAAACAACCACCCTTAACCTCTCCCGCCGACATATCTCGCGTCATCCCCAATAATACCGGCCGTCTCCAAAAGCCACCTCGCACTCTCGGCGGCCGAATCCCCAGCCCCAGCCTTGATATTGATATTACGACGGCGCTCAGCCTCCCTTGCCTCGAATTCCCACTTTGCACGCTGCATCTCCACAGGACTCAAGTTCGGGTCTGCGGAGAATGACACCTCCGGATCTGGGACTGTACCCCAGATCTCCAGGGTATACAGATCGAGCTTGAGCTTTGTCGGCGGGTCTTCGGGGATGCATTGGCAGCAGGTAGGAAGACGCCGTCGTGTCCCACGGGCGCAGCGTGAAACTCGGCTGTTTCTATGTTCGAGTCGATGATAAGACTGCCTGCTCCGTGTGGTGTCGGGTATGTCTGGTGTGTGCGGGACGGGGCGGGAATTTGGCAGCCGATTGCAATGCCCGTGTTGGTTGAGAAATAGGCTGTTGGGGTGTTGGGCTTCTTTGCGGATGAAGAAGGGTTGCCTGGAAGGAGGAGGTGTTTTGGGGATAGTTGGAAGAGACAGGGGAGGAGGTCGGATGTTTTTGAAGATGAGCTTGAGGTCGATGTGGATGTTTTCCACGGTTGGGGAATGTAGGCGCCTAGTGTTATTAACTCTTCGCTGGCTGAGTCTGCAAGAGACCCTTGCAGGATGAGGAGAGTGGCAGATTGCCAGGTAAGGACGTGGTGGGAGAAATATGTTAAGGAAGACCCGTGGGCGGCGGTGGAGAAGACGGGATGTAGTTTGACGCTGCTCCGGAGGATATTGATATCGGGTGATATGGATGGGAGGAAGAATGAAAGATGCGAGGTGAGTGTTGGATTTAAGATGGCCGACTTGAAACTTCCTGGGAGTGTAAGTGAGGCCGGTGGTGGTAAAGGAGGTTCCTTGTTCTCCTCGTTCTCATTCTCGCTCTCCTCCTGTTCGGTTTCTGTTGCTGGACCCTTATGGCGGCGTTGAGATAGGTTCAGATTTTTGCTGAAAAGCATGTGCTCGAAAAGGGCAGTCAGCGGATCGAACAGATATGGCAGAGACAATGATATCGTTCGGGCAAAAGCCTTGTAAGATATGCCATCATCGCTTTCTGCCGGTGAAAAGGCTGCAATAATACTGTCTGCTTCTTTCTTGACCGATTCCATACGCCGAGCATCCAGTCCAGTTGTGTATACCTTCAAAGACTCTAGTGGCTTCAGTGGTGCAATGACAAGCAGTAGCATAAGCAACCGGCGGAACGTATCGATAGAAATCCGGGTCTCATAAACGGTCTTGTCAACCCGGTGATCGTGTTTGAATACTTCGATCGCATCAAGAGACTCCAGTGCTGCAAGTGCAAGGTCATCATCCTCATCTTCATCGTACTCATCGTTGGCCGGTTCATCTACGGAGAAGCCCGGCGCATGGGAATGTCCAACCAAAGTTTCGGAGTCCTCAGTGGTAGATTCTCTGTTGGACTCCGCGGGGATCTTCCTCCCCACATCACCCAGACTGCCAAAGAGTAACTTGATCCGATCCTTGTCTCCCCGCTTCAGCGCTTTCCCGTAGCGCTCAGTCAAGAGCACAACGACCTTAACCATGGCCTCAAATGTCAACACGCTGGGTGCGAGCGTGTTTTGGAATGGAAAGGCTCCCAGATAAGAGACCATGCGAAAAATCACAGGTCCTGCATCTAATGGCTGGTCGGGGAAGAGGTACAGATGCCATCCGGGATGCCAAGGAAGTCTGACAAGACTTTCTCATTCCAGTACCGCAGGCCTCCCTGCTCTAACGCCCGAGAGAAGAAGTTGTCTTTGAAATGCGTGAGCTCTAATGGCGTAAAGCATTTTGTCGCAAAGCGCTCGGCGAGCACGGAGCTCAACTCCTCTGTTTATGCATGTGGTCAGACACAATTGTTCTTGACAAGACGGAGAAGATTCCCATGTCAAAGTCGAGGTCATAATATTGTCAATTACGGTCGACCAAGAGAGTACGACACCCATGTGTCTCCTAAACACCTAAACACAATCGCGACCACAACAAATAGAACTTACCTGGGGATGATGCACGATGCTCATTCGACTGGCCTGCACCCATTGTTGATTCTCGGTGGTTGATGCGGGACGACCCCACTGGGCTACGACTGCGTCCCGTCGCAGTGCTCAAGAGCTGGAAGCAAGTGAAAAGTTGGAAGAAGAGGAACAGGCGAGGGACTGAATGGCTCAGAGTTGTCAATTCAACACTAGAAATGCAGCATCAACGAACAGTAGCAAGTCAAGATAAAGAGCGAGATTCCATAACGACGTCAGGCAGTTGCCTGAGGCACTAATTTATGCCTGAGACCGAAAACTGTCAGTATATATTACGTAACGTATCTCATAAGCGAGTGGGCCACCCGTGGACACATTGGAACCTTGCAAGTGGGCCACCTAACCCAACACGCCCGGGCGTTCATGATTTATGTCAGCCGGAATTACACCTTTCCCGTCCCGTCATTCATGTACTTACCCGTGGACGCTATATAGACAGTAGCCACCTTAGGCATCTTTGGGCTGTTGAGGCACTTCAGGTAGCAGCTGCAGCTTACACCACTGCTCGTTTGGCGGGCAAGACTCTGGCAACGGTCATTTCGGCTCTTAGTTCGTTCCAGAGTAAGATCACGAAGCTGAATATGCCTGCGATCCCGGTTTCGAAGACACCATCAAGCTAGATCCAGTGAGATGTTTGGCGCCTATGTGTCACGTTGATTTATACTTACTATATTGACCTTTGAAGATAGCAAACATTGTGATAGTCGATATGTCGACATGTGTATCAAATATTGAAATGCGGTGTAGAAAGTCAGAATAAGCAAAACAAAACAAGGCAGTCACCATCGCAAGCTGTACAAATATTATTGGAGCAAAAGAAACATCGTCAAACTAACCTTGCAAACTAGGTAAAAAGCCTGGTTCGGATTAATTATTGTACTTACAATTACCCATCTTTTCTGAATATTACTTTCCTCCCCACACATATGTAGCAATGAGTGTTGCTAGGAGTGTACCCAGGTTATTCCGAAGCTTCACCTCAACTTTTGTCGCGTTGCGCACGTTTCCCAGGCAAAGAATCTGGCATCGAAATATAGCTCAACCTTTTTCCACGGCAAATACTACTCCCAACTTCCTAAGCCAAATGGAAAAACACGCTAACCCTGCTCAATTCCCCCCGGTGCAAAGCCTGTCTCCACGCATCCCGAGCAGGAGCCCCCAATCCAACGAGGCCGACCAAATCGAGCAATATCTCCACGAGGACGGCCATCGTGCCTGGGGATTCGTCATCTACCGATGTACCTACGAGAGCGACACAGCCTGGGAGGAATTTATACGCCGTCTACTCGCCAACACTAAGGAGACGCTAGAATGGGCCGGGGGGGCTTGATTTACTTGATAATCTAGCCGTGACCGTATTCGAGGACTCGAGTTTTGACGGGGCCACTGCGGCGGTGGCCAGGGACCATTTTAAGCGGTGGACGGCGACTGCAGCGCAGCAGGAACAAGGCACCGGCCCGGGATTTTCGAAACGATACTTGTGCTGTATCCAGGTTACGCAGGATGTGTTAGACTCAGTTCTCGTTGATGACGATGGGTTTGTGCGCCTGGTTCGGGGGGATTGGAAGGAGTATGATCCGTACGAGGAGGGGGAGAGGGTAGAGGAGGAACACGAGGCGCTTGAAGGGTGCACTCTGGAGAATGTGGGATGGATGCAGGTCCCATTCAATGGTGTGATGGTTGTTCCATGGTATTACTTGCGTGGTTATGGTTGGGACAGAGAGTATCGTCGTCCGCCCACGGTTGCTTGTTTCTAGTTTTCTTTTGTCTACTGTTGTCTGCTCTTCATTGAACGCAATGGCCCCTAACTACTTTAAATCGGGGGGCGGAATACCCCGGCCCTAGTATGCCCCTCAGAACTCCTTTAATTTGTGACGAACATGGTTTGAAGTTTCCTTCAACAGTATGTTAATTTATCGCAATTGGTGAGTTCACAATGTGTGGAATTTCTGCTTGTGTTTCGCTTGCACCAGTAAGCAACAAGTGCCGCAATGGTTGTACCCATCATGGAAGTGCCCCTTCCAACGCGGAAACCAAGTTGGACTCCCAATTTAGCGGTACGGCCAAGAGACTTGCGACGTGACGCAGCTCAAAGCCTCTGTTGATATCATCGCCCACCGTGGCCCTGATGACTCGGACGTTTGGATCAGTGACAACGAGCAAGTAGGGCTGGCTCATTGTCGACTTTCCATCAATGACCTGTCCTCCGCGGGGCGACAGCCGCTTCATAGAAGCGACAACCAAATACATGCCGTGGTAAACGGCGAAATATATGACTATGATTCCATTCGCCGAGAGTGCGAAACGGTTCACGGTTACGTTTTCCAGAGCGACAGCGACAGCGAGCTGGTTTTGGCGCTCTACAAGATCTACAGCGCCCCGGGATTCTTCACTCATCTTCGGGGTGAATTTGCATTTGTCATTTATGATAGCCGTGAAAGTTCTCGGCACGTGATTGCGGGACGCGACCGCTATGGCATCAAGCCATTGGTGTATACTCGCCTCGGGTCGAATCGCTGCAGCCATTGGTCCATAACGCCCTGTCGCAGCTTCGTATATAAATTTGATTTTTTTTTATTTCTCTTCTTTTTTTATCGCTAGCAAAATACAGGGAAAAGAATTCGTTTTCGGGGTATCCGACGTTAGAATTTACTAGCCAAAACGTCAAGCCTATAGCATGACGATACCAACACCGCCCATCTTCGACTCATCGGGCAAGTTTTTCTCGTTAATTCCACCACCAATAGGTGCAGCGCGGTAGTTATATAGGTAGAAGTGGAGCTGGCCATCGCCGGCACCGAACTTGAGATCCTCGAGGAAGAGGGGGTTGTCGTGCGAGGTGAGAGCATTGAAGACGTCGAAACGGGCCTAGATCGAGTAAAGAAAAAGACGCGATTAGCATGTAGAATCAAATATAACACATTGCAACATACCTGCTTTGCGCAAATCAGGGCGTCGTTGATCAAGAGCTGCAAGCGCGCCTTGAAAGCCTTCTTGTCGTCAGAGAACGCAGTCTCGGTCGCGTAGTAGTACAGGTATGCGGCGTGGACGGCATCATGCTTGGGGTTGTCAATCACTGTAGACTCGAGATTGTAGAACGAGACAAAGTCGGTGATCTTGTGGGTTTCCGGGTCTTCGGCAACGTATGACCAGACAACCTGGTCCTTGCCAGGCTGCTTCTTGTAGACCAGCCAGTGATCGATTTCCTCGCGTGTAAAGGCCTGGTTCATATCGAAGCGCCGCATGTAACGCTCCAGCAGATCATAGACGGCATCGATGTCCTTGGATTCCATGGGCCGCAGGCCGGGGGTCGACGTCTCGCTAGGGAGATGATTCTTAGTGACTTGGCGGGCCTTGGTCGAGCCATGAGGCAGAGGCGAGAAGCCAACGTCGTAGAGCTTCAACCAATCCAGAGAACGGTGGTAGTATCGGCAAGAGCTGACGGGTGTGGGCAAGATTATACCGCCAGTATAAATGGCCTGGTAGATACCCCTGAGGTAGCAGCGACGAGTAATCTCCTTGATCAAAACAGGAGTCAGACGCTTAGAGCGGAGCTTCTTGTGGATACACAGGAAGTTGATCTCCGTCACCTTGAGGCGCTCGCCGCGGACGCGGAGTTCAGTCGGGACGCCGCAAATGGATGCAACCAGCTTGCGCGACTTGGTGGCGCGCACTCCAACATGCCATTCCTTCTTCCATCCGGGTGACATCAGGGCCCTATGTATGCAGCATTAGCATTCTGAAATAGGCACACAGGTCCAAAACTCAACCCTACCAGTGAAGGAAGGATTCCGAATAATTGAAACGGAACATGGCGTTATCATCCTCGACGTAATGCTTGTTAAGAAGCTCGTATAGCTCTTTCAGCTCCTCCTCGTTCGTCAGGTCAAGAGTACACCACTCGAATCCCTCAATGAGCGCATCGGGGGGTCTTGGAGACCTTCTCTGGGTCGATAATCTTGATAGGTCCCTGAGTAATCTGCTCCTTTCCAGCCTCCTCAAATGCAGGCACTGGCTGTGTCTGCCAAAACTTGTACGAGGCCATATCCTTCTGGTTCTTACCTCCCACCGCCAATCCAGTCAGCATCTGTGAGAGGTCCATGTTGTGCAGTAGGGCCGCAGCCTTGTCCTTGTCCATCGTAGCTAGCTCGCTCTTCAGGGCTGGGTTTTGTTCGAGGAGTAAGGAAGCGAACTTCGCGGGAAGCTTCTTTCCTGCTTCTGGAATTCGAATGTCAGCAGCTGCACATCTGCGGGCTAGGGTCATGGGGGCATAGTGTGGAAGGCTGAATAGAGGGACCTACCATTGCCTGAGTCGGATGGAGCCCCAGACTCATCTTCATTGCGCTTGGGAGCCTTGCCCTTTTTGTCACTGGAATCGGACATGATGTGTTGGGGTGTTGTGGAAGAAGGAATTGGATCGGGCCCCACGTTTCAAACGCCGCGGATCTCTGGTGGGGGATTCTGCGGGCAATTTGACTTAATAATACTACGATATTGAGGCGGTCTCAACACAACTCGCTATGCTTGTTATTTATGAGGGAAATAGTTCTTGGCTATTATTTATGGACACGTTTCACCTTGCACGTAGTACTTAGTGCTCCACTGTGAAGAGTAAAGACCCCTGTTCAATGATAAACTCTTAGTGGCCTACATCAGGAACCTCGGCATTCACATATGCAAAGCTCATGTAAATCTAAAAGCACGTACAGGATTTCAAATATGGTCTCATTCAAATGGTAAAATGGTAAATTATATTGAGAATCGAAGAATTGTTGAAATCCAAGCAAAAACACCTCTATGTCCGTTCTATGCTAAGCCATAGGAATATCTCAAGTGTTGATACAAGAATGCAAGGGTCATTGGAGCTCCGGGCTACCAATCATCAGGGAATCACGCATCAGTAGATGGCTTCGTCTCAAGCACATCGAGGAATCCTCCGACCAAATGCAGGCTGCCGGTGACAAAAGTCATGACCGGAGCTTCGTCCTTCTGCAGGACTTTGCGTTCCTGGCCCGCAACTTCCCGTGCAAAATCAACAGCCTCCTCGATTGTACCAAAAACATGTGTTTGAGTGCGAGGGTCAATAGCATTCCACTCCTGTGCTAGAGATTTTTGGACTCGAAGGAGTTCGAGGTCGTCAGCGTTGGTGTTCATACTGACCAAGTCAGGTCGGAAGCCCGCCTGTTTGTATGTGATATTCGAGCAGAAGAGGGCATGAGTGAATGGGGTATCGTTTCCAAGGGCAGACGCGAGGGTCTCGTGGAGAGCACGAGCAAGAGCTGTGCTGTTACGAGTCTGTTGGTTGAAGATCAAAATTCTTGTCTTCTTGGCAGCTACATCCTCGGATGAGGAGTCGGCCTGGATCCGCGACGCAAACCACTGGCCAGCCAGCCGGATGCTCTCCAAAGTGTGCCCACCATCGATATACCAAGATACATTCTTCTCAAATCGGGTCTCACACCTGCCACCTAGACGAGTTCCCTCGAGCCCGGTCTTGAACTTCGCCGGTAGTGGTCCTTCCATAATATTTTCTGTGACTTCGATGCCAACTTGGCGCAAGAAGTCCCCGGCAGCTGCCACCGCCACTGATGCGTTGGTGTACTGGAAGTCTCCAGCTAACCCAAGGGTGATCTTGCTACTCTCAGGGCGGAGCTCTGAATGGCCACGCACAATTTCCAGCCGGGCGCCAGCCTCCTCAGCGCGTTTAGCCAAGACTTGCTCCGCACCCAGAGGTTGTGGTGCCGCAAACCCATTTACGCCACGCTTGAAAATGCCAGCCTTGTGCCATGCGATTTCCTCAATCGTATGTCCAAGCATATCAACGTGATCAATGCCCAGACTACTGACCGCTGTCACTTTGGGTTCTGGGATCACGTTGGTACAATCATATTGACCACCGATCCCACATTCAATCACCGCTGCGTCCACGCCCTCGCTCAAGTAGGTATGGAATGCCATCAAGGTCAAGTACCGGAAATATTGCGGTTTCGTCCCAGGCCCGGTGGGATCTTCACCCGCCAGTTTAGCAGAGTTCTCGAGACGATCCCATACTTCGAAGAAATAGCGCGCAAATTGCTCTTCGGACAATGGGGCATTGTCAATCTTTATGCGCTCACGTGCAAACCGGAGGTGCGGCGAGGTGAAGAGACCGATCTTAAGATTGGATCCAGGTTGATCCGCATCTTTTCGATTATATTGGGAGAGGATGGTGGAGATGAATGCGGAGGTCGAGCCCTTGCCTTTCGTGCCGGCGACATGAATTGCGTTCAGACGATTAAGGTCGGCAGGCTAGGGAACGTAAAGATCTCGCATTAGCTCCACTCGTAAGGAAACAAGATTCCTGCCATCAGCGCACCTTGTATCCAATGCGCCGCAACCACTCCACTGTTTGCGGGAGAGATAGCTCGTTCATCTCCTGCCTCGTTTTGGACTTCCTGAGCGCCTCCACAATTGCATAATTAGTCTGCAATGAGTTGAGAGATGCAATTGCATCCTGTGCATGCCAAAGTCAGCATACGCTATATTTTGACGGAAGTAATCCGCTGTCGCAAAACGCCGAGTCGCATACCTCATATGTTCGAGTCATGGTGGGCGAACGAGTCGAGAATCGCCGTGCGCAAAACTGCCAGCGAGTAGAGGTCCAAAGCCTTCTCATGAACAAATTAAACCCGTGCCTGATGTCCTCAAATGAGCAGGGGTGGTTAAAGAAACCCCCGGTAGCTCTAACAATTTATGATTCTCTGGTTGATCCCCCCCGCTCTCCTCGGGAAACCCATTATTTGGCACTGATCGGGAAGATCACGTGCACGTTCTGCATAGAACCCAAACTGCCAACTTAAGTGATTTATATAAGTGGTTGTTGCTCATTCATAAACAGTGGATTGATACATTCACAAATAGGTTTGTATAGCAGCATCTCGCATGTTGCAGTTTTCGGTGTTTCCTGTACGAAGTTACAGCAAGAAGTGATCAATGGACAGCACTATCGCGACTATTAAGTCATATATACATATGGCTTAATCAAGACAAGAGAGGTATGTATGCGAACCCCCAGGCACAGGTGAATATGTATGAGGCAGGTAAATACAGAAAACCTTAGTGTCTGGTTTGATACATAGAAACACGCGTTTTAATCACAACATATCTGAGTCGCAAGATGAGGTGTTGTAGAAAGATGGATGTAGGTCTTCGAACCATTCATGCATTGGCTAAGCTCTCGAGAACTTCGAGGGAGAATCCGAGCAGCAGGAACAATGGGAACCGATGTAGAATCACAACAGCAGCATACAGCTGGAAATTCTCGCTTTCGAGCAAAGAAACAGTGTATCGAGCAAAGATGAAAGATGATTAGAATTGAATTGAAGGGGCGAGAAAGAGGAAAGGAAAATGCCGGCGGGCCTGTAGTGGTGAAAAGAATGGTAATAAAACATACAGCCATGGGAGTATAGAGAATATGAGAACAAAGGGGGAAAAGAAATAGCCCAAAACGCCGGAATGAGTGAAACATTTACTCAATCCTAGTCTTGCCCTCCTCCAAAAAGACGAGACGGGCATTGCTAATACCACGTTGGTGTCGTTTGGCAGGAAGCCAATTACCGATGATGGGGTCAGAGCGCGCTTTGATGAGAGCATCCTGGTACCCTTCGGCGCCAGCAACTGGTGTGTTTAGCTTGGGCCAATTGACCTAACGGAAAAAAGGATCAGTGGGACAATACTTCAACTTGGTCAGCATGGAATGAACTTACATAGAGCATACCGTGCCCGTGCACGAAACGGAAACAGTAGACCGCCACCAGCAACCAGAATATCATAAACAGCCGAAGCGGCCACACAGCGGCATCAGGCAATCTTCTTGTGAAAAGCGCGACCAAGATCATGAACACACTAGCAGCGAGGACATATGGGACTGACTGGATGACAAGTGGTCGCTGATCAAGGAATAGTTGGATGTTGGCAAATGTTGAATCCGATGGGATATAGGTGCCCAGAAATACGTCGAACCCATCTTGTCGAGGACCGTCCATGAAGTTGTTGCGCACATATCGCGTGATGGAATTGTTCAAATCTTGCAACATGCCGGCCCGCGTACGTTTGCCAGTCCGAGTGAAATCTGTCTTCAGGGCACCAGTACCGGAATAAGACTTGGAGACCACATCTGCGTTGTCTGCCCAAATATTCCGGAACAGATCTTCAAACTCTTGGTCATCGTTGGCAGTCTCCCCGGGACGGAGAACGCCTGCATCCATGAGCTGCCGTGTAACCGCCCAGCGGCCGAGCATGCTCTGCACTACATTAGTGCGGTCCAGACAATCCATACAATTTGTTCGGACAACACTCGTTTGCGTAGAACGAGTATCCAACTGCCCACCAGGGGCACCAGGACTCTCAACCCCACGGAAATAACCGCCCTGGGTCAGCCCGTCGTTCAGACGGCCCATGAGCAACTCTGCGCGATGCCACTTGAGGCCCTTAGTCTCGTTGTGGAAATCAAAGTACACATAATGCAAGCGATCCATCTCTTTTTGTTTGAACCCTGGTTCCAAGACATGCGTCTTTTCAGAGGTGCGTTCATCAGTTTCGGTGCTTTCAGATGTGGATGTGACTAGTGTGCGAACCAGCTGCTCGTATGCGCGCTTGACATTCTCCTCCCTGCCCTTTTGGTTGACGAGGTTGACCATGTAATTTTCTCCGTAGATGCGAATCTGCTCGGCGAAATGCTTCCGTGCAGCCTCGACAGAAGTCTCAACGTCACGAACCTGAAGTTTCGGTGTATATTTGAGATCGTTGACTTCAGCCCAGAATAGGGGAACGCTGCCTCGAGTTTGCACAAAGGAGTAGACTTGAAGGTCTTGCCCAGCTTTGCCACTGGTCATTGATTGACCTCCACCAAACCCAGATAGTCCACCCGCCGAGTCATTCAAGATCACAATCTGCTCGGTCTCGTTGTAGTTTGAAACATTGCCTTGCTCATCGATTCCGCGAGAGAAATATCTCGTTCCGGCGCGGTGTCTGGATCGCCGGGTGATAAGCGCGAAGGTGAAGGATGTTGACTTCACTCGGGCAGGAGTAATGCGCATCATACCGAACATCACTGGTAAGATGTAGGGGTCTACTCCTGGCTGCGGGCCGTAGCGGATTCCGCTTGTATCGTTGACTCCGAGGCTGAAGTTGATCAGATCGGATTGAATAAAGCGATTCCAGAAGAAGCGGTCGTCTGCACCCTTCCACATCGGAACATTGGGGGCAGTTTGTGACTGTCGCTGGAAATTATTGGTGATATCCAGCGAATAGGAGAAGTACATGGGTCCCCTTCGAAGCAGGTCTTTCACGAGTGTAAGATAGGCATCTTCGTCGGTGTCGTGAAGCGGCCGTTCTCGCATAGGGAGGAATTCTGTTCCGGCGACTTTGTACACCATATGGCCGCGCAACCGTCCCATGGGCTGGGCTTTGGTGATAACAATGATGTATTTATCTGTGAGTGTCAGCGCAACCTCCTGAGTTTCTATTTATGAGCGTAATTACCAAGCTTCAACTTGAGAATTCCGAGAATTCCAGCAATACTGGAAATGCGCTTAGCACCTGGAAGGGGGCCATCGTTCAAACGTAAATCACCAGTTGGTCGGTCGACTACCAGAGTGGGTGCTTGGCGTGATGATGGCGAAGTAAAGGCATAGTGGGAAGGCGATGCGTGTAAGTTGATATCCCGAAACGGGAGAATAGTAGGAGCCATGATTTGAAACAATGACCTCCTGAAAAATGAGTGAAAATGAGTGATTACAAGGGAATGTGAAGAAGAAGTAGAAGAAGAAGCATAAGTAAATTTCAAAGGTTTCCCTCGGTCCAAAGTTCCCAAAAGACAAGGGAAGGTACCAAAAAGTAACGGCGGGCCACTCTGGTCAGTACGCAGCCACACCGCCCCGCTGCTCCTGTGGCTGGGCCTTCCGTCATCTATTCTTGTCTGCCTCAAGGTCTTTGAAGTGTCTTGAATCTTTATTTGTACCCTTTGGATCTTCCCATTTTTCTCATCTTATTCCGGGTCTTGAGACCTTGATATATCTCAGTTCCTCGACCGTTTTATCTTCCGTCCTTCGACCCTCCCCCCAGAACCCTCCATCCTCTCCTGATCATGGCTTCCAGACAAGCAGCAGGAGCCCGCCCGGGCGCACGATTTGCCCAGTTCAAACTCGTCCTTCTTGGTATGTTCTGGCGTTTACTTGCAAGCTTTTTTTTCGATCTTTGGATCTATAGCTGACATACTGTGCTTATAGGAGAGTCCGCTGTCGGAAAGGTTTGGGTTAACACTTGCGATCTTCTTTATCAGCCACTGACTTGACCGCTATCTTCCAGAGTTCGCTAGTCCTCAGATTCGTTAAAGTGAGTCTTCAACGATCGTCACATTACTTGCCGCGGCGAGCCGAACGTACATAGAGTAATAAAACGCTAATCTCTCGGTTCAGGACCAATTCGATGATTATCGCGAGTCGACTATCGGAGCCGCCTTCCTGACACAGACCATCTCCCTCGATGATACCACCACAGTCAAGTTCGAAATTTGGGATACTGCTGGCCAGGAGCGGTATAAGTCGCTTGCTCCGATGTACTATCGCAACGCCAACTGCGCTGTGGTCGTCTATGACATCACTCAAGCTGTATGGTCCAATCCTACATCATGCCTTCCAGCTTATTGCCAGTGTAGAAGCTAACATTCGTGGAAACACCCTATAGTCATCGCTAGACAAAGCCAAATCGTGGGTGAAGGAACTCCAGCGCCAAGCGAATGAGAACATTGTGATCGCGCTGGCAGGCAACAAGCTTGATCTTGTCACAGAGAGCCCTGATAAGCGAGCAATCCAAGAGGCCGACGCCGAGGCCTACGCCCGTGAAGCGGGCCTGCTTTTCTTTGAAACCTCTGCCAAGTCCTCGACGAATGTCAAGGAACTATTCACCGCCATCGCCAAGAAACTGCCTCTGGATCAGGCCGGTCCTCGGAACATGCGGGCGACTCCTCGGCCCGGCGTTGACTTGCGACCAGAGGCCCCTGGAACTCAGGGTGCCGGTGCGTGCAATTGTTGAACAATTACCCGATCATATTCCCCCTTAGCCAGTGCGTCCTCGCTTTACACACCGTTTGAGAGAAGGCGAAGGCTACACATCCCAGCATCATTCAACGGTGGTATAACTCTGTGACTTTCTATGATTTCGCCAATGTCATTCGATCGGACTCTGGCACCATTCTCTACCCGCTACGGAACCGAGGGATAGACTCTCGGTTCATGATCAATCTAGCCCTCTCGGATTTTCCTTGCTTCTTTTGTCCTTGCTCAGCCTGCTCAATTGAGGTCCCACAAGTCCACCGTTGGCAGAAGGATTTAACTTCCATGGAGCCACATGGAATTTGGCTTTAGACATGCTGCAGCTGGATCTGTCGGTGCTTTGACGGTGCTGTTCCTTCTGTCTCCTTGTTCCTTCTCACCTGGCGTCTGCATCTGCTCCTCTTTCTTTCGTCCTACGTCTTGGACTGAACTCCTGCTATTCCCGTTACCCTTGTCTCTCACAGAATTCTTAGTATGTTATGCTCAAATAATACATTTTCCTCACCTGTATGTACAGTGAAGACCTACAATATGTTAGTGGTGTAGCCAGACCGAATAGATAAATGAGTTCTCTCTACTTAAGGTGCCTTGGTTCTGGATACAGTCAAGAAGTGTGGATATTTCGTTACTTGCTTTTCGGATATATCCATGGATATGTGTGTTGCTTATTATATTCCTCGGTTGGTCTCGAAAACTGACCCGAACACCTAACCAGTGGCCAATATCCTGGACAAGATGTTCCCATACATATGTATTTATATGCCAAGCTCTATTTTATCTTCTATTCCACTGAATCAAAACCCCAGCTATACTTCTCTGATGTCAGTATGTACGGAAGTGGGCATGAAATGGCGCGCAAAGCCCTGACCGCCCGCAGGATTATCGGGGCGGATCGCAACTGAGCAACCAAGTTCCCGTTTTCCTACTCATCCATCTTTCTGATCACCTTTAGCCACTAATTTTGGCGATTGTGCGGCTCGTCATGCTGCGCTCCTCGATTGCCCGGGTCGGCAATTGCTGTCAAACCCTGTCCGCCAACGGATCCCGTCGCAATGGCTGTCCAGAGCCGGTGCAAGCAACCGGCTGGCAGGTCAGGTAAAGAGAACCATATCCCCAAGCTTCCTATTTCTTTATACTCACAATCGTCACACGCAGCGATTCTTCGCTGATTCTAAGCCCCCTACCACCGGTGGTCCCACACCAGTCTCCCCTTCCTCCGAATCCAGTGTCCCTCCCGAGACCATCTCGAAGGCCGCTGAACAAGGTATGACGGCCCCCTCGTTCATCAATTACCATTGAGGCCTACCCCCCATGTCCTAATACGATTTTCTTTGCAGAATCTAAGCTTCCTCCCTCGCCCCCGGCAGCTGCTCCCCGCAAATCCGGTCGTTTCCGTCGGTTCTTGATTTATCTGATCCTCACATCCGGCTTTGCCTATGGTGGCAGCATCTTCCTGGCCCTGAGGTTCGACAACTTCCACGACTTCTTTACCGAGTACATTCCCTACGGTGAGGAATCTGTTCTTTACTTTGAGGAGCGCGACTTCTACCGCCGCTTCCCCAATGCCTTGAGACACCCAAACCGTCTCCCGGCTGCACCCCGAGAAGAGGGAAAGCCCGTGACAATTCCTAGCAAGAGCGGTCTGTCCTGGAAGGTTGCTGAAGAACACAAGGCCGATGCCGATTCTAAGAAGGCAGCGGCAGCTCACGAGGGACAGATTAAGCCCGCGGCCGCTAAGCCCGAGGAGCGGAACGCCGCAGTCGTGAAGGCCAAGGAAGACACGGCCTCGAAGCACAGCACCAAGGAGACGAAGCCCGAATCCGAGGCGAAGAGCCCAGTCTCACTGGATGAGCCCAGAAAACCTGCTGTTTCTGCGAGCACCATTGAATTGCTCCAGTTGCAGGATGGTGATGACTCTGTTGTTCAGGATCTGGTTAAGACCTTCAACGACATCGTTACCGTCATCAGCGCCGATGAAAACTCCAACAAATACTCTGCTCCTGTCGCCAAGGCCAAGGGAGAATTGGAGAAGATTGCCGAGAAGATCGCTGCTATTCGCAGTGAGGCTCGCAACACTGCCCAGGAGGAGCTTAACAAGCTACATGCTACCTTTGATGAGTCGGCACGTGAATTGATGCGCCAGTTCGAGGAAGTGCGTTCCACTGATCTTGCTTCGTTCCGTGAAGAGTTCGAGGCCGAGCGCGAGAAGCTCGCCCTGGCATACCAGCAGAAGGTCAACACCGAGCTCCGCCATGCCCAGGAGCTTGCTGAGCAGCGTCTTCAGAATGAGCTCGTTGAGCAGGCCATCGAGTTGAACCGCAAGTATGTTCACGAGGTCAAGAGCCTTGTGGAACGCGAGCGTGAAGGCCGTCTGAGCAAGTTGACTGAGCTCACCGCCGACGTTAACGAACTTGAGAAGCTCACCGCTGGATGGAGCGACGTTATCGACGCCAATCTCAAGACTCAGCAGCTGCAGGTCGCCCTGGATGCCGTTCGGACCGTGGTCGAGCGTGCCTGAGACCCCCCGCCCATTCATCCGTGAGCTTGTGGCCGTGAAAGAGCTTGCTGCTGGTGATGCCGTCGTCGAGGCTGCCATCGCATCTATCAACCCCACCGCTTACCAGCGTGGTATTCCCTCCACTACGCAGATCTTCGAGCGTTTCCGCCGAGTTGCAAGTGAAGTCCGCAAGGCTAGCCTGCTGCCCGAGGATGCCGGTGTGGCAAGCCACGCTGCCAGCCTTGTCCTGAGCAAGGTTATGTTCAAGAAGGATGTTTTGTCTGAGGGTGATGACGTCGAGAGCGTTCTGGTGCGCACTGAGAACTTGTTGCAGCAGGGCGATGTTGACGCCGCCGCTCGGGAAATGAACACCCTCCAGGGCTGGGCTAAAATCCTCAGCAAGGACTGGTTGGGTGATGTTCGCAAGGTTCTTGAGGTCAGACAGGCTCTCGAAGTAAGTTTTTGTTTTATCTTTCAGGTTGGCAATTTGCAACAGATCCACTAACGTTTCCTTTCCCAGGTCATCGAGGCTGAGGCCCGCCTCCAGTGCTTGCGGGTTGAGTAAGCGCATACTTTGAGCGAAGATGAATTCATTTTACCCTGTATATCCACATCATTTACAGGAACTGTACCTCTAGTTGTACTTGTGCTTTAGACCCAAATGCTAGAACTTTCCCACGTCTCTTGACTCGTCTAAGATGTGCATCACATAGCCTCCATGACTTAGAACTTAATGCAGCCTTTGGTCCTAAATTAGATCACGAATAAGATCCATGCTCGACTCCCCTGGGGGTTTCGTGCCCCGGGGCTGCCCGGGGCTGCTGCCCAGGCCAGTCCGTGCGAATAAAGTGATTACGTAACATCGACTGACGCGCATTCAGATCTACACTGGGGATGTTGCGTCTTGTAGGCTGATTGTGCAACATTGTCTTTAATTTTCGCCGGTATTTGAACCCTTGCCAACTTGGCAGATCGCACTTATGCTTGTATCTGGACAAATTATGTCTGTCTCTTTCTCGAACGTTGCCATTTAGCATTGTTGCCTTCCTGCAGCAATGTCGCAACGACCGAACGAGCCCCCTGTACGATCTTCAATGTCTCCGGCTAATGGACGAAACCGAGATCGATCCCCAGAAACTGCGTCGCCTTTACCACGATCCGATGAAGGCTCATTTCGCCAGACCCCGCCCCAAAAGAACGACGGCCAAGCAAGCGGGGAGTTAGAGGGGACTACACTGGGCAGCAGTTCCCGTGATGGAGATCGAAGGACACCGGGCCAGCGGAGGACCCAGAGCTCAGGTGGCTTTTTGCTTGACTCATTGCCCCGCACACGAAGCACAAGAGTCAGCTTGCAACGCCCTCGCCCCTCAGAACCTCCCCAAGAGAAGCGCAGCGTTCCCGAACCGGATATCGTGGTCCCCAAGAAACGCTCGCGGTTCCCATGGAGCCGGAATAAGCGCCATGAATCTGAGGTAATGCCGGAAAATGCAAGTCCAAGCCCGACCACTGCTCGGCAAGCTTCTGCGCCTCCTGATAGACAACCCTCTGGAAGCTCCTCGCAGCCCGAGGTGCACGAAGACAATGTGGCACATCCAACTCCCGGTCTCGATAGGGACTCGATCCAGATCGTAAATCTAGCCTTGAACCTTAATGAGTCTCGGAGGAGGACAGCTTCTGGAATACCCCCGGGCTCTGAGAGCCGAAGACCAATATCTGTCTCTCAACCTGCTGTTTCGACAACTGACAGCTATGGGTATTCCCCACTAGCGAAGAAGTTACAGCTCGACTCGCCGTATCGCAATCTGACTCAGGTCTCTGGTAATCGTTTATCACAGGGGACACTGCCGAGCTTAGAGCAATCATCTGTTATGAATTTGTTGCCTCCATCCGCAGTCGAGGATCACCGGGCATACGAATTCTCCGAAAGCACTTTGGCTCGTGCCGAGAGAGCACGCAATCATTTTGATTTATTTCATGAATACATGCGGCTCCTACCTCGTTACCACCTCTTCGAGGTGCGGTCAAGCGTGACTCCGAGTCTAAGTTACAGAACCCCAACCGAAGCTATAACCCGCTTCAAATGATTCGCAACCGAAAAGTCAGGTATCGTGAGAAATGCTCCATCGATCCAGCCGCAGAAGGATGGCACGACGTTGAAAGAGTCCACCAATGGATCAATGACGTCGCGCAAAAGTACGCCCCAAGAGAGTACGACCGACTAGATTGCTTGAAGCTGCCACCTTTCCAACAAGGTCGCCGTCATGTGTCTATTCAGGAACATGAAGATATGGATATGATGCCCACGTCTCCGGAATCGAGTTTGCGGCGAGTTAGCCGAACCAGCAGCATGAAGGCCCGTCGACCACGTATTGATTGGAAGATATCGCCAGCAGAGCTTCTGGCCGATGCTGCCTGGCTGGAATATGGTGCCAATAAGACGAAGGTGGTCGACAAGGATGGTTATAAACTCTACCCTGACCCCACAGAGTTAGTTATAATGGACACAAGCGAGGACCGCGGCACGCCTCAGAAGCAGCAACGCCTTTCAGTCGAAGTGGGAGATCATGCAGAAGCACATTCGTCACCGCACACTTCTATCTCCAGTCCTCACCCTGCATTGGCGCAAGAATTCAAGAGCGTGGGTCGTGGGCGGCACAGGCACAGATTTCGAAGCCACTCGCACAGCTTACGCAGCCGTAGTGCTTCCAGCAAACGAAAGCCTTCACGATGGGATCATGTCAAAATGCGCTCGGGCAGCGTGTCGAGTTCTTCAAGCTCAGATACCCGCCCCTCCGTCGATGAAAAGCCTCGCAGGTCTCGTGAGAATATCCGCGACCATGTCCAAAGATTCGTCGAACATACACACTCAGGATCTCGGATATCCCGCGGCAAGTCCCCGGCTGTTCATAACACTGACATTGATCGGGGGAGAACACCACAGCCAGTCGAGCCGTTGTCCGTCAACACGAAGCAATCCCGCAAACACAGAAAAGGCTCTCTCTCATCGGCAGGCAGTCTTGATGACCGGCAGGATACTCGTATGTCCCTGGAAGGCATGGATAGCACTGCGCCTAACTCTCCCGCTCGCGTCGGCTACTTCCCGAGCATAGCAGTAAATCTGTCACCACCGTCAAGTCGATCTCCCTCGCCCGCCAAGAAGGGTCTCCGTCATAAGATTGTTTCACGCCACGAGCGCAGCAAGAGCAAACAAGCAGATCGAGAGCGAGAGCGGGAAGATGAATTGCCGGAACTCGAGGCTTTGCGTCAGCGAACGACGGCGCCTGCGCGGACGGAGGGCGCCTCCAAGCTCGAGCCGAGTCCTCTTCCCGATGTTGTGTCGTCATCTTATCCCGATGATCAAGGCACGCATGAGGGCAATCGAGTGGATGGGTATCGGTCTCGCAAAGGGCCCCATCTTCCCGAATCAAAGTTACGAGGAATATTTAAGGGGCCAGGTCGGATAGCAGAGATCGTTGGAAATGAGGTCTCCAAGGTCGGAGATCTCATTCTGAAGAAAGACGCAGAACCTGAATCTCGAAAATCATCGTCCGCCACTACTCTTGCATCAGATGATAGCGATTCTGATGAAGAATCCAGAGGCGACAGAAAGCCTGGCTCCAAAGGTCTTTTACGGCGCCTACCAACATTTACAGATGAGCCTGGGCGATTGACTCGCAGAAATTCCGAGAGGAACTCGTCCCGAAGCTTTATTCCTTCTCTGCCGACCTTCACGTCACCCCTAAGGCAAGATGAACGAAGCGAAGCACCAGAGGTGACCGACTTCGGCAGTCCTGGCGAACGAGTTTCCTCTCCACGAAATTATGGTTCCCGTGATTCTCCCAAGAAGTTCTCGCTGCCGCGCAGCAAAACGCTTGATTTCAGCCCTTCTTTGCGCACGGGACGGATAAAGCGGGACGAGATTAAAGACCCTTCCATCCCTTTCAGCTTAACACGGCCTCCTGTCACTGGGCTCGCCAACGCTCGAGCATCACCGGGAATTTCCCCAGAGGGAAGACGCACAGGGCTTTCAGGTGCTAGTCGCGCCTGGAGTATATCTGGGCGCAGTATCCATACCTTGATTGACACCGGCGTGCCTGGTAAACCCGAAGTTGAGCGCACACGAGCTCTTCTATTGTCATCGGGGATTAAGGCCCGGGAGATTACTCGCCGGGCCCACACTCCCGTGAGCCAGTTCCTCCCTGGCTTCAAAGCGCTGTGGGCCCTGGTGCATCTGTTCCACAAGTGACACGAATCGGCGAATTCGACCTCGCTGCTCAATGCCTCCTCCAACGTTTCGAAGACACGCAGCACTCGTTCCAGCAATCCATGCACCATTTATCCACGTCTACCTCGTCCCCTCTCCGATCCCAGCTGAGGAACCTGGAAAACCTGGTCAATCATTCTCTGGCTCCTCGCGTCCGAGCCACGGCAATGGACGCCGAGGACTTGTGTGTCCAGCTCAACACCACCAGCACACTCGCTGTTAAGCAGCTGAGTGATGCCCTTGACAAAGGCCTTCGTAAGCGTCGCCGTCGATTGCGGTGGATTCGTCGGACTGGATTCATGGTTCTGGAATGGGCCCTTGTTGCTATGCTTTGGTGGGTGTGGCTGATTGTCATGGCTTTCAAGCTTGTGCGTGGTGTCTTCCGGGGTGCCTTCACTGGTATTCGATGGGTCTTGTGGCTGTGATTTACAGACTGCATTTGGACATTTCTTCATCCCTTTTCCGTGCCCACTACCCTGTTGGGTACTTTCCTTTTTACATTACCATTTTTAACTCCACCGCCCTTGTTGGCGTGCATATACCCTTCCAGTGAGCTTGTTTATGTCCACTGTCTTCTTTTCTAATTCACCATACATGATTTAATGGAGCGTTGCGTCTGTTTCAAATGATTCCCAGAATACTTTGTCTTCACCTTTTGTACATAATTCAGCTGTCATGTCTCTGCTCCAATACATTTGGATTTGACCAATGTTCATTCGCCTCTTTTGTTGGTGGAACTTGTCCATTGTCTTTCAGCCCCCAGGAGGTGACATGGCATCATACAAGATGATATTCTGCAAGCAACCGCAGTCGACAATGAAAGACTCGAAATTTTTTGGAACAAAGCTTTTTCTCTTCTTTGTTCGACTTTGTCATTCTTGCAGGATATTTCAGAACAATATCTTTGATCCAAAGGAAAGTGTGCAAGTATACCTCTTTGTTTTTGCTCTTCTTGCCCGCGCTCAACAATGGGAACCTTCATTATATAAAAAGGACCAGCAAGCGTAAATGGACGGAGAGACCCGTTGGATTCAATCAACCTTTACGAATGTTGGCAAGATTCCTTTCCAGCAGAAACTAAATCCTCAGGTACATTCTCATTCGCAATATATCGATCGTCTTATACACCAAGATGCCTCCAACAGGTAACAAGATCCCCACTAACTCCCGCTCAGCGAACCGCGCCTACAAGGAAGCCAGCACTAGCCGGTGGCAATTACTACCCCTTTTCCGGTCATTCTTGGAGCATAGACCGACCGACACCATGCTCGCCGTTCAAGAACGCCGCCTTCTCGTCTCCTGGGACCTCAAAGCCATCCATTACTTGAGGATATGCTTGAGGACGTGGGTTCTGGACAAAGTCCCAGGCGACGCGATCGGTGCATTCCTCGTGACTGTCTTGTACGAACAAGACTTTCATCTGGATTACCGGCTAACCATGATGGTGAGGGATGGACAAACCCAGCTACACATCGCTCGTCGTGTGTTGGCATTCTATCAAATCCGAGACGAAGCAGACGCTCCCATCTGGGATAATGTGGCCGTCTACGGTGAAGACACCCACTCGAAACCGCGATCTGTTAAGAGCAAGAGTGCTGCTGGAAGCTCTACTGTCACGAAGGAGCTTCCACCACGTATCCCTACACCACCGCCTGCTGACCCGAGATGGCCCCTCTTCATGGGTGCGCTTAGCGACCCGGAGCTTGAAGACCTCGTGGACAAGCTAGGAGACGACGATCATGCAGAGGGGGATCTGCCCCCCTTGTTCACCGGTGTGCGTGAGGAAGATATTCCCATCATCCAGGCGTTCCGGATATTCAATATCCACAAGAATGATTCCTCCAAGGACCTTCCTCTGCCTGATGGGACAGATCGGATTGAATATACCTCGAAGCAGACTAACATATCACAGGATAAGCCCCTCCCTCCTCTTCCCATGAAGGAGTCTCTCCCAACCCTACCCACTGACAAGGCTCTTCCCGCCTATAAATCCCTCCTCCCACTCCCACCTCTTTCACGCCCGTCAAGTCCGAATCCCTCATCTGTGCGTGTGTCGACCTTCAAAGCAGAGCAGAAGCTTAGAGTCAGATGGGCTGACTGTGTGCAGAGCGAACATGCTGACATTGAACAGGGGAAGGGTAAGACTGAACTACGTTCGTCCCCGGCAGCTCGCCCAGGGCTTCCCGTTGACGCTGACGCCAACCGGCCACATCCCCCTCGGACGTTATCTATGCCTATATTCGCAGTCCTTGGCATTATAATGTTCCGCCGCCCCTCCTCCGCTTAAAAAGAAGGCGGGAGTGGAAGACTTGCGCAAGCCTCGAGTGCGTGGTGGTTGAATGACTGGTGATTTTGAGTCGATACATTTGGGTTAGACATCGAGAGTTCAGCAAGAGATATCTGTTGGTCAAGATATCCAACGTCTTCTTCTTTTAGCATGAGATATGGGTTGAAATAGCAACACTGGACTTTTTTTTGGATATATTCTTGTCTCATGAACTGGGTTCTTTGAATATACAACGCTTGAAAGAACAATCCAAAGAAAGAAGAATATAATAAAACAATAATCTATTTGTTCAGACAGGAGAGTAGAATGTAGTATCTTGATCTTGAAATACAGGTCCCAGAAAGTCACAGTGTGATATAGTGCCATGCGTAAATAGTACAGGAGTTGTTGATGATGGAAGAAGCAGCAGGGATTGAAAGCGAAATATGCTGCTCCTTAGCCCCAACAAGAGCCAATGCCAGGCACTGCCTGGCTTGGGTTGCCGGAGTAGTCGGAGTGGGGAGGAGGTTATTACATATTTTATCGTTTATTTCTTGTGTCTGTCGGCCTGGGCCTTGACGTACTTGGCAATGAGTTCCTTCCTGTAAGAGAAAGCGGTTAGCAATGGAACATGTAGTTAGAGGAGTTATTCTGGTTGGAACATACTGCATGTGAGGAGGAGCCTTCTCGTAGTGGCTGAACTCCATGGTGTATTCACCCTTGCCCTGAGTGGCGGCACGCAGGTTACTGCTGAAGCCGAACATGCCGTTCAGACTGCAGTCAGCGTGGACAGTGAACTCGTCAACACCGGTCTCGGTGTCGTTGATAGTGGCATTGCGCTTGTTCAGCAGGCCGATAACATCACCCTGGAATTCAGTCGGAGCGGTCACAACCGTCTTCATGAGGGGCTCCAGGACAGAGGGCTGACTTTCCGCGAAGGCCTTGCGGAATGCCTGCTGGGTGGCATTCTTGAAGGACATTTCGGAAGAATCGGTCATGTGGGTGGCACCGTCGTTGATGACCATGCGAGTGCCGAGAACCTTGTGGCCGATCAGAGGACCCTTCTCACAAGAGAGGTTGAAGCCCTTCTCGCAAGCATACAGGAACTTCTCGGAAATGCTGCCTCCAACAACCTGCTGCTCGAACTTGTTCTCCTCGAGGGCGCCGGTAGGCTCCATGTATCCCATCACACGGGCGAATTCACCAGGTCCACCGGACTGCTTCTTGAGCAGGTGGTCGAACTCGACACGGTTGCCGATGGTCTCACGGTAGGCGACCTGGGGCTGGCCAGTCTCGCAATCGACCCGGTACTCACGGCGCATACGCTCCACGTAGATGTCAAGGTGGAGTTCACCCATGCCGGAGATAATGGTCTGGTCGCTCTCGCTATCGTAGCTCACTCGGAAGGTCGGGTCCTCTCTTTGGAAACGGGCCATGGCCTTGGAGAAGTTGGCACCGTCCTTGCTCTGTTTGGGCTTGATAGAGAGCGAGACGACGGGCTCGGGAACGAACATGGATGACATGCTGTAACCGAGAGTGCCATCCGTGAAGGTGTCACCAGACGCACACTCAATACCGAACACGGCACAGATCTCACCAGCGCCGATCTCGCTGACTTCCTCCATGTCGTTGGAGTGCATGCGGACAATACGGGGAACCTTGACCTTCTTGCTGTTGCGAGCGTTGAAGACGTTGGCGCCCTTGCGGAGAGTACCCTGGTAGACACGGATGTAGGTCAATTGACCGAAGTTGCTCTCTTCCAGCTTGAAGGCCAGACCAACAAAAGGAAGAGAGTTGTAGGGGGCAAGTTTGACAGACGCCTCGTCGCGCTTCTGGTCAAGGGCAAGGTTCTCAACCTCAGCAGGGTTGGGAAGGTAATCAATGACACCGTCCAGCATGGGCTGAACAGACTTGTTGGCCAGAGCAGATCCCATGAAGACAGGGGTGAACTTCAATCCAATAGTGGCTCGGCGAATGGCGGCTCGGATCTGATCCTCGCTGGGCGTGAGTTCCTCCAAGAACATTTCCGCGATCTCATCGTCGACATCGGCAAGAGTCTCAATGAGCATGGTGCGGCGCTCCTCGGCAATAGCCTTGACCTTCTCCGGGATTTCATCCTTCTCCATAATCTCCTCACCGCTTCCGCCAACGTTGTATAGAGCCTTCATGCGGATCAAATCAACGACACCCTCGAACTCGTCCTCGGCACCGATGGGGACCTGAACAGCAGCCGCAGGCATCTTCAGCTTATTGTTAATCTGGTCAACGGCCTTGAAGGGGTTAGCACCCATGCGGTCCATCTTGTTCACGAATGAGATACGAGGAACGTTGTAGCGGCGCATTTGGCGATCGACGGTAATTGTTTGGGACTGGACACCGGAGACAGCACACAGAATCATGACGGCGCCGTCCAGAACGCGCAGCGCTCTCTCGACCTCGATGGTGAAATCAATGTGACCGGGGGTATCAATCAAGTTGAGGTGGTACTTTTGCTCAACACCCTCCTTATCCTTCTTAACCCAGTCACAGAAAGTAGCCGCGGACTGGATGGTAATACCCTTCTCACGTTCCAAGTCCATAGAGTCCATCTTGGCACCGACGCTGTCACGCCCGCGGACCTCGTGGATAGCCTTGATACGACCAGTGTAGAAAAGAACTCGCTCTGTACAGGTAGTTTTACCGCTGTCGATATGGGCCTGCGCAGTGAGACTTCATTAGACAAGGACGAAAAGCAGATGTGGGAGCAATTGGGACAGTATGTACCGCAATACCAATGTTACGACACTTGTCAAGACGAGCGGCCTCGACCGGATCGAGATTGTCGATAATGGCGGTTTGGGACAGACCGTCCGGGTTGGCCTTAGCAGCCTCGAGACTAATGACAACGTTAAACCGAGTAAAGTAACATATCAGTCCGACGAGTATACTTACACTGCAGAAGCAGCAGCAGAGGCATTTCGGCGCTGGTCCCATTGTCCCAACTTCGACTGATAAGCCGGCGCAAGAGCGGCGGACCGGAACGCGGCCGTAGAAGCGCATCGTTGGCGCAGAAGAGTCTGGGGCTGGAAACGAGCTGATCTCGTCAAACCAAACACCGCGCGGGTTTGTAACCGGGCAAGAGAAGGAGACCGCATGGTGATGATCCAACCACACCAGAATTGATATGATCAACGCGAATTGAATGTTTAGTTGGCTCCCCAAAAAAAAAGTTCGGGGAAGCCAGGAACGCATCACGTGATTATTTACATCGGCCCATCAAAGCCGGGAGATTACAATTCGGTGGCTATAGAACTATAAAATGAGATATCGACATTGAAAACGATGATGCCTTTGCTGTTTGAAGGCTTGAGCATCGTGACACGTCGTTGGTTGGAGTGAACTGCGCATACAACATATATCCATAGATATTGGCTATCCAAGAAAGATAAGACTGAAGATCATGATATGAGTCGGATTTAAACATGAAGACCCAATAAACTTGATTGCCACACTAATATACAAGAAAAATACACAAGCGCCGTGGTATCCAACCACTGTCTGGTTTTGAAACAGGAATGCAAAAGTATGCCGCCGATCCTGATTCCGCGACGACAAGCCGTATATCCAAAGGATCTAAAGACGAGCTGGTTATCGAGAGCATGTTCGTATGCCTGGAAATATTGCCAATATCTCAGATTGTTCGAGTAAAGGCTGCCGCGGACGGACAAAGCGATGCACGCTATCAGAGAAAAAAACGGAAAGCGACGACTCTATTTCCCTTGCCGTTGCTTGTGCTTGGGGTTCTTCGAGCTAAAAGACCAAGAAAACAAAATATTAAAACTGAACGACTCCAAGCATAGCCATCAATGGCACGGGGTAATCACTCACCAAATGATGTAGACACGGCCTTTCCGGTGAACGGGCTTTTTAACAGTCAGCATCCACCAGTCAAAATACAATTTCCCAATCATTCCACGATGGACGCATTCAATATCTTGAGTCATACCTTGCAACCATCACACAGTCTCTTAACAGAAGACCGAGTCTTCATTCCCCGAACCTGCTCCACCTGCCTAGCAGAACCATTCGCCACGGCAACAGCATTGCCGGACTTTACTTGTCCACGGAGCCTCGTGAGGCTGTTGCGAATCATGTACGAGAAAGGCCGTAATGAGGCGGTCCGGGTGGTCACAGAGGGGAGGAATTGGCGGAGGGTCCCGGAGGAAGCACCGAAGACGGAGCGGAGGGAGAACATGGCGGCGGGTTTCAATTTTGGTCTATCTCCACGGAAGGTGATCAATTGGAGGCTGCGCCTCAAATATCACCGTATGAAGAACAAGACGTATCGGGGTGGGGTGCGAGGTTGATGTTTGGCTCCGAAGGTTCTCTCGTGCTGCGATCGCAAATGTTGGCCGGAGCTTCTGTATCGCCGGTCGGCCGAGGGAGTGGATCGCTGTGATTGGTCGGTTTCGCACTACAAGTATAACGGCGGCAGAGAAAACAGAAAGACATTGTAAAATTGTGAAATTATTTAACGACTCGACGGGAAAGTGAGATTTATTTGTTTAGGCTATCTAGGGACGCTAGCTGGGATGCATCGGCTAGGCTGAAATGAACGCCTGACCCGCAAGGCAGGATTGCGTGCATCGATTCTCAATGAGAAAAAGGACATTTGAGGGTATTTGTACTTATGCAAATATGTAGTAAGAACCCCTAAAAGTAGACGATGTGACTGACCTATAATACAGAGGGTCTATCAAAATGAACCAAACGCCGAAAGAAAGAGACAAAACAGGCCTGGACGTCAAACCGCTTAAACCATAACAAGCTATGAACAATGCATCTTCTCGTTACCCACCTTCTTTTGCAATTATATATATATAAAAAAAGCTTATTCAGAACGCAAGAAGGTCTTGTAAGTGGGCGAGTCAGTGTGCTCAGTGAACGGATAGCCCAGATCCCGAAGGAACGACTCCAAGTCCTCCTTCTCGGGCGACGGGCACTGGATTCCAGCCAGAACCTTGCCCACATCACCGCCGTAGTTGCGGTAGTGGAACAGAGAGATATTCTGTTCAGGACGGAGAGTGGTGAGGAACTTGGCGAGAGCACCTGGACGCTCGGGGAACTCGAACATGAAGATGCGCTCGTCAGCGACCTCGCAGCGGCCGCCTACGAGGAAGCGCACATGACGCTTGGCAAGTTCGTCATCACTCAAGTCCCGGCAGCTCATGCCGCCCTTCTCCAACTCGCCCATGATCTTGGCCAGATCTTCGCGGCCAGTAGAGGCAGATAGCGAGATACCCATGAGCACATCGGCCGAATCTTCGCGGGCATAGCGGTAGTTGAACGCGGTAACGGCGTGGGCAGGACAATCTCAACGAGCTTGGCGAACGCGCCGGGCTTCTCGGGGATCTTCACGCTAAGAAGTGCCTCCTTCTTCTCACCAAGGGCAGCGCGCTCAGCAACAAACCGCAGACGATCGAAGTCCATATTAGCACCAGAGGTAATGGCAATAAGCTCGCGGTTGGGGTCAGGGCTGGGGTTCTTGGCAATATATTTCTTGAGACCGGCAAGAGCGAGAGCGCCAGCGGGCTCGACGATGGACCGGGTATCCTCGAAGGCGTCCTTGATGGCCGCGCAGGTCTCATCGGTGGAGACCTGGATGACCTCGTCGATGACCTCGCGGCTAAGACGCCAAGTTTCCTCGCCAACCGACTTGACTGCTGCACCATCCGCAAAGAGACCAACCTCTTTAAGGAAGACTCGGTTACCCGCATCGAGGGACTGAGCCATAGCGTTGGCATCGTAAGCCTCGACACCGATGACCTTCACCTGGGGTGCGATACGCTTGAGGTAAACTCCAATTCCGGCAATCAGACCTCCTCCTCCAACAGCACAGAAGACTGCCTCGAGCTTGTCCAAGTTTGCCTGGCGCAGAAGCTCCATGCCGATAGTACCCTGGCCAGCAATGACATAAGGGTCGTCGAATGGTGGGATGTTTGTCAGACCATGCTGCTTCTCCAACCGGTGAGCCTCGTCCTTGGCAGCATCGAAGTCCATTCCATGAAGAACGACACTTCCTCCCAAGCGAGCAACATTCAGGTGTTTAATGGCGGGGGTACCGGAAGGCATAACGATGGTAGCGGGGATTCTCAGCTTGCGGGCAGAAAAGGCCACACCTTGAGCATGGTTTCCTATATTGAGTGAGTAAGAAGCACTCTCAGTTTGTTTTATCTACCAGGTGTATAGACCCACCAGCAGAGCAAGCAATAACGCCCTTCCAGCGTTGCTCATGGTTCAAATGAGCCATCTTGTTGTATGCGCCGCGAAGCTTGAAGCTGAAAACCGGCAGCAAATCCTCACGCTTGAGAAGCACCCGGCTTTCAAGCCGGCTACTCAGGTTGACAGCATGGGTAAGAGGGGTTTCTTCGATAACATCGTATACTCGTGACGTCAAAATCAACCGGAGATACTGGAATCGCGGGGCAATATTAGAATTTAAAGACCCAGTAGTCATTGCAAAACTTGAACTTACATCTGGGTAACCGTTGGGAAGCAGAAAAGCTTCAGGGATGCCCCAGTTAGGAGGCAAGCCGGGCGTCCTTTGCTCGCGTTCAGAGGGCGGCGTCGGAGCGGCGGTATACTCAGTCAACGCAAGCCCGCTCATCTTGGGAGTGACGGGCGTCGCGACGCCGTTGGAAGTCTCGTTAGACATGATAAACCACGATTGATTATACCAAACGATGGAGATAATCAATCCCAATGCTGGTTAGAAATAATCTGGACGGGAAATTCTAAACTCTGACTCTTTTTTCTTGAAGGCGGGACCGGTGATCGGAGTCCCTTATGTCATCAACCCTGAATGCTAGCCCTAAATAAAGCTCGATTTGGGAGTGTAGAAGGGGTGAGATAAAGTAGATGGGGTTAAAGCGAAGAATAATGTCCTAGACAAACGTGAAGATGCGTATCCCTTGGACTGAATGAAAGAAATGAAGGTTGGGTGGCAGCCCTAGAGGTATATAAGTACAGGGAAGTTGTACAAGTAGATAGCGGTCAAGATTGAGGGGCATATAGTACATAAATTACTTATTTGTACTTATTTATACTTTGTATTATTACATTCTGGTCCAGTAAGAGATTTCAGAAGCATTTAAGCAAAACAGGAAAGCCAACCTCCTTATATATGCTGTACTTGGTAAAGACGTAGTTGGTGGATGCTGTAGGACTCAGCAGGGCCCCAGGCCCCGGCGGCCAGTTACATAACACCCGTCTTGAAAACTTGGCGTCATACCACAGCTCGACATCTGCGCCCCAGCTTCTTGAAGAGTCTATTCCAACATCAAATCTTCCAACTCACGTCCACGATTGGTTTTTTGCCACCAATTCCCGATTTATAAGGGTCGGTCGAATATCTCCGACTCGAAAACTCCGCATCCCGTGGACGCAATTGAACTCCGCACCACTCAACATACGCAACTCCGATCAACTTCACGATGAGTCGGGAACCCGTGCCTTCGTCTTTTGACGAGGGAAACCCGTATGTACCACATTATCCGCGCGTCCCGGAAGCGGCACCCAACAATGCTACATAGGAAGCGAAGGGAAGGCTCACTTGCTAACGCTGGGCCTCCGACAGTCAATTTACAGAAGAGACTGGCATGCAAAAATTCACACGACGCCTCAAAGAAGAGCCGCTCGTTCCACTTGGTACGGAATTCCCTAGCACCAGCGCTCACCTTTTCCCTCGGCATTCCCTCCCGACATTAACAAAAACTAATACATACTACCACAGGATGCGCCGCAACCTGCTATGCCCTCTACCGCGCCTACCGGTCGATGAAATCTGGCGACTCAGTTGAAATGAACCGAATGTTCCGAGCCCGTATCTACGCACAAGCCTTCACACTAGTCGCGCTAGTCGCCGGCGGAATGTACTTCAAGACGGAACGGCAGCAGCGCCGGGAATTCGATCAGGCGGTGGAACTTCGGAAGAAGCAAGAGAAGCGTGACGCGTGGTTGCGCGAGTTGGAGATTCGTGATAAGGAGGATCGCGAGTGGAGAGAGCGCCACGCTGCCATTGAGGCTGCGGCTAAGGAGGCTGGGAATAAAGCGGCGCCGCGTAAGGAGCAAGAAGCGGCACGGTCGTCGATTGAGCCTGCGGATGAGAAGACTATTGGGGTTATGGATGCCGTGAGGGTTCTTATTTCACGGAATTGATGGCGTGCGCTCTGTAAGGTAGGAGAGTTTCTTTCTTTCTTTCTTTTGTATATATCATCGAAATTCTCCAATCGTATGTGGATCTTCAACTGATGATTGTGCTGTCGTTCTAGATTGCATAAGTAAAAGTGGCAAAAGTACAATGAGCTCATCCGGTTATAGTATCTGGGGTTGTGCTGTGTACGGGGACTCCGACGATCGACGTGCCGAGGTTGAAATGTCCTCCTTGACCCGCGCCAAACAAGCACGGCACTAGCACAACAAGGTAAACCACCTTCTTGGCAGTATCCTGGAAATGTTTCCGAAAAAGCAGTGTGTTGATTCTGGATCAGCGTGGCCGAATTTGTTTGCTTGGCCGAGGCTTTCATGTGAGATCGACAAGGCTAGCGCCGTGCGGCAAACATATGATGCTCAGGGCTGATTCGGAACGGGAGTGCCGTCGGGTGTGATTTTATGTGATTTCGTGTAGTTTTGAAATCACTAGATTCTTAGGAGTATATGAGAGCATAAGATGAATGCGCTTTTCATGAAGACTAACATGTTATGGTCAGGTCAAACAAGAAGCAAAGGCGGGGAAGTTGAGCTACTCGACACCAAACCCTAATTTGGAAAGCCTCAGGGTCTATCAGAACCTGCGTCAAACTTTTCAGTGCTCCGAGACTCCACTCAGCCTAACTCTTGCAAATCTTCCCTGCTCATTCCTTTCCAAGTCACAGTGACGTGTGGAACACAAGCTAGTCGCCTTGTGGTTTCTAGAGTATAAAGGCCCTTGGCATCCCCCTATAACTGTAGATCTTCTCGTTTCCTAGTCCTTTCCTCCACACCCTTGTCAAAAGACACTACAACTATATACGTGATACCCAACAGAAAGAACTATTTCTGTATCCAAAATGCTATCCTGGATCAACCCATTGCGAATCTTCCAGGCCATCCTGTCCCTAGCCACGATTGGTCTTACTGCATACGGTGCGTTCCACGATACAAGAGGTATATCAGAATAGCGCTAACTCGATCTAGAAATTGCCTCTCTGTACGACAAATGGTCCTACTCAAATGTCGTCTACTACATGCTCTTCAACGGCTGCTGGACAACAGGCATCGCAGTCCCATACCTGGGCCTCGCACCTCTACGCTTCCCTCGCTTCTCACATGAAATCGCCATCCCTCTCATTGAGCTGCTCACCGGCGGTCTCTGGCTCAGTGGCTGGATTGCCTTGGCTGCCATGATCCCTTCGCCTGGCGCGTGCTACTATCCCAGCTGCCACGCCCTTCAGGCTCTGATTGTCGTCGGGGCTGTCCAATGGTAAGAACAGAGCGCAAGGATTAATTCATACGTATGTTATCTAACCTGTTCTGAACAGGGCTACTTTCGTTGTCACAAATACCTTCGCCATCATAGACTTGAAGAACTCTCGCCGCAACGCGAAGAATCATCGCGATGATGCCTCCCCGGAGATGAGTACTACTGCCAATGCCAATGCCAATGGTAACACTACCAATACCACTGCGGACTCGGCTGTCTAGATGGGTGTGCCTGTACCCCGAGGATATGTTTATGTACCAACGACACTTGCAATAACTTGCAAGCTATGATACGCACGCGGTTGAGTTTCCTATATGAAAGCGATACCCACTTGGTTGATTTGATGAACACATACCACCCCTGTTTATATGCCAGGCTCTGTTGATAATACCAGAAATGGTCTGGTCATGTATCGACCTAATGTTAATACGATAATCTGTTCTTACTCTCTCTCATATCCCATTCCCGGCAGTGCAACCCAATTTCTAGCACATCAAAAGCAATTGTACCAAATTAAATCTGAAATATTTATAATCATGAATTTACTCTAGCATTAAAATGGCTAATTAACAAAAAGGTCCAACGAAGATAAAATACGTAAACCGAGATACCCGAGAGAGATATATCACTCAACCGACATCCATTCCATCAACCTGGCGTATTGATTTCATCGGCCCGCTCTGGCCAGCTTTGTTCGTTTCTGCGTGGAATGACAGAACCTCGCCGTACCTAGAAATAGTCAGCAGAATGTCCGGAGACGCGTCGATATGTACTCTTATGACTGACATGATGGTCTTCCAGATATCGGCTGGGAGATCTGCTTCGAGGAAAGCCCAGTCGAAGGTTTCTGTTGCGACAGGTTCGTCGTTGGGATCGTGGTATGGTGCGAGATATGGGGATGCGAGGGCTTCTGTTGCGGAGATTCGTACTTGGGGGTCGAATTGAAGCATTCTGTCGATCAATGCCGCCGCTGATTTGGTTAATGATTTGTTTTTGTTTTAAAGAGTAGCTTGAAACATACCCTCTGCGTTGGCCTTGGGGATAAGCTGTGATATTGGCGTGCGGTTGCGCTTAGGGAGTGAATTGATGAAGTTCAATGTCTGCAGGAAAAAGCAAAGTAATCAGCGAACCCGTGTTCATGGGTCCAACGTGATTTCAAGGGGATATCTCACTCACGTTTTCACTTGTGATATTCTTGATGACTTCTTCAGGAGGGTTACCAAGTAGATCGGCGATAACGCAAAATTGGTTGATATGGTTCTTTCCGGGGAACAAGGGCTCGCCCAGGAGTAATTCAGCGAAGATACACCCAGCACTCCATATATCGACTTTCTCATTATATTTCCGCCATGTGAGCATGATCTCCGGCGCACGGTAGTACCTCGTCGAGACATAGCCGGTCATGTGGGATTCCTGGACCCGGGCCAGGCCAAAGTCACATATTTTCAAGTCGCAGTTCTCGTTGACGAGGATGTTGCTTGGTTTTAGATCACGATGGATGACGCCGGCTGAGTGGAGATATTTTAAACCACGCTGCAATTGTCGGTCAGAAGATCGTGTTTGTTGTGTTTTTTGGTGTAGATGGCACCGACCATTATTTGATACATGAAGTATTGGGCGAATTGGTCTTCGACTCTTTTTGCCTTCAGGATTGTGTTAAGATCGGTTGCCATGAGCTCGGTCACGAGGTATCTAGAGTTATTAGTACTTTCCATGTAAAGATCGTGGAGTCTCTTCGTACATGTCTTCCGAGGGAGAAATGAAGATGTCGGTCAGGTTGATGATCTGTCAGACAATTAGATATTTATTTGTACTAGCCATTGGGGATGCTCACATTTTCATGTCGCAACTGTCTCAGTAATTTCATTTCTCGGAACATGTGTCGTGCAATTGCCGGTGTCTTGAAAGGTTCCACGAGTTTCTTTACGGCGACAGTCCGATGAGTAAGTTGATCTCTTGCGGAGCTATGAGGGAAGTAAATGTTAGTATCCTCCGATTATAAGATTGCTCCAAGGGGACAGTACCAGACAAGCCCAGATACTCCAAGGCCAAGAGGCTTCCATTCCGTATAGCTAGGTTCGTATAGTCTTAGTATACAATACATCACCAAGGCATTGCCAGTTTTGTTCTAACCGTTCAGTTGTCTCGAATACTGTGCCCATTACTGATTTTTGGGAGAAAGTTGCCATTAGCTCCCCGTAGGGAGGCGTAAGTAAGGGCGTGGGCATCATCGGAGATAATATGGAAGTAAATAAAGGGCTATAATACAGAGATTAGAGTGATAAACGTATTAGGAAACATGATGAGCAATATGAACAAAAATAAGAATTAAAATAGGACTCCATAGAAGACTAAATCGAGAGACTAAATAGCCCCAAAAAATATAGACCCATCTGTTCGATGCCGTCATGCCGTCAAGAGTCCTCGGGTAGTGACATCAGAGGCTTGTGGAGCTCCCCACATCTCCCAGCACATCCAGCACGGAGTACATCTCCAGCACAGACATAGAAGCATCTCACACCTTCCATTCGCTTTTCATAGTGTGGATCTTCATGTCTCCCCGTGTGACCCGAACTTCTGTAAAATAATAATGACTTTAGTTCAGATTTTTTATTATTCGAGGGTCTCAATGCTTTCGAGGCTTCTGCACGAACTTGTCACCGATGTGGCATGCGCCTCAAACGTCATGAGTATTCTTTTCTGCGAATCCTATTCTTTTTGGATCATCATGCGCAAATGGTTTCCATGTCATAGATTCGTAGATTCGTATATTCATAACTAAACAAAGTTCCATGATTTTTAGTACTCCGAGTTTGCGATCCTGATATTAATACATAGTATACAGTGCCCATCGCTAAAAAAGAAAGAATAGCCTCCCAAACAATACCGTAGAAGGTCAGACATTAGGTAAATCCATTGTCCGCATCAATGAAGTTTTCAAAAATCGCATCGGGCAAACCATTCGGCTCATAAGATTCGTAAGGCGCAAAATCGTTCGCGATTGTTGGCAGGCCCGTCCAGTCGTTATTGTATGCGCCCGGTCCGAGGTTGGCATCGTCAGCGACCGACTCATCGGACCACGTCCCAGTTGAAAACGAGCTTGATGAGCTGGTGGGAAGGCCGCAATTATTCGCATCCAGGTTGGAAGGATTTTGCAGGACGGTCTGGGTCATTCTGGCGAGCTGCTGGTTGATTTGTTGGTCTTGGCACTCGGCGTGCTGGAACATGAGGTTTTTCAAGTCCCAGACTTCTTCTCGTAGACAGTTCAATTGTGCAAGGAGGATATCTTTCTTTTGGGTTTCGTCGGTGAGACGCCGCTCGATTTGTTTGTGTTCTCGCTTCTTTCTTTCGCGGCATTTGTTGGCGGCGATGCGGTTTCTTTCGAGGTGTTTGGCGCGCCCGGGGCTGACGGAGCGGGAGGTGGGTGATGCGGATTTCATTTTCGGGTCACGCGATAGAGGTAAGGTGATTAAAGAAGTAATAGAAAGTAGTTGGCAATATAATGAGCGGTTTTCTAATTTCTTTTCAGTCAATAGGAGTTTTAAAAATCTACCGTGTAGAAATTCGAATTTCGATACATGGAATCTTCGCAGATGGATGCTCCCCCCAATATATATAAAAGAGTCTGGACCGAAATCAATGACGTGCTCTGTCAAGGATTTGGACAAGGTTCAAACAGGATCTGGATTCGAGAAAAATATGAAAGCAAGCTTCAAGTCAGTTGCAACCTGGCCGGATCCGGTTCTGGCATCCAATCGTTGCCTCAGGTCCACATGTTAATCTGTGAGACATCTTGAAAGTTGGAATATATATCAGAGTATGTGGGGACGAGGTGGCGAAATATTGTATATATTCATTTGTAGATCCATACATATTAATGGCCGTTAAACTATAAAGATCTTGATTTTCGACATCATTCCAATGGAAATATGTACGGATTTTTGCGAGTTTGCTGTGATCCAGATTACTGGGGGTGAACAGAGAGAGAAGGTACAACCTAGTATCAAAATACAATGTCTGTATCCGATTGAAGCAATTGAAGACTTGGACTTCATCTGATTAGTCCGGGGATATAGCATGGCGGTCGACACCCCACTACCCACGGTTTCGTCTATCTTGACATTGTACGGAGCATCCCATGGAACCAGACTTAATTTAATACAAAGTATATTTACATAAACACCTAGCAGCACAGGTCAAGCAGTGATCTGTTCATCGATATAGCGCCTCATCGTCTCGAATTCCGCTTTACCTGTCTGTAAGCCCATTAGTAAACCAAACTTTTAGGACGCACTAAATCTCCATACCGAAATCAAGTATCTTATATGTTGCTGAAGAGAAAGTCAGTCAAGGATGTCCGAATACGAAGCTCCTATGGAACCAAGAACATCAACCTACTATATCCGATACACCGCGATGGCGCTCAAACTCATCGCGTGCATACTTGTGCAACTCAGTCCGTGTTGACGACGGAGGAACCTCTGAGTATTGTTAGTTGCCATACATGGCTCCAGAATTGGGGTAGACGCACTTATTAATGCTCGCATGATTTCCCGCCATAATGATAACACCCGCTGTCTTTGGATAAACTATATGGTCATTTAGTACATATACCTCAGACCAAGCTTGACTTCCTTACATGGTCTAGACTGATGGAAGGCTTCTTCAGCTTGGAGGGCTGACTGCGCGAGATCGCGGCGAGGAAACGGTGTGACGGGCGCATTGGAGGAAATCAGAACATGGCCTTATGGACGAAAGAAAATATTGCATGCGTCATAAAGGTTTTCTTTCTGATGATAGAGATGTCGATTAGCTGTAGGAGAAGGGATATATAAGGCGGTGAGAGTGGATATTTCTGCCGCTAGCATTGTGTTCACGGTCAGGTGATCGTCCTACTATATGTGACAACCGAGGGAATAGAAGATAGAAGATTGATTGGCTTTGTACAGAAACCAACGTGATATTAGAAGCTATATAAGACATGGTTTGCATAAAGCAACTACCACTGTGCATGATGTCAATGGTAGACATGATGGGTGTGGAAGAGGAAAAAGTTCATGTAAATGTATGCTAGACTTTTGCCATACGAGATGATATGTTTTGCAAATAGATCATTCTTGTCTAATTTTTACTCCTGCAGAGGTTGACTCATGCCGCCAAAAGTTATGCTCTTGATAGTCATGAACTCGTCAATACCGTACTTGCTGCCCTCACGGCCGAAGCCACTCTGCTTGACACCGCCGAATCTATAGAAATGTTAGTGCCTGATATGCAAATATGCGAAGATGTAAACTTACGGAGACGCAACATCACTAATCAAACCAGTGTTGATACCAACCATGCCGACCTCCAGAGCCTCAGCAACACGGAAGATGCGACGAACATTACCACTGAAGAAGTAGCCAGCAAGACCAACCTCAGCATGGTTAGCCAGGTCAACAACCTCCTTCTCGGTTTTGAAGGGGAAAAGACCAGCAACGGGGCCGAAGGTCTCCTCGGAAGCGAGAAGCATATCCTTACTCATGCCGGTAAGAACAGTAGGGTGGTAGAAGTTAGGTCCGAGCGCGGTAGCCCTCTGGCCACCGATGACAATTTCGGCGCCCTTGCCAATAGCATCCTGCACATGCTCGTGGGCCTTGTTAGCGGCGCGCTCGTGAATGACAGGTCCATGGGTGATTCCGTCCTCGAAACCACCACCGAGCTTAAAGTCTTTGACCTTCTGGACAAAGCGCTCGGCGAACTCCTTATACACGCCGTCTTGAACATAGATCCGGTTGGCGCACACGCAGGTCTGTCCAGAGCTGCGGAACTTGGAGTTGATAGCCCCGGTCACAGCAGCGTCGAGGTCTTCGACGTCATCGAAAACGATAAAAGGTGCATTACCGCCGAGTTCCCAAGAGACCTTCTTGATTGTCGATGCAGACTGTTTTCCAAGAATGCGGCCGACATTAGTAGAACCGGTGAATGACACCTTACGCACCTCGGGGTGGGTAGTAATGAGCTCGCCTACGGCAGGGGTGTTCTTCGCGGAGGTAACAAAGTTGACGACACCCTTAGGGATTCCAGCGCGGTGCGCAAGTTCAGCGATTGCGTTCGCTGTGAAGGGGGTCTCTTGGGGAGATTTGGCCACGACTGTGCAGCCTGCCGCCAGGGCAGGGCCAATCTTCCGCGTAATCATCGCGGCGGGGAAGTTCCATGGCGTAATCAACCCGCACACACCAACAGGCTGCTTAATAGTCATGACCCGATTGCCGGGGACGGAAGCGGGGATTGTGTCTCCGTATGTGCGAGGTGCCTCCTCACTGAACCACTCGAAGAAGCTGGCGGCATAGTTGACCTCACCCTTCGCGTCCGCGAATGGCTTTCCGTTCTCCCATGTAATCAGCTTAGCTGGATCATCCGCGTTCTCCATCATCAAATCGTACCACCGGCGAAGCATGCGCGCGCGCTCGCGGCCAAGTGTTGTGCGGAATTTGGGGAACGCTTCCGAGGCGGCTTGAATCGCCGTCTCAACATCGGATGTATCGAGTTCGGGACATGTTCCGATCAATTTGCCAGTGGCTGGGTCTAAATGAGGCGAAAGATCAGCGACCCTCCTGCTCCCGAATGTTCAATCGATTGGTATGTATTTACCGTGGACTTCGAAGGTCTCGCCGGACTTAGCATCGACCCACTCGCCATTAATGTACGCCTTCTCAATGAACAGTGACTGGTCTCTCAACTGCAATCGGATCAGTATAAACCCTCCAAAAAGCCACATTGGACTGCGGATCTTACCTGCGGCGCGCTGTGTTTCATGCTGTATAGTCTCTGTGCGTGAGCTGTTCGGGGAATCGCGAAGGGATATCTCGGCCGGGGTCTCAATAACTGGCGGGCGACAGGCCGAATGATGCGGTCCATTATATAAATCAAGGTGAGGAGGAGCCCCGGAGAGAGTAATACAGGGGAAGATGGAGAAAGTTCAAGAGTGCGGGGAGGAGAGTTGGAGATGCCTTTAAAGAGTCAGCCTAGTGGGGTATCGGTGTCTCGAATTGGTGGCTCAATGGTGATTGCTCTTCGAGTCCGAGAAGCACCGAAGATGTGTGTAATGGGAATGCTAAGAAGGGAGATTCTGGTAATCTTCCTCAGAAGGGAAGCTCCATGCTTAAAGCGGGGATCTGCGGAGTTGATGTCATCTATACTTAACAGCTATAAATCAACACGCTTGGTTTTGGTTTTGGTTTATTTTCTTTCCTACCATCTTGTAGCACATTCAGTATTTCCTTTTTCCAAGGCATATTGAGGGAAAATCAACTGCGATAGAGGAATATCTCCTCTATAGAAAAAGCTCCATTTCATAGATCTGGTAATTTAAGTAATTTTGAAATAGACATTACAAGCCTCGGTTACCTGAGCCAATCAAGGTCTCAATTTTGCAAGCTCTCGGGAAATTTAACCAATGGATGCCGCTTGTGGATTCTCGGGCCTGAGATAGCGTATTGGTAATACCCCGAGCTCATCCACCTGTCGGTCTTTTCCCCGCAAATCACCGACCTCAAAGGAGTAGGATAACCCTTATCTGCAAAAAGAAAAGAAAAGAAAGAAAAGAAAAGAAACCAGATTGAACTTGTTGAAGGAGGACATAGAGACTTTTGCATTCAAGGAAAATGACACAGGCACAAAGTATTCCATGTTCCCAAGTCAGTCCTAAGTTAGTGCAAAAGTGGATATACGACTCATGCACGGAGCGACAACTATATCCTAGAGGTGTAGATGGCAACAGGTTAAAGTCTGGCGAGATCTAAGGGCTACCTGTCTACTCGTCTCATGAGGCCATCTGACCGGACTGAATACCCTATGTCTCTAATGAGCCGAGAAGATCCTGCGTACAATATAGCTGCCCAGGTGGTCCTACACTGAAAGGCCGCTCTACCGATTGATCTGCATACATCTCAACCCGCGCCGTCACCATCTTGGTTTTGGTCCTTTTGGGATGGCGTGCCCTAATAAAGCCATTAGATGTAGCCGCAGAGGATGCTCTGAACGTGGTCCCCAAAGTGATGCCCAGGTAGTTTCTAGTATATAAGAATAGGCAAGAAATCAATAGACATCAATAGGCTCAATCAATGATCTCAATCAGTAGTGTCAATCAATAATCTCTCAAAAGGCATCGTCTACCCTCGAGCGTGTTCGCGCGTTTTTCCTCTTACTCTAAAAAGCAATCGACAGCCATATACCACTTCTCTTCTTCACCATTCTTCTTCTTCAACCTTCAACTTCTTAAGCCTTTCTGTCTTTCACTACTTGAGCTAAATACTTCATTCCCATTTGAACAAGCTTCACAGCCAAAGGTCGAACATCATTTCTTGAGTCTCTCAAGGCAGTTCTCTACATTGCTTTGACTGAAGGTTGGTGTCGCGCTCTCACTTGAACTTTTACAGTCCATCTCTAACATACCTTAACAGATTCACAACATCTACCCTCTCACTTACACAATTACTTCACACCATCCGCACGAGCTTAACATCCCAAGCTCGAACATCATTTCTCGAGTCTCTCAAGACTGTCCCCTACATTGCTTTACCTGAAGGTTGGTGTTGCGCTCTCACTTGTACTTTCGCAGTTCATAAACTAACAAACCTCAACAGATCCACAGCCTCTACACCTTTACCTCGTGCAATTACTTCATACCTTTCGAACAGACTACACAGCACACGTTCCAACATCATTCCACCAGTCTACTCAAGGTAGATACCTGGATTGACTTTTTCCTGAAGGTTGGTATTGCACTCTCACTTCCACTTCACAGTCCATGCTCTAACAAACCTCATCAAATCCACAGTATCGACATCAAGCCACGATGTCGTCCTTTACCAAACGCAACGAAAAGAAGAAAAAAAAGAAGCCCGCCAAGAATATTGACTGTAATGCGCCACCCCGTGACAAGACGTGGGCGCCTGACCCCTGGGACCTCAGCCCCGAGGGTGAATCTTCCCAAACACTGTGTTCCTCTTTTGCCGCACAGTGTTCCCTCGACCCGCAAACAGATAGCGTGGTCCCCTCCCAACCTTCAGAGGGCAAGGTACCCTGGTCAGACTCGGATGTCAAAGATCCGTTCTTGCTTCTTCCTTGGTTCGCCCTTGAAGAAGTCCTCGTCCACCTCCCAGACTTGCTCACATTGCATAAACTGCGCCGAGCCTCCCCGGCTGTGGCTGATTATCTGAACCATACGCCGGGGGCCTTTGCCATGGTTTTTGAAAGAATCGTCGAGCACCGGTCCTATGAGGTAGACGAGGAGGGCAACATCCTTATGTCCCCGGACTTTGAGGCAGGTGTGAATAGCGACACCAGCATTTTCTTTCGAATGCTGGTGTATCTTTGGTGGAGAGAGGAATCCGCGGCGAACAACGTGCCTGCGGATGGGAACCCGATGCCGGATACTTTCTACGACGAAGCCATGTGGTCGGTGAACCATTCATCGACTGGCTTCCTCGATCTACCCTGGCTGGGAAAGATTAAACTCCCGCGATCAACTCCGCCGAAAATTCTTCGTCATCTGCTGACCCTTGCAGTTCGCATCCGCGCGGATGCGCATGCCTTCTTCCACGAGACGATTGCCATTTGCAAGTCTTGCCCCATCGAGTATATCAGCGATTGGGACATCAAGAAGGCTTACTGGCCAAAAGGCGGGCGTAGGCCTCGCGGGGTTCAGACACCCACACCTGAGAGTGCGGATTACCCTCCCACTTGGTTGGAGGAACAGCGTCTGACGCAAGCGTTCCTAAAGCCATACCTTTTCTCGGTATTGCGACGGGTAGTCTGTGAAAAGGGGCTCCTGAAAACCACTCCTCCCATCCCGAACCCTGAGCTCCCAGACCATATCAATCTGAGACTGCTGGAGGAATACCCAAATACCCTCCAGCAGCTGAAGGAGAATTCGCTGGTAGATTTCTGGAGGCCTTTCGCAGACGAGAGCCCCCTGACAGACGCCTTCGGAAACCGTCGCCCGCAGACAATCGAGCCAACGGAACAACTTGAGACGGTGTTAACCTGGATGGAGGAGAACAAAGCAAAGGCCTCCAAACGGCGCAAGCAAAGAAAGGAATTTACAACGTGCTGCCCAAAATTCGGCGATTTGAGCCCCGAGCAAGTGAAGCATGGTTCTTTCAGTCTCCAGTTCCTCTTCCAACCTGGTTGCACTTTTGCCCAAAATTGCACCGCCATTCCCCATTCTGGTGTCCAAGGTGCTGGCCTCCGGGGAGAGTTCCATAAGTTTGGAGTGGCCTTCTGGGACAACGAAAGGATGATGCATTTGGGCCTGACTACTAGACGGATGGACCGCTGGACGGACCAGAAGCAGCTTGCGTTTCGGTGGTCGGGGATGTTGCTTTTGAGCAAGAAAAAGGGGATCAAGATAAGCGGGAAGAAAAAGGGATGGCGCTTCCGCAGTCGCACAGCGCCCATTCTGTGAGGCGACTAGGCTGGTCGATGCACGCACGTTCGCACCGGAGGCTTGAGATCTTTTGACATTTTTTTCGATTTTTTCGATTTCGATTTCGATTTCGATTTCTTTTTTTTTCTTTTTCTTTTTTCATTTATTCAGGACATTTGATTATCAAGGGAGAGGGGGAAAAACCCACGAAAGTTACCAAAAAAGGGGTCTTCGGCGCGATGTTTTGGCCGTGAGGAAACGGCTGCTTGGATATTGAAGCAGAAAAAGAGAAAATACAAAAAAAAAGCTTTCGAGTACATTCATTGATGGCACTGAGAATCCCAGTAGAGACACATAAGAGCTAGACATTTTAGTGGTAGACACTTGTCAGCGAGTTTTGCTTCGTTCTGTTGCTTTTACAGCAGGACCTGATCTGACTACTACAGAGGGCAGAGACAGAGAGGGTAAAAGAAGAAGAATTGAATTCTCCATCAACAAACAGAAACTAGCTAATATAACTAGCTAGCAAACAATTAAAGCCTGACAAACCAGGCATGGACAGATAGTCTGTCTCAACCGCACCAATCAAGCTTCATCAAGCAAAGTACACCTATTCGATCATGATAACCGGATCATCCCGTTCAATCGAGGCTTCATTGCCAGGAGCAACATGTATACCATGAGCCTTTTTCAAATGTTGGTTGAGGTTCCATTTTCGTGAAAATCCATTCGTATGTCGAGTGCAAGACCTGACAGGACAGAGAATATCCGCTTTCCGATGAGCACCCTTTCCAACGCCTGGTTTAACCGTCCTTGCCTCCTGATCGACGGCTTGCTCTGCGTCCTCAGCAGGAGGTTCTGCAGGTTCTGCCGGCGTCTCCGGCTCTGGAGTCGGGGATGCGGAGGGAGGTACGATTGCAGGAGTTATGTACTTCGAGCGTCGCTGGCTTGCGGCCCTCGCCTTGGATTTAGGTATCTTCTCCTTGGCTTTGGGCGTCTTTGCCTTGGGTTTGGGTATATTCGCTTTGGGTTTGGGTTCGAGTTCAGGTATGGGTTCGGGCCTGCGACTCGGCTGGGGGACTGGCACAGGGCTTGGCCGAGGACTTGGTGGCGCCGAGTCATTATCGCCCTCGCTTTCGGTGTAGACATATTCTTCTCGAGCATCTGCCTTGCGCTTTTTCCTTACCCCGCCTTCAGGCATTATTCGGAATTCCATGTCCTCGCCGAAAAGATCCGCGCACCGCTTTGACGCGCGCATTACTGCGGGAGCGGGGAGTCCCATCATTGATGCCAGTCCCATAATCTCGCTCCAGTCTCGCAATTTGAGTCGGCCCTTCGTGTGTCGACTGTTATCGCGACTAGCGGAGGAGCCACGAGATTGCGCTCGGGTCTGGGACACTTCTGGCAAGCTTTCATTTTCCGTGTCCAGTCCAGTGGATATGCGTACACTGTTGGAACGGCGTGATAATTCCCGCTCCCGAGACTCCTGTCGCGCACTTCTCCGACCACGCGATCGACTTCTGCTTCCGCGCTGGCGGCTCTCTCGAACGGGGTAGTCTTCTCTGTCCGAATCACTCCATTGCTCGTCACCCGAGTCTTCCTCGAACTTGCGACCTTTCATGGCGCAATGAAGTCCGTATAGCAGCCGGTCTACCTGCGAGATGACATTGCGGGCCAGCGGGCGTAATTGGCGAAGGGACCTGTCATCATCGAGTAGAACTGTCGGTCGGAGGATTCTTGTATCGACAGGCGCTTCTTCTTCTTCGTCCTCTTCCTTTTTCCCCAGTTCATCATCCATCAGTTCATCCTCGTCGTCCATCTTATCCCGAGAGTTATCTTCGATTTCTTCAAAAGTCCACTCTCGCGCTTGGAAGGTCTCCTTGGAGGTCTTCAGTATGAACGCTGTGATACATTCTTCCAATTCCGCACTGGGTCGGGGATCAGGTTGCATTTGGAAATTATCAGGGGCGTCCATTGTCCTCTGGATGACCTCATTGGGGCGGGGAACCGTGGCTGCATGAACAGGCCATGCAGCCCACCACTTGTGTACACGGAGTGGCGCTTTGTCAACAACCCCATGGCTCTTCCGGGCAATATCCCACGCTCGCCTGCGAATCATGTGGGCATTGTAAAGGTGAGCGGCCAGATCTCTGGTTCGATGGGTAATCATTGCATTATAGGCTCCGATATCGTCGGCATTGTAGTTCCTCCACGAAGTGGCGTGTCCATCAAACAGATTGGGACGCTCAACCCCAGGTGGCAGGTCAAGACCTCGGTCAACTACATAGTAAATTGGCTCATGTTGAGGTTTCTGCTTCCTTTTTGAGCGTGTGCGACTTCTGCCACGATTATTTTCCTGATAGCTTTCGTCATCAGAGTCATCCGGGAACGCCAAGGGCTGTTCTCGCATTAAGGTATCAAATTCATTTTCGTTTCGGTCTGGTTCCTCATCCATGGGATCCTCAGAAAAAGGCTCTAGAGGGACATCTTGCTCTATGGGACCTCCAAAAAGAGAACTCCTTGGCGGTTCTGGCTGAGAAGAAGGTTGCAAGCCATCACTGCTTGGGCCTCCGCATAATGATGGGCGTGGCTGTGCAGATTGCGGTGGGAGAAGTTCTGGCCAGTTCTGACTTCCATATAAAGATGACATCCCGGGAAGAAATTTTGGTTTCTTGCCGTTGTATGGGCGAAAGGTTCGGACCTGCAGTGTCTAGATGTCACATAGATGCGGATTTTTTGATGAACAACTTTCGATTTAAACGTCAAGAGAGCATCGAGTGTCGAAATTATGCGTAGCCGTCACTCTGATAGCTAAACTTTGACTCTTCTGTCCGACAGTTCGATTGTTCCTGGGCGTTGAAGATGTCAAAAATTCCAGGCGGGTGGATCTCCGATGATATCACGTGATCTATATATGGACAGATGTACGCTAGTCCCAAAAGGGAAGTATATCAGGTCGAGGTAACCTAGTCTGTATTATTTCTGTCACTGTAGTTTAATTTCACCGACAATTCACGCCTCAGAGTGAGTGACTATTTTGCATCTGGATCGAGTTCTAAAGGTACACGCTTCTCGAGCGAGGGCACCATAGAAGTCCCAGGTACCACGGAAGGGCGGGCAGTAGCGAGCGCGGTTTTGCGTCAACAAAGATTGTCGAAAAGGCAAGTTGTGTCCTGATAAGTTGGTACTATTATGAGCTACATAAACCAAATCAATCCCTGGAACTACCTAGGTAATGCCCAGGTGTGCCTGGGCTGCTTTGCCTTTCAGAGCCTCGGGGTTGGTTTCTAGTCTGGGTTTAGTGGTCCCACACTCTACCAAAAGGACCAATCAATTTACCTCGTTTCTTAACTTTAACTATAACTCTTTCGCAGTTCCTGGGGTCAAGAACATCCTACAGGAAGTAATGATGCCATTTTCCATAGGAATATAGACCGACAGTTCTATCTAACTAACCAAAACTAACGAAATTGACTAGGTCAATTGTGAGAAAACAGAGCGCAACCACCCCCTTTATAGGTTTTCAAGTCGCATTCTAAAACCCATCCTTCGGAAGGAACAGCGGCATAGAATCTTCCCAGATAGAGTTGGTCAGAGGACGCTTATTGGATCCATCGGAGTCCATGATCATAATCTGACCATAGGGCTGGAAGGTCTCGTCGTACAAGGCGCACTCATACTGGAATCCGTACATCCCGGAAGACCACATGATTTTTCCATCCTGCCGCCAAACAGCGTGAGCGTCATTGGCGCCGCTGGAAGTCAGAATACGGAAATCACTGCCGTCGGGTCGGATGGTGCAGATTTCATAGTTAGTCGGAGAAACCTTACGGGTGAAGACTATAGATTCTCCATCGGGCGAGAAAGACGGAAGGTTGTCCCAGCTGCTGGTAAGCTGGGTGATCTCTCTAGTCTCAATATCGATAATACGTAAACCAATTTCTGTCTCGTCGCCATACTTGGCGGTGTCTGCACCCCACACGCGGTAGACAACCTTCTTGCCGTCGTGAGAGAAGCTGGGAAAGCCGGTGTTCAGGTCCTTTGTTCCTGTGAGGTTGAGGTTGCTGTTGGTGAGTACGTCGATGTAGCTGCCGTTTGCGGTCGAACGTACAATCCATCCTCCACGCCAATCACGCGCCTCAAACCAGGCGCCCACTCCGAAGACGACCCATTCGCCGTCAGGGGACCAGCTGGGATTGTAGGCCCCGGCCAGGCCATCTTGAATCAGAGTAGTGTCGAGGAGACTGGTATTATCAGGTTTATAGAGTAAAGAGACCTGCCTGTCCTCCAGATCAAAAGTGGCAATGGAGGAGTTCCCAATTTGCTTTTCAGTGACAGCCACGCGGTCATCCGACGAGAGTTGAGGGAAGACATCAGTGAAGCGGTACTCCCAGTCGGTGTCCCAGCTGTAAAGCTCCTTAAAGAGAGAGCGGATAGACCAATTAACCTTCTCATAAACCACGTACTTTCCATCAGGAGACCATGAGGGAGAGCGGATAGTGGTATTGGAGTAGGTACCGTTTGTAAGGTATAGGCCCTCCTTGTTGCCGCCCTTCAGATGGTACCCAATGGTAGAGTTCGTCACGTATTGGGGAAAGGTCTTGACACCAGGACCGCCAACCTCAATTCGACGGTCATTGCCCTTGATCCCAACAGAAACAATTGTGGAGTTGGCATCTGCCACAGTCTCAGGTCGATGCGCATCCCACGTTTCATTACGAGTCATTTCGTAGAATATGAGGCGCTTGCCATCGGGTGACCATTTGGGTGACCCAAGACAATGGGAATCACGGTGGGCGACACGGCGAAGATCCGAGCCATTAGGGCGAATAATGTAAATACCGAGTTCTTGGGTGTGCTCCCAGCCAGCGAGACCGAGGTACGTGAGATTCCCGTGGCCCTCCCATCCTATGTTGCGGTCTGAGGAAAATGCAAGCCAATTTCCATCTGGCGACCAAGCCGGACGGAAGTGACCGTGCATCATGTCCTCATCAGGCCTGTTATTCGGGGTATCGGTGATGTTCCACTCGGCGCCGGTCTCCAAATTCTTGACCCAAATGTTAGCGGTGTAAGTGTTGGCTGTTGAAACATATGCTGCCAGTGTCCCATTGGGTGAGATAACAACGCTGTCTTCCGCCGCGGAGGATGTCACAATCGGCTGTAGATCGGAGCCATCGGGACGCACACGCCAGATATCGGAGTTTCCATCACCGTCACGCTCACTGGTGAAGCTAATCCATTCACTATCGGGAGAGAATTCGGCGTGATATTCATATCCGGGATCTTTTAACAGAGGACGTTCATTCGTGCCATCTGCGTTGGCGATATATAATTCTGAGGCGCCCGGGGGAAATGCGGTTCATCAACAGTACACCCTTTTTCCCAGCCGCCGCGGAAGGGGTAGGAGACGCAAAACCTGTTGCCGACTTGCTTTGAATGGAATCACGAGGTACGTGAGGATGGAGATTAGCATTGTCACCCTCTGTACCTGCATCTCGGGCATAAGGGCAGTGGGCTAACGCGGGGGCGATGGCGAGGCCCACGACAGTAGCAATGCTCAGGCGCATTTCAAATGCGGTAGACAATTTTGGAAATACAAGGGCTTCTAAGAAAAATTAGTCTCCAGGGCTCCAATGTTGCGAAAAGGAGTTGTCACAGTACTAATATAGGATGCGGGAATCGAACCCCGGAAGGTGCTACCTACATGTAGGTAGCTTCCAAGGTTTACATATAGACTTATAGCCGAATAAGTTTGAGGTGGTTCACTTCCCCTACGGGATCGTTTGCCTACAGATGATCTATTCATAATACGTGTTTTGATAGTGAATTCTGCAGGTCAATGGAACCCATCATCGTGATCAGCATCTTACTGTATACTCTAACGAAGTCCACGTCAGCCATGCCTCGCTTCATAATACTTTAGTTGCTCGAATATCAAGGTTTTAGGATATATCACCAGCGAGTTGTACAGCCTAGCAGCTGAATCATTAGAATACACATAGTTAGTACAGATCTAGGCGTTGTATATTTACCGACTAAGTGCGGATTTCCTGACAGACCATAGCCAAAGTACTTTGATCCTCAGAAGAGCAAGGGCCTGAAACAAGGGTAAAGTCTGCATGTTTCTCAGAGTAACCCTAACTACGCCATTTGCCACAGGGGCGTGGAAGGGGTTTCCATTCCTCACGTAGTATAAGGCTCAGTTCAAACCCGGGAAATGTAGGCGTCTTTATCGAGGTTGCCCGGACAGAAGATCTACAGAACTAGGTCCATATAAGAGAAGTCTGGGGTTGGGATCTGATTCGGATACCATTACAGGAAATCATTACATTAACATATCGATTGTTATGGAAATCATTCCCCGGGCAATGCTCTTCTAGAGTAGGTGTCCTAGAATTTGGCGCGAGACAGAATCAGGGTCCACCGAGTCATATTGGACGAAGATTTCTGGCATGAAATAATGCATGATGACTATAAACGCCACAAGGAAACCGTGAGACATGCCCAATCGGAGTCAGCAAAGTGCCACCAGACGAGGCCAGCCCGGCCTTTCGTCGCATATAGTATAGCCAAAACATATTTATCCGTACTTAGTTTCCCAGAATAAATGGATATGTAAACGAATGGATATATTCAGACGCCGATCTATATCTTCCCGTTCATATTGGAAAAGCGGGCACAGGTTTCACAGACTGCTCAGCACGGAAAGGTCCAGTGCTGACATTGAACAGGACCTGCACTTGCCGGCTGAGGTTGCAGCTGAGCTCTCTAGCACTTCGCAGGCCTCACTGCTACCGTTACCAACATATAGCCAAATCCATCAAGGTCATCGATGCAAAGAGCCATCTCTCGTGGAAATAGAGCACTCGTCTAGTAAAAACCGCCACGCGGTGACACAAGACTCAAATTCATGATCCTGGAGAAACATTTCTGCACCAATATGCTTCCATTGCTATGTGGACAATGTTGACTTTGTCTCGTAGGTACTAATTGGTATACCATACCTTGAAAGAACTCAACGCCTTAGCTCCATCATAAAGTGGGGCGTAGCCAACACGCGAAAATCTGAGATGACAGGCCAGGACGGGAATGTAATTGGCCTGTCAATTATTCCTTTCTCCCCACTCTGAAGGAATAAAGTCCCTTATTGAAAATTCCAGGGCACACTGGCCTTTAGCAACCGTAGACATTACTTCAAAACCCAGTACTAGACTCCAGTATGGCACCAAAGAAAGTAGTGGAAGCGCCGACAAACAATGTCGTCGCCTTCGGGCGCGTCAAGTCCAATCTCAAGATGGGCTGTATTGGCCTTCCGAACGTGGGCAAGAGTTCGCTGTTCAACCTCATGACGGAGCAGAGTGCTGCGGCAGAAAATTACCCATTTTGCACCATCGAGCCAAATGAAGCGCGCTGCGTTGTTCCTGATCCAAGATATGTATGTTCTTCCCTTTTTCCAATTTCTGTATAGGTATTCCCAATATATCTCACCCTTTTGGTCAAAATTTAATACGATGAGCCCATAACTAATGTGGGATAGGACTTCCTGTGCAATGTCTGGAATCCGCCGAGTAAATACCCAGCATACTTGCAGGTTACGGACATCGCGGGGTTAATCAAAGGAGCGAGTGAGGGCGCCGGTTTGGGAAATGCGTTCTTGAGTCATATTCAGGCTGTGGATGGGATGTACCATGTTGTCCGGTGCGTTCGTTGAGGAAACTCGAGGAATGAAGCAGCTACTTACCATGATATAGGGCGTTTGATAACGATGAGGTTCTCCATGTGGATGACTCCGTTGATCCTGTCCGCGACTTGGGTAAGCATTTCCCAGGGCTGAAGCAGAAGAAATAGAAGCTAATGATGCTGCGGTGCAGATACAATCCAGAGCGAGCTGTGCAAGAAGGATTTGGATATTCTTGCCAAAGCTAAGGTTGCCGAAGAGGCGATTGTGCGGAAGGCGGGAGGAAAATTCAAGATGCTGCCGCTATTCGACGAGACGACTGCTAAGATTAAGGAGGTATGTCACGATCTTTCCCTGGAGAGATGTGTAATTTGCTGACCCTTTTATAGCTCTTGGAACAGGATAAGCCTGTTAGAGATGGAGAGTGGACGAGCCCGGAAATCGAGTTGATCAACGAGAAGGTTTGTCCAGGATTCTATAATACTCAAGAGACAATACTAACAGTATCTAGTTGCGCCTCATCACTACCAAGCCGGTAATCTACCTCATCAACCTTACGATGAAAGACTACCTCCGCCAAAAATGCAAATACCTGCCCAAGATCGCAGAGTGGGTTAAGGCCCACGGTGGCCAAGGCTCAGATATTATCCCCTTCTCCGTCGAGTTTGAGGAGAAGCTGTGGTCCTTGAGGGACGACAAGCCAGCGCTAGATGCGTTCATGGCCGAGATCAAGGTCCAGAGCCGCCTGGGAAAGATAACCACCGAAGGTATGTTCCTCGATATTCACCATACGTATCCTATACTAACAGTTATGACAGGCTTCACTAAGCTGGGCCTGCAGTATTACTTTACCGCCGGCGAGAAAGAGATCCGCTGCTGGCCGATCAAGCGAGGAGCTCTGGCTCCACAAGCTGCTGGTGTCATCCACGGCGACTTTGAGCGCGGCTTTATCAAGGCCGAAGTTGTGGCGTACCAGGATTTCCACGACCTCTCCAAGGGCGAGAAGTCCATGGGGCCAATCAAGGCAGCTGGGAAGTACAGACAAGAAGGCAAGACTTATGTCGTCCAAGATGGAGATATTATACACTTCCAGTTCAACGTTGCGCCGAAGAAGAAGTAGAGACTCTTCGGAAAGGTCATTTTGCCTATTATCGCTGTTGTTATGTTGTTATCGCTGGAAAGATGTGGGGGGGTTTATTTCCTAGCCTACAACTACCGTGTTCCACTTCGCTAGTTATTGGATTACTGCTGTGCTAAATCCTTACAGTCTAGATTTCTCAAAGTTTTCGAGTGTAAGTGATATTGGAACCTGATGCTTTCTATTTTTTGGCACCGGAGGCTAACCATATTAACTAATGGGTCATGAGACATGTACGGTCTGAATCTTCCTTTACCAACCATGTTATAACGGTAAAGGAAGATGAAGGAACAATACTAGTATATATGTAGGGGTATATGTAGGAAGGAACGATAGGCGGAAATCATGAAATAGGAAGGATGGGAAATGAGATCACATCAGTTTAGGTCTTCATCTGTTCTTCTTACCCTCACAAATCTTCTGCTTAAAACCTCTACATTGTCTATCCTCACCTTTCTCTCACTTACCTCTCACTAACAGCATTACAGCCATCCTTCAAGCTTTTAGCTTACCAGTGATGGCTGATCCAGCTCCTGTTCTCTGGCATTCGGCCTATGCCATAGCTCGTGAATCTGAAGATCTAGAGGACGAGCCTCTGAGGTCTATCGATCGGTTAGCGTTACTAGTCCACTACCTCTACCGGTGAAAATGAAGACTGTGTCTGCTCTGGAACAGAGAATCGGTCCACTCTACCTAGAGATCCAAGCTATTATGCGCCGTCACAATCTCAATGCCACCAACCTTCCAGTGTGGGAAGATGAGCAAACCAGGGTATCCTGGCGGTGGTATCCCTTACTTCTCTATCTATCTCAACAGCTCTGACCCCAACATCCCTCCTCTCGATCCCATCAAAGACGACATCGTGAGACTCTTCCGCCAGCAGAAGGTCAACGCACATGTTCAGGTCATAAGCAGCACTGTCATCGCCCCTCGGTGTTCTTCATCGCCTCGACCCATCCTCCTGTGATCGCCTACGAACGAACCAAACACAATATTGTCGAGCTTCTCAACACGACAATCGGCAATAAGTGGCGATCGCGTTGCCTCTTCAATGTTGATTCAATGAGAGGTAAGGCGCAGCCGATGATCGTGGTACTTGTGGAGCCATGGACACGCGCAAATTGGCTCGATTGGCAGTCGAGGGGACAACAATGCAGGCACATTAGGCGGACTTGTCACATTGACTCATGGTGGAATTGTTCGCCGAGGCTTCCTCACGAGTCTGAACGAATTCGGCTCACTCAAGGGAGGGGGTTATTGCATTAAAAACGGCCGTACCACTGGTGTTTCTGCAGGCATCTGCAACGGACCAAAAGCGTACTGCAACTGGGACTCCAGGTGTGATCACTATACAAATTCTTAAGAAACATCGCTAATCAGTTGCCTATAGATGGGTGATGTTAGCGCAATACGCTACACAGATATATTTTATTGTCGCTAAGCTGTATGAAGAGTACATTGAGTACTTGGTTAAAGACACATTCTCTAGGGAACCCCTCGCAGATAGAGATGATGCTTCGTTCACTCTCGGCTTTAGGCTCGTCGGTGACGTCTCAGTGGCTGTTCGTGACCGATCGCCAGCTTTGACAACCTTGTCAAGAACCATAAGCATCTGCACGACCTTGCTGGGACACGTGTCCAAATTGTGAGTCGTCCCTTGCTCGGTACCGATTCAACGTATATGCATTAACGTTTCTCACAATTTCCAGGCTACCAGCGTTTCATACCCCCTCGATAGCAACGCATATCTAATAATGCGGCTACTAGGACCCTTCAGCATTTATTCCGCCGAAGAGATGCTGGCCTTTGGTTTTCTTGTTGTCGCGCTTACCATTGTCCAGAACCGGGATTGGAAGAAGAGTAAGGAGGATTAGATAGGAAATGAAAGATATATTCTTCCTAACATAGACTCCCGGACCTTAAAATTCAAAGATACATATTCCCCTAATTTGTGTGAATAAACCCTCTTTAGAAAAAGCCATCGGCTAGTATACGTCCTTCCGCGGTCGAGGCAAGAAATGCATCGGCTCCTGGAGACTCCCGCAGAAAACGTTGTCTGCCTGCGTGCATAGGTGTGGAAATACCCTATTGGAGAGAACGATCTTCCTTCCCAGTATCTCGTTCCTTCACAAAGGCATTCTCAAAGTCAAGGCCAGAATCCTGACGTATTATTCCATACCCGGACGATGAATCCAAAGGCCGGCCACCATGCGCATCTGAAAAGTCCTTCGCCCGTACCATATTGTCAAGTGCAACCTCGGCGACTTTTAATCTCGCGCCGACATCTTGTGCGCAACTGATGCCATGCTGAACATCCTTGATACCGAGATTCAAGTTGGACCAAGGGGATTGGCCTAGACGATATGATCAGCAAAAGAACGAACAACCGGGCATTCATACTTGACGCCATATCCATACCTTCCTCGGGTAGGTAAACGCCCTGCGTCATGCGCGTAGAGCTGGAATGCATCAAACTTCCAAAATTCAGCTCAAGCAACTTTTCAAGCATGTCTGTGCCTAGGTCGCTTTTCTCCGCTAGAACCTGGGCTTCTCCCACGATCTCCATTGTTCCTGCGATGATAAAATTACTAGATCGTGTCAGTGAGACTGCTATGGCGTCTCCTTATTTGTCGCAAATCTCACCCCAAAGTCTTGAGCAGGGTGGCCTTCTCAGGCTGATCCGACACAATCATCACCTCCCGAGCAAGGACACCTTTTCCGAAAGGTACTATTCTATCAATGGCTTTGCTAGGACCGCCCATCGCCATCAACACTGTACCACTTTCCGCGGCTGGAGTGGCTCCGAAGACAGGTGCTAGTGTAATACATGAGAAACCACAAGTCATAACTGGTATGAGTTCACTTACCAGCAACAAAGCATGCATTTCGTTTCTTTAGTCTTCCATTTGTCTTCTTAGTCGTATTAGGATGCACTGTGGTAGTGTCCACAAACAACTTTCCATCGAGATCTTTGACAGTCAATATCTGGTTGACGATAGCATTCAAAGCCGCATCATCACTGGTCTGTTTCTCATGTTAGCGATAAAGGCTGGCTCGTTCTAGATCTGCAGGGATCTGTAAAAGGTCTCGGTAGAATAAATGTCAATTGATATACTCACAGATATGAATATCAGATCACATTCGGTGACAAGCTGGGCGATAGACTCGCATCCAACAGCCCCAAGTAATTCAAGTGGCGCGCCGCGAGACGCTGTCCGATTCCAGAACTTTAACTGGGACTTTGCGTCTTGTTGGAGGGATCTTTGGACATTTTGTGCCATTGCAAGTCCCATACTCCCGAGTCCTGAGGGGAATTAGACATGTCAAGCCCGATCAGTTTGGTCTTAATTGCCGTACCTATCCATCCAACTTGTTCGTTCGACGCCATTGTTGATCGGTTCGTTTATAGCGTGTGTGTGCTGCTTGGTATGTATAGATTATTTAGTTGACATGTTCCGAGGCGAAAACATCAGCAAATATACGTGAGACCTCGGATGTGATCCGAGAGATGACTCACCAATAATATGCCCAGGCAGGTGCCCCGGGAGGATGCACTCAGTGACCTGCGGAAGCAGGACCATCATAAACACGCAAAATGCAACGAGGACCATGCTGAGCTTCTGGAGCGCTAGGTCAGCTTTGAATAACATCACGAGTCACCCCAGAAACGATCGACGACCTTGGGACAGAGTAACAATTCGGGACGGAGCATCAATTTGGGACTTATGCATCAATTGATGTAGATTCCAAATTCGATTTGCATGTGTTCACGTGAATGCACATAACGCTGCTGACGACACGAGCACGCCAATGTCAAAGGGCTTTGGGGCTACAAGATGCATGTTCTCTCAAGATGGCAGGAGCAAAAGTTATACATATAACTGGGGTGTTAATCCCATAAATAGCATTAAAACTTGACAAATTTTTGAGGTGCCTATACATGGGACATATCCAAACCGCAACGCCCGGCAAAAGCACTATCTAACATGCACAAATGACCCGAGCTTTAGTTCTTCTCACCCTTCTCGCCCTTCTCAAGCTTGCGTCTCTTGGAGCGAAGCTTGGCGGACTCGTCAGCGGTCTTCTTGTTGGAGTACATCATCTTCTCAAGCAGCTTGCGCTTCTTCCGGCTCATCATCATCTTCTGTCTCTCAAGCTCCTCATCCTCGCTACGCTTCTTGGCAGCCACCTTCTTGGACTTGGAGGACTTCTTCTTGGCGGCTTCGTCAGCAGCAGCGCTAGCGGTGAAAGGCAGACCAGCGGCTTCGGCCTCGAGCTCCTTCTGGTGCTGAGTACGGGCAGCCTCATCGTCATCTTCGGACTCGGATGCAGCTTCCTCATCAAAGCCACCGAAGTCCTCGTCTTCCTCAGACTCCTCTTCGCTCTCGTCGTCGTCGGTGCCGGCGACATCCATGCCTCCGTCGACAGACTCTTCCTCAGACTCCTCGGCAGTAGCAGGCTTGTCATCAGCCGCGGGCTCGTCCTCCATCTCCTCATCGCTATCAGAGGCCTCAGCGGCAATCTCGGCTTCATCCTCATCCTCCTGGTCGGCAAGGCTGGCGCGCGGGTCGTAAGCGCCGCGAGTAGCCTTGACCCAAGGGCTCAAGTGGGGTGGGAGAGTGGCACCGGGTGCGTAGAGATCAGCTCGGAGGAGCTTGCCCTCGTTGATGCAGTCCCAGACCCACTGGGGCTGGACGTAGGTACGGCCAGGGATGCGGGCTCCAGGCTGAACCTTCTGAACGGCCTTCTCATCGGCAGCGGGAATGGCGGGAAGAGACTCTTGGGGAAGTTGGGGCCGGTCGACAATCTGGTGAGTGATGCGGGGGTCGGACTCGTCGTGAGTGAAGGCTCCATCGCCCAGCACGGAAGCCCATCCAACGCGCTTGCAGCCGAATGAACGCAGAATGAACTCAAGGGGAGCCTTGGGGGCTTCACGGGAGATGTAGAACACGAAGGGTGCGAAGAGGGCACCGGCCTCGTTGCCGCTCATCGCGGGCTGGGGCAGAGTGTCGGCTTCAGGAGCGGCGGGCTCGAAGTGGTCGATAGCATCGGTTGGCTCGTCGGTAGTCTCGACCATCTCCTCGTCCGTACCCTGATCCAAACCGGCCTTCTTGATCACCTTGTCAACCTTGGCTTGAAGTTCCTTGGAAACTTCCTTGTTAGAGTTGCCGTTGCTCTGAGCTTTGCTAGCCTCAAGAGCCTTGGGCACGTCACCGACTGACCGGCCCTCAAGAGTGAAAGCTGCCAACTCGGCACCGTTCTCGTCGCTGCGGGTATCGAACTTAGGGGGGGTATCTCAATCCAATTGATGAGTACAGGCGGAAGTTGACGAAGCCCAGCAGGGTGGTGTAAAACTCGACAAAGGTAGCCATGATACGGTAATCGACGTCGCCATTGACACGCTGGACGAAACGGTATGGCACAAGCCACATAATGTCTTGGCCCTGGATGGTTGCCTGGTAGTAGATACCCTTAATGGAAAGGAAGGATCTGCGCAGAGAATTTGTCATGATCAGGTAGTGCTGGAACTCGTGGCAGAGGCGCTGGCAGAGCGCAACGGTCTTAGAAGGAACATGGTCGGTGGAGGGAAGGGTAGCGAAAAGGAAGAGAAGAGACAAAGCGTCGTCAAGATCACGAAGGGCATCGATAAAGGTCGGGTAGCGCTCTTTAATGACATGGTCCAAGGTGAGTCTCGGGGCGTTATTCTTTTCTAAGCGGGAGGCATCGCTGACTTCTCCACGGCCGAGAGAGCGGGCGATCTTCTTTGCAAGTGACTTCTGGTCACGGAACTTGTTAAGCAGAGGCTCGTGTAGCAGATACTGGATGTCCTTGGTGTAATAGAAGGTGGTGTTGGGCGTAGACGTCTTGGAGGCCTTCTTCTTATTACGGGGCTCGCGAGGGTAGATACCTGATATCGGAGATCATGTTAGTCTTGCGATTCAGATGAAATACCCATCAAAAAGGCAATTACCCTTGAAGATGCATAGTCGGCGGAAATCCGGCAAAGAGATCTGAAGTTTGCGCACGGCCTGAGTTCTGGTAATGTAGTTCTTGGCTGCGCCAGAGGTACCTGAAAGGAGTGTCAGTAAAGTCAATTGAAATCTCCGGTTCATTTCCACATACCCTTCTTCTTAATTTTACCCATGATGAGAAGTGGTTGTCAGAAGATTAAACGGGCTGCTGATAAGAAGAGGAAAAATTTCTCGATAACTTTTTTTTCTTACAACAAAGTGGTCCGTGCCCCGAAGGCGGAGAGCGCTGTTCCATACAACATGGGGACCAGCTGGAATCAACAACGAAACCCTCACCCCGTCATGGCTGTAGACCGACGGAAGATTGCTGTGTTTGGCGCGGCTTTTGTGCTGCGTCTGCTTCTTACATGTCTTTTCCCTTCATTACCTGATTTGCTAACGGGAAGAGTCGAAGTCTCAACACCTGTCAATAGCTTCAAACGCCGTACGTGTCTCCGACTACCGACTCCGCATTCTGTAAGCTAATTATGTGTAGTGCAAGAAGGCCTGTTTTTATACACAAGAAATGTGTCGCCTTATGATGGTGGCGTCTTCCACCAGGTTCGTGGATCTAGACCCCTCCGAATTCGTTCCTTGAATTGACCATTCGATCCAATGATCTAGGCACCGCTCCTCTTACCTCTGTTCGCTCTACTCCCCGATGCGAAGAGCTGGCCCTTGCCAACAGCAATTTTCTACTTCCTTGTCGACCTCTTGAACGCGTATGCATTGGTAACAATATCTGCGTCGGGCCAATCGGTAAAATCGAGGCTACACTCGGCGGTCCGAAAACATGTCCGATGGGATGGGGTATCCGTTGCAGCATGGTACAAATCGTCTGGCTTGACCAATTATATATATTTACATACTTACCATGGGATAGGTTCTTGTTCAATCCTCTCACTATTGCGACATGTTTAGCGCGGTCAACCAGCGTATTTACAACATCGGGAATCCTCTTTGCCGTCTCCAATGCAGTCGGTGGAAATAGCATCAACGCGATGCTAGCCCTGGGATTTGCCTCATACCTGTCCCTATATCCGGCGCTGCTCTTTATCCCGCTGGTCCTGCTATGTTATGACCGACGCTCGGAGGGGCCAACCCCACCCAATGTTGGATCTTTCATTGCTCAACACGCTGCCCTACTGCTGGCCAGTGTGGCAGGCCTGCTTGGTCTCTCATGTCTGATCACCGGTAACTTCTGGGAGTTCATCTCAGCAACGTATGGTTTCCATCTTTTGGTCCCGGACTTGACCCCCAATGTGGGTCTGTGGTGGTACTTCTTCATTGAGATGTTCGACTCATTTCGAGAGTTCTTCCTCGGCGTTTTCTGGCTTCACTTGGCCAGCTACGTGGGAGGTCTCACAACTCGCTTCCGCAGACAACCTTTATTCGTCATTACTGCACTCTTGGGTGTCTTCGCCATCTTCAAGCCATATCCCAGCATCTCGGATGCGTCGCTATTCTTCGCGTTGCTGCCATTATATCGCCACCTTTTCCCATGTGAGTATTCTCCTGAGCAAATCTCAGAATTACTTTGACTAACTTGACACAGTGATGCGTTATACCTTCTTCGCAGGCTCGGCAATCTTGTACTCCAGCCTTCTCGGCCCGGCTTTCTACCACCTTTGGATCTACGCAGGATCTGGAAATGCCAATTTCTTCTATGCCATTACCCTGGTCTGGAGCTTGGGTCTCTCCATCCTGCTGGCTGACACCGTCTTCGCCGCTCTCAGGGACGAGTGGGAACAAGAACACCCGGAACGGGTGGGCACAGAGGTGCGACAGGTGTAATGTATATTAAATTTTGCACATCACTATTCTCATATCAACTATTAGCATTCAACCCTTAACAAAGAGATATCCAGCTATTATAATTTCAACTTCTTCGACAAGATCAAATAGTCCACATCCTTAATAGTCCCATTGCGCAACTTGCGCGGTCGGGGCGAGTACTCGTCAACCTCATACCCAAGCCGCTCATAGAATCGCCGAGCAGGCTCATTCGACTTGAAAACCGTCAGCATAGACTTCTCCAAGCCAACAGCACGACCGATTCCCTCCATCCGACCCATAAGCAACTTCCCAACGCCCCGTCCCCGCGCCGTCGGCGACAAATGAATCTCGTAGCAGTACACAACCTCCTTCCCATCCTCGTAGGTAACCATAAATGACAAAAAGCCAAGCACATTCGGAGAACCAGTACCAGACGATGAAACAGGCCTGTCGCTTTCCTTCAGTGAAGATGGAACATTGCTGTCCGCGACATCGATCTGCTTCTCTCCCGGAACTTGCCCGCGGGAATCACTATCATTCGGCGTGTCGCGCAGAATCAAATACTTCATATCGGGCAATTTCATCTCTTTCCGCTTTTTGGTGCGCGACCAGCCTGCACTGGATGCGATGTATGCCTCGCTTGAGGTTTGCTCGACTAGATCCAGACATGCTTCTAAATCAGCTGTGGAGATTGTTGCCGCGGAGTAGACGTCCACACGTGGTGTGGGGGTCGTATCCTGCTGTTGCTCATCTTGCGATGGATGTGGTTGATCAATCGCATCATTCTTAGCTGGATCTCCTGCTTGCGTGGGAGTCACGTATTGAGCGATGAAGTCGCCAATGGATAATGCGTTGGTCTGTTCGACCAGTGGGACTAATGATAATTAGCACGCGTCATTAATTTAATTCAATAAGGTGAATCAATAAAACAAAAGCTTTGACGCTGCCTGTACTACGCTTGCAAGTGGCATTTACTCACTTTTGTTGGAGACGCGTCGGGTGGTTGTTCGCGGTCCTTTGGCTTTTAATTTGGTGACTCGGCCTTCTTTCACAGACGGCATGGCTAGATAAAAGATATTGGTAGGATGTTTGATCCCAAGACTGAAGTGCAGGTTGAATGTAGGGATTTTGGGTATGTGAAGAAGGTGAAGGGCCGGCGAACCCGGACTTTGACGGGAATGGGAAGTATATGCACCCGCAACAAGCCTAACAGGGGCATATTACGCCCTCAAAAGATAAATCACCGGGTTTTTTCCTTAGTGAATATTCCAAGAGACTGTTCAGTAGCAATTGAGTCACCGAAATACACGTTTCTCCTAATCTCTCTTGGTCCGGAAAGACATGATAGTCTGGCAAATATATATCCTGGGCCCTTCTGGGCTAGGATGTTGACTTCTTCCCATTGCCTAGTTACACTTCAGATAGACGTAACCCGAAAGCTCTTTTCAATGAACATGAAGCTAGTCGCTGGAGGTCTTTATATTCGACCTGTGCTAAACTACCGGTTTACGAGGCAAAGAGACGCAGTTCCGTCCGTAGTCTCTTGCCCAGCACGTACAGGGTGGGTCGAAATCAGATTCACTAATGTATCCCTTATCCAGAACATTGAAATACTCGAGTCTGTATGGATCTGTTTTCTCCAAGCTCAAAAAAACCTCTTGATCTAGTTCCCCGGTTGAAAACGCTTCATGGCCCGGTGAATCTCAGACGCGAACTTCAGCTTCTTGTGTTAAATCCAACGCAAGCTCCTGGGTATGATGAGATCCGGATTGTTTCCCAGAATCAGCTCTACACAGTCTGCCAATTCGTCCTCCAAACAAGCATTCAAACTCGCTTGGCTAACCCGCAGCTTTTCATCATGTTCCAACATCAACTTCAAACTATCAGCATCAACCCGTCCATCTGAAGTCAAAGTTTCCAGGAACTCAGAGGAGATTCGGAACTGAGAGTCGTGAGATAGCAGAATTCGAAGGTAATCTGCATTCATGCAAGCAGTGACCATAGCTTCGGATACCGAAATACTTGGATTGCGATCAAGGACTGACTGCAGAGTGTTCATGACATCTGTGGAATCCTCACCAAAGGACTTCAGGACCGAGACAACTACATTCGACGTGGGCAAAGCTTTGGGTTCTTGATCGAGCAGGACTTTGACCATATCTCGCCCCAAAAGACGGTGTCTGGCTAGTGTCTCGAATATGTCCGGTGTAATCTCGCAGCGAAGTTCATGTTGGAGCAAGATCTCGAGAATCCTGGGATTTGGAACAGACTTAAGAATTTCGGCAGTAATTTCAACGTCCTTGGCGCGCCCAAGAAGCATTTCCAGGCCTCCTGTTGAATTGGACCCGCCCGTAGATGCAACAACTCCGGCTATCACGTCTTGGGTGACAGGAAGACCCTTGTCGTACCGGTAAAGCGTCTCCAAAATTCCTTTGTTCGAGTACGATAGCAATTTCAATGCTAAAGCCACATCCGCGAGACTGTTGATTTTCAGACATTTGCTATACTTCAGAATAACATCCACAGCTTGTCGTCGGTTCTCATCACGGAGGGTATTGCTCGAAAGAATTGTTCCTATTGCACTTTGTCCCTCACAGCCATTGGCATTGGGATCGGCACCATGCTCAAGAAGGACCTGGATTTTCTTGAGGTCTCCGTACTGACAAGCGTAAAGCAAGGCTGTTCCAAATCTGCTTGAGGGTATGTTCACGTCGATACCCCGGTCTAGGAGATTCAGAAAGACCTTTTCCTGCCCGCCTTTCATGGACGCAATCAAGGGTGATCCGAGTTCCCCCCCAACGAAGTTTAAGTTGGCGCCGTGCTTCACTAAAACGTCGATCATCCACATATCTCCAATGTAGGAGGCGATTTCGAGCGGTGTACCGATTGCGGTGGCTGGAGGATTGACCTCGGCACCCGCTTGCAAGAGGATATCAACCAAGGTTCTGGAGGATGCATGCCTTCGGTTTCTAGCCAATGTGATCCGACTGAAACTGAAAACTTCTCTGTGCGACCTCTCTTCCTCTTCCGACTCTGACTCGTTATCAGAGATCGGCTCTCCAAAGCCCTCCAATACATTCTGTGGAAGAAGATCAGATAGACTCTCATCATTCCATTGCCACGGAAAGAGGAACGTTAGGAACGGCTCCTCTGGCATGGATTTGGAAGCCAAGAGCCCTTCAAAGACGGCACTAACTGGTGCCCCAAATTTGGTGCTCACATGCCGCACATCGGCACCTTCTCCAATGAGGAACAAGGCCAGGTCCACTCGCAGATGATACAATGCTGTATGGAGTGCTCCCTCATCATTCTCCATTTCGCTGTCAACCTTAATCCCATAAGACAGGATCTCCCTGACCGCATCAGTGCATCCCAAACGGCAAGCTAAGTTGAGCGTACGAGAGGTCTTTGGAACATGATCAAGAAGAAAAAGAAATAGCTTCTTATCTCCCCGCCGAGCAGCAAATTCGATGGCTTCCTCGCACGCTGAGCCCAATTCAGGGGCGTTCGAAAGAGCTTGCACGAGAGGATTTATCGCTCTTCGGGGAGCTCTTCCCTTCGCCGCATCTCGGAGCACGTTGATATCAGTGAGCCGATTGTAGAGGATCGCACCTGATCGAAGCAACAACTCAATTGCGTTCATGATGCCCTTCGAAGCAGCGAGCCCAAGTGGAGTTTTACCATCTTCAGCCCTTATGTTCACATCAGCCCCATGATTCAACAGAACTTGAGCAATGTCAATGTAGCCCTGGTAACAGGCTGCATGTAAACCGCTGGCGACATCATCACTCGAATACTGGCGTTTGGTTCCCCGTATATTCACATTTGCCCCTCTCGTTAGAAGAGCCTGCACCATTTCCATGTCTCCATTAGAGCATGCTGTAATCAAGGCAGGTGAATGGTCTGAGACTCCGGAGTCTATATTAGCCCCAGCTAGCAAGAGTAGCTTGGTGGTCTCAAGATCCTTTGCTTCCACAGCCAAGTGCAGAATGGCGGTTCCATTCTCGGGCTTGGCGCCAGCATTGAGAAGTTGTTTCAGAAGCAACCTGTTGTTACATTGGACTGAGAGTTGAAGTGGAGGTGTCTTTGCCGTAGTTTCCTTGGAGTCCTTAGAATATAAGTTGGGATCGGCTCCATGAGCAATCAATTCTGTGACAATTTCTTGATGTCCTCCAATAATTGCTGCTTGGAGGGGAGTTCCATGAGCACCATTATCGTGTTGACTTCTGCATTTGCGTCAAGGAGAAACTGCACGCATTCAAGGTGTCCAAACCGGGCCGCCGCTTGCAGGGCACAGCCGTAATAATGTCCGCATGAATTGACATCAGTCCCTCTATCAAGAAGAAGCTCGATGGAATCGATCTCCCCACTTGTTGCAAGCATTTGTAGCAACAGACTGAATCGTTTGCCCAAAGTGCGGATTTCCGGTCGAGACAGTAAAACATGCATGATCACTGCCCCTGGGCCAGTCGACAAAACGTCTTGCACCGACTCTGACTCAGTGAAGCAACCGGTATTGGGACGCCCGGAATAAAAAGGTGACCGCGGATCAGGTCCAAAGAAGTTCAGTGATGCGTCCAGTACAGACTTCCATTGCTGCTGCGCGTCGTCGAATGACCCAATGATAGCCCCAAACTCGAGCAATGCGTGCACAATGGGTAGCGCATTCAATTCTCTCTCTGCGGTCAGTTGTAACGGGGTGCCCTTTCCTGGGACATCGATATTCAGGTCTGCGCCTTTGGCGATCATTGTCCGAACCGTCTCCACCGAGAAATTCTGTACCGCAACATGCAGAGCAGTCATTTTGCCATCTAGTGTTTGGTTGACATCAGCGCCATGCTCCAGCAACAGGTTGATGACGAATTCTAGTGAGCGTATCTGCGTGTCGTCTGAATCTGGGATAGACTGAAGACACGCCTGTAACGCCGTCCTTGGCCACTTCTCATGGGAATGATACCGATACCTCTTACGAGAGGATCTAAGCTGCTTCTTCTGGGACTTGGCCAAGAGCTCAGGTTTCTCATTAACCATCACATCAATGTCAGCCCCAGCATTTATCAGCCACTGAGCACCTTCCTTTTGGCCAGCTGCGCAGACAGCATTCAATGCCTGAGTGAGAAGCAGTGGGTATGCTTCATGTTTCTGGATCCTCTCTGCTAGTGATATCATGATTGAAAGGGATCCTTCGCGGGAAGCATTGACAAATTCCTTCTGGAGTATCTCAGGAGACCATGGTCTTGCGCTCTCAGTCAATAAGTACTCCACAACCTCAACATGACCATTCAACACCGCCATCTCCAGGCACGCAGCATAGCAATCCCCGAGATCTTCCTTATCGCCATTTCTGCCGACGAGAAGTGCCAGCGATGACTTAGAACCATTTTCTGCAGCAGTATGCATTGCTTTTACCAAAGACTCGGACGAAAATGGAACATCGCTCTCAAGCAAAGAGTCAACAATATCGGATTCGCCAAATCGAGCTGCCTCCGCCAGACAAAGCTCGCGGATATTCTGGATCTCAAACTGGGTTGCCAAGCGAAGCCCTCGCTTGACACTAGGTAGTTGACCACCTCGGCAGCCAGCCAGCGCCAGCGGAAGTGTGTGGGGAAATTCAATAGAGCCATCAAACTGGAGTCTGTGATCCTTTTGGGAGCTATCACACTTGGAAGCTCTTTCAGGGCTCCCATTGCTCGGAAGGCTCCATTTCCCTTCGTATTGAATGAGAATCTCCATGATCTCCCCGTATCCGCGGCTAGATGCGATCTCTAGAGTCTCGCGAACATAATGGCGTAAGTCAACCTCCACAGATGTGATGGAATCGACCATTTTGATGTGACCGTGTGTACACGCAGCCAAGAGTGCTTGTCCTAAATGAGAGGCTCCCATTCCAAGCCTCTCCCTGTTGGCAAGAAGTCGCTCAACTACCTCCAAGTGGCCACCCGAGGCTGCAACTTCCAATGCATAATAGTCTCTTTCGCCACGCATGCCACGACCGTGACGTGCTCTACGTTCGTAAATTGACTCTGGTATATCATTGTGAGAGACAGGTAAATCTCCGCTGTAGCCGAGAATATCCTCGAAGCTGGAGACGAAAGCTTCTGGGCGTTGTTGATTAGCGAAAACTTGCCGGGGACGCTGAGAATAACCGCGAAAGCTTGGCGATGCACAGCGCAGGACATCTTTAAACCTGCTCCGTGGGACCCTTGATGCCTGTGCCGTGCCGTGTAACAATCTATCAATCAAAAAGGTGTATCCCCTTTCAAGGAAGTAACCAATAACTCCACCTTGACCACCTTCAGCTGCGGCATGGAATGCGTCTTTGTATCGGCCCTTTGTGTCTATAGATGCGCCAGCACTCAGAAGAGCCTCAGCCACGTCAAGGTGGCCGCGATAGGCAGCAGCTTGCAGGGCATTTCCAAAAAAGCCGCCTTGATTGTGGACATTGGCGTGGAACTGAATCAGGATATTCGTGACGGACAGGTGGCCTTTCATTGCTGCGGCTTGAAGTGCATCCCCCAATGGTGTTACAAAGTTGACAGCTGCACCCCGAGACAAGAGGTTGCGCACAGCGTTCTCATGGCCCATCAGGCTTGCAGACCTGAGGGGAGTGCCAAATGGTCCTTCTTTCTCAATGTCGTAGCCCTTGTCTAGACACAAATTGATGATCTCAATATTTCCAAAAAGGGCGGCGGTAGCTACTATATCAGCGGGCAGTGAGCTCTCCTTGAGCAGCTTTCTGATGAAGGTAACCTGTCCTTTTCGAATGACGGCAGTCACAAATTTCGGAGAATTCTTCTTTAGATGGTTCGTAGAGTTCTTAGGTGAGAATTTCACCAATTCCTCCATGACCCCGGAAAAGCCAGCTTGAGCAGCGGCTTCCAAAAGCCAGTTGTTGTCCTTCCGGTCGACCTCGGACTCGTTACATGGGCTTTGTAAGTAGCTCTTGAGTAGTAGCTTGCAGAGACCTTCCTGGCCTGTCATGAAACATGTTCTAAGAGCAGGCTCGATCTTCATGGTATCGTAATACGTCTCTTGATTGAGAAGAATGGTGGCCACCAAGGAATGACCACTAGCACATGCAGCAGATAATGGGTCTTCCCACTTTCCTCGTGAAACACCCGGATCTGCGCCTAAGCCGAGAAGAGCATCCACCAAATCATGGTTACCATACGCTGCGGCAAGGTACAGTCCGGTATGGCCTTGCAAATTGGTCATATCAGCGTTAAAGGTGGGACTCTGCACTGAAGTGTCGAAAATGGACTTCAACCCATAAATGCAGGCAGTGAAAAAAGCCGATTGTGATTTGCTCATCGCGGCGTTAAGCTCTTTCTTTAGATAATTACCAGTGAGAAGGAGCGCAGATGCATCATTGGCAGCCTCCAGCCAGAGCTGGAAGGCAAGTCCGTCGTCGTTGAGAATAAACTCTTCCAGCTCTTCAGCCGCTTGTTCACTGTCGGCTATGCCTGATGCCGTATAATGTTGAGCCCAATAGAGAACGGCGTACTGATGATAATCCTGACTTGGAAGCAGCACAGTTCCGATCTCGATAGGTAAAACGTAAATGCATGTATTGAGGCAGCTTAGCGCAGCGACTCTGTTCGCACTCGGCTTAGCGAACTCAGGCTTGGTCTCCAAGAACTCCTTGAATGAAACGTGCGCAAAGCGCAAAGTGTCCAGTTGGTTATCCACAGTAATCAGGTTCGAGCAAATAGACAGAAGCTCTGACAAACTTATTATGTGGTCCTCGGGAGTTCTGCTAGACACCGCAGCAACGAACGCAGTGCATGAAAGGGGTTCACGCATACAAAGCAACCAGGAGAAGGCCCTGGCTGCGATTTTATATGTCAAAGAATCTGCCTGTGCGAGCTTTCCAAGGATGTCCGAGTACAGGTGATCGATGCTAGCTGAGCTTTTTGGAACAGCATTTAAAGCCTCCGAAACGCTACTTGCTGATCTCAATTTGCATAGCAGTTCCAATTGAAGCTGCACCCACAGAAACCTATAACGAGGTTAGCTCACTTCACAAAAGATTTTGCTAGTAGAACTCACATTTCTCCAGCTCGGTTCAGCAGAAACTGGGTTAGCTTGTGTCGTAGGTCATCCGAAACGTTTCCATCAAGGAGGTTCCTGGCCGAGATAGAAGTTGACACACAGTGCTCAACAAAGACTTCCATATCCTGGCGAGTATCCGTGTCCTGCACGCGAAGCATTGAAGCATCTTGCAGAACTGCCATCACATTGCTATTTTCTCGACTAGAGAGGAATACTTTCACCACGCTTGCAGATTCGTCTCGGATTCTAATTAGCTCATTAAGCAACTCATGTCTTCGGTGCTCTTCAACTTCGTCGACTCCGTCAACTATAATTACGGCTGGATTTGCACCTAGGATGTTCAGAATCAGGTCGGTACACTCGGTGGCCCGGAGCCTCGGCTTCTCAAAGCCATCTAATTTGGCCTCCGCCTCTCTGCGTGCGTACTCAAGGGTAATCGATTCATGCACCTTGAGCCTTTCTCTATCGACAATAGCAAACTGTCGAGTGAGAGATCGCATCACTTCGTCCGGATCTGCCCAAGAACGGCCCAACCGGCTATCTCCGCAGTAGAAGTAGGCCATCGGTGCACTAAGAGAGTTCAAAGTGTGCTCACGTAGGTAATTGTCCACAACGGCTGATGTGAGACAGGTCTTCCCAGACCCTGGAATTCCATACAGCAGAAATATGGACGATGAGCTTGACCCTTTCCATTCTGTATATTGCGGATGGCAAAATAGCCACTGGCCTGAATTTGACAGTCGACCCTCGGAATGTCGCTTTTGGTGATGAGTATAAGGAACAGAGGACAGCCAGTCTATAATAGCGCGAAATTTCTTCTCCTCTAGCGTCTTCGCATACGTCATTGAGGCATCGACTAGGCGACATATTGGGCTTTGGAGGGTCTCGAGTATCTCGCGAGTCTTGTCGACTTGTATAAACGTCTGTTGCTGGATTTAACCTGATGATTTCTTCGTCTAGCTTTGCGATTTGATCGATCTCCTCGATCTGAGACGTTCCAAACACGCTCTTTACCATACGTTTTGCTGCCGGCTGACCGAAACATTGAATTCCATGGGCCAGAAAAGTGAGGATTCGTGTATATAGACCAGTCAGTCCACGCTGCAGGTCCGCTTGAATGGCAGATCCCCTTTGCAGGTAGAGTGCCTCAAAGGCCGCGTAGCGAGCGATCAAAAGCGAGACAGATTCTAGGCCATGGACCGTAGACTCGAAGCAATGACGGTCGCTCACGGCCACATGCAGCAAAAATCGCACACCAGCCCATGGGAGTGAAGCGCTGCCTGGGTCGAATTGAACAGCCACATCGACGACAGCGCTGAACTGGTTCACCCATGCGATGATCTTGTCGAACAGGTCTCGAAGGACTATTGTCTTGCCGCGCAATTGAACTTTCCAACGCTTCTGTAGGCACAGCTTCTTTTTTCTTTCCGCCTCCTTGAGGATGGCCGACACAATATCGCCCTTTTGGACTTTCAAAATGTCACCCAGGCTCTCTTTCAAGTGCGAATCGAGCGCCTCCAGGGCGGTTAACCACAGACCAGTCCCCGATGAAGTGTTATTGTAGGCGCTCATGCTGCAAGATTGGGAAGGACTGAGCATAGCGTACTCCAGGAAGATTGTATCTCCACTATTCCATATGCCCAAGAGGGCCTCATTAAAGAAACAAGATCCATCGTCGTTTGTGTCAACCTTTGAAGCGACCCCCGCTTTTAGCAGTCTCAGCCCCGGGGGCTGTGAGATCTGCGCCCGTCATAGTATTATGGTCCGAGCGTAGGCTGAGCACTCACCCTTAGAATAAATAATAGATGGATGCCTCTGACCATCTCTAAATGATCCGCGAGCATCCAATCAGAATTAGTGAGGGCTCACTGAGCGTTCATTGGATCTCCTTCACGTGATGAGTACTAGGTATACATAGCTCACTGATTCTGAGTCCAGTCCGAAATCTATGTACTCAGTGAGCCTGACTCTGAGCACCCTCATAAAGCAGCAGCAGCTAAGATAGGCAAGCCCTAGCAGACAGAATAGGTGCATTCGCAATCACCTATTGTACATAGCCTTGGAGGTGGAGGTTTTGTGGGACGTCCTTAATAATCCTTTCGTCACCACTAAAGTGGATCGCCCAAAACAGGCAAAACACGTTCGCCTCGCTATAAACTCCCTTCAACTCCATGCTCAATTTGTCCTACGTTGTAAACTACTTCAAGTAGAGCGGACTATCTTCTAGGAAAATGTCTCCCTCCACTATGAAACAATGGGTCGTTGAAGATAAGGAGCACGGCTTCGACGGTCTTGTTTACAAGGACGCTGCGGTTCCGAAAGTAGGCGAGAACGAAGTCTTGGTGAAGCTCCACGCTGCGTCGCTGAACTATCGCGACCTAATTATTCCAAAGGTATGGCTCTGCGAGAGAAATCTGATACTTCCAACCGTAATTGAACTTTCTGCACAAGACTATTACTGTGCCATAACCAACCTCTGACCTCTTTCCAATAGGGCCAATACCCATTTGCTCTCAGGTTCCCCGTAGTTCCAGGCTCTGACGGTGCTGGTGAAGTCATCGAAGTGGGATCCAAGGTCGCTGAGCTCAAGAAGGGCGATCAAGTCGCGACTCTCTTCAATCAGGGCCACCAGTACGGCGATATCGACTCGTACGCAGCGGGCACTGGCCTAGGTGGTGTGATCGATGGTACCCTGCGCGAATATGGCGTATTCAACGAACAGGGTCTTGTCAAGGCGCCAAGGAACCTCGACGCCCGCGAGGCTAGCACCCTGTCCTGCGCAGCGCTCACCAGCTGGAATGCACTATATGGCCTGAAGCCTCTGAAGCCAGGCCAGGTCGTTCTCGTGCAAGGAACTGGTGGTGTCAGTATGTTTGGCTTGCAGGTTAGTGCTGAACTTATATACACTGGGTCAGAATGGATCCGGCTAACACAGGGTGTTGTATAGTTCGCCAAAGCCGCTGGTGCGACAGTTATCGCGACCACGTCTTCCACCTTGAAGGCCGAGAAGCTCAAGGAGCTCGGTGCTGATCATGTCATCAATTATAAGACCGAGCCCAACTGGGGCGATGCTGCTCGCAAGCTCACTCCTGACGGAGCTGGTGTCGACCACATTATCGAAGTGGGTGGTAGCGGAACGCTCCAGCAGAGCTTCAAGTGCGTGAAGTTGGAGGGTATCATCAGCGTTATTGGGTTCCTTGGTGGCGTGGACCCGAAGACACAGCCGACCGTTCTCGAGGCATTGACTCACGTCTGCACTGTGCGTGGTGTATATGTTGGTAGCAAGGCTCTGATGAAGGATATGGTTCGGGCCATCGAGGCCAATGATATCCACCCTGTGGTGGATGAGAAGGTGTTCAGTCTTGACCAGACACGGGAAGCCTATGAATACATGGTAAGTATTTTGTTTCATGAGTAAGAAGGGGTCGTATGCTAACAGATTGGAATTCAGTTGGCCCAGAAACACTTTGGAAAGTTGGCTATCAATATCAACTAAGTGGGACAGAGCAGGCTAGGAAGCAGCATTGATGTATCAAAAGTCTTGTTGGTATATCTGTGATAACCTCAGGAAAGTGCGGGATAAAAGGAAGACAAAGCTAAGTACTAGGGACCCAGCACCAGGTGGCCTAGTGGTAACATGCTTTGCCATGTGTACTACGAGGGAAGTGCCTAGGATCTTCCACTATCTGGACTGTTCCGTTTGACTCCGGTCGTTCTCGCCTTTGTCTTTTTTCCCCCCTTCATGCTGTTTCTTTAAAATCTCTCGAATAAACAATGATTTAAGGTTTCATAGTGGGGACCCGCAATTCTTAAACTGTCCCACTGCCTCTATTATGGATTTTTCTGAAGTGTCTTCGCAGTTTTTAAAGTACGTACATATGTAGTGGAATATGAGCTGCTATCAAAATATGTTGATGTTGGGGAGTTTCATTCTGGTTGGTAGACAAAGGCAACTGCCCATATGCAGGCAGGTGATAGCTTCCCCGCCACTTCCCCGGAGTTAAACCCAACCACCTGCAAGCCTCTCCCTCTGTTACACTCAAGCATTCACATTTCCTATAGTCTCTTGGGATACTGCAAAAATCCACCTTTTTCTTTTTTCTTTTTGTTCCCTATTTTCCACTACTGCGCCAGACACATGATCCAACATCATACCTTTCTTCAATGAATGTCAACAATAGAGATACCTCAACCCTCCCAATCCAGGGTCCCAGCCAAACTGCACGACATCCACAGACACCGTTTGTTAGCCCAGCTCAAATGGCCATGTTTGCACGGGTAACATCTTATCCCCCATTGGGACAAATCACTTGTCTCCAAACGGCGCAAACCGCATTGCGGACTAAACAAGATACGGTGAGTCTTCCAAACATGATCATATCTGATCTCGCCAACAAGTCTTTCTGCACTTATTCGGGCTACGACGCGAAGACATGCTGACAATGTGAACAGCTATGTTTCACGGTTACCATCGAGTCCAGCAGCTCATTCCCCGCACAGTCATGGGAAGCGCAGATCTGGCATAACATCACTGCCCCCGAATGGGGATCTCTGCCATTGCAGAGATGTAGCTCGGATCATGCTGCCCTTCTGAGAGGAGAGGAGAGCAAGTACCACTACCATCGTTACATATTCTCAGAAGATATATCCCTGCCAGCCGCAGGAGGCCATGCACAGTTCACTGTCCGATTCCGAACTGGCCCAGACGCGGAATGGCAGTGGGCTAGTCAGATGCACCCCGTGAGCGACGGCGAAATTGTATATAGCGCACGCCACTCCGATCTAGATAAAGCTATGTCCACGGATGTCGCTGTGCAAGTCCCTAGAGAACACCTGGAGAACTACATCGAGAATCTTCATGGTGACTTACAGGTTGAGTCACGGCTTAGTGAAGCTCCTGGATCGGTCCTGTGGGCTCTTTCTGGTGATATCGATGGCGTTCAGAATGGATCTTCAACCATCAAACAACTTGCACTTGGTACCCCTTCATCAGTGATGAGGTATTTCGCACTAGTGCGTGTCTCGAGCCCATGGCTGGGTCCTAGGCATGGCAAAAACAACTTCCGGCTTACTGAAGATGCAATCTTTTGCTCTTTCCTGCGCGAAGATGGTGTGAATCTGGTTCTGTTGGCTGTTTCGGGTGTCAACGATGTTTTGACTGTGTTGCAGTCAGGTGAGACTGGTGAAGTTGTGATCTCCTCAAAGAGCGACGATTCAGAAGCATCGAAGTTCCATGTGCTTGTCAGCGCCGCGGAGAACATTGAAGTTGCCATGTCTGCAGTAGTGTATGAGGCACGGAAAGTGGTCAGGCCATTTGCTGATGCGAGTCATTTGGATTTGGAAGATTCAGTCCCATTGTCTCCCCCTGGTGATGATATGGTCCTTGTCGAAAAAGACCCAAGTGTACAGTGGCTTTCCGAGTGGGTTGACGGTCTCACATATTGTACTTGGAATGGACTGGGACAGGACCTTACCGAAGAGAAGATCTTGCGTGCCTTGGACTCATTGAAGGCCAATGGAATCAACATCGTCAATCTTATTATCGATGATGGCTGGCAGACAAATGACAATGAAGGGGAGTCCCAGTTCAAGCAAGGCTGGAAGCAGTTCGAGGCACATGCGAAAGGATTTCCGAAAGGGTTAAACCATACTGTGGGAGCTATTCATCGGGCACATCCCAATATTGAACATGTTGCAGTCTGGCATGCCTTGTTGGGTTACTGGGGAGGTATCTCACCAAAAGGGGACCTGGCTCAAAGATTCAAAACAAAGCAAGTGAAGATAAAAGATCCCACCGCCAACGGGCTCATCGCGGAGAGCCTTCCAGACGGAACAATCGTTGTAGTTGCTCCTGACGATGTTAAACGATTCTATGATGAGTTCTATAGCTACCTTCGGTCTGTTGGTATAGACTCGGTCAAGACAGATGCACAATTTTTCCTTGATCTCCTTGAGGACCCAGAGGACCGCCGGACATTCATGACTTCTTATCAAGATGCATGGTCTATCGCATCACTCAGGCACTTCAGTACTCGGTCAATCTCATGCGGGTCGATGACCCCTCAAATAATCTTCCATTCACAAATTCCCACCAACAAACCGGCAATTCCATTGCGAAACTCCGACGACTTCTTTCCGGATGTTGTTGCCTCACATCCGTGGCATGTATTTTGCAATGCTCATAATGCGTTGCTCACCCGCTATTTGAACGTATTGCCAGACTGGGATATGTTCCAGACAAGTCACCCATACGCGTCATTCCACGCTGCAGCACGATGTGTATCCGGTGGACCAATCTATATTACCGATGAGCCGGGCAAACATGACCTGGCTCTTCTCGATCAGATGACAGCAACTACCGTTAAAGATATCACGGTGATCTTGCGTCCTAGTGTCATCGGACGCACGATAGACGTTTACCACGACTACAACGAAGGACATGTTCTGCGCGTTGGAAGTTACACGGGCTGGGCTAAGACCGGAAGTGGCATCTTAGGCCTTTTCAATATTCAACCCGCGGACGCCTCGATCATAGTCTCGTTGATGGATTTCCCAGGAATACACGAGGACTCCGAAGGCCAGTATATCGTGCGTTCACACAGCAGCGGTAAAATCTCGCCTCGCATGCGGCCGTCGACCAAGGACTCCTTGATATCAGTTGTTCTAGAGCCAAAGGGCTGGGAGATCCTCACTGCGTACCCGACTCGGCCGTTCACGCTGACGGGAAGCCATGGCGGCAACTCTTCTGGCCATGGTCTGACACATGTGGCTGTGCTGGGCCTTTTAGGGAAGATGACTGGTGCAGCGGCTGTAGTGACTTCAGATATATCTGTGGTTGAGAACGGCCGTTTACGACTCGACATCAGCTTAAAGGCGCTGGGCACTCTGGGAATTTATTTCTCGGATCTTCAGAACAAGAGCATTGCACGGAATTTCATGGTCATGATTCTGGGACAGGCGATTCCAGAGAATACGGTGTGGAAGCAGGGTGGAGAGAATGCTAATGTGCTGGCAATTGATGTATTGGCGGCATGGAAATCCATGAAGTTGGACAGTGGATGGAGTAACGAGGCCTTTGTGCAGGTTTTTATGGGTTAACGTAACACCTCAGAGCCAATCACTTTTGGACCTCACCGTCATGTTTTCTTGATACACATATTCTTTTAGCAGCATCTTTACTTCAGTCAATATATACTTCTCAGGCCCTAAGCCCTTAATAAAATCCCAACTTGGAAATGGATCAAGATGTCAGAGATAAGGGCCGCATCATTAATGTTCCGGACTTATCGAAAGAATCTCCGACATCTGGTTATTGGATATTGATCGTGTCCAGACTTGAGTCCATTGCGAGCCGTTTCATTAATATTTGCATTTTTAAACCGGTCCAATGCGGCCACAGTTGGCATCGCTCGGCCAAGCGCCACACCGCAGCCTTCTCACCCCTCATCAGATCCCATGCGGAGCGCGCAGTCTTGCCGCAACAACCGCTATTCCGCTGCGCGGTGACAGCAATCGGCCAGTATTATCTGCTTCGCAGTTAGGCACGTGCTTCCAACAGCAGAGATGGATTACACAAAAATATATTCAGCGTATGAGAGACGGGGAGAAGGAGTGGGCTGGGTTCGCGAAAGAGATCAAGGCCGGGAACAGGAAGAACTTCGCGCAGCACCTGGAGGAGCGAGGCTTGATTCATGATGTTGTCGGGTATGTTACACCGGGATGCGATGATGTCGATGGCATTTCCAGCGGGAAAACGCTTGAATATCTCGCTAATTATTTCCTTTGGATTGCAGCGAACGGGACTTGTTGCATAAGGTGTTCACGGAAAAGCGGGCTGGAATATATGTTGGAATCGACCCAACTGCTCCCTCAATGCACGTTGGACACATGCTTCCTTTTATGGTTTTGGCCTGGGCATACGTCTGGGGTTTACCTGTGACATTCCTAGTAAGTTGCCTGCCACTTCACGCTCAGTGGAATGCGCCAACTAACACGCTATAGCTCGGCGGTGCTACTTCTAGAGTCGGCGACCCCACTGGGCGTCTCAAGGGCCGAGACGCTGTCCATTCCTCCATCCGAAAAGCGAATATGGCTAGCATGCATATGCAGTTGAAGAAGTTGGGCTCGAGCATTGAGCAGTACGGCAGAAGACACGGGCATGAGAGGAATCCGATGTGGAAGCGGGCGTTGACGAACAACAACACCTGGTGGAACTCGACGCCTTTCCTTGAGGTGTTGCGAGACCTTGGTGCTTTCATGCGACTGGGACCCATGCTCGGCAGAGATACGTGAGTTTTCCCTGGTCTGACGGCGCTGTTGTCGTAGGTTTACTGACATTTTCGACCAGTGTCAAGACGCGATTGAGCCAAGGTGATGGCATGTCATTTGCTGAATTTTCCTACCCTATTCTTCAGGCCTGGGATTGGTGGACACTGTTCCAAAAGGGCACTCAAATCCAAGTTGGAGGTGCCGACCAATATGGAAACATTCTATTTGGTATGGAGGCTGTTAAGTCTATCAGCCGAAACACTGCCGACGAACAAGTCCGCAACCCATTAGAATCGGAACTAGATCGGCCGATCGGTTTCACTACGCCACTACTGACAACCCCGTCCGGCGAGAAGCTTGGCAAGTCTGCTGGAAATGCCGTTTGGCTCGATAAGGACCTCACTTCTACATTCGAACTTTACCAATACTTTGTGCGGACGCCTGACGATGTTGTTGAGCGTTACCTCAAGCTCTTCACTTTCGTTCCCTTGCCTGAAATCGCCACCATCATGGAGGAGCAGAACAAGGATCCATCTAAGCGCGTTGCGCAGCACAAGCTCGCCGTTGAGTTTGTCGAGCTTATCCATGGCAAGGCCGAAGCTGATGCCGTGGCTCTCCAACACCGCCAGCTTTTCCGTCCCCGATCCTCAACTGCAGAGCCCACTCCTCTTCTTAAGCCATCCGCTCCTTCCGCTGGCCACCCGCAATCTCCCACCGCTGGCTTCGAGACTCCCCAATCTGGAAACCCATATGCTGCCCAAACAAACTGGGCCAACATGGGCGATATCAAGGTCACCCTTCCCGAATCCCTGGTTTTCAACCAGCCGTTCAACAAAATTCTGTGGTCAGCCGGCCTTGTCTCATCCAAGAGCGAGGGTCACCGAGTCATCGTCAACAACGGTGCCAAAGTCGGAAGCCGACCTGGTGACAGTGGTCCCATGTCGGATCAATTGTCTTTCACACCTATCCGCCCGTGGGACGCAGAGAAAACAAAGGAGTTTGTCTTGAATGGCAACCTCCTGATGCTCAAGTTGGGCAAGTGGAAGCTCAAGGCCGTTCACATTGTGCCGGATGAGGAATATCGCGCGCAAGGGCTAACAGCTCCTGGATGGGAGACCGAGGCGACCGAGGCGACTGAGCCGACCAAGTCGGACTGATGTCAATTTCTACTAGATCTGTAATTCTACAATATCCAATCTGTACAATAGTATAAATATTATAACATCATTTTCACCTCTCAAGATAAATAAGACCCAACTGCTCTGTAGTAATAGTAAGGAAAGATAATGTCTCGGGTGTCGATCAATGGACAGGTCGAGTCTCGGAGAAAGTGCTTTACGCGTCGACGCGATCCGCGCCTTACCTCCTCCCCGTCCCCATCCCTCACCACTCCCCTAATTACCATGTTGAGTTGAGAGTATATTGCCATTTAATCTCAATTCTTTTGTTCTATAAAATATGGCCAAGCCATCGGCCTCATCTCCGTCCGCTGCATCGCCGTCCCCAGCGCTCAAGCGCACAACTCCTAGCACCCAGAATATGCGAAGCCAGAAGTCAATTCTTGGTTTCTTTCAAAAGTCCTCACCCGCGACTCCCTCGAACAATCGGACGCGAGAACCGGCGTCGTCGCCCGCACAGAGAGCCTCCGAGAAGCGTAGTGAGAGCGCTGTCAAGGCCACACCGAAGAACCAAAAGCGAAGCTTCTCGAGCTTTGCGCAGGATCTAAGCCCTGTCCCTAGCAGCGACCTTCCAGTTCCGGAAGACGAACAAGAAAATGGTAGTGATTTGAAGGTATGTTGATATGGAGTTTGGTGTTTGTTTGCTCCTTCACTCTGACTGAACTCTTCTCTCCTCAGACCACCAAAGAGGCACAACAGGACTCCACCATGTCCCCTTCGCGTCGGGTACGTGTACCACCTGCCTGCTCAATTGATATGCCCTGCTCACTTATTTCATTAGGGAAAAAAGCAGATCAGCTATAAGGAGTCTGACTCCGAGGGCGAGGACGACGACGAGGTCATCTTCCGTCCTAACCGCAAGGACCGTGTCTCCGGCCGTGCAGCGAAGAGAAGACGAACTGAACCGGAGAGCGAAGATGAGTTCAATGACGCAGGAGACGGAGGATACTCGGACGATGGTATGGTGCTTTGTTATTGGTTGGGATTGCTGGTACACAACTAACCCGGATACAGAAATGGACGATTTCGTCGTTGCAGATGACTCCGATGAAGAGATAGTCAAATCATCCAACAAGCGCAAGCGACCATCGGCACAATCGGCACGCAAGCCTACCTCCAAATCATCCTCCGTCCCTGCTCCTTCCCCGCCCGCCGATGACATCGATCTTGATCTCCCAGAGGGAGAAGGTTCAGCTGGAACCGCGAAGAAATGGGCGTTTGATCCGGAAAACACAGAACCTCGGAAGGAAAGAGCTGCTGTGGCGTCAACCAGGACAACAGCATCCAGCGCGAAGAAAGAAAAGGCCCACATCAAGGAGCCTGAGCAGCGCTATTCATGGCTTGCTAATCTCAAGGACATCGACGGCAACCCTCAGGGCCACCCTGACTATGATCCCCGAACTATCTACATCCCTCCCCTCGCGTGGTCCAGATTCTCGCCCTTTGAGAAACAGTACTGGGAGATCAAGCAGAAATTCTGGGATACTGTCGTCTTCTTCAAGAAGGGCAAGTTCTACGAGCTCTACGAGAACGATGCCACCATTGGTCACCAACTTTTCGATCTCAAGCTCACGGACAGAGTAAACATGCGCATGGTCGGTGTTCCCGAGATGAGTTTAGATCACTGGGCGAACCAATTCGTGGCCAAGGGCTTCAAGATTGCACGTGTGGACCAATCTGAATCCGCGCTCGGTAAAGAAATGCGTGAGCGAGAGGGCAAGAAGCCCACTAAAGACGACAAGATCATCAAGCGAGAGCTCGCATGTGTCCTTACTGCTGGTACACTGGTCGAGGGTTCCATGCTTCAAGATGATATGTCCACATACTGTGTTGCGATCAAGGAAGCGATTGTGGACGAGCGCCCCGCGTTCGGTATTGCGTTTGTCGATACTGCTACGGGTCAATTTTTCATGTCGGAGTTTGTGGACGATGTTGACATGACCAAGTTCGAGACTTTCGTCGCACAGACCCGTCCTCGGGAGTTGCTACTGGAGAAATCTTGCGTTTCGCAGAAAGCCATGCGCATTCTAAAGAATAATACTGATCCCACCACTATCTGGAATTTCATGAAACCTGGTAGGGAGTTCTGGGAATCTGACATCACAATTCGGGAACTTGAGGCAAGTGAGTATTTCGTCTCCGTGGACGATGATAATCTCACAGCCTGGCCCGAAACCCTGCGTCAAGCCCGCGAGAAGGAGTTGCTGATGTCTGCATTCGGTGCCCTGGTTCAATATCTGCGAATGCTGAAAATTGAGCGAGACTTGATCACCATTGGCAACTTCACGTGGTACGATCCCATCAAGAAGGCTACGAGTCTTGTTCTAGATGGACAGACCCTGATCAACATGGAGATCTTCGCCAATTCCTTCGATGGTGGGTCTGAGGGCACTCTCTTCCAGTTGCTCAACCGATGCATCACGCCCTTCGGCAAGCGTATGTTCAAACAGTGGGTATGCCACCCGTTAGTTGATTCAAAGAAAATCAATGCAAGACTGGATGCAGTTGATTCACTCAACGCCGATCCCAGTACACGGGACCAATTCTCCTCCCAGTTGACTAAGATGCCGGATCTCGAACGACTGATCTCTCGTATCCACGCTGGCAACTGCAAAGCTCAAGACTTTGTACGTGTGTTGGAAGGATTCGAGCAGATCGATTATACCATGGGTCTGCTCAAGGAAAGTGACACTGGCTCAGGCGAGAGCATTATCGGTCAATTGACAACCGCAATGCCCGATCTTGCCTCTTTGCTGGGATACTGGAAGACCGCATTCGATCGTCCGAAGGCAAAGGAGAATGGGATTCTTGTTCCGGAATCCGGTGTCGAAGAAGACTTCGATAACTCCCAGGAGAACATCGAGCAACTCCACCGGGACCTCGACACCTTGCTGAAAAAGGCTCGCCGGGACTTGGGGTCGTCTGCCATCTGCTACCGGGATAATGGCAAGGAAATCTACCAGCTCGAAGTTCCAATCAAGGTGAAGAACATTCCTAAGGATTGGAACCAGATGTCTGCGACCAAACAGGTCAAACGGTACTACTTCCCCGAGCTCCGAAGCCTCATTCGTAAGTTGCAAGAGGCCCAAGAAACCCACAGTCAAATCGTCAAGGAAGTTGCTGGACGGTTCCATGCCCGGTTCGATGAGCATTACAGCACATGGCTGGCTGCCGTTAGAATTGTATCGCAGCTGGACTGCCTTATCAGTTTGGCCAAGGCTTCTGCGGCCATCGGCCATCCTAGTTGCCGACCAGTGTTTGTGGACGACGAACGAAGTGTCCTCGAGTTTGAAGAACTCCGTCACCCTTGTCTTCTTTCCTCTGTTGAGGACTTTATTCCCAACGATATCCAGCTCGGTGGCAAGCATGCTAGCATTGATTTGCTGACTGGTGCTAACGCTGCCGGAAAGTCTACTGTTCTCCGAATGGTGTGTAACCCCGCCCTCCCTCTGTTTTAATGATGTTGCTAACAAGTATAGACGTGTGTTGCTGTCATCATGGCCCAAATCGGTTGCTACCTTCCCTGCCAGTCAGCGCGACTGACGCCGGTCGATCGGATCATGTCTCGACTCGGTGCGAACGACAACATCTTCGCTGCCCAGTCAACATTCTTTGTCGAGCTGTCCGAAACAAAGAAGATCCTTTCTGAAGCTACCCCACGCTCACTTGTCATCCTTGACGAACTTGGTCGCGGAACTAGCTCTTATGACGGTGTCGCCGTGGCGCAGGCCGTACTGCACCACATTGCTACCCATATTGGAGCCCTGGGCTTCTTTGCCACCCATTACCATTCGCTTGCCGCCGAATTCGAAAATCATCCCGAGATTGCACCCAAGCGCATGGCCATCCATGTGGACGATGTCGAGCGCCGTGTGGCATTCCTGTACAAGCTTGAGAATGGTGTTGCAGAAGGCAGTTTCGGTATGCACTGTGCATCCATGTGCGGGATTCCAAGCAAGGTTATTGAATGCGCGGAAAATGCCGCCCAACAATGGGAGCACACAAGTCGGCTCAAGGAGAGCCTTGAGCGCCGTAAGGGCGGTGGCTTTGTTGGTCTGGGCTGGTGGAGTGATGTGGCCTGGGCCCTGCGTGAGTCTGTTACAAAGGAAGACTCGAATACAGGCGATGTCTCTGATCGCGGCTTGGATGTCTTGATGAAGGCAATTGAGGCGCTTTAGTGATGGAGATACTTGTCCGGTGCTGCTTGTCTTCATAATGTGGGTTTATGATATTTGTGTCTATCTTTCACTTCAACTGGCCGTTCGTGTCAGATTCCATTCTGTTTTCTTTATATGTCGTCGGTTCAAGGGCGTCTCTGGATCTGTTCGGTAATCTCGTCAGGCTTCGCGGATCTAGTGTCCTATTTCTACATACGTATGAATATGCATGTCCATAGCGAAGCAAGTTTTTCAATTCAATTCAGCCTTATTTCCACCATTCACCAAATCTGTCAAAGTAGGTCACCAATGTCATAGTTGCCCCCAAAAAAAAGATCGCCACAAATACGCCGTCAGACAATTCACAGTTTGATCACAGTCCATACATGTAGATGTCCACTTCCACTTCTAGCAAGCATGATAGCACCAACGAATCAACGTCAGGCATGGTGCGAATGAGCCTCCTTAGGCTCCTCGGGTTCCCAATTCTCCTCATACACAGAGTGACCCCTTCCATCATGTTTTGTAGCCTTCGCAGCGCGACCAGCTGTCTTCAGTGCATCCCCTTCCAAAGTAAGGCCATCCATAGCTCCGCCAACGAGATCTTTATCCGTCGACTCAGCAAGTTCATTTGTCTTGTCAATTTTCTTGGGATTCCCATTCTGGGCTCTGGTCTTGGCAGGAGTGGTTATGGCATATGTTCGCGCAGATCGACGTCCTATTTCTTCCTCCATGTCACTATCGTTGTCAGAAGTATCAGCCAGTCCCCTAGGTTTTCCGAGTCGCTTGCGTTTGGATCTGCCATGGCATGCACGGGAAGAAGAGCCGTCCATCTCTGCACTGGATGACTCGACCGTACTTTCTTCCGTCAAACCAGGCTCATAGTCGTGAAGGTTCCTGCCACGCTTCAGACCTCGCTTGTGCAGGATGTTCTGGCGGCTTGCGCGGGAGGATGAAGACTTGGTGCTTGTGTGGAAAGGACTGTCTCTTCCTTTCCTCGCTCCATAGCTTGTAGAGTGCTTGGTGTGTCCTTTGTGCTTTGTAGTCTTTTGCTTTGTGGTCTTGCGTTGGGTCTTGCTTGGGAGTTTGAAGTTGGCCACAGAAGACTCGTCGTCTTCGACCTCGCTGCGCTCGTCCTCGCTTTCGCTATCCAGAGGCATCTTCTTTCCCTTTCCCTTGTGATTAGCATAACATTTGTGCTTAGGGTTCTGGCGATGGCCCTTTGATCGAAAGTCGTTGGTCTCCGATTCAGAAGACTCTGCGGTGATTCCTTCATCAGACTCATCTGGCAAAAGTTTTGACTTTTTGTGCTTTGAGCGCTGTTGTGTCTGGACATCGGATGTTTCTTCTGTAACATTGGGTTCTGACAGAATTGACATAAAATGCGGATCAAGAGCGCATAACGTGCGGACATGTCTCTTGGCAGTCGCAACTGCCGTTGCAGCATACCAGGGGCTTGTTCCAGTAAGACGCCCCAGCTTTTCCTTGTCAAGTTGCTAGAGGCTCTTTAGCAGGTGCAGGCTATCATTCAGGGTATGTAGGTGACAACCAGTGGGGCAGAGCAAAAGTGCGCAAGGATCAGGTACTTTATATCAACACCCGCCAAACCATTCCATGGAGGGCCTTTCCCATTAACGTGGAAAGCCATGATGGTCCGGGACGTAGCTAGCCTTAGATCTTGTTGAACGGACTAGAATCAAAGACAGAAGCGTAGGACAAGGGAGTGCGTTGAAGGAATATGAAGGACAAAGGGGAAGAAGGGGCATTTTATAATATAAGGTCTACGCACATTTACTGGTGATCATATCATGTTATTGTGTGGGTTTCATTGGGCAAACATATGCTGCAGCCATTCTCATACGAGAAGGTCAACTAGATACACATGAGACACACCTGTTCTGTTATGCCTCTTCTGTTATGTACTTCCGGTCAAATCAACTTATCAGATGTCCCGGATCCCCTGGGAAGCCCTTCAAGATGTTCCCAGTCAAGACAAGTGGGAAAGGCTGCATCGAATACAGATGGTACATTCCATCACTTAGTCGGTAGGTTCAAGCTTGATCTTGAAGGAAGTATCGACACTCTTCGCAGAGTCAGAGTCCGACTCCACCTTGACGGGACTGTCGATACTCTGTCCAGACTCGGCCTTGACCTTCGAGGTGCTGTCGGTGCTGGTGCTCTCCCCCAATTTAGGCTCAACCTTAATATCAACTTCGGGCTTGTGCTGTTCTTCAACGACTTTCTCACGGCGTTTCTTTGCACGGCTGTTGGCTGGAGACTTTTCCTTGGCGTTGGGGTCATTCTGGTCGTCTAGGGTGTCCAGCTCTTCCTCAAACATCTTTTCGAGCTTGCGTTTGATTGAGGGGAAACGACTAGCTGCGGACTTTCTCTTGTTGCCGGTCAGTTTTCCCAGCTTGTCAGTGTCAAGCTAAACAATAGGAAAGATCAGTTCAAGTCATGGCTCAAATGTTAGTGCAGAGAGCATGCATACCCTTCCGGCAATGCACAGGACGCTGGCCATAATCATTTTCATTTCACCGGCAGTGAAATCACCCAACTCGGGCTTTTTCTTTGGGGATGGGGTGGTTGACGTTGCTTCGGTGGGCAACATTCTCACAGGTGTTACTGTCAATGGATGGTTGGGATGGGTGGGATGGGGGTGTTGATAAAGGGAGGCTGGTTGTGCTCCTTAGAGAAAGAGCAGATGGTAAGAGGTTGATGAACAGAATAGGATATGTGTGAAGAGGAAGCGATGTTACTTGTACGTTACTTGGACTTTATTTGCGAGAGAAGACTGTGATGTTAGACTCGAACACCACAGCTTCTACCATACCTCTTGAGCTAGTCTATAATAGAGCTTCTGTGACTATTTCATTATAGATCTTCGAATACTGTATGATTCATCCTGAATGATGTTTTATTGACCTTGAAAAAGACATAAACGCTCCCTAGAGCCTCGAGCCTAGGTGATTGTCGCGTAATTTGACCAGTGTCTTTAGTCTAACCATTGCTAGATCTCGTTTCATCCTAATTTTGACCATTGTCGGCAAGTGCAGTCTCCGTAGCCGCATCCTGCTCAGCTTCATCGGCTTCATCAGATCCCTTATAAGCCGTCCCAGCGGTCCTGTTCTCCTCCCATTTCTCGAGCCTGCGTCGGGCCTTGGTGAAGACAGTTGTAGCGGAGGAAGGCGTAAAACTGCTAAGCTCCGCGAGCTTCTTCCAGTCGACCTGCCGAGAAGATTCATCTTAGACACGGATAGTTTGAGATTCTATCATACGTACCCTCACTTACCTCGGGCTTTCGCATGCACAAGTATCCCAGCAGGAGGTGCTCTGCTTGGCTTGGGGTGAGCCCTAAGGCCTTCACCGGGTTAGCGGTCTTCTCTTGCTTGTGGGTAGAAGACATGGTTGCTGTGTATGATATTGGACAGCAGTAGAAGATAAAGAGGATATGAGAAGTTATCGTTGAGAAAGGGAAGATCTCAAGGAGGATGACCTAAGAAGTCAGGGTATAAATAAGGATGGGAGATTCGGAGATATCCCACTATGGAAGGGACCCGCACGAGTAATTTTCGCGTTCTGAACTCGGATGGCTTGATGCACCCTAGTGATAATTGAGATGGTTTTGAGGAGAAAATTTCTTAGACCTTTTATCTAAATTGATACCTAGTTGCTAAGACTAGTAGAGATGAGACTTTAAAGGACCACCAGCTACACTGACCGTACAAGATCCCGGCCCCTATTAACCTCCAGGTCTTGTTTCTGGGCTGTTTATAGGTACCCGATACCTGCTTCTTAAAATATGCAGTCTAGCAGCACCGCAAATCAATACATCTCTTGTACCTACATGTAGGGTTTTGGGTGCTGTGCGTATTCCTACGCAACATATAAGGCATTATATCACGTCAACCACCTCTAAATTACCTCAAAGCCTCAGTAATAGGTATACTTCCACCTTCGTAGCACTTGTTGTCTTTGGCGGAATAGGGGTTTAATTCAATTCACCTATAGATTGGGTTGAGGACTGTGATCAGGTAGCTTAGGTATGTAGAACCGAATTCTGATATCATGTATAAAGTCGACACCCCAGTCGTGGTCGTGTTTTATAGCATTAAAGGCACATAGTCCTATCATGTATACATCCATGAATCTATGGACTGCCCAGGTGTCTAACTAAACTCTCAGTAACCTTGGAACGTCAACTGACGTTTAACTCAGATAATATTTCCAAGTAACGCCCAAACGAGTACACAGTCACATACCTAGATACCGAACTAAGATACACATTTTAAGCCAACCCAGGTGGCAGTACACGATAACCACTATCCTTTAATCACACGAGACAAAGGCTACAACGTGGTTAAACTCTATGCATGTTATAACCCTTATTAACGTCTTGACTCGCCTAATATTCTAATGTGCAAACGGCCAACGTCAAAGTAACGTCTAATTTCATGTCCAAACGTCCAAGTAACGGAAAGGTGACACCCGAAGGCTGACTGCAGGTGCATGTCCCGGTTGCTAACACGTATGGATATATGTATGTTGTACATGGTTGGAGCAGCGACTGCAATATCCACTGTTTTTCATTTGAGGTCGGTATCACTGGTCTGAGAAACACCCAGTACATACACATTTTTTTGGGTTTTCCCTTTTTTTTCCTTTTCTTCCCTTAAGAGCATTCCCGATTCCCCTTGGAAGCCTCCTCATTATCCTCCTAACTGCATCGTAGCCATTTGCTCAAAACCAGTGCTTCTCGGCTTCTCAGTTTGTTCATATCGTGCTTTGGCGGTTTCTGAACCTGGAATTAATCCTCGCTTTGGTCGTCCTCTTGCACTTCCTCCTCGTAGGCGCCATCCTCTTCATCGGGCAAAGGAGACTCAGGGAGGTGCTGGTTCACGGCCAGATCAAGAGTAGCTTCAGCTTCGTTGTTCTCATCAGCCTTGCCATTTCCCTCTTCTTTCGCATTGTGGGGCTTTGTTGCTTCAGTGGTGGCAGCAGGCTTGGCAGCAGGCTTGATGACAGGCTCAGCGGTAGGTGCAGCGACAGATCCAGTAGCAGTTCCAGCAGGCTCGGTGACAGCGGTCGCGCGACCACCATCTTTGGTAATCTTGGAGGCGGACTTAGTGGTAGGACTGTAGTCAGGGTCGACGGCGGCCTTGCTACCCTTGGGAGTCTTGGGGGTCTTAGGAGCCTTGGGAGTCTTCGGGACCTTTGGAGACTTGGGGGTCTTTGGGGTGCGAGGTGCCTGAGGTGCCTTGGTGCTGGACTTTCCTCGCTTGGAGGGAGTCTCCTCGGGCGAAATGTCGGCCTGGGGACCGTTGCCACCAGCGTCGACATTGCCATCGGCGTACAGCTTGTCTAGCTTTCGCTTGGCGTTTCGGAAGAGCGTCTGAGCAGAAGACGCCTTGATGCCAGCGCTCGAAGCAAGCTTGTCGTAGTCGATCTTTGTTGTCCATTATGTTAGCAGACACATCAAGATGAGGGAACTTAGGACCAAATGACATACCTTATCATTCTTGAGGCAGACATTGGCCAGGACCAGGAGCTTGGTCTCAGTGGCAGAAATGCCGGGGAAGATCTTGTCCTTCGGAGCAGCAGGAGAAGACATCTTGGATTAGCTAGTTTGGTTTTCGAGGTCGAGTGTCAAGGTGGATTTGCGCTTGAAGTGACGGATGTACGATGGAAGAAGAAAGTTGTACGGCGGGTGGAGGTAGGAGAGAAAAAAGTAAACCGCGTTGATTTGAAAAGGGACAACAATGTTTGATGGATGTGAAGTGATCTCGTAAAACGTTTTGAGAGTAAACTGATGGCTCAGAACGCAAGACTGTCAACGATACTATCAAAGTGAGGAGATATGAAGAAGAGAAGTTCAGCCGAGTTACAAATGGGCTATTTAACGTTCGGCCGTTCAGTCGTTCGCAAGAAATTGTATGGAACAGTCGGTTTCCCTAGAGGGTCTTGGGTCCAGAGTTGCCTAAGATGAGAGCTAGGTGAGAGTTTGGGCAAATTGAGACCATATAACAGCCTTGTTTTCCCCCCAACTGACGGGCAAGTGACTTGCTAGCAAATGACTTCGTGTTGAACACTGAATACAAGTTAATTATGGCACTTTCTATAGTTACAATATGCCAGCCAAGACCCTAGGGTAAATGGATGTCGTCCAATACTCCAGGCCTGGCGTGACCAATTGACCAATTATCAATTGGTAGCTAAGCTACTCAAATTTTCGATTGTCGCGTCATTGACAGCTATAACCAGTTCCGCGCTGACAGGGGTGATGTTCTCCGTCCGGTTTGAAGTGACTGGGGCTAGGCTCTGCCTAACAACCAACTGAGACAACGGGCGTCATAACGTCATTCCATCAACGTAACCAGTCATCAAGTCGCGCATATACATTCGATCAACGAGGTTGCGACTTGCCTTTTTGGATCTGCTGGTAGATTACATTCCACAATTCTGGAAAGAAAGCCGATGTTTGTCTGCCGGGTTTGCTGTGGGTTCCAGTATAGAATTTGGTTGGAGCTCTGCCCTGCCACCATCGTTGCGGCGATGGATTCAAATTCTGGAATGTGACGGGCCGCAAGGCGTCTTTGATCGGAATGAGATCTCCTAGACGAACAGCCGTTTGCCGAGGAATAGTGTTGAATCGCATGCTGGTGAGATACAGCACGGCTGTCGGAGGCAGGTCTTTTGCATACTGGACGGCAGCTTCACGGGACTTTCTCGCAAAGGCGGGTAGCGCCAGATGGATAAAGTTCACGTACGGCGCAGCAGTATAGGATACAAATAGCATCGGGAGGGCGCCAGCGGCAATCACTATAATAATATCAGCATAGACGCTCAGGCGGTGTGATGTCCAAGTTAGCTTACCCGCAGGTGTGCTGTACCAGGGGTAATCATCAGCCACGGAGCACGCCGGTGCAACAATTAGACATGCTGCACCAAATAAAAGCACTGTGGTAATTCGCAGCGTCCCCAGAAAGATAGCTCTGCCCGTCCCTCCATAATAGACCAAGATTCGTTCAGGTGGACCTGCGACTCTCAGCTCAGCACACGCGTTTGATCGCTGGCAAGGAAAGTTCACAATACCTGTCCTGGTGGTTGTCTTTGGGGGTGTGAGAGTTCTTGCGACTGGAGGACGCGTAGGTGGGAGGGTTTCCTTCGATTTGGGTAATGGTGAAAGATGCTTCTGCGATGGCCGAGGGATCTGCGACTTGAACCGGACCCAGATATCCCTCCGAAGACTGCGCTGGGCACATTCTGGCAGAGTTGTACGTAATTGAGGGTGAAGAAGAATCTGTAGTCGCATTGTGCCTGTGTAATGCAGTTGGCTTGGGATTTGGACGTTGATCGATTCCCCAATAAACCGCCGATCGCCCGGCAAAAAGGTGACCGCCTTAGCTTCCGCTCTATTTGGGTTGCTGGATGAGTCGACCCCTGCTAGTTTTTGACACGTTTTCCTTCGATCTCATACCCTATATTACCGTTGATTGCCTGGCTGGACTAGGCTTGAACTCTATCCGCTCGTTGCTTTGATGCAGGTCATGAGCTGCTAGCGCGAGCTTTCCTTCAACGCCATGTCTCCGGCTTATCGCATCCCACCTGGCAATGTGTCACTTTGGCTAGGCCTCCTTGTAATGCTTCTAGCATGTGTAGAAGCATACGAGAAAATATCAGATAAGACGCTGACCGAACTTTTGCGGCCCAATAACGACTTCGATATTCACAATGGCGCTCTGTTGTCACCTATACTAAGGACCCGCGTCCCTGGCACCCCCGGCTCCACCGCAGTGCTCAATCACTTCGCCGACTTTTTCCGAACCACATTGCCCAAATGGTCTATTGAGGTTCATAACTCTACAGCCACAACACCACTATCAAAGGGGAAGGAGGTACCTTTCCGAAACTTCATCGCTACTCGCGATCCTCCTTGGGCCTCGGTTGGTGACGTTGGCCGGCTCACTTTAGTCGCGCATTATGATAGCAAGATAGAACCGGAAGGCTTCATTGGGGGCATCGACAGTGCTGCACCATGTGCAATTATTATGCATGCTATGCGCAGCATCGATGCTGCGCTCGAGAAGAAATGGTCCGCGTTGAAGGAGCAGGGATTATATGACTACCTCGACGAGGAGCGGGGTCTCCAGGTTATATTCTTGGATGGCGAAGAAGCCTTCAAAGACTGGACTGCCACCGATTCGCTCTACGGAGCTCGTGCCCTGGCTACACATTGGGATGACCAAGTCTATCCCGCGATGTCGGAATTCAAGGGCCCCTTGTCATCGATATCTCTTTTTGTCCTTTTGGATCTGCTGGGCTCGAAGTCCCCGACAATTCAGTCTTGGTATGAGACCACTCACTGGGCTTACCAAAGCTTGGGCGAACTTGAAAAGCGGTTCAAGACATTGAAGCAGTTCAAATCTTCCTCGGCTAATCCGTGGTTCGTCGATACCGAGAAGGATGGACACAAGCTGTCGCCTATGGGTGGTATCCAGGATGATCACCTTCCTTTCCTCGCAAAAGGGGTCGAGATCCTCCATCTCATTGACTTTGCCTCGTTCAAGGGATTCCCTCCTGTTTGGCATACAATCGATGATGACGGTGAGCATTTAGACTTGGATACCGTGGAGGACTGGAGCATGCTAGTTACCGCCTTTGCTGCTGAGTGGATGGAGTTGGAAGGATACTTTGATCATCCATCTGCCCCTAGTCCACGCAGTGACGACGAGTCTGCTGGGTTGGAAGCGCTCCGTATGGACAGGAAGACTGAGTTGTAAGCTATTCTTCTATTTACTCACCTCTCTGCTTTCGGTCCCCTGCCTAGCCTTTTCCCCTCTGTTATATACCCAATGCATTTATTCACGGACCAATGGCATATATTCTCAGTTGAACCGACTATGTACATATTCTATTGTATTATTTCCTTTGCTAATCAAACCGCGGACGCAGCTCTTGAGATATGGACTTCTATCTTTCCTTTCCTCGCATCGTGCACCGATTTTGGCTCTGTCTCCGAGGCGACGGCAAAGTTCGACAAAGCTAATGAAGAATTAAATGCTTATAATTTCTACTTCCCATTCCCCTTAAATGAGGTTGCCCAGCATGTATCCACCCATCGTGATCAGTCCCCAAGTTGGTTGTAGGACTGTTCGCAATATTGCAGGGCCTGGGCAAACCCCTTTCAGTCCCCAGGCTAGTCCGAACGTCGCAGCACCTGCAACAAACCGCCAATCTATTTCACTAACCGTGGCCGTTGGGAGTCGCCATTTCTCAGCAAGGGTAGGCCTTGCAGCAGGCTTTCCCTTTTCAACCACTTGACCTGGTTTCTCAGCCAGGAAAGTGAACAGGGATGGTCCAATCCCAAACAGAATAATCAGCGCCAGCGACGGATCAAACCGGGATGGGTTAGTCAAGAAGGCAAAGAACCTCAGCACCTTAGCTGGATCCGCCATTCCAGATATCAAAAGACCCAGACCAAACTGCAACCCTGCCACATAGGAATAGACGACCCTAGATTGTTCCGACCGACGGACCTTGCGCGGGACAACGACGAAGTTCGTGATGGCTGCCAGCAGCGCAGCACCAGCCATGAAGCCTAACTCCGGTCCAGATGGATACACGGCTGTATAGCACGGGGTCGTGCCACAAGACGGGATGTTGGATCCGCCCTCGACAAAGTTCGCCGTGAACAATGCAGTTGTGAAGAAGACGGCGGTTGCAATCAATGAACGGGGCGAGAGACGTGAAAGACCACACAACATGTGTCCGGAGGTACAGCCTCGACCGTTCTGCATTCACTTAGTCAACATGTTCTTCGTTCTTCAATCATGTCTGATATTTCTCACCTTTGTCCCCCATCCTACTAGGAAGCCTACTCCCAATGTTGCTGCAGCAGAAGCCCAGGAATGTGGCGGCGCGGGATAGTTCGGGATCAAGGATGGTGCGAGCAAGTACACCGGTACAATGCTCGACACCAAACCCGCGATGATGGGCACATTGTCACGACTCGGGTTGAAGACGCAGCCGGATAGGAGAGAGGATATGCCGAAGATGGCGCCGTTGTGAATGAGCAAGCCGGATGAGCCGTGGAATAGTAACAGCGCGCCCAGTGTGGTATGGACTGGGGTGAACATGATGTTGATGCTCTGTTGAGTCGTCTTTGTATTAAAGTTTTCTTCCTGATGTCATCGCGGGAAGTGTAGTCTGGGGAGGTGTTTATGATAGCTTCAGCATAGGACACCCGAGAAATGTAGGAAGAAAAATCTATAACCGGGGATTTTCTCGAATTCGATGTTTAAACCGAAAAAGCAAAGAAACGAAGGAGTTGAGGTAGGGTTTCCATATTCTTGTACGTCAAAGGGATTTCCGGATTGGGGACCACTCACGTCGCCGTTATAGCTATAGTGGTCCCCGAGCATTTTCCTTTCGGCATCTCTCGGTATTCACGTAGGCCATTGTGAGTTTCATTCGCCGGCTAGCGTATTCGATTATTTACTCTCGATTTCATCATTTCAACCCCTTTCATGTACTAATTCGCCGTGTTACACCAGTCCCTGCATGCAGTAGCATGAGAGAACAACTTGAGTAACTATGTTTAGACGAAGATCAAGAAACAGAAGACCCCCCTAAGTATCAGGAACGAATGTGACAATCGTGACATATGTAACAACTGTGACACCGAGAAAATGAGACATCGGAGGGAGCAGAAGACCTGGCCAAGGCTCTCCATCTCTAAAGCAGTCGCAATCCAGCCCCTTCTATATGTTCCACCGGCTATTAAGCATCTCGTATATGGGTTTGCATGAGTTTTCAGCTACAATATCCTTGACCGGTTTGGGAGTAATCCTCGATTTTCATTCTCATCCAAAATGGGGAACACATCTAGCGTCGCCGGCCGTGAGTGCTTCATGGCCGCCGTGGGAGGAAACCCTAATATGGCTATCTTTCGGGGAGATCTGTTATATCAATTCCGAGCCCTGCCATCCTATAACCAGGCCATTCCTGTCCATCCTGAAGTGATCACCTATCCGAACAATACGACCCAGGTTGCTGAAATTGTGCGTTGTGCCGTTGAGGCAGACTACCGGGTGCAAGCTTATAGTGGAGGTCACAGCTATGGCAACTATGGTATGAACGCTTCCTGGTCTAAATCCTACCCTTGCTGAGCCGACTGTACTACGGTAGGTCTGGGAGGAGCCGATGGTCATGTCGTCGTCGACCTAAAAAACTTCCAGCAATTCTCCATGGATCCGGACACCTATATTGCCACAATTGGGGCCGGTACAAACTTGGGTGATCTCCAAGACCGTCTTCTGCACGCAGGCGGTAGAGCAATGTCACACGGATCTTGTCCGCAAGTCGGTGTCGGTGGTCATTTCACTATTGGCGGTCTTGGTCTCATGTCACGACAATGGGGAACTGCACTAGATCATGTGCTGGAGGCTGAGGTAGTCCTGGCCGATTCCAGCATTGTGACAGCATCAGACACACAGAATCAGGACGTTTTCTGGGCTATCAAGGGTGCGGCCGCCAGCTTTGGTATCGTCACTCAGTTCAAGGTTCGCACTCAGGAAATTCCCAAGGGCGCCGTGCAATACACGTATACATTCAGTCAGGGAGATGTATTTGACAAAGTCAAACTCTTCAAAGCCTGGCAGTCTATCGTGGCGAAGCCTAATATTACGCGGAATTATTCCACCGAGCTCACGATCTTCCAGGACGGTATTGTCATCACGGGCAGCTTCTTCGGAACTAGAGAGGAGTTCCATGAGTTTGAGCAGGAAAATAACCTTCCCATTCGAAACCAGGGCAATATCGCATACATCACGAACTGGCTAGCCTTGGTAGCCCATGCGGCTGAGAATTATCTGATCTCGATCGGTGGTGCCTTACTCACTTCGTTCTACTCCAAGTCAGTATCATTCACAGTCAACGAGCTGTTCACCGAGCACGCTCTAGTCGCCTTGTTCACGTATCTCAATTCTGCACCGAAGGGTTCTCAAAACTGGTGGGTTATTTTTGACCTGGAAGGGGGCGCAACCAATGATGTTCCTATGAACGCTACGGCCTATGCTCACCGCGACGCTGTTATGTGGATGCAATCCTATGCTGTTGTCGGCTTCGAGCCTTCCACATTCGTTGCCAGAAGGTTTCTCGATAGCTTGCATCAAGTTGTGATGGAAAATCGACCACACGGCCCTCTGCGTTCCTATCCAGGATACGTCGATCCTTACCTCGAGAATGGTCAGATGGCTTACTGGGGATCCAATCTTGAACGGCTACAAAGCATCAAGACTCTCATTGATCCGAAGGATGTCTTCCACAACCCGCAAAGTGTGGCTGTTAATCCCATTGTCAATTCTCATAATTAGGGTTGCTTGGGGAGAGACCGGACGCCAGATACATATTATTGAGACAACAGCGCGCACTTTGGTGCGGTTTTGTTGCTATTGGTTTCATCATACTTCATGTGGGCATGTAGTCTTAAATTCAAGCATATTTGGGCTTAAAATTTCTTCTCGTTGCTCTGTGGCTTGACCTGCAAGCTGATGCTATATATATCAGAGCAGTCGTTGGCCCTGCCAAACCTTCCAAATTTGGAAGTCAAGCTTATTAATAAGCTTATCTGCAACCTCGGGCGGAACGTCTACTCAACTCTCCATCTATAAAAGCCACACAGGTAATACATAAATCCAATAATGCCAATGATGTGCGTCTCGGCTGTAACTCTCCCTTGATACTAGCCGCGACACACCTCGCCCAGGTGCTCCGATCATGAAACGCGCCTGTAGCCCAGAAACCAGCCCAGAGCATGAACTGAAAAAGGCAATTCCACTGAATGGACAGCGCCCAGTTCTATTAAGTCTAAATGCGCCTGTCTCTCCGCCACGAAAAAGATCATCCATCAAATTGGTCAAGGATGGAGATGGCGGAGACACTGTCCCACTGAGCACACCAAAACCAAATAGTTCCTCCAGCCTCGCTGCCATCGAAGCAGGTCAGGTTGAAGTGACCGACCATCTAAGCACAATTTCGGCAAGGCTCAAGGAATGCGTTCGCCCACTCCCGGAACAGCCGATACCGCGGCTGCCAATCAAAGATTGGATCGAGCTGTACAAACGCAACGAGCACCCAGAAGGACGCCATTTCGTCATCCATCAACATGACCATCCCATCGCAGGACCCCATTATGATCTCCGTCTCCAGTTCTCAGAGACTAGCTCTGTCAGTTGGTCGGTTATGTATGGGATGCCTGGGGATCCGAATAGCCAGCGATTAAACCGGAATGCAACCGAAACCCGGATCCATTGTTTATGGGTGGGTTTGTGATCTGGCATGACCTGGTATAATAACAATTACTTACATCTTCACAGAACCATCTCATTGAAACAGCTTCCCAACAAACGGGGAGCTTGATTATTTGGGACACTGGAGAATATGAAATTCTACCTTACCAAATGGACCCATCTGGGCCGGAGACCGATGATTCTCGATCAGAGATGTCCGAAGAAAGTCAGGTTTCACTGGAAGAGCCAATATCGGATAGTGCGAAGTTGCGACAAGCTTTTCAGAATGTAGGTATCCTGTACAATGTGGAGACAATGGGCTCAGTTCTCTAACACCAAGACACCAAGCGCAAAATCAGACTCCGACTGCACGGAACCCGTCTACCAAAAGACTACACTATTACTCTGCGGATGGACAAAACAACCAATTTCGCGCGGCCGATCCGCGAAGGCCGCAAACGGCGTCGTCGACATCCATCCAGGCCAACGGTGCCACAAGCGCCGTCTACCTCGGACTCGGAATCGCCTTCGCCGCCCCCTGGCAAAGAAGAATTGCGGGGGAAGCATGCAGATGCAGATGATACCGACACCGCCGACATTGAAATACAAAGAAACAACGCCTACCCAGGGTCCAGCAACACGATCGGCTCGATCCACCAACGGCGGTGGTTTCTCAGCTCAGACCGGGAATCCTCTGGATTTGAGCCGACCACGGTAAATCAAAGTGAAGAGCTGAAAGAAAGAGGAAAGAAAAGAACGTGGACTCCTAAACCTGCCGGAGGATTCGAACCGTTTTACGTGCACGGGCCGGAGGCTGAGCGCAGCATTGTTACGGCGCGATTGGCGCGCGATGTCTTGGATGACGAGGCCGTGGAAGAGTTTGTGCCGAGGCGCGGGTGGAGGCCGGTCCTGCATTAGATGGGCATTAGACGGATACAAGCTATACGAGTGGGGACTCGGGAACTTTCCCTGGATTCAAAGAGTGGAATGTCAGCAGTTGTCACAAGTACTTAGTGCTTACTCTGTACAGGACATGTTATTCCGCACATTATTGGAAGACGCAATGCTTCCAATCTCGGAGGTCGGAGGTCGGAGTTAACCTCCTACAGATGATGCAGTGAACACGAGGTCTGCACAGGGTAGTGCGTGCGTGTGACTCAACAGCCCCAGAGGGAAATTAATCTGACAGTTAATATACATTCTGATTGCGAGGTCTTTGAGTCACTAAGGGTCTAAGATCGGTCTATTCCCTCCTCCCCCGCTCGATGACACTCCAGCTCGCGCTAACATGCAGCGTATTCGCTATAGTTGGGGGCTGATAACGCCTTCACATTTCTTTTTATCTGACCTTCTTTCTTCTTTCTTTTTCATGAGCGGAAAGCGATGACCTACTTGGCGACACCTACCTCTCTAGCCTTGTCGCTAGTTGCTCTGGATAGTATACCTGCTATCCAGAGTATCGCCCACATTGCCCGCAAATCGCGTGATTATGAACCCATCCAACTAGCCAAAGATGTTTACTGCGATGAAGATGGCGAAGCGACCGAGGAATCCCTCCGGGCATTCTCTGATAAATGGCAAAGAATCGCCATCGCCCTGTTATCTATCGTCGGGTTTCTGGCGACTCTCGCAATGGCTGTTCTTGCAACGTTGAACCTCGCCATTCCCAATCCCACACCGATATGGCTGCAGTTTGGCCTATGGGTAAGTAGAAAGCCCGAAAAATAATGGGGAACCGTTCCATTTGAAGCAAGTTCGATAGCTGATTGCAATTCTCTAGATTCTGCTCGCTATTCAAGCTGTTGCTTTCTTCACCGAGCCGCGACCGACAAGCCGATATGTTCTCAGCCACTTCGCTTTCTGGGGGAGTATCATTGCCATTGCGGTTCCGGGCATTGAACTGAGCATCGTGGTATTAGCTCAGCTCGGCCTCCCCCATGGGGTAGTCTGGGTCGGGCTGCAATTGGCCCAAATTGCTAGCGCTGCTCTTCGCGCCGTATTCTGTGTTCTGATACCGCGTCGTCCAGATGTTTACTATGAAGATCAGCTGGTTGAGCGGGAGCTTTCAGTCTCCCTACTCAGCCGCTTCACTTTCAGCTGGGCCAATGGGTTGCTAAATTACGCAGTGAAGCATAATGCCATGGACCTAGAGGATATCCCCAAGCTTACAGCATCGAGGCGTGCTGATTTTCTCCGCGAGAAATTTGAAATTGCCCGACAGAACCGGAAATTGTGGATAGCGATTGTTGTTGCTCACTTGGGGCCGCTGATCGCCCAGACGATGCTTAGCCTGGCAATTTGCTTTCTAAGCTTTGGGCCACAGGTCGCCCTGTTTCAGATTTTGAGAACACTAGAACTGCGTGGTACTCCAGATTGGAATGCCGGAGAATCGTATACCTGGGTGGTAGCCCTGGGAGGGTTGTTGTTCCTTGCCTCGAGCGTGGACGCATGGTTGTTCTGGATCGTCAACTCCAGAATTGGAGTTCCGATCTACTCACAGTTGTCAGCGGTGATATTTGCCAAAGCCTTGCGTCGGAAGGATGTGAAGCATACAAAGAAGTTCAAAACACCAGTTGAATCCGATAATTCCAGCAAAGGATCCGCGGACGCCGACGAAGATGACGAGGATGCGTTGAAGAAGAGCCGCCAGAGTATTATCAACCATGTCGCCGTGGATGCTCGGCGCGTTTCCGACTTTGCCTCTTACAACTACATTATCCCACAGGCGATCTTCAGAATCATTATCGGTGCCGTTTTCCTGATCCAAATTCTCGGCTGGCGCAGTGCCTTTGCCGGTCTTTCTGTCTCTCTTCTTGTGACGCCACTGAATATATACGCAGCTAAAAAGTATTCGAACGCCCAGGACCGCTTGATGAAATTCCGCGACCAGAAGCTGGCGATCGTTACCGAAGTGCTGCAGGGAATCAGACAGATCAAATTCTCGGCTTTGGAGGAGCAATGGCAGAAGCGTGTCCGAGAGACACGAGAAACTGAACTTGGCGCATTGTGGGCTTCCTTCCTTGCTGATATTGGCCTGCTTGCGATCTGGGTTCTCGGTCCCGTCGGCTTATCTGCCGTTTCGTTGACTACGTACGCCATTATTAATGGCACTTTGTCCGCTTCTGTGGCTTTCACAGCTATGGCGATCTTCAATTCTCTCGAGGCGTCGCTCGCTATAATACCAGAGCTCATGTCCATAGGTCTGGAAGCGAAGGTTAGCTCGGAACGTATCGACAAATTCTTGGCTACCTCCGAAAACGTTGTCAACACTATCCCTGCCGAATACATCGCTTTTGAGGATGCCTCTGTTGCATGGCCTGCGGAGGAGGAAGAATTCCAAGATTCCGAGGATCGTTTCGTTCTGCGTGACATGACCTTAAAATTCCCGACAAAGAGTCTAAGCGTGATATCCGGCAGAACTGGATCTGGAAAGAGTCTGCTTCTCTCATCGATCCTGGGTGAATGTGATGTCCTCGCCGGGACGATCAAGGTACCGGTTCCACCTGCCATTACAGACCGATTTGATCATGTTGCGACAAAGGCAGATTGGATTATCGACTCGGCCATTGCGTATGTCGCACAGATGCCATGGATCGAAAATGCTACAATCAAAGCGAATGTTCTCTTTGGACTCCCAGACGACCCAGAGCGCTACCAACAGGTCATCTTTGCTTGCGCTCTGGAAAAGGACTTCGAGATGCTGCCAGACGGCGATACGACCGATATTGGTGCGAATGGTGTCAATCTGAGTGGTGGTCAACGCTGGCGTATCTCCTTCGCCCGCGCTTTGTACTCGAGAGCTGGCATACTTATCATGGATGACATCTTCAGCGCTCTCGATGCCCACACAGGTCGCCATGTCTTTGAGCACGCTCTCACTGGAGAACTTGGTCAGAACCGAACCCGCATTTTGGTCACTCACCATGTTGCACTGTGCCTTCCACGCACAGACTACTCTGTGCTGTTGGAGAATGGTCGTATCAAATATGCAGGTACTGTTGATGACCTGAAGGAATCACATCATCTAGAGGATATCCTTCGCGAGGAACGAGCTGCAGAACAAGCGGATATTGTCGCAGATGGAGAAGATCGTGAATTCCTCAATGGTGAGGAGACAACTCTCCAGAAGGTGATCTCGAATACATCCCACCAGAAACCGAACACGGCTGCAAATGGCCAAGCTTCCAACGCAAATGGAACTGCTACTGCACAACAGACGCCTACACCGAAGAAGTTTGTTGAAGACGAAAAACGAGAAACGGGTTCTGTGCGGCTAGCAGTGTACCTTGCTTTCTTGAATAAAGGTGGCTCCGTGGTCTATTGGCTGGTGACGCTCGCGGTCTATTTAACGTTTTCGTGCCTCTTGGTTGGACGAGTAAGTGCATAAATCCCATGACAGTCTCATTGTCTATATCCTTTGTCTAATCTATATTTATCACAAGTCTTGGTGGATCAATATTTGGACACGCTCATCCTCCAATACCCATGCCCATCCTGAGCAATACAGTATCCTTTTGCAGCATGCGATGCAACCGACCACACCGGTCCCACAACATGATGATGACCTCTTTATGTACCTCGGAATCTATATTGCTATCTCGATCACTGCTTGTATAGTCGGGACAGTCCGTTACTACTGCATCCTTTCGGCATCAATCCGGGCCTCGAGGAACCTGTTCAATGGCTTGATTTATGCTATCCTCCGCGCGCCACTCCGGTGGCTGGACACTGTCCCATCGGGACGAATTCTCAACCGCTTCACAGCCGACTTCCACTCCATCGATTCACGAATTGGATACGACATCGGGTTCTTCGTAAACAAGGTACTGGATGTTTTCGCAATCATGGTTGCGGGTATGCTCGTCGACTGGACGGTGATCTTGCTCGGCGTGGTCCTCTTAGCCATATGTCTGAAACTGGCGCTGTCCTATTTGGCAGGTGCCCGTCAAATCAAACGTCTCGAGAGCACTGCGAAGAGCCCTGTATTTGAGCAGTTTGGGTCTAGTCTCGCTGGCCTGATCACCATTCGCGCCTTCAGCAAACCAGACACCTACGTCGAAATCATGTACAACAAAATCAATCGTCATGCCCAAGCATGGTGGACCTTGTGGCTGTTCAACCGCTGGCTCGCATTCCGCATGAGCATCGTCGGTGCTATCTTCTCAACTGCCACTGCTGGGCTTGTCGTCTATCTGCCAGGTATCAGCGCTTCACTTGCGGGTTTCGCTCTCAGCTTTGCGTTGCAGTATAACGCTGCGATCACGATGGCACTGCGGCAATATGCTAACATTGAGCTGAACATGAACGCCACAGAGCGTGTCATTGAGTATTCCAACATCGAGATCGAGAACCAAGGAGGAGCCGATGCGCCCGCGGCTTGGCCTACAGAGGGCCATCTCGAAGTCCACAATCTTGTGGTAGGGTACGCGCCGGATCTACCACCGGTATTGAACGGGCTCAGCTTCTCAGTAGAGAAGAACCAGCGCGTAGGCGTGGTTGGACGGACAGGGCAGGCAAGTCCTCTTTAACGCTTGCACTTTTCCGATTCCTCGAGGCACGCTCTGGCCAGATCTTCATCGACGGACTCGATGTCTCGAAGATCAAACTGCACGATCTCCGCAGCCGACTTGCCATCATCCCGCAGGACCCGGTGTTATTCTCCGGTACTGTGCGATCGAATCTAGACCCGTTCGACGAATACAGCGATACAGAGCTCTACGATGCACTAGCACGCGTGCACCTCATCTCCGAGGCCGACGACGACGAGCTCACCCTGACATCGCGAACTGCCACGCCCCGCCAGCCCAGCGAAACGGGCACCACGACACCAGCGACGGCCCAGAAGACCAATGCTAATGCTTTCACCTCTCTCTCCGCGACCATCTCCGAGGGCGGCCTCAACCTCTCCCAGGGTCAGCGCCAGCTCCTCTGTCTCGCGCGTGCCATCGTCTCCCGACCTAAGATAATGGTTCTAGACGAGGCGACCTCGGCTGTCGATATGGAGACCGATGCGTTGATCCAGACGTCTATCCGTGCGGAATTCGGTCGTAATGCGACCACGCTGTTGGTCATTGCGCACCGGCTTAGCACTATTGCGGACTTTGATCGAATTCTTGTTATGGATGCTGGGAAGGCGGCTGAGTTTGGCACGCCTAGGAATCTTATGGGGATTGAGGGAGGTGTGTTCAAGAATCTTGTTGAGAATAGTGGGGAGAAAGACGTGTTGGAGAAGATGATCTTTGCGTGAAAAAGTGTTAAGACAACCAATGGGATTAGGGACTATATTAGGGGCTTTCTTTTTGTTATAGATTACTTGACGCTGGGAAAAGTCACCTTACAAAATACATTGATGTGATTCGAAATTTTAACGTGGCATGGAGAGTTAGATGATTATAAAGACGAATTTAGGCAGCCCGGTCAAAAGTGAGGTAGCTGCATTGCTTATATGTCAAAACAGAAGATATACATAGGAGATGTTGGTGAACAAGGTATTTGTTGAATTCCTCCTGTCTTCTCATGAGAGGTTATATAGAGTCGACAATGACCGGGGCAACTACGCCTGGAACAATTGAACTCTGGTATAACCGAGCTGCTGAGAAGACCCCAGACATAGGGACAGGTCCCCGAGGCCAAGTATAGCTAGCTATATGGAATATAACAGCCGAAAGAGAGGACCTCGGACATCAAGGCGTCGTTTGCTAACGACCGTCCAACATCCATCTCTCCCAGCTTCAAGGGAAGCCCTCAAACCATTTGCCAAAGCCAATGGTTACACCTTCAAGTCTTGTGAATAGGATCAGAGATGCCTTCATCGCGTCCGTCAAGTAAACAAGGTTGGTATGCCGAACGCATATATCACATACCCTACCCTCGATTCGTACAGCCCTTAAGCTCCCCGAAGAGAGAGAGCCGCACGCCTCAGAGGGCAGAGACTGTCTCATATATAACACACTAGGCTTTCATCATTCTGGGAAACAGTCAGTACAGCGATCAAAAAAGGTAGTGCCCATTGAAATGGGCTGGAAACAAGAATACTCACAAGTATAAAACTTGGAAGGATGAAGAAGAAAAGAAAAACGGACGAGGGAAAATCCCGCGCTTTTTATTTCTGCGGGCGCTAGTCCGCTTCTAGGGCGGAGTGGCTTTCTGCCGGTCTTAATGATCAGGTCCCGACATGACTCGCTTTCTTCCGGGTGGGCTGCAACTGCATTCACGACAATTGAAATATGCCAATTGCTGCCGTGCAGCTCCGCACTTTGCGGTTGAGATCTACCTACATCGAGATCTCGAATCTCCTGCGGGGTCGATCAGTCGCTTGGCCCAGACAATGCTATAGCCCCGTTCAGGCGCCGCGGCAGTTCCATGCTCGGGCTTGTTTGCGACAGGAGGAGCCTCCTAAACAGCTTCCTGCTTTTTTGGAGGCTTACAAGCGGGCTGGTATGTTGATATCTTCTGAAAAGCTTGGGATTTGCATAGTTTTAGAGGGCTCTGGCTAATATCCATGCTCTACAGTGGACTTCCCTCCTGCCACCCACGATTTCGAAACATTCTTTGCACAGGCTGAGGCAAATACGGAAGTAGTACTACATGGATATCTGGGAAACCGCGCAGACCTGTCCAAGAAACTATCATTCGTGCGCCTATCCGATCCCACCCTGCAACACAGCCTACAAGTTGTAGCATTCGCCAAGAACGATGCCTTCGAGCAGCTGAAGGCCGTGAATGCAAACAGTCCTGTGGCTGTACGCGGGACAGTCCAAAAGAAGAAGACCAAGCCGTCAGAGGCGGATAACATACCGGCTCAAGACCTATGGGAGCTCGCATTAGAAGAAATTCACCCCCTCAACGACTTCCCCAAGGAGCTTATAATGACGCCTGAAACGGTGTTCCCACCGGAGCAACGATACCTCCAGCTGCGTTCGGATGCAGAGCTGCGCGAAGCACTGCGCTTCCGCGCGCGCGCACACAATCTTTGCAAGATAGAGCTGGAGCAGTGTCGACCGCCGTTTGTGGAGATTGAGACCCCACTGTTGTTCAAGTCTACGCCGGAAGGTGCACGGGAGTTTATTGTGCCTACGCGGAGGGAGGGGCTGGCTTATGCTTTGCCGCAGAGTCCGCAGCAGTATAAGCAGATTCTCATGGCTAGTGGCTTGCCAAGGTATTATCAGTTTGCGCGCTGCTTCCGGGATGAGGATTTGCGTGCAGATCGTCAGCCCGAGTTTACTCAGGTACGTATTTATATTGGTTTGTTGGATGATGGATGACATATGCTAATTGAATTTCTACAGCTTGATATGGAGATGTCTTTCGCGACAGGCGACGATGTCATGCGCACCGTTGAAGGGGTCATTCGCCGACTTTGGTCGTCGTTGATGAAAGACCCTGCCCCGGAGGGCCTATTCCGCAAAGTATCCTACCAGGAAGTCATGGCTAAATATGGCTCCGACAAGCCGGACACGAGATACGGGATGGAAATTATTCGACTTGATCATGTGCTCCCCGTGGATCTAGTCAGCAAGATTTCTGGCCTGACCAATCCCATCGTGGAGGCTTTCAAGCTTGAAGGGAATGACAACGATCCCGCTGAAACACACAAGTTCATTACCCAGTTCCTCGACTCACCTGCGGGCGCGCCGTTCAACGATAACCCAGATGGCGGCCCAGGCGTCTTCATCTACAATGGCAAGCAGCCGCTGTGCGGACTACAGCCCTTCGGTTTCGAAGCCGCCGAACAAGTCGAGGAATTACTGGACCCTGACCACGGTGACCTAATTATTCTGCAGGCACGCCCTCGTGCTCCTTTCTCCGGGGGTTCAACCCCCGTCGGCGATCTACGCCGTGCACTACACGCTGCCTCGGTCACAGCAGGTTTCAAGCCCGCGCCGACCGGATTCGACTTCCTCTGGGTCGTCGACTTCCCCCTCTTCTCCCCCTCCTCAGACTCCGAGCCCGGCCAGGGCGGTGCAGCAGGCTTCTCCTCCACACACCACCCCTTCACCGCACCCAAGACCCCGGCCGATGTCGATCTCCTCCTCACAGACCCCACCAAGGCAGTGGCTGACCACTACGACCTCGTCGTGAATGGCGTCGAGCTAGGCGGTGGTAGTCGTCGTATCCACGATGCAGCAGTGCAGGAATTCATCTTCCGTGATATCCTGAAAATGCCAGCTGAGCGGTTGAACGACTTCTCACATCTGCTCGATGCGCTCCGCTCTGGCTGTCCGCCGCATGCCGGTCTTGCCCTGGGCTTTGACAGACTTGTTGCTGTTATGCTCGGCAAGGAGTCCGTGCGTGATGTGATCGCTTTCCCGAAGACTGGTAAGGGGGGCGACGATGCCATGGTTGGAGCTCCGAGTGTCATGACGGAGGAGGCATTAAAGACGTATCACCTGAGGCTGAGGCAGTAGATATTTCCCGGCCCCACTGCCGATTGTATATCGCATTGTCCTTTTGGATGAGCCATTTTGTACTATACCGATGCACGAGATATACCGATGTATTATAGCCGAGGTTTCGGCATTCTAAATTCCATGACCCAATTCTCTTCTCTGGATGAAACTGCGCACTGCATACTCTATCCAGCATCGTACTCCAAACGGCACTGTTTTGCAAATCAGGGGGTTGCACCTGACCTCGTGGGGTGCCCTGAGACACCCCTGAGCATCCGGTCCCACTGGGCGTTCGCCTTCTGATTCCTGCGATTCTTCTCCACATCCTCTTTTTAGGGCTTTTTCTTCCAAACCCATTTTATGGCTCAACGGCTCAAGTACCCGATTTGGAGCCCCCCAATATTGGGAACATTCCATAGTTTCGATTTCATTTAACTCAAACACTAACATCCTGTGTCTCAGGACTTTTGTGCTGGATCTGTCACATATTCGTATATAGTGCGTATAGATAAGATAGTAAATACCTCAATTGAAGATGTCTCAGAAGATCATTTGCATATACTAGAGCTATGTGTTGGAAGAAAATTCGAGGTCTTTTCCTACAACATACGGAGTAATGATCTACAGGTTGGGATCGAAGTCCACGAGGCGGGAGAGGCCGGGGACTATTGAAGATCTCTTTTAGGGCTACTCCATATGTTCTCCAACTTATGGACCAGTAAAAACACGGTATATCCCGCAGCAGGAGTCACAGGATGAAACAGGGTACCCGTTTCACTAAAGTCTTAGTTTAAGACATTGCCCAAAGGATGGCATCCCTCCGAGGTTGGCCCGATTCCCGATAAGTAAACTGCCGAACAAATGAACCAATATAGAGAATATAGGAATAGAATATAAGAGTAGGTCATCCCTCTCCAGCCTTCAATTCATTCACCCAAGTCTTCCAGTCTGCCATTCTTTCACTTATTCTACACTGTTGAGCTGGTCTCTCAGATTCATTCTTTATATAACTTCCCTCGTTTCAATATGAAGTCTACTATCATCCTCACCTTGGCTAGTATTGCCATCGCGGCTCCCACTCGCACCATCGAGAACCGCCAGCTGCCCGGTCTCGGTTCTGGCAGTGGTACCGGCACTGGTCTGGATGCCTTGAAGTCTCTCATTCCAGGTCTCTCCGGTAGCGGCTCCGGCACTCCTACCGGCAGTGGATTGGAGGGTCTTAGTTCTCTCATGCCGGGACTCTCTGGCTCTGGCAGCTCGTCCAGCAGTGGATTGAGCGGTCTGGGTTCTCTCATTCCAGGACTCTCCGGCGGCGGCTCCGGCACTCCTACTGGCAGTGGATTGGAGGGTCTGAGTTCTCTCATGCCGGGTCTCTCTGGCTCTGGCAGCTCGTCGAGCAGTGGATTGAGCGGTCTGGGTTCTCTCATCCCAGGACGCTCGACCTCTAGCACCGGCTCCGACAGCTCGTCAGGCGGCGGATTTGGTCTCCCCAGTTTCGGTAATATTCCCTTAATACTTAGAATCCAAACTCCAATGCTGACGTCAATTTCTAGGCGGCTTGGGCTCTTCGACCGAGAACGGTGTGACTCAGAATGATGGCTGCAAGGAGTACACCTTCATTTTTGCTCGCGGAACTAGCGAGATGGGTAATATGGGCTCGGTCGTTGGACCCCCCGTCGCCAAGCAGTTGAACTCCTTGACCGGCGACAAGGTCACCGTGCAGGGTGTGACATACCCGGCTGATGCAGCGGTATGAGAATCCCTTTCCCCTCTCTTCGCCACATTCACTTGGCTTTTCGTCCTGCAGTCGAGATAAACAACCGGACCTGTCAACTAACCCTCCATTCGAACAGGGCAACGGAATGATGGGCGGATCCGGCGGTCCCACCATGGCCAAGCTTGTCAAGCAGGCTCTTAGCCAGTGCCCTAAGACTAAGGTCTTGCTGGGCGGATACTCCCAGGGTGCGATGGTCGTCCACAATGCTGCCAACAGCCTCGATGCTGGCCAGATCACCGCTGCTGTTCTTTTCGGTGACCCACTCAAGGCCCAGGGTGTCGGTAAGCTTGCCAGTGATAAGGTCAAGGAGTTCTGTAACATGGGTGACCCCGTCTGCTTGAACGGAGCAAATTTCATGGCGCACATTAGTTACGGCAGTGACGCCGAGACGGCTGCGAAGTTCTTGATTGAAGCTGCTGGCGCTTCCACTTCTTCGTAGGCTGATGGTGGCTGCTTGTGATCATTTGGGATGGCCGTGATGGTATGGAGTGGGTGATTCGAATAATATGTGCAATAGTTCAGGTTGTATAATTAGGAGAATCGATGTTAATGCGTCCACCTGTTGAGTTCTGTTTCAATAAGTAGACATGAGAATGCGTAGCCGGTCAGATTTGGGTCCAAGGGACGTAGCTTGTATATTATGGTATTCCATCAAAATGCAGAAAAAAGAAGAAGAGAATAATGTAAAGATCTGTATGGATTCCATATAGGAGAGATGTTATACAAAGTCAAAAAAAAAGAAACGCCACTCCAAACCGCTGTGTAAGACAAAATCCCAGAACAAAAATGTGGTCCGAATAGACAAGGCGAGGCACCCCAGTGAGATGGATGAAACTGGAACGTATCCAGCACGAGAGACTTGTAGTCCAAACACTTTCATACAGTAGACAAAGTACTTGTCCGGGTTGAAGGTGCACGGGTTGATGTGGCATTTTGGAGCTTAGCCTTCCCGCCTTCAAGCTCTTCTTCATCCTCGTAGTACAGATACTCCTCATCCTCTTCGTCGGATTGTCCGAATATATTCCTCCAAACGCCATCCCAGAGACCTTTCTTGGTCACTAGGCCGCCAACCAGGAGAATAGGCAGTTGCCAGATACTGGCCCAGAAGAGGCCACGTGCAGTGCCGTTCGCGCCCTGATGTTGGTAGAAGCGGTATGCCTCGCGGACCAGCCAGCCATTGGCGACAGTGCTACCGACAAGGAAACCATGTCCGACCACATTAACCCACCAAAGACCAAAGGAGATGGGGAACATCAGAATAGAGTAGCGCAGAGCAACCCGAGCACTGCGAGCTGGGTTCACCCAGCATAGCATCCTATAGCCGGCTGCTTTATACTCATCGCGGATGAGATGGGACAGGGCGTTGAAATGGGGGAATTGCCAGGCGAACAAGATTCCACCCAGCAGCCATCCACCTATGCTCTCTTCGCTGAAGAGCATGTCGCGCCATGAGTCATGGCCAATCGTCGCTGTCTGGCCTGCCGCGGCGATCCATCCCATCAGCGGTGGGATACCACCAACAACTGCGCCAACCCAGGTATTGATTACGTGCATTCGCTTCAATGGTGTATATACAAAGGCATATAGGAAAATATTGGCGGCGGATAGGGCGGTAGTTGTCGGGTTAGTCCCGATATAAAGGAGTGAGAGGCCCGTGACGGCGGTGCCAATCGCGAAGAGCAGAGCTGCCCGGCGCGAGACAAGTCCGCGAACGATAGGACGATTACGCGTCCGGGACATGAGTGCGTCGAATTTCGGTTCGAACATCATGTTCAGTGTATTGGCGCTGCAACAAGACAAGAAAGTGCCCGCCGTCAGGTATATAAAGGTCAGGGTCGAGGTGGAAAGTGTAGGAAGTGGGGTCATGGCCGGGTCGAGGGTGAGCAGGGACGAGATTGGGTACATTCCGTATGCAGAGGTGGTGGTGAGGACGATCAAGAAGGAGAGTCGCGGTTTCGTCAGGGCGAGATACGCAGCCAACTTGCGGCGCAGGGAGGTGGTGGGGAGTGTGGATGAGAAGTTCGACAATTGCGCCGAGGCATCCAGTGGGAGGCTGGGTTCTGGTTTCCCTGTTGCATTGCTTTCCTCCTTCAAGCGCTTCCGCCGCCGATGTGGTAGTTCTGATGTTGCTTCTGTCGCAATCGCAGCGGACGATGCTGTTGCAGACGAATTGACCTGACTGACGTGCGGATCGTCGGGAGATGAAGCGTTTGATTTGCTTTTCACGTCGGAGGACGCAAGCGAAGACAACAAGCCGCCTTTGCTACTTGACCCGTCGTTCAATCGATTGGCCGAGAAATATGATTTGTGGAATACCGAAGGGGACTGGTCATCCGCAATCCCGGTCCGCCGTTTCGAGGATGATAGGAACCCCCGAATGGCCTCGGGGCGCACAGAACGAGGCCCGAAGAGACATTGTGAGCACACAAGCGCCTCTCGAGGCCTCCGTAGGAGGGATGGCCGCAGAGGGATCATGTCGGGTCGGTCATGCAGAAGGAAGAAAAGAGAACGAGAGAAGTTGAATTTCCCCGGTGGTGCACGGGCCACATCCGTTCACCTTGGGAATGTCAACAAATTGTTCTTCTACAACATTGCCTGATCCCCAAGCCTGTCTTTTTTCTTTTCTGGTGATTATCCACACTCATAATGGATACCCTTCAGACCTCAGTGATCACTCCTCTTCAGCCTTATTTGGCGCCTATTGTCTCGGCCATCCCGAGCCAGTGCACGATGCCGTGGTGTCCTTGATTGGGAAGTCTTGCCACGGCGCACTGTTGGTCGACCTCGATGTCACTAAGGACCCTGCCTGCACATCTCTCGCCATCTCCAAGGCTCTCGGTATTGCCATCGTCGGTGCCAGTGCGGTCGTCAAAATCCCGCAGATTCTGAAGCTGATCAACTCCCGCTCATCGGCCGGTGTCTCATTCGTCTCGTACGCCCTCGAAACCGCCAGCTTGCTCATCACCCTCTCCTACGGCGTGCGCAACCAGTTCCCATTCAGCACCTATGGCGAGACCGCTCTCATCGCCGTCCAGGATATCGCTATCGGTGTTCTGGTCCTGAACTATGCCGGACGTTCCGCCGCCGCCGCGGCTTTCATTGCTGTCGTAGCTGCCAGCGTTTATGCGCTGTTGTTCGACCAGACTCTTGTGGATGCGCAGACTATGGCCTATCTGCAGGCTGGTGCTGGTGCTCTGGGTGTTGCTAGCAAGGCGCCTCAAATCTATACTATCTGGCGCGAGGGTGGAACCGGACAGCTTAGCGCATTCACGGTACGATTCTCTTTACCTTTTAACATGGTCTCAGTTCAGACGCTAATTGCTTCTTCTTCTAATCAGGTCTTCAACTACCTCATCGGCTCCCTGTCCCGAATCTTCACAACCCTCCAGGAAGTTGACGACAAGTTCATCCTCTACGGATTCATTGGCGGCTTCACTCTTAATGTGATTCTTGCACTCCAGATGCTCTGGTACTGGAACGCCCCGGCGCCCAAGCAAAAGCCTGCTCCTCGCGCAAAGCCAGTTGAACAGGCACCATCAGCCCAGACCACGGGAGCGTCCCCCAGGCCTGGCGTGAAGACCCCCACCACCCGCCGACGGGGTTAGATAGCTCAGCTGTTATTCACCTTCGCTTCTTTTCGGTTTGGTTAAAATAATATTAATACCGTTTTTGGGACCATACAATTCGCACAATGAGCTACGAGAAGTTGTATTCTTGGAAAACCGCAGACCAAGTAGAACAGTAAACACAGACCACATGTCCTGAGTCAAGACTACCAAGTCCCTAGAGATTCCAAGACTACGGCATGCGCCCAGTAGTCATATATCTCAAAATCAGATCCAAGGGCACGAACGGCTGCACCGGATGCGGGTGATGAGGAGCAATATTGTACTCGAACTCAGCAGCACCAGGCTTCCGATGAACGCCAACAACATCCATCTCCTCCCCATCCCCCTCTTCACCCTCACTCTCTTCCTCCCCATCATCATCCTCCAACTGCCTCCTCAACCCAGTAACAACATTCTCAATCCCAGCCTCGCGCTCCTCAAGCGTAAAATTCCCACCCCAGTTCCTCCGCCGCGCTTCCTGGTTCGCCTCCAGCGGCGCCCATTCCCACAGCTCCGCGAGCTGTGCGTCGCTCAGCGGCTTGTGCGCGGCATCGGGGTCGGAGAAATTGGACGGTGTGGTGGCAGACTCTGTGCCGGCTGCACGGCCGCGCGCGACCCAGTCTTCGACGCGGGGATCGAGTTTTGTGCGGAGGAGTTGTTCGAGGGTGTTTGCTTGTGTTCGGCCTGGGTATTCCGGGCCTGGGTAGGCGACTAGGTTGGAGAGGAGGTCGCGTTGGTCGGAGAGTTGGTCGGAGACGCTGATGAGGTTGTTGGAGATGATGCTTGCTTGGGATTGGAGGGAGGTCCTGGCTTTGGTTAGTTTGAGGGACTAGAGTACTTCCAAGGTTGTTGCTGTTGGCCGCTTAGGGAGGGGAATGGCTTAGAGGATGGTAGAGCTCTTACCACGGCGGAAGAGGGTCGCTTTGGTTTAGACTTGCGATCAGCGAGCCCAGTGAGCGTGTGAGCTGCACGAGACGTTGACGCGACTGCTCGAGGACTTTAATTTGTTCTTGAGTGAGATTGGACATGGCTGGTTGAAAGCTTGGAAAGGTCAAAGAGCTCCAAAGTGAGGGGATAAAGTGTTGTAGAACGTCCGTGGGTTTCTGAGTTCTCTTACTTCAATTTTCTTCTACTTTCCTCAGATTAAGTCTTAAATCAGTATATTCCTGAAATTGGACTCTTCTAGTTTATAGATCCTATATAGATCCTATATAGATCCTATGTCAGATCAATATACGGAGTAGGTGGACAAACAACGGTCAAGTTACATATGTACCGGATAATGCCTGGCTCGAGACCTTTCCCTTTCCGTTTTAGTGCTCAGCCCTTGCCGCTTTTAATCCGCTGAGTAAAACTGAGCACGTCCCTGCCCTGACTTGATCATGTGACGTTACATGATCAACGTGCACTTCATGACCATCACCTGAGCATTCCCTGAGTACGGAGTATCCTGACTGATCATCATCTGAGCACACTGATTTGCTCACTGAGTGCTGAGTATAGGTAGCCCTGGATGAGCGGCCTAAGTAAGCTACATCAATAACATGCAATAATGAGTTTCATTGGACAGGAAGCGAGGGATTCTGCATTATATAATCACACTCCTACCTACCTACCTAGGTAGGTATAATTGGACCTATCACGTGACCAATGTCATCGCCATGATCTTATCGTGAGAATGGACTTATTGACCTGTCTTCAGGGCTCCCATCAACTCCAGTCTTAAACAAGCACGGAATTACCATAATGGCTGACGATATTTTGAGAGAAGAAGGTCTTCCTCCTACAACCCCAAGATACCAATATCAAGGTATAAGGCAATGTCTTGAATGCTTTGAACATGAGTTAGACAGTTATAATAGAGATGGCCAACCCGCCAACTCCTCGTATATCATATTTGATCACGTGGATGAGCGTTCCTTCCTGAAGTGTTTCGAGGATGCAGGAGAAAGCCTCCTTACCCATTCACTGGTGACATATTACTTCGCTTCCCTCACCGTTATCGCGAAAATGCCGACTCCTATGCACGAAGCTGCTTGGCATACTTTCAGTGAGATTTTTGGCCTGTGGCATAATGCCCAGGAAAGTCGTCTTTTACCTGCAGGAGGTGGAACTGTTGAAGGCTCTACACGCAGAAAGACGCCTGACACTAGCTGGAGGAGCTCAATCAAACCACCCCGAAGAGATTCGAGGTGGCCCACAATAGTCGCTGACGTAGGGTGGTCCGAGACATGGGCTAAACTAAGGGAAGATGCTCGATTCTGGCTCTGCGAATCAAACCAACAGGTCAACGTTGCCCTTACAATCAAGGTAACGAAGAAGGGGAATATTACGATTGAGAAATGGGACGTCACTACAAACACTGGGGGTGTTGAGCCTATCCAAACAATGAGGATCTCTCGGAAGCGACGTACCGGCCCAAACCAGTACCATATCTCGGGCTCGATAGATATCCCGTTCCAAGACTGCTTCCTTCGCGCAAAGAGGGGCAATGAGACGGATTTTCGTCTGTCGAACGACAATTTGAAGAGCATTGCAGAAGCTGTCCGGGAATCTATGTCCTGGCGGAGTGGCTAGCTTCGGCCTTGGCTTGCTCCTGACGGAATCATCTCTCGGTCTTCTTGCTTTCAATGGAGGGACTGGTTCTTGGCTCTGTCTTGCTCTTTCAATGGTGACGTCCGGTCTTTTCTACGACCGGGGTCTTCCAGAATACCCGAAGGTATTTTGGAAGATCCAACAAGTATAAGCTTGGACCTCTACGTGTTGCTGTTTTCTACGGATCAGATGCCTTGCTTTTTAGACCGAGCCTTTTGCTTGCTAGTTTGCTGGTATGTTTGCTTTTCTACGCCTTCTAGAAAGGTTGTTCTTTTCGCAGACTGAATGCAGCAGAGTCTTGATTTACCCCAGCTGTTATTCCCTGCCGATAGCCATGCCCCCCCCCCTTCGTTTTTCATTGGCGGACTCGACTACGCCAGCGGTATCTATTTGGTTCGTCGTTGGCAGCATGCTCAAGCGCATCTTCGATATCGCTCACTGATTGGACACTAAGTATCACGAAGTAATCGAGGAGTATCCAATGAGCACTCACTAAGCACGCACTAAGCATCAGTCATTCTGCACAGCACTGATGGTGACATCTACTCAGTGAGCCCGAGCCTGAGCACCCTCATAACGGCGGCAGATCAAATAGGAAAGCCCCACGCCAGGGAATAGGTACTTGTGTAAACCAGCTACACCCCCAAGCACCACCAAGAAACAAGCCCTCCCCCCACGCTCAGTCGCATAAAATTACCACAGTCCACAAATCCAAAAATAACTCCAAGATCGACTTCCCATCTCCCATTGGACCCTTAGACCCTTGGCGGTGCGTGCTGAAACGCCTGCAGAACAGCCGAGCCAATCTGCAGCGACGCTGGAACACAAAAAGCCGTCGCCTGGAGGTTCTGTAGCCGATCTTCTCGTATTATTTGACAGTTTAGCTTGCGTAGGCCTGCCTTATCCCGTTGCAATTCCTAGGCTTGTTGATGCTATTTTCGGACCAAGTTATGTGTTATATATAGGTGGTAGAGGTGGTTGACGATGGATACATAAGTCCACTTGCCGCCCTTCTCGGTGGTATTTTATGCTGTACTTCTGTGGCCGATCTCCTTCTCACTCTTCTACCTCAAGTGCATTATTATCTTTTACAGAGGGTATTCTGTGTTAGACACTTTTCTTCCATTGGACTATAACATGCAGACATTGCAAGATGTCGGGGATATATTGAGGCGATCCTGGAGCTGAACTCCGTAAAACAGGGAAACAAGAAACCCAAACGCCGTCAACAATGAGGTGAGCTGATATCCTGATCTCATTACATCCAAGCCACAACTGACTCTGTTATCCACAGACATTTCAGCAATGCTATACAGCAACAAGTAGACACAACCAGGTACGGTTGTCACAATTACTGCCACTGCTGAGGATCCTTTCGATCCGGGTCAAAGATCTGAGGGTGGGCAGAAACCTGAGGATGTTGGCCCTTCTGATCTGGGTTAAAGGTCTGGGCATGAGCGGGAACCTGAGCATGCTGCTGGTGGTACTGCTGTTGAGCAGGCTCTTCAATGATATCCTGCGAGAAACCCGACTTATCTTGACCTTGGAAGTGCTGCTGGTACTGTTGGATTTGGTAACGTTGGTCCTGGCCATGGCCATACGCAAGCTCCTGCCCGCGGCCATCATTGTCAACAAACCCAAATCCAGACCCGTGCCCATACCCGCCGGGATTATACATCTGCTGCTCAGCCCAGGCTTGCTGCTGCTGTGCGCTAGTCGGCGATGCACCGCTCCAGTTGTTGTACATATGAGGCGCGTTGCGGTTCCGACGGGCCTTCTTGCGTCGGTGCCGGATGAAGAAGAAGCAACATACTGTGAGTGCCGAGACCAGGATGAGGAATCCTACGATTGGCACGGCGATCACCACTCCCAGGTTCAGGTTTGAGGAGTCTGTGCCGGGCGTTTCGAGCGACAGACTCGAGGGGAGGAGGGATTGGCTGAAGATTCTTGTCGGGGCTATGTCGAAAGTCTTGCCCGTTGCTGTCTTGAAATGGCAGTTGTAGCGGATGGACTCGAGGACTGGATTGGGATGATGGTTAGTTGTGGTTTTCTCGGAATTTGAGCTTGGGATTTGCTGATATCATATGGATACAGGAATGGGTTGCAGGGCATACGTACAGTTTGCCATGTAAACTTGGGAGCTTGTCAAGTTGTAGCAGAACTCGCAGGTGTTGACGACGTTATCTGCGAACGACGGGGTTTCACACCACGAGTTCAGATTCGATGTGTCTGGGTCTTCAATATTGGTTTCGACTGCTAAACGCACGCCATCGCATGCGACTGGGCACGGGGACGAGACATTGGAAATCGAGTCTGGAGATCCAAACACGCAGGTTGAAAAAGCGTAGCGCAGGTTATCTGGTTCGATTGGTTAGGTCTGAGCGACAAAGCAGAATCTGCGATCTCTGGAAGGGTGATACAACATACAGAGGCCCCAGTTCACGTCCGATTCGCCAGTGTTCTGATCGTGGAAATCGCTGTCTAACTGACAGGAGATGCAGTTTTTGAAACTTTTCCCTACTGACGTTTGATTGAACGAATGATCCAAACACGCAATCTCGGAAGAAGTAGTGTTGGCCGTGGTACCACACACACCGGCGCAGGGCGAACCCGGTGTGGTTTTCAATCCGAAAACCACTGGAGTTGGGCTATTCAGCAAAATCACAGCCAGGAAAAAGGCCAGCATCCTGGAGGATCTTGAACTGCTGTCACTTAGCCCGAGCATGATGAGCCGGAGTGAACAGAGAGTCCGACAGCTTCTGTTCTTACAGCGACCGCCAAGGAGGAGGTGGGAGTATAGTGGGCAGAGTGCCGGATAGATGGATCTCACGTTCGCATGAGAGACGGCAAAATAGTACCTCAGGATTGTAAGAGATTGCTCGGGGCGGGAAAGCTTCTTTTTTTTCACTGCGAGCAGCTCACGCTCCGTTCCGTATGGATGTGACGGCCAGGTGGAGTAATTCAGTCGTAGGAGCTCGCAGAACAGGGAAGTGATGCACAAGCCAAGCACCTGCAAAGTTACTAGTGCTTGGGCGAAGCAACGGAATGGATGCGCCGGTCGAATCAAGCACATTCTCTTCCTCCCAGTGTTGGTCCTCGGCGCTTAGAGAACGCCGCTTACAGGCTGGTTGGTGACGGCACCCTGGCTGGGGAATCGGGGAATAGTTGGTGTGGATGGAGTGATCACCCCATCCTGCTTTCAGTGGATATCCTGCAGGCGCACAGAGTGTGATGGACCCTGGCGCTTGATTGGTGAGAGCGGTTGTGACTGTGATACCGTCTGCATAATGCACGGGCGCAGGTTTACCCCCTCATCTGAGGAAAGTCGCAATATCCAGCCATTTGTTGGAAACGGGTATCGGCATTTCCCGACTGGAAAAAGGAGAGAAAAAGTATTGAAGTTTTTGATCTGCCAAGGGAAGCCCCTCTTGCTAGGACCGGGAGAGACAGGACTCCGGGATTTTGAAGTAAAAGGTCCAAGTACACCTTACTCGGTGAAGACGTACAGATGTACATGTAAATTTCCTCAACATTCTGATCAGATAATTGTATGGAATAACTGTAATTGCAAATAAAGCCGCCATAATGCAAAATTAATAATAAAATTGAGGCAAATCCAGTCCAACGGGCGACTACAGGGCTTTCGAAAAAGACTGACTCGAACAAGACCCATTGGTCGCCCCCAAAGAAATGTAACAAATAAAAAAAGGAACCACCAGATATAGACTTCTAGTTGAACATAGTTTGTTCAGGACATATCAACCATAGAGCTCATCATAGGAAGGCACCATTTCCTGTGGAGGCGCAGAATCAGGTTCCCGATGTTTTGTTCGGGGAGGATATCGTTTCTCCGGGAAGGGAGGTTGCTTTTGGGTGTTGTATGCAACGCGAGGTGTAGAAGGTGGCATAGAGGGAGCAGAGGTAGAAGACGCAGCGGTAACGCTCGTTCGTCTCGAGTTGGTGCCACCGGATATAGATGCTGCGGGTTCTGTTGCACAGCTTTGGAGGCTGCAACGGCGCATGCGTGAAGTCACCGAGAGTGGCGGAGACTTGGCGGGGATGTCAAAATCTTCGGGATCGTCGCGTGCTGTGTGCGACATGTCTCCCGTGCCGTATTCTGGAGGGCTTAACTTAATTCGTGGGCCCATAGTATCTCGTTCTTCTTCTTCATCTTCTTCGTCGCAGGATTCATCGGTGGTGCAATCGTCATGGATAATAGAGCTTGAGTGTCGGCGATTTGGCCCACCCCTCAGATCACCAAGGCCGAGCCCTTGACTTGGTGGTGTATGAGCTGGCGGTGTGTGGGCATCCCTATCTCCAACGCGACGCCGTATGTTTTGATCGAAATACCCAGTTGGAAAGGATGGCAGTTCTCCCACTTGGTGTTCTCGGTGGCCCATGCTTCGCGATCGTCTGCTCGAGCCGCTGGAACTCGGTTGGCGTAATGAGCCAGCTGGGGGATATGGTTGATTTTCTTCAGACTGTATGTCTTCCCTCGGTGCATTCGCGACGACACCAGAAGATTGATTCCACTGGTTCCAGGACCCTTGTGTGGGATAGGTGATAGAAACATCACCCCAGCGAGAGTGAAGTTCTGTGGACACTCTGCGCTTCCTTTTGAACTTCTTCATGAAAGTCGCCATGGCTTTCAAACAATCTTTCATGTGGACTGGAGTGACGCGTTGGGGGGTCAAATTTACCGAAGGGAGGACAAATCACTCCCTAGGGCGTTTCTCATTTCAGAACTTATCAAAATCCCCACATGGGCTCTCTCCTCAAGGCGAAATGCGACAAGTCAAGCACGGCCGACGAACAAAGAGAGACAGAGAGAAGGTGAACGGGGCAGATTGCCCGCGTGTGTTGAAGTTATATCAAAACGAGATGTCCATGGAGGCGCACTAGCCAACCACTGCATGTCCGTTGGTGACCAAGAAGAGCGAAGATCTTCCGAAGAAAGTGCCTGACATGGATGGTGTTGGTGACCCAGCGAGTGATTAGAGACCCGGGAAAGGACCCGGTGGTCTGGTACAACCCCTCTGGTGGTGGCCCCCAAGGCGGAATCTAAGAATCCAGACAATTCTGTCTCTCGCAGAAACAACAGCGCTTCGAAAGAAAAGGAAAAAAAGGGGGAAAAAAAGAGCGAACTGCAGGGCCAACAGTTGACCGGCTGAAGGATCCAGGCGGGCGGCCGTAAATGAGAGGCTCACATAGCTGCAGCGTGCGTAGAAAATGCATGTGGGAGGGGTATTTACAATCCCTGTTCCCCCTAGTCATTCTCAACGAGATAGATAATCACTTGTTAGGTGCGGCGCAGTCAACTTGCGTTGACGGATTTGACGCGGGTCGGCCATAGTTTGCATATAGTGTGTCTGTATCAACGCATCCTCGTAGTTCGTCGTTCTTGGCATGGCGCTTGTCTAGTGATCTGCATTCACAAGAACAAAGACCCTCGATAGAGGATGAGTCGGGGCCAGGCAATTCGACTGACAGGTTTATCCCGTAAGTTCAGGGGTCCTGATGCAACAGCAGACGTGATGAACACATCGAAGTAGCCTCTTCCTGACCAGTCATTTGCCGGCGGCGACGAGAAAGGAAAAATGCCAGGTGAAAGACAGGGATTAAAAGAGGGGGAAAGGCCCCCTCTCAAGGCGAAAACGCGTAAAAAAGGCGCAAAAAAAGCACTGTTTCACTGTGACGCATCTGAATCCCTGCAATGAAGTGGAGTGTGGAGTTGGAGGGCCAATATTCACCGTCGAGTTGGCGTAAATGGGCGTCGTAGAAAGATCCAAGCACAGAGTGCACAAAGTACCTGAAAGAAAGTGCAGTTCCTAAAAGAGGGATTACTAGGAGCTCATGATTTGAGGCGTTTGAGCTGGGATTGCTCTTGTAGGCGCCGAGAGTGTATGAAAAGGGAAAAACTCGGGACGATCGATATTGAACGGAGATCCCACGGCACCAACGATCTACAGTACTTTATCAACATCTATGACAGAATCTTTCCACTTAGAAGTTTGATTTTTGGAAGAAAATCGAATAAATCAAATCAAATAAATACAACCCCCCAGTCACATTTTCCGAAAAAGCGCCCATGTCGTGATAGTCGTAAAAACAAGAAACCAAGCCCAAGCCACTGTCACAATCTCAACGGAAATTGGTGATCAGCCGCGACAAGACGGGTTTAGGTCGTTTCGGGGCGGCCTGGCCCGACGGCATTGGCTCAGATACACTCCTCTCCCTCCTATCCCTGCGTTCCTGTCTGCTATTCTGCTCCGGCGGAGGTGGCATAGCGGTCTGATGCCTCGACCTAGTTGGAGCAGCTACGGGACCAATTGGAGGGCCATGACCGACCATTGACACAGGTCTGGACGTGGCTAGTCTAGCATCACTGTAGTGGACTGCACTCAGGCGGGAAGAGGGACCAGGATGTGGATGGGCATGATTGGTGGGGTTATACGTATAGGTGTGGGCGTTAATATCGCCCGCCATGGACGCTGGCCGGGTAGGTTGGTATCGTGATGGATCATATGTTGGCAGTGTGGGGTATGCTGGGGGTTGATCGTATGAAGGGCGAGAGAGCTGCTGTTGGTACTGTTGCGCGTGCTGGGCCTGGCGACTGTAGTCCGGCGCGAAGGAGGACAAGGGCCGGGGTTGGGAGCGGAGACCTCTGGACGTGCCTAGTTCGTCTGTTTTATAGGCTGGTGGCGGTTCGAGAGGGGAGAAATCATCGGATTGTTGAGCGTTTCTTCTTCTAGCCCGTTCTTTGCGAGAAAAGAGATATAGTAAGCTTCCAGCCACTGGTTTAGGTTAGCTTGCTTTCGGAGGGTTGCGGCTCAGGCTGCATACTTGCTAGGAAGATGAGGCTGCCAGCTATTGCACCAATGATAATGACGGGGGTGCGAGAAGAGTAGTTATCGGAGCGGGGGCCGAGGGAAGAATTAATTGACATAGCCCAATATTCGAAGGATAATTCAAGGATGTGTTTTTCAGGAGGATATCTGGGGTATAGGTGTATTCAAAGTAAACAAAGAACGAAAGTCAATACAACTTTGACCACCACGATCTATTAAGACCAGTAAGACTTTATAATTGAGCCCCAATGTGCGATGCTGACGTGCCTTGAAACGGCGAGGATATAGATATATAATACCCTGAAACGGATCAACGAAGCTTAGTGCCATCCTGACACACGGTCCCTTGTTTCAAAGATAATATCTTGAGCGACTCGCGGGGGAGAATAAATATAGTATCAATTAGCTATAGATAGATTCCAAAGGTGACAAAATTAGCCAGCATTAGTTCAATTAACCTGCATAAGCGGGCTAATCCGTCGGGCTAGACCTTGTAAATGCGCCTTAATATCTAATTTAAAACTGCTGCATCTGTGAACAAATCACATCAATGCATTTGCCGTCAACAATGCTGTCGTACGCCAACTGGTTCATTCATTCATAGCGCCTCGCAATTAGCAAATGATATCCCCCGTTTAATCCAACACCACGGTACCGAGCACTTCCAGCAAGTATAAATCAAGAGGGCATCACCGCTTCTTGTGCCTAGGATTATGAAAAATCTGCAAGGTCTGATGTGTGTTGTTTGACGAGTCTCTTGCCAGATTTGGAAGACCTCACAGTTAGGCCTTCGACGCCCGCATACAACAATCTGAGACCACACAAGCCCTACTTCAATCTTCCAATCCCCGATTTTCAAAAGTATTCTCTTCTTCAAATTTTCAATTTTTGAAATATCACACAATTTCTATCTATTGCCCCCCATTGCCTCCACGAAAAATGAGTCACCAAATACCCCCCACCTGAGCCTCCATTACTCCGCATACGCCCGATAAAGAGCCATGCCCTTGTCAGTCACAAAATCCAACGCAATACCCTGCCCCACAAAGAAAACATATCCCTCCTTTAGCTCGGCGGTCTGATTACCAGGGAATTTCATCTGACCACAACCCTTGGTAACAATCATCAGACTGGGCCCAAGAATGGCCTTGTGCGTCTCATTCTCCCCAGCGCCAAGGGTAGTACACAATACCGAGAATTCACTGATAGGCGGTGCGTAGACATCCGTCATGCCATGCATGCCCTTGTCACTCTTCCTACGCGGCAGCAGCGCATCCTGCGAATTATGCGGTACAAAGGTAAGAGCCTGTCCGAACAACTCGACGCTGTCGCGCTCTGCAGCCGGACAGAACCCCGTGTTGATGACGTTGTCTGACCGCGCCATACACTCCACGATATCACCTTCCAGGTAGGCGTGGATGCTGTCTGCGGGGACGAAGACGGAATCTCCCGGTCCCAGCGTCATGTAGTTCATCAGCAGGGCGGAGACCAGGTTTCCGTTATCCCCTTCGCCGTATTGCTTTGCCAGACGGGCCAGTAGGCCGGGGATGTAGGTGTATGCGCCGAATTGGGATTCCGGAATGGCTTGTAGGTCTTTACTGGTCTGTTCGACTTCCTTTGCCGGCGCGCTGAGTAGAGCCTTGCATACTTGGCGTAGGGTCTCGTCGTTGAATTCTCCTGATTTGGGGATGTATTTCGCCAGATGGTTCAGCTTGAATAGCGCTTCGATGTCTTTCAGGGGTTTCCAGCCGGCGAAGAGCTCGAATTTGGAGAGTGCAATTGCGATCTCTGGCTTGTGCATTGTGTCGCCAAACTCTTCGGGGTGTTCTTTGTTCAGTTGTGCGGCAAGCTTCAGATCTGGATGGATTTGTAGGGGCAGTGCTTTGCTGAAAGATAGAATCTGGAGTAATGTTAGTTATCGATGTGGTCGCACACTATAATTCTTGGCCTTTTCGCTTGCCTTTGGTAGAAATGGGATCTCCGGACCCCATCGGTCGTGGACGGACTTGCCCACTAGCTCGGGGTGCTTCTTCAGATACTCGCCGAGGTGCTCTCCCGTGGAAAGCAAGTAGGATGGGTTCGAAGGGTACGTACCCATCCACATCTGCTCAAGGGTCAACATGACTGTGCTTATACTAGTCAATTAATAATTGTCAGAAGCTTACTTCCGAATAATGCTGTGAGTCGTCAATTGGTCCATTGTTTGGTGTTTTAGACCACAGCTGGGCTGCAACCGATTCTTTTCCTTGCTTTCCCCAGCCGTCGTTCTATTAATCCAGAATTAGTATTGATGTAGGATATCTGGAGAGCATGTACTTGCCTTGACACCGCACCGAAGTTGGACTACTGCTTCTGCCATGGTCAAGATGATACTGAGATAATGAGTTTTTGTTTAGTAGTGTTTAGTAGTGTTTAATAGTGTTCAATGTCCAATTCGACAATTAAATTGAGCCAAACCGCTCCTGTATGGGGTTTTCTATTGGCTGAGGCAAAATACGTTGATATGTCGTCATGGTGATATTTCCAAGATCCGTTGAAAAATACCTGGCAGCACTTCCACCTGAATTCCATGATGAAATGGTGGAAAGATCCACCAATTGGAATGTTACCTAGGTATATCAGAATTGCTAGAAATTCACGCCACTAGAGGGCTAGGCACGATTGAGCCAGACGTTGAAGTAAATTCAAGGTCGACAATGAAGTAATATCATCCAAACTCTAAATGAAACTCACCTACATAAGCTAACTACTGACCACTGTTCTTAAACCCCTGCCTAAATGGTGAAAAAAGTAAATAAATGTTTCATTCTGAGGCGCTATTAGAAGGCCAATAACCGCTAAAGACGCTCAACACCGTGCAATGATGCTCAATAAAACCAAAACGCATCAACCGAAATGAGATAGACCCATTACTCGTAAAGATCATCAGGGTCAGGAACCATAGCCAATGTCATAGGCTTTGAGATTGAAGAAGCCCTCTTGCTATCAGCCGGAACAAAAGGCGACGTACGCCGTCTAGGCGGCAGCCCATAATTCCACCGCGAACTAGAGCTATCCGAGCTATCACGAAAGCTACTGGAGTGCAGACTGTGACGGTCCTCCTCGTAGTAGGTGCTCCCTCGGATGGCGGGAGTATATTGATCACGGTCGCGACCGCCGCTGTATCGCCGATCACTGAGACTCGGACAAGGAGCCGCGCCGCGAGTGGGGGCTGCGGGGCGAGTTGACAGAATGGCTGCGCGGAGTCTGACTGCCTGGTTGAAGATACCGTCCGTTGGTGGGAATGTACCTGAAGCGATTGCTGGGCTGGGTGGTCTTTTCGATTACTTCGGAGGTGTAGTCTTGTTGGATTGGTCGGTAGGCAAACTCATTTCGCTTTTGCTCGGAGCGGTGGGCGTCTCTTTCTATCTGGGTCTCGCCCCGCAGTTGTTTGGGACGCGAGGCGAGACGGACGGAGAGCCGGCCCGGTCGCAGGCTTCCGAGAGATAGTGAGCTCCGCCGTGAGCTTGTTGAAGCCGCACTGCATACGCTTCTGGCGTCGTCTTCCGGGTCCTCCTCGTTCAGTGGGCGGGGAGTCGGGTCTTGTGGAGAACAGCCGGGTACGTAGCCTGGCCCGTATGCTGATATCTCTTTGACGGGTCGATGGGGATTGTCGTACTGGCTCCATGAGCCATCTGTGGGCACGGAGATGGACACATCCCCCATCGAGCATGGAGAGGTTTCGGAGAGTCCGATTTGCGGAAGAGGGAAAGAGGTCCGTTGACGATTCCCGCCATGATGTGTGTGAGATAGTTGTGTGGTATTGACTCGTACTGCTCTGATATCGCCCCCCAGCAGAAGCAAAAAGTGACATTCGTCTAACGGGAGGGGAGTAATAATCGAGCGGGGAAGTATATGCCAGGGGTGATATTAATGCGTTCTAACGAGCACCAGCAAAGGTGACGAGTACCAGCCGACAAGTATGCAAGTTGGCAGAGCAACAGGACTTTGGTGGCTTTAATCCAAATGTCCTCCTGCAATGATCCAGAAACAAACGAGAAATGGCCGGGGATTGGGTAGTAGCCAGGATGGTGACGAACAAGGGTCGCGAGGGGAAATGGAGGGGTCTCCAACCGGATCCTTGCAAATAGCACTGGAGGCAAGCTGAAAACAACAAAAGAAAGCAGATCAAAAGCAAATCAAAGCAGATGCGAGTCCACCAGGGACTTTGGTCAAGCGGTCTGAAACTGGGAGAGGAAGCAACACACCATTTTCAACGGAAGGCGTCCGGATATAAAGCTTGGTCTCAGAACGGCGCTACTTGGAGAAACGTGTGAAGCGCTTTGAGCCAGCTGCTGGAGATCTCAATTCATTGTAGCTGTCGACGCCACCGACCAATAGGGCTTGTGCATTACCGCCGAGGCAGAGAGAGATCTGCAGCGCTTGACAGGGGGATTGTCCAAATGTTCCTTAATTAGGTTGCACATCAGCCGCTTTGGGGTCTTAAAATAGATGTCAATTAGCTGGCAATTCACATTCCCTGTTAGCTTGCAGCTTGCATAAATTAGTATTGGAAAGTATTCATCCACTTTATGTGCTTCATCTCTTGTTTAGTCTTTATTATAACTGTTTCATAAAGTATACTACGATGGATCATTTCAGTCTGGAATGTGTAAAGAAAAAACTGATGTTAGTTTCCATTTTCTGAGTTCAATTTGGTATCTTTTACATAGGGTAATTTTATGCTGAGCAATTACTTTCGAGGGGCTACATATATGCAGGCTGAATGTAACACACCATAAACAAAGCTAATTAATGGTATTTATAGAAATTCCCATTAATATGAAACTGTACTTAAATGTACTTACTAATGCGGCATACAACCTTCCAAGGTTGGAATCATTGAACGTGACGCCTCCACAGACCTCGTTCAGGATGTGCTCCTTCTCGTCTTTGTTGTAAGTGAATGTGTATAGGGATAGTGGATGGTCAGTCGAAGAGACGCTGAAGAAGAGTTCGAGAATGGCCGAGCTCAAAGCAGTTTCCGACGAATAGTTTCTTTATAGTCCACTGAAGGCAAGTAGGCTGATTCAAATATTTTTCAAAATACGCCTAAATAACTATAGTATACATGGATCAATTTGATGCACTGGATACAACCAAGAAGAAATTGTATTCCATGGAAATAAAGAAAATAACAAGAGTGAAAAGAGGTGAAAAGCAATTTGATGGCATGGCCCGAGGAGAGTCGGTCGTGGACGCTGATCAAGAGCCTGAACAAGACTTAGTACGATCGGCACGTCCACTTGTAGTCATTATTCCAACCCCGTCAGAATCAATTCGAGAGTTTACAAATATCCAGAGCTAAGAATCAATGAAAAGAATGGCATTCCTGCCACTAAGACGCAGAAGAGCCGCCCGAAAATGGGAAGGCTCATCTGTGCCAGAGACTCGAGCATGAGTTTGCGCTCGGAATCACTAGTGGAGTATCATCGAAAAGAACCTGGCGGGCTCAGACAAGGTGTGAATGTCGAACGCATAATTCCGGGTACCCTCGTACACGTGGAGACACGACATCCTTGTTTCATTTAGGTAACTTTGATGTCGCTAATCTCGGCTAGTGTGGGAAGCTGCATTGATTCGAACCCAGGCCTCGCCGAGGCTGGTGACAGCCGATTGAAGATGCCGTAGATCAATGCTATGCGGTATGGCGTGATGGAATGGACAAAGAAAGATGATCCTCAACTGGCAGCTGGATAATACAAATGGGCGGTAATTCGTGGCCAATAGCCATGTGGCCAGTTGATGGCGATGGCTCCTGGGATTCGTCCTTGTAAGGGATATCGGATCCAAATGATTGAGCATCGTCGTCCAGATTACCGGGAACATCGAGGTTAGAGAACCACGGATAGATTGAGTCAGTAGCCGGCGTAGAGGTGGGGCCAAGGGGCTCGGTGTTGGCATTTGCATTGATATTCGTAGTGGCAGCCGTGTTTACAACCGCAGGGTTGTTTTAGCTGTTAGTTTGTTATTAGGTGGTTAAGCCGACATTAGGACACGCAATTGAGGTTCACCGTGTCTAGTGGAGCTAGGATTTGCATGATGAATAGCCGTGGTCAAATAGGAAGGTAAAAGGGGCCACAACTCTATTATTAGTGCTTTGAGGCGAGATAAACGTCTTCATCCGAGAGCTTTGTGCCGTTTTGTGGCTCGACCCAGCTGGGGTGGTTCGAAGAGTGCACGCAGATGGGCTTTGTCAATGGGGAGTCAGTGAGGGTGAGAGTTGTCCCGAATCCACCATCAATCATGTCTTTCTCATTCGGGGTGATAAGGCCGCTGCGTCCCCAGTCACTAATGCACTTTGCAAACCAGCGTTGAATGAAATCATGAATCAGGGCAGGCATCTTCAGACAAACGCAGTGCCCCGGCCCATGTATCTGACGAGATACTCTGTTCTTTGGGCACCCGTTCCGTCTGCCCTAGGTCGACCAACGTTTCTGACGTGGCGCGCTATGGTTGACTGCACAGCTTGTGGTCCGACGTCAGGCAGCTGGGAGGGCTCTGGGTATCGTTTTGCGTAAACCTTCAGCTCCGATTCCTGTGATGGAGTAGTCGACGGAGACGCCTCGAGGCGGGGAACGAGCAGCGGAAGCGTAGGGCTCGTGGCCCTCAGGAGGCGGGGTGCAAGGGTTACCGGTGGACGGTAAACTGGGGAGTTCCCAGGTTGTGGGTAGGCATGGCGAGAATCCGGCTAGCCTTCGATGGGGACAGCCCGTCTCTGTTCGATCTTTTAGCACTCGCTTATACGAAAGTCCGTATCTTCCAACATCATGGTAACAACCAAGAAGCACGCGTCGACGGTGTACGTTTAAATTGGTAGACGCCGGCGACGGCTAGGTAGCTTCGTGGGGAGTTTGGCAGCTTTGGGAGGTCCTCCTCGCTGCCATTTCTTTCCTGGCTGACGTTGTCGGCGACCCCTTGGTTGGCAGAGCTTTCCTCGTGCTCTGTTGCGCGTCTTGAGCCAAGTGCTCTTGATCCTTCAGGGACTCTCCGATGTCATTCAGCAGCCGACTCATCTTCATGCGAACGGCCATCTTTCGCCCTGCCAAGTGCGTTGCAGATTGCTTCTTAGTTGAACTGCAGGAAACAAGGGTCAGTATAAGATTCTAAAGCATGCGCGAGCTACATGAGATATAACACACCTTTGCTTCCCGTCACTTTGGAGATCTTGGTAGGGGAAGGCTTAAGAAACTAAGAAACAGCAACATGGTGGTCCGAGGATACACGAAAAGAATCACACTGCTACGTCTTCTTCTCTCGGTGGCCCACGGCGTTGAATCCGTACTTCTGTTGCAGGCGGATATATCGCATCCGGCTAGCCGGCTGGTTGATACCGAGGATTGCTACAGCCACCTTGTGGTCCACCTGTAGTGAGACTTGGTTAGTATGATGTACAATCCAGCTGCTAGGTACATGTATGAAGTAGCAGATAACTAACCTTGACATCGTTCAGAAGAGTCACGAGGAAAGCTTTGTGAGAGACCTTGGGGACGAAGAGGGTAAACAATGCTTTGAATGAAACGATGCGACAAGTGATAGAGATAGGTGAGAGTGTGAAGTATAAATAGAAAAGGGACATTGACGTTTTTATCTACAAGGTCTTTGAGCAAACATTGTCTAAGCAAATGTGGGGACATTTCCATCAAGTAAGCTATGGGATAGCGATACCTAGGTCTCGCGGCAAAGTAAATATATAAGAGCAGTTATATATAGAGGCATAGCAAGAACTAAGCTAAAAGGATCGGTGATCCTATATTGAATAGCAATGGACAGAGGAATTTGAAACCGCGAGGTGTAGAGGTAGAGATGGAGATGATGATGATAATGATGATGATGACAAGGAGACAGATAATAGAAACAAGAGAGTGAGGTGTGTGCATGTAATTATATGGTGAGTTTCTCAGCAAGTGTATACACTATGCAATAACTAAAAAAGGAATTATTGATTCTTTCAAGAGCAAAATAAGCGGCCTGTATGCCGCTATCAGAGCCTGGTCTCTTAGACACATTTTAGAGACAAACATCTAGCTATAGGGCGAGATAATGAATTTAGATAGTACACTCTGAAAGTCAGGTTTATATCACTCTAGTCCACTACGTATAGGATAATGTAGGTATATTGATCTATGTAGATGGCAATAGACTATAGCGCTATGAAATTACATTTAGACCTAATCTTGGATGAATGACGATTATTAAGAGAATTCTAATGTGTGAGTGGGAAATCTGTCTTATTGTTGCATATCATGTCCTTCCCCTCCCCCCTAAGTCATAAAAGTGTGTCACATCCCAGCCACAGCTATGCTATGGCCATTGTGCCTAGTCTACATCTGGCCGTCTACTGGACTCGGTTCTCGGCCAGCCTTCTCATCGGCCTCGCCCTCGGTGGCATCGGTCTCATTGGCAGGAGCTGCCTTCTTCTCCCCGGTAGGCTTCTTGTTGCAAGCGGTAGCGTCCTTCTTCACTCGGCGACCCACGGCCTTAAATCCGTGCTTTTGGTGGAGGCGGACATATCGCATCCGGCTGGCGGGCTGGTTGATACCGAGGATTGCTGCAGCCGCCTTGTGGTCGACCTGTATTGAGACTTGGTTAGTGTGATCTACAATCCAGCCTTTACACGTATCAAGTAGCAGATACTGACCTTGACATTATTGAGAAGAGTCAGCAAGAAGGCCTGAAGACCTTGGGGACGTTGGCCTTGGTCTCCTCCGAGACTACATTCTCGACCTTGACGGGGGCCTTCACGTTCAATTTGGGTTGGTCAAGATGCAAAGCACGCTTCACTGCAAAACCAGCGAAGCCAAGCTATCAACCCTCGATAACACTCTCCCATCTACGGTCCCTAACAACCGCGTCACCACCAAACCCAGCCTCCATCGCCAAAGAAGGCGGCAAATCCTCCAGTCTAGTCCCCCAGTCACTCTCCTCCTTTCCAAGAACAAGAACCAGCTCCCTTCCCTCCGTGAAGAAATCATGACCGATCCAATTCCGCGTATAAGGCTTTCCATCCAGAATAGCAGACTGAATAAACCCATTCCCACCAGCCGCACCGCCAGTAGCATTAGCCGTATTGAACTCTGTCCAATTAATCGTCTTGACCGTTGCCGTCTTCCCCGTCAACGGAGAAACAATACTAACAGACTCGAAAAACGGCACTGTCAGTAGATACACGCTCTGTCCCGGATTCGGGAATAATCCCATCATCGCCATGGCGACGAACGAGCCCATTGCGCCCGAGTCGTCGTTGCCCGGTAGTCCGGCTGGCGTTGGCGAGAAATAGTCTGGGATATAGGTTCGCACTCGGGAGGTGGATTTTGCCGGTCGGCCTGCGTAGTGGTATTGGAAGACTGTTAGGAAGGCAGGCTCGTTGCCGATGTAGGTTATGTTCTGGTCGTGGAGGTAGTCGAGGCGGGTGATGAAGTTCGTCGGGCCGCCGAGGAGGGTTATTAGGGTCTGCATGTCATGGGGGACGAAGCTGGGGTTGGTTAGAAGGGTTGAGGCTTGGGTTGGGAATACAGGTGGAACTTGGGTGGGAGCAAGCTTACAATTGATACTCCCAGATGCTGGATTCGAAGGTTTCGCCTGCGGTGTTTTGCAGTGAGCAGGCGCGTCCGCTCTGGTCGATGTTCGAGCATGCGAGAGGATCTTGGTCGCCCCATGTCCCATTTAGATGCTTTGGTTGGAAGAAACCGGTAAAGCCAGTGTCCTTGTTTTGCCAGAGAGAGGCTTGGTCTTTCTTGAATAGGTTTTGCCAGTATCGGGATCTTCTCTCGTACCGCTCTGCATCGGCTGTCTTGTTCAGGCCACGAGCCATTTGCGCTATGGCGAAGTCGTTGTATGAATACTCGAGTGTGCGGGAGATGCTGCGTGTCATTGTGCCAAATCCCTCGTAGTCGAAGTCTTCCACAGGTATATAGTGTAGGTCCTTCCAGCTGCGTAGACCGCCGCGGCCTTCGCTGGACCAGTCGTATGGCTCCTCCTCGGCGTCCTTTTGTACGGCTGCGTACCCGGCATCCCAGTCGATGCCATCCTTGAGGCCTTTTAGGTAGACGTCTGCCAGGACGTTGTCTGCGTTTGAACCGCCTTGTGTGTATCCTTTGCACAGTGACATGCGGCAGTCCGGCAGCCAGCCTAGATGCCGCTGGGTATCAATGAGTGAGCGCACCATCTGCATTACCGAGGAAGGATCGAAGATAGTGAGGAATGGAATTTGGGAACGGAAAGAATCCCAGAGACAATAGAACGAATCAAAGTAAGGCTCGCTGCTCTGCCAGAGCGGGTTCTCGCCTGTGTAGTTCTGGGGATTGATCATAGTCCTGTAGATCCCACTGTAGAAATTGGTCAGAACGGATGCATCGATGTTTGTTCGTGAGACACGGATCGGACGCATTTTTTCGGCCCATTTGTCGACTGCTGTTTGGCGAGTTGCATTGAAGTCGAAGTGTGGAATCTCAGACTCAGCATGGACGCAAGCTTGCTCTGTGCTCATGAAGCTGATGCCAACTCGAGCGAGGACCGTATTGTCTGGGGCAGACTCGAAGCGGACAAATCCACCACCCTGCGGACTGTCAGCCGTCTCTGCATACAGGAAGAAAGTTATTCGACTCACTGGAAGTGGATATCCATTGATACTACGCGAGATTTTCAAATCATGAACACCAGCACTAGCACGAGAATTGACAAAAATACCACTATCTCGCTGGGGAGCAACGCTTTTGAAGTCCGCGCAGAAATGCATAACGTACGTTCCTGATCCAAAGCTAGGGGCGAACCGCGCATCACCGGTCATACGGCCCGTTGTCCTATCCACCGATATGGTCGCATTGTCCTCACGAGAGTTCGACAGATCGGTGAGATCCAGCAAGATCAATGGGCTTGTGTCTTTATCATTTGGGAACTGGAATCGGAATAGGGACGTATGGTGTGCAGTTGTCATATCAACCCGGACGCCCGATGCCAGCTCTATAGCAAAGTATCCAGGGTGTGCTTGGACTGAGTCGGGCTTATACTTTGTCTTTCGTTGGTTCTTTGGATAGACACAGCCATTCACATCATCGCCGGGGCATTTTGCATAAGGGAAGAGAGGGAAATTGCCTAACGAAGGACTGCCCCCAGTGCCAGAGTCGTGCATGCTGGAGAATCCGGTGACACTGCCGCCTTCGTAGGCAAAGCCTCCTTGATTGCTTCCTGAGTCTGTGTCGGCGACGGCTTTCGCCATGCCATATGGTAGCGAGGCGCCTGGAAATACATTTCCTGGGAGAATTGGTTGTTAACATGAGGTTGGACATTTTTGTTGTTCGAATTTACCTCCGTTGGCACTACCAATCAAGGGATTGATATATTGTAGGACATCGTAATCATCCACTGTGGAGGTATCTGCAGCACTAACTAAGACGCAGCTGGTTAAAAATAACGAAACTAGTAATTTATATGTCGACATTGTCTAGGTTCAGTAAGGATGAGCACAGTCTAAGTTGAATTAAAATGAGCGCGTTGGGCAAGTCTGCTATTTAGATACTCCCCTTCATCCCGCACCTGGAATGCATGCCCCTCGCGATCCCTGAGTGTTGCATTCCGGTCTGCATATTCCCCGGCAGTATATCGATTCGGGGTCTCATGTCGAGGGTAGTGCAAGGATGAACAGGAAGTTGATTGGTGAGACTCGTGTACCCGGAATGACAGGATTGAGAAACAGTCCAAGGCAAGCCTGATTAATATAGTAAGGCTTTGTGACAATATGTTCCATTACCCATTCATCAAAAGCCTCGTTCATTCTGAGAATACTCTAACAAAGAAGTTGTATTTCCTCAGAAGCTCCTGGAAGTTCAAAGTTCACTATCAGGTAAAGGTAAACATTCCGTTTTGATAGTACTAAGAAAGAATAAAAAGGACCGCCATGTAGCATCAAGGGCATGAGTTTGATTATTTATTTATTAATTCATAGACTTTCAATATAAAATACTACGTAACCTCTCTGACATGTGACTTGCATACAGAAGTATGTGAAACGCAGTTATGACAGCTAAGTCTTCTTATTCTCATAGCTATAACGCTAGGAAGAAGTATCTGTAAAACATACATTAAGGAAATATCCAAAGGATGACTAAAAGACAAAGGAAAAGGACATACAAAGACCACTAAAACAGATATAACAAGGGCGTAGGAACGCCAAACTACTTGTATTCTTCTATACTACCATATGTGTATATGTATATATATGAGTCGGGTGGGAAGGAGAACTGAGAGATGGACAGGATATGGAATGCACGATGGGATTGTCTTAACCTCAGCCATTTGATCACCTTTCCCAGAAGCCCAAAGACCACAAACACTTCATCCCATTCAACCCACCTTTTCTAAGATCGCCGGATCTGATCGTGCCCGGGGCACAAGAATACTCCTCGCGCTCTCTAGAGGATATATACGATGCAATAAAAGAGTGGAAGGCCGAATTCCAGGGGCATACACTCCACGGGCATATCTGTCTCAAAGACAGTTGCAGCTAGTTACGGAGGATGTGAAGCGCTATATGCATTGGTCATGACAATACCGATGTGGAACCGGGTATAATCTTGCCTGAGGATATCAGACCATCTACAGCGCTGGCAGCTTCGTGGCTAAATGGTCTGCTCAAGAACCAAGATAGTCTTAGGAAAGGTGAGAGGTACAAGACATTACTGCCTCAAGTCCCACTGCTGATTTCCGTAATTTAGCTGATCGGCCCGAAACCCTGGCTCATCTTGGCCTTAACTGCCAGGGCCGGGAAGGGTGCTTGACGGACAAGTGCTCGGGACGCAGGTGTGCCCACATAGCACGATAATCTCGTACGAGACGGGTTTTCTGTACAGGAGGACAAGTGGCTCAAAAGAACAGTTCGGGCTCAAAATTCCATTGGTACAGGGAGGACAAAGCCAATTTTATCCCTATCAATCACGGGTGCTGTTGGCTTAGTCCTCAAGCTGCTGGGCTCAAGCTATGCGGACAAGTTGCTCGAAGCCTCCAGAGATGCCTATACAGAATCCGAAATGAACAAAGCATGCGGTGATGCGGATAGCACTGGCTTCGGAAAAACCAAACAAAGCTTGCTCGCAACATTGCTGGTTTCCATCCTACGGACAAAAAATAAGCCCAACATGCTTATTGTTCATCTTCGCTGGCAAGGCCGTATGCCTCAACGTGCTTATTGTAGAGCCTAAGGAAAATGGCATTGAAGTCCAGAGTAGCCCAGGCCTTGGGCTACATGGGTGAGTATCCAACAATGTCTCCCATGCTATATACTGGAAATCTCACCCGTTTAAGCTTGTGTGCATCGGAAGTGGAAGGAATTCCCCAAGAGGGACTCGACGGATCAACGTTTTGGTTTCTAAAGATCTCCAACGATTCAGAGGTTCGTCAAGCGAAGGATAATATCGAGGGAAAGGAGGATGATGCCAAAAATTGATACTGTCCCTTAATTCATGTGACAGTCGTGAATTTCGATCTTATGCTGTTCATGGTAGTGCAAGTGGCTATATGCCTGTATCCCCATATTAACGGAGAAAAGTGAACCTTGGAAGTAACAAATGGAGTTAATAATACACCTCTTCAGCCCTGGAGGCTTAGTTATACTATTATTCCAAACGGCTATTCGCAAATTCAATCGCCGACAGCTGTTCTCGTTGTAAGATCCCCCGAATCCCCGGCCCCCCACCGGAAGTTATACAAGCTCGGAACTCGTCAGATGAACAGAAACCACAATTCAACTCCCAAGGATGGTCTCAGCAGAAGAACAAAAGGTATTTCACTTGCATATCCAACTGTATGGAATGAATTACTAACATGAGAAGACAATCAACGCGCTCCAGGCAAACTGGATCTGGATTCCAAACTGGACTGACTCTTCAAACGCGAACACAGCGGGCAAGATAGTTCACTTTACCCAGAACGTTAATTTGTCATCCCGACCGACGAAATCAGTACTGCATTTCTCAGCCGACACGCGTTACAAGCTCTATGTGAATGGGAAGCATATTGCCGTTGGACCGACTCGCAGCAGTCCTTTGATCTGGTACTATGACACGCTGGACATTGCGCCCTACCTAGAAGAGGGACAGAATGAGATTCGATTTGTGGTTGTCCGATACTTCGCGACCTCGAGGAGCGCAATACCCTTTGTGAGGACGCCTCTTCCAGGCCTAACAGTTATTGGAAATATTGAGACAGGCGAGGAGGTCGTCAACCTTGCTTCTTCCAAGGGTTGGCTGGCATCCGTGGATGAAAGTATTCAGTTTCCCATGGGGTTGGCTGACGATGTGTTCCTTCATGTAAGACTGACTAGGATCGAAGCACTCCTGAATTACACTGATATTTCTTCTATAGATCAGCGAGCGCATCTCTCCTACAAACCCCAGTCCTTCTGTTACACCGATTGCCTACAAGATAAAGACACTCAATGGCGACATCCCGCCGTGGAATTTGCGTCCACGCTCTATCCCCATGCCCGAGTCAACGCCAGCCGTCATAAAAGCCATCAGAGCATGCGACAGTGCGACCGAGGCCAGAAATTGGACGGCTTTCTTTGCAAATAACCACTCTCTCGCCCTTCCTGCAGGCTCAACTCATACGGTTGAAGTGCAAGCAGATGTCCATTCCACCGCGTTCCTTCGATGGGCCTTCAAGGCAGCCAAAAGCACTTCTAATATCACACTCAAAGTGATATACTCAGAAGGCTATGAGCTCGAGCCTCGGTCGTACCCTTTCTTCCGCTCCAAGGCCGACCGACTGGATGCAAGTGTCGGCCACATTATCGGACCATACGATGAGGTGACATTCGATCTTCCCAACGCCAAAACTGTCATCTACGAGCCATTCTGGTTCAGAACCTTCCGCCTCCTAAAGATCAAGATCACTGTGGGGGCTGAGCCAATCGAGTTGGTATCTTTCGATGCTACTCAGGTCAACTACCCCATGGCCGTCAAAGCCAGCTGGAAGGAGCCCGGCGATGCCCACAGCGAGCAGATCTGGGACGTCTCTATCCGGACAATGCGAAACTGCATGTTCGACGGTTACTCCGACTGCCCTTTCTACGAACAATTACAGTAAGCCTCACGAATTCCCAATTCCACACCCGACTAACAACCCAGATACTCCGGAGATAGCCGCTCCGTCGGTCTATTCCACTATCTCCTCTCAGGCGACGACCGATTAATGCGTCAGGCAATTACAAACTTCGCTGCTTCAGTCACACCCGAAGGCCTCACACAGTCCCGCTTCCCCTCACACGTACCGCAACTCATAGCCGGATTCTCGCTGTATTGGATCCTGCAGGTCTGCGATCACCACCTATACTTCGGCGATACCCGCTTTGCGCGAAGTTTCATCCCGCGCATCGACGGCATCCTTGACTTCTTCGATGCCCACGTCGACGAACTAGGTCTAGTCAGCGGACTACCTGACGTCGTCTGGCAATATGTTGACTGGGTGACGACCTGGGGTGCCACGGACGAGCATCCTGACAAAGGAGTTCCGACCTCCGGACGGAAGTCCAATAGACACACTTATTTCAGTATGCTGTATGCGTGGGTTCTGCAGAAAGTTGCTGGTCTAGTGCGTGATGTTGGTCGGCCGGGCCATGCTGCTGAGTATGAAGCGAGGGCGGCATCGCTACTTGGAGCTATCCGGGCTCATTGCTTTGATGGACAATTCTTCACCGACTCGACCGCTGATGTTGCCGATGAGCTGTCGTATTCTCAGCACTGCCAGGTCTTCGCTGTGATCTGTGGAGCAGCGAGGGCGGAGGACTCTGCGCGGATCTTGACCGAATCATTTACAAATGATCGCTTCTCAAAGTGTTCGTATATGATGCGATTTTATGCTTTCCGGGCACTTGCTTTGGCTGGTGAGGATTTGTACGAGTCGTTCTGGGAGAGGATGTGGGCTCCGTGGCGGGGGATGCTGGCGAATAATCTTTCCACTTGGGAAGAGGATGATGTCAGACAGAGGTCTGATTGCCATGCTTGGGGGAGTGTGCCAATCTATGAGTATTGTACTGAGCTGGCGGGTGTTCAACCCGTCGCTGCTGGGTCGTCGAAGATATCTTTCAGGCCTAGACTTCGGTTGACTGAAGCGTTGGAAGCTAAGGTGGCGCTGGGTAAGGATAATCTAGCTACCGTCTCGTGGAAGCTCTCTGAAAAAGAGAAAGTTGTGGAGCTTAGGCTTGAGAAGGCGGTTGAGGTTATGAGTCGATTGCCGGGAGGAAAGGAGGAAGGACATGGGGTTGTCGATCATCTCAGCCTTGTTTTTAAAGAGTAGAATTAACTACTCCTGGCAAGAAATTGTCAGAGCTCTTATTCAAGTTGATAGATAATGAATCAATGGTGTCCCGGTTTATATTGGTCATTCAGCGAGGAAGGATGGAAGAGTCTACATCCTAGTGGACACAACAGTCAACAGATACGATAATATAGTTCAATTCCAATATCAAATAGCCCATAGCGTACTATTCTATTATTTTCTCTTGCTTTCCTTTCGTCTTAAGCTGTAATTACCATCTCATGGTCCTCGCGTTGCTCATTTGAGCGCAGCTGCACTTCAGTGACATAGCCCTTGAATTTCCGAAGGTTGACCTTCTTCTCGAACCTGGAAAATACAACGTGTTATGTAACTCCTTAAAGGAATGTGGTAAAAGGCTGACATACATTTCATCAATCTCAGCCGGTGTTCGGCGTGTCACTTCTGGAAGAATGAACCAAGCAATGGCTACTGCAAATGTGCCTGTGCCAGCAAAGCTGGGAGAGAGAGCTGTCAGTATTCTGCAATGGAAGACTAGACTCGAACATGATGAAACAAAACTAACAAAAAACCAGTTTTGACACCCCAGTGTGAGACAGGTTCATTATTGATCATCAAAGGCGTGCAGAAACTAAACATGGTAGCGAGCATGTTCGAGGAGGCAAGAGCCCAACCGGCAGTCTTTGCACGCAAGCGTTGCTGGGGAATCTCAGCGGCGTAGGCATAGCCAATAGCCGATGCACCTGTGGTGGACAAAGTTGCCAAACAGGCGAAGAAGATCTAGGTACAGTGAGCAAGTCGCCAAATATGCAGGCTGTATATTTCAGAAGGACTTACTAGAAGTGAACTCGTCGATGGCTTGGTATAATCGAAGCAACCAATAATTCCGAGACACAAAAGTGACACGGATGTTACTGCATAGGGGTAGATGGTCAACGGACGACGACCAAACTTGTCCGTAGTGACGGCGGTCATCATCATAGATATCAACTGCACACAAGATAGAATAACTGTTACCATGAACGGGTCATCGCTGCCAGCATATTGGACTGTGGCGATATTAGCAGCGTGAAAGAAGGCATAGACAAATAGTACCCACAGAAATATGTAGCGTAGGTGTTAAACACGGACAAGCCCACAAGCTGCTGGGTAATCTTCGGCCAAGCAGCAATACAGAAACGAAGGCGATTGCGGCCTTGGAAAACAGCCCATATTCCCTCCTCGGAGTTACGCTCTGCAACGAGACGCTCCTCTGCAATGGTGGCAGTCATGACTTCCTGAAGGATGTTAGAACTTCGTTCAAATACGATCAGGGAAACGCTGACATACAATCTGTTCGTCGATGCTGTAGCCCTCAACATTGCCATTGCACCTAGTTAGGACTTTGGCTGCCTTGTCAATCTTGCCTTTGCTCACCAGCCACCAGGGTGATTCTGGGATGAAGGCGAAGATGAGGATAATGATACCAACCATAGCCCACTACCGTACGAGGCAGTTGTCAGTGACTATCTTGACAATAAAGGATAACGAGAGACATAGGGCACCACGAACCTGTGTATAGATAGGGACTCGGAATTCATATGGGTCCTGTGCGCTGAGTTTCTGGAGTGCCACTGAAGCGAAGATTTGACCGACAACAAACCAGCTAAAACAAGTCAGTAAAAACGCAGAGTTGCCATACTCTCAACTCACAAACTGTATGCGTTGATATAGAAACCTCGCAACTGGGTCGGGGCAATTTCGGACAAGTAGAGAGGCAAGGTGGATTGCAGCATACCAACACCCATTCCAGAGAAGAGTTTCGCTGCAAGCCAATGATCCCATCTTGTTGCAAAAGATTCAATAAAAATGCTCACAACAATGTCCAGCCAGATTATGTAGAACGCGATCTTCCGACCGAACTTTTCGGTGGCATATTGTAGGAGCTGGAGAGTGGTTAATCACTTTTCAGAGCAGCCGTGGAGGTCCGAAAGACATACAACTTGGCCAACAGTTTGACCGGCGGATTGGACACCACCCAGGCAGAGATATATTTGCCTGCGATGATCGATGTTCCCGGGGAAGCCATTTGTCGAATGAAACCTTTGTTGGAGACAATACCGGCGTTAAGATTAATTTCTGCGATTCGATCAGTATCATCTGAAGCCACCTGAGCAACAGCTTCAAAAAGGTAGTGGCTTACGATACCCATCCAGCGATGCGCTAAACGCCGCAGTCATCGCAATCAGCGATACGGTCTTGAACCGTCGTGCGCACTGCCAGACACCAATGTCCTCTTCGCGAGATCGCATGATGGGCCCCATGCTCTTGGTAGGCATGCCATCTCCCTGGTCGGAAGAAACATTCTCAATATTTTCAGCGTGGGGCTTGGAAACATCCATCGTAGAGAGAAGTAGTATGTGCCCAAGGAAAAAGAAAGATTGCAAGCTCTAAGCAAACGACGATGAGTAGCTAGTAATCTTTATATTATTTCCAGCTCTTTGACCGAGGTTATAGCGGCAGGGATTGGTTTGCTAACTCTATTATCGACATGCAGCTTAGCTACATAGACTGCTGGGTGTGAAAACAACAAGCTAAATTCTACGAGGCTAAACTGGCGTGGTTCATTTGCCGACTCGTAGTTTCATTGTTTTCAACATGAATTGCTGGTTGGCTTATGAAAAAGCCTAGTGAGTGCCCATATGAGCGGCAATTGCTTCGCTCTGAATTATACCGAAACTAGTAGCTAGTGGCTGACTAGCATTTATAAAGGATGAGACAGGATTTGAAGATCATTATGGCCTCGAAGTTGAGGAACACTCAGATGTACGATCGTGTTGTCCCTCCTTATTACTACCCTCGAGGAATTACTCCAGAACAATATGTGTTTTTTTAGAAGCTCTCCATTCTTACTTTACTAACTCGAACTACACCATGAATTTTCTAAAAGCCATGCTATTGAATTGAATGTAACCCAGCGGCCTCTACCCCCTCACACTCCCACTCCCACTAGCCCTAACTAGAGATTCCCCGGTGGCGTAGCGCCTATAGGAGGAAATCCTACCTCCACATTCCATCCATCCTCAAGGCTCAGGAAATTTCGGGTGAAGACCGCCCCGACCCCCTTAGTAGGAAACCACGACCGAGTAATTACAGGTAAACCAGAAGAGCTTCCGAAGCTGCAACAGTGAATGTTGCTTTCCCACCAGACACAGGGACTGTCTCTACGCTCTCTGTACCCTGAATCGTGCAAGTGCCATTGACAAATGTCTGGCCTGCAACGGTCGGATTCTGGCCCTGATCGACCCGAGACGTGGCGTACGGGGCAGTCAACCGTTTAGCAGTGACGCTGGGGGACGAAAGCCTGAGACAGTGTGTATGTCTGCGACGAACGCATTCCGCTGGTAGAGATATAGTAGTCGGAGTTGTATAGAAGGACCCGAACAGGAGCGCCAGCCTTGTAGATGGCGTAGGCTGCGTATGCTGTATCTTGGCTATCCAGAGACGCAATCTGGTCGGCGTTCGCGAGCGCCATGGTGGCGAAGTAAGCACCGTAATAAGGGGACCCAATATTGTAGCGGCCCCACCAACAGTATTGGCCTTGAGAGTTAGATTGTGATGGGATGGGTAGGAAATCCCGGATAACTTACAGTTCCCGATTGTGCCCTGGTGGAAGTAGAGGGCATCTGTGCCCATTAGGACGGTCTGCATCACATAGTCCAAAATCCAGAGAGCAGCACCAAAGGTTGGGCTGATACCGCCGCCGCCTTGGGTCGCTGGATATTCTTTTAGCATTTCAAGCAAGTGGCGGTAAACGACCACGTACCGGAGTTGGTCTCGCCGAAGATATGCGGCTTGCGTTTTCCAGCAGCAGCAGAGATCTCAGCAGCATAAGGCTTGATCTGAGTGGCAATATCGCTATGGCCCATAAGAGTGGCCAGGTTGTAGGATCCAGATGACTGAGGATAGTTGTGAGAGCAATAATCCTTCACGTAGTCATTCGCCTCTCCTTCTCTCGCGGTAAGGCCAACAAGGCTCATGGGTGAAGTTCCGAAGTAGACACCTGCTGAGATGATATCAGTTGCGGAGAGATTTCCGCACACTGCATCTTGCCAGCTGACTTGGGATGCTTCATCTGCTGCAGCTGTCCAGGATGCACCATTGGCAATAGGATCGCTATCGACGAAAACTGAGCGCTCGATTAGCGTTTACACAGTCAGGGCGGTGTCATTGAGAGCCTACAATTGGGCTCATTTCCCAGTTCAATGGAGTATAGGTTCTTCATTTTGCTCTGGGCGAGAATCGCGGCCGAGATTGTGTTGGTTATATCATCCAAACGACGATTCAACCCAATAATGACCTCTCCAGCATAGGTTGCAGCCAAAGAAATAAAGGATGGTCCGTAAGTCAAAGTCTCGGGGGCAGCACCTGGACTGGCCACTGTATAAGTGACAGCCTCGGTCGATGAGCTATCATACGTCGCCCGGTCCCTGCTCACTGTTAGCAACAGATAGTGACCCATACCAATATATTCATACTGGGTCGTGCCTCCGATCCTCATAGGGGGCCATGTCCCTGTCAGATCCTTCAGGTTCTCTAGACATGTCATTGTTGATTTGACATCTTGAATGTACTCAGGGAATGTAAAGAACTCCAGGCTTCACAATGAGTAAGTATATCCATCAATACCTTGAATCGAGACTCACGATACACCAACGGGAGCTGCAGAGAGCTGCCCACTCGAGTTTGGAGGCGGGGATGTCGGAATATCGAAGGTCAACCCCGAAGCCGAAGCCACGAGACCCAGAAGCGAGACTGAGATGGGAAAGAAAGCCATGACTTCAAATATCTCCGATACTAGATTATTGAGTTGTAAAGCTGAAGGAATTTCTCCTTAAGACAAAGCCCTCGAGTATACCTATGTGGGCTACAATGGAATCAAAATCCCGGGGAACCCCACATCTTACTAGCTTCACGTCATGGTCGCTATTTACCTTGTCAAACCAATTTTCCTAGCAACATAGGTGTTTAGTCACAGCATGCAATACCTTAATCCATGTACATACAGGGGTCGGCTATTGACGGGCTACATTAACCCGAGTCCTGCATATGAGGTCTCAGCCGCGTGATTCCTTGATGTTAGGATCTACTAGCACCATTTGCTAAAATCATCTATTGCCTATCACTTTGAGACATGGAATCTTCACTTTGTCGAATACGCAGACACTGTCGTGATCCTTTCTCTCCCGGGTCTCGCTGTGCAAACTACTGTGGAAAGTTTCCCTGCTGCACTTCCCGAGCTTGACCTGTCAGGTCCAAAGCATGTCGATATCAGAAAAGAACTGTAGATGGTAGAATAGAGCTAGTGCAGCAAGATCCATATATTGATACTAAGATTATTGATTGAAAAATATTGATTGAAAAACAACTGTTTCTTTATCCAAGGATCTGTTCAGAACCATTACGCAGCGTCGAGACTTCCCGTAGTAGCCCAGTATACGTTATAATTGTATCCCTGAGCGTCATAGAAAGGACTCAGTGTCACATCCTTGTCGTTGGCAATGGAGGTGAAATCAAGGCTAGAAGCCGCGGAGCGTTTGATAGAGCCAAGAGCGAGAGTAGGAGTACTGCTCAATGCTTGGTCGCCGTAATTTCCACACAAAACAGTCGGCCCATAGGCAATTGCAACCATACTCGAATTATCATTTGCAGCCACCGTACGCAGACTCATAGGGAGGCGGATCTCAACCACATCTCCATCGACCCATGTGCGCGAGATTTGAGCATATGTCCAGGAGTAGCTTTAACATCAGATAAAGCTTCTCCATTCAGCGTCAGCTCTGCGTTTGATGCCCATGCAGGGATGCGGATATTCATCGTCCAGGCGCCACTACCAGAGACTTCCAGTTTCGATGTATCGCCGACTGGGTAAGTCGTAGATTGTTTCAGGGTAATGCCCATCTCGGGCCATTTCAGAACAGAGGACATGAATAGATTGATAAACAACGTCGAGTCGTTGTAGAAGTAGATCGAATCCATCAACTTGGTGTTTGTTTCCAGCGCCGTTCCCTGACAGCACCAGAATGAGTCGTAGTCCGTACTCCAAGTACCGCCACCCCAGGCGGGACCGACACCGCGGCGACCTCCAGCATTCAGAGGGGTGAAGTAAGTGACGTGGCCATGGTGATCATGGGGGTCCTGTTGGCCCAGCAGATGGTTGAGTAAGGAGTTTTCGTAGAAGTCGAAATATGCCGAGTTGTCGGAATCAAGAAGCCACAGCTCGCGGGTCAGCTTGAGCATGTTGTAGGAATTGCATGCTTCACACGTGTCATTGGTAAGATAAGCGGCGATGGCATTGGGGGCACGGAAGTGTTCCGCTTGGCTGTTACCACCGATGGCGTATGTGTGCGATTTGACATTGATTTCCCAGGCGTTGCGGGCAATATCGAGGTAGCGAGATTCTCCGGTGGCTTTGTATTGCCGAGCGGCCCCAATCCATTTTGGTACTTGGGTGTTCGCATGTAGACCGTCCAGCTCGTCTTTGTTGGCCGCAAGCGGATCGAATATAACGGCATGATCAAACCGTTGGGCAACGGTAAGCCATCTCTCGTCCCCAGTTTGGTGGTAGATGTCAGCCATTACCTCGTTCATACCGCCGAATTCCGTTTGTAGCAACTTTTGCATTGCGTCGTAGCTCAATGGTTCGGTGCGTTTGTCGACCCAGCTGGCCAGGGACAGTAAGACATCTCGAGAGATGGTGTCGTTTGTCAAGCGCCAAATATCGAGAAGACCCACGAGAGTCTTGTGCACAGCATAATACGGAACATTGCCGTTTGTCAGGGTGCCGTTCTCGAGTTTTGCGAATTCAGATTCCGGGAAGCCAGATACATATCCGTCCGTGAAACCAACAGCCTTGTTATTGGCCTGACATTTTGCAAGCTCGGCCGCAAAGTAGGTTGCTCGATCATAGCACGTTTGGTCGCGGAGCACAGCATAGCACTGAGCCCAGGCACTGAGGAAATGGCCCTGGACATGCGAACGGAAGGGGAAATCCGGAGCATCCCAGCCACCGTTAGGCGTTGCCTGCTGTGTAGAGAGTCCATGTGTTGCCCGGAAGACATAAAGTAGTCTGTCAACGTCTATTTCTTTCAAATATTTTAGGGTACGGCCCTGGTTTTCCAAGAAGCGGTCTTGGGCCAATTCGACGCCGCCGAGGTCGAATGCAAAAGCCTGGGCTCCAACCTTGCTACCTAAGTCGGATTGTCCATTGACGAAAGAGGAAAGAGAAAGAAAAAGGAAGACGAATATAGCGAGGGGTTTTTGCCAGTCCTTGGAGTGTATCATCTTGAATTACTCCGGATAGGAAGACGGGAAAGGCCAGTCGGTTCGGAGAGGAATGGGCGTAGCTGTTCTGCAGGCGTCTGAAACATGAGTGCAATAGTCTGGCAATGAGTCCCTTTTAAGATGTAGATTTTTCCGGTGGGATAAGAGTGGTCCATATACCTCCGCACTCAAAACTCGGAGGATTCCATGCGGGGGGTCTGGTGGTGCCACCGGACTCCCATAGTTGGCCTTCTAAGATGGGAAACTTGCCGGAGGGTTTGCAGATCAATTCACTCTAATAAGAGTAGAATATTAAAGGCTAAAACATCTCTTGAGCATCATTATCATCTTGAGACAAAACCCCCATACAACCTAATTGGACACCACAATAGTAACTCTCATAATAATTATATATGCGGAGTTTTCCTTATAGGTGGATGCTTTTAAGAGATATTTAACCTCTTTGGAGGAATTTGATGAGTTCCTGTGATATATATTCGTTGATAGATGTCTGGCTTTGTAAAAACCATGATACTGAAGTTTTCCGATTTTCTTGAAATTGATATAGGTGTTAGAAAGACTTAGCAATAGCTCTCAAGTGACAATGAAATCAAGTAATAACGTGGTTGATATGGGCCTGTCATTTTCCTAGTATGTCTTGTTATTAACACTTATCTACGGAGTATACTCCGTACACGTACGTTCATTGCGAATACAAGTATAAAGTAGATAAGAAATAAGAATTGAATAACATTTCTAATCTAGTAATAAATATTGAAGTTATGAACATAAAGGATACAATATTGTACAAAGGATATTCTCGGTGAAGTGAAGATGCCGAGGTAAATCTCGAATCCACTCAACCAGTCTTCTCTCAACAACTTCGCCTTCTAGATCGCTAAATTTGGAAATTTTTCTTTTCTTTTCGCTCTTTATAATTTATGATGTTCCGATCTTTTACTACTCTTCCTTCTCTTCCTTCTCTTCACATCTCCTTCTCCTCCAGACTCTCTTCACGACTTCTTATCCGCGACTCTTTCTCCGCTACTCCGAAGCGACCCTATACCCGGTCCTACTCTACCGGTAAGTTATAGACATCCTGCATCATTCCCGGCAGAAGAACTAAGTATTCACAGCGCCGACTCCCTCCGCCTCTACTCACACTCCACCCCCAGCGCCGCGCTCGCGTCTCCGCCGCTTCATCGGCTTCACCTCAATCGCCGTCTTCGCATTCACCATCGGGCTAACCTACCAAACCCAACGAACCGTCTCACGCATCATGGCCACCCCAACCGACGAGGAGACCCTGACGGCATTCATTGCCACCGACTCCGCAACCTCGGAAATCGATAACGCGATCCGCACCCACCCCGTCGCAGAGGCCCTCCGCGCAAACCCCGAATTCAGCGAATCGCGCCCACACCTTACAATCCCCGAGCCCCTGCGCGAACGCAACCTGACTGCTGGAACGCTAGCCGGACCGGGGAGGATCGTCGTACCGCCATATGTATTCAGCGAGCGCGGGGGTAAGACCATGATCTCGCTTATGTATCTGGGCGGTGATGTCTGCGGTCATCAGGGTATTATTCATGGCGGTCTACTGGCTACATTGTTAGATGAGGGTCTGGCGCGTTGTTGCTTCCCGGCTTTGCCTAATAAGGTCGGTGTTACGGCTAATTTGAATATTGATTACCGGGCTCCGGCTATGGCGAATCAATATGTTGCCCTTCGTGCGGAGACTGTTAAGGTTGAGGGTCGGAAGGCGTGGGTGGAAGGTCGTATTGAGACTCTTCCGAGCGATGGTACGGAGCCTGTGGTTTTAGTTGAGGCTAAGGCTTTGTTTATTGAGCCTCGACAAGCTGCTGTAAGTTGAAATCGTGGATTTTGACTTTTTCCCGGCTAATTTCTTCCAGGCGCTCTCGAGTCTCTACAAAGTGGCGTGATTGGGGGAATCTCCGACTCCGAAATTTCTGCATTCGGTTCCTGTTCCTGGTTCCTGGCGTTATATAGACCTTTTATATGTAAATGGGTTTAGAATTGAACATATTTTATACACTCTACAATATGCTCCTAGTATGTACTAGTATGTAAGACTCATATAAAACGTAGATATAAGAACGCCAAGCAATTGCGACACCCCGCGATGATCACATCTTCTCTGACGCGGCCGTTCCACTCTCCCCTATTTCTACTTCTCAACCTTCTCCCTCCTCCTTAACTCCATATACATCCAAAATGGCTACGTGAGTACAAAACCCAATGCCGACCTACACCCAAATCTAACCCAACCAAAACAGCAACATCACCTTCCACGCCAGCGCCCTGACCCGCAGCGAGCGCACCGAGCTGCGCAACCAGCGGGGTCTCACAATCTGGCTGACCGGACTCTCCGCCTCCGGCAAGTCAACTATAGCCGTCGAGCTGGAGCACCAGCTCGTCCGCGACCGCGGTATCCACGCCTACCGTCTGGACGGCGACAACATCCGCTTCGGACTGAACAAGGACCTTGGATTCAGCGAGGCCGACCGCAACGAGAACATCCGCCGCATTGCCGAGGTCGCCAAGCTGTTCGCCGACTCCAACTCCATCGCCATTACTTCTTTCATCTCGCCATACCGGAAGGATCGCGACACTGCCCGCCAGCTGCACGAGGTTGCCACGCCCGGCGAGGAGACCGGTCTGCCTTTCGTCGAGGTCTATGTTGATGTCCCCGTTGAGGTGGCGGAGCAGCGTGACCCCAAGGGTCTGTACAAGAAGGCTCGTGAGGGTGTTATTAAGGAGTTCACTGGTATCTCGGCTCCTTATGAGGCGCCGGCCAACCCTGAGGTTCATGTGAAGAACTATGAGTTGCCTGTTCAGGATGCTGTGAAGCAGATTATTGATTACCTTGACTCCAAGGGTTACTTGCCTGCCAAGAAGGAGTAAGGTGGTTCTTTGCTTTGGGATTCGGATATGATTTAGATTAGACGGATGTATCTATGGCCGGCTTTACATAAAAAAGAGTCCTGTATAGCGGATTGGATATGGTGTTTTTGTGCTTGATTCCCCTCCCGCTTGCTGTATATACTGCGTGGACAATATAGATCGCTTTTCCACATCATCTTATGAGCTGGGCCGAGACTGGGCAATGGGACATATCCGCCTGCTGTTCGCTTGAATGCGTGTCATTGAAAAAACAAAAATATCCAATGCTAGTTGGTGCTAGATGTACCAGAAGTGGTATATGTACGCAACGTCTTCTCGAAACTTTGTATCTGTTATGCCTCGCAAAATAGGCAACCTTAGTTGAACTCGAATTCATAAAACACATACGGCGTGTAGTCTGCGCCGCCCTCACCACCTGCGTGCATCTCGCCAGGATCATCCCGCTGCATACGGCCCTTCTTGTCCCGCCAAAGGCATTGCCCGCCAGATACGAGTATTTATTCTCGAGGTTCTGCTTTGCGCGGTCTGCTTGCTTGGAAGTTTGTGTCTGTAGAAAGGAAAGAAAGTCAGCCATTGCCCCAGTAAAAGCCCAACGAAAAGTAGAGCAGAGCGAACATACCCGGACCAAAGCACAGACGAAATCCAACGGCAATCCATACCGCAGTACTGTCTCGACAAACACCCTCAGAACCAAAATATGAATCCAGACCATAACAGCTTCACTCCAAGCCGTGCGACCGAGTCGCAGCGTCTCACCCCATACCTTACGCTCATCACCACCAACGCGCTCAACCTCCTTGCGCTCCTCCTCCTTCCCACCCTCGACGTACTTGAAGTCGCGCGGGATCCACTTCTGCTCACGGCACTTATGCACGAATTCGGCGCTGTGCTTCTTGAACGCCGCCACAGCGTACAGCGTGAACTCGCTGTCGGAAGCGACCAGCTGCGCGGACCGTGGGACCACCATTGGCGCGACGGTCTCGTAGGTCTTGAGGAAGTCTTTTACTAGCTGGGCGGGCACGGCGACGAGGTGGGTTTCGATGTATTCGGAGTCCTGGATGATGGATTTCGGGTCGACCACCGAGGCGAGGGACTTGGTTGAGAGGTTTCCTCTGTGTAAACGGGTTAATTCCGGTTCTCGTCGCTGTCTCCGTCGTAGTAAACGTACGTTTGTTTCCGCTGCAGGGTGGACAGCGTGTTCTTGACCTGGTTATATTGGGAGTACTTGAATCGGATGTCGTTGTCGATGCTGGTCGCTTCCTACAGTAGACGACAACGCATTAGTATGTAATTCCAAGACAAACAGACACCTGGAGTCTATGCGCGACGCAACAAACCTTCTGCAACAGATCAATCAACTCCGCCAAGGGCTTATCGGCCCTGTACTTGACTTTGTTCCATTGGAAAGTACGCAGGTACTGATCGACCGGCTCTGTAGGCAGTCAGAACCTAGAACACAGAGATATTTCCTCCAGTACTGTGATGCGTTTCCCTCCACAGCCAGAACAATACCAAGCTGGAGACATACTATCGTTGACAACCTTCATCTGCTCAATCTGCGACTCGTCCTCAAGGATGTTCTTCAACGCATCGCCGACCTTGGCAACGACACTCTCGCACGAAGCCTCGAGCTTGGAGAGCTCTTCCGCCTGCTGGACAAGGGCATCTAGCGTGCCGATCTTGAACTCCGGGATTGGGAAGGAGGTGGTGGAGCCATTGTCCGGGGAGACGGTGGTCGAGACTGCTTCGAGGGCGTCATCACGGTGGTGCGAGGGGGACGATGGAGGTTGGGAGAGAAAGGAGGAGGTATTTGCTTGGTTTGGACATGGTTGATTATGTATTCGGGGAATTCAAGGGCCTTCGATGAGGCTTGGGAGCGGTTTCGGGGTTGAGGGGGAGCTCGGGTGGCCTCGATGTCGTAGGCGGTGGGTGCTTGGACCAGCTATGTCCACCTGGCACATCTACACTTGCTACGTTTTACCTTGGAAGCATACTCACTTATCCTTGACATGGAACTTTAGAGATCTGATCATGTTGGCTGGAAATGATAGAATGGACATCTTTTCGATATTTACCTCACACTGCAGTGGTCAATATCCTTTGCCACTAACGTACATTCCCCTTGAAAAGGCGCAATTCCAAATGACTTTCCCATATAAACCTGTGATAATGTTCAATATCAAATCAAATATCCATGACTTTCATACTGGGAACCTAACTAACGTACATGAGCGCCGTTGCATGTGCTACTATTTCACTTGAAGTACTTTGTAGAGTTGCATAACGCTAGAAATCAATTCAATTCTCGCTCAGATCCGGAAACAAGCATCACACAAACATGCCTCAGTTTGGCATGAAGAGAAAAAAGAGAAAAAGATAAGATAGGGTATCTGTATCAAGCGTGCAGCCCTGACCGTGAACCGAGTAGAGAGGTATGAGTGGAGGGCAGGGAGGTAGGGGTAACTGTACAAAAAGAAAGAGAGGGGGAGGGGGAGGAAGGGGGAAGGGGGAAGCCCAATTCATGTTTCACTATCACACCTAAGAATAGGGTCGATGAAGGTAGAAGGTAGAGAGCGATTGTGAGTGATTCGTGTGAATATGAGAAGATAAGTACATCAACCCTAGCCCTGCATGCCCATGAAAACTTCCTGGCAGTTCTCCACCAGGAACTTCATGACATCGTTCTTTTTCTGGACGTCAGTCATCTCACGCGTCAGACTTTCAGGTCGCATGATTGTCGGCGCGAAGACCACTGCGACATTCTGACTGGTCATTAAATTATCTTCGTGGCGCTCAACTACACGTTTGAGATGGAAGATGAGGAACTCCAGAACGTCGCGGTGCACACGAGGCAGCTCGAGTAGGCTCTTCTGCATGAGCTCAATTCTCGCGGACATAGGGCTAACCTCGGCAGAATCGATCACAAGTTCATAAACCTCGTAGGTGATCAGGGGGCTGGGGAGTTTTCGGAAATACTGCTTCAAAGTGGATGTGACAGCATGGATATCAAGGTCGGGATCGGAGATATCGTAATCAAATGGAGAGCGTTCGAAGCCTTCGCGAATAGTTTGAATGACGGAAGCGGCACCGGACTTGCGGTAAATGCCTTCCATGTCCATTCCTGATTATATTTGTTAGTATAACGATCGCCTGGATAACGACCGACAAAACATACCTCGCAATTCAACTTCCTGGATACACCGCGTGACGATAGACGGAATGATGCTCTTTTCATGTTCCATGCGAGCTTCAAGATCGGTACCGAAAAGCGCTGAAAACGATTAGCTTATACTGATATCTTAGATGGTAGGATCGTGAACATACCATCAGCAGCAACTTCAGCCAACACAGGCACGCTGTCGGCCTGCGACATCTTTCCTCCCTGTTTGCCTCTCTGGTTTCCGAAGAAGCCAAAGCCTTGGCGACTAGGGTCTTGAGTCTGAGAACGCGGGATACTACCGCCACCCTCTTGTGTCTGTCCTCCTTCGCTAGACATGAATGCCCCCTTAAGACCCTTGACACCTTTGGCGACATTCTGTCCGCCCTTTTTCCAGTTAAACTTGCGAGGTTGGCCCTTGCGAATGCTGACAACCTGGGGGCCTGGCACAATAGTAGCTGTAGCAGGCTCTGAGTCCTCTGAAATTTGAGCAGTCGAGACAGATCCCTGATACTCGTTCAAGGAAGGTTTCATCACTTCAATGGAGTTCGTCGACCTCTGCTTGTTGTGCGAAATGCCTAGACCGTTAGGCTTGGGTTGACCTTCCGTAGCTTTGTAGAGTTCTTGGATCTGATGAACCAACTGATTGTTCAGCTCAGCTAGCTGTGCGTTCTTCATAGACAATTGCTCGAATTCCTGGAAGCTCTTCTCCTTTCGAGTGTTCATGGCTTCCAGTTCCTCCGACAAGTCATTGCGCTTTTGCATGAGGTCTTCAATTTGTGGGGCATACGAGTCTTTCAGTTTTTGAATGGACTCCGCTAGCTCGCGCAGCACATGGTTGGAGAGTTTGCCAAGATCCAATGGCCCACTGGTGCCACCACGTTTTTCAGCCTCCATGTGATCTGTGAGAACCGTGAGCTCACGCAGAACGATCTCACGCTGAGCGTCAAGGACGACCATGGTAGATCGTTTCTCGGAAAGCTCGGTGTTAACCTGCTTGACATCTGCTGCGGCGCGAGCGGCTGATTCTAGTTCTGCAACTCGTAGACGTTCTTTGCGCAGTTCGTTGCGAAGCCAAGAGATCTCTTCACTCTGCGATCCGGCAACGGGGCTGCCAACATCCGTTCCAGCTATGCTTCGATTGCTAGGTGAGCGAGGGTTCTTAAGATCCTTGCTCATTCGCACACTTTTCTCGCTGAAGCTACGACCATGGCGGACAGAGTTTGAGACGCGCCGCAGGAATGATTCGTTATTTTGCCCAACTGTGTCATCGCCACCGATTATTCGCGTCAATTCCTCGTCCATAGAGAAGTCGCCTCCGCTATTGTACCGTAGCAATGTTGACGCGCCGGAGCCATCGTATGGGTGTGATTCATGTGGGGATGTGTGTAAGGCAGGAGATTGAATAGGCTGTTCGAAAGTGTCACTACGGAGCATAGGGGAATCCCCGTACTGAGATGACGCAGGCGACGATCCGACCTCTTTTCTTGGAATTTGGTGAAGCTTGCTTTCAAGTGAATCACCGCGCTTTGGCAGATGCGGCAAGCCGGAGGCTTGAGAGCGCGGCGATTCCATTGAGCCGTGGTCGTGGGAGCGAAGCTCGTTCGAGGAACGAGCTGCAGCCGAGGTAACGTTTTCCATTGGAGTGTGTCGTTTTGCGTCACTGGCCGATTCCTTTGATCTGCTGTTATCAGGGCTGGTAGGCCCAGAAAAGTTGCTTGTTTCTCTGAAGCCGCTCGGTATATCAGATGAGCTGCGAGCAGAGCCTGCCTTTGCAAGCTTAGACGAGTCAGAGACTGGTAATGGTGCTTTATCGGGAGAATTGGCCTCTGTTCGTTCCCAGCCCTTCTCCTGATAGGCTATATGGGGCGAATGATTATCCGAAGGTGTTTGAGAATTGGGTTCTTGCAGATATTCACGGCCTTCGCGTGAGGCCCTGTGTGAGGATTCACCTGGTTGATGATTGAAGTACTCACGTGCAGGCTCCTGCCGTGTCTGTGAGTGACCACGGGAAGAATTACCCTCACCCGAAGGATCAAAGGCAAGAGGAATCAATAATTCACCACCGTCAGCGTCAGTGTTGCGTGCCATTGATTGACGACTGCTGCGGTATGTGCTGGAGGGAAGCATAATATTATCTGTGTGAGAAAGTAAGCAAGAGGTTTAGGACGCTATGTTAATCTCTAGAATCAAGGGAACCACAACAATATAGGCGGTGGCGCCAATGGTGGAAGAATACAGAGCGGTGCATGGGATCTTATTGTCCCATGTGATAAAAATGGTACAATAAGGAAGTGTAGCCTGCGATGTCTAGACTGCAAAAAGGGTTTCTTACCTGAATCAGCCTGCTGATTTGAAATTGCACTTCCCGGTCTTTCATCATTTAGATCTGGCGTTTCCGGCATTCTATTAGGGTCTGGCGTGCCTGTATATTCGCTATGCTCCCCGTCCATTTCTTGTGTTTCTTCAAGGAGGTGGGGAGGCAACGAGGGCAAGGATTTGTCGAGCTTCACATTAGGCCCCGGTGGTTTTTTACCACTACTGCCGCCGGCTTTCCTTTTTCGTCTTCGTGCCATTAGCGATTCATGACATTCCATGCAGAAAATACCCTGTGAAGTGCGCGCATAGCGCAAGTTCTCAATCTTTCGCTTGCAGTTCCGGCATCGGAAGCATTGAGCACAAAAAGCCTGGTCTCCCGTCAAGATGGCCAAATCCTCGATCTTGTTGTTGCAAGAGCTACAACTATACGTGCAGTTACTGCATATAAGTGATCCATCACCCAAAAGGAGGAGGTGCGCGTCCGAGTCAAGCAAAGTGCTGCATGTACTGCATCGGAAACAATCGATGTGCCATCGGTTTCCAGCTACAGGAGGTTAGCGACATGAGAAGATGCCAACAAGCAGCACGTATCCGACATACCAAGCTCAAACGCTTTCCCTTCTTCAAGAGTCTGGCACGACGGTTAGTCAAGTTCCTTCCTGCCCGCTCGCTCTACATTGTGCCTACCTCTCCACAGCCCTTGCATGGGTAGGACTCGTCCTGCTCCATAGGAGACTCCGGGTAAGCGCCCTGGTTCTCCATCTTGAGATCCACTGTCTACCCAAAATGTAAGGTAGACTATTGCCGTATATCGATACGAATATCAGCCTGGCGGAGGTTCGCAGACTAAGGCCAAAATCGTGTGTATACAGGCGATTTGTGATCGCTACGGAAGATCTCAATCGCAGTCACATGCGCCGTTGGTGCTGGTTCCTTGAGATACTTCTTGTTGACCGTAACCTCGGGTGGGCGCCGGAATTGGGGAGATAGGGACGTCGGTGCGGGTTTGGAGGGGAAGACGTAACAGGGGGCTGAAAGAACGGCGAATGGTGGCTGAACCTGCAGACTACCAAGTTAAAAAAAAACGTGATCAAAAGCTAGTTTTAAGCGTAAGACAGCAGTGCCCCCAATCAGTCCCGATCCAAGGCAGGGCTGACCACGTATGGGGCGGGTCGGACCAGGGTGATAGCGACGGCAATTATGATTGCCTATGCACCAGGGATCATGGGCATCAATCTCTCGACGTACCAGGTACTGCCAGCCGTGGTACAGAGGTGTTTCAGATAAATAATCGCGGGTGTTGTAACCGTTAAGCGCAACAGGCGAAGCGAAACGGGGATTGCCCCTCGCGGGCGTTGGGTTTCGAGGTTTAACGGAGGAAGCCCCGAAGCGAAAGGAAACGAAATCCGGGAGTAATGAGTATAATTAATAAGAAAAAGAAAAGAAAAAGCAATAAAACATGAGAGTCGGATTAGGGGGGGGTGGAGGGATGAGAAAGGAGAGATGAACTTTTGGCTTTCTGCCACCAAAAGGTCTTCCCCACGTAAGTTACGAATATCATTTTATACATTTTACTTGTATATCATTTTATTTTTACTCTTTATATATGCAGATATGTACTCAATACATTTCCTTCTGTCCATAAGAGGTATATTGTAACTGCCCAACCTATTCTCATCCTTACTATCGGTACTCCGTACATATACAACATTTACCTTGACTGCGCCCAGAACGTGCGGACCTTCATTTTCCCTACAACCAATGAGGTGATACCCCTGAATTTCGTCCAATCTGATTTAATCTCCGTCAAAATGAGAATGAAAGTCGGTACTAGTCTCATATATTTATATTCTCCCAACAATCTCAACCCAAGCCACCGTTAGATATAGAGGCCCAAGCGATTTTTCAGCTCTTCCTGGCGGATCTGAGTATCCCCCCCTAACGATCGCTCCATAGCCCCATTGTTTTGACCATGGTACGGCTATTTAGTCTCAAACACTTCTCCTACACTTCTCCTACACTTCTCCTACACTTCTCACACGCTATCCCCTGGACTTTGGTCCTTCATTTTCAGCCCTGTATGGTTTCACAAAGTATCCCGAAGTCAATCTCGCAGAGTCTAGAGCCTAATAAATATTCCCGAGCTGAACTTCAGCCTAAAGACACAGTCCTAGTGACAGTACCCTACCCCTGATCATTTATATCCTAGCTCAGGCCTCTGCTGTTTGGAAATTGTGAAACGGCTTGTCGTGTCACGTGGGCGTCCATCAGATTCGGGGGAATGGCATCAGGAGTGGCTTGCGCATAACAGCTATTCTTGCTGAATGTTGAATGTTCGGCTTTTTTTTGGCTGCCCGAAAGTGACAGTGCCAAGGTTCTTCTACCACTTCTATTTACAATACTATGTACCGACCAGCTTCTCCTCTACCCGTGAACACATTTATCTATTAATAGCCCAGATCATCCTTTCAGACACTAGTGAAGGAGATTAAGTGTCGAGGACTCCCGATATATGTATCAGACTTGTCTCAGGATGTGCCAGGTCTCTCTATTTTTTATGTTGCGGTACACTGCCCAGTCCCTGCCGAAAGGATATTTCGATCTGGACGCGTAAAACAACGGTCCCGGAAATGAAATACATCATGGACGATATTACAAATATCGGTGTGTACCAAGGTATTCCATAGGGGCCAATGAAATGCTGGGTCCACTTACAATTATATCAATCTATCTGGTACTGTAGATCTGGCATCACTACTCTGCATATTGAGGCATAATAGTCACTTATAAATACAGTTCACATGCCTAACATACAATTTATGCAATACCATCAAGCATCTGCTCATAGAATGGATATTAACATCCAATATTGGTGCACAAAACCATCTACAATATATGTTCTCACGTAGTTGATCACGTACTAGATCTGGCGGATCGGCGCCAAGAGTGGGGTTTATACGCGGCAGCCCATAACATCTGCTTTCCATGTGCCGTAGGCTTTTTCGACCTTGCATATCCAGGCCTTACTTGATGTACAAGATCCATGGCTGGGCGAAAACCAAGGTTAATGCATTAAAAATTCCAAGCAGGATGTATCACGTGCAAGTATGGCCCTTTGGGAACCAAAAGAGTCCGTTAATCCACCATTTACTGATGGGTCCACAATATAGGATCCGTCATACACGACAGCCTGTCAAAATTGCACGAGCACGGGTAGAAAATGTGATGGCTATGTGCAGGTGCCCGATAAGAGGACCCGTGCCTGGCGCGAAGCCGAGAAGGCCCCATTCAGGCGATCAGACTGCAATGTCCGGGCATAAACTGTATAAAGCCCCACACACCCCTTCTATGAATGCTATGGTTCGCCTGGTCGATCTAAGTCGGGTTCATCTCAACTGGACCGAGCGCTGACACTTGGATTATTTCCGAAAAAGCATGGTACTCTAATGCATGGAGTACTTCAAAGACCCCTTCTGGGGTCGGTGGGTACATCAGATGTGCGAAGCACATCCTGCAGTCCTTCACGCGGCAATAGCAAGGGGTGCACGGCAATATCAATTTGAAGAGGATCAAACGAAACAAATCGAGGATCGAGAAAGTCTTTTAACTCTTAGCCATTCTTGCAAGACAATAGCCTGCCTTCGGGCAATCTCGTTTGGGAGCGGTCCAACCCCAGACAGTCGAGTCGCATTCACAAAGAAACAGTGCTCATCACTGCGTTATTCTGACGATGCTAGGTCTCTTCTGCGAAGATGTCTTTGCTGCCCGCTGCCTTTTTTTGTCTTGGTAAAGGCTGTTCAAGGAATGGATGTCTGTCGACTATGAAAAGACTCCTAATGGTAGAATTTTGAAACAGGCTTTGCTCAGGTCCACCTACATTTTCCGACATGTGAGCACCCGTGAGGCACCCGGGGAAAGTGTTTAGTATGGGGCCTGCAAGTTCACCTATCGGCCAGGGCAGAATTGCTGTCCTAAGCAAACTTTGGCTTTGGCGAAGTTAGCACAAGTGGGTTCTGGAAAAAGGAGATATGCGACAACGACACTACGATATGTCGACCTTGCTCGAGGTATGGAGTTTAATTATCAACATTAAGCTGGCTGTCGCTAGTAGTTACGGGCCCCTCAAAGTGTTGTTCGAAGATTACCACTAGAATATGTATGAGGACTTGTGAAAAGGACACCGAAAACGACCACTTTCGGCGCCAGAAACGTCTTCCCCGTAACAAAGGTCGGCCAGGAGCTCCTACCATCTCTATTCCAAGGTTCTACACCCTCGGCCCCCATGGGTTGCGCCTTCCCCCTGAAGCCCCGGCATCAAATTCACCGGGAAGGTGCGGCCCCCGAGGAAGGTACGGCCCCCCAGTGAGGAAGGTGCGCCCCCCCCCCCCTAAGGCAAAACAAAGGCCCCTTGCCCCCTCAGCCAACTGGCATGGGGGGATCCAAATATACAGCCCTGGAGCCACCCAGCACTGTTAGTCATCCTCCTCCCATCCACCTAGGCACCTACCTAGGTAGGTAGCCCTCAACCTCCCGAGGTCCGCAGTTGTTTCCCCCGTTTCCACTTGCGACCAAAACGTAGCCAAAAATTGACTCCCTTCTGCAGCAAAAGCAAGGTCACTTCTCTGTTGGCCCGGCCTGGTCGGGCGCCTATAAGATGCTTCGATCTCCCTCTCTCTCTACACCCGCTCATCCCAACTCAGACACAACGGCGGAAGTCGAGCTTAGATTTATTGCTCTACTAGTTTCTGACGATATAATCGAGACGCTACCTTTCCTTTCCGGCTCTTTCTATAGCATCTATATCTGGGCCTCCAGCCCGGGCAAGTGAGCACTAATACTAGACGGATACTATCCTCTACACAGAAACTCGAGGTAGACTAGAATGTTGGGCGATAGGAACTAGGGTGAACTAACACTACAACCTTATAGGTAGAGGCGGGTGTTAAGATGGCCGTAGCCTGGGTACCGCGGACAGGGCCATTATTACACGGCTGTTGACGACCTTGCTAGACACGAAAAGTCGTAGATAAACTTACAAAAGGGGTGGTTGATAATCGTTTCGTTAACCTCACAATTCATGCAAATAATTATATTGGTAGCTGCCCATACAACGTTATATACCTACGCGAAGAGCAAGTACATAAATTCCACGAAGATAGGTGACCAGTCAAACATTTCATGACAAGAGATGAAGGGGAATGAAAACTCCCATTGGGTCCATTGCGAGATGTGATTTCTCCTCCGAAGTCAGGCAATCTCAGATAAATCTGCTCAGCTATAAGCCCTCCTCATCACCAAGATAAGTGGCTGTGAATCCTTGCGTGTTGGCAGGGCAATCAACATCGCCCAAGTCCCAGGAGGTACCACAGTACCCATCTATGCCGAGCGCAATACCGATGAAATGGGTGCTAGACTGGCCATCTGCAAGAGCGATGTTGCTTCCATCCTTGTTTCGGATAGAGCATTTGTCGGGATTTGTCGATTTGCTCCAGCAATTGAAATGGTACTCGGTTCCCTCGGGGAGACATCCACCGGTGAGGGAGAAGGTGTGGCCGTAGCCACCTCCGCAGGCCGTATAGCCGCCAGGGTAGGAGTCACTCCAAAGAGTCTCACCGGCTTCATTGACGAGAGAGAAGCCGTTGGTGTGGCCGCTGCTACCCGATCCTCCGGGAGGTCCGATAGCTGACCAGCTTCCAGTGGTCCAGACGGCATTCAGCTTCAAGGCATAAGAAGTAGAGGCAAAAAGGGCACTGCCCAGGACAAAAGTCTTGGAAATAGGGGGAGTGACCATCTTGTTGACAGTTTGGGCTTTGGAGGATGAGCTAAGTGAAAAGATGAGGAATGATGATTGAGAGTGAGGATGAAGAATTTAGCTCCCTTTATATAATTCATCTTCAACGGCCCCAAGAGTTGGAACGAGGATATGTTGAACGATCGACGTCGAAGGATAAGGATGCGGTTGGCCCATTTGTGAAAGGCACCAGTGAACGGCGAGTATGTATATGGTGGCACCATTTCAATGGTCATTCCCACCTTGGTATTCGACATCATACGCTGATTATGGTCCACTTCTGAATCCCACGCTAATGCAGGGTACTTTTCCCGCCAAGGAACCCCAAAACGACCATCTGGCTGAGAAGAACAAACAAAGTGGCTGACTATACGATTCGATATGATTTCTAGCTATGTGATTTGTCTAGCTTTCATTCATATTACCTAGTCTATACACCATCTTCTGATGTCACAGGCAATTTCCCTAGGTAGATCCATTTGTTCCAACATATTATAGCATTATTCGAACCCGCCCATCGATGGGCTGTGTCGGAAACTAGGCCGGTTCTTTGGTATGCCTTGCCACTTGCGTGTCGAGTCGATCCAACCTCCCGGTTAAGCTCTTAATATTGAGGGCCTAACTTCAGATAGTCACTACAAAGATAACCTTTACACCTGTCCATACATGTCAGTAGCGTAATTCACAAGCGAAACCTTCGGAGTTTGTTTCTCGCTTACCGTGTCCTCGTATACTCGAAGCTCCTAGACCTACTCTAAAGCTAGGTAATATAGGCAGTTAACTAAGACTATAATTCGTTCGACCCGTTTACTTAGAACTATTAGAGTATATCCTATAGAATTAACCTATATTAAGAGGTAAAGTCGATTTTATCGAAGTCAATATCGTATCTGACGATTCCAAGGTTGGAATTTGGTGTTGCAGATATCGATACTCGCTGAGAGTAAGCCATTTGACAAAGCTAGTAGTAAGCGAATAATTATTCTGATACATAGAAACAAAAAACTTACCTTTCTTATTCTCCGTCTTTTTTACACAACACGCCTCTGTAGGCTCTAAGCTTTGGCTTGATTAACTATGGGTTCTGACTAAATTGTCAGTTTTGAGCAGGCTTCGATGGAGGAGTGGGTGAATAGATTCAAGCATCCCGCAGAAAAGATTTGCGGCGGATGGGGGAATCACTCTGACAGTAACACGAGGTTTAATATACTTTATCTAGCTGATAGACCCATCTCAGCTTCCCCACAATCTGTCAACCTCAAGATTTTGAGCCAACTAACTTCTCACCATATACCTCAAAATTCCCTGGAGGATCGACCAACTCGTTCAAGCATTGACTAAAGTTTACTAGTCTTAACTTAAGCCACGTGCAGGTATCTCAATTGAATGCCATTTTGTCTTGGGACTGCGTTCTCGTCAAATCGGTCAATTTGTTAACCACTTCCGTTGATCTCCCTTTTAGTGACCGATGTCCTCTTGAATCACTCCTTTCTAGTAATCAGAGCTGTTCACAAAAACCGTAAGTCAGTACGATCGCTACAGTACTATCGTTATATTGAAAGAAACTAGTTATTAAAAAATACATACTTGTTTAAATAGTAGGATTTGACCCTTCACTTTGTTATACTGTTAAGAGACTGCGGAATTGAATCCATGTTGAGGCCGGGGTTGACTTTTCAATCGCACAAGCCTGCTTGCGCATAGTAGAAAAACCCTGGGGCTATTTCCCAATAATTCCGCAAATTTCACCAATGGGACCGCAGGCCGTCTACTGATAGATGGGTTGCGGGTGGCAAACTTATTATCCGTCTCCCAAATGCGTAGGATATCCTGCTAAAATTTTGATGTTTCAGGGAACCATTCTAGATCGCCTAATCTAGATTCAAACTCAAAGTTATTAACGTATATACTACAATGGGATAGATAGTATTTCCGAGGAAGACCTAACTCTAATACCTAGGTACCATGGTTAGAGAACTTTTACACAGCGTATAAGTTGTCGGCAGTGATGACATCGCTCTTCGCGTCTGTGAATGCCGCCTGTGATCGCTTCGTATTGATGAGCTGGACATGGGCTTCAACAAAAAGATAGCGATGCATTTAAGTACGTCATATAGTACGCTTAGCAGGATTAAACCCCAAACGACACGATCTAGATGCTTGTATTTGTGGGTAGATCCTTATCAGTTGACATGTACAAGTCAAACTGGCATCAAATGAAGAGTTTTAAACTACGCGAAATTACCAATTCAACTTTTCCCTTCGTATTCTCTGTCTTGTGTATCGCATGTGACTTTTTCCGTGACTGGTACTAGTAGCTTCAAAAGTACGTCATGCAAAGACAAAAAATAACTTAATTCCAGTATATACATATTTGAATCGGTCCTTCTGCATAATGTGTGATACGGTCTCATCACACATACATACTAATCACCACACATGATCTCAGAAGTACCAGATGAAAATCAACATGGTTAAAGGAGTACTCTTTATTGTCTTTGCTCTCAGGTAAGGCATAGATCGAAGCAGTCTCTTACCTCTACTATCTTACATAGCTGACCCTTCTAGTCTCACCTGTCCGACCGCAGAATGCTGCAACAAAGCTTGCTCAATGTACTGCTTGGTGCAATAAAAACTACCCGAACCCATCCGTCAACTGTGTGCTACCTGCTCTGCTTGGAAAAGGGCCATGCTATATTTGCGGTCCTTACAAAACCTCCTCATCGCAGCAGTTATGCGCCGGGGCTTGCAAGGACACTAGTACCGACATCAAAAACTGCGGGCAATGTAATCAAGTTGTAAGATTGCATGAGCCACGAGTGTCTCATTCACATTGATACTAACCTCAGACCGTCTATATCAGTGCCCAGCCAGCTCATCATGCCTCTCTGGTACTTGCAAGTGTACCAATAGTGGACAGTCGCTGTGCAATGGTGCCTGTCCGGACTTCCAGACAGATAGGTTGAATTGTGGTAGCTGTGGAACATCAGTACGAACCCCCAACCCTATTTGTAGTGACATTTGTGATGTGACAGATGCTGACTCTATAGTGTCCGTCCGATTCATCATGCGTCGCCGGCACTTGCAAGTGCACTTCTGGTCAACCCCTTTGCAATGGTGCCTGTCCGGACTTCCAGACAGATAGGTTGAATTGTGGTAGCTGTGGAACATCAGTACGAACCCCCAACCCTATTTGTAGTGACATTTATGATGTGACAGATGCTGACTCTATAGTGTCCGATCGGTTCATCATGCGTCTCCGGCACTTGCAAGTGCACTTCTGGTCAACCCCTTTGCAATGGTGGCTGTCCGGACTTCCAGACAAATAATTTCCATTGTGGTGGCTGTGGAAAAAGGGTACGGATATCCAATACTGAATCTAGAATGTCGATTGGTCTAATAAATGCCCATCCTATAGTGTCCAGATTTCACGCAGTGCTCTTCCGGAATCTGCAACTGCACCTTCCCTGGACTATCGCTATGCGACTCCGTCTGTAAAGACCTGCAGAGTGACCCAAGTAATTGCGGTAGCTGTGGAAATAAGGTATTCAGCCAAGTCACCTATAGACAAGGATGAATCCTTTGACATATGCTAATTTTCCTCCCCAGTGTCCGGATGGAATATTGAGCAGATGTGCTGGAGGTGTTTGCAAATGTGGCTCGCAAGACCTATGTAATGGTGCCTGCCCTAACTTTAACTCTGATAACAATAATTGTCGGTTCTGTGGTAACCAGGTATGTTACATCATTTAGATAACAACAGGGATAATTTGGCTGATCTTATCTATAATAAGTGTCCCCAAGAAAGTCATTGCAGGGTGGAAATTGTGTCTGCGATAGGGACCCGGCTACTGTTCCATGTGATGGTGCCTGCCGGGATCATGCAAATGATCCTAATTATTGTGGTAGCTGTTACGGCAAGGTGAGCTATTCTTTTATCCTTGGATTATAGGAGTGAACTAACTGAGACCCAGTGCGATTTTGGAACGATCTGCATCAATGGTCAGTGCAAGTGCGCAAATGGCCAGACACCTCCATGTTCAGATTGAGTTTTATAAATATGTAGTAGTAACCCCAACATTCAATTACGCTTGGACAGTCCTGTTATTTGTGTCAGCCGTGAAATTGGACAGACATCTGGAGGCTGAGAAAAAGTCTGTTAATAGTCGAAGCATGCTTTCAATGGTCGTGAAATAATTTTGATCGCTTAAGTAGCTCGTTAGCTTACTGGATGAAATGGTATCACTTGAATACCACACGTACCGCCAAAGGATACAGGTCTAAATCTAATCCAGATCTATATTAATGTACTTCACATAGCTTTAGCGAAATACTGTAACTGAGGCTTAATGAATACCATCATTGGTGATCGACCGTACAACTCTGCCTATAGGTCCAACATAGCAATCTCCAATCAAGACCGAACCTATGCTTGAAGCAGTTTAAGAGCTCTATGGTGCTCATGGAACATAGTGTTCTATACTAACACAGCGCTCGGTGTTGAATCCCCCTAGTGTCACATGGCAATTCTTCCCATGTAGTCTAGTACTACCCTTCCTTTCCATCTTCATGGTTGATACACACTACAATACATATTGTACTGGCTTTTCATGATCAACGAGTACGCCAAAGCAGAGAATATGCTTGATTTCTGCATTGCTCGGTTAAAGACCGAGTACCCACTAGATTAAGCAATGCCAGCTCAGTGAGTTTTTCGTCTGTCCCGAGCAGTAAATACGTACAATACATTGCTCTAACATCCAATTTCTCAAATAGCGCTTTTTTTTTTTGTATTGTATCAGACATCCGGTCTTCGCAGCATGATTTGACAAGATTGAAATTGCAAGAGGATGCTGAGCGTATTCGGTGACTTTCTAACCTCTCCTAGAATGTGAGATGTTCACTCGGAACATTGAAGACATGGCATGTAGATTATATCGGAGATCATTCGCTCCCGCTTTCCCCCCACTTTAAGAAAATTACGAATCAGCGTTGCCCCTCGAACCTCACTTCTTCTTTCATCTCTTACTTTTTTTCACTCTCACGTTAACTACAACACCAGAATTCAATATGGGTGTTGAGAGAAAGATTATTACTCGTGGTAACGGCTCTGACTCGCCTGCTTCGGGCGACAAGGTCTCTATCCACTACACAGGATGGATCTACGACGCTAAGAAGGCCAACAAGGGCTTCCAGGGCAAGCAGTAAGCTGACTGTCATACCCAGAGCTATGTGGCTTATGACATGGGTAATTTGAATACTAATTATTCATGGAAATAGATTCGATAGCTCCAGGACCCCTGGCCGTGGCCCTTTGAATGTTCAGATTGGTGTTGGACAGGTCATCAAGGGTATCTCTCTCATTCTCTTCGCTTTATTTTATCTTCAATGAAATCATTATATATGCATTGATTGAATCTCTTGCCTTGTTACATTGGATGTTAATACTATCTATCTGGTTAGGTTGGGATGAGGGCGTTCTGCAGATGACCCTGGGAGAGAAGGCAACCCTGACGATTTCCCCGTGAGTGAAGTCCCTCGATAGGAAATTGGATAAAGACTAACATTATATACTAGCGACTACGGCTACGGTGACAAGTACGTGAACACACTCGGCATACAGCCGCTTACCACACACGCTGCGTGTTCTAACATTCTTCTTCTATATAGGGCGGCTGGCAAGATCCCCGCAGGCTCTACTCTGATCTTGTAAGTCTATGCAATGAATAGCACTACTTTGAAACTAACTATTCTGCAGTGAGGTCGAGCTTCTTAAGATCAACAACAAGAGCGCCTAAATAAGCAAGACCACAAGCATGACATTATCAGCTGTATTTGCTACCATATTTTGCCCACTTTGCCACTTCCTTACAGCACAAGTAAATCCTTGTTTGTATTCCGACCCATCGTAGACCTCGATGTTATATGATTGGTAAAGCATACAGGTTACCCAGGTACTAAAGCCCAGTGGTCCCTGGGAATGGCCTGGCAATAACTGAGTATACCCGCGCTATGCCAAAAAGAATATCGTCAAAAGTCGTTAAAAGATGTATGTACAGATGCCATATTGTTGGAGCCTCGTTCATGTGACCTGGATAGCTGCCTGATTTGTCACGCCAGTATTGCCTGCTTGTTTACCTCCTTCCTCTCTCTTAGTCTCTCTCTATCTTCCTCCCCCAGTCTTCTGTTGGTCTGTTTCAATACAGTTATTCACTCTGCTTCTTGTTCTCGTTCGCCAACACATATGCTATACAGAATGAAAATGCAGAATCTTAGAGGCGGTGTTGGACAGGCGCCTCGGGGGCCGGGATTGGCACCGAGGTATTTTCAGAAGGCTCATCCCAACGCAAGATACGGGCCATCTTCTTATATGAGTCCATACCGCGGCGAGCGTGGTCGGCGGGAACAAATGGATCGGTCTCTCCGAGAGTCCGGCTAAAGAGTTCAAGGGAAACCCAGCCACGGAAGCCGATATCTTCGAAGAAGACGCGCGCGACGTCTATAATGGGCAGATAACCACCGCGCGACTCCTCGAGAGGGAATAGGCGGGCGTTACGTGACCAATTCATGCGTACAGGCTGTCCAGCGACGTGGAAAGGGTGCTTTTCATCCAACGGGGCAGAAAGACGCTCACCGTCCACAAGCTGAACATAGAAGATTTTGGCTGGATCGATGTTGGCAGTACGCAGACGCTGCAATGAGGCCGCCAAATCCGCAGCCGCATTAGGTGTACGACCTGATGGTGCAGCAGGGTCTGCATATACGCGACCGGCGATATTGAATGAGTCAAGACAGAGACCGAAGTTGCGACGGTCGACATCGCGGACCACCTCCCATGAGGCTTCCCAAGTATCAATATGATCACCCCAACATAGAGCCTCGTAGACAAACCGGAACCCAGCACCGGCGCCTAAATCGGCTAGTCGCTGGAGATCACGAACAATGACAGTGCGGTCGCCGGTGGTGCGAGCAGCACCGGTCTTTGGGTCTGGACCTAGGAAGTTTGATGGAACCTGGATCATATCTGTGCCTAGCGCCCGCGCTAGGGTAAACCATTTAGGGAGCTTCTCATTGATGAGCCGGTCTGACTCAGCGCGGTCGATGAGGCCCTCGTACATGGAAAATGGCTGCAGACAGATAATAGTCAGGCCTAGGCGCTTGCACATCTGTCGTGTTGACCGCGCGGCTTCGAGATGATCGCCGCCAAATACACGCTGCGCATAGCAGTCTAGGTCGTCGAAGAAGAGTTCGATACCCTCGAAGCCGTGGTCTGCGGCTTGCATCAGCTTGCCGGGTAGGTCATGTACCCACGGCCGACCTCAGGGACATTGAAGCAATGCCGGGGCGGTTGGAAACCATTTTGAAAATATGATAAAATGAAAGGTTGATTTCGCGCCAGAGTTTCTTTCTCTTTAGAGTTTCCAAGCCGAGAGATAGGGGGCGAGGATGTCTTCAAGGTGGACAACCAACGATATTAGGGGTTTTCTAGGTTATAAAATGAAAGATACCATAACGACTGCGACAAAACGTTATCCCCTACAGTTCTGTGATGAACGTTTTCCCTGGCCTGTTACCTACCTAGGTATGATCCATTCGTATGTTGATGACGAGGCAAGTCACATGGCCGGGTAAACGCTCCCCCCTTTTGCGTTTTCCCGCCAGTTCCACTTCCTCCCCACCACTCCACTCTTCCACATCGGGGAATTTTGCTTTCTCTTAGAATGGTTTCCTGGCCATTGAAGCAAATTGCCCGCAGGTATCGGCGAGATATTTTCCGGGTCCGAACATGACCGGAGAACCGGCGCCGAATCGTAAATGCTGCTCAGAATCCGGGGAAATACCACATTTTCCGCAACTAAAAGAAACACGAAAGCCACCGGATTAAATTTCATACACATTCCATTAATTCAGAAATTCGCTTTTGACCTCAACCAGCATCATGCCCATCAAAGTTGCCATTATCGGTGCCGGCCTTATTGGCCCTCGCCACGCGCAATCCGTTATCTCGAGCCCCTCAACAGAGCTTACTGCCCTGGTTGATCCAATGCCAACCGGCGAAGCAACTGCATCCAGCCTCAAAACCAATTACTACCCTTCTGTGGCCTCACTACTTGCATCGCCCCACCGCCCCGACGCAGCAATTGTCTGCACACCAAACCACACGCATGTCCCAGTCGCAAAGGAGCTTCTGGCAGGCGGAGTCCACGTCCTCCTCGAAAAGCCTGTGAGCGATACCCTGGAAACAGGCCGCTCCCTACTGGAGTTCGCCCAAGCTCCAGAGCGCGCCCATCTCAAGCTCCTAGTCGGCCACCACCGCCGCTTTAACCCTTACGTACGAGTCACGAAAGCTGTGCTCGATGCTGGATCTCTCGGCCGCCCCATTGCCGTCAACGGTCTGTGGACCCTGTTTAAGCCAGATGCATATTTCGCCCCACCCGCAGACTGGCGCGCATCGAATGAGCGCGGAGGCGGTGCCATTCCCATTAATCTTGTCCACGACATCGACCTGATGCACCACTTCTTCGGGCCTATCGTGCGCGTGACAGCAGAGCGCACGCTGCCACAGCGCCCCAGCCCACCGCACAATGCCGACGAAGGTGCCGCCCTGACACTGCGCTTTGCATCGGGTGTTGTTGGCACTTTTCTGGTCTGTGATGCGACGCCCTCGCCGCATAACTTTGAGACTGGCACGGGCGAGAACCCGCTCATCCCACGGTCGACGACTGGTGGTGACTCGGACTTTTATCGCATCTTTGGCTCGGATGCTTCGCTTAGTGTGCCGGATCTGACCCGCTGGAGTTATGATGCTAGCCCGGAGAAGAGCTGGAATTCACCATTGACTGTTGAGCGGATTCCGCTTCCAGATGACGAGGCGCCTTTTGATCTCCAACTTGCGCATTTTGTTGATGTTATCAATGGGGATGCTGTTCCTAGCTGTACCGGCGAAGAAGGTTTGCGTGCTTTGATTGTTTGTGAGGCTGTTCAGAAGGCTATGCAGTCAGGTCAGCCTGTAGATATTGATGTTAACTTGTTGGCGAAGTCGAATAACTAGCTACATACTGATATGATTTTACTGGATATAGTGGTCTGTGAGGCGCGTGCGCCTATCTGATCTTCTTACGACATGTCGAAAAGGCGAGTGAGAAGGTACACAGGGGTATATTTATTGGGCCATTTGCTTCTTTTCACTCGTTCAGCGAAGTGTATATAAACTAGGCAATCCTAGTACACAAAGATCGCAAGATGTCTAATCCGAAATCATCCCAACAACGAGCTGAGCCTTTGCCAGACAATCAACGTCGCAAGAACTTGCACAACGCCACAAACGATATCAACACGGAAAATGTCGGCCGCATGGTTCAAGCATACTTTGGCTCAGCCGCACTATCCTCGACTTGCTCAGGGCGGACCTTGCCCACATCAACGCCGGCAGCCTCGACGTCATTGCGGAACCGCTCTTCATCTTCACGCAGCTGGGCGAGCATCTGCCCATGGGCACGCCACACGGGCTTGATGTCGAAGAGCTGGTCCATGCTCTCCAGGGGAACACCCTTGGTTTCAGGGATGAGGAAGTACACGAAGATAATGGACAGAATCATCAATGATGCGAAGAAGAAGTATACACCGTATCCCATGGCTGTGAACATCTGCGGAGTGAAGCGCGAGATGAGGAAGTTCCAGAACCAATTGGAGGCGGCGGCGCATGCCTGTGCCAAGGAACGCATGTTGGGATCGAACATTTCCTGCAGGCCCTGTTAGCATTGTTTCAAGGCTTGCTTATCGACTAGGTATGGGAGCAATGTTCCAATGCCCAGGGAATTCCAATGTCTGGGGATGCTTACCGAGTTCAGGACCCATGGGGGTACCGTTCCAGGTTGGGGTATAGAAGACGGTCCACAGGTAGAAGAAGAACATGGCTGCGATACCACCGCCGCTCAAGCTGTCACTCGTGTTATTTTCAGGTTTGGCGACCTTGATGTACGCGCCGACGATCCACAAACACACGGAACCACCTGCTGCGCCAATCAACAACAGGTTACGGCGACCGACGTGATCAATCAGCCACAGCAGCCAAATGAAAGTCACGACAGTCTTCACTACGCCGAAGATTCCAGTCGTGAACAGACTAGTATTGGTACCCCTGACACCAATCTGGAAGCATAATTAGCATCGGCCTTCAACGCTCACATCGCAACGAGATTTGACTTACCGATTTGAAGACAGTGGGGCTGTAATAGTTGATGGCATTGATGCCAGATCCATTCTGCCAGAAGAACAATGCACCTCCGAGGAACAGACGCCACATAACCTTCTTGTTGGTCCCGGCCGCCTTGAAGGGTTTCCAGAAGCCAATACCAATGCTACGGCGTTGTTCATCCAGGGCCTGGTCAATGGCACCGATCTCCTCGATCATATAGATATCGTCCTCGGGCAGCTGGCGGATCCAGCAAAGATTCTTGATAGCATGCTCACGGCGACCGCGTCCGAAGAGCCAACGAGGCGATTCCCGGATGAAGTAGCCACCAATGAGCAACAGACCAGCAGGAATCAGCTGAACAGCAAAAGGAATAAGCCACTGCTTGTGGCTCGGTGCCATGGTCTCGTCAACACCGAACTATAGATATTGCGTTAGCATCCAACAAGGCAAGTCAGACAAAAAGCGACAAGGATGACTCACGTTGATCCAGAATCCTACCAGACCACCAATCTGCCAGCCCAGCTCATACACACCAACCAATCTACCGCGAATAGCCGGAGGAGCCAATTCGGAGATGTAAATAGGGGTGATGTTAGAGCCTGCTCCGACACCAAGACCGGCTAGGACTCGGCCACCATAAAGGAGGCCAAGTCCTCGGTCGCTATTAGCACCAAGCATGATACCAGCACCGAGAGTGAAAACCAAGCCAGCAGACAATAGGCCAATCCTACGACCCCAGAAGTGGCCGATGGGATAGGCGAAGAATGCACCGAAGAAGGCACCGGCCTGGTAGCACGAGACGATGTTTGCGCTGATCAGGTTCTCGGTAGCATCGGACATCTCGTTGAATTTGAACTCGCTCTTGAAGGACTTAAGAGAGAGGGTAGTGCCGATGAAAGCACTGTCGTAGCCAATCATGCAGGATGTGCATGAGGCCACCGCGGCCAGGAGATAGATTCTCCAGTTGTAGACCGCTCGAGGCGTCGGCCGGTCCTCGACTAGCTTCAGGATAGACATTGTGGCGGTATGATATAGAAGACTTGAAGAAGAATTGCAAGAGCCTCTGTAACCAGATGACCTTGATCCCCAATGCTAGATGCAGAGAGGCAGTCAGATGTACGTCCTAGGAAGGACGATCACCACGTATGAAGGTATATATGAGATACAGTGCAGGTTCAAGGCAGAAGAGAGAAGAGGAAACTAAGAAGAAAGTCCACACCACGATTTCCAGAACAGAAGGAGGGTGGACAAGATCTAAATAGGATTGAGCCCCGGACTGTCGATTTGCCCCAAGGAAAAGAGAGAGAATCCGGGGATTGGAAAAGGGGAAGAAACCGTGGGGATGCGGAGTCGGAGAAAGGTATAGCACTCGTCAAAATCTCGTCCAAAAAGAACGAAGAAAGCCAAGGCGCGGCAAAACGAATATTCTAAGTTCCTCTGTGCGCGTGAGGACAATAACCTTTTGTCGCCTCTTGGCACCGGAGTGGCTTGCCCCCAAGAAATTGGCTTGAAGAGGGATATGCAAACTCTGCTCTACCAAGTCTTGCGGACTGAGATTATTCGCTTAAGACGTTGAATTGTGGGGATCCGATGCCGCTTGAAAGATGTGGGGACTTTCCCCGGCGGGTTTCCAGTATCCCGCGACAACGTGCATTGTCAGATCTCTCTGGGGTACCCCGGAATGCAGTGCACGATCCAGTGGTGTGAAATGGCAAATGGTCATTGTTCTGATTGGATAAATTGAAATGGATCCATGAACGGGGGAGGTGGAAAACGGCCAATGATCGATTGCTGGACATGGGTGGCGGGGAAAAGCCTTATCCCGGGAGCTTATGGAGATGCGCACTGCGAAGTATCCGTTGAGGACTGTCTGCTGGGCCATTTATGCGTTCTCCAGTCATCACTCATGGTATCAGTGGCCTTTCTATTGGCTCTCGTAGAGTTTTCTGCGTCTCAAAGCAAATTCCCCGTGGGGTATGGGTGGCTGTAAGGGGAAAGCATTCAGCCCGGTAGATGTTGTGTAGTGGCGCAGACTTGACAGTGAGGTATTGAATTTGCGACGAAGCTAATGAAAGTCTCATGGTTTATATTGAGTAAAACAACAAATCTATAATTCGAACGTAGCTATTTCACTATAGAGGTAGGCAATGACATTAGTCACTGAGAGTGGCATGGGTGGAAGAGCAAATCATTTCTCCACCCGGTGCCTCGTCCGTTTTCTGTAGACTCCACTACGCCTACATCCATCCTTGTCGCTGGAAAATAAAGTAGACGCTGGGGTTTTTCCGAGACCAGTGGGTTCACTCAGGCCGTTCGTTTGGAATTATGCAGAATGGTTTTCCCCGGGTTTAGGAAATTGTTTTCGATCCACCCGTGAACTCTCTATGGAGAAACCAATCGCCGGTCGATATAACCTTTTCTGAGCCCTTTTAGGCCTATCCCCAATAATTGACTAACTTCAAGCACATTACGATCGACTCCGATAATCACCTCAGATAAGTGGCACTGCATAACTATCTCTGCCTGCTTCCACGGAGAAAACTAGACAATGGGATGTCTAAGTAGACCATCGGATACACAGATTCTTTCCTTCGATGAACAATTCAATCTCCTCGCTTTCTTTGACATTATCGATGCGGGTATACATCGACTATCCCTCAAGAAATGAGGCATCTTGCTCATAGAGATCTTTCCAAATCGAACTATCGCGTGGTCTAGCTGTACGATGAACTTCTCTAGCCGTGTTCCAGCCAAAGAAGCCAGCGGTTTCCCAGTCAATGAGCCCCACAATTTTTGTCAATCAACTATGATGTTGGACTCGGTAAAGTCGTTGTGGATGAAGCCAAAGTCTAGGTCGGTGTTGGTGCCCGAGAAAAGAATATCAGCTTCTAGGGGGTGGATACGTCCATTGGTGAGGATGTTGGGATCAGGCACGACGTGTGACCGAATCTGGCCCATATCGGTAGGCTTTATGGAGTGCAGTTGCCGAAGTATCTCTCGTGCTTGCTGTTTGAAGGACTCCTTTTGGCTTTGTGATAGATACGGCCATGCAACGGTCAACGCAACACCCGGAAGCCGTTCCTGGACTGATACCTGGCGATCGTTGATCTAATACGGTGTAAATGACCCTGGAAGACTAAGTAGCGAGTTGAGAATAGGTACCTTGCTGTTGAAGTAAATTTCTGGCACTTTGACGTCATTTAGGACGTTCTTCGCAATTGAAATAGCCTGTACTTCATTGGCATCGGCATACGAGTAGCCCAGCTCCATCTCTGCGCTCTCTTGCGTATGGAGATGATTTGACTTGACAATGATACTGCCAACGGCGAACACATCACGACCACCCACATCACCTGGGTAGATCCTCACAGATTCGTCGCAAAGATCAAGTACTGAAGCCCAGTATTTTAATGAGCCCGTGGACTGAGAGTTGGCATGCTGTACATCAATGCAGAAGTCGTCCGGTTTTGGAGAATACCGCCCGTAAAGGGGCAAGTCCGCATATAGGTCAGAAGGGACAATGTGGTCTGGGTCAGTTATACATGGATTCATATATGTAGTCGAATACTAAGTCGATGACGATGAGTAAAACTTGAGATATCAATACATTCGTTTCTTCGTTGAAGATTTGAAGCTGACCGAAAACAATGATCTCCGGTGATGGACCGCTGGCCCCTTAATGGCCCAGCGGTCAACATGCAGACGGCCGTTTGTACCCCTTGCTTCGTTCTACAATAGCCTATAATATACAGAATAAATTGTGAGTTATTCCGAATTTTTAGCCCAAGATAACTACTTAACTACTTTGCCTCGGGTGGATTAGGAAATTAATCGTCAATTGGGAGAGAAGCCAGCTTAATAGATGCCTCGGTTCAATCTTTCCCCGGAGTGAAACATAAAAGCGGCGGCAGCTACAGGGGAAAACAGGAAAGCCCCACCCGGCAGAGTAAATATCCATGGGACATCGCATAGTGAGGCTAAGTATTTTCTGGAATTCGAATCTCATCTTATAACATTGTAGGCCACCCCTCTCCGAGGTCTGCATATCCAAGCAGATCAATACACATAATTCATCATGTCTCTCACAGAAATCAACCAAGCGCCGCCAGAAGAGCCCATCTCCATCCCCTCCAACCGCGATGGTGTCGCCTATCTGTACGGCCACCCTCTTCTGAACTCTCTCTCTCCGCCTCTCCATCAGACAGTCTACAATGCGCTCGGCCTCAATTGGACCCAAATCCCCCTATCCAGCGTGTCTGGCTCATCAGAGACATACCCGCCCCCATACACACGGTCGCCACCAATTGAGAAATACCTAGCATCGATCAAGTCCAATCCCAAATTCGTCGGCTCGTCCGTGACGATGCCTCACAAGGTCGCAATCATGCCATACCTGAGACGACCTTACCGAGCACGCCCGCCAAGCCGGCGCCTGCAACACCATCTTCCTTCGCGATGACCCAACAACCGGTCAGCGCCAGTACGTCGGCACCAACACCGACTGCGACGGCATCCGGGAAGCCCTTACACAGAACGCACCTGACCCATCCCGTTTCCGCGGCCGGCCTGCGCTCATCATCGGCGGTGGTGGCACTGCCCGCACTGCCATCTACGTTATGCGTCGCTGGCTCGGCTCCAGTCGCATCTACGTCGTCAACCGCGACGCCGCCGAGGTCGCCGCCATCCTCGAGGAAGACCGTCGTCGTAACCCCGACCCTAATGCCCAGGCTCCCCTTATCCCCGTCACTGACCCTGCCGACGCGGCCCGTCTCGAGGCCCCCGCGGCTATTGTCTCTGGTATTCCCAACTACCCTCCGAAATCTCCTGAGGAGCTCCGCGCTCGCGCTATCATCCAGGCTTTCTTGGGTACTGCTGCTGATGCAGACAAGCAGCAGGGTGTTATCTTGGAGATGTGCTACCACCCCACGCCATGGACTGAGATCGCTCACTTGGCTTCTGCTGGCGGGTGGAAGGTCATCCTTGGCTCTGAGGCTCTGATTTGGCAGGGTCTCGAGCAGGCCCGTCTTTGGACTGGAATGGATGTCATCGGTACTCCTGGCCTTGTGAAACAGGTTAAAGACCTTGTTGCGAAGACCATCGCTGAACGGGAATCTGCGAAGTCTAGCCTGTGATTTCTTTTTTACGATCATGTTTCGACTTTTTTAAATCATTGTATAGAGCGCAAGATAGCTGCTAGTTGCATTGTCTATATATATACGGATGGCGTCTTTGTTTTGACATGCATTTCTCTCTGGACCTACCATAAGGTCAATATGTAAATCTGTACATATCATCAGACGTCTATACGGAATAGAACAAGGTCAAACCGCTCCAAGATTATTCAGGCTCCAGGCCGTGAGTATTCCAGGCTACGGACTCGGCGCCAGACTTCGCGTACTGTCCGCTCTTGGGTTTCGCGGCCTGTCTCGGTGGCGGATGGGCCAGCGGGTCTGAAATGTCATTGATTAGCGGGATGAAAGACAAAAGAAACAACCCAGACTCACCTAATAGCCAAATACAATCTGCTGCCGAGTCGGACATCCTCGATGGGCGCCGTATCCACATCCTCTGGTGGGTTAGCAGTAGTCATAAGTCCACCAGCCTCCAAAAGTATAGCGGCACCAGCAGCGATATCCCTATAATAATCAGCACAAGCATACCAAACATCCGACTCTTCAAGGATATAAAAGAAAAGAAAAAGAAAGAAAAAAGAGAAGCAAAACTCACCACTCCCAACAACCTCCCTCCCACCAAATATCAAAAGATCCCATGGCAACATACGCGAGATCAAGCGTCGCACTACCCAAACTGCGCACACCATGCACCATACCACCTCTCCCATTCCGACTCCCCACCTCCGCAGCCATATTAACAAAACTCTCAATCTTGCGATGCATATTTCCATCCGGAATATCACGACGGTCTTTACCCCACTCGCAAGAAAAGATACATTGTGAAGGCGCATTGGCCGGCATTGGCGGGGTTGGGTTGTGGATGAGCGGAAGGCGGCGAGTCTCGTTCAGCCAGGCCCCGCGCCCGCTGCAAGAAGACCAGAGCTGATCTGTGAAGGGGGCATAGATTACACCGATTATTGGCTTATGTTGCACGATGAAGCCGATTGAGACACAGAACATAGGGAAAATATGTGTGTAGTTTACGGTTCCTGGGGGGGTTATTAGTTGAGTTGTCTTGCGATGTCTTTGCAACCACGAGCAGTTGACCAAGGTCCAAGAGGTCTTGATTTACCATCTAATGGGTCGATACACCATGTTGGTTTCTCATCAATGAGGTAGTCGCGCGACTGTCCTTTGGCATATGCCTCCTCGCCGAGGAATCTAGGGGTTTGTTAGCTTTGCTGGCAGTGGAGTGTGAGAAAGAGGACTAACTTGTGAGACGGATATCTGGCCTCCAGGGCACTTCGGATGAATACTTCGACGTCTGCCAGGTAAAACTGTTAGCGATAATGTCCAATATGCCTTATCAGCTGCGGCGTACCTTCGTCGGTCTGCGTCACAATGTCTACTGAGTTTTCCTTCTCTTCAAAGGTGTTGGAGTGGCCATTTGCGTCTGAGATACGTTGGTCGACTCGCTCCATGAGCAGCTTGCCTGCCTTTCGGCCTAGATCTACTGCGAACGTGTATATCTCGTCCAGCTCATCTTGGGTGAAGGGTCCGATGGCCATGGTGGAATGGGGTAACAGGGATGTGTACAAGATACAAGAGATGTATCAAAGTCTGTTAATATAAGAAAAGATTCCAAGAAAGAAAGTCTAGCTTCTTGAGTCATCCGGTGAAAATTGGATATTCAAAATAACCGTCACTAGCCGACCTCGGGTGTTGCTTATCGAGATATTTCCCCACTTTATGGAGAATTAATAGGGTCACCTTCAATACGGAGTATAAAACCTGGGTTTATGCGCACTATTCTTTGACTCGCTTCTAATATATCTGTCTACATGGCAGTAATTCGGATGATAGTCATGACATTCCAATCCAGACCTTTTTGAATTGCCCGTCTCTCGCGCATATTGTTCAGACAGGCACATTAATGCAACTCTGTATGTTCTTCGAATCTCCACTATGCTTAGGTGAAATTGTTCGTGTGTTCTAATTATATCGTACATCATTCCAGCCAACCATTACATGCATGAACATGCTTTATATGTCTATAGCATCTACGAATATATGAAATGATGTGGCCCCTCACGTGTTGAAGCAGGTTTAGATTAGGTTAAGCGGATGTTGCTGGACCATAAGCGGACAAGTAACCGAATATCATGCTTCCTGTGACAAAACGTAGTATGTGCAGCGCGGTTGTCATTATTCAATCGACCGACCCCGAACTCAGTCATCAACTCTCTCGAGAAGGCTATTGTGGAACGCAGATATACTGTTCAGATTCGTTTTGTCCACACCAACCCAGAAATCTGAAGGGTATTTGGTGTCCTAAAACTTCTGCAGGTGTGAGATCACTTGCCATCCGTGCATTTGGGCTAGAAATTCATGAAGTGATATCCATCGAGACTATTTCCCCCTTTTGTAGTTCGTTCTCAAGCCACCTTTTGACTCTCTGTGCACCGCTTTTCCCACCTAGCTCGGGATATAGATGAAGGACCGTATCAAGTTCAGACCTTGCAGCTTTCAGATGGCTCTCAGTCCAATGACAGTTAGCCTCGACAAATCTTTCATGTATCCCCTGAAAGTGAAAGGCAGATTGGAAAAACAGTCGCTCTCCCGAGCCTCTGAGTAATGCCGACACCGTATGAGGTAGACCCCGAGAACGCTCTAGTCTCTGGATAGCAGCCTCACGATATGCACGATCCTCGCCGAATGTTTCTCCCACTGGTACACAGTCGTTGTTCCATCCGGGGATATCAGCTATGAACCACGGGTGGTGCATGGTAGCCGGTAGCGGAGCCATATACATCCAATCCCAATCGATGACCCTGTATAGTTTATACCGTTAAAAGACGATCATGTCGAGTCCCCTTACTAACTAGAAAAAGAGAAAGGAACGAGGAATGGAAAAGAATAGCTGATTTTGCATACCCAGTCAAGCGGAAGGTATCACTCTTCATGATATTATGTGCATGCAAGTCCCCGTGGGCAAACCCAATACCAGTACATTGATCAAACTGAATAGCATATCGCGGAATCATAGACCGCATGATGAGATAGTTAACAGCATCACCCCATTTTGCAGTTCCATTCAAGGTTCGGCGGAGACCTCGATCTAGGCTCTCTGTGAGCCAGTGCGAGTATAGGGATGGTTGCGCTACAGTAAGGTCAGGAGGAGCCCGTGCAGTCCATACTTGGAGCAGAAAATCGGCCATTCCATCCAAGAGTGTTTCGCGCTGAACCTGAGGAACCTGAAGATTCCAGATAGCTAGTGGCGTGCCGTTGACCCATTCTGAATATAGGACTGGGTTTTTTGAGCTGTACAATAGGGTCGGTGCTCTGATTGCTGTACATTGTTGTTTCAGACACTGGAAGGTTTTCACTGCGCGTATTTCGTTTTTCCAGTTATTGGGATCGTGAGCGACCCGAGCAGCCCATTCGACAGAGTCCTCAAAGACAATTTTGAATACGGCGTGGGAGCCGCCTTGGCGGGGAGATTCGTCAACAAATGAGCAGGGTACTCCTAGGCGGAGGTAGCTGGCTTCCGAGAGAATATCTGGCAAGGCCACCATATTGAGATTCTTGGATGGCCCGAATTTGAGGTGAGGTGGAGGGGAACGAAGAAAATGGAACCTGCAAGTGTCACAGCGCCAAGGCTGTCAGGTTGTGACTCAAAGGGCCAATTGATCGAGACACTGGTCTCCCTTACTACAAAGCAACATGCGTGGGCTGATCTTATTTTTTTATTTTGGATTATGCTTGAGATGCGCGACCACTTTTCCGGTCAACAAATATAATGGTGATCATAAAGTTCGTTCGTCATGACGTCTCAAAGACATCGGTATCTGCGGTATACAGCTGGGCATTCCGTGGACTAAATACATCCATGGATGAAACGTATTTTCAACACCTGGCGAAGAGGTGCGGCACTTGATCATCATTTATGAGAGGAGCTGAGATATTCAAGTCGGTTGTCCGTCCATTTGCTGTAACCTGTCCTGTATCGTTTCATGATCATTATTTCCTTCATCGTCTTTGTACTCTTGAAGTACAATGCTCCGCATAACGCGCCGGGGAGCGCGGCGGCCAGTGAACAATTCGAACTGGGCGAAACCTTGCTCTGGCAGAACATCAAGGCCATCCAGCGCCACCCAACCACGATGGGATAGACCCCGTGTTTGTTTCATGAGAGGGGTATTGAGGGGCTTGTATGCCAGCTAAAACATTGGTTAGGAATAAAAGGCCAATATTCGAGACTACTATAAACTTACATCAACAACAACGCCACCTGTCGGGCTCTCTAGCCATTGTGTTGGCATTTGGAAGTTGGGTGCTGGCTCGCCGCCAATGCTATGAGCCGGAATTCCCGAGACAACAATTGTCGGCTGTTTGAAGTCTACAGGCCAGGGGTCTGATAATGAAGCAATAACGTGAACTGTAGGGCGGCCAGACCCGCTGGCCTCTTTTGAACGGAGATCTTGCCGGTTGTAGTGATGGGCTAGTCTCTCTGCATTGGCGAGTGTACGATTGTAGACAAAGATATTTTGCACACCAAGATGGATCATGGAGTAAATTGCTGCGCGGGCCATTCCACCGGATCCGATGACAAGACCTGTCGATGATGAGCGGACAGCATTTGCCGGGGAGAGACCGCGGCGAATGCAATTGCAGATTCCGATCCAATCGGTGTTATCACCATGGAGGCCCTTGATAGGGCCGGCACGGCTCTTTTGAAGGAAGACTGAAGATTCTTGAAGACGGGTGTCGTCCAGGTCATCGACGTTGCGGATTGGGATGAGAGTATTGACGGCGCCAATGGCTCGCGCATGCGCAGACATTGAGTGGAGGAGAGGAATACACTCTGTTTTGTACGGAAGACTGACACTTGATCCACCGAAGTATTGATTTTCCACAAGGTCATTTAGCCCTCGTAGAGTAGGTGATTGATGAATGGAGTACTTGTGGGGCAAACCGCAGATTTTGAAAGCAGTGTTGTGCATCGCGGGCGACATACTATATGTTGTGTTGGCGCCAAAGACGAAGAATTGCATCGGGTCCAAGGCGAATGAGCTATAAAGTGCTTTCTGCGCTTCGCAAGCTGTGATCCATGACCGTAGATGCGTTGGAAGTTCTGTTACTAGGGAGGGATGTGTGACTGGGGAGAGGATAGGGTTGAAGCAGCGAGACATACGGCCAAGAGGGCCGGTGTTATAGGCGATCAGAGAAAGACCAGCGACTGGCAGGCTTTGGACGCGATGGCGAAATCTTTGCACCGCGAGGTTGTCTTCAGGTGTCTCGGCTGGTTGGCAGAGTCGGACTATATCGCATCCAAGGCTTTTGGCCCGCTCATACACTTTCATATACTCATCACCATCCCAACCCCCCGGTAGAGGATGGAAGGCTTCAAAGTGGCCAATGATCCTGGTTCGCCCACTTGCAGAGATGATCTGGGAAATAATACTGTCATCACGGGTGAGATCTACTGTGAGGAAACCGGTGGAGAGCCGCAGGCCATGTCGGACGAGGTTTAAGTAGGTCTCATCGGTACTTCTCACGGGAACTTGGCTAGGAGACAGAGATCCCGTGGATGTGGGATAGCTTTCCACATGATATATCAACGGCACGATAATGTTGCGACGAATGGTTGCTACCGCCTGACTGATGCTGTCCGCAAGACTTGAGCTGAGGCCTGACTGACCAGAAGAGTCTGTCACGTCGACTGCCAGTTCGAAGGCATCGGCGGTGAATTCCAGTTGCTCAATATCAATACCCTTCTCACACACCTTAGAGAATGGTACAGACACTGCAGATGTGTACATACGAGATTCCACGGGCAACAGCGACAGCGGGAAAGATGCATGTTGGCTGTTAAGTTCCGCAATGTCACCGGTGATAAAGGCAATGAAGCGGAGAAAGTCACGCTGGACTCGTTTCAACGTTAAAAACGGAATGGGAGTATGTGACCTAGGGTCTGTTCGGTGCGTCGATGATGTATCGTGGCTATCACTTCTGGCCTCTGACAGATTGAAGAACTCGAGATTCGAGCATCCTCGATATATCGGGCCTGACAACTCTAGGAAATGTCGCACCTTTTGCGTATCCCATGCTTTAAGATATGACTGGATACTCTCTGGATCTCGAATAACGTGGATAACCGGATGTGTCTGAGCAAACTCCCTAAGAATCCTTTGGCCGTTACGTTCCATCGATCCGGCCCCACAGGCAATCACACATCCCTCTTGGTTATCTGCCAGCATTGACTCAAAGACCCGGGCCTCTTGCTGCCGGTATACGAATCCATCATTTTCTTTCTTGAACTCAGCACGGGAACATCCCACACTCTGCTGAAAGTAGTGGTCTGCATCAATCAATCGTCGTCCGGATGTCGCCGCGAGGATGACCGCCAAACTTGACTTTCCCGTGCCACGGATTCCGATCAATACAATGGATGCATTCGGGCTGAAGATGCGCGGAGTTTGAAGATGACCATGTTCAAACAGCACCGGGGACCCGCGGTTCGAGTGTGCTTCTCTCAGCGACGGTGGACGCGAATCTCCGGATGTTTCTCTATGTTCACTCAATTGACGGGAAGGAGGCCGGGATGAAACGTGGACAGCGGGACAGGGCACGACACCTGAGTTGTACTTTCGAGGCCCATCATCTATAGTTTCAACTTCGTGGAGCTTTCGTTTCGGTGGGCGTACCAACATGGACATGGCGCATTCGGGGTCCCACGTGCGGGAATGAGATCAGGAGCAAGGTAGTCGAGGACCCATTACCACAGACGGAAGGGTGGGACGGAGGGCCGTAGGGTATTGAGATATACGTGAATAGGGGATCCGGGGATGTGGAGGGAACTGATATGGTAAGCGGGATTTCCCAAGTTTTGCGGGGGAAAAAGAATATTCGTGCAAAAGGGCGCGGGTCTGGGCGATACATTCCCGTTACATAAGGCGGACGAGCACTCACCCGGGGATTTTCGGTTTTCCTCTTCCCGCGGGGGACAGATACGAACGTGCAAAACACATTGGGGAATTTATCGAAATTGCTGTGGCTTATCTGATTTGTGACCCTAGCTGACTCAAAAATCAGCGTCAAATCTATAGCCTAAAGCTCAGTGTTCATACGATTACCTTTTGCGAGACAGTGACTGGCTCACCGCTAGCCGGATATCCAACCTTCCCCGGAAGAACCCTGTTGGCAAGCACCTTGTCTGCTGCATCTACCCTCAACATTGCGATTCTCCCGCCCTAATATCCCTCCAGTGGGGCTCATTTTCATGGCGTAGTCGCCTGCTCGTCCGTGCAGTCGCCTATCGGCAAAGGATTCATCACATATCGCTTCGCGGTAACATGCGCCCGAGGCCTCCGAGTGGATCACAAAATCAACCGCCATGAGCGCTGAACAGCGGCAAGCCACCGGCGCTAGCAGCAAATCCAAACGCCGATGGACCGACCCGGAAGATGATGGGAAGGCGACGGGGGAACCGAAGCGTCAGCGTGTTTCACGGGCCTGCGATAGTTGCCGGTCGAAAAAGGACAAATGTGACGGAAAACAGCCTGTGTGTTCGACTTGTGCATCGCTCTGTCGACCGTGTACCTACAAAGCCAACCCGAAGAAGCGAGGCCTGCCCACGGGCTACATTCGATCGCTGGAGTTGCTTTGGGGGTTGGCATTCCAAAGGATCCAAGGCAGTGAAGATGTCATGCGAGCTTTGATGCGATCAATCAATCTTCCGAGTCACTTGGCCACAATGGGCAAAGAGACCGAAGGGTCTGATGCGTTGCTAGCTTCCTTCAAAAACAGCACAGTAATCAGAGACATTGAACGAATCTTGGTAGTGCTGGAACAGCCGGAGGAGGAAAGGGAGCGAAATCTCCAGGCATATGACGAGGGAGAAACACCTCTAGATGTCGAAGGAATTCTTTCTTCCGCTGAAGCACAGGAGTGGCGGATCCCAGAAGTCATGGAAGCTCGCGAGACGCCATTATTAGGAGTATCGCCGACTCGAACCGCAGTAGGCGCCGCTCCTATGAAAGTGGCCGGACCACGCCCAACCACAGACTGTGGTGTTCAGACAATTACACCAGATGACCAACCTTCCACCTCTTTCACCTTTCCACCGGATCCTGATTACCCTCGATCGCTCTCCATGAGAACCCCTCTTAAGCTCCCATACAACGCATGGCCCCTTTTTGATGTGTATTTCTCCTACACACAATGTTGGTTCCCCATACTCGAAAAACATGACATACTTCGCACCGCTTTTAAGTATACTGAAGGCGATATATACGCATCGGGTGTAACCCCAGGGTCTGGGGAGCATGCGGCCTTGTGGGCTGTTCTCACCCTCGCTTCGCTCCAGGATGCTTCTATATCAGCCTCCACCGAAGTGGGGGAGCAGCCTAGTGATCGAATGAGTTCATCACAAATGTATTCTACAGCCCGGCAATTGATCCCGACTGAGAGTGGCCCACACGAGATTGGACACGTGCAAGCACTGTTGATCCTGGGTCTGGTCAAATTCGGACAACAAGAATGGACCGGATCCTGGATGCTTGTTGGTCAGGCTGTTCGGATTGCGCATATACCAGGTCTCGGTCAACCTGTACATTCTTCGTCATCGAGAAATCCGGATCAAGACAAACACCTTGGTCGAGCAAAACATGTATTTTTAGGTTGCTTTGTTCTCGAGACCCTCATTGCGGAATCAATCTCACAATGCCCATCGCTGCGGAAGGCAGACCTAGCCAGGATAGGCTCTGTCAATGAAGATGGTCTTGAGGAATGGCATCCTTGGGAAGATCAAACCGGGTTACGGCCCACGCAATCCTCACGTGCATCTATGCAGCGCGGCCCCCTTCACGCGTTGAGCACTTTCAATCGCCTCGTCAGCCTCGTATCAATTTTGAATGATCTATGCTGTTGCAAGCATGACCCAACAATATCTCGATCGCAGCTGGAGCAACTGGAGCTGCAATTACAGCGCTGGGTAACAGAATTACCAAAGAGCTATCGTGTCGATCTACAAAGTCGCCCACCGAGGCTGGCGTCTCCGCATATTTTTGGGTTGGAGATGACATACGAAAGTGTTGTCATTGCTCTCAGCTCTCAAATTGCCATTCGTGAACATGATCAGAACATACCTGAACCCCCTCACAAAATTCGTGCTACAGAAAGCTCAAAAAGGCTTTTGCAATTACTTCATGTCTATGTGGAGTCATACAGCTTTTCAGCAACCGCACCAACATTCGGTCTGATTCTTCGATTTGGGCTTCCGCGATCCCTTTCTAGGGACCTCCCGTCGGTCCTTGATACGGGGTTACGAAACAACATCCACAATTTGTCCTCCCAGCTTTCTGCTTTGTGGACTATGCCGGACCAACAGTCCCCTGGTCTAAATGTACCACAAGGATCTCAACTCTTGAGTACCTCTCCTACGGTCTTACAACACATCGATTCCTCTACTGGCGGAGACATCACAATCCCGTCATCGCTCGCAATAGCCACACCTTCGCATCTTCTCCATGCCACACATGCGGCACATGCCTCCCAAAATAATACGCATGCCGCCGCTGCCCATGAAACCCCATTCCTCTCTACGCCTTGGCTTAGAACCACACAACACATCGAAGATGTATCTCTTCTCCGCACGCCGTCATCCCTAACCTCCGTTGGGGGCACCTCTGAAGTTCACCCACAGCAGGGCCACTTGGATGGTTCTCTCAACAATGGGCTTCCTCATCCTACGTCAATGCCTAACGAATCCAATAATAGTACAGCGATGCTCGCCGGTCTTTCGCCACCGTACCATCAACCCTCACAGTATCATACAACAGCATATCATGACCCATCGGTCAATATGGGCTCATTCGTTGATATGGATGGTTATGCACGTCCAAGGAGGCAGCGGATTGCTCCTGATCTCGATGCATTATTTGATGAGCTCGCATCATTAGACGGTGCGGAAAAGTAAGCATCTATCAGCTTTCCTTTTGCACATTGACTAACTTTAAACCCTATAGACCCGACAATCAACCAGAGTTCATGCAGAATTTAGGCTTTGTCCCTGATGCTGGCATTCCTGAACTCTACTCATTCTCCAGTCAGATTGAGCCTTTCTTGCTGGCACAGACCCAGCAGTTACCCAATAACGGCACCCCCTCTGGCGTGCGACGAGAGTCGCAGCCTCTTAACATGTCTGGAACCACCAAGCGATGATGTCCTGTAAGATCATTCCATTCCGATGATCTGAATACCGTGGGAACACCCTGTCGCCGCTGGTCGGCCCCATTGGCCTCCTAGCCTGCCATACATCTGGACCCTGAGCAACCGCTATACGCCAGTTCGTGACTCCGGTGCTCTATCGCACATTTGATGCCTTAAACCGGAGTCCCAATTCCTTGTGTCTGTGGTAGTGTACGGCACCCTTCTACAATACACAAAGCTAATCCAGGCTGGACAACTGGTAATGTAAGATAGCCTCTATGACAGATATGAAATCGCCAGTGTAGGTAGAAATCAGTTTTTCAAACGGATGAGCCTCCTGCAAGACTCCACTCCACGCACATGAAATCATAGAAGCTATCCATAAAAGTGTATATACGATCAGAGCGCGGCTTTAGTCCCTTTCTCCTTCTCCTCAAAGTTAACACAAACATGCTCAACAGCAACCTTATACCCATAAACCCCAAGACCAACAATAATCCCCGCAGCCTTATCACTGAAGTACGAGTGGTGTCTCCAGGGCTCGCGCGCATGGACATTGCTGACATGGAGCTCGATAAATGGAACACCGACACTGAGCAAGGCATCCCGGATCGCAACAGAGGTATGTGTGTACGCGCCCGGATTGATGATGATACCGTCGACCTTGCCACGCGCGGCCTGGATGCGGTCCACAATTGCTCCTTCGTGGTTTGACTGGAAAGATTCGAGGACGGCACCATGGCTGGCGGCGGTCTCGCGACTGTTTGATTCTACATCGGAGAGGGTTGTGTGTCCGTAGATGTGTGGCTCGCGTGTGCCCAGGAGGTTGAGGTTCGGGCCGTTGATTAGGGAGGATGGACTTTCCCATTTTGGTGGTCTGGTATCGATGGAATTTGGGTATTTGATGGTGTTTGAAGGAATATGGAATTGAGAGATTGGATATACTAGTGAGAGGATAGTTAAAGTAGGCGTGTAATAATTGCATATATTCTTCCAACCTTCTTATATTGTTCTCTCCGCATTTTGCCCCGGCAGAGCGCTTTGCCGTGGATTTTGTGGGGACACCGGGTTTGGGAAGGGCGGATTTGCCAGTGGCCATATTGCCAGTTGCTTTATTGGATGGGGTTGTAACTATTTTTGCATAATTTTCCCATGAAATTTAGATTGGTCATTCATGTTGGAATAACAGTGCGATGGTCAAATCTATACCCCGGTTCCCTCCAGGCATATACCGGGATTGAAGTGTGAATATTTCAAACCGATATAGAACCATGACTTGGTCAGCCCTGTTTTACTAGCACTACCCAGGTAAAACAGATCTTGATTCTCATATAATATTTATTGAGTCAATCCCTTGGCACAAGCGGGAAACTAACTGGCTGTTCATAAAACCAGTACAATAGCACGATAGACCAATACAAACAACCTTGGAAGCCAACCAAGCAAGTCACCCCATATTTCCTCCAGGGCTCGCAACTAGGTAGATACCTCTCAAACACTGAACGGAATTGCAGGACATACAATAGTCCGCGACCGTTTCCGTTCCACAAGCTTGCCAGTACCTGTATGAAAGACATCTTCCCCCATAACAAGTTCAATCTTCAACTGATGGTGAACAGTGATTCCCTTGGTCACTCTTCCCGGCGAATATAAACAATCTTCCCCGGGGAAGCCACAATATAACGCTTGGCTGAACCCCTCGGTGCCAGTCTCATATGCGGCCAGGTCAACGTCATCCACAGCCATTGCCCGTTTTGGAATTTTAAAGTCAAATGGAATGCGAATACCCCGTTTCTCTCCTGCCTTGGTGTCGACCTTCGGCCCGTGAGGCTCCGTAATGTATGGATTGCGAGCAGATCCCCAGTATCCCTTTATACTCCCATCGCACAGCTTGCGTACCGACCGTCGCTCGCAGATAGGATATTTCACACCGGGGCTGCCAATGCTTATGATCTCAACCACCTCCTCAGCATGCCACGTCAGCTCTCGCACCACAAGATGGCGGAGCTCTGTTAGTCGAGCCGCCGGGGCTGTCTCCCAATGGGTATGGATTGTCGCTGTGAATGAGATCCTGCGTCCAGACCTCGGTGTTGAGTTTTGTGAGAGGGTCATTCCTTGTATGGCGTTCGAGGTTGGGAAGTTTAGGCGATGCTGGGTCTGATTTAGATCGGTCAGACCCATCTGGTGGTTGATATTCAAGGGTCGACGATGAGTGATCATCCCATGCTTCGATGTCGGTGCTGTAGCTTCTATTTCGTAGGTGATGGTTCCAATAGGTGTATTTGTTGTTGCGGGTATATTCGTTGGAATGTCCAAATAGAAGTAAGACTTTGAGGCAACTCCTCCTTGACAATTCTCAACCCCTTCTTTGGACAGTACCGGCAGAGAAACCTCTCGAAGGGTCCGTTCAATCCTTGAATTTCGCTGGGGTGCTTTGTCTGTTCGACTGCTGAATAATGGACTCGAAATCCGAATGTCTTTGCTGTCGGTTGTAGACGTCAAAACTTGGAGAAGCCGAATGTGGATCTCGGTCACGTCGACCAGGATTAAAAATGATGTTGCTGACAGAACAGCATGTCCTGCGAAAGTAGAAACGAAACGCTTTTCATGGCTATTAACATGGTGGGTAGAGGGAGCAACGAGCTCGAGATCGAGAGAAAGCATGCTTCTATACGCAAGATGAGGATTTGTAGAAGTTTTGCTCGCTGTGGTTTAAGTGTTGGAAATAAGAGAGAAAGAGCCAGTCCCCTATACTTCTGTTGATATCGCCCGTTGCCAAAAGCGGCAGCCAAGACGGAAAGATTGAGTTTATTACGGATCTAGCCTATTTTGGTGTCAACGCTTGATGTACGACGACTTACACTACCAGTTTAAGTCCTTCTTAGGGCTACTTCTATGGAGTGGGAATTGACCGCTATAGATTAATTGGTTAGGTAGCCGAATAACTAGTTGGAGAACCAATCAGATCCTTGACTATATTTGGGAATTGCACAATCGATCCTCATGATTCGGATGTCGTTGATCATCCTATGAGAATCCCCAATATAAGACCTAATATTCAATATGTTAACACTTCCCCATGTATGCCGTTTGACTTGCGAATGTGTATATACACCTGGGCCCCGGTCCACTCGAGTGGAGAGGGCCAATCCACTTGCACTGGAATGCCCGAATAGGCTTAGCGCAGTTCAACTCCGTCAAAGGCATCAAATTCCCATCGTGTGTATCACATGACTCACATGAAACCCAGAACTGCCCATATCAACGCCCTCGTTCTATTGTAAGGTTATCCGTGATCACCGGTAGAAAAGTCGAATGGGATAGACAAATGTCCGCAGGTTCTACGGAACAGTTGGCTGCTAAAGGTACGGATCTCACCTCGTGCTAAAGCGGGGCTAATATTACCAGATTGTCCAACATGTCAAAGGCGACGTATCAAGTGTGACCGGGGGCTTCCGGCCTGCCACAAATGTGGAAAGCGCAATTTAGAATGCCCTGGCTACGGCCGACAGCTCAAATGGGTCCAAGGCGTCGCCAGTCGCGGTAGTCTGCGGGGCAGAGCATTTCCCTCTCTCGACGCTCCTGTCACAGCATCGAACTCGCCTTGTTCTTCGTCAGAGACATCAAGTGAGACCCATGCTACTGTCAGCAGCATAAATTCTCTGAATCAGTACAGCTGCCCCACGGCCCGTTTCTCACCGGGAGCTCGTCTATCCCCCGCTTCGGAACTTTGCTTCTCGCAAGCTCGACCATTGCATGTTTCACGGTTGATCTCCTGGTTCAACGACCGAGTCGCCCATCGACTTGCCTGGGTCCCGCAACAGAATGCGTGGCGTCACATGATTCTACCGATGGCTGAGAGCTCCGAAACAGTCCTTTCTTCCATTCTCGCTATCGCCGCCCATGACCTGGCATCGGAGTACCATCCAAATGACCTGGGACATGGAACATTCCAACAGATGTCGAAAAACTATCAAAATAAGTCCCTTGCCCTTCTGGCTCAAGAGTTGAACAGTCTTTCTATATCGTCTACGTCGGCATTGGAAGCGAGCACAACATCTGCCTACACCCTTGCATCTGTGATTATTCTTTGTAATAATGAGTTTATGAAACCACAAGGCGCTGGGTGGAGGGTCCATCTCTCCGCTGCGAGGGAGATTATCCTGGCGTCAGGAAACCGACCGCGCCGGCACCACCAGCTAGCCTGCATCGAACAGTTTCTCGAGTTAGAATTCTATGAGGCTTCGGTGTGGGCTGATCTGACGACATTTGGCAACTACAACATGAAGATCAAGACTCCTCCTGCAAGCGCCGAGAACGCAGTCTTCACCGACTTCATTCGAGTCATCGACCAAATCACCCGCCTTGAGCGTCTGAGATTTTGTTCCGGGACGATCGAGCAGACTTCTTTATACGGCCCGATGCAAGACATCCAGTCACAGATTGAATGTGCTAGAAACAGCATGATGCGCCTCAGTGAATCCATTGACTTCTCCTCTGAGGCTGATCAACGTGGCTTTGAATTGGTAATCTGGATGTACTACCACGCCACCCTCATTTACAGCCATCAAGCTTTATCGGAGGTCGCTACTGCATGTGATGATGTACGCAAGTCTCGGGATGAAATCCTCCGCTATGTACAATTTCTATCCGAGACTCGAGACGGCATGTTCGCTCAGGATCTTGTCTGGCCGCTTTTCATGGCAGGGACTGAACTCCGAGGACATTCTATCGGCCAGAAGATTATCCAGGAGTGTTTTGGCAATGTCATGCGCATCAGCCGCACTCTCGATAGAGCGCGTGTCCTCTCGTTCGTCGAGACCTGGTGGAATGAGCCTGGTACCTATACATCTTGGATTGACATGGCTCGAAAGCAATCTCAATATCCGCAGTGTGAGATTCTCATTGTATGATATATGCTACACATCTTAAGAATTTTATCTGCGCTCATGGTTCGTATACACGCAAGAATAAAATAGAAGGAAAGATATTGAATGACTTCAAAGGAATTCTTAGAACCCACCGACTTGTAATTTTGCTCTAACTTTAGCAGTTCTTAAGGTTCTAAAACGTTGGGAAGCTGTTTCACATATGGCCAACTCGCACCTCAAACATTATGCTCATTCTCTCATCGGGTGTTTCAAGCCTCGTCATTTGAAACATCCGAGCCTTCTTTTCATACCAGCCTAGTTTGTCTGACTCGACCAAGAAGCCACCGCTGAGCGTAGACGTTCGGTGAGACCCATTCTGGCAGATATAAAAACCAGTCGTCTTCCTCGTACGGGCCTAGGCAGTTCGTGCACCTGACAGATTCATAATAGTCTGGATAAAACCCACTATACTCCCAATCAAGGATTCCGGAATGATGTACTTGTTGTCGGCTAACATAACCATAAGATTGTCCGGCCTTATGTCTCCATGTGTGAAAACGATGCGCTGGCCAGAACCATTCGTGAACGACGATGATAATTGACGAAGGAATTTGACGAACACATCACCGCCCCGGTGCGGGCTCGAGAACAAAAAGGTCCCGAAATCTTCAGGGCTAGTGATCGGTGTCTCACTCATACGAACATGCCTCCTAAGGTCTTTACAACCTTCACCTGCGACTCCTCCTAGAGGAGACCCTTCCGTATAAGGGATAGTCCTCAAATCAGCAAGTATCGTGTTGATTTGGTTGCTAAGAGAAGCTTTTTGAGAAGAGTCGAGTGTGTTCCAGACTTCTGCAAGTGGCGTAGATCGCGCGTGGCTCATGAATATGAAAGAAATTCGACTCATAAGCACCACTCCAAGAGGCTTAGGTGCTGGAATGCTTGACTTGTGACTGTCAAGATATTGTAATGTGGTGTATTCAGTGTAGTCCTCCATGTTGCGAACCGCTTTGACGACTACTTCTGTGGAACACTTAAACACTCCTTTCTGGCGGGGAAAGGGAGCTTTCCAGAGGATCTCACTGCTCTGTAGAAGTCCAAATAGCCTTTGGGAGAGTCCAACTGGCAAGCATTGCGCGGTTTGTGAAACTGCCTCGAGCAATTTAACAACCGCATCGGATAGAGGAAGAGGATTTCGGCCGAATCCGATGCGCAAAGGGATTGTCGAATGTCTTCATCGGCCTCGAGGGATGCTTGAGGATTTGATTTAATTTTCTCCAGCACAGAATGATATTAGTGATACGAACTAGATATTGAATTGTAATACGTACTGGGAGAGGGATCGCCTGAATTTCGCATATCCATGAGACGTTGTGGATATTCAAATGGGAATTGCTCGGCCAAGTTGATCTCTGGATCTTTAGCGACAGCGGCCTGTAACCATTTCAATACATGAGCATTGAATCTCGCAGCTTTGGACTCCTTGGTAGGACCCTTGGGAGGAGAGTCCTCCAAGTCAAGATGCCTTTTCCGTGCCATTTTGCAAGATAGAAAATGACTGAAACTGAATATTTCACAGCGCGGAATATAGCGTATTGAAGGATGAAGTGCAAGTTGATGTTCTGGCAAGGGGCTTGGAAGAATATGTAGCTTGCCTAGGCCAGGTCAGTTCAGGCAAACAGTGCAATTCGATACATCATCACAGGGTGGGCAACGACAGGTGGCCATTCGCAGCGTCTAGACACTGGGAGCTCATCGCTGAGCCTTATGGTACCCGATGCGCCGCGCCGATCTCATAGTCTCAATGTCTACCCCTCTCCCAGGTAGAGGACCGCACCCTTACTCCTGTTTTGCCATCCGATAATGATTTAGTCAATCCGAAAATAGAAAAATAAATCCAAGATCGATATGATTGGTAGTTCGCCGATCTCAGGTAGACGATCTGAGGTAGACGAGGTCTAGCCATGCGAGTTGGGGGAGCCATTACTAGTTGTATAAATTGCAAGAGAGAAACGATAATTGGGAGGATTGAGGTCGAATGTTCTTGCTTAGGCAAAGGTCTCTCCATCCCTTTATGTCTGTGGCTCTAAACTTGGAACACTGTATACCTCTAAAAAGGGCTTAGACTTAGGTATCCAAAGTCTCAGTTCTTACCCCCAATTATCTTCTCTCCCTACATAAACTCTCTTCGGATATTTGCCGTGGTGAGGCCTCAACACTGTTCTACCCCAACACGTGGAGTTTCCGCATCATCCTAGGCCTACTCAGAAACACCAATGATAGCTTCCAGCGCACACGTGGCAATCGCTGTAGCTCCGACAGAGGGCATGTGTGTGGCAGCGTGGATGGGTACAAGAACGCTTGAACAGGCCAGAGTGTGCCTCGTCACTTTGAGGTGCAACGGATTCGCTTTCTTCGTCGATTTCGGTATGGGTGCTATGGTACCGTTTTGCTGCCTCCATTGCAGCATCCAGTTCTTTGCATAGGGAATCAGACGCGATGGCTAAAACTGTATTGTCGTGATCTAGGAGATAATAACCTCCATTCCTGTCGTCAAGAGTTCCGAGTGGGTATTGCATCGCCATGTCGTTCAGTTGTTTACGAGTCTCCAAGATTTGTGTCGATTCATGAATTGGTACAGTATACCGGGTTGTCGACATTGCGAAGGAGCTTGCAACACTTGTTACCACAAGGAATAAACATCCAATGAGACTTTTCAGCACCATCATAGAGGTCTACCAAGTGCTAGAAAGCAAAGAGCGACGTCAACACTTTCTCAAGGACATGGTGTAAATAGGACTCTATACCGGTTGGAGAATAGGTTGGACAATTTTCTTCCCTTCTTCTCTGCTCTTGTTGTTGGGTCATCAGATTCGAGCTTTTAGACAGTTGGGGACGTTGCCTACTTATATAGCCCAACTAAGAGCAGATCACATGAAGTCTTAGTTCGAAGCTGTATCGGCCACGTTCAAAAAGGTAACATTGCATGATGGAAGAAATGTCTAGGGCAGGGGTTTGGCTCCTTTGTAGGCCGCACCAATGCATTTGGGGTCATGCACTAGCTACCAAAACGGACAATCCGGACGTTGTCCGAGCCTGCTATTTGCTCCTAACTTCGATCACATATGGTTTATAAGACTATGAGCAAAATCATGTTCCAACTCTAATACATCCCACATATGCCGATAGATTCATTGCGCTGTTGGTATATCGATCCCATGCGCATTGTTCTCGTCATGCACGTCAACCGAAATGGCATGCGGGTCATAGTACATAATGGTGTGGTCTGCGAGCTTCCAGCCAGGAGCGTTGTTTTGGGCAATTCTGAGACAGTGGCGTAAATCCCGGGCTTTTAGCCTCTCCCATATAGATCGAGCTTAACCATATAGTATATTAGGGTTACATGCCACAGCAGACCACGCGTCCAGGCTCATCGACCCCTGGCATATTACGACAACCCGCGGTTTCCGCGAAAGACTTGCAATCCCATGAGTCAAGTTATCTTCCGATCCTCACATCTTACGATACCCACGATTTCCCTTGGAGATTTGCGATCCTATGCACCAACTCGTCTCGTATCCTACGATAGATCATGGACAGCGTAAATTAGAATATATGAGTTTAATTATTATCACGTACCGTTTTTGTCAACTGGTCCTTGAAAATTGCAGTTGATACTGTTGTGGGTTCCTGCAGCTGGCTCTGAAAGGACTCGACCAATATATGGCTTTTGTCGCATAATTAAAGCCGAATGCCGAGCCTTAGGTGAGAAGGCTCTTGTGTGGTGACCAAGAATACTTTTGTTCGTCTCCTTTTTCCCTTTCTTTTGCGGAAATAAAGAAGGCAAGCCTATGTACTAGAAAGGACGAAAAGGAAGACCCGGTGCTATTGTCGACACCAAAATTAGACAGCCGAGACTGGTAAGGAGCGTAAGGATATCCAAGGGGCAGAAATATGGTTGCGCCGAGTGACTGAGATACCCAAAACATGGTGTTGCTGAATGATGTCTGTAGATATATTTTGGAAGAGATGGGTCCGAACATTTGATTTTTCGTACTTTCACAACAAATTCCAGTTCAAAATGTGAGCGCCGTGTGTATTCGAGTAATAATAACACAATATCTACACAATAAAGTCTGGGATCTACCTCATCTTCGAGATATTGGGGTTGTGTGGGAATCACAGCATCCCCCGAAGACTACATATAGGTACAAATTTGGGAACGAGCGAACATGTCTTTAAGATAAGATCATTCAAAACTAGACTAAGATAGAAAAAAAATTAGGGAAAAAAGAAACTATATTAACCTCAAAACACCCCAGCTATGACGTTGTTGAAAGACAACACACAAGACCACGAGGAAAAATGGCCACCACAATGCAAAGAGACAAACCACCATCTATATCATCAAATACCCAGACTTTTGCTCCGACCCTATACTGAAATCGGAGTAGAGTCTCATTTTATCTTTCTCTTTATTTTCTCCTGGGTTGGACCTGTCGGTCCGACCTCGTCTGTGGTCGTCCAAGACCACAACTTTTTGAGTCGTTTTCATCGGTTATTCGGTTTCGACGTAGGCTGACCCCGAGAATGTTGTTGAATTTCTGGAGTGCCATGTTGAAGGTTCCTTGCAATTGCAGGAATGAGGTAAAGGCGTAGGTGTGGTTGTGTCAGGACCACTGGGAATTGATAGTGTTCGGAAAAATGAAGTGCCGAAAGATTGACTGGCATCGTTTTATAGGAAAGGGTCAGAACCCAAACGGGAGGATTTCAAATGCGTTTACTCCTCTGATGCCCAGCGGGACTCGCGCAGCGGCATCTCCTCGCCAGCCTGCTTGCGGCTTCCGTCTGCCTCGCGCTTCCACGCATAGTACTCGCCGAGACGGATCTCAGCGTAGCTGGCGTAGTCGAAGTCGATCTGGGAGATTTGCGCTTGGATGAGTGCCCAAACGCCCCTGGGAGATATTCTTAGCATGGTACGGCCATTACGCTGTTTGCAAATTGTGTGCGCTGAACTCACCAGTAGAGACCAGGAATGCCACGGAAGCGGTCAACATCCTCGTACAGCCGGTCGACAATCTCAGCCTGGGACGAAGCATCAAGACCGCGTTGTTCACAGTAGCTCTTCGTGTACTCAGTAAGGAACTGACGGCGCACAGACTTTGTCGGCATCATGTTGTAGTCGCAGTCATAGCCACCCCACTCAGCAAGGTGGTTGGAGATATCGAAGGCCGCGGGCGCAGGGACAGCATATTCATAATCGATGAAGTTGACAGGCGCGATGCCGTCTTCGGGGTGGGAAGACCGTTCTCGCTCGGAAGGACAATGACATTGGCACAGAGGAGATCGCAGTGCGAGAAGACGAGCTATAACACCCGCGGTTAGTCTTGTGATCAAGCAATCCACGTTTCCAGTGGATCAAGGCTGGGAGTCACATACCCCGTCTTCACCAATCCCCTTCCCATCATCCAGGATATCCAAAACCCACTGCAGCTCTGCTTGCAGACTCAACCGGCGAGCACGCTGCTCGGGCGTGGTGACGGGCAAAGCCAGCACCCACTTCTGTAGCACAGCCCACATAGACGGGCCCGCACGCCGGGGCTTGATTACGGTGATCTCATCGTCCCGGGAGGCCGCGATCTCAGCCACAGAGGCATCCTTGGCAGACGCGGCTCCGCTACTAGGCAAGACGGCGTGCCACTGCGCCAGGCGGCGGGCGACGCCGCGCCAGATAGGCGGAGAGACTAGATCCTGGTGGCCGCAGGGCTTGCCGCGGATGAAGCGGTAGAGCAGGCCGTTTTTGAATCGAGCGAGGAGGGGCGGGGCCAGGCCACGGCTGGCCAAGAGTGCATGGGACTTGGTTTCTCCTAAGGATAATTGATCTACTTCAGCATATGTCGCAATGGGCAAGGAAGGCGCGGAGGGCCTTTTTCTTGTTCAAGAAGTGGGAATCTTGACGAAGGTTGTCCGTCGGGGGGATTTTGCTCGTACTTTCGCGATCTATGAGGACCTCTGTGCCATTTCCGTACGCCCTCATCAGTACTGCCTCATTGTCTATTTGTTCCTCCGTCAGGCCAGGTTTCAGATTGATAATTTTCAAGAGCTAGGGAGCTGTTAGCCTCAATTGGGTTCTGACGACCTTATCGCTGGTCTCGTGGGAAGCAACACTGGGATAGAGAGACACACAGTGTTGGTGATGCCGTCGGTGAACCGCACGAACTCAATATTGTTGCCAGGACCCTCCCAGTCAGGATTGAGCGCCAAGATTAGCCTGAGAGCAGATGCTTGGGAGTCCGCATGGCTGTATGACAGGGGAATGTATCGGAATTCTGGCGCAGCCATCTGAGTCTCTGTCGAGCCCATGTTGGAGTTGAGTGGAGCGGAGGTAGGAAAAGGGGTATAGGCGCCAGTTGATTTGTGTGTCAGGATGATTTTGTACTATTTAATTAGTCCAAAACTGCTTGAGAGGCACCGCCCCTATATCAGTAACGAGGTCCTCGGATTCAAGATTTAGGTAATTGCACGAGGCCAGGCTGCTAGTGCAATGTGCGAAAAGATATAAATTCTAGAAAGAAGTACAGCACAACGTGGAAAGGCGGATTCTGTATTAGGGCGAAGGTACAAAAGGTTCAGGGGCGAAGAATTCGAACGCTATCGATGGCGGGGAGGTGAATGAGACAGCGAGGGGAGGTCTCGTGCTCCCGACCCGTGATTGGAAGATGGAATGATTTGCTGGGGCCCAGGGTACTTAAGGGCGAAAGGCACTTGTCCACCGCCACGACTAATTAAGCTTTGGTCTTTTTTGAAATATCAGCTTAGTGGCTGCATATTTTAGAGTGATTTTGCAGCGTCGTATTCTTTGTTTTCATTGCAATTTGGTGGCGAAATGGTACCAAAGCATCTTGCCTGTACAATGTACAACATACAATGTTCATTGTTGCCAAGTCACGGGTCGATCACATGAAAGACAACGTTGAAGCAAAGTGGGTAACTGGTCACATGCAATGGCTAAGCCCTGAGATTAGCCCTACTTGCCAAACCTGGCAAATCCCTCAACAAAAAATAGCGAAATTAGTCATAAAATGGAATATTAGTCAACAAAATGGAAAAACCCTTTCACCGAAGCCCAATCAGCTCTAGCGTATATTGACTTCCGGACACATAAATACGACCTCCTCGCCCGCGCCTTTACTCTTTTTTTCTTTTCTCTCCATCATCAGTAGAGGTTTACATAACTTATGTAAATTTCAACGGGGCTCCACAAATGTGGCTTGCTGAGGGTTATCCTATGGCTTCGGCCATAATGGGTTTTCTTCCGTTCCCGGCCCTGGAGAGTAAAGGCGTCTCTCTTTTTCCCAATCACTTTATGGTTATGCTAGGGTATCCTTCGGGAAGCCCCATGGGTGTTAGCTGTGGAGAGGGCGTCACATACCGATTTTTTCAGTCACTGTTATGTGCTCTGAGCTGGATTTGCTTGCTCTGGTCTTCAAATTTGATCAGAGCTTGCAATGGTGTAACATTGGATATCTCACGATTTTCAAATGGTAATTGCCATGGTGTAAAGGTACATTCTGTACGGAGTCCAGCCCATATTAAAAAGAGCCTCAGAAATTTTGCTAGGTTTATGAGCTCTTGTGATGCTATATCTGGCCGAGATGAACCCTATAATGTTCGGGGTTTTCTTGCCAAGATACATATATCATAGCTGTCGGCATGCCGAGTACCTTAAGGTTATGTACGTGCGACGTGAGCTACATGTACTCTTGGGGCGAAGATTTCAATTCAATATTGTCGTCACCGTCATAACCATTGAATTTTCTATCGTGTACGCTCTTTACATGTTCCCAATCATGCATGCCCAGCATTACCAATCTGGATGCGCTGTCCAGTCCACTTGTCGTCACTGCGCAACACCGGCCAGCTAGTACCATCAGCCTTGATTAGGCTCAAATCTAGCTTGGTGCCGAGCACGCGGAAAGTTGACTTCTCCGGGTCAATCGGCGCAAAGAGAGGATATGTATCCTGGTAGCGCTTGTTGTCCGTGGTAGGAAGGTCGAATGTAATCGAGTTGGCAGCCAACTCAACCTTGGCCCGTTGCTTGTCAATCTTCTTAAGGTAGAGGGAGACGTTGACGGCGGTAGGAGTCTGGTAGAAATCATTTCTGTAGAATGCGAAAGCATGTCAGTTTGCTGTCTTAACCGAATATATAGGGCTGATTCGCCTGTCTTGTCGTATACGCACCTGACTGTGTCCACCTTCTCTTCGCCCGGGGGCTTGGCCTTCCCAACAAACATGTGCCTCTTCTTCTCTGTGCAGCCGGGGATCTTCAGGAATTCATCGAACTCGAGTACCCGGCGTTTGCAGCAGGACCACCCCTTGCTTCCCTCGTGGAAGACCGGCTGGCCCGGGTGGTGGACGCACTTCTCTTCGTCGCGAACAGTCGAACCGGTGTAGGACGCGCCGCAACCCCTCCGACGGCATGTTGCGTTGGCTGGGATCTCCGCATCCGGATCATCAGACTCCGGCTCCTCGATGACTGGCTTCTCAGGCGGCGCCGCAGTTGCGATAGTCGGAGTAGCGGAGATGGGTAGCCGCTCGGACTTCTTCTGCTCAGCCGGTGTAGGGGGGAGCAATGACTTCCTCAGCCTTGGAGGGCTCAGGGGCGGGTGTGTCGTCGACGGTGGAATGCTTGCCGGTTGTGCATGGCGGGATGGCGAGGAATTCCTCAAAGGTCAAGACGCGGGGCTTGCAACATTTCCAACCTGAGAAGTTAGCGGTATCGCGGGGTAGAAATGTAACAGAAGCTAGAGACGAGATCAAGTGTCACATTGCGCTGCCGGAATGGTCCACCATGAACCTTTGGTGGACTCATGGGACACAGATCTGGCATAGCTTAAACACCAAGGTACTTACCTTTCTGCCCCTCGTGGAACACTGGGGGACCCGGATGATACACACAGTCTTCTTCTGGGTCGGTGAAGGTCTTTCCACACGCTTTGTGGACACACTTGCCTGCCATGATGTACAGCAAGACGGATTATAAGAAAATTGACGGGACTGAGTCAGAGAAAAAGATTGTAAAGTGTTCTGGACAGAATGGCGCAGGTTGCCTAACAGGGTTTAGCGGGGAAGCTCGAATGTTCCATCGCGGAGAACTCTCTGACCGCATTCGCGTCACGGCACCGGCCATATCGAAACCCGCGGTTGAATTCATTCTTTGCATAATTGACATTGTCTCTCCATGTTTCCTACGCGTGCCCTTCTCAATCCAGCCCGCCTGACGCTGTTTACACGCGCGGGCTGTGGCCTGTGCGATACCGCCAAGAACACCGTGCTTCAGCTCCAGAAACGGCGCTCCTTTGAATACGTCGAAGCGGACATCATGGGGCCTGGGAACAAATCTTGGAAGGATGTTTACGAGTTTGATGTTCCAGTTCTTCACGTCCAGTCAGTTCACAACGGGTTGCCCAAGGAGGCCACTCTCTCCGACGCGCGCAAATTGTTCCATCGATGGACAGAGCAAGAACTCGAGCGATCGGTAGACGAAGCGGAAAAATCACAACCTTCATGAATCCATTTTGGATGAGAAGTAGATGCCCAACTGTACAGATTGCCATGGTCAGCTGGCGGGAACTGAACAGTACACCGGGGCATCCTCCTATATGGAGGCATCTGATACCGATTCAGTAATACACATGGCGCTGCATTACTTCGACATAGTTGATTCTCTGGTCCTGTTGGTATTGTCTGCGCTCCACATTCCAGGGGTTTTATACTTCCGTATGTATTTGATCTACGTATCTTTGACCGTGAGGTGAATGATGACAGATCCACCTATGATGTACCCAGGCTCCCCATCATTGTACAATATATGTAATCCCTGTTCCTCTACAAGAGTCTTAATGTATCAATTATAACTAGATCTGTAATTCCAATTAGTGTTCCTACTCTAATTCACGTTTCCTGGCAACTTCGTACAGGTGCCTCAATACTTATGGCATTCGCTATAGCTCAGACATTTTCTCTCGTCTTCAAACCACCCCAAGTGCACCCATAATTAAAAAGTTACGACTCTACGACTCGTATGCGCAAGTTTCTGAGTTCCTTTTGTACTTCGATGTTGTAGATGAATCACAAAGCTATTACCGAGGGCATCACAAGTATAGTTAGGAGATGCGGCTAGGCGGTAAGGCAACAACCACCCCTAACCTCTCTACCTGCATATACTCAACGGTAGCCCTTTTGAGGTAACATTGTCACTACTCAAGAAGATGTGACATATAATTCGGGGTATTTAACCTTACCTGGAGAGGTTTGACTGGATCTTGAACTCTTATTTCGCCTTGAATCTCTCGCCGTGATCTGAGTTTCACAACCCTGCTGTCATCTTGACCATCCCGGTTCTGCCACGCGCGTCCACTCCCTTTTCATCAATTATCCCTTGGTGAATCATTTCAGATCAACATATTATTGAATCCATTGGTAAGCAGTTCTCAAATTCGCCCTGTGGTGCTGGCGTAACATCTTTCGCCTGGCACGGTGCAAATGGTTGTTCTCACTTCACCGTGAACTATATGTACTTTGCGGACCAACCAGCAACTAACATCTTCATGCTGTTCAGTTTCACTTGATCACTTTGACAAGTCTTCAGTATTGGTGAGTGGTTTCAGAAAGAAAAAAAAGAAGGAATTGCTCTTTGTTGCTGGCTTATGGGTGCCTGTGCAGCCTCCATCAAGTTGCACTCAACTCAGCCAGGCCAACTCTATCATCTCAAGTTCGAGCAATGCAGGCTAACACTACTATATCTATAGATCTAATTTCTTTCTCAATTGATTCAGGGAACAGAATCTGACAATGGGAGATCAAACGCCAATAGCCAATGGCGCCGACATTCTGCGGCCACTATCGGCTCCGTTGTCAACGACTTCTTCAACACAGTCAACCCACCCGCTGGGTCTTCCTTGTTTGAAATGCAAATCAAGGCACAGACGCTGTGACCGCACTAGACCAGGTAGGGTGACTTGATAGGGACGAGGATTGCAAGTGTATTGATGACTGACTAATGGTTTCTATAGTCTGCCACACCTGTCAGAGCATGGGACTTGAAGCTGAATGCTCATATCCTCCCACACCATCACCAGTGTATGATTACCCGTGATATCAGCTTGGCCAAGTCAAGTAGAGCTGATTCCTTACTCAATTGATTCAGGGAACCGAACCTGACAATGAATGGTCAAAAGCCGATGGCGAATGACACCTCCGTTTCACGGCCACCATCGGCTCCATTGTCAACAACTTATTCAACACCGTCAACTCATCCGCTTGGATTTTCTTGTGTGAAATGCAGATCAAAGCACCGTCGCTGTGACCGCACTAGACCAGGTAGGTACCCCGTGACTCGATAGGGCAACAAGTATCGGAGTTGCGTTGATGACTGACTATTTACATAGTCTGCCAGAACTGTCGGAGCATCGGCTTTGAAGCCGAATGCTCATATCCTTCTGTGGCCTTACCAGCGTATGTTTACCAGTGATACCAGCTTGGTCGAGTCGAAATGGCTGACTTTATATCATATAGTACCGAGAACCAAAGTGCCCAGAACAGAATCACTCAGAAGATTGGTGCTCCATTCTTTGGACCAATGTTCGATAATCCCTCTGCTTCACCCGTAACAGGTGAAAAGAGACCAAGGGTTACAGACAGTTCTGAACGGACTGAACTTGTCAATGACGTGGTTGCATTACACATCAAGAATCACTCTAGCCACGCCCAGCAGATGCAGACACTCCAAGCACCTCCCGCAAACCGGCACAGGATATCCGAACTTGACTCTGGAAGTGCTGCTAGGCAATCTGCGCCGGGACCGGCTCAAACCTCATTATTTGGCACTGGCATGCCCAATGGAAGTAGGTCGGGTCCTCCACCACGCAGTATATCACCTACCCTACCTCAAGATGAAATGGAGCTCCGGTGCAACCTGACTACCGAAATCAACGTTCAGAGAATGAAGCATCGCAACCTTGCAGCAGGGCCTCTACGCAACATCGTGAAGCTACTGATGAAAGCCAAGTCTGAACGCCCAACCACTAAACCCACGATTGCTGGGTCGAGTGGTGTGCCATTCAATAACGAGTGGCGTGAAGAAGATGATCTCATGCAAGTTGCAACAGTCAAGCTGGAAAAGGGTGGCCGATGCTCTCGTGCTCTTCTCAGTCGCTTTGAAAACTTCTTGTATGGCCCATTGATGAGCCCCGAGGAGAAGAAGATGCAGGAGCGTATAATATGCGTTGAAGAGTGTCTGTCAAGCGCATCGGCACCACCGACAGCCGATCACAACGCTCTGTTCCTCCATCGCCTAAAAAGAATCATACTTAACCCAGATTCCTATGGCTTGAACCAAGACTCACGCATCGGATTCCTCCGCAACCAGATCCTTGCTGCCATAGCCACTAACTCGAAGCTGAGTGGTGCAAATCGAAAGAAAATTGCGGAGCTTTTGGACCCAGATGGAGAGATTGCCAATACCAGCGCAGACAGTCCTGGTGTCAAAACAGGAACTCCAATCTCAACAAGGAAGGCGCCACCCAAGCCTCCCTCTCCACGCGTGCCTTCCTCCCACACCCCAGAAACGCCCTCAAGAACAACAACACGTAAAAAGAACTCTGTCGTCTCTCTGTCTCCTTCATCACCCCATCCCCCTCTTTCACCCCTCCTCTCTTTTTCAACAACCTATCCTCCTCCTTTCCCCTCTCGTTCTTCATCTTTATCCACACCACCTCTGGAACCCATTGATCCGACTGATGACACCATGTCGTCGTCCTTTCCTTTCATGAAGCCTACGCCCAGGAAGCGTGTCGCTTCTGGCAGCCAGTCGTCGCAATCAAATGACACTGCAGCGTCTCCTTCCATGGAGCCACCGTCCAAGAAACGTCCTACTCCTGGTAGCCAGTCCAACGACACCGTTGCCCCATCTCCAAAGCGTGCTGCTTCTAGCACCCAGTCGTCCAGCTCCGACGACACTACTGCCTCAGCTTCTAAGCGTGCTGCTTCTAGCACCCAGTCGTCCAGCTCCGACGACACTACTGCCTCAGCTTCTAAGCGTGCTGCTTCTGGCACCCTGCCGTCGAACTCCAACAACTTGATCGCCCCGGCTACTAAGCGTGTCTCTTCTGGCAGCAATTCGTCAATCCCCAACAACATCGTCGCCCCGCCTCATAGACGTTCTGCTCCTGCCAGCCAACCATTTAGCTCCGAGATCCCAAAAAGACTTTGGAATATCTTCGTTGCGAAGCACGCTCCTATGCTTCCCATCCTCAACCTCGACCAACTTAAAGCCGCTTTCGCCCTGGCTGTGAACAATGGCAAGGTCGGGCCCACAGTTATTGATCCAACTTTCGGACTTTGCATTGCAATTGCCTGCCACCTCATACCTGACAAGGACCTCTGGGAAGGTCGCAAGTGGTACAATGCAGCTTTATCTAACATGGCTGACCCCTTCAAATCTCCACCGTCGATTCAATCTTTCCACCATCAAATCCTCCAAATCCAGTATCTCCATATGGTCGGACACCTGCGGATGGCCTGGGATGTCTTATCTCTGGCTATCGGTAGAGCGCAATCTCTTCGGATGCAAAGTATGCACGGTGGATCTCTCGCCGTAGACGAAGATTCGCTGGAGCAGGTTCGGATGGTATGGCAGTGTCTCTGGATGAAGAAACTGTCTCTCACTCTCCAGTTTGGCGTTGTCGATCAATCTCTTGACACCTTTTACGAGTTACCTATGCCGATGCAGTCACATATTCATGGGAACATGGGAGTATCTGGCACGGAAACCAATGAACATTGTCACGCGATATCTTCTTTTTTCGTGGCTTGTGCTTCACTTCTTAAGTACACCGACGATTTAATCACCGTTGAAAATGATCTACGTGTGACGCGCATGGAATGCCCAGTCAAATGGCTTTCTATCGTTGACCTCCGTGGCTTCCAGGAACTGAATGAAAAGCTCTCGAGCTGGAATAATGGACTGCCCAAATGTTTGGAATGGAAAGACGCCGGGATCGACTTTACCATGAAGAAGGACCCTCTCATTCGTCAAATGTGCGTCCTGGCTCATTTGCGATATGTCTATTTTCGGCTTCGTCAACACCGGCCTTTCTTTATTTTGACGCTGCGACTTTCCCAGACATGCGCTTGTGAGATGAGTCCTCATATCACTGGCAAGGATATTGATTCAATGGGTGCGTCTCCCTTCCTCGGCATGGTGTATTACAGTGCTGTCAAATGCTTGACCGCTGCCCAAGACATAGTCAAGACCCTCGCCGCATCTAATGCCAAGGCCGCTGGTGAGCATGCTAAAGGTGACCATCTCGAGTATCTTTACGCTGCTGCATTGATTTTAATTGCTGCACGGATGGTACCGTTCGTCATGAACGGTACTCAGCGAGGGCTTTCTGCTGCTGCCAACGTGGCTAAGTCCGTCAAGACCATGACCGAGGAGCTCAAGCAGATTGACATCCTGTTGCGTCAGTACCAAGAATCTTGCGAACAGGCGCCCAAGCTCCAAAGGCGCATTGAACGTTCCCGCAGCGTGCTTGGCCAGATAAAGCTACAGTCCGAGTCCGTGTCCTCGAGCGGAATAGCAACGGACAACGAACTCAGGTTCGAACCAGTTGTTTGGCGACGCATCTATGACCGGCTCGGACTGGACGTCCCGTTCGGGAGGTTCCCCCAACAGGGTCCTCCCGGTAGCTCTGTAGTTACGGGCCGCAGAAATACCCTTGGCTGGCTAGAAAGCCTGCCGGTAGACATGGACCCCGAACTTTAGGCCCATTTCTGGTTGGCGGTGGAAGTTCAGACAATTTTCCTTTTGTACTGAGTAACTTACCTCTGTTTTAGCTTACAATAAAACCCATATTTCAACGTTTTAAATGGTTATTTTGATATGTAAATATGCGGTATCTGATTAGTCGTTGGGCTGAATTATGTGGAAGTCGAGTTGTAATTGACTGGCGTTGGGTAGGAGATGTAAGAGGCATGGGGCTGCCTGGAGACAGGATGTGTGGCCTTGGATAGCAACAGGGAAAAAAATAAAAGAGATCCTGTTTGGGGGAATCGAACTCTGGCCTGTTGATGTCTTTCCTAATTAGGAAATGGTCCTATATAGGTCACTATAAAGATGTCTCGTCACCTCCAGACCCACCCCGGTTAGCTCAGTGCGCAGGGAGCTCGGTAGTCTATGTACCTCATGGGATGCCTGAGTGCGTATTACCTTCAATTGACTCTGGGACAACCCAGGGGGCAGTTAAGGTTCCTGCCATTCATTAGGGTTGAACAAGGTATATAGATGGTAGTTCCCCCACTGCCTCGCTGGGCCTTCCCGAAAGGGGTGTAGCAGGTCCCAACGGATGTGGTTTGTGGGTTTGGGGGTGTCCTTTTTTTCATTTTGATATTGGTATACTACTTGTCTTGGATGACTTTCTCAACATACAGGCCTCTCTCATCACAAGGTTACGACGTGTAGAACTAAACCCAGGGTCACCGAAAGTAAACTAATCAACCCTCGGTAATTATCTGTCTTAAAACAAGTCGCGACTTGATATCCCACTGAAGGCTTCGCGACTAAATCGACACTGTCACACCCAAATGCAGCCTCACCTACCTCTCACCTCAACTATTTAAGTCTACAACCATCTGCTTCCCATTACCGCTCGAAGTCCACAGTTGCCACGGACCTTTTGCCATATAGCAGAACAGGTGGGTTATGTCTCGCAACTACATGTATGTTGTACACCTTTTAGCACCTACGGCTACCCTTTGGCATGCTTCACGACTACAAGATTCTTGATAACTGACAGTTGAATAGTGCTTCAAAGGTTTTCTCCCTATCGAATCAAATCTTTTTCATCAGGGTCCGCATACGGCTATTCCTTATCCCCTGATTTTATTCTTTATTCATTCTCCTCTCACTTTCCTCTCACTTTCTTCTTACTTCCTTCATTCTAACTTCTGTGGTCGGTTTCCCCTTCCAGGATCTATACTCTGATAATGACCTTATCTTAATCGTCGCAATAGGAATCCTTCCCTGACCGACCGGACTCAGGTGCGATGATTATAAACAACAAACTTCATTCCTCCAACGATCCCTGGCCAACAGAGCTAGGTTTCTTCCATTTCATCTTACCCCTGGTAAGAATCCCCAAGTACAAGCCTTATGGCTATCATCGCCGTCTTCTCTCATCTTCTCCTACGAAACTACCAAACATGCTGCGAGAGCGCGAGGAAGCTCAAACGGCTTTGGAGAACACATCTGTTCCATAGATTGCCGATGGCGCGACCGTCATTTCAGACCGTGATATTCGTCTCCCTGCGATATTCTGGAATCAGATGTGCGAATGACTTGGGTTACATGCTCCCGCGATCTTGGGCTCGACGCACGTTAGCTCGCTTCATGGCCCTTCTGGTGCAGTACCTACCAGGAAAGGTGCCAGCAGGCACCTGAGCTGAAACGACGAATTGAACGTTGCCGAGATGCACTCGGCATCATCAGACTTCAGTCTGTCTCCTCGGAGACTTTCATCTCGGACAGCGAGATACGATTCTCGCGGAATGTGTGGCTGCGTATCTATGACCGGCTGGGCTTGGATGTGCCATTTATGAGATTCCCTAATGGCCGGGCAGACAATGGCAAGGTCGCTGGCCGTAGGATGACCTTTGGTTGGCTTCAAAGCTGCCGTTCGATACGGCTCAAACGGTTCATGGGACAGAACCCGTGGATCCTCTTCTGGCCGTGGTTCAGGATGGTACCATCAAGTATATTACTGCGGCCCAGGACATTGTCAAAACCCTCTGCTTTTCCTTCACTCAGAAGAGAGAGGAGGATTCCAAGTTCGAACACTTGGACTACTTGTACGCCGCCGCCCTCGTTCTCATTGCCTCGCTGAGTTCCCCAATTAGTTGGGTGCAGCGAGTAGAAGCTAAAGGGACGACTAGGTCAGCAAGATTGAAATCCCAGTTCCGCCGAGCGGAAAGTCTGCTGAGGAAATACCAAGAATGTTGTGAGATGATTCCAAAGCTGAAAAGGAGAGTCGCTCGTTCTCGCATCTGTTCCAGCGAGCGCCAATTGCGCCAGCGTAATCTCGGACCATGATCTTCGTATCTAGGTCCGATTGTCTGGAACCAAATGTACGACAGACTGGGCATCGAGGTCCCATTCAAAAGGTTTTCCTAAGATTTCGCCGGCACAGTTCTTGCCTGGCAGCTGACATTCGGTTGGTTGGAGAGTATTCCAGTAGACCTGGACACTCAGGAGAAGTGAGTGCCGAGAGACTCACCTGTGCGGGGTACATCAATGGATATCAAATGTATGTAAGGTTTGATCAATTGGATAGTTCTATTTTAATGATATCTCTTTTCATACCTTCTCATTCGTCAAATAGTGACATGCAAGATACAGTGTACCAACGAGATGTTCCAAAATATGACGCCATGAGCGTTAAAACAAATTGTTATACTGTTAGCTTATTGTTGAGATGTGAATGATTGGAACGATGCTCCCTAAGATTGCAGGAAATGCTTGAATGGAGACATGTCATGTACAATATATATTGTATATTGTGGGGTCCATCGAGGTCTTGGCAGTGACACGCCAGAAACAGTGGGGACCAATCGGATGCTCTGGAATTTTGCTGAACTGGGTATCCACTCGAGCTACCTAGGTATGTAGGTGGAGTTCTGATAGTAGTAGCTACATGTAGGATATTTTGTATAATGCTTGAAGAGAAGGTTGTGAGCAGAAAGCTGAGACACAAGAAATTAAAATAAAAGAAACACCGGGGAATTGAACTTTGATGGGAACATATAGATGCCTTCCCAATTGGGAAATAGGTCCCTTATTGAGAGGTAAAACATGATCCTATCAGCAGATCTGCCCTGGTTAGCTCAGTATGATGGGGGTCGCGCTATAGCTTACCTGCGCGGGGGGATTGGGGAGGCGGAAGAGGGGTATACTTGACTGGATACCCTTGGGCCAACCCGGCGTTATAGAGGCGCGTTCTCCCACACCTACAGGGTAACTGATCGGCACTTAGTATCTGAGGTGGGTGGTCACAGGCGCTGGGTGTAAACAGCTGATCTGCGCCCTCTTTCTTTTTCTTGTTCTTTTTTTTTTTGGCATATCGATTTCAAACCAACGCTAAGATCTTCGGACTGGCTCCAGCCAGTTCTTCCATTCTCATTCGTCAAATGTAGTGACATGCCAGATACAGTGTGGGCCAATGAAATGCTCCGGACATTGTGCTATGAGGTATGGATTGACTGCTTGTATTTTAACTTACTGTTGGAGCGTAGTGATTGGGAGTTCATCCAATGTGGTGACATGCTGCTACGTCTGGGAGCGGGGATGCTCATTTGCACGACTTATTTAAACTGAGGACCTGCACCTCCTTCGATCAGCTCTTTCATCAATCAGAGTCACAACATGCATTCGAACCCAATCTATACTCATGTCCAAGATCGCTATGGCGACCTGGCTGATCGCTCGTCCACCAGCGAGCAGAAGAGAACGGAGCAAAACATTGCCCAAGCATTCGGCTACGAGGCTGCAGAACTCAGCTCAATCCCCCAGGCTGCAAACCTTGGAGTGAGCTGCGGGAACCCCTTGACCCTGGCCAACTTGCGAGAGGTGAGTCTTACCTTGCCACTGGACGATTCTACAATGCGACTATCTAACAGCTTGTTCTAGGGCGAAACAGTGGTTGATCTCGGGAGCGGTGGTGGCATTGATGTGCTGCTGGCAGCCAAGAAAGTCGGTCCGAGAGGGAAAGCTATTGGTGTGGACATGACGAAGGTGAGAATCTCACTTCCATAAACAGCTTGGGCTATCCCAGCTAACACAACTGATATAGAGCATGCTTCAACTCGCTCGCAAGAATGCGGAGAATGCGGGTGCTTCCAACGCGTCCTTTGTCGAAGCCTCGATCACATCTATCCCCCTGCCAGACGACGCTGCCAACTGCATCATCAGCAACTGCGTGGTAAACCTCGTTCCTACAGTGGACAAGCATCTTGCGTTCAAGGAGATGTTCCGCCTGCTGCAACCCGGAGGTCGTCTTGCCATCAGTGATATTTTGACTCGAAAGGAACTCCCGCAAGAAGTGACCAGTAGTCTTTCTTTCTACGTTGGATGCATTGCAGGCGCCAGCCAGGTTCACGAGTACGAGAAGTACCTTTCTGAGGCAGGATTCAAAGGTATCTGTCGAAGTGTGATTGCGTTTTGTGCATCTGGCTAACCATCCTTTTCTTCTTAGATATCGCGATTGTCGACACCCGCAGTGATCTCAACATTTACAAACATCTGGTGCAAGAGCAGATAGATCTTGGGAAGACGGGCGATAAATCGGAACCAGCTGGTTGTTGTGGAGGAGCGCAAGTGAAGAACTCTGCTGAAGGAGACTTGCTGGAGTATGACTTCAATGAATGGGCTGGTGAGTCTTCAAGGCTTTCGATTGTTGAACCAATCCTGACTGATTTCCATCCAGGCTCGTTTCAAATTTACGCAGTTAAGCAGTAGGAGAAATGGATATATGAGTTGAAATTCAACCGGCATATCTCAAGATATTTCTGTTAAGACTTCAAGAAGCACTTGGTTATCCACCCTGCATCCCTCCAGCGGGTTGTTCCCTTGCTTGAAACCATGCTCCATCCAAAAATACAAGACATCCAACTCCAAACCCTTGGTATTGCATTGTATCACCCATTGACAGGCCAAGGAGCACAGAGTTGTGTTGCTGTTGCTTGTAGCACTCGATTCAGCGCCCTCACAGCAGCCCTGATACTGGTTAGACTCGGGATTCGGGTCTGACGGTTCTACCGAGGGAATATCCAAATTGGTCAAATTATTAGCCCCGTCAGATGGTAACGGAATCTCGAAGTCCAGGTCCGTATCAGATAATAAACCCGACGAATTCCATTGCTCCCAAAATGTCAAGGGACTTTGATTTCCCATATATTGTTGAGTCTCGACACTGCTGGCAAACGAGCCCGTGATCTTGAAATAGTCAGAATCTGAAGACCATGGTTCTTCAATCTGGTGCTCGTACCGCCGGTACCATATGTGGTTCAGGTGCATTCAAGGAGTTAAGGTTGATATCTAGGGTAGCCAGTAACCCTCTCATCCAGGCATTCTCGGATTGCAGTTGCTCAACTGCTGATAGGGATGGGGTTGATGTTGATGCGATTAATTCGTCGTATTTCTTTGCTTTTTCCTCTAAGTCACGAATATAATCTAGCCGTTTTGCCCTTGAGCGCCGTTGATTATTGCGAATACGGGCGAGATCCTCGCTCTACACGAGTAGAACGTGAGTGGGACACAATCAAATAAATAGAAATATGGGACTGTTCCTAGCTAACCGACCTTGGTCTTCGTTTTTGAACGAGGCATAGTTCAAGTTGATCGTACCAAAGAGCTTATGGGATAGAGAGATGAAGTTGAAGATCTTCAAACATTCCAATGTTCAGATTTTATACGTTAAAAGGAACTAGAGGAAAGTTGACATGGTCCAATTAAATAAAAGTGGCATGTCACTGCTGAATAAATACCCCGCAGACCGTATACGGGTGTGGCTTCAAATAGATTAGGGCTCTCTCACCAATTAATTATTGATAATCTATATATACATTTTGGTATTAATCATTCCATCCAAGTCGCCTGGCTATAAACTTGACAGCATATACCAGACCCAACAGCACGGGGACTTCTATGAGAGGCCCAACAGTCGCAGCAAGAGCCTGGTTGCTATCCGCGCCGAACACCGCCACCGCAACAGCAATAGCCAATTCAAAGTTGTTGCTAGCAGCTGTAAAGCTCTGCACAGTGGACAACTTATAGCCAAATCCCAACTTGTATGCGACAAGGAGTGTCGCGAAGAAAATGACAAGGAAATAAACGATGAGCGGTGCTGCGACTCGAACCACAGAGACGATTTGGTGTACCACTTGGCGGCCTTGCGAGGCGAATAACACAAGGATTGTAAATAGGAGGCCAATGAGAGACCATGGGCTGAGCCATTTCAAAAAGGTCTCGTCGTACCATTTCGCAGAAATTCGTCGGACCACGAAACGGGTGAGAATTGCGGCACCAAGAGGGATTCCGAGGAACACTGCAACACTTTTGGCGGCTATTGAATATTCGAATGTGACTTGATCGCCGCTGATGACACTGATGAAGAATACTCCCATTGGGGCGAAAAGAACCATCTGCAAAATCGAGTTGAGAGCAACAAGGATGGCGCAATACTCATTATCGCCTCCAGCTAGCCCTGTCCAAACTAGAACCTGATAGAAGATAGGGGTCAGTATGATCTTGTCTCCAAGGGCCGGCTTCTGAGCCATTTAGGCTTACCATAGCAATGCATCGTGCCAACCCAACAACAATCAGTCCCTGTCGCAATTCTGGCTCGTCGGGCAAAAACGCCCAAGCCAAGGCCAGCTAAAAGAACCAAGTTAGTGGCAAGCTTCGTGTCAGGGAAGTGTTTAATGACGAACCATAAGGAAAGGGGCAATAATCCAATTCAGAAGAACACTGAAGGCCATCTGGACCCAAATTTGCTTCTCTCGGAAAACATGATGCAAGGATTCGAACCGAACCTTGCACAGGATAGGGTACATCATGACCAACAAACCCACGGCTGGAAATACATATTCAGTTAGTAACAAACTTGGAAGCATTTGGACTTGTACGTACCGATAGGAACAGAGACCCCCACGAATTTTCCCTTTTGCAAGGCAGGGCCTGTGTTTGGGACAAAGTTGCCCAGGATGATTCCAATAGCCATAGCAAGGAAAATCCATACTGCCAAAAATCGGTCAAGGATACCGAGACTTGAGAACATCGACCGCTTCTCCTGTGGCTCAGCCGGAGAAGATATCTCACTTTGCTTTTCAACGTCGCATGGTTGAGGACTGGAGGGAGCATCCAAACATGCCTGTGTGCGTGTGCACGCCATGAGAAATGATCGGGATTATCCGATCAATGACTTGAATAGAATGAATATAAATGGTTGAAATTGAAGATAGCTAGGTAGGTAGCATAGACTTTTATATTCGCCAGCCCTGTGAATATTTCCATAGAACCTAATGGCAGGGATATGTCACGGGTGGGCGCTGATTGGCTGGAAGGATCTGAGTGGGTCCAGCCAATCAGAACGCCGGAGCGACATTCCTGACAGACAGCGGGGTAGGCCGTTCAAGCTGCTGTCAACAGTCTTAGGAGTGTCAAACCTCTCAATTCTCAATTCCAATATTTACCTTAGCCAGAATGTCAGCCGAACTCCCTTGGCATGCTGCATATCCCGCACCAAGGGGTGCGGCACCTTCCATATCGCGGGAAGAGCTGGTGCAATGGATTCGAGATGGTAAACAAGCAGGCAAAGACTTTATTCTTGTTGACTTGCGTCGGACAGATTATGAGGTATGGACAGTCCGAAAAAAAAAGAAGTGACATCTTCATGAGCTGATGTGTCGAAAAGGGAGGAACGATCCAAGGGTCATTGAACTTGCCAGCTCAGAGTTTATACCCCACGATCCCGACATTATATTCCCTTGTATCGAACAGCAGCGTGAAATATGTGATTTGGTATTGTGGTGAGTTTGACTGGATACATAAGATATGGACTTCCTGAAACGCCAATACTAATCTGCATCCAGGGTCATCTGCAGGTCGAGGTACTCGTGCAGCCGGCTGGTTTGCGGATTATCTCGAAGATCAACAGGATACCGAGGTCAAGAGCTTGGTTCTCTCAGGGGGCATTAAAGGATGGGCTGCGGCTGGTCCCGAGTATACATCCTTGATGACAGAGTATGATGCCTCTGTCTGGACAAAGTAAGAGTATTCGGTCGAATTAGTCAATTGAATGACATGATGTCTGTTGCCAACTTGCCATTTTAACAAGGGGCCTCGAAAGACCTGCCTGACGAAGAAGCTTCTCTCGGATGTTATGAGATGCTCAAGCACCACGCCCGACCAGGCAAGCTGCACGCCACGTCGTGCACCCAGATGTGCGCATTGCTGATCGTGGGACTACCGTCCCACGATGCTCAAGCGGTCTTTGATCCCTGATCTGCATTGTATTTGTCTTTTGGATATATATGCAAGTTTTTCTACGATGTGAGGTGACGTAAGCACGAGTAAAATTAAGCTTATAATTAACCTAGCGGGGCTCGTCATGTCCATGTAAACAACCTTGGAACCCTGGAAAGAATTCAACCAAAATGCTCAGAACGCCCGATCAAAGGGGAACAGTATTCTCTTACGCAGTCCTTGAGGCTAAAAAGGGTATATTTGGAGCTATCGATCCCTGGGAACACTGTTACTGATTTCCCGCAAATGCCCCGGTGCACTCTGTGAGGGCTGTCGTTCGCCGGTATGTTAGCAACATCTCCGATATAAGAAACCAACAAACTAAAGGTACACATACCAGATACCTGTGTTCAAAAACCATTCAATTATTGCCAAGATGAGGTTGGTGCGAATGTGCCTCAGAGATGTTCTTATCGAGCGACTCGTGCCGCGCTTCTTCCTCTTCATTTGTGGGCTCAACCGGACGCGGAGCAGCCACCTCGCTCAAAGTGGCATACGAATCATCATCTCTATTATCATCCCCAGTATCTGTGTGTGGCTTGATTTCTGGTTTGGAACCTGAGTCTTTCTTATGGCCACAGGTGAGTATCCGCCGGAGCTTGGAAAGTGTCATATTCTATCCAGCAATAAATGAGATCAATATGTACTGTGACAGAAAATTTCTAGACGGTCATTGTCTCCAAGACATAGGAGACCGTTATTCTGTTGGGCGTTTGGCCACTATGTATGCTACGTCATGACTATGAAGGGGTGAAGAGACCATCGGACGCATTTCCGAGTTCCATGAAGTGTTACTAGGATAGTTGGAATCTAGTCAATATTATTGAGCTCAATTAAAAGAATCAAAAGATGAATAGATCAGCTCTAAAATACTTGTAATTAAGTCGTCCACTTGCGCTGTCCGATTTATCTCGGACCTAACACCCCGGACTTTACCCCTAACTCCGAACTTAGCATTGGACATCTCGTTCGTGTCCACACTTCTCGCGTCTTTCCACTTCGTGCAATCAACAACAAATCTGTAAGATGACTTTCCAAGTTGATCAACCGCCTCTCGATCAAACGGCTTCAGATACTTCGAGGGACATATTAGATCCTGTGGCCCGAAGACGACTCCAAAATCGTCTCAATCAACGTGCGAGCAGTAGGTGGCACTCCTATTTAACACGCCCGGCCTCTCAACTATGAACTGTTCAGACTAACATTTAATATAGGACAAAGGAAGGCGTCAGAGTGTAAAAAGCAACGCAATCCAGCCGACAGGAAATGGATTGTCTATGTCGAGGGTTCAAACATCCCAAAAAAGAATGCATCCATAGAAGAAACAACAAGCCATCAAGTTACTAAACCATCGCCCCCTCCCCGCCAAAACGAAGAATCTTTCTGTTACCTCAACCCTGTCCAGCGCGATGAATGTACGAAGTGGCTCCATGCAAAAGCCTTGCATATGATGGAGAACCCGGTTCTCTCACCCAATCCCACTTTTTACATCTCCCAGTACAATATAATCCGGGCTATATTATTCAACGCCGAACTCATGGGCCTCACACTTGATCTTCTCAACGAAGACCTCGCGTCGCAGTTCAACCTCATCGGTCCATCGACGTCGGCGACACGTCTCCCAGCAAGCCTGTGTCCATCCCCAAAACAAAAGAAAATCATCCACCACCCCTGGATCGATTTGATTCCAATGTTGTCTCTACGGGAGGCGCTCTTGGCTAGGGTAGATGTACTCGACGAAGATGAAGTATGCAGCGATCTTTATGGGGGTTGTGCTTCGCAAGAAGTCGGGCTTTGTGTTTGGGGCGAAGCTTGGGATCCACGTGCTTATGAGGTCTCGGAGACGTTGACCAGGAAATGGAGTTGGATGGTAAAACGACTGTCCCGATGTCATTAAGACTTCTAATTACTGGAGGAGACAACGTGGGGAAAAGCCCATCATGCTTAAGATCAAGTGATATTTCAATCCATATATAATAATCACACCAAAGTCATTTCAACTTGCGTGTCTCATAGACAAAACTTCTCCTTAGTCAGGCTCTCGCTCAGCTCCCAAAGTTTGGTCCAGTTGCCTTCGTCCTTGATGTGGGTGTGCAATTCGTGGTCCGAGACTGCGTTCTGGTTGAGGTACGAGCCATTGTACTCTGCATACATGATTAGTAAAAGAAAAATATGGCAGATTCTACCTAGATAGATCTTGTGATTACCTGCAATGGTAGGGTCAATCATCCCTGTGATGACGGTAGCGGCTCCTTCTGAGGTAGTAGTCCAAGGGGGAATTTCCATTGGCTTTCCATCCATGTCAATCATGGCTAGAGAGGTCGGTTAGTGAGAAATAAACCATCCACCGAGAGGGCGGCACATACCTCCGGTCTTTTTCCATTCATCGACCTGGTCAAGGAAGTTGGAAGGGCAGTGTCGTTGCAAACCGGTCCAAACAGCTAAATACTTGTTAGCTCGATTCACTGCGCAGTAAGAAGAAGTAAAACATACCACCAGGATCGACACTGAAAACACGGATTTTCTCGGCCTTCAACTTCTCACCCAGTCTCTTGACGAACATGACTCTCGCAGCGTTCGACTGGCCATATGCGACCATCGGGTCATAGGTTTGACCATCCTGCAAGGACATTGAATGTCAGCTTTGTTAAATGAAACCCGCAAGTCAAACTAACACTGAAATTGAAGTCGTCGAAGTGCATCTTCCCTTGTCTGGCCATGGACGAGGCCATGATAACCACAGACGAGTCCGGTCCTGCAGCACGGACCTTGGGTAAGAGCAACTTCACGAGCAAGAAGTTCGCCAGGTAATTGACGCCAAGTTGGCTCTCAAATCCATCTTTGGTCTTGCTGTAAGGTGGGAACATTACGCCAGCGACACAGACAAGGTGGTCGATGTGAGGCACATCCTTCAGGTCTTCGACAGCATCTCGCACGGCAGCCAAGTCACTCAGGTCCATGTTGAGAAAGCGGGTTTCCACGTTCGGCTTGGCTGACTTGATTTTGTCTCGAATTCCTGCCACCTTTGCCTCGGCACGGGCGCTCAGGATGAGGAGCTTTGGATCGGCGGCCGAAAGCTGGAGTGCGAGTTCCCCTGCGATCGAGTCGTCGGAAACGCCGGTGATGAGGACTTTGGAGGAAAGCGTGTTTCGTCAGTACTCTTCTCCTTGACATATTATTGGTACCCTGCTTACCTGTCTTTCCAGCAAGGGCCTTGCCGTACTTCTCGAGAACAACCTCAGAGCAGAGGATTCGCTGATTGTTGGACATTTTGATTACGGGTTTGGAGGTAAGAATCTCAAGCGATGAAGAAAGCGAAGAAGTCTTTGATTGATGTCCCCTTTGTTTTAACCAGCTGCAATGGTCGCCTTTATATGTTTCCTCTCGGTGATAATGGGATTAAGTGTTCTTCAAGTGCATGTCGAGTATAGTTCGCAAGGACCAACCAACGTCCACGGAAATTCCGACTAAAACCTTGGAAGCCTGTACCTTACCATATCGGGTTAGTCCGTTGTCATCGAGTCCATCGGGTTGTTTCTTCAAAAAGCTTTAATGGGCGATTGGAAGGTAATAGAACATATTAGGAGCACAACTTTTGAAAATTATGAAAGGGCTTAAGATGAAAACTCCGTTAATTCCGACAAACTCTGCCTTGTGCAGGTGAGGGAGGTTACGTCCAATATCAGAACATGTTGAGATTTGACGAAATACAAATTTGGCTTGAATAAGTACTACACAGACAGCGCTTAGCTACAGGTAAATATGTTCCTTTCTAAAGACAGATAAATAAAAAAAAGTCCAAATTGAGACAATATAGGTGGTCAAAATACGCAGAAAGCCGCCAGGGTTGCACATGTTCCCCCCTTCATTGTGCGACCGTAGAGGAATTGCCCGATTGAGTCGTGCTGTGCATCAAGTGGAGATGATGGATACCTTGGGGGAAACTACCGTACATTATGCCGTGGTCGAATTTGCCCATTCCCTGCCTTCTGCGAAACGGGTTCATCATGATCATAATTGGTGGAAGACTAGAGATATAGATGAATGCCAGGGCGAAATGGCAAATATGATTATTAGATTCCAACAGGAGGCTAAACCAGAGCCACCGGCCCAAATGTCTACACGTATCTAATACAGTGCGCCAAACCAAATAAGACAAGAAAGGTCATCACACATATCAGCGGACAGGCATGAAGTAGCAGTACTCAAAACAGCCTGCCCTAAAACCACATGATGCCTGCAACAAGACCAATCACAACAGCCATACAGCTTCCATGGAGCTCTTGCGAGTGCCGACCAGCGGCAGCATCGGTGGAATCCTCAGCGACAACTCTTTGTTGGGGCGGCGCTTGCTCGGATGGAGTGAATAGGTCTTGATTTGAGGCGACGGAGTTGGGGATTGTGGGGTTAGATATTAATGGTGTGGGAGCCCCAGTGATCTGCTCCGGAAGGAAGATCGATTTCGCATAATTTGCTCCGTGGAGTCCGATGCGTTTCCCAAAGCCAATTGCGACATGGCAGGCCTGCTGACACATGTCGCCGAGGGAGGCAGGAGATGGAAATGGTGGCTCATCAATGCTGTCGGAGGAATTATTATATGACAGGATGCTTGGGGAGGACTTGTTGTCAAAGGTTGGTAGGGATTCGTTGAGGGTGACGGTAGGATATGGATGCGTCGAGTCTGCACCTAGACTGCGATTGGAGAAGGACGTGAGGAATGGGTAGTCGTCTAATTGCTGGATGAAGTAGGTTCTGAATGCGCGAGCTCTGCGGCTGAATGAAAATGATGATTCGCGGGTTAAAGATAGAAGCTGACTTTTATTTGCGACGGCAGTTGTTTCGCTGCCCGGGACCGCAGCGGCATTTGCAATCCGCGCAGTGAGCGGTGGGCGATTGCCACGCGATCGAGGAAATGATTGAAGAATCCATGATTTCCGAGCCTCATTGAGCGGGGGTGCTTTCGGTGCTAACTCGGTGACACTATCTTGAAGGAGAGGGACCTCTGAACAGTGGACTTCGTTAGTTGACGTGAAATTGAGATTGGCGGAAAGGGGGACGTACGGCGAGCTGCACCAGTGTAGAAGCTGAAGTCCGCGAACTTCGAGTGATAGAGATTCGGTAATGATGGCACCAATGTGAGAAGCGAGAATGCAATGAGGATGAGGAGCGGGAGAGCGCCAGGTTTATCCAATCCAGACCGCATCGTCCCTACTCCCTGACTCCGTCCCGGAGCTTCCAAAGGGTGTGTTGAGGTTCAGGCTTCGCGAGAATCGAGGAGAAGCAAGAATGACAATTTCAAGGCCATGGAGGGGATAAGCTCGGGTGTTTCGTGTTTCAATGCAACGTTCCGCGGGATGCAGCGTTTCTGCAGAGCAATGCGCCGACGCGCAGGGGGGCTGGTCTATCTGGAGTGTGGCCGGGTAGGTGTGAATGTTGTATTTGTACTCCGTAGGAGTTAGAGAGAAAAGATGAGGGAATCACAGATGCGGTGGGTTCAAGTGGATTCGATGGGTTAATAGTCGAATGAAATGCGATAATGAGCCCTCGGGGTAGGTGGATGTGCTTCCTTGGCCTCTTTTTTTTTCGCACAGAGCCCCCGAGTATGACGTCGACGACCGTTTCGTAGCAGCACGATAATCTGGACGTATTTGAAATTTGCCGTTTGATCTGAAGTGTACAGGTTCCTCAGCCAAAGCGCCGAAGAATGTTCTCCCACGTTGGCAATTTGGCAGTTTGACAGTTTGAAGATTTCGCAGAATGTTGGCCTGAGGCATCACTGTCCCTGGCAACATGTCGATCACCAAAACAGGAAAAACAGGAAAAACAGGAAAAACAGGATTTCGCAATCTTCCCCGAGCCCTTGTATTCGCAATACTCCTTGTGCATAGAGTGATGCGAGAGTCATTGCTCGTGGCAACCGGTTGACATTCGAGTCTCGGCTATAGGACAATGATCTGTACGGTTTAGCTTTCTCTAATAGGGCACCTAGAAAGACACATAGAAAGAACATATAAGGCCACACCAGTGTGTTCCTACCTATATTGTCTCGAATATAAACGTTATGCTAGGGCTAAAAGATCCGATTATTAAAATCCTACGTCGTTAACAAGGCTGCATACGCAGCCACTTTACCACATTAGACCGAAATCACATCGTAATGAACCCTTTAAATATGAAATAGTGATACTAGCTATCATGCTCTCTAGGCTTCATCGCTGGTCCATGAACAGCTCCAACGGAAGGCAAGTTCTATCAGTAAAGACTGGACATCAACATCAAGCCAGAACCCTGACACAGAGAGCCAGTGATATGCCAAACAACAACGTGCACGATCCGGACACGAGGGCAAACTTATTCTATGTGTCAATACTGGACGATCGATGGCCTGGTCTCCAGACAGATATTGTTGGTGGGTTGACGTCTGTCTGCATGAGGTACTCATAGTAAATAGTGATCACAGCTTACTTGGGTTGCAAATTACCGTTGCCAGAAGGCTCGATTCTCTTATTGTGCACGTTGTACAAAAGGTCACATCGTCTGGCGTCCGTATAGAGCTGTACACACGCAATAGCAGGCTGAGTGACATGTCTCAGTATATCACATAGCGCGCGCGGTGTGCCGGGATCACATCCGCCAGCATATAGCGCGATATTGGAGTAGGCGTCACGCTTGCTTCTTCCATATCGGTCGAATTCAGGGTGATTCTTTCCATCCGATGCAACCAATGAAGCTGAGCTCCTCCTGGCAGAGCCGTATGGCGAGTTGGAGGCAATAGATACAGTCTCAACTGCCGCCATCATGGCAGAGAAAGTCGCAAATAGTGTAAATAGCCCCATTGTAGCCGATTCCATAAACATATCGCAAGGAAGTTGAAGTACTAAGTCACTGAAGGGGACCCTATGATTTTCCTGGAGCCCAACTTGTTGATAGTATTCGGAATGCCAATCGTAGGTTCTGACGCCGCATTGTTCGATTCCTGTCCGAGAGTATCCAGATAGCATATCGCGAGGATTGAACGGCGAAACATGTCCTGACCGGTATGTAGGCCTTTAAATGAAGGAAGTATGCATATTCCGGGTGCGAGAATTAGGACTTGGTAAGAGGAACAGCCTAGAGCCTTATACCCACTCTCGCTAGCCTATCCAATGCACACCACTCCGCTGCTGTCGACGACGGTGTAGTAATCGTCCGCTTCTTGGAATATCATAGTATGGGTGCGCCAGCAAAAAATCAAACTGCGCCTTATGTAGACTTCGAATCATGCCAGTCTCCATGGGATGCATCTGCATATGAGAAAAATGACATATCTGAGACCTTTCCGAGCTCAACCCAACGCTCAGTTGTAGATTTGAGGTATCTGTATGCTGCATGAACTGCTTCCATGTTGTTCTTCGTCAGAGTGGCTGTTCGATGCTGGAGTTTCATGACTGTGAGTTTCAGACCTTGCCTTGTTTCAACTGCAAGCCAGTTCGATCTGCCAACAAGCGATCTGTACAGTGTTTGTTCTTCCTCACGAAGAAGGATCTCTGGATCTCGTTATCAGTGTCCCATTTACGACTCGGCACGAGCGGAATCGGAAGTGGAGAGCATGCTTGCATCTCTGCAAGACGTAGCGCTTCGAGAGAGTAAGCTTTCTGAGACATTGTGATTGTTCTTCTGTCGTAGTTCCGGGAGACTGCACTGCCTAGAAAACGTTAGGGTTCTCCCATATTTTGATTTCGAATTCGCCTTTCACTTGCTGGAAAATCTGCTCGACTTCTTCATCTGTGGGAGCTGCTGCAATGAAATCATCAACAAGAACAAGTAGAAACCATGTACCAAGTAGTAGACCCGGTGGGGTGACTTGAGCCGTTAAGGAGCGCTGACGTGATCAATGAAGCTGAGCTCCTTCTGCCAGAATTATAGGGCTAGTTGGAGGGTCTTTGGCAAGGCAGTTTCGGTAGAGGATTGGGCGAAAGAGAATGCCTGGTTTGCCGGTGATACGGTCCGGGTGGATGCGATTGTACTCCTCGAACATGCCTTCAGGCTGAGAGGTAGCACCTGCTGTACACTCGCTCGCGAGCGTACCTACATAGAACATATGCTGTCCCATGGAGAGATGGATCAGGACTATGACACTGAGAGTTAGATGGCTCACGTACATCATGGTGAGTATTCGACGTGACATTTCCCACTAGGTAGCTAGATCTGTCGCAGGAAACATGATCTGGTTGTAGGTGCTCAAGAAACCAAATGCAGACTTAGCCTCGCCCAAATAAAGGAGAGGCTCTCCCACGAGACGCGCCTCAGTCGTTGGAGCTTGTCAGCACGGCTTAGCAAATGGTGTGGGATGACCCAGGGAACCTTCAGTTCCCCTACTAGTCCGGACTCCCCCTTGGTCTCTTATAGTGATTAAATAATGATAACTCTTCGATTGGCCGCTGTCTTTTTCCCGAGCACATCTTTGTCACCCCGCATCCTTTGAAGTAAACCCGCTCGTGAGGGGGTTTACATAGGTCGGCGAAAAGCCACATCATCAGCGCCGTTTGCTGAGCGTCGTACAGTGCGTGGTGGTTGCGCCCCGAGAGATGGTTATAAATATAAATATAAGGAAAGTTTTATAAGTTTCGGGAAAGTGCGCACGTCTCAAGACGCCACCGACATAAAAAGAGGAAGCCGGTCAGCTGTAAGTGATCATATGTACTGTTAGAGCCAGATCCTGTAAATATAGGGGAAGGGACCTTATACCAACCGAGGGATAGCATGGCCCGGAACGCGTATAGCAATTCATGCAGGCGCCGTTGAAGAAGGCGTTATTCTCCTCCTCCACTACGCCACAGCGACTCTCATCGATCCATTCGCTGCCAGACAGTCGTGGCACGTAGGGGCAATGACCCAGCCAAACTCTGCCACTTGCGGAGATAATGGTGTTTCCGAAGGGTTAACTGTTTGCACGACAAGAAAGTTGTGTCACACTCCACATCTGCCGCAGTAGCGCTATCATTGTGGTTAGCTTGACTGCGGTAATCTAGTTCAGGTCATTGAATACTTCCTTAGTGACAGTTCCTCGGCCATTGTTCCACGCCCATCGGTCTCACCTCTGTGTCCCTTCCTAGTAGAAGCGGCAAAGCCTTCTGAGCACTTTGAACAGCCAAGTCAGATACCCCACAGTTCAGAGGACGGGCATATTGTCTAGCTGTGTTCGCCTTTGGCAATGGCATTTGCATGAATTCGTTGCATATAACCATATACACTAATCGAGTACTCTCGTCCTCCCAGACCAGCGAGGCGGATCTGAAGTACCTCCTGGGAGAACATATTAGCTTCGAAGCCGATATCAACCACATCGGAAGCCTCACTCTCCGTGGATTACCGATGAGCACACTGGAGTTATGGAGAACGCCCGGCTGTCTGGTGGGGACCAATGTTGGTGGGAGATGAAGGGATCGGCGAAGCAAGCAGAGGTACTTGTGAAACGCTGGCGCTTGTTTATAAACTGACCTTGAACTGAATCTCGTCCAAGAGCGTGGCGGCAGACCGCTGCCATTCATCGAGGGCGACTTTGCACTGTACGCCAGCCGTCACGGTGGGTTGTTTCCATCGTTGGTGTTTATAACTCGATCAAAACCATGTCGTATATAGAATGGAACTCAGAAATGCAGACTCGTGTTGTCTTGGTGATATTGACACCGGGAACCTTTTGGGCATCAGCTGCACCAGGGTTGTGCTCCCCAAGCGACTGCCATCCAGGGGATGGAAGCTGGGGATTTGGAGTCGGTTTATAGATGGAGTAGATATTTGATATAGAAAATTATAATTAGTAGTAGACTCAACGTCAGGGATAGATGTGAAGCAGACAGAACAAAACAAAAAGGGCATCAGGAGGTGTGGTACCTAGTCTATTTGTGCCGCCTTATATAGTGAAATATTAACAAACAGCAAACAACCAGGCCATATTTAAGTTTCTCTGGAATCTCTGGTATAGGTATCGCAATGATGTGTATTACGACCACTACAAAGACCTGTACCAACGCAGCATCACTAACTGCATATAGCACAAAACATGTCATTATTTGTTCATCAACAGTGAATGTAAGTCACCAAAGCGTAGCGTATATCTACAGATATCAAGAGAAATGCATACTGTCTATATACACATGCTCGCTGAGAAAAGAAACAAAAGAAAATCGATACATCGAAACACGCCAAAGATACGGACAAGAATCGGGACATCGTTTCTTCTTTAATTATGCACGTTTCCATTTCCATTAAATCGGATTCATCATAGAAGCATCAGGAACATCCGGCTGGCTCACACCCCCACCAGGTCCAGCAACAGGTGTAGATTTCGTAACCGGCACAGGCGAGACGGTAGTCGGCACACTAATATCAAGATGGCTAGGCGAGCGACTACTGCGACTGCGTGAGCCACCACCGCGGGAGACACTGCTCCCCGGAGTGCCGGTACTGGAACCAGCCTTCCCGCCACGTTTGACCATCTTCCCCAGCACGCTGACGATCTCTGCGGCGTCTTCGAAGCTCTCGTCGTCCATGCCTTCCTTGGCATTGTAGACGTCTGCAATGGCCTGTTTTGCGAGCCGGCGGCAGGCGATGGAGTCTTGGAGGCAGTCGTATAGATAGGCTGCGTATTCGAGCTTGACTGAGAGACGGAGGGGATGTGAGCCTGGTAGGAGTTTGTCGGAGAGGGTTGCTGCGTGGTTGAAGCAGGCTGTTGCTGTGGCTGTGTAGTCTAGTGGCGGGAGAAGGAAGGAGGAGATTGGTTGGGGTGGCTGAACTGGTTGTAATACTGGTAGGCCTGGGGGCCGGGATGTCGGCGTTGATTCCGTGTTCATTTTGGACTTGTAGGGGTCTGAGACGCCGAGGGCGGTTAGGGTATCTGCGCCGTATATGGAATCATGTTTGAGGCGGGTTGGCATGTCGGTGTCGGGGGTGAAAACTGGGCGATTGTGGAATAGTACGAAAATATGGTAGAAGGAAGCGCGGAGTTTGTAGGCGAGCACTTTTAGCTCGACGGACCTCTCTACCATGGGAAGGATGTAGCCCTCCAGTATTAATAGGCCTTCGCGGGAGAGCCATATGATGTGATGGTACAGTTGGAGGGATCTTGTTTCACGTGTTGTGTCGAGGCGCCGCAGCTTGCGGGCTCTAAGAAGCTTTTTTGATAGCATGACGGAGACACCAAGGACTTTGTATAGCATTGCCGAGAGCAGGGGGTTTTCGAGACCCATGACGGCCGCGAAATTCCCCAGGGCCTTCTGGTCCACTTCGGAGGAGGCCATCCATAAAGCCCACGACCCGGGAATTGGTGAGTCTGGGCAGATAGAGTCAGCCATATTGGTCATTGGTCTCAAGCAATAGGCAGGGTGGAGGTTCGGCGAAGCCTAATTGACCGAAAGGAAACTCAATTGAGAAGCTAGGAACGCCTCAACAGAGAAAGGAATCGGCAAAGACAGCCCAGACTTACCAAAAAGCGCGCAAACAGAATTTCAAATAACAAACCAAACGCAGCAACTGAATCATGCTCCAACCACGCGCGTATCGCCGAGCCGCGGACCAATTGACCTGCCGAATCAAGAACTTGGCGCACAAAATGTCCAGACTGTTCCAGCGACGCGCCGGATCGACAATACAAAATATACAATATCCGAAACCAAAAGCAGCAAATTGGGCGCAAGCTGCAAGGTTCAGCAGGGCCCGAGGGGTGATTGTTCAGCCCACGGAGTATATCACAGCCAATGGCTTTCGTTCGTGGCACGTGTACCAAATCCAATTGCGACAATCTTGGAAGTATAGAATGTTCGAATAGTAGTCGAACAGTGCGGAACAACGCTATCCGATCAATCGAATCAATATTGCCCGTTTCGGTCTAGCGACGGCTGAGTTTCGAATGTCGTATTTGCACTGTATCGTGGCTGGGAATTCGGCTAACGCAAGGAGCAGACAAGGTGACTGAGCTGGATTGCAAGTAGACTTGACGCATCGTGCGGCAAAGGGGGAGGCGAAATGCGATTTTGCCAGCGCAGTCTGTGCGGGGAAGAAATTGGGGTGTCTCGGGTGTGAAGCTGCTAGCTCGGGGGGGGCTCGAGCTAGGAGCGCTGGGTTAGAATTGTTGTACCTGTTAGGGCTGGTATGGAGTTGAAGCCCACGGGGTTAGAAGACAATTAGAAAATTGAAAGATTTTCGAAGGAATGCATCATGTTAGCTGCGAGGTTTCCCCTGATATGATGAGATCGGGTTGGACTCGGAATATGCGTATGCAAGTACTGTATAGTAATTGTTACTAGCCTGTCTTGGAGTCCCACAATAATCAGAACATTTGAATAAATTGATTATGATAAATGTGCTACAAGTGGGAATAGTGGCCTACTTGTATAAACCAGGTAATTCACTCAAGTAGGGCTCGTTCAATTGTAATACCATGTGGCAACCCATCTCACCCGGGAATTCTAGTACAATCTAATGCTGTGCTGTCCTGCACTAGCCTGAGTTTCGCTTGCGATGTCAATTTGATCCTGTTAATTACTCCCTACATAATGACGGGCTTGCTACGTGGCAGCTTAAGGCGAAAACTAACGAGACAGCGCAGATTGGGGATATTAATTACAGGATGATCCTACCCAGCTAAATAGGTGCCCAAGTCCTCGGGCCAGCTTACTCTGAATGTATCTGGGCATTAATCTAAACCTTGCACGGACTCTGCCACGCTGGCAGTGGCTGGGATGTGTGTATTGTATTGTGGACGCGATAGGAATCCACCTATCTGATGTGATGGAAGTGAGGGTCTGGAGTGTTCATTGTACAACATCCACTGATGTACTCCGTATTTTACTAGGCATAAATTAATATAACATCGTCATTTACCGCAGTTCTGTAGGTTGATGTGTTGTGTTCCCAGCATCTAAGCGGATACACCGCTAGAATGATGCCCTTGCTGATCGCCTCATTAGACATGTCCATTGTACGGAGTACCAAGCTATAATATAATTGTACATGTAAACGAATGCAAAACTTGGTAATTTGGCTTTTGTATTTGGTTTGTACTTTTCGTCCCAACCCTGCCAATGTGTTCTATCTCCAACGGCCGTAATTTAGAATAACACCTTGTGATAACACAAGCACAAGTCGCCACTGTATAAGCCTGAGATGCAATGTGTTATCGTACATGCAAAAGTATCCCCCCAAAAAAAAAAGAAAAAGCTAAGCTAAGGCAAAACCACCCTATCCATCCAGGTCATCCAGGTCATCGACTGGGAATCCCACAAATGCGCGCCTCACGAAAGCCCGCCAGACATTGTTCACTAGCTTCTTTTTCTTGCTCGAAGACCAATCAGCACCTTGGCTATTGACCTCAGTCTGTTTCTCTTCGGCTCCTTCCTCGCCAATCCTCGCTGCGAGTTGGAAGAAGCTGCGCACCGTCAGGTCTTTCATTTGATACACGTCATCATTTGTGGTGTACTCAATCTCGTAGTCGATACGAGGACTGTCGCCTTGTTCGCTTGCCACGAGCTGTTCATGGAGTTTTGTTAGATTCGAGAAGTATTGGGTGTAGCCAAGCCATGTGAACGCCTGGTTCGAGTATGCAGGGCCCGGAGGAGCGGTTGACGAGGGAGGCTCAGGGACTTTGAACTTGGGTTTCTTTTTCTTTCCCTTGCCCTTCTTTTTCTTTTGAATTTCGGGTGGAATAAGGGAATCGTCGCTGGTTTCCGGCGTATCAAGTTCAGCAAGATCAAGTCCAGAGGTCGTATCGTCAGCCGCATATGTGGACAAATCCACTCCACGTGCGACATCATGCAGTCCCGTGATATTGTAGTCGATCACGCGCAGACTAGGGAAGAAGTTCGGAACCAGACTGGGGGATACTAGCGATACGCTGTATCGCTCTGCCCACGGGCCCCCAATCTTCTCCAAGAACTTTCGCTTCTTCTTGTCCTTCTTTTTACCTCTCTTGTCCTTCTTCGCCGGTTCAACTTCCGAGACATCCTCCAAATCCGATATGGAGTCGAGCTCCTCGAAAATGCCCGACGGAGGAGATGGCAATGAGGACCATTGGTTTCGAAGCGACTCAAGGTAATCGGCTTTCGAGTTGATTGACACCTTTCCATGGGCCTTCGAATCAATGTTGACCTTGTTGCTGTCTTGGAGCATGAAATGGTCGATGTTCATATGACCGTAAAGGCTGCCGACAACAACATCACGGTACTGGTGCATCCAGAGCGTATATTTTTGCCAGCATGTCTCATCCCAGTTCTTTTTCTCGCTCGACCGGGCGGGGGGTACGTGGCCCATGAGGATGGCTTTCATGTTGCGACTGCGCAGGATTTTCAACTGCACCCGCAACCACTCCATGTGCTCGTATCCAGGTTCCGACTTGGCGTTGCATCCATCCACCGCACTGTTGGAATCGAAGAAGTACATGGTGTTCAGGCTGATGACCGCTAGCCGACCGGGAACCACCTCCGCGGTGAACCAACCGCCCTCAACGAAGGTGTGACGCTGATCTTCTGGGATAAACGGGTCCCATATCTCTGCAAAGCGCTTTGTCCACTTGTTTGGGCCCTCGTTGAAGATGTTGTGGGGCATGATATCGTTGTTGCCGAATGTCGGGATGACAGGGATCGACATTCTGGGCACGGCATTCGAGGTCTCACTGACTCCCTCCTCACCGAAAATTTTGATCCATTTTTGAGACAGTAACGTATTCAACTCCATAATCTCATCCGCCGTGCGAGGGAGCTTTTCATCATTGTCGTGTCGAGCAGAATCACCGGTCCAAATCACAAAATCGATCTCATCCTTCAAATTTTCTTCGATCCAGCGAAATGTCTCGTTGACAAGGGATAAAGGTGCATCGCAATCTGTGCCCTCGGCTCCAAAATACCCCGCGGGGCCATTACCACGGTGGCACGAGCGATCGATCGAGGTTCCGGCCTTGTAGAGTCGGTCGGGATGAAAATCTGTTGGTCAGCATGGGGCCACACAACGGAAATACAAACGTAGAGAGCTGTGCGCTTACCAGTTATATGTAAAAATCGTCCGCGTACAGGTTTGCGCAAACCATCCGCCAGCTGTCCAGCAGGCAGCTCCGTTGGACTATGGCCCAACGGCTGTTGCCCCAAGGGGCTGGCGGAGATAGTGTCGGCAAAGAGGCCCAGCAGCAAGAAAATTGACTGCATGAGTCCTCTGAAACCAAGTGCAACCAAGAGAAGTGTGTCAAGGTCAGAATGGAATATTTTGGGCGAAGATCTTATCTGCCCGGTCACGTCACTAAGCGGGTGTGGCAGCCGAACTCCAACTCAAATGCGCAACCAATCAGAGATAAGTTTGGGGGGGACCTTTGGAAAGGTTGAAGACTTTATAAATACATCTACTACAACATACAACATCCAATATTGTATGATCTTATCTCTACTACGGAGTCGCAACCTTGGAAGTTACTGAACTACTAGATTTACTAGTGCAGATTATATCCCCAGATCGACATCCTCAAACTGGCTCAGCCAATGACTCCATCACGTGGCCGAAAGTCCTGAGGGGACCTTGGAGGCTCGCCTTGGCAGAGCGGAACTCTATGTTGTAAGCATTTCATTCTCTATGTTGTATGGAGACCATGCTTAATTTGTTTCAGTCCATATCTAACTAGCTTTGTTTTATATCCGGAGTTGACCAAGTTCGGGCAGGAGATCGCATGATCAAAATTTACTGGAAGGCGATCAAGATAGAAGCTTGGAAGCTTCACGTATACTCCCGAAGTCATAACGAAGCTCACATAGCATATATCTTCTATGGATCTTGCCATAATGTGGATTCGTCAAAACATCCAAACAAAAGGGTATTGACAGATCAGATCCTGGAAAAGAATATGGTGCCCGACTGAGCCGAAATCGGCTTGACCGTCGGGGTTACTCAAATGCAGCTAAAAGGCTAGCTTGAGATAGAGAATCAATTGGAATGATGACAAGTGTGCATTACTATTTTTTACTATTTCGAAGAAGTCCGGGAGGTTCTGGTTAGGCCGGCTCTAACAACCGGCCCGGAGTGCAACCTCGCTTATACCGTACTCGATATAAAGACGGTTACCGGTCCCCACAAGAAGTTCAATGTTGGTTTCGGCCGATAGATACCTTAAACGGCTGATAATCTTCGTCCTTGGTCTATAACGATCAATCATGTCAGCCTGTATATTCAATGCGACCTCGAGACTTTGCTTGTACAAGGCTTCAGCTTACATTAAAGGTGAAACATGCAACTTTGTTGCCAATCGTTAGTCTAGAATATTCCATCGGGTTAGCCATTCTGTGCGTGGGTAAGACTTTCCTCGTAGATGTTTTCAGCTTACGGCAAAAGCTCTTCTGCGAGTGGACAGGGCCATTCAATCGGGTTGTCGTTGTGCATCTGCGTAGCATGGTTCCCCGTACCCACGCCGAGGAAAACGTCTTTTTGCAACTTAGCTCCTCTGCGCCTGGGCACGGCCTTCTACTTGGTCGCGTACGCTCTCAGTAGGAAACGGCCCGCTATAGATACCGAAAGTTAGTCGACTTAATAAAAAGACGTAGCACAACAACAAAGAGACCTACATTCGCTGATGCCCCTCCATCGTGGAAAGCGTTGATCCAAGATCTGCACGTGAATCACCTGGATATAAGTATATAGACGGGATTAAGTCAAATCATGAGTTATCCATGGATGGGTATCACTAGGCTGAGTCAGATTAACCCCAGTTTGGGCTTACCACCTGGAATTCTCGTCATTCTCGTCCTCGAATGATGCCTTTTTCGGCCATCTCTGGTAACCTTGGAATACGTGATAGCGCCGTCCCCGCCCACGACCAGCTACCACCCCGCACAGGACAACAGAACAATCCACGTGAGCTTGCGTAGGTTGCCCGCAAAACCGATATTATCGCCGTAGAGTTACTTGACTATAAGGCTGAAGACATGCCGCTCTTTCAGCCCAAGGTCAGATCCCAACCTTCGCATGTAATACAAACGGATAGTAATCTGAACATGACACCTATATCATTCTGTGGCAACAATCAGGAGTTGCAGGTTGGAGAATAACTATAGCATGCAAATATACAGGCGAAAGAGAGAAACCAGCCCTTTTCACTAATTGTAATAGCACCCCTGTGCACATATTTTGTGGGAGCAAGCACTACAATACCAGCCGCCGGTGTTGGCATTGAAGTTGCAGTTGCACTTGGCAGACAACCTCATGTTAGCAGATTGTTCATATTAGAGATTTCGTCGATTACGCACACAAGTCCACGTGCCGTTCAGGTTGTCGACAGGGCTGTGGGTGTGATTTTGCTTTTGGGGGGCCTCCATTTGTTCTGGATCTCAGTTGATAGTAGTCAGTAGGTGGGCATAGCCTCTTTCCTCGTGCAAAGCCGGGCTGGCACTCACCCGAGTGAGTTTTTCTAAATAATTGCGACGATTTTTAACGAAGGGTCTGCTGTAGAAACCAAAAGACTGAGCTGCTCGAGGAGAGTCCCATCCCTGCAAGACTCGAGGGGTTAAATAGTCAAGAATGAGGCTCCAAGGTTGCGATTCTACGATTGTATGTTGTAGATGAAGGCGAGCCTGGTCTGGGGCTGCGGGAAACAAGGAGCTGATGAAGATGCCCAAAGCCTTGCAATGATTGGTATTTATCAATTGAGGGGACAGAAATATGCTTGGCGTATGCTGGTATGCTGCATGGACCCTGCTAGCGCTTACTACATGCAAGTCGACGGATGATCAGGAATACTTGCGCTGGTCCGTGTTTCACAGCCACAGGGTCTAAGCCCCTTCAAATCTGCCTGGATCTGCCTTGAGCTCGTGTGATTCGAGCACTTGATTGCGACAGTCTATGACTACATTACTTCGGGTGAGCGCGTGTTTTCAGAGACCGGTGGTTGTATAACCAGATACCAATATTGGGCTAGCCTAAGTAACGTGGCAGGCGACCCCAAGAAGCAAAAACCAAATGATGGCGCAAGACTCGTCGAAACACGTTATCATCGTCGGGGATGCTCCCGTACGCCTGTTCCTATACCCGTCCACTGCCGATTCGACCGAAAAGTCTTATATGCACAATGCATACTGGTTCCAGGTCGGGTCTAACCTTGTGGCCAGTATTTTGGAGGGCGGATCAGAGGGTGCTGAGCCTTGCATCCATATTCACAGGCCTAGTCTCGTGAGCCCTCAACAGGGCACGATCCATTCTATCGTCGACCTCGAAGGCCATGACTCCAATGCTCCAAGCCCAGATTATCCAGGGCATCACCGTACAAGCTTCAAACTCCGATGCATGCAGGAGATCGTTACGGCGAGACAATGGTACGCGCCATCTCCTTTTCCTCCCTCGGCAAACTATCCGTCAGCGCTCTCCATTGCCATCTTTCAAGAAACCAGAACCGAAGCAACCACCGCTGAGACCGACACCGCCGCTGCAATTTCAACCTTCCAGCAATGCCGCCCCCGCTTCCTCGTTTACCACATGGCAAGGCCCCTATGCGATGGCAGTATCTGGGAAACGGTCCGGCGAGGCCCACTGACAGGCCCGAAGCCCGGAACGCCAGACGGCGAGCGGCTCATTGTCATAGTCGATGCCAATGATCTGCGCGCCGAGGGCATCAACCTCTCGCGCGGGCTATCATGGGAGAAAACCTGTGAGGACTTCGTCGAGCGGCTTGGCTCTGTAGGGAAACTGGTACCCCTGGCAACGTGTGCGCATCTAGTCGTGCTCCTTGGGTGCGCGGGCGTAATCTACCACCAGGGCTCGCGGGTGTCCAAGCCGGTGCTCTTGTTTGACCCGCGCTCGTCGGAACAAGAGTTCGTGCAGAAAGCCCAGGGACAGATACCCGGTCTTTCGGAGACGTTTGTAGCTGGTCTTGTGAATGCGTTGATTCAGAGCCCGGAGCTGAGCGTCGAGAAAGGGATTGAATTTGGCTTGCAGGCTGCCAGAAAGCTTGCTGTGCTTGGGTTAGCTGACCCTGGCAACGAGGTACCTTCTCTATCGACGGTCTATCGAGCCACGGAGGTGATGGGAGAGACCGTGACGAAAAGGGACAAGCTGATTCGCTTCGTGATCCCATCGGATGACATTGCCCGCGGCAGCTGTGACGAGAACTGGTCTTTGCTCGACTACACGATCGGTGACCCTGCAGAAGTGGCACGCCAGATTGTGCGGCAGGGGCCTCTCTCGCCCGCGAGCCAGGTGCCGCTAGCCCAATTCAACCAGCTTGTCCTCTTCGACCGGCGCGAGATCGAGTCGTGCCGGTCCATCTTCAGCTTCCTGCGGGAGTATCTCGCCGCACCGCTGAAGCGGCCGCTCAGCATTGCGCTCTTCGGCCCCAGAGGGTCCGGGAAGGCCTTTGCAGCGATGCAGGTCGCCGAAGCAGCAACGAGGGGCCAGAAGGCATGGACTATCCGCTTTGACCTCTCGCAGTTCACGAGCGTCGACGATCTGATCGCGGCCTTCCACTCCATCCGTGACTGTTCCCTCAAGGGCTCTATACCATTGGTCTATTTCCGCGGCTTTGACACCGACTTCGCCGGCTCGCCCCTGGGCTGGCTGCCGCATCTGCTGCACGTCATGTTCTCTGGCTCCTTTTCCGACCACGGCATCAGCAGACCCATCGGCACCGCCGTCTTCTTCTTCGGCTCAACCTCGTCCAGAACATACGAAGACCTCCAGCGCGTATCCACAACAACCTCCAGTAACCTAAATAATCGAGCCGTAGACTTCCTCGCTTGTCTCCACGGCTTCGTCAACATCCTAGGCCCTGACAAAGTCCCCCGCACCGCCGGCGGCAGCGAAGACAGACTCTACCCTGTCCGCCGCGCCGTCATCCTTCGCTCGCTTCTCGAAGCGCGCGAAACAAACCTCACCTCTTCCAAACAAATCAAAATTGACGACGGTGTCCTCAACGCCCTCCTTCTAGTCCCTACCTACAGACACGGAATCCGGTCGCTGAACTCCATCATAGCCATGAGCCACCTAAACGGACGCTATCAATTCGACCGTTCTGCTTTGCCCCCTCAAACGCAACTCGACCTACATGTCGACTACAAAACCTTCACCCAGTACCTCAACGGCATCCCACTCCCAGAACAACTCCGCGAGAGACTCGCGCAGGAACTCCACACCGTCTACCTGGCTATCCGTTCCAAAACAGCAACGAAGTCAGAAAAAGCCGAGCTGAAACCCTGGCACGATACCGATGAGGAATTCAAGGAATCCTCCCGCGCACACGCCGAGATGATCCCCTCCAAACTCCGCGAGATAGGGTGCTTCCTCGCCGAGAAGCAGGAGCACCGCGAGCCCGTGCGGGCCTTTACGGCCGCGCAGATCGAGCGCCTCGGTGAGATAGAGCATGATCGGTGGAATACGGAGCGGCTGCAAAACCAGTGGAGTCGTGGAGAGGAGCGCGACATCACCAAGCGCAGCAGTCCGTTTCTGGTGCCTTGGTGTGATCTTGAGCAGAAGTGGCGGGATATCGATTGCGGGATCGTGGCGAGTTATCCTAGAATTTTGCCCGAGGGGTATGGGATATACCCCATAGGCCTATTGATGCAAGAAAGGATTGAACGAAAGATAAAAAAAAAAGAATTGGGTATGTATTCTATACTATACTATCTTCTCAGCCCAGATGATCTTCCGCTTGCGTTCCTCACGCTTAGAGACCACCTTCCAGACGAGAACCACGATGAGAGTTAACGCGACGGATAGGGCAAAATACAGCCAGATCCAATGTGAAACGACGACAGAGCTACCGCCATCCTCTAGCCCTACGTTCCAGTCAAAAAAGGTCATGCTGAAGATAGTCTGTTGCAGGTTAGAGCTGGTTTCAAACATTTAAGAGGGATAGACTAGACGTACTGCTAGGAATGTGGCAGGGAGAAAGACCAGGGTCAGAATGGCAATTATCTTAACAGAAACACGGTCGCGATGTTCTATCTATGTCGGGTATTTAGTCAGTCTATTGCTAACTGGCAAGATGGAGCGATACATACCACAGCCTTGCTTTGGTCGTCAACCTGCGGTCTCCTGCGTTAGAACGCACTTAAGAGATGAGCAGTAGACTCACCAGCTTCTGCTGCGACTCAATCCTCGATGCCGTTGTATCGATATCATGAACGACACTCTTCAGAATCGCCTTCTGGTTGAAGACCCTCGCCACCAGCGTAGGTGAGTAACCCCCCTGAGGGGCCGAACTTGAATCAAGAAAGTACCGCCTCTCAAGCACCTCGAACGCAACAAGCAAATTCCCCGCCAACTCCTGCGCAAAATCCCACCTACGCCTCAGAGACAAATTGTTCTGCCACAGTCGAAACAGCTCGTCCCTAGCCCTCCGCAGTTCCTCAACCGCCACCGCCTCCCTAATCACCAAGGCCCTGCACTGTGCCATCAGTGCGCGCTTGATCACATTTACCTCCGTCATGATATGCTCTACCTGCCAGCTCAGCAACACCACGGGGAGGATCATGAGATCAGCTGGGATAGGAGCGGGAGAATCGTGCGGGAATGGGTCGCGGCAGAGTAGAGGCTCCGCCGAGCCGTCCCAGAGACTGCTAGGCCGCACCAACAGTAAACATTCCCAGTCGATGCCGCGGGAGTGGGATTCATGCGGTCGGTGGTTGAGGGACAAGGCGTAGAACGGGTATCCGTCATCTTGCGGGGTTTGGGCGATGAAGGTGATGCCTGTTGCGGGGTCTTCGAGGATCGCGGAGCCCGCTGTGTCGTTCTTGAGGAAGAAGTCGAAGCGTTCGGTAATGTAACCGGTTGCTTTTGCGGCGGTGGTGAGGGAGGTCAGTGTCAGTTGGTAGTCGGGGGTTGTCCTTTCAGGGGCTTCGACTAGACTAGGTTGTACTGAGTACAGGATTTTGTAGGGATCCCGGGCTCATTTGGGGGGTGGCTCTTACAGGATTCTGAACCGGTTGTTTTTGAGTAGTTTGCGCTTGTCTCTCTGAGTTCAAGTCCTCAGTCAGCTATCGATTTATTGTTGTGCCGGGCACAACAGAGAGTCCATCACCACTCTGAGCCGACGGTCCTACCAGAGATGGCTTGTTCAAGAAATCAATTGCGCCTTCCTCAGACTGTTTGGTCCACGGGATGGGCTGTTGGAGTCGCCATCCCGTTCTCTGCAGATTGATCAATCCGATTATCAGTGCCCTATCAATTGCATAAACAGGGTACATCACCCACCTCGATGATCGCGATACTAGTTTCATATGTCTTGAACTCCACTGCAGGCCCAGCAGCATCGGAAATGGCTGTCAAATGAACCAGGGGCTCCATGAAATTTATCATGAGCAAATAATTGAACATACGAAATTCATGTGGACTTGTCTTTGCGGGCTTTGGCTGAATTAAGTCTACAATACGAGGTGCATACTGGCCTGGCAACAGGTCACTTTGTTTTGACGCTAAAATAATAGTGGTATTTAAATTCGATTGAAACAGCTTCAAATGTTCGATTATATATTACATACGAATACAAACCGATAAGAGTTAATAACAATGCCTCATGAGTTTTGGAACTGTGTACTTTGGGAGGTAGTTCCAGAAACTCATTAGACACCACTGTACTTAGGGCTAGCTGATAGCTGATCGCAGGTGCCCCCAGGCTATCTGTTTAGTCAGCAATCTCAGCCTGGAGGCCTGGAGGGGAGAATAGCGCTAGCTGGCAGGACGAACACAAAACCATACTTTACCAAAGTCAAGTATTACTTCGTTTTTACGGAGGGCCTAAATATAGCGCTAATGTTTTATGCATACCTTGGCTTCACTCGATACGAGGCAGCCCTGTTCACCCGGCCACCCGGCCGGATGGAAGCAAGCCGCTGGTCACCATCAAACCTCCCCCGTGCACAGTGAAGATTTCGATTTCAGCCGCATCGTGATGTCCATCGTCCGCGTGGCTGTCTCTGATTGGGCTTCGCAAACATGACAGCCTTGCGGGGTGTCAAACTGACTCGGACAACAGCTGCAAGTAGCTCCTTATGGCCAGTTCAGCCGGGCTAGCTCCATTCCAGCGGCGTGGCTCTTGCAGCTCAATTGAGATGGCAATCAATTCGAGACAAACCACCACAGCTACATCTGGCAATTAGGTCAAGTAGATATAAATGTCATCGCGCTATCCAGCAACTTTTCATTATCATCCTTGCCCAGAACTGCACCAGGCTGCTATACTCACGCAAAATAAAATCAAGCATGCCTCAGTCCCCCTTCCACGGCATCCTAGCCGCCCTAATTACCCCGTTCACCACCGACCAATCCAGCATCGACGCCTCGACCCTGCATTCCCACATCAACACCCTCATCAGTGCCGGCATCCACGGCCTCGTTCCCGCTGGTAGCACAGGCGAATTCACCACCCTCTCCCGCCTCGAACGCAAAGAGCTCCTAGATCTCTGCATCAAATCTGCGGCGGGCCGGGTCCCCGTTATCGCGGGGATCGGGAGCACCTCGACCGATGAAGCGGTCGAGCTGGCAGCGCATGCAGGGCAAGCCGGCGCAGCAGCGGTAATGGTTGTTCCACCATTCTATGACCCGTTGAACTACGTGCAATTAAAAGAATTTTTGGCTGCGGTTCATGATGCTACCGGCTCTTGTTCCTCTTCTTCTTCTTCGCTGCGGCTGCCGATTATCTACTACCACATCCCCTCCGTGAGCGGGGTCACGCTTTCCCCAAGCCAAATCGCCGGGTTGTCCGATGTTGGCGTTAAATATGTCAAAGATACCTCTGGTAACGCGCCCGCGTACACGGAGTTGCTATTCGGACTTTCGGACAAAATCATCACCTTCAACGGATGGGACACGCTTATGTTCTATGGGCTTGCTGCGGGGGCGCCGGGGGCCGTGTGGGGTGCTGCCAATTTCATCCCCGAGCTGGCGGTTGAGCTTTGGGATGCTGTTGCTGTAGAAAAAGATCTAGACAAGGGGAGAGCATTATGGTCGAAGATATGGCCGATTTGTAGATTTCTGGAGGCTCATAATTATGCGGCGGCGGTTAAGACGGGGGTTGAGTTGAGGGGACTGCGGACAGGGGGGTTGAGAAGGCCGTTTGCGTTGCTGGAGGGGGCTTTAGTGAAGGAGTTGGCTACATTGATGGAAGATGCTGGGGTGAGCGTAGTTAGGCCAGCCTAGTTGTATGGGCATACGAGGTTTTATTTCCCACGAAAGTTCAGGTCAAGTTTCTTCCAGGTATCAGGCATACGGATATTGAACATTTGAGCAGGGGACCTAGTCTACCACCAGTCCGCAGTAGTTTTTAGCCCTCATAACATCAAGGAATTCACGAAACGACTTCAATCCGCCATAGTAGAACTTCACCGAAGGCATTGCCCCAGGGATATTCTTCCCCGTGATCCAGGAGTCGACCCTATCGAACAGTGTCTCGGAAGCAGCCAGCTGATCACAGAGGCCCACCCACTCCGTTTCAGCCTCTTCGGTACACTCAATAACGCTGCTGACGCCCTTCAGCCCACGCAGGTCCCTGAGCATCCCCGTCAGAAAGTCCACCTGCGCCTCGATCAGCGTTGGTGCATTGCTAAATGGCCCCTGCGGCCCAGTGACCATGAACAGGTTCGGGAAAGACGAGAGGAACATGCTGGCGTATGTTCTGATCCCATGTTTCTTCCAATGATCGCTCAGCAATATGCCGCCGCGCCCTCGAATACCCCCCCTTGACGGTCGTGTAGCTGCCGTCGGCGCTCTTGAAGCCCGTGGCGAGCACTATAATATCGAGCTCATGCAGCTTCCCGTCGCTTGTCCTGATACCGTTCCGCTCGATCGCCACAATCGGCGTTTTCAAGATGTCAACGGCAAGTACGTTGTCCTGGTTGAACTTTTCGTAAAATCCCCGATCGCAGGGCGGGCGGCGCGCAAATAACTCCCCCCGGGGTGAGGACGTCAGCCTTGGAGGGGTCCTTGACGATAGACCGGATTTTCGCGCGCATGAACTTGCATGCCTCCTCGTTTGCCACGGCATCCGAGCAGATGTCCCCAAAGCCGCCGTACATAAATCGAAAGCCGTTGCCCTGGCGCCAGAGACTCTCGAAGACCTGCTCGCGTTCCTCTGGGGTTACACTCATGGCCTCCGTTGTCGGCTCATCGAATCCAAATGCCGTTGCCGAATTACGCTGCGCGGTCCAGATGTCGTCGTAGCTGGCGTTAATCTGAGCACGCTGCGCGGCCGTCACGGGCTGTAGCCGCAGCGGCACGGTAAACTGCGCGTGACGGATGAAGCAGTGCAGCTCTGCGACCTTAGTTGCAAGTGCGTCGGCCACCTGAATACCGCTTGATCCGCAGCCGATAACTCCCACGCGTCTGCCACTGACATCAACACTGTGGTTCCAGGTTGCAGTGTGCATGACGGTGCCCTGGAAGCTCCCCAGGCCCGTTAAGCTAGGGATGTTCATAGTACTCTGGATCCCGACAGCAGTGAACAGGTATCTTGCAATGAAATCCCCACAAGATGTTTGGATATGCCATTTGCGTTTCGATTCATCCCATGTCGCGGACACCAACTCCGTCGAGAACTGGAACTTGTCTCGCAGTCCATATTTGTCGACAACGTGGTTGAGATAGGTGACAATCTCGTCTCGTGTCAAGTAGTTGTTTGGCCATGGGTAGGTCTGCAGGTCCTCCTTATCCCACGAGTAGCGGTATAGGAAACTCTCCGTGTCACTCATTGCCCCTGGGTAGTTATTCCAGTACCATACGCCGCCTACCCCTTCGGCTCTTTCTATAGCTTTGACGTTGAGACCTAATTTCTGCAGGGAGTAGAGCTGGTAGATGCCGCCGAAGCCAGCACCGACCACAAGGGCATCAACGGACTCAATTGCGATTGGGGACATGGTAAGTAAAGACATACAAAGAGTGAGTGAGTTTACGGAAGTAGTCAACGTACAGACCCTACTTTTTCAGTCTCAAATATAATCCACCGTAACAAGACCGTAAGCACGATGGGAAAGACGCAGATCCTTGCTGCATCGAGGAGGAGCTGCACCTCCATGGACAGAGTATACTAAATCTCACAGCTTTGCCTTGGCATGGAGGGATCCAATACCTATCTGTACGCCTACAGGGATCTTTTTGTCTGGTCTAATGATTGCCTCGTCGCATGCATGTGGCTTGTTTGCTTCCGCCATGTCATTGCTCATACCTTTCTGGCATCTTATGCTGACGAATAAGAAGCACATTACCTAGGTAGTGTCGACCTGAGAGGTGGTAGTTTACCGCCAAGGACAGTCTGATTCATCCTCTACCCACTCCAGCTCCTCCATATGGTTTCCTATTGTAAACCGGATCACTTCGGAACACCCGTGTCGTAACATGCCAATACTAGCCCCCAAGCCTACATACGAGACGCTAGCGTCTCAACAGCGATCTCGTAGGTAGTTTGACAATCAATCACCTTAATTGGTTCCCTTATCTTGAGATCCGACAATTAGACCAAACATGAGTGAGATGTATTGTCAGCGCGGGGTAGTGGTGGGTATCTACAGCAATTTGAATTCTATTTTCCCTCTAAATATCCCGTGTGAAGGCTCAGTCTAATACTGACGTCTCTCATACCGCATAGCCCTCGATCTTGACACTATGGAGCAATATCGATACGAGAGTCTACCTTCGAGCGACCACATCCGGGTTGTTACCATCCACCCGGGACGTTTCGACGATGACATAGTCATCGACCTAGACTCTGTCAACTTGAAATCCCCCCCCGAATTACGAGTCCGTCTCCTACAAATGGGAGCGGACACAGAAACTGCGCCCTGTCTACGTTGGCGGAGACAAAACCTCAACTATACTTGTGCGCGAAAACCTCATCACGACACTCGCCCATCTCCGGCATCCCCATAAGCCTCGAGTTATGTGGGTAGACGTCCTCTGCATCGACCAGTCCAACGATTTCGAAAAGGGCCCACAGGTAGCCCTCATGGGGAAAATCTACCGACACTCCACCCGCGTTATCGCCTGGCTAGGCCCAGAGAAAGACGGTAGCACACGCGCACTCAACACGATGAGCTGGATCGGCGTCCAAATTGAGGCTGACTACTCGCGCTGGATTGTTGATCCGTCGGCAAATTGCATCCATCCCAGTTTCCGCGATCTGGAAGCTGACATCCCCCTCCGTCCAGAAGATACGCAGGCAATCTTCCATTTGCTTAACAGGCAGTGGTTTGAACGACTCTGGATCAGACAGGAGATTCTTTCATCGGAACCGACTAGTGTTATCCAGTGCGGCTACTACCAGGTTGCTTGGCCGCTCTTTCGGCGTGCCTTGCTCTGTCTCTATATGAAGCGGCGGCCTTGGTCGACATACGAAGAAAAGCTGTATGATCGATTGATCTCGCTCCGCGGCCTAATCGGACAGCCACAAACTGTTGACCTTGGCTTTATACGGGTAGTCTTTGGTCAGTCTGGCTGCGCCGACCCGCGCGATCGAGTTTACGCTGTTTTAGAATTCCTTCCAGAAGCCGATAGGGCTGTTATCGGTGCGCCGGACTACACGAAAGACGTCGCGGTTATATTCCGAGACATTATGCGGCGATGGGTGACGCACTTTGGTTCTCTCAACCTCCTCAGCCAAAGCGAACCCGGTGCCTGCGACTACCTTTCGTCCCCATCCGACCCAACCTGGATCCCAGACTGGTCCAAAAAGGAAGTCATCTTCGGGCGCAACTACTGGCGATATTTTGCGTCCTCGCAGTTTGCAGCTGCCGCCTCCTTCTCCTCGGACAGTCGCGTCTTAACAACCCCGGGAATCAAAGTACTAGAAATACGCCATCTCCAGGCTATTCCCGTCATGAGGGGTCGAGACGTCAAGGAAGTCGAGGATGCGCTTCGTCAGCTGCTTCCTCACGCTGATGGGCTGGATGGTACCTACATCACAGGCGTGAACATGCTCGAGGCATACACCCGGACTTTCCTCGCGAACGCCCTAGCTGAGAACGCAGAGCCCTGGCGAGGGGAAGACCCAATCCTCCAAGAAGCAATGGATATTGTCTCCCAGTTAAATCAAACCAATGATCCTCAGCCTCACCACCCACGAGCCATGGGTCCCTCTGACGCATTCTTCAAAATATCCCGTGCAATGCTAGGAGGCAGGCAGCTGATGTTCGATTCCGATGGCTACATCGGCATCGTACCCCGTTTGGCGCGGGAAGGCGACTTCATCTGCATACTCTTAGGCTGCCACTCTCCGATCGTCCTACGACCGGAAGCGGATAATATCATTAGTGGCGATAGCGGCATGTTCCGCGTGGTTGGGGAGTGTTACGTGTTCGGTCTATCAGAGGGAGAAGGCCTGCTCGGTCGACTGCCAGCAAACATCCGAAGGAAGTTTGGCTCGAATTCGGACTGGGGGGTATATTCATACTTTGAGAACGTATTGACGGGACATAAATCCTTCGAGGATCCCCGGCTCCCTTCATTCCTCCCTCCAGCTGAATTGGCCGATTTCCATAATAGGTTGCGGGTGAATCCTAATGCTACCCTCCGGTTGGCCCCGGAGGGCCTGGGGAAACTGTTTCCTCGAATGCGGGCTTTTGATATTGTCTAGTATCCCAGAATTTAGTAGGAGTTGTTCTATTTCGCGTTTCTGAAAGATCAACAACTAACCCCTCCCTCTCTTTGTTACGGGGCCCTTACAATATGTCCAACATCAATAACATTTTTCATGTCCGTATCAATATTTCGGGGCAGCTAGTGATTCAAGAAGGTGCGCATTTCAGTATGCTTCATGATCAAATTTTGCCCAGGTGCTGTACTTCGCTGACGGCACGTATGGACATTGTCATTGATATCCTCCATATACATACACAGTATTGCAGTCCTAGAGAGGTTTTAATCCCCGCTTAATGGGTTGGCTATCTACCCCATGGACCTCCCCAGTTATGATAGATGGATGGGCCTATCGTATTGTACATGAAGGCGTTGTCATTTACACACACATAAAGGGGAAAAAAAGGATCAATTTTGGTTTTTGAAATGGATAAACGAGAACACGAGTCTCGACACTTAGGCGTTGAGAGACTGCACAAGACTTCACTTGGGTTCCTTTGCTGAAGCTGTCTGCCCTTCTGAACCCACCAGCTCCTCCAAATCCGCAAACATATCATTGATATTCTCGGGCGGTACCCACGAACCGTGCGTCCATCGTTTGCGAGTTTTGGATACCTGCTAGCAGAACGTCTCAAAATCTTTTGTTCATTTTGATGGTTTCAGCGTACTTGGTGTTCTGGGCACGCAGCTCTTCAATTTCTGCTCGGAGCGACTCGACTGATTCAAGTTCACGATATAGATGATAAAGCGATGAAATCACGTCGCTGGACAGCCTGTAGTCCAATTTGCGTTGGTGGTCAGTGCCTTGAGGGCTCTCTGTAGCTGTCTGGACAGCAGGACCCGGATGTGCTATGTCGTGGTTTGTATTTCGATCAGTTCTGCGAGGTCCGTACACTCTTGTGGCAGATTGGGCCCGATGTCCCTCCCGTTGCAGGTTTAGACTCGGTGTAGGATATTGCAGATGAGGAATCGACGCAGCATTCGTGTTGTCCGTGGTTGTATGACTCGGAGGATCATGAGTTTGGGCTGAGGTAGGTTCAAGAGAAACAGGTAGGGTATCCGGAGGTGATGAATCCCAGGATCGATTAATGCATATCGAACAATAAAAGGTGTGGTTCCGAATACTGTACGAGCCGCGGGACAAGCATTCTGGATGGAATACGATTTTGCACGTATGACACTGCATGTGACGTTCCCGTTCGGCCCGAAGGCAGATGCAGCAGTGGTCATCGTGCTTTGAGCCAGCTCCTGTATGTTGGTTAGATTGCAAGGGCATTCATGAGATTTGCTTCGAAATGTGACAAGTACGTACTTTTCCATTCCTTGTATTGTTGGACTTAGGAGTCATATGGCTGTTTAGCGGCACTGGCGACTATCACAGCCCATTTCTGCGATCGAATTTCTTCCTTTGCGCTTGAAACAATTTTTTGGACTTGGACTTGCTGAGAATCGCCATCATTCACATTGACCTGATCCCTCCCCGCGGGGGCCAGGAGACGCGGTCTTTTGATTTGCGAGCCAGTCGTCGGGCTTCTGGGCTGCACCTTCGCGTTTCCAGGTTTTCTCAGCATTCTGCTTATTGATAGATGCAGTTCAAGGATTGGATTGTGAACAAAGAGAAGTTGGAATTTGAATGTAACCGGTCTGGTTGCCTCTGGAGTTTGAGGTACCTGTGATCTCACTGCTAATATCAGAGTGAGAGAGAAAAAGAGAGAGAGAGAAAGGGAGAGCGAGAGAGAAGAATAATTGATTATCTACTGACAAACAGAAAAACTAGCCACGTACATAACTCACAACAACCTGTCGGCGTGACAACCTCTTTCCTCTCATCTACTATAGTCCTGGCGGTACCCTTCCAATGTTCTCCAACAATCGCATTGGCCTTTCATCCCCCGTTTGAACCATCTCTCCAAAGACAAACCATAACTGACATTTGCGACAAGATGAATGGCTAACTAGCACTGGTTCCTCTATAGGTTGAAACTTCCAGAATCCACACATTAGGGGACATACCATTTCAAGTTACCGCTAGTGAGATGCACCTCCTCAATACTCCTACCCAACCGCGCCTCAAATACAAAATTGATTGATAAGGAGGAAACAGCGGACAACCCCCCTTGCGCTGCTGCCTCCACCCAAGCCCCAAGACCTATCGAGGCAGCCACACCCAACAGTCTGGAGAAGCCGACACAGACAGCTCTACGTAGTACCGCACGGTGGGCAGTGCATTTTCCCTCGGAATATGGTTGTATCGAGAGGGAGCGTCAGTAGAGAGTCGCAAATAGACAAAAGAAAAGTCAGTTCTCACGGACCTGTGATGATTGAAGGGGGAAAGGTGGTTATTGCTGAACAGCTCAGAGATTTAGGTACTCCCTTAGACCAGGAGAACATGTTATTGGTTTGTTGACTTGACCGACAGCATGAACAAAACTCCAAGAGGGATCGAGGGAACGATGCTCTGATTTTGATGAGTGCAAGAGAGACTTGTTCGTCGATTTGAGGGTTCCCAGGCTGTCTGGCGACCCTGACAGATATTTCTAACCATTGGAGCCAATACGTAGAACGTAAAGCACTGGACCGTCCGTCTTGCTTTGGTGATCAGCCCTTCTTGTTTCGAAATGATAGACTTCGTTGTCTTCCAAGGTTAACAGGAAAGAGTATAATGTCTTAGTAGCGACTTAGGAAGTTCAGGTGGGCGTGTAGACTGTGTATGTACATTTAGCGCTAGGACCATCATCGTAGGCTTCCTTAGCGCGGTGCCAATGCCCGGCGAGGCTTGGACTTATGATTTACTCCGTACGGAGTATTCCGTATACGCTCAGGAATTAGTCAAGTTAAACATGCGGAGGCTTGTATCAGCTCAATATACCGGAATACTACAAAATTAGTTTACGAAGAGGGTTAATGTCGACGATTTCCGATCTAAACGCAGTAGATGCATATAGTAAAGACATACATGCAGTTAACATAAGTCTCGTGCGTATGTAAAGAGCCATTCTCTTGCCTACACAACATGTATTCAAGTGCATTGTCCTAGCAGATAAAATACTCACAATGCTGGAGCATGAATATATGTTACTATTCTGAATTCGCCTCCCAGCAAGATGGCAAGAACAATGCCATATTCTCCGGCCATTGGGAAAAAAGAGCCGAGGCCCGCTGATTCCCGACATCGGGGAATTGTGACTGGCGAGCTTCCCGAGTGGAGACTCCGACCCCAGAAACTCCAGGATTCTCCACAGGGATTGTCTTTTAGTGTCTCCCACTAACGTCGTTCGATGTGCCCTGAAAGATTTGGGAGATTTGTGCCGACAATCGATTGGCAGACGGTCTCCCGCCAATTCCCCAGCCTCCTGGACACTCTCCCTTTCTAATAGATACCAGTCAGCTCAGCTGCCAAGACATCACGGGACGAGAAATGATTCTCTTGGGGACTCCTCCGTCCGGAGGGTATGAGTGGCTGAAAAGACTCTACGCCTTTGTTGGGCGTCCCTTACGATATTTCCTTTCCGGACCTGTCGCCTAGTAATTCTCAGTTCGGCCCGGACCTGTGATATCATCCTCGTCTTCGGCCCAACCCCCGTCGAAATGGCGCTCTGTCAAGCGAGTTTAGACTGATCTGACCTTTGTGTTGGTGTTTATACAAGCCTAAAGTAACGCACGGTTAGTATTTGGATTCAATGGCGTTTCCGGTGAACATTTTATGGCAGATTCGGGCCGAAATTCGATAAAGCGTAGTGATCGAGGAATGGCATATTTCCACCGTAATCTAACGGGATACGCCACAGCTGCAGCTAACACAAGACGTCGAGTCCGCTATAAACAGTTTAGCGGATTGTGGGGGAAGGACACGGGAGGCCGTGAGGGATCCAGCACGGAGAACCCTCCGCGCGGACAGTGGCCTCCGTGCAACGTTTCCAAGGTTTCTCCCGTGAGACCAAAAGATCGAGTATGGAAATACTTGGGGCATCAGGCGAGATGTCTCCTCTTGGACATACAGCCTTATCAGATGGTAAAAACATGCGAAGTTGTCAAGCTGTATAAGCAAGAGCTCTAAAATAATACATTAACACATCACTCATTAAGAAGTCGAGTAAATCAAGCAATCTTGCCAGGCCCATGTAAATATGCACCTACATTGGTCTAGAATTAGTTACTGTCTTGAATTCTAGACTTGCGAGGCTCATTTGCTCCTGCATTGAAACTAGCCAGATACATTCAAAAAGGGGCTAGCCCCAACAGTTTTGATGTTTCGAACAGGTCTCCCTAGTTTCGCTAAACGGAATACAGGGCCGATCATCCAGGCATCAGACCCTAATTTCTTTCTATATGAGAATCGAAACATGTCGAGTATAGTGGGGCGGAATGTTATGATTGGAGAATGTCCAATTCCAATCCGGAGGCGGAGGTATTTAGAAAAGCCACCAACTAGAGGCGTTGATTACTGGCGAGAACAAGGAGCTTCGGCCACGGGGTCACAAGGAAATAGAGAAGTCTGGGGAACCGGAGACTCCACCCACTTTTTCCTAAAGAGGATTGTAGTCATTTCCTTAATTACTCGATGATCGGACATGCTAACATTATAAGAACCTCATCTTACCCCACTGTTCATGGAATTCCACGATTAGTCCCACCAATCCCGTCTATCACCGACTGGGTCACACCGAGATCGTCGATTCCAATACAACATTATATAACATGGCGGAAGACAAGAAGGCACAAGAGGAGGTGTACGGCATCTCCACCTCTGTTGAAGACCCTGCTCGAGTTATCGGTGGCTATGGAGAGACTATTAAGCGTCACGGCGCAAAGACCAAGGAGGTCCAAAACGTTAGTGATCTTCCAATTCTTAGTGTTGTACCGGCAGAATACTGATCTATGCCTCGGGAATAATACAGGCCGATCTTTTCGCTGCCATCGAAGAGACCAAGATCGAAAGATGGAGCAAGGAATCCCTGCACTTGTACTGTGAGTTACGACTTTTCAACTAGGGCCGCATATATTTGCTAGACACTAACATTTGGTACGACCATTACAGTCTGTATCTTTGTTGCATTCTGCTGCGCCTGTGCCAACGGTTACGATGGTGCGTGTTTTCTCAACCTTGGAATATGGCATTAACTAACCAAATATAGGATCTCTAATGGGATCCATTCTCGCCATGGACCATTATCAGAATGTCTTCAAGACCGGAATGGATGGCCCCAAGGTCTCCCTTGTTACTTCACTCTACACAGTGTATGGTTCCTCTTTGCTCTACACAGATTATGGCAACTGATATGAACTGTTCCTAGTGGTTCCATTGTCTGCACTCCCATCAGCGCCATCATTTCCGACAGACTTGGTCGTCGCAAGTGTATGTTTATTGGAGGATGGGTCATTATTATCGGGTCCATCGTTATTACTACTGCGATGACACTGCCGCAATTTGTTGTCGGTCGATTTATCCTCGGTCTCGGCATTCAAATCATGGTCGTCTCCGCTCCTGCTTATGCCGTTGAAATTTCCCCGCCTCACTGGCGTGGTCGTGCCGTCGGTGAGTATTTTGATCTTGCTGGAAAGGAGAGATTATACATTATACCAGTTCTAATGCTAGAACAGGCTTCTACAACTGTGGTTGGTTCGGTGGCTCCATCCCTGCCGCCGCTCTCACATACGGTACCAACTTCATTGACAACAACTACTCATGGCGCATTCCCTTCATCTGCCAGTGCTTCGCCTGCATTATCGTTATTATATCTGTTTGGTTCATCCCCGAGTCACCTCGTTGGCTCATCGCCAACGGCCGGAACGAAGAGGCAGAAGCATTCCTGGTCAAGTATCACGGTAATGGTGACCCCAACGCTCGATTGGTCCGCCTTGAGATTGAGGAAATGAAGGAGGGTATTCGGGTTGATGGTATTGACAAGAGATGGTGGGATTGTAAGTTTTGCACTGTCGATGCAATCAAGACTATTTGTCGCAATAGCAACTGACCAAGGTGCCCAACTCGCTAGACCGACCGTTCATCCTGACGAAAAGTGGACGCTGGCGTTTCGCCCAGGTCATCATGATTTCCGTCTTCGGACAGTGGTCTGGAAATGGTCTTGGTTACTTCAACGCCACTATCTTCAAGGCTATCGGATACGAGTCCAGCTCAACCCAGCTGTTGCTTAACCTCGTCAACTCTATTGTCTCAGCTGTGGGTGCATTGACCGCCGTGTTCTTCACTGACAAGATGCGTCGTCGCCCTGTTCTTATCTTCGGTACTCTTGGTGAGTCTCGTTTCCCCCCATCCCGGTTTTATCATGACCAGCCCGGCTAACCAATACACAGCATGCGCTGTCGCCCTGGGTATCAACGCCGGTATCCTACAGGAAGTCGCCAATACTGGTGTCATTGGCAAGACCAAGGGCGAGGCCGCTCTTGCCTTCTACTACCTCTTCAACGTGATCTTCTCGTTCACCTACACTCCCCTCCAGGGTGTCATTCCGGCCGAGGCTCTGGAGACAACTACTCGCTCCAAGGGTCTGGCCCTGTCAGGCTTCATGGTCAGCAGCATTAGTTTCATCAGTCAGTTCGCTACGCCCATTGGTCTTGCCAACATCTCTACCAACTACTTCTGGATCTTCGTCGGCTGGGACGTTCTCGAGTCCGTTTTCTGGTACTTCTTCTGGTACGTATACTTGGATTCCAATCTCTATCCTCTCGCATGCCAGAACCCTTCCGTGCTAACTCCTGCTACTACAGTGTCGAATCTCAAGGCCGAACCCTCGAACAGTTGGAGTGGGTCTACCAGCAGCCCAACCCTGTCAAGGCTTCCCTGAACGTGGACAAGATTGTTGTTCAAGAGGATGGTACCATTACCGAGAAGATTGAAGCTGATGCTTAGATGAAACTTCCTTCATCGAAGTCTATTGGCACATCGCACATGTGCGTTGGATATGGTGCGGTGGGAAAGGAGCTGTTCCACGAGATCGACTCGGTTGTATAAATATCCACTCTCGGCCTTTTGCAGGGAGGGGGATTTGGAAAGTTGTTTAATATGGGATGCTCATATCTTCTTTTGGGCAATATAATAAGATACGAATGGATACCTGTCCGGCGTCCAACTTGCGCAATAAGCCTGGCAAAACTTCTGTTAATTTTAAGGTCTTATCCATCATTAAAACCCGCAAAGCGACAGTGTGCTGATGGATTGTGGGGATTACTGTAGTCTTAATGTTCCAAGGTTGAAAACCTTGCGTCCCTCAACTGTCCATGTCATAAAATACTTCACTATCAGTCCAAAGATGTATCTCTTCAGGTGGTGGTTTACAATATGCTTACGCCAGGATGTTCCAAGGTTTCTCCGGATGCAATGAACATCGCAGAGGCCAGCTAGTCACCGGTTGAGGTATGGTATGTGCTACCTAGGGTAGGTGGGAACGTGATCTACTGTCTCTGCATAAAATAAGCCTTCTGCGTGTCTAAAGATTTATCTTGAGATTATGGAAGATACCGAAATTCATCGTTGAGGCTGACTATGAAGTTTGTCACCAGTTTAGGCAGTTATAGCATGTTACTGCCATGCGTCAATGCCCAGATAAATGATACTTGAATAGAATGGTTCGGACTAAAACCTTGCACACGCTACTCTTGGAATAGATACGAAGGGAGATCCGATCTTCATATAAGTAACTAATTCTTCATGACAAACTCAGCGCACCGCTCCCCAATCATATAAACGGACGCCGAGATCGAAGCACCTCCACACCGGGGAAGCACACTTGCATCTGCAATTCGCAAATTGCGCACTCCGTGTACCTTCAAGCTCTGGTCTACTACACCCTCCTCCTTTGTAAGACTCATCCGACACGTGCCAGCAGGATCATAGCTCCCTGTCACCAGCCTCTTTATATACTCATCGATTTCCGTGTCAGTCACAGTTCTCCAAGCGTTCCTCTGTGGTGGCAACGCCTTTGTAAGCTTTCTCTTGTCACTCTTGCTCTTTTTCTTGTTCATAAGACCATCTAAATACTCCAAACCCATCCCGGGAGCCATCACTAATGGTGCCGGGTGTGGATACCCAACCTCCGGTCCCGCAAACTCGTCTGCCAACCGCATAGCGAACCGCACCGCCTTGCGCAGCCGCGTGCTATCCCGTGCATCAACCAGCAATGGGAGTGTAATTTTCAGCGGCGCTTCCGCGTCAAAGCTGAGACGTGAGCTCAACGCTGCCGGTGGTGTGAGGCTGCACAAGAGCCGCATACCACGTCATGCAGGGCACTCCTGGGACACCGTGCTCGATGAGCGTGCTGAGTGGGGTAATCAAGATTTCAAGGTCTGTGACTTCCTTCTCACCGTCTTCAGGAGGAGTCACTGTCATTGTTGACTCGTCCAGCGTATCCGAGTGCAAAAATGCGGCGCCCCATTGACCGTTAGAGGCAAGCACTCCAGTCCCGGAAAAGAGCCACAGCACAAAGTGCCATAGGATAGCCACCGTCTGAATAATATGCAGTGTGTGCTTGAGTGGAAGCTCTGTCATGACCGGTACAAGGATGTGAGTCGTTAAATTCGCACCCACTGCGGGGAGATCATGCACCACGGGAATTTTATGAGCAGACAAATGGTCCTTAAGGCCGATGCCACTGCTCGCTGTTAGCATCAGAAACGAGGATATCGGGAGAGTGCGACCAACCTTTGCATGAGCAGCTGCGGTGTGCCAAAGACGCCGCTACAGACAATAACCTCCTGTTGGGCCTTGACCAAAATGTCGCTCCCTCCGGAATTAATCCATACGCCAGTAACCCTCGTTCCGTCATCCGAAAACTCTAGCTTCGCCGCTGTCACACCTGTACACACCGTCAGTCGCCCCTTCCTTTCATTCACAACCGAGGCATTCAGCCACGCCGTCAACGCAGAGACCCTGTTCCCTTCCGCATCAACCGAGACCTCGCTGCGGGTATATCTCTGAGTGCCTCGCTTTCCCCCTCCGTCATCCAGTCCTACCCTTTGCATCGCCGTGTCTACATACGGCATGAGCCCTAGATCGCCCGCTCCCTTCCGTTGGGTTGCCTTCTCAACCCGCGCAAAAGCCGGTGCTACCTTCTCCCAGCTCCATTCGTCCAACCCAAGCTCACGTGCCCAGCCGTCGAATTCGGGACGGCCGCCGGGACTCCATACCATGGAGTGAACGCGACTGCTACCACCTAGCATTTCGCCAGCCAGAAGTTGCACATGTCGCCCGCGCAAATGCGCGTTGGGTTCGGCGTGGTAGCGGACGACCCCGCTCTGTAGGATGCCAAGTAGCGGGATCCGTGAGAGAACCCCGGCGTTGACGCGACCCTTGTCCAACACTAGAACTGAGACGTTTGGGGAGGCAGAAAGGCGGTGCGCAATTAGGCATCCAGCCGTACCGCCTAAGCAAAGGTTTGGGTTTAGTTGAATTGATGACTCTTGGTCAGGGGAAGTGAGACGCACCACCGACAATGATGTAGTCGAACGTCTTTCCGGCTACATCGTCCGCTGTCTTCTCTGGATATGTTGAAAAGGGCCACATTGTGCCTTGGATTTACCGAGAAAAACTTTGGATTTTGTTTTGGCGATGAGGTGAGGTTGGCTTGAGGGCGGTGATGCCAGTCTCAGAGTCCCGCGATTGGATTACTGCCCCTTTCGATGATGCATCGTCATCACAAGGCGAAATCTACAGGTCGTGTTATATCTTGAATCCGTCTATCGTATATTGGATCTCGCATAGAATTTTATACATTGACATGTGCCGAAGTTTTCAAATCCCTCGTCTCGTGTACTCTGTCAACCTCGGTATTATTCCGCTCCAGAATATCATCCGCGCTGGAACTTTCAGGGATACGTATCATCGACTTCGGTGCCAACCTCCGGGATCTGGGCGCGGACATAGAGTTTCCGGCATATGACGAACTCAACTCATATGCGCTCCGTCCAGTTCCAGTCCCTCCTCGAACAGATCGTATCAGGGATCTGATGCAAGGTATTGATGCCGTTATGATGACTACGTAGGCTTCGATGTACAGCCAGCGATCGTAGTCGACGGTTGCGACAGTTGGATCATCGTGTGCGTATGCGAGGACTCGGGTTTGCACTGCTTTCATGACGGATGCTGCCATTGCACTGAATCCAAGAGATAACTCTGTTAGCTGGATATCTTATGAAATAGGGTCAACGTCGGTGACTCACAAAATGCCCAATCCAAGGAGCGTGACCAAGCCCAACTTGACCCTTAATTTCAAATTCAAACTCCAGAATATATAGGTTGAGAAAATCGCCAGGTAAAGGTCTGTGGCCGAATTAAACGCTGTTGAAGTTGATTAGTCGCAGACATTTGTACAGGATAAATAATGAATGGAAGCTCGTACAGCCCTGATAGTATCCGTAGTATGCTTGGACGCGGACATCCCAGCATTTATCCTTCCCATGCTGCGTCCAGATAGCAGAACCATGTCCTGGACATTGGACGAATAGAATTATGATCATTATCACGTTGGTCAAGATCTGCAACCCAACTATAATCCACAGGATCACTCTATGTGATCTTCTGGTGCCCAGTAGCTCAATGACAAAGATAATGAAGGAAATGCGACCCAAAGTACCGCCAGAAATGCCGAATGTCTGCGTCAAGTAGTCGAACATGATGACTTTGGGAACGACCGTTTTTGAGTCAAGGTCCCAAACATGGCGACCAAACCCATGGTTGACGCACACAGTAAGCAGAGCTGATCCGATTATAGTAAGACACTAAGTGCCAGGCAACAGGTCAGTTTTGATCTTCGAACGACGTAGACAGACTAACCAAAGCCGAAACCATAAGAATGTCATCCCAGCCAAACTTCCGAATTCTTATTTTCGCAGTCACTCTCAAGGCGACGGTGAGAATGGCAATCCCAGTCAGCGCCCAAATGTCTCTCAGCAGCCTTGGACCCCGGTCAAAGAGGGCGGCTCGAGGTGAGAGAGCCATGTCAGTCGGTCAATAGCATGGAATTCCCCAATGCAAGGGACAGGAAGGGTGCGAGAGACATGATCACGCGACAAATTAGACGTTGATAGATTGAGTTCTAAATATTCCCGAGATCAACCCGCTATATTTAGCCATTTATCATATCTACGTTTCAAAGAGAAAAATCTCATCGAAGATCTTCACGGGGTCCACCGGCCCCGGAGCATTGTGATCTTAGTTTAATCAACTCCAGTGGCTGTACGGAGTACTCCCTGGCACGTTATCATTAGGTAGCCTTGGAAAGGATGGAGGACTGTCGGAGGTCTCCGCTAGAATTGCAGGGATATTGATATGAAGATAAGATGATGGGCTTGACCTATCAAATCTCACGAAATACCCAAAGCTTAGAACATAGGAACCAAGCCCTGCAGGGCATGAGCGTTATTCGATAATATAGGAAGGGTGTTAATTGATCTGCACGAAGGATCCGATCAGCGGAATATCTTCGGCGAGAAGGTCGGCGGAATCCCTTGGGCGGAATATCGTCGGCGGGATATCTTGGAATCTCCGCCGAGCCTCTGATATCGATCCTGTGTGGTATATAGATTAAGGGACCATTTGCCAATACTCCGTAGGCAGCAATGTTGTTATCCGTACTCCGTACATATGCAGACGTGCTTTTGTCGATATCGAACCCTTCGATGGCAGTTCTAGCAAGAGACAGGAATTATGTCCTCGGTTCAGCGAGTAAACAGTGGGCTCTGTATCCAGCTAGTGAATAGAAGTAAATTCCATTAGTAGGAAAACAAAGTAATTTTTGCTCTGAAACCAGCCGGGGGTTCCTGTGAGTCCAGCGGTATAGGCTTGAAAGAGTGCACATTTTTTGTTTAAAAAAATATTAGGCTGCAAATATCATAAAAACCAGCAATTGTTTAACAAAGTAAGTATTAATAGGACGAAGACATAAGATGCCCAAGGGCACGTCTTGGAAACTTGTTGTCAAAATAATTTTTATATCTGGATGCCTTAGGTGTCAATATTTCCCAGGCTGCAACGGGGTATCATAGACGCGGCTATGATACCCTAATTTGGACATTGGGGTGATCATGATATCCCCAGACCCTTTTCGGTGACTTTTGCCAGACAATACTAGATTCAATTATTATAAACAAAGTGGAACTTTAGGTAAATGATACCTATAAACCCCCCCATTTAAACCGCAGATCCCCCAGAAAATGCAAGAATCCAAACTACCGCCTCACAATCAACTTCCCCTCAATTCAACATGGTCCAAATCAAGACCTCAATTCTGCTCACAACCCTGGGCCTCATGAGCGCTGGTACCGGTTGCTCTGCCGCAACTATCACGAACAGCCTGCTACTAGCCGAGGTTGCCCAGAAACTATCCCTACCAGCATCGACATGGTCAGCCAGCGGAACCCACACGGCGAAAGGGTATACCAGCGAATCGGCGGGGACGGCTTCTGTGGAGGGCTTGAAGCAGGACTGTGACAATATCAACCTCAACAAGAAGTTGGCCGTCGATTTCCGCAGCGATGTTTTTGGTCCTGGTGTTACGGGTTTCTTCTACAAATGTGAGAAGGTTAGCGAGGATACCAACAACTACTGGTTCACTATCAGTGCTGTCGACGAGACTCAAATCGACAAGCTTTGTGATCCGGATACTACCTATCCCATTGTCTATGATCAGCAGCATGACACTTGGTTCATTGATGAGCCTTTCGGTTGTACTCGACGAACCAATACGGCGGACTTCTTTTAAGTACACCAAAAGTGACATGCCCTGGTAAGTAATATACATGAGTAAGGACGTTGGCCAAAATAGACTAACTAATTTCGCCAGAAAACTGCTTGGTCACTTGGGTTGTGGGTCTTTTGAGGACTGGAGAATGAGATATGGATTAAGTCCGTAATTATACTCTCGTTGCTTTTGTTTCTAATAATACACTTGCCCGTTCCATATAAACTGTATAAACCAAATTTGGGCACCTATTTCTCTCCAACTGTTGATATTCAAAACTCGCACTCCTCAATGCCGAACCTGTCGCGATGTTGATTTTTGTATTCCAAAATCCATCGCCAGAGCCGTCGCTCAGTGATGAATATCTGCCCTGTATCTCGGAGGCCAGCACATTTGAACGGGTCATAGTTGGATCCCCAGTCTGAAACCATTGTCAAATGACGAGCCAAAGAAAGCTCGAAGGTCAATGGTTTGGTGAAAAGATCGGTCTCTAACTGTTGGATTGGGGGTTCCGACAAGTCGTCTTGTCTGATCTTTTTGTAAAGGGTTCGATAACATGGCAGAGCTCTTTGTAAAAAGAAATATGTCTCGAGCTTCTGGTGCGATGGGTAGACTGATTCCCACATGGTACGAAAAAGTGAAACGTCGTCAGTAGAATCGAATGCTAGGAACCTTGCGAGACACCAAGCAAATTGGCTATTTTTAACGCACTCAACGGCTTTGGGGACAGACAAGCCCATTGCTGGACTGTGCGAATCAGGTCCCGCTGCATCTTTGAATCCATCTTTGAAACCGACGTAGAATTTATCATCTAGCCTGTGCCGCGATTGAGGAAACCCGGGAGGTGACAGAAGTAAGGGAAGGGGCACAGTAGTGGTGAATGCCCAATCGATGATGCACGTAATTGTGTATTGATCGTCGACAAATATGTTGCTCATCGTGAGGTCCGGGTGGCAGAGTGCAAAATTGACCGGATATGTGATTCCGGACCAGTTGGCCGAATATTGAGAGATCAAATGATTGAGCGCCTGAGCAGCAATAACATAGTCAACTCTATTTGCGGCGCTGTCGGCTTTTTGCCCAACAGTGACGAAGTCATTCCGAAGATCGCAGGCATCCCGCCACATATCCCTGCTGGGGTAGTCATTCCTAGATGGCACTGGTGCAGCGAAGCAATGGTGGCCCAATGGTAGCGTTTCGGCGTGCTTGATCAAAACCGCTATGAGACTGAGGTAGAATTCACTCTCGCTGATAAAAGGTCCGCGAGGAATTCCTTTCAAGGACTGTCTCTTATGTCGTATGTGGCCTTTTGACAGGCATTCTCCAATAACAAAATATCCATTTTCTTCAAATAGAGACCCGATTTGGGCAAACCGGACTTGGGCAAGCTTCCAAGTAATGTGGCCAAGTTGGGACATCACTTTCTTGACATCGAGTGAATCCAGGTGATCATGGAGATCGTTCCCCTCCCACATTGCTTCCAACGACTTGCCCTCCGCCTTGCTCATCAAAATGTATGGGATCCGGATAGGGTTGTTTGGATAGGCGCTTCCGAAGATCAGCTCCATGATACGGGACTTACCTTGCAGTTCGCTTACCAATATGAATAAACATCAGGAACAGGTACATCTGTGTAAGTTTTGAGGTATTTAAGCGTAGCAGTTTCGCTTAAAAGAAGTTTGACGACACTCTCATCAGACACACTGGGATGATTCTGCACTGGCGAGCGAAGAACCCATTCAAGGCCATCTTCAAATAAAACGAAAACTGCCCAGTTGTAGCCGCCTCGTTTTGGACGCTGATTCAAATCGCATGTGCACCTGAGACCTCGTCGCATCTCGCTTGCAAGGTGACAGAGAGCCCCCACATCGAACTCGTTATACTGAAAGAGAGGGAATGCTTCTTTTCCCATGTTGTGCGCCATGATGTTTGAGGCGGAGAGTCGCTCTGCTAGAGACAGCTTGGTAAACCGCTGAATAGTGACAGGGCTTTTATGATGAGGCAGGAGTCGTGGTAGCAATAAATCCAAAATGTGAAGGTCGATGTTAATTGCGGAAAAGAAAGCACCGAGGGCGTCGTTGCCTCAGAAAGGACATCAGATCTATACACGTGACACGTACCATCTTGAGTCATACGGGATATTAAAGTCGAATTATCCGTAATACCATATGCTTTGCTTCAGATTCAGATAGTGGGACTCTAGACTTTTGGTTAAGTATGAAGAGCGGCCATGGTTAACCCTAGGTTTCTCAAAGAGGCAATGAAATCAATATTCATTCGATTGTGCAGAAACTCGACGCATATCTACCTAGGTACGTAGCCCCCTTCCTCAAAGATATTTGCATTTACACGGAAGAGATATCCTCGTAGCGAGCATCCACGCTATCCACACCCCTGTATTCAAAGTACCGATTCCACTCCGGGTCCTCGATGAGTGCCTGCTTCAGGCTCTTCTCATACGCAAGAGAGAACTCAGGCCCATCATCCGACTCGGGAGACAGATCGCGCGGTGGGTAAATGATAAAAACACCTTGGGTAACACAGTCCATCAGATGACGGTATGTAACTGGGGAGCCAAAGCCAAAGTTGGCACTTGAAACGTTGGCATCGCGATGATCCGTCTGGAGCACCGACATCGGTGGCAGTGAATCAATTCGAATGTTCAGCGCTGTTTTATCGCGTACCGTGGCCACCATTTCCAGTGCCAGGTCCAAAGCCTCCTGCGTGGCACTGTTGGTCAACTGGCGGATGTAAAAGGCTAACTTTGGCAACGGCCACTCCGAGATGACTTCTGCTGCGCTCGGGGCAGGGACAGGTGCCGTGGACGACATCGCTACGGAAATAACGTTTTGCTGGATGCGTGGGGGGGACTTTGGGGCTGTGGAATCGACGCCGCATGTCAATGGCCTCTGCCCAGAATAGAGGCGCGGACAGATCGGGCTTGAATATTGGGGCCCGCAGTCGCGTAACCGTGCGCCAGATGAATGCAGAAAAAGCGTCGTAGGTAGAGATCCATGTTCCATCTGTCGGGGAAGCGAGCTTCTTGAGTTCTGCTGCTTTGTTCTTGGGTAAATGAAAGAGCAAGCTCTGGGCTGGGATATGATCCGGGTGGATCTCCGGCGGTGGCGGGCCATCAACTTTCAATTCCTCGCGTACTTCAGGCTTGGTCAGACGAGAGAGATCCAGGCAGCGAGTGTCCCACGAGGGGAACCCTGTCTGATGGACAATTGCATAACAGTTCTCGGCTAATTGGTGAGTGAGCCCAGTCCATCCCATAACATCATTGGAGAAGTGGTGATGGTGCATAATAAAGACCAATCCACCCCGGATGAAGTTGGCTTTATAGGACGCCACGACTGGACTATTATCTGGGTGTGCCTCTGGCTTCTCTCCGTATGTCATAGGAGGCACACTCCAGCGCTGAAGATCACCCAGGATGGAGGTACGGAAATTGCCCTCTTCTATCTCATCAAATGACGGATAGTCCTTGCAGATATCTGGAGAGTCCAGCCATTGAACGCAGAATTTGACGGCACTATTCTTTTTCTTGACAAAAGAATGTCCACCGGTAGGGTCCTTTTCAATTGTCCCGCAAAGATGGCGTACTTGGCTTAGAGTTCGTTCAAGGCCAGCCTTCAGGACATCCACGGCTCGATTTTTGTCGGCATCTTCCAGACGAAAGAATAGAGCGTAGTTATTATAGGTACAGGCTGTCAAATAGTCCAATGTAGACACTTTGAAGCGTTCTTCCACTGGATCGTTCGCCCACCCTAAAGGCTGTACTCGAAAGACTTCCTGGTGAGCCATACTTTCTGACCGACGTATGGGAGAAGACATCACTCGGACCGTCCCCCGACTTTAAACCGCCACTATATTGTAGAATGTGGAGTCAATGAATTTAAGCCGTTTTAAGCCGCTGTCACAGATAGATGGGGCCATAATGCCTCTGCCTCTTTTAGGAAGTTGGATTGTCCAACTAAAAGACAGAGATGGCTAGTGCTTACGGATGCCCCAGTACCGGAGATTATGACATTACGGAGTACTCCGTACTGTTGTACTGTTGTACTGTTGTAGAGCATTGACAATCCCTTGTTCTCCACTGATAGTCGCCAACATACTCAATGGGGAATATTTCTCACTGGGACATGTGATAATCCGGATGTTAAGCGAGTTTGGAAAACATTTGAGCATTTAAGATTCAATTCTTATACCAACAAAATAAAATGAACAGAAAAGGAAAAAATAAAAGATTGTAGAGTAAAGTACATTGCCAAAGAGAGCAAGAAATCAATATATGGCAGGATTGGCAGGATATCTGCTCAGTCAAAGAGCGTAAATAAGGAAAATAAGGAAAACATTCATTCTTGGCCACTTCGGCCTTCAATCGCACCGAGACCCCACTCAGCCTTGAGGTCTGGAGTAAGTATACCCGATTTCTTCAGAATGGTCTCAGCAAGAGCCGGGACAGAGTCACTGGTCAAAATCTCCAGGATCTGCAAATTAGCTTCCAACTCGCGGGTGATCCAGTTTCTGATCTCAATAGCGACGAGTGAGTCCAGACCATAAACAGTGATAGGTGCAGCAGGATCAAGGTCTTCCATCGGACGCATAAGGATACTAGAGATCTTGTCGAGCACGGCAGCCCCAACGATGGCCTCGGCCCCTTCGCGGGACTTCGATTGCCGGATAGCAAGTCCCGGCGAAATCTCGGTACCGTTCTGCGCAGACTCGGCCAATTCACCCGCGCCAGCGAGGGTGGAAAGGCGCAACAGGTGCGACAGTTTGCTATCGTTTACCCAGAAGGGCTGTTCACTGGCCGGTGTGGATTTGACAGCTTCAAACCCAGCCACGCAATGACCCTCGCATGAAAGGTCGAACTCGTCGCGGATCGCTGCGGTAACAAGACCACGGATATCTGTTGCGTCGACGGAGTCCGTGCCGAGTTGTTTGGAAATTGCCTCCCGCTTCTGGTCGTCGGAGAGGTATCCGACTCCGCGCACAATGGGGAGATCGATTGTCGAACAGCGCATCTTCGCTGTCTCGGGGTACTGTGCGAGCGCTGCCATGAAGGTTCCACTGGCTGCATAGGGGGGATTGGCCCATATTACCAACGAAACTAGCGGCGGATGAGAGGTTGACGAAGAAATCCACGCTGCCCTTAGTTGTTGTCAATGCCCGTTGAACGTTCCAGATTCCGTGGACTCTGGGCATCATCACGGTCTGGTAGTCCGCGAAATTAAGCTTTTCAAAGAGCGTATCCTAATAGAAGGGTTAGTGGAGATGTCTTCAGTCACTTGGTGTTGAGACTTACCCGGAGAACCATAGCGCCGAATACAACACCACGAGCGGGAGGCATGCGGGTGAGGAGCGGAACAAGATTTTGCTCCACGCTCTGCTGATCCGCCACATCGCAGCAGCAGACCTCCACATTGACACCCTGTCGAGTAAGATCTTGGATAGTCTGCCCAGCCGTTTCAGTCTTAACACCACTTCGAGAAACCAGAATAAGGTTCTTGGCTCCCTTCTCTGGCAACCAACTGGCAATGTCAAGACCGATGCCGCCAGTTCCACCGACGATGATATATGAAGCGTCTGCACGAAGAAGATTTTCGTCTCTTCTAGCGGGGTGGACCTGCGTGGTGGGTTAGCGATCATTCGGTCTAAACACGAGCGTCCTAGATTTGAGCAAACATACCTTAACCATGGAGTCATCCGTGACCTGGACGACCATTTTGCCGATTACTTGTCCACTCTGCAACGCCCGGAATCCAATCTCAACATCTGAGATGGGAAGAGTGGTGACAGACCACCTTGACTGAGCGTTGGTGTCGACAAACAGCTTGAACGCATCACGCAGAAGCCGTTTTGTCAATTGCGGACGCTTCTCTCTGACTATTCCCAAGTCGACAGATGCGAAAGAGATATTCTTGTTGAAGTGAGCCATCTCCAATCGAGAGTTTGTCGTAATGTCTCGCTTGCCCAGTTCAATGAAGCGACCAAACGGCGCAACGCACTCGAATGTTGCCTGCAAAGCATCGCCACTGAGCGAGTTAAGAGCAACATCCACACCCCGACCACCAGTGGCGTGCTGAATACCTTCAGCGAATGACATGTCACGACTGAAGAAGATATTTTCTTCCTTGAGCTGGTAAGTTTCCATGAGGAAGTTTTTCTTCTCGGGGCTGCCGACGGTTGCGAAAATATTAGCTCCAACACTCTGAGCAATGATAATTGCAGCTTGGCCAACTCCTCCTGCAGCGGCGTGAATCAGGACACTCTCATCTTTAGTCAGTCGGCCCAGGTCAATGAGAGAGTAGTAGGCAGTACAGAACACAGCTGGAATGGAAGCTGCGATCTCGAATGGCATATCGTCGGGAATAACCCAAGATCCAGAGGCTGGGCAGCGAGTGAAAGTAGACAGTGAGCCTGGTGACATCGCACAAACACGATCTCCAACTTTGAAGTCAGACACCGCAGCTCCCACCTGAGTCACGACTCCACTACATTCCTGACCGAGTCTATCGCCTTGAAGTTGGCCCATGGCCATCAAGACATCTCTGAAGTTGAGACCGGTGCTGTGGACCTGGATCTCAATGTGGTCTTCCGGCAGGGCTCCATTGCGGGAAACATCGTCTGTGAAGTAAAGCTCATCGAGACCCCTCCCGTCTCCAGCAGCAAGTCGCAAAGCCCGATCTTGTTTGAATGGCTGCATCTGGGGAGGCGCGTCTGGCGTCTCTTGCTGGACACTGAGGTTCAATGCGTTGTTATCGACCAAGCGGGGCACACAAACATTGCCATTTCGGACAACAAACTCCCAGTCGTTCTGGCCCAGCTGCGATTTCTGACAGAAGACTCCGTTGAATACCTTAAGCATGTGGTTCACGGCCTCAGCGTCGGGCATGTTCTCCCGTTCTCCTGAGATCAAGTGTTGCGAATTGCAGGCCAGTCTCTGATCTCACAGTGCGAGCCAGTCCGATGGCCATGTTCGCGCCAAGGGATTCCAGATCAGTTTTGCTGTGACGGACAACCCACAGTAGACCTCGAGCCCGGCTCAGAAGACGTTGCAGTGTCTGGAATTTTTCTTGAGTGAGGTGTGACAGGATCGAGCGATCCATTCCCCCAAGGAAAATACACCATTTCCCGGTGACATCAACATCATCAGAGTCCGCAGCAGTAATGGGCTCAACACCAGTTATCTTCCTGAGGCCAGATTCAAGGCTAAGGGATGATACGCTGCCGATTGAGTCACTGCCGAGAACCACAACATCACCGGCGTTTGCGGGACCCGTTATTGGGGTATTAGCGGTGGATGTCATGAGACAACCAGATTGGAACGATCCCCAGGGAACTCCTCGACACACAGATCGACCCCAGAGAAGTTATTCTCCTTCATCACGTTGCTCCATCCTTCGACGGTGAGGAGGGGTCCGTCCTTGCGGAATTTGTCATTGGCCAGCCACCACCCAGGGAGGAGTGCGAATGGGAAGTGACTCGCCTTTGGCACGGTTTCTTCAATGAGTATGATCTTCCCACCAGGCTTCAAAAGGCCTCGGATGTTTGCCATTGTCTGGCTGATGTCGGAAGTAGCATGCAGCACGTTGCAAGCAACCACAACGTCGTATGTACCATTAGTGAAGCCTTGGGCAGTGGGGTCAACCGACACATCTAGTGCCTGGTATGTCATGAGATGTCCCCAGCTCTCGAACTTTGTCTTGGCCTTTTCAAAGAAGGCGGGAGAGATGTCGGTGTAGGTGTAGTGGCCGAACCGAGGCGTATATCCTCCTTCGCCTCCGCCCAAACTCTGCAAAATAGGCAAGGTGGCACCACCTGTTCCAGCACCGATCTCAATGAAGTTGAGTGTAGGGTTTTGATGTGCCATCTTGTCAACGCAGACAGAGGCATTGGCGTAAGCCTCGCGAAGAGAGTCAAGGTCACTGTAGTATCTTCCGATTCCATCATCCTCCAGAAGCACAGTCAAGGCGTCTACCTTGCCCCTGAGAATTTGAGGAAGTAACTCTCCCACTCTGAATGCCAACTCACCTGCTCCATTGACAGTTCTATTCTGTTCGAGAACGTCAAGGGGCAAGGGATCTTTGAAGCCCGCCTTTTGGCAAGTGTTCCGAGCCCAACGATAGAATTTCTGATGATGTGGCTCGAAGGTCGATATTTCATCTTCGGTCACAGAGTTGACCATCTGTGTGAGGTAGTGCTCTGCCACAGATTCGAGTCGGTGCATGCGCTCAATTCCTTGAGCCGTATCAGTGTCGGGGCGAGGGAGCTGCCGATAATCTTCGCCAGAGAGGAAATCGAAGCAGGGTTCATATTGCATCTTGTAGCAAATCTGATCAGGCGAATTATCCTTTGAGCCTTTGATATCGTTCGATACAGGCACCAAAGTGATACCATTGATGTCAATCAACGGATTCGCTGGGTTGCTGGAAGCGGTAGCGAATATGCGGTTGGTCTCAGGATTGCTTGCAGATTCATCTCCTGACATGCTGCCATAGAGTTGCAGTACAGCACCAGCACTTAGTTCTTGGCCCAATGAAACGGAAACCTGCTTAACATGCGACGGCACATGGGTGATTTGCGGCCCAGGCTCGCCATATCCACGAAGGATCCACGTAACTTGACTACATAGATCAAGTGTGACGGGGTGCACAATGCAGGGAGTCTCATGCCCGTGAGGCATCGCTGCCTTCGTGTCTGGGATACGCAAGGTAGCCATTGCTAGATGATCCCTGCTCACAGAGATATCAGTGAGTCCTCGGAAAAGAGGACCGTAATGGACACCACCTTTAGCGATGTTCTCGTAGAAGAAAATGCTGTCCACGGGCAATTTACATGAGTTTCGCATATTCAAGGCTTGTTGAGTAAACCGTGCGGTCTTCTCGAGCTGCTGTCGAGAACCATCGACAGGATTGATGTCCTTGGCTTCTTGCACCATGATGAAACCATTGCAGTGTTGGTCCCATCCACGGCCCTCAGCCCATGAAAAAACCTTGAACTCGTGCCAGCCGAGGACGGATTTGCTAGGGGCTTCCGATCTGGATGGTTTCAAACTGAGCATTGTCTCCACGGATGAATTGTCCGGGATAGTGAGGACACGGTTAATGAAGATATCGCGGATATCGATCTTTCCGGGGTAACATGGTGCAGCTGTGCGTGTTGTGAGATAGCCTCCATGGCCATGGCCAAGAATCCGGTCATTGGATACACAGCTGTATCATATACTCTGTGTTCGCGAATCCAAGGGTGGTCATCTGCACGAATAATGTTCCTCCATCGAGGCTCAAAGTCGACATTCTCCATACACAATGAGCCAAGGATATCGCTCCGGGCGAATTGACCACGGAAATGGTTATCACCTATCCGGGAGCTAAACCAGTATCTTTCCGAGTGGTTCCACGGATATCTAGGCAGATTTGTCAAGACGGCTGGCTTCCTTGTCGTTGTTTTCAAGTTGGGGAAGTTGATAGCCTGGAAGTTGAGGTTCATGCCTTGTGTGAATAGCGAGCCAGCGAGGTTTTGGACAGCCTCGATGTCATCTACCTTGCGTTTCAAGGTGTGAATGTATTGCACATTAGAGTTCGGGGCGTATTTCTGCGCAATGTCTTGGACGGGTGTTTTCAGGGCAGGATGAGGGCCGATTTCGACCAATGTGGTGATTGGCGTATTTGCCTGCTCATCGGTGACAAGGCTCTTCAGACCCTCCACGAACTCCACTCGAGAGACCAGATTATCCACCCAGTAGGAGGCATTCAAAGTGCTTCCTGGGACCGATTTTCCATAAACGGTCGAATGGAATGGAACCTCAGAGTCGCGAGGAGCAATCTTGCCGAGCAGGCATCGATATTCCTGCGACACGATCTTCATATGGTAAGAGTGGTAAGCAACATCGACCTGCAGTCTCCGGGTGAAGATCCCTTCTTTGTCCAAAGCAGTCTGCAGATCGGTGATGACATCTGCATCACCAGAGAGAGTCACGCTCGACTCGCTGTTCACACAAGCAATAACAGCCCGATTCCCTCGCATGGCATCCAAGATTTGCTGAATGTCTGACGCACTGGCTCCAACTGCCAACATACCTCCCTTGATAGACTTGTTATCTGCAACCAGGTTGGCTGCGATGCCACGAGAGAACGCCACGCGAACACATTCTTCGAGATTCAGAATGCCCGCCGCGTAAGCTGCTGCGATCTCTCCACTAGAATGGCCGACCACTGCCTTGGGGCGAATGCCCCAGGATGATAGCAAGTCAACTAACGCTAGCTGGACAGCGGTGCAAGCGGGCTGGCTCATGTAGGCAGCAGAGATAGAGCTCGCGCTAGGGTCAGTCAAAAGCAATTCATCTTTGTATGGGACGTTAGTGTCTGAGAATATCGTTGTCGACAGCGTCGGGGTTGAATTGAGACATACCTATGATTGAGAACGTTGCACCGAGCGATTTCAAGCAAGCATCCACGTCTCGCATAGTCTGCTTGAACACCGGGTAAGTGCTCAGAAGTTCTTTGCCCATGCCGTGCCATTGTGCACCTTGTCCAGTAAACACAAAGCCGACAGTAGGCTCTTTGGAAGAACGAACAGGCCCTGCGTTGTTACTCAGCGACGCTGTCAGCTCCTGGCTGAGGACTGCAGAGGATGCCAATCTCCAAGGCAAGAATGTTCGTCGCTGGCCCAGCGTATAGGCCAGGTTATCCATAGCGCTGTCGTCGAAAACAACTGGGAAAAGGTCGAGGTACGTTGCAATTGATTTTCCAAGATGAAGAGCAGCCTGTTTATCATACGCAGACACAACGTACAACTTGCGCTTGAGAGGATCGTCGTTTTGGGCAAGGTCGCCTTGGTGTCGGGGACCACGCTGTAGAATAACATGGGCATTGGTCCCGCCAAAGCCGAAGTTGTTCACACTCGCGTATGGTTTGCCACGGGGCCACGGCATCAGCTTCTTGGGAACCTAGTTGAGTGTTTAGCTAGGTCTCGTTGATACTCCAATACGGCTCTTGATCTCACCTTCATATTCCACTTCTCCATGGGTATTTCATCGTTGGCCTTCTCGAAATTGCAATTTGGGGGTACAAAGCCTCGCTCAAGTGCCAGGGCCGTTTTGATCACAGAAACAACACCACTTGTTCCTTCGAGATGACCAATGTTCGATTTCACAGACCCAACAAGCAACGGTTGACGCGGGGTGCGTCCTTTCCCAAAGACAGCATTCAATGCAGTAGCTTCGAGGGGATCACCAACTTTGGTTCCTGTGCCGTGAGCCTCGACAAATGCTGTCAAGGACGGGTCGATCCGTGCCTCTTTATAGACTTGACGAATCAATGCTTCCTGTGCCTCGCCATTTGGCATTGAAATACCTCTGGTCCGTCCGTCCTGATTGAGGCCACTGTTGATAATTACAGACCGGATGACATCTCCAGCAGCCTCTGCATCCTCCAGAGATTTCAATATAATACATCCAGCACCTTCACCTCGGCCAAAGCCCGTGCCGCGATGATCAAATGCATATGAGCGCCCAGTGTCAGAAAGTAGTCTTTGAGGAATGACCAGTCAGCTTCGGTATGTTACAGGACTGCCAGGTTAACTTACCTAGAACGTGTCATCGAGATGAAAGCCTCGGGGGTTATATTCAGGTGACATCCTCCCACAATCGCCATTGAACATTCACCATTCCGGATACTCTGACAGGCCAGATGCAGAGCAGACAAGCTGGAAGAACAAGCTGTGTCCACTGCAACACTAGGCCCATTCAAATCAAAATAATACGAAACCCGGTTCGCCTGCAATGACATAGCGGTTCCGGTGGCAGCATACATGGGGATGGCAGTCGCATCTCTCATGTTGTTGATTTCGTAGTCGGGATATGATCCACCGGCGAAGACACCCACCTTTTGGCCGCTGATCTCATGGCTTGTGATTCCAGCGTTCTCGAGCGCTTCATACACACATTCGAGAAAGATGCGCTGCTGCGGATCCATTGATCGTGCCTCTTGGAGTGTAATGTTGAAGAAGGGCGCATCGAATAGGCCAATGTCTTCTGTCAGGAAGTGGGCGCCTACTGGGTTGAAGGAGCCTGGTCGATCCGGATCAGGGTGATAGAAGGAATCAGGGTTGAATCGGGTTTTCGGGATTGGTGACCAGGCACTTCGGCCTCGAGAGCAGAGATCCCAGAATTCGTCGGCCGTCGAAACGTCTCCGGGGAGGCGGCAAGACATGCCGATGATCGCTGTTCGCTTGGGCACGTCGCCGGTGGCATTATCGGGGATATCACTAGGCGTCTGCAAAGATCCATTTGCACTCTCGGTGACTGGCGTTCCAGTCCCGAAGGGCTGTTGAAGGCGCATCTTTGAAATAGGTTCAGTATCTGGTTCGAAGATGTCGAAGTATGTACCTGGCAGTGATCACCGCCAATGTCTAGCAAGTGTCCAGAGAAATATCGATTTGCAAGAAAAGAATGTATAGAATAGTACAATCACGCAGTGTTCAAAACGGGCAATCGGTTCATCCAAGTACTTCCTGAAAGGCAAAATAGAAAACAACAACAAGGGCGTTAAGATGGTTAGAGTACCAACAGCCCTTGCATTACCATCCAAGCACACGCGTGCCGATCTCTGTCCAGCGGTTTCCCGATTGAAACAGGGGATTTAACCTTGAATCGGGCAATGATGGGTCGAGAGAAGGCGTGTGCCTGTTTTCCTTGATGACGAATCCAGCAAATTGCAGGCATATCAATGGGGTCCTCCATGCATAAAAGCAGCCCCTCCACTCGTTTTGCCATTAGTTGTTTCCAGGACTGTAGATCAGAATCAGTAGATCTGATCTTGTCTTGCCATGTCTTTGCTATAATGGATAGTGTTTTTTCCCGATGCCCTTGCTAAGGTGAGGGTGCGTACTTTCGTACATTCCAAACACAGGGGCAAACCCCAGGGACCCTGGCAGATTCCTGATGGCATAATTCGCCATTGATGCCTCCTCGCGTAGCAAGTATCTTTATAGCACCCTCCGAGAGACATTCTATCTCGCGTTTTTCTCCGAAATATTCCCCAGCTGATTATCACAATGAAGTTTCTCTGCCTCCCAGGAGGCTACTGCAGTGCCAAGGTATGTCAAGCCTTTTGTCACGTGGAATGAGACCATTCAGGTGAAGCTGACTATTACAACAGGCTCTCAAAACACAGCTAGGTAAGCTGTGATTGATGCAATAGACGTTGGAAGGGAACTAATGGTAGATTCCAGGCCCGTTCTGCGATGCCCTCGCGTCTAATGGAAATGCCAGCTTCCACTACACGCAGGGAACCACTGAGGTGCATGTCCCCCCCAGAATTTGCCGGGTTTTTCGGTCCGCCGCCGAACTATACCTTCATGGAGGTCAATGGGCTTGCGATCCAGGCGAACATACGCGACTTCCCAAGACGCGACACCCCAGAAGAGGCAATCAAAGCCGCTGTGCAGGCGGCAGGTGATCCCTCATTCCCGTGTATCACTGAGGTCATGGACCGTCTGGTTGGCATTCTTGACAGTGACGACGACATTGGTGGTGTGATTGGCTTCTCGGAGGGTGCCCAGACTGCCGCATCACTTATTCTTGAAGAGCGAAGAAGGGAGAGTGAACATGGTCGGATCCCTCGACTTAAATGCGCAATTATGTTCGGCGGATGGCCACCGGTGCACCCGATGACTGGCAAGGTTGTTACGGCGGACGACTATTATGAAGTACCGATCACTATTCCCACCTGTCATGTTGTCGGTGCGGCGGATCCGTTCCTTGACGGGTCAATGGCACTGTACAATATGTGCGATCCAGATACCGCTGATCTGTTTGATCATGGAGCGGGACATTTAATTCCAAGAAAAAAGCAGACTGCCGACGAGATTGCTGTAGTTGTGCGCGAGATGATCAACTCTGTGGCTTGATTTGTATAACATTTGGATCTATCTAGCAATACACCAGAAACAACCCTGTTAGGCTGGATTTACACTGTATTTCTAAAACACGTGCATTTCATGTTCAGTTCATAGATATAAATATAAAGATCACCCCATCGCTTTATCGCTTTTGAGCCTACTCCAACAGTGGCCTTGACTCCCCTTCTTCCTCCACTCCAGTCTGATCCTCTGATCGACTCGATTGAGAAAAGAGGCCAACAAAGGACCCAACCCCCAAAATCCAATCTCGCCACCTTGATGACCCCTGCTCTTCCTCGTCAGCCCGTTCATACTCGGCCTCCTTCCAACGCCACCGGGCCCGGCGCACAAGCCACAGCAATCCAACCCCTACCACGCCCAACGCCAGTATCGCAAGCACAGCACCCATTACTGATACGACAGTCAAGGTGCTAGCATGGCACCCAAATGGCAGAGCTCTTAGCTCCCATCTCTCCTTGGCACCAAGGGGGCAGATGTTTTCTGAGCCGAAGGGCGCAAATATTGGAATCCGGGATGGGTTAGGAACACACGTCGAGGACTATAGCATAACAATCAATAATCAGCTTCCTCCAGCATGGAGTGGAAGATCATAGGTTTGATGGTGCTGATCAAGTCAAAGCAAAAGCAATAATGGGACCCGTGGTATGTGTGGCCTTGAAACCCCTCTCCCCATTCTAGCCGGGGATGCAAGGGAGCAGTATGTGAAACACACTTGGTGGAGAGGGTTGATTGGGAAGGGAGAGGGGAGAGTCAAAGTTATAGGAAGGAGCTGGTAAGAGGATTTGACATACTATAGCACACCAGCTGCAGGCAACATCACCAGTCAGGCAGCTTGAACACGACTGTCGACCCCAGCAAACATGGAAGAGCGGGTCGCTGGAGTCATTTAGGACGCTGGAATTTCCCTTGTCCATCACTGTTTAGGTAGAACACCATGTAAGGTGCTCGTGATGTTCCTTTCAAGATTGTTCCTATCGATACGTCAGATTTCCTCCCTTGCAGAGAGAACGGTCGTACTTTACCTCTGCTAAGTTGCGGGGTCAATCTATAGGCGAAATAATAGAATTACGAGAAGTCGAAAACCCTTTTACTTTGTACCTTTCAAATGTTATTTGTAGCCCAAACATGAGACATTATTGAATTGGATCGAAATTCCCGCAGTCTACATTTTTGGGCTGCGGTACTTTTTTGCCAGCCAGTGACTGGCCTCGGGACATCTACAACACAACTTTGGGAGTATACAAGTCCCACATAGAGATCATCTGGGTCACTGTGGTAGTACAGATTGATATTATATAGGATGATCGCATGACACCGTTGAAAACGTGATAAATTTATCCTGGTAAATCATGCTGAAACCGAACTTTGGCCCGGAAATTACCAAAATCCACCGCTCGTCGACATATGCATAAAGGGGAAAAGGATATGTTTTTGACCAAGGAAAGACGGTAAATCCGGTTCAGACCACACGCTTGACCTGTATATCGAACATTAGTGTCTCATCTTCCGGTATCTCACCAAAGAAGCCCACGTACCTCGAAGAATCTCTTGAGCCACCACACCTGGAACACACCCTCGCCAATAACCACCATAAGCTGGAACATACTCCACCATTTCACACGGCCGTTGGTGCTCTCTGCGGTATTACGGTGTACTCGCTCACGCACGACAATGTACGACTGCTCATCCTTCACCTGCGTCAAAGCCTCGCTAAGTCTTCGAACTAAATAGTACCAGATGATCAGTCACAATATTCTTATATTATTTCTCTCCAGTTGTCTGTTCATCCCCGCGCTTACCTTCGACCTCGAGAGGATCCTGCGCCATCTCGTGTTCGGGCACGTAGACAATTCCGTGGACATTGAAGGAGACCTCCTTGGAGTTCGAGGTCCAGCCCTCGTTGCTGAAGCAGTAGTTGTATTTACCGTCCGCCTGCGCAGTGAAGGAGTAGTCGTCGGAAGCAACGGCTTGCTTGAAGTATTGGCGGTTTCTCAGGGGATCCTCGACCTGCCGCGACCGAGCGTTAGCGTTTGTGTTCTCACGTTGAACAGTTCCTCAATTCCCCCTGTAGCAACCGGGCTAGTCCAAGGCGTAAAACACTCCGTTTCTGGCCCCGGTATATGGTAATGCCACCATCGGAGCAGAAGGGGACTCCCGAGTATCCAAAACATCCAACACCAAGACCGGGACCGGGACCAGGATAGTTCATACCCAGAAATCAACCTCAAGGTTTCCACTTCCTCCAAACTCGCGATCTCCAACCTGGAAAGTGACAGTCATAACGTCGTCGCGGTGCAGTGACTCGTGGAAGCATTCTCGTGAGTGAGCCTTGAGCTGAATGGTGTGTGCGGTCGCAGCGGTGATCCACCCCAGCGCAGTGACCAGGATTGTGCTTGTTGAGAATCGCATGGTGAAATACTTGGCTGACTGCGACGAGTCTGGAGAATTGACGAGTGAGTGGTGGTGATGTTCGTTGGTTGTCAACGCGCAAGGTGTCAATTGGCGGCGCTCGGACCACTTCCAGTAAACACCGCTCCGCCTTGAGATTTGGTCTTGGCTTGGTGTATACAGTCGGGTAGACTGAGATTGTAATAAGGTAATAAGGATAATTGGGTCTTCCTGGTCTATCTATTATTGTGCCATCAGATCTTGAAGTCTCTCATGGAATTTGCATTTATTTAAATGATCATTTAAAGTCTGGCGAGCTATACGTTGCGCGCAACATATATATCGTTTCACAGTGGATCAGCTACAAATAGACAAGCCTTCAATGTATATACAAGCACAAAGGAGGTTGATACCCCAATGAGAACACTTTGTAACATTAACGTAGCATGATGTCTGAATTTATTTGGAAACTGTAAACACTTGAACAGTAATAAGCTACAAGAAACGCAACAGGGAAGCGTGTGTATCAACAAGCTACATCTAACAACATCACAAAGGGGGGTGCATGGGTAATATAGAACAATCAGAAAGTAAAGAATGACAGAGATTGACTATTAGTATGTATAGAAGGGTAGTAAATGATAGGACATGAAAAAAAGTAAAGAGGTTATTCAATGTACAAGTTCTTCGGGGAGATGGGAGGGAAAAAGCAAGCGAAATAACGGTGTGGTATCAAATCCGAAAACGCAAACGTTGATCAACGGCCATGAAGCCGGAAGATAGGTATGTATGTCGAAAGGGGGAATATGGATGTAACGAGAGGAGAGAAATCTGCGAAATTGGCGCTTGCACCAAACGCAGAGATAGCAGTAGACGATAAAAGCAAAGATATCACAGATCGACGAGTCGTTCTGTAGTCCTTTGCTGGTGAAAAGAAGGGAAAGGCAAAGAAACACCGAGATGAGATGGAAAGTTCGAAACAATCTATGGGTAATGATCAAGGGCAGCGCAATCACTCTTCCTCAGTGGACGGTTCGTCGGAAGAGGAGACGTCAACGTCAGCGTGGGCTTGGATATCGCTCTCTTCGGCTTCAGCCTCGTCAATTTGAGGCCCAAACGGACCCTCATCGTCCCTCTCCTTCGGCGAAGCCGAAACCATCCCATCAACGGTACTCTCGTTCTCATCCGCGAAGCTCCCATCCTCGTAGTTTGCCGGCTCAGCGTCATGGTCATAGCTTGAGCGACGGAGAAGAGGCGGCGTCTGAGGCGGTTCCGTGACAGGAGCATGGCTGCGAACCGATCCGCGTCTTGGGGCCGACCTCGAGCCTCTCAAGGGGCGAGTCTGCGCAAACCGTGCGGCTGCACTAGTCTGCGAGCCAGAACCGTTCTCTCGGACGTGGGAGCTCGGGGGTGTTAGCAGGCCTGATAGGAAGGCGCTTGCATTGCTGGGCTTTGACGGGGTTTGCTCGGAGGTGTTGGCGGCGGATTCGCGGCCTTTACGCCAATTTCCCCAGGCGGCAGCTGCAGCTAGGGGGAGGGAACGGGGTGAGGCAGCAAGATCGGCAAGGGAGGGGAGGTTGCCGGTTGTTAGTCGTTCCTTTTCTTGCTGCTGCATTTGGAGGTTGGCTTTCAGACGGATGGCTGCGTCGCGGACGGCTTGCTGATTGAAGGAGGGCTTGGACACGGTCTGGATTATGTCTTGTAGGTCGTCGATGCGGACGCCTAGGAGCTCACGCAGCCATGTGATCTCGGTGTCCTTCTCCTTGATCTTATTTGGCGCATCTTTATCTATTGTGGAGACTTCTTGCTCGAGCTCTTCAATGCGTGTCTCGCGCTGCTGGAGCTGGTCCTGGAGGACGAAGATTGACTCGCGCAGGGCTTGAGGAGAGGTTCGCTCGGGCTCTGCGGATCCCTTACTGTAGGACATGGACGGCGTGGCTCGCGAGTGAGAGGGTGCGGCATCTGGGACTGCGCTGGGGCTTGCCTTGGCGCTGTGGGCTGCCTCAGCAGCAGCACGGGCAGCAGCTTGAGCGATCTCGAGCTTCTCTTCGAGGAGGTTCACGCGCTCTTGCAGGTGCTTAGCCTTGTCCTCGGACAAAGCCATGCGCTCCATACTATGACTCTCACCGCGTGCACGATCCTCCGAAGAGTTATGCAAAGCGCGAGCGTGACGTTCACGGAGGTCATTGAGAATGCGCTCGTGCATCTTACGGGTCTCATCGATGGCAAGGTCCTTAGCAGCCAGGGCGGTGACCTTTGAATCCTTGGCTTCCTCAAGGAGAAGCTCGTAGCGCTCGCGAGTTGTATCGGTATCCATACGGTTGTTGTCAAGTTGAGTCTGCAGACGAATAATCTCGGCCTCCAGCTCGGCACGCACAATGTTGACCTGGCTGTTAGAGGCTTCAAGGTCTGCTTCCATCGAGGAGCGAGTGCGCTGGATCTCGACGCGGCTGCTCTCGCGGGCTTCGATGAACTCTCGTTCGAACCGGGCAGCCTTGATCTGCAGCTCATGGTTCTCCGCCCGGAGGCTAGTGACCAGTTCCTCCAGTCTAGCATTCTCTTTCTGGGATTGCTCATGGATGAACCTCAGCTTCGTGGCCTCTCGCTCGTTCTTTTCGAATTCGCGGACATCCTCCTCGAGCTTCTCGCGCAATTGGAGCTCGCGGGAGTACGACGCGCGCAGCTCGTTGTACTTTGCAGTTTGCTCTTCCTCCTTTCTGCGCCAGGCAGCTTGATCACGAGTAATTTCGGCGGTGACATTGAGCATGTCATCTTGAAGACGATCGAACTTTTCAGTGAGGTTCTGGCGCGAGATCATGCTATCCTCGATGCGAGTCCTCAGGTGATCAATAGTCTCGTGAAGAGACTTGTTCTCAGCCTTGGTAGTTTCCAGTTGACGGCGGAAGTTATCGCTAGAAAGACGGTATTCGTCGAGGGTACCCTCAAGCGCGATGTTCTTCGTAGACAGCTCTGCGATAGTAACCTTGAGAGTCTCGCTCTCTTCCGCAAGTGACTCGGTGCGGAACTGCATCTTCTCGAAGTAAGGAATCTTCTCTTCCTTGAACTGCAGAAGACGAGATTCGGCATCCTCTGCAGCAGCACTGTGACGAGCAGCATCTTCCTCTGCAAACTTCAAGAGTCGCTGGAGCTCAGTCATAGCATCCTGCGCATCGCGGCGATCCTTGTACTCCTGCTCAGCACGCTCATCGGCAACCCGCAACATCCCCTTAAGGCCATCGATCTGGAGCATAAGACTGTCGGCACCAATCTCCTCGGCCTCTGATAGGCGCGGGCTCGGGGGTTTCTGCAAGGCAACCTGCTGAGCCAATTGCTTGGCCATGGCTTCCTCGATGATCTCACGCATGTCACCAACAGGGTCCTGTGCGAGCTTCTTGATCGTGAGGGCCTGCAGTTCAGCAATGCTTTCCTTGAGCTGCGCGATCTCACTGTGGCTGGAGTGTGGCGAAACGCGTTGAGGGATGTCATGGGTGACCAAAGCTTCCATGACAACATTCTTGAGCATCTCCAACTTGCGTTCTCTCATGTTGTGAGGCGACCGATCTCGAACCGCATCTTCCTCGCCATCGTCATCCTCATCGTCAGCATCACTGTCTTCCATCTCGGCGGATGTGCTGCGGAAGACCCTTCTGCTTGCAGTACCAGTGGCAATAGAAGCCACCGATTGCTGGATGACAGCCAAGGCACGCTCCATAGGGCCCAAACGATCGTCGATGGCGGAGCCAACAAGATCGTTGATGCGACGATCGAAGAAGCGGTTACGGTTCATGAACTTCTCGTCTTCACCCGCGGAGATCATGTCATCCCAGTCACTGACATGGTCATTCTCAGTAACAAGCTGACGAACAGGGGACTGCAGACGAGAGATAAGGCTCTTCTGGGGAGAGAATGTAGCATTGCTGTTGGCATCAATGTCCGAGGCAAGTTTGGGAATGCTGAGCTTGTATGTCTTGGGAACGCCACCGGGGCTCGGGCTGGGTGCTTCGCTTCGGGCCTCCGCAGAACCAAACCGCTGTTCCTTTGTAGGGCCGCCCATCGACTCCGTGAGGTGGTCGTGTCGTGGTTGGAAGGGAGTCGCGTGGATCGTGTTGTAAGGAGTCGCTTGTCGCTCGATGCCGACATCTGCGTCGTCATCGTTCAGCTGTTCCATAATTGCATTCAGCTCCTCGTCGTCAGGCGAGTCGTTCTCGGAGTCCCATGAGTTGTCGTCATTCTTAGGTTGGCGAGTAATGAATTCTGTTTGCACGCGGGTTGGAGTCTTGGACTCAGGCTCAGCGAGGTGATCTGGCGAGGTTGCCTTCTTAGGTGGGCTTGCGGCAGCGAAGCGAGAAGCCATGAGTCCGGCTTGCTTGGGTTTACTTCCAGCGGGACTCTTGGCAGGCTTTTCGATGGGCTGCTCCTTTGTGACATTTGCTTCAACAGGCTTTGGCTCGGCAAAGCTAGATGGCTGAACGGTTGTGGGAACAAATTCAGAAACAGCAGGCTTGAACTCGAAAGGCTGAGCGTTAGGCGACAGTGCAGTGCTCTTGACCGAGCTCTTTGATCCATGAGGAGCATGGTCGACACCCTTCGAGACAGTGACAGACCTATCGTCTCCCGCAGCAGGCTCCTTTGGTTCACGTTCTTCAAGAACAATGTCCTTAGAGGTCTCTGCCCGGACCGGTGACCCGGGTTGAGATGTGTTCTCAGCGTCTCGCTTCGCATCGAACAGAGTCCAAGTGTCAGCTTCACTGACAGGGGTACTCGTCCGCTCCACCGGGTTGTTCTCTTTAGGCATGGCATTCTCCTTGCCCTCAGCGACGGCATGGAGCGCACTCGAAGCTTGAGCATTGCCTGCTTCGCCCAGAGGGTGGGTCGAGATGCTATACTCAGCCTCGCCTTCAGCGTGGCCGACACCGCGACGCGCACGCTTGTGGCGGTCAGTAGGCACAGGTCGGCCATTGGTGTCGTCCCCGATGGCCTGCTCCTTTTCATTGTTCTCCTTTTCAATCTCATCGGGCCGCACAATAGGAATAGCCTTAGACTTCTTCTCAGGAGTGGTGATCTCGCTGATGTTAATGTCGCCGAAGATCTTGGTGCGACTAGCCGGAGGCTGCTCGGAGCTGGCATTCGAATTGAGACTGGCAGAGGGATTGGGGTTGAAGACAGGTGCGTCGACATTAAACGATGCGGCAGAGAACTTGAATGCGCCACTACCACTGGCATTGCGCGGCTTGGAACTCAATGAGCCGCTCAGACTGCTACCAGGCGCGAATGAGGGAGGCGGGGCAAAACCGAATCCTTGCTCGCCGCTGCCGCCGAACTGGAATGTGTCATTGCCGAACGGCACAGGCTGGGAATTGAACGATGCGGTAGGGTCGAATTCCTTGGCTTCAACGTTGAGGGATGAAATCGAGAGCTGCGACTGATGTCCTCCGTGGTATGAGGGGCCGCTGGGCTGGGTTTCGTGCCACGGCCCTTGGCGAGTCTGTGGCGTACCCGCAACACTGGGATTTGTGTCGAGATCAGAACCATCCTGACCGTGGTGCTGTTGGTATTGGTCTCCGTAGAATTGGTGAGGAATCTGGTGTTGGGTAAAAGGGTGAGGTTGGTGATGGGAAGGGTTTTGTGCGTGGTGTTCATTTTCTGGCAATCCCCAGCGCGACTTCAGCATGCTGGCATTCAGGCCTGCATGGCTGACATCACGGTAATCGTCCTCCAATTGTCGGTCGATCGAGTCTTCCAGATGGTAATCGGTATGCGTCATCTGGTCCAATCCTCTTTGCAGAGTTTCGCTCAGATTATGACCGTGGCCTCGAGGTGTAGGCTGGGCAATTTCGACGTTCGATGCGTGGAAATGATCTGGGTGTCCATTGACCGGGGTCTGGGGGGGCCTGGTATGGCAGGCCATCCTGGCGCATACCATGCCCAAGTTGATCATCGAAAACACCCTTTTCGTTGAATCCGGGGTGGAAGGACCCTTGGTCATGTAGCGGAGACACTGGTGACAGCATGGAGGAAAAGTTGCCCATTGCCCCTGGACCAGCCGAAGAAGTTGCCTGTCGGGGGGTTTATGAAGCCTTGGGGGGGTCATAGATCCCTGAGCAGGAGGCGTGGGCTGGAATTGGAAGGGGAATCCGCCCATCATATTTTGATCCGCACCCACAAATGGCGTCTGCATACCAAATTGTGAAGGTGATGCAATGGACCCCATAGCACCAGGTGTAGCCATTGATGATTGATTGAAGTGAGGCGAGAATGGGTGGATATGGCCGAGGGGATTGCTTGCTGCAGACGCAGTAGGAATCGGCGGGGATGCGACAAGGCCCGGGAAAGGAGTGCCACTGGGGTTGAGCGAGTAATCGGGTGAAATGGATTGTTGAGGCTCTTCGTCGCCGAACGACACCCCCAGAGCGCGTAGCTTTTCTTCTTGAAGCTCGGTGATATAAGCCTCCCACTTGGCCCTGTCTGGGAAATTGACGACAAGTGGTTCGCTCTTGGAAATTTCATGGAGGTCATATGGGTCGGGATATAGGGGTCGACTGAGACCTCCTAGAGTCGTCGTTGTGGAGGGGTCCTCGGAATCGCCAATGGTGAAACCACGAACATCATACCCTTTGTTCTCCCATTCTTGCATTCGTTGTTGAACATCGGCCGGTGTTAGGAGACGATACCCAGCTTCTGAACCTCTCTTATCATTATGTGGCAGCTCGATTATGCAGGCTTTCCCACGCCAATTCATCTTCTTTCTCCGCCGTGGTGTTTGCGTAGCTGATCTGCTGATATCAGAGACCTGTGTTTTTAATGGACCTGGATCTTCCATCTTTGCAGTCTCCTCCGTTGCGTTTGCGGGTGGAGGAGGTAACGGCTTTTTACCGGCGAGTTTACCTCGACGGTAGGTGTATTTGAGTCTGACATGATGTTTTGTGGAGGGTCTTTATCGTAAGCGAAACCCCAAAAGTCCTCCTGTCGCAAGGTATCAGCGCGTTTGTGCAAAGTTTTGTTGACTTTTGCTCGCGCGGCGGCTTTTTTCCCGACGAAATCAGAGAGCGTTGGAGTTTTCAACAGATCGTCGGAACGAAAGTCGTCTTCCAGACCAAGCCAGTCGTCCGAAGCGTCGTCGGCAAAGTGATTCCTCGCAGTTATGAACGACGGTGCTTCACTTCCTGAGTCGTCGCTGAGCCAATTGCTGCGCTCCGTTCTAGGTTGACCAGTAAGGTACTGGTTGATCCAATCCTGCGTAAAGTCCCGTATCGATTTCTCTCCGTTACTGGCGGCAAAATCGCGCTCGACGGGTTCAAGTGTGTCGTCGTCGGCGGCACTTAATCTCCGCAACTCGGTGTGGTTTGCTACTGACGAGACAGGCGAGCTGGGACCAGATCCGTGGTCAACCCCAGCGAATTCGATTTGGCTATTGGTCACTGACAGTCTCCGAGTGCTAGGTGCTGCATATGGGGATCCCCACGCGGTGGTGTAGTAGATGCTGCTTTCCGCCCTACGATTGACTGGCGAAGAGGGCCCAGATTCCTCGGTTCCGCGATATGAGGATAGGAATGGGAGAGGCGGGGGTTCGAGAGTTATGCTCCGCGGAGAGGTTCGTTGACCGGGTGAACCAGCGGTCGACGGACTCGAGTCTCCCGATGGCGGAGAGGACAAGAGTAGTGAGGGAGCCAGACGCGATTCACGGATGAGGCGCGTGTCCCGCGAGTGGAACTGTGGAGAAGGCGCCGAGATGGCGGAAGAGACGGGGTGATCAAGATCTGTAGTCATCCAGTGTGGTTAGTCTGGCATATTTGGAGGGGTCAAGAGGGATTGGATCAAGCGAGTTGAAGAATAAAGTCCAAATCGCGTAGTAGCGCGGAGTAAGGAGCCCAATTCCGCAATCCCAAGAAAGGTTCAAAGAGAATATTAATGCATACACACACCTTCCGTGTCGACTCCTGCAGCAAGCACTTGCTTGCCGCTCCGCTTATCGTCCAGAATGTTGACGCATGGAAATCAGACCGGAATTGAAGACCACCGCTGGCAAAACAACCTGGGGCGAGGCAATGTACAGGTTGTCGTTTTAATTTTTTTCTTCCGATAGGCGCAAACGCAAGTAAATCAAAAGAAAGGCGGAATCAGAAGCACGCTCAAGTCTGAAGCATCAAAGACCAGGATGGTGAACTAAGGGGAAAAAAAGGTCGGACGTCACGGGTATTGGATCGTCGTACGGAGAACCTCCTGGAGTGTGGGTAGTCCGAGCTAATGCGGTGTACAGGGTACCATAGGCCAATCCAATTATTATTTGTTTAGGACCGAGGCCGTTGTTTGTCTTGACAGAATTGCTACATACAACATATACGCATAACGCACATGTACCCAACGATGAATCTGATCCAAATGACCCTTGCCTTCTCCAAAATTTAAAGGATTGACTGTACTCCGTATACTGTGTACTTCCACAGCTCTACGCTTCCCCTTGCTTTCAAAAAAGTACATAGGTAAACAATGAAAACTGGAGATCTAAAGAGATTCAGGGGTAGAACAACAGCTTTCCATGGATTCGACCGTACCGTACCACCCTTGAGGGCCGTGTTAACAGTATGACTAATCGTTTGCTTTCTCCTGAGCCAATCAGCATCGATTTTACACCCAGAATCCCAAGGTTCGCGTCTTTTCATGCTGATTGGTGAAGATTTGTATACGCCGTTGCGCGCCCCCTTATCATTTCTCTCCTTTCTCGATAACATGGAAAAGCTTCATGTTGAGCGTCTCGAATCGGTTATAGATGCTCCACTGTCCTTTTTCACAAGTACAGATACAGGCATTATCACGAAACATGCCTCGGCGCTGCAGCAATACCCATATTATTTACTTATACAGTTAAAGACAATTAAACCATATTTCCATTGGACTGGGATATAAGGATACCCGGAATAAATCAATACAATCTGAAAAAGAAACCGCTGGTTGCGGGCAAGACATCAAAGCAAAAACGCTTGGATGAAGCGGACAGATAAGCACACATAGTCTATTTGGGGCAGGTGGCGTCGAACTTGATCTTGCGCTCCGCAGTGAACAGGCCCCAGTGCTGCTCATCCTTCATCTCGCCGTTGTCACCCTTGGTATCAGGCTTCCAGGCCTCATCGAAGGCCTCGAAGTAGAACAGGTCAACACCCCAGTCGAGCATGCCACAGATACCAGTCTTCCAGAACTTCTCAGCATTCTTGGTACCCGCCTTGGCATCCTCATAGTCCGAACCGCCATCGGTGGGCCAGCCGGTCTCACCGGTGACAATGTTGATCTGGTCGGCGTTGTCGCCGGCAATCTTTTGAATGTGCTCCATAGCGCCGACCATGTCATCGAAGTAGGTCTGGTAGGCCTTGTCGGCAGCAGTACCCTGCCAGTAAGCAAAGGCATTGGCCAAGCTATGACGGGGTCAGTATTGGTGCACGGAGTTCCCGTTGTCTTGTTTCATTTCCACTTACACATATTTCACGACGGGCTCCTGGGTGAAGAGGGCGTCACCAGTGCCATCAGCGAGCTTGTTCCAGCTCTCGGCGGTGCCGACAAGGACACCCTTGGGCACATTATCCATGACGTGACTGATATAAGTGTGGAGCTGGGGCCCGGTCAAATCACCGCGGTAGAGAGTCTCGGATCCGACGGTAATGGCGTGAATGACATCCCCATAACCGGGGATGGCCTTCTGGATGGCGGCCCAATCTTTCTTGAAGGACGGCTCCTCCAACAGATTCTTGGTATCAGTAGGCTTTCCGACCCTAAGGAGGACAAGCTTGGTTAAAAAATAGTTCTAATTAGGAGGGGAATAACAAAAGAACTTACCACATGCCGAGAACGACCTTGAAGCCCTTGTTTTTGGCAGCAGGCAGAATGTTTTGAGGAGTGTTGCACTCAGTGCCGGAGTAGGTACGGACGAGAGTAGACATATCCTTCAGGGCATCGAAGTCGGCCTCATAGTCGCTGGTGGACTTGCAAGTACCGTCGGGGTTCTTGTTACCGAGCGAAAAACCAAGAGTACCCTTAGCAGAGACCAGGGCCGGGGCAGCGGCCAACACGAGGGAAACAAGACCAGAGACACGCATTGTGAAAGATGAGGTCGATGGAAAGAGAGTATTCGACCAAAGAGTGACAAAAAAAAAGAAGTAAGTTGAAAAGAATGTAAGGGTTAAAAGAAAATGAGGATACGTCAGGGACCAAGAAGAAAGACCCAGTCGGAGATTGGGGGGAAATGAGGGTTTAGGCCCTGACAGGGTCTGGGACTTTGTTCAAGGTGGAGGCCCCCACTGGAGGTTATAGGGGGGTGTAGATTGAACCAATCAACTTGGAAGATTCTATTCTTGGATCCGTGGATGAAACGATTCCCCTTTAAAGGTCTGGACTGTTTGATGATGATTGATGATGCCGATATCATCCCTATATCCTTTTCCTCTTTTTATTGCTCTATTGCTACCGGATTATAATTCCATTGCAATTTCAGATTACAATGAGATCTCTATCCAAGAGCTGATACCCTTGATATTCTTCCAAGCAGTCGCAGAGTCGTGATGTCACTTTGACAACGCCCAGATGTCTACCTAGGTACCTACCTACAACATAGACACCTAGATGCCCGGATTCTGGAAAATCGCCCCCATGTGGAGAGCGTTGGGGGAATCGATCGATGGCTGTTCGGCCCACACCGCACACAGCCTCGCCGATCAATCGCCTCGGAGAAGAGAACCACAAAGAGATGTCTTTGGAACTGAACCTCCTATGGTTCACTAGAATGTAGCCGGGCCTCTCGTTTCACAAATTTCACAACCGCTTTGTCGCCTCTGGGCATTATGCAGTGACTTGGCTCGTCCATCTCCGATCTCATCCCTTGCAGCCAAACTGTGCTTGAGATAGCTCACATCACCTGCAGGTTTCGTAATTAGCTAATCACTGTGGCCAACGCAGATGCATATTGCATGCAGGGTCCAGATCTACAATATTCTGGAGTTGCCTCTCGCTGGGGATCGGTCAATGGCAGCCAATGGTGGCCCCATGTCACTCATATCGAGCCATTACAACGTCACTGGGTAGATGGAAGACTTTACTTTTCCATACAAGGGAAACTCCCCTATATCAAGAGTACATATCAAGCTTTTTTTACAGTATAACAGCTAGTACAGACATTAAATAGTCCAGTTACTCTTCCCATACAAAAGCATAGACTCACCTTGTATCTTCATTGTCAACCATCGATATCCACCTCCAAACTTATAGACATCACCCTTCTCCTCAAATGTGCCCGGAAACCAAATCCAATAGCCGGCATTTCCCGGCCCAGCTTCAGCTCCAAATCTAGATGGATGCCCGGGCCCAGGTAAATAGCAGCATTGACGGTCAGTTTCCCGGTCTGAGCAAGCCACCAAGTGGTAGTGGCATTCGAAAACGTGGATAGGTGGTGAACGAATGGGGTGCGTAGGGCCAACATGCAGGATGGCAGGGATGGGATGGTTAGGCATTTGGTAGGGACAGAGAATTCGGAAATAGTGGGAACACTCGAATATAAGAGCTTTTGCTTCTATAGTGAGTAGTCGGATTGAGATTGCCGTGCTGGTTGTATACTCCGCACTGAGCCACGAGGTATGTGAGTGGGGACTTGTCAGAATGTTAGATGCATGGCAGTCCTCTGTGGCTTGGGAGTTCCTTTCCTGGTGTTAGCCGAGGGCGCATGGAATGCAAATGTAACCAACGTTATATCGTAGCCAGACTTACCCGGGTGTCCTTTTTACATTGCTGGCGTTGAATGTAAGATTTCAGCTATTGTTAACAAGCTCTATCATACAAAGCGTTTCTGACATGATTCATAGAGGGCATGATGATATCCGGCGATGATTGCCGGTCTAGACAATGAAAAATAAAACGCCAGATGGTTTCTAATCCAAACATCGTGGTACTATATGCTCCTAAAAGCGGTTTCAAATCCTCCGCCACAACCCCGAAACGCCAGCCAGCCCAAGCCCAAATCACAACGCGAAATTCTTCTCCTTCAGATAGAGCTCCTTGAGGGTGCTCAACTGGGTCACAGCCATTGTCTCTCTCCCGGTCTTGCGGGGTAGATCAACAATAACGTAATGCATCATGGCCAGTCCGTACTGGCCGAAGAAGCCCAAAATTCTCTCGCCCGACGATCGAAGGAGCGCTGCCAGGAGGGCAATCTGCGTCTCCTGCAACTCCGAAGGCGGGATTGCTAAAATCTTGTGGATGGATGCCCAGAACATTGTGTTGGGAAAAGGGTTGCGACGCGGGGATTTCGCAAAGTTGCGAAGAGTCATAGCGGCATATCCCGCGCCGAGCGCGGTCATCCGGTCCATGTGGACTTGTTCAGATACCCAGGAACCAGTGTCTGCGGACCGCCACCAACCCAGGACGCGACGTCCGCCCTCCGTCTTATCATTGCCTGTGAATCCCCACAGCGCTGGGCAGACAACACGGTACTTGGCCCACATGATGTCGGACATGTGCAGTCCTTTGTATGTGAACATATCGAAGGAGAAGATTTGAGCGGCAATGATGCCGATCGGCTCAGCGTGAGATTGCTTGATGGAGGCCTCTGCCAGAAGAGAGGATATCAAGCTCTTCGCAAGAATGTTTAATCCGTAGATAAGCATTGCTGGTACCTTGTTCTCTGAGTTTGCAATCTCCTCAGGTGGGAATGCGATGAATTTTCGTATGTCGACTGTCGGCTCTGGGTAGGCGAGAGCCTTTTCAAGCTCGGCTTTGAGGTGAACGATCTAGGTTTCGTTTGCCGGGTCAGTGTCAAAGCAACGACATCCAATCAGTGGGGAGTAATTTCGTACCTGCTGCTTGTTCGCACCAGTTCCAGATCGAAGCTGGCCAACAGATTTCTTGATCGAACGCCGTAAATTGCCCATAGTCGCCTTGAGGTCAGGCTGGCCTTGGCCAATTTCCTTCAGCCATTTACGCATCTCCTTAAGGGTCTTGTGTAGCTCCATGTAACGTTGCTGTACTCGGATTTCTTCAGTCGAAAGGTTTGCAGCGCCGAGTTTCTGCTGCTGTTGGCTTTGGGCCTTTTGGTCGGCTTCTTCCTGCGCCTTCCGAGCCTCCTCATTCTGCTTGCGCTTCTGGGCGTCAGCCTGCTCACGTTCTTTGCGGAGCTTCTCCTCGATCGCAGCTTTGCGTTCGGTCTCAAGGGCCGCGGCTTTCTGGGCCGCCTCCTCCTGGGCCTTCTTCTCGGCCTGCTCCTTGGCTTGGCGTTCAGCCTCAACGCGCGCGGCTGCTTCTCGTTCGCGGCGTGCTTTTTCAGCCTTCTCCTGTTCAATTCGCTCTTGTTCCTTGCGGATCGCCTCTTCCTTCCGAATTCGCTCTTCCTCCTCGGCGAGGAGGTGGTCCTTCAAGGTTGTCTCCGCTTCCTCGCGGACTCGGTCGTGAAAGGCAGCGGCTTGGTCGAGAGCGGCTGTGTGGACTGCTTCACGCTCGCGGTCGATCCGGTCGAGGTTTTCGTAGTATGTCTTGCGCTCATACTGGTGGACCTTTTTCAGGTCGGCGTCAAAGATTTTGACTTGCTCAAGCTCGCGGACAAGGTCTAGCATCAGTTGCTTGGACGGGCTGTCCAAGGGTGGGACATGAGTCCGGAACCGTCCCATTGTGGGGGTCGACATTTGAGTGGATAGTTTCTTTATTCCAAAGAACGCTGGTGGGGAGTGGTCGCGTGGTGTGTGTTTGGAGAAAAGGTTGTGGAGGTTCAGAGTAGTGAGGGGAAAGGATGATCAAGCGAATATGTAGAACTCAAGTGAATAGTGAATATGGAGTACTCAAGTGACTGAGACCATATCCGGAGCCAGGAGAGTCCAGAGGCGCCTTGAGCGCAGAACAATATCTCAAAGTGAAGTGACGTTCACAACCGATGCAGCTGTTACCAATCTGAATTTGAATGTGGGAGGAAGGAGACAGAGTAAGAGCGATTGCGTCAGAGTTTTCGGGGTAGGTGAGGAGCATAAAAAGTGAATTTCGCGTCCAGTGAGTGAATAATTCGACGTTGTCGCGTCAAACCTAGTAGAAGGGAAGGTCCATGGAGATTGGAGCTATGCGGAGGTCGGGATTAGCAGGTCACTTTCGAGGGGCACAAACAAAATCAAGCGTTGGCCGCATTGCATAACCATCCAGTAATAAGCAACTTGGCGATTCAACGTACATCGATGTACCTGTGAGCTTCAATCCTCCAATGCTTAGAGCCCTTATCTTGAAGCCAAAGAAAATAAATTACCTGTAAAGTTCAATCTTACCTAAGTTCGAACTGCTTTCACCGCTTTCTCATCACCGCCTTACTATATCGGCTATTATTACGTATCGGCCCTAGAGGCTACATATGTACGGAGTACATGTATCTAAGCTTACCCTGGTACTTAAGAAGATCGAGATACAGAGTACAGCAAAGAACGACTTCAAATTGATTTAGACAATAACTCACATCAATTACCCAACCTCCTAGGATTTTATGTATATTTTGCAGCCAAAGAGTGCCTTCTAGGCCCCAAGGCGAATGAGTACATAAGCAAGACCCGCGAGCGGGTTCGGTTCCCTGGCGCACTCCCGCCTGGGAGCGTTGACGTTTACATCATTGTGAGCATCATCCATTTTGACCTACACTATATAATTGGAGGAAGAAAATACAAAATGATCGAGTTTCTCCGACGATACCGGACTTGAGCTTGCTACCAAGCTTTTCTCCAGGGCTGACATGTTCAATTAGCTCAGATACTATTCCTCTAGCTTTGAAAGACCCTAGACTAGCCAACCCACCACTAGCTGTTCTATATTTGAATTTATTTACGGATTACTAGGGGGGGAGTCCGTATTCCCCCCGTATGCCAGACTAGAGGCCTCCCATTTCCATATACACCTCCAATGACCATACTACCTAGGTAGATAGTGGGGACTCCAAGCAGTTCAACGGATGCATCAGGATGATGATGAAGTGCCAGCTGGTAGCAATGGCGATCATCCACGGCTCCTGATGGAACAAAGTACGACGGATAACCGTCAGGGTATTTACAAGACCCACTCTCGGATTATTGCGCTAAAAGTTGTAATAAAACGTTGTTTGGTCATTTCCGAACACACCCTCTTCTTTCCGTACCAATGGCCCTCTCCCCACACCTCTTTGTATCTCCAGCATCACCTTTCTTCTTCTCCTTTCCCCCCCCTCCTCTCTGTTCTTATCCCATCCCTCTCTTCCCCCCAATATCGCTCCTTCGAGTCGAATTAGTCGATGGTTTCATCGTCTATTCTATCCTTCCCTCTAATTTCAGTATCTACTGTCATTCTCTTCGAGGATCAACTCTGAATCCCCGTTTTAGAACTTGGAATCATCCTGAAGACAAGCTCGTTTCAACGGCTTTCTTCACTTAAAGTCCACCCCGGTCATTCATCGAGGTGCTTTTTGTCAAATTCCCCTTTTGTCGGTTGCAGTCGTGCTTTCCAGCACAGCTCCATCCCCTCGGTCCTTCCAACTCCTGTTCGAAGCTTCGTTCCGTTGCTACGGTGTTGCTCGACCCAAGTTTTGCTTGAACGTGCAATTGCCTCGACTTCTACTTGCAATAATCCGGTTGCCCCTCGTCGCCTCTTGGATTTGTAACAAAAAAAAAGCGAATCATCCCACATTGAACTCTGCAGACGTCATTCTGGAATGCTAGGGTTCGGGGATTGTCATTAGTTTCATCTTGCAGGTAAGAGGATCCGATCTACTCCATGACTTTGCTTTTGGAAGTTTCACCCGGCTTTGATTGCCCTTGCCGCTTTTTGATTGTTATTTGTGAGGTCATCGTCTCAAGTCTGCTTCTTTCCCCCTGAGATCGAAGCTTCCGTTGAGTTCGCCCTTGCCTTGCGACTTGTACTTTTCATCTTCGCCCTGATATCGCCTTGTTCCCATCTTCTTGCTTTCTCTTGTTCCTTCTTCCATCTTGGACCCTTACTGATCCACTCTTTGTCACTCTTCTAGGATAATTCACATATTGAAAACCACAACCCGCACATACAGACTCCTTTTGGTCGGCCTGTGATCCACCTCACTTGGCTCATTTGCCTTTTGGCGCAGTACCAATCTCTCCTGTCGCCGGATTCACCCCGCCAACACACATATTACATTCTACAGTAATTGCCAGCTTCTAATCATCTGGGATCATGGATCAACAGAGTCAATCTGGGCCTCAAGGCCCCGGTGGGCGCAAGTTCCATATTGCTCATCGGAGAAGTCCATCTGAGCTCACCCCGTTGATGAGTATGTGACCGCCCTCGTCACCGCCCAGTATAAAACCATAGCCCCATCATCTAAGCTAACTTGAGCTTGTCTACAGTGGAACAACTGGCCATCCAACAACAGATCGAGTTGCTCCAGCAGCAGCAGCAACAAATTGCTGCGACACATCAACAATACGTTAACATGGGGCTGTTGCAGCCTCAACAACTGGGCCAGGTGCCCTCGTTTCAACCCGGTGTCTCCCCACAGCAAGTGAATGCATTCCAGTTCCCGCAGGCGGACAGCAGCAGCAGCTTGGAGTACCAATGAACGCACCGAACCAGAATTCGCACCGTCGCAACCAGTCAGCTCTCCCTGGTCTTCCCATGGGTCCACCCCTGCCCCGTCATCCGGGGCATCGGGGTACGCCGATTATAACCAGCAGGGCCAAAACAACAATAACCACAAGAATGAGAACACTGGCCACGGCCGCGGTCGTGGAGGTCCTCCCGGCGGTGGTCACCAGCGCCGCCACTCGCTTGCTCTTCCTGAGGCCAAGAAAGCCGCTGAGCTGGCCCAGCAGAAGAGAACAGCTTCGGGATTCCAATTCCCAGCTCCTGCTCCTGGTGCAACTGGCTCTGATAACCAGTCGTCATCCGATGACAAGCCTGCATCCAGCACTTCCCCGGCACCCCAGGGACCCGCTTTCCAGCGGGCTGGAAACATGCGAGCTGGTGGCCACGGCCGCAGCCAATCCATGGCCATCGGTGGTAACCGGGCTTCCATCTCCGGTCGCGGTGCTGGCGGCTTCCAATTCCCCCAAGCCAGTGAGCCATCAACCAATCAATCTGATAATCAACGGCGAACCAGCCAGACTGGTCATGCTCGGTCATCCTCGCGAAACTTTGAGGGCAACTGGCGCCAGCCCAACAACCAAGCCCAGAGCCAGGATCAGCAGAGGTCCCAGCAGCAGGGTGCATTCCAGCCAAGCCACCGCTCGCGCGGCTCGATGAACCAGTCCATGGGCTCTATTGGTCAATTCCAATATGGCAGCGGCCAGCCTCAGCTTGGACAGCCTCAGCTTATCCAACTTCCTCAGGGCCAGGTCATGATGGCACCTCAGATGTTCGGTAATCAGCAACTGAACCCGCTCCAGTTGGCTCAACTCCAAGCGCTTCAGCAGCAGAACGCCCAAGGTATGGGTGGTCTTCAGGCGAGCCAGCATGCCCCGCCGCAGATGTCTGTCCAACAGCAGCAGCAACAACAGCAGCAGCAGCGGAAGACCCTTTTCACTCCTTACCTTCCCCAGGCAAACCTACCTGCACTCCTTAGCAATGGACAGTTGGTCGCTGGTGTTTTGCGCGTCAACAAAAAGAACCGTTCCGATGCCTATGTGACTACTGACGATCTGGATGCCGACATCTTCATTTGCGGTAGCAAAGATCGGAACCGCGCCCTTGAGGGTGACTATGTCGCAATCGAGCTCCTCGATGTCGACGAGGTGTGGGGCCAGAAGAAAGAAAAGGAGGAAAAGAAGAAACGCAAGGATATCACTGATGCCCGTTCCAACAGCAATGCTGGAAATGACAAGCTTGGTCGCTCCGATTCCACCGGCGATAGACAGGAAGTCGGCCCGGATGGAAGCATCCGTCGCCGCGGTAGTCTTCGCCAGCGTCCTACCCAGAAGAAGAACGACGATGTCGAGGTCGAGGGTCAGAGCCTTCTTCTTTGTGAGGAGGATGAGATCAGCGACGAGCAGAAGCCTTTGTACGCTGGTCATGTTGTTGCGGTCATTGAGCGTGTTGCGGGCCAGATGTTCTCAGGAACCCCAGGTCTCTTGCGTCCCAGCAGCCAGGCTACAAAGGAGAAGCAGGAGGCCGAGCGGCAAGCCAGAGATGGCGCCCATGGGCGCTCCCACAATGACCGTCACCAGGACAAGCCAAAGATTGTCTGGTTTAAACCTACTGACAAGCGTGTTCCACTTATTGCCATCCCCACAGAGCAGGCACCTCGGGACTTCGTCGAGAAGCACCAGGATTACGCCAACCGAATCTTCGTTGCTTCTATCAAGAGGTGGCCTATTACCTCTCTGCACCCCTTCGGCACTCTCGTTGAGCAGCTTGGAGAGATGGGTGACCTGCGGGTCGAGACAGACGCTCTCCTCCGCGATAACAACTTCGGTTCGGACGACTTCTCCGATGCTGTTCTGAAGAGCATCGGCTGGCAGGACTGGTCCGTCTCTAGCGAGGGAGACGCCCTGGCTTCGCGACGTGACTTCCGTGAAGAGACCATCTTTACGATCGATCCCGCCGACAGCAAGTCCCTCGAAGATGCGTTCCATGTGAAGAGTCTTGCCGATGGCAAGGTTGAGATCGGTGTTCACGTGGCCGATATTGCTCACTTCGTCAAGGGTAACTCTCTGGTGGACCGTGAGGCCAAGAAGCGTGGTACTGCAGTCTATTTGGTCGATCGAATCATGAACATGTTGCCCACCCGTGTTTCCACTGAGCTTTGCTCCCTTGTCCCTGGCGAAGATCGCCTCACGGTCAGTGTGGTCTTCAAGGCCAACCCCACCACCGGTGTGGTGGATGAGGATGTCTGGATTGGCAAAGGTATCATCAAGAGCGCTGGCCGTCTTGACTACGACCAGGTCAATGCTCTTGTTCAGGGCAAGTCCGATGTCAACACCAGTGGCATCTCTGCCGACAGTATCCGCTTATTGCACGTGAGTTTCTTCTAGTTCTACCGTTCGCCTTCTTTCCTTTTTTTCTTTTTTTTTCTTTGCCATACTAACAAAAACTCTCAGAACACTGCCGGCAAGTTCCGCGAAGCCCGTTTCGGTAACCGCGTGTCAAACGTTCCTGTGCAGCGTCTGCTTCAGCAGCTCGATGACGAGAATGTGCCAGTCGAATACAATATTTTCGAGTCAACCCCAGCACATGAACTTGTTGAGGAGCTGAGCCACCAGGCCAACTTCTTCGTCGCTCGTAAGCTTGTGAGCGCTATGCCGGAGAGAGCTTTCTTGCGTCGCCAGTTCTCGCCCAACTCTCGTCGCCTTACTTCGTTTGTTGAGCGGATGAACCGCCTTGGCTTCGAAATGGACTCAAGCAGCAGTGGCAGCCTCCAGAGCTCTCTCTGCAAGGTGCAAGATGTGGATCTTCGCAAGGTAAGTGCCTTTCCTGTCCTCGCCGTTATAAATGCGTGTATTAACACATGATGCAGGGTATGGAGACTCTCATTTCCAAGGCTATGCAGCGTGCCAAGTACTACGTCAGCAGCGGTGCTCCCGATGAAATGCGCCAGCACTACATGCTCAATGTGCCGGTTTACACCCATTTCACCAACCCTTCTCGGCGCTACGCCGATATCCTTGTGCACCGTCAACTCGAGGCCGTGCTCTCCGAGGGTGCCGTGGAGTTCAATGACGATCTCGAGTCACTGAGCAAGACTGCTGATCTTTGCAATAACAAGAAGGATTCAGCTCTCAACGCCCAGGAGCAGAGTGTGCACATTGAGGCCTGCCGTAAAATGGACCGCAAGAGTCGCGAGATTGGCGGTGATCTCATCAGCGAGGGTATTGTACTCTGCGTCTACGAGTCTGCCTTTGACGTCCTTATTCCGGAATACGGCTTTGAGAAGCGTGTGCACTGCGACCAGCTGCCGCTCAAGAAGGCTGAATACCGCAAGGATAGTCGCGTACTCGAGCTGTACTGGGAGAAGGGTGTTCCCTCGTCCGCATACATTCCCGAGGACGAGCGTCCAAAGCCCGGTAACTCCCGCGCTGCTCAAGCTGCTGCGGCTGCCCGCGAGGCTGAAGCCGCCAGAGAGCGGGCCAGAGAGCGTGATGAGGCCATGCGTAAGCAAACCGAGACCGGCACAATGTCTGCCGACGATGTCGATGCTCTTTTCGATGACGATGAAGATGTGGATGATGTCACCGAAATGGCAGCCGGTGTGTCGCTCAACTCCGCCGACCGTTCGACTCAGAGCATGCCGCCCTCGCCTACACGCAACGGCCACCACCAGCAGGGACCTCACCGTACTCGCTCGGACCCCAAGATTGCCTCCGGCACTGGTGATGCACCCGAGAACAAATTGACCAACAAGGAGAAGTACTTGAACCTGTTCAAGCTTCGCGAGGTGGATGGAGAGTTCATCCAGGATGTCACAGAGATGACCCGTGTTCCCATCATCCTGAAGACCGACCTGAGCAAGAGTCCTCCGTACGTATTCCCATTCAGCCTCCCCCCCCCCAATAGCATGGGATTTCCTAACTAACTGCGAATCGCATTTCAGGTGCCTCACTGTTCGATCTGTCAACCCCTACGCCCTGTAGAGGTCTGAAACGCGGCTCTGTTTTCTTCATGGGATATATTTCTTGCATGCCACCCTGCAGATTCTTCGCTCAAGCGAAGGATGCTGTCTCTCGTGCACGCCTACGGACATAATCCAATCCCAACGCGGATCGAACATATCATTATCGGCATATCTTTCCTTGGTTACGCTTTTTCTCGGTGGCTTCATCCAATTATCCCGAATACTACCCATCATCTTTCCGACGTGTCCTGGGATTCTTATACTTATCGTGTTATATGTGCAAAGCGGTTGTTTGTCTTTTTTGAGCATTTTAGTTGAAACCTGGGCAAATCTCTTAGTGCCAGAGCTTGCCTGGTTTCCTTTTGTTCTCGTTCTCTGGGAATATTTGGAAAATTGGCAGGAAGGACATTGCAGCTCGATAGTCCCAGAAAATCCTTCCATTAATCTATGGTATTACAAACTTATACCTACCTTCTAGTGTTCATTCGTATGTACGATTACTCTGGCCATAAATTCACTAATGACTTGATTTGGGGTAAGCCTAATCATATGATCAAGAAGGTAATCCCGGTATTGCTACAGTGCAAGCTCGATCTAGGATGTAGAGCTCATGGAGTCTCACCGCACTGTTAACTGCTTTGCCGACCCATCACGTAGACTCTTGCTAGGGAATGAAACCGCCCCAATGCTCTGACCCAGGTGCACAGCTCACAGATGCTATGTCTAGGCGCGAAGCGATCGTGTCACTCCCTTGGGAATTACAGTAACTACTCACATATGTAAGAAATATCAAGAAATGTACGTAATGTCATGTGAATTCTCCAAACTCCTAAACAAGAAATCAGACAAATATGTTGTCCAAGCCAAAGCAAATTGCAACCCCAGGGCCACCTTATGCAATGCAATAGAACCAGCTCCACGCTTCATGCAGTTTGTAAGTCCGGTTGAATCCAACCGACCATCAAGGGTATCAAGAAATGTCGCTAATGGGGTAGGGGTAGTGAAATAGGTGTAGATAGGAGAGCAAAAGCCAAACGAATCAGCGCCAATCAGATCGAAAGTTGGGTTTTCCCAATTATCAGATGAACCAGAGATCTGAAAATGCAAAAAGAATCCATCAATGCTAAGTCAAGTACCAGAAAAATGGATGGATTTCTCATAGCCGGCGGATGCCAATGCGCGGCTTTGCTCTGACGGCGAGACGCTTGTGTGGGCCGCTCATGGCTTTCTTCTTGGAAATTCCAGAAGTGGAGGACCCTGAGAGAGACGACGATGATAGTGATGGCGTGGGTAGCTGAGCATTTGCTGGAGAAAGGGGAGTAGAGCCGTTGAGCGTCCTCGTAGGGTGGTATTCGCGCTTCTCTTTCAGGCCCCGCGCGGTTGCAGATCCGCGGTTCTCTTTGCCATCCCCGCTCAGCCGGCGTAGGGGGGTCTTGCATCGCCAATTGAGGCAAATCTTCGAATATCGGCATCTCATCGCGGAGACGGCCGGAAGCGTTGACTCCTCCACATAGTAGGGAGAGCTTGGGTGTTTTCCGTAGCGGTGATGAAGTACGGGATCGTGTGTTTGCGGTGATGTTTCGTTCATTGGAGGTCATTCTTGGGGGGGTCATTGTCGTTGTCGGAGTCAATGAGCATCATGTCTGCATCGGAGTCTTCCGGGTAGGGAATTGAGAGGACGGACAGAGGGCGTTTGCCCAAGGCTGTTTTACGGGGGCTTGGGGGGTGCGAGGTGGACCGGGGAGGGGGAAAGGGTTGGGTCGTTTTCTTTGGTTGCGCTAGCGGGGTCGTCGGTTTCGCTATCACTCATAGCAGTGTCTGTCACGGGCGGGGAGGGTTGGGCGAACGAATTTGAGGATTGTGATGGGTTTTCGGATGCAGTGGTGTTGTGTGCAGTTTTCTTGGTTGTAGCGGCGTGGGTGCGGGCTTGTTTCCGGGTACGTTTAATGACTGCGTCTTTTCCTTTCTCCTCGGGTTTGGTCCCTGTCTCCTCGCCCCTGACCTTTGCTTCTGTCACTGCATCTTTGAGGTTGGTTGGGATCGGGGCGTGGATTGAGGTCATGAGCTTGGCTTGGTGTGCAAAGGCGTCATAGTTCTCTTGCATGAGAGCGCCTGCGGAGGCGTTGAGGGCAGAGTCGGGGTTGGGATAGATAAGTAGACATGAGATCGTCTGAATGCAAACAAGGTTAGTTATCTTGTAGAAACCAGTTGCGCTAGTGCGGTCTAACATACCACCAGCACATCGCGGAGGGTCAGATTGGGTTGCCAATCCCGCTTAAGTGTATCTACACAGACAGCTCCAGTGAGCTCCTCCATGTTCGGGTGCCATATCTTCGTCTTAAAGGTGGCCTTTGGGGGACTCTTGGGGTAGTCATCAGGCATCTTGAGATGGAGCTCCCATAATCCTTGTGAAAAAGGTGTGCCCGCTGGGCCCGTGAGGAGTACTGTCAGCTGCGACAAGTCGTCGCCCTCTGACGGCTGCAAGTAGTACGGCGGAAGATCGCGGTGCAAGGCAGCATGGTCGGCAGCTAGCCGGCGCAAATTGGACGGCTAGATATCCATGTCAGATACAGATCACGAGCATATACTAGTTGCTGGGAAACCAGTGTGTGTCAATGACTTGAACAGGGACGACTTACCATGCTGGAGTTTTGAATGGTTTGTAGAGTACTAAAATAAAGGATAAACTCAGTTGGAGAAGAATACCAATTCAGAAAGTGATCCGGACCAGTGAGGGCACAACAATCACAATCACAAATGATAAGAGATGGTTACTTCGTCGACGGTTTGTTTTGAGTGGAGGTCACACTAACCTTTTTGGTAGCGCGTCAGTCACGTGGTATTGTCGCGTCATCTACGCGTCACTAATATTACCTCTTTGGGATTGCCCTATGTTTCATCGCATCCTTGCTATAGCCCTTGCTATCCGATGAGACACAAGGGGGGGTAGGTTAATTGAGCGATACTTCCTTTTCTAGAGAGAAACAGAAATACCTGGCTACCTGGCTACCTATATCATATTATGCGTACGTCAGGCTGATAGGGAGAGGAAGAAGAGACCGCATGTATACGATACGGCCTTCTATTGCTCAAGAATAAGCAGACCATTATAGACAGCTGAAGGGAAATGGATAGCTGAGGGACCAGGTACTAATGGTGCTGTCCACTCTCCATGTACATGTACTCCATAATTTGATTACTCCATAAGGCGTCTATATGTCCATTAAAGTCGAATGCAGCCAAGTAGAGTATGCATCTAGATACAGACGTGCACTATAAACCTCGTCTTTCATAGAGTACTCCCACAATATCCTGCATTCTATACTCCATTTATAACCACATAAGCTCAGCTGGCAGATTTGGCGCAGATCGATGGATATTTCAAATCAATGGGGATATGTGGTGTAATGCGTATATCTAGATAAAATCCGAATTACCCTCTCGTCAACGTGACTGACTATATATGTATGTATGTATGTACTACCTGTCGCAGCATATGCATCACATCCCGTGCCACTTACTCCCTTGCAACAATTAAGATTTGCTGCAAATACGAGCCAGCGAGCTGGTGTGACCATATATATGAATTACCAGCGTGGTTTTGCTAAGAGAAATTTCGACATATCTGAAGTACAGTTATGATCTATAGTTTCGATATATGCAGATGGAAATTAAGACTCATATTTACTCAGTGGATTAAATTAATCACAAAGATCGAAGAAAAGAAACGGGAAACAGGCGCGCTGTGAACATGCGCCTCTGGATACACGGCAGTGAAACACACGTGTCCTGCCCAAAAAGAATTACAAATTCCATATGAAACATTGGGAGAAAATAACATATCACAAAAGAAAAAAAAAATTAACCGACGCTCGTATTTTCATGTCCCTCATTCCCGTTAATCCAAATACTGGATCAACATGACCGACCGACCACAAACCCTCGCCTAAATGAAACCAAAGTGGACATCATATTACGATTGACAGCAGGGAGTTACCGTTGGCCAGTCACAGACTCTCACTTGGCTTACAGGAAAGCAACAAGAGCAGCACCGGCAACCATGCCGAGACCGACGGGGCCAGCAGTGGCAATGGCAGCACCACCGGTAGAGGCCGAGCTGGAAGCACCAGCAGAGGAGCTGGAGGCAGAGTCGGGAGGAGTCAGACTCAGAGGCCGAGCTAGTGCTGGAGGAGGTACCAGTGGTCTTGGAGGAGTCCGAGGTCTTGGTGCCAGTAGCAGAAGAGTCGCTGGCAGTGTTGCTGGAGGCAGTGGACAAAGTGCTTTGAGTGGCACCAGGACCGGCGACGGGAGAGGTCAGGCCGGCGGGGATGGAGGCGGCGGGCTGCTGCGAGGTCACGGCAGCGGCCTGGCTGGTGACGGCGGTGGGTTGGGTAGTAACGGCATCAGGCTGGCCGGTCACGACACCGAGCGAGTTTGTCTGGGTCAGGTACTGAGTGGCAGGGTTGTCGACAGTCTATTGGAGAGGTTAGCTTATGTTGTTCTGATGGTATTGTGGCATGATGCTTTGTTTTTGCTTACCTCGATGGAGACACTGCTCTGGGCGTTGGCCAGGGCAATGGCCGAGAGGGTGGTGAAGACGATGGAGAAACGCATTTTGATGGATTAGAGATTATGGAGTTATTGTAGTGATTATGGAGAATGTGGAGAGAGGAATAAAATTGATCTCAGAAAATGGAGGTGGGTGGGATTATAAGGCTGTGGTTGTCCAGGGAAACAAGTCTCATGTAATGTTTATAGAGTGGCTTTCCAAATGGATACCCTGTTTTCCAGTCAGCTAGCAGAGTCTGAATCTAGCGCAATTTGGGATCTGCAAGGACTTTACAGTTCTATTTCTGTCGATTTCTGGGGTCACACCAATAAGCTCCACTATGGAGCTATGAGGGATATTCACCTCTATGCTGTACGGAGTATTCCGTAATATATGGCAAATCTATTTGACTACAAATATATAATTACCCTCTTTCTTCTGTCCAAAATTGAGGAGACTTTGTAATAATTACAATAGTTGGAATAAGATGGAATGGCCGATTTGACATGGCAATATGCACTAGCCTATTTAGCCGCGTCAGACCATGTCAGTAATCATAACAAATATAATTGTTACAATTACTAGTGCATGTACGGAGTATACAGAGTACTAATCTTGGAAATGTCTCAATCCTGAATAATTTCCAGTAGTACTCCGTAATTACTTAGAAGTTAGACAGGACATACCCTTGACCGCGTGGCGGCATACGAATCCCTTCTGATGCCATCTAGTCCAGTCCTTGATTTCTTCCCATCTGACACACGATAAAACTGTAAGTAATTAATACTGTCTTGGGGCCTCAAATGGTATCCTACAACATACGTGTCTTGGAGCTAAGGAACCTTGGAAGTCGAACCAGCCTTTAAGTGAGACATCGTGGACTTTGTTCGGCTATTATATGCCGAGGTCCTCCTCCTCTTTCCTTCTTTCTCTTCTATACTGAACATTATGATATATGATATTATGTTATTGTCAGGAGATAGATTTAATATCCAATTTATGTACGGAGTACTCTCCCTTGGATATGGAGTACTTTCACAAATTATCTCAACTTTTGTACTTTTGAACTCCAGATCATCAGGTGGGTCTTTTTCGAGACGGCTCGGTTAACTCCATCCAGTAGGGACCGACTCTATATTTATATTTTCTTTTCTGTGACGAAAGTAATATATTCCTGGATATGAAGGGGTACAGAGAGGGTCGACATACTACCAAATGGAGTACTCCGTACTATCGTGCACCTTTTTAAGCTTGATCCCAGAGTACTCCGTACTGCAGTCTTTATTCTGACTAGGTGGGCAGGTACATACCCCATATGTATAGTACTGTTGATGTGCATACGGTGTAATTAGGTCGTACAGCTACATCATATAAACATGTATGTACTACATATACAATCTACATATGTGGACTAAAAGGCTCTCGACTTCCTTCTACTCATCACCGGACACAGAATTGCAATCTCAATATGTGATTATCTACAGCGTTCTCCGGGTCTGGAATAAACTTTCTTTTTGCTACCGTGCAGGCCGCATCAACCCCCTTGCTTCTCGGCCTAGTCACAACAACTTGTGGTCATGTTTCCAATAGATGGCCTAGACTATTCATCATCCTGTAGCGGTGTGGCGCAGGAATGCAAATCGCGTGCGCCAAAAGCGTCTATATCTAGCAGTGGTCCCACTTACTCAAGTTACAAGCAGCCAGGCGTACTAGTGGTATGTCTGTGTAACCTTTCGCCTTTCGCCTCTCCGTACTCCGTATGGAGTACGGAGTACATCGCATCAAGATACGAGTTCGCCACTGCGTCGGCGGCGTATGCGTAAGTTATTCTTCAAGATTAGTACGGAGTACAGAGTACGCGGCCATCATTTCAAGGTAGATATCATAGCCAGCAACAAACTGAGCATCTCAATTGAAAACTGAACTCCCTCGCCGCAATGCATATTATACAGCTCCCCCCACTGCAGCACATAACCACAAACACAATATTCAACCATCACTCCTTGATCGACACATCCTGGCCGCGAACCCAGTCCGCAAACTCCTTCCGCTTAGCCTATATTGTCCAAATGTTAGCTTCTGGGATTCCTAGCCCAAACCAACGATGACATCTAGCAATATATGCACATCCACAATAAATCCAACCCGCAAATGTACTTCCAGCAAGACACGCATCAAGTAAATCCAAAACTCACCCGAATATCCCAGAATCCATAACGCTCCTCCAGACTCAGGTACGGGTTGCGCGCTCCGCCATCCCGTTCAATCTCGCCCGCCCATTCGCGCCAGCTAATCGGCTTCAACTTCTGCGCGCTCAGCACCAGTCCGATGGAAACGATTAGTACGGAGACGAGGGTTTCGATGATAATGTCTTGTGGGAGGGCAGTGGATGTGCGGTTGCTGTAAAGGACAGTGTGTTCGTGGCCGAGTAGCCTCTGCAGAAGGAGTTAGCTCAGCTCGAGAGGCAAGGTAGTTGTTGGGTGGATGTATTGGAGAACTTACGCGTGAACTATCAGGACGAGGCCGAAGAAAGTCACCACGCGGGAGAGGAAGCTCATGATGGGTGGTGAGGTTCGTTTTGGATTGCAGGTTGGGTTTGCTGGCTGGGTCTGTTCGCTGCGAAATTGTCCTTATCGGTGAATAATTCTAGATGATCCCCACTGAATTATTGGTTGAGTTAAAGCCTGGGGTCCCTTGGCTGTGGACGCTGTCTGTGATGCCGTTTGATATGTTGGCGGGAGGTTCGTGGAGGCCCTGGGCTCATCCCGCGGTTTACCTAATCACCTTTTGACTCGCCTGGATTTCATCACATTGTCATATTCGTTCATACTGCTATTGGAAAATGATTGATAATCCTATCTCTGTAGGGCTTTTCTGGTTAATATCAGGGGTACTCCCTACTTACCTATTCAGTAAACCTTGTATCCATTCCTTGCGATATCAAACGAATCTTGACGGGAGACTACAACTTTGGTACATGCCTACACCCCATCATCAACGAATATTCTGAGGTCAATTGATAGAATAAACAGGTTATTTTGCCAACTGTCAGGGCTATTTCCTTATATACTTCCTTTCGGTGGATTCTGCGACGCCAGTTGACAACGCAGTAGATCAACCCCTGAGTGGGGGTAACACCGTTCGACTCTCCTGTCCAACCCCGACTTCCTCAGCAACCACTGTGATAGACAAAATACTTTGGTTTGTCTGCAAGCTCCGTCAACTTCGGTGGATACGGATACATATATAGCCTAAAGTGCTGGTCACACAGATAGAAAATATGGTTCAAGAATGAAGGGGAGACGCGTACATAGTTTGATAGGCCTTACAAGATTTGCCAACTGTTCTGGAACTAGGAACACCAAGATCGAGGCAACTCTGGATTTACCCGGTCTGTAGTGTATACGGTGTACTTGTCCATGAAATGAGCCGTAGGACAGAAACATAAACAGCATATCTCCTCGGGGACTTACGATCACTTCCTTCGTTAACAGCAATCAAATCCCGGCCTTGATTCTTCTCGCAGTCATCTTATATCATTACAATGTCCCTTCGGTGTCTTGACATGGCGCAATCGCAACGCGATATGCTACGGCCATCCTCTTCTCGTTTTCCTGACGCTCAGGGTGAGCAGGCTACAGAACCTCCGTCTCAATATAAGGACCCTCCAAATACCCCGATACCCCGACATGTGGAGTCGGTCACACCCGATGCTGGTCAGCTAGAGCAGCTGCTTGCGAGACTTAGCAGCAGAGTACATCCTTTTGATCCGTCTTGTCCTCTGCGATCGACACCAAAAGCCACACCTGATGAGTATGACCGTCTTATTAATGCCGAAATACGATATCTGGCTAAGGCTTGGTAAAATAAGGCAACAAAGGACCGAGATTTAGATCAAAATCAATGATTCCAATGCTAAAAACTATATACGCGATCTGAAGTTTATGGGAATCTGCTATGTAGGTATTCCCAAAGCGGCGGTGGAAATATATACCTAGGTATATTCGGCCATGAAGGAAATATTCTACCAAGTATCCTTCAAATAAATTAACCAACAAATTTTGTTCAAACCAGTCTTCAATAGACCCTAAAACTTTGTCTTTATAAATGCAGAATCGGTACTGCTCAGGTATCTTGCCATGATAACCCATTTCCATAAGGTGGTCAAATCGCCACAAAAAGAACACAATGACGGGACAGCGACGTCAATAGAAACAACAGTTCAGTGACTACATATTTAGGCTAAGGCTAGGTAAGTGTGATTGATTCTCCGAGAGTATCAATTAGTAGATTATGAGCGTTGATATACGAGACATCGAACACCTAAAAGCCGACATCTGTCTGCTAGAAAAACCAGCCAACCCTATATATATTCCGTAGATTAGACACTAACACACACATTACCGGCCGATTTACAGTGGAGATATATGGTCATGAATTTTTTTTATTTCTCATCAATGACCGGTCACTACTGGACCAGCTTTCTAGTTGGACTAGGTTCGTAAAGGATTCCTTTGACATCACGCATTTCCATCACACAATTCCTGCTTCATAAATGGGCATCGCAAATTTACAGCTTCTGCATGGCAGCGATATCAGTGGACTGGACGTGGTCCTCATCCTCCTCGATCTTGCCCTGGAGCTCATCGGTGGAGACCTTCTCGTCCTCAACGACAAGGTTGATCTGGAGCTTCTTAATACCGAAACCGACGGCAACCCACTTGGAGGCACCCCAGACGAGACCGTCCCACTCAATGGCGCGAACGTTGGCCTCCATCTCCTCAAGGTTGGTCTCATCATCTGGAAACGTTTGTTAGCAATTGAACTAAAAGAGAGATTGGAAAACACATACCCCAGGGCTTGACCTCCATGGTGACGAGGGACTTGGCGGCAGGCTTGACCTTGCCGGCCTTCTTGGCCTTGTACTCTTCGAGACGCTTGTTGCGCTCAGCAACAACCTCGGGGTCCTCCTCCTCAGAGTCGGAGCCGAAGAGGTCCTCATCGTCGTCCTCCTCCTCGGGCTTGTCCTTGGGGTTGGAGGCAAGCTCGGTGGTCTCGGGACCGTAGGCAGTGAAAGCTGCGGAGGAGTCACCGGGGAGGGTGGAGAATTCGCTCTCGTAAGAGGCGATGTGCTTGTACCAGCGGGCAACGTGGGGGTACTTGGCAGCGTCAGGGGCGGCGGTGAAGGCCTTGTAGGTCACGACATCGGCCTGGCTGGGCGAGTTGCTGTTGAACCGAGTCAGCGATGATGTTCATCATCAGACGAAATAATTCAACAATGTAACATAGTGATGCAAGATCAGAGGTGCGATTGCTCGCGATTGCGTGTAGTCATCCAGCGGGGTCTTAATCCGCCTCCTAAACACGGACCAATGTTTCTCATCATGAAAGCATAAGAGGAAAGGAAAGAAAAGGTAAAAAAGCAACTAAGGGGGAGGAATTCGTACCCAACAACGTAGGACCGAGTGGACAGGAAGTGGTTGGCCACTGAGGGGCACAGTCAGTCACCAATTGATTCGAAATAACAAAATCTCAGGGGGCGCCTACGAGTCAGGCCGGCATCAGAGACAAAGTCGGTGAAACCCATTGTGAAAGAGAGGTGTGGTGGTATCTATTCTGGAAGGAGAAGAAAAAAAGGAGAAGAAAGTAGATGAGGGAGGGGTTAAAAAGGGAGGATTTTTTTTTATTACGGAAAATCTCTACGGAGTCGCGGAAAAACGTGGAAGAGCGAGGACTGGGTCAGGTGACTTACTAACAACAGAGCTTACCCTGCCTGGTCATGTGATTGACTGGTGACTTCAGGGCGGAGCTTGGACTAGTCAGGTGACTGACTGGTGACGGAGCTTGAGCTCTTCCCGCCACTCAGCGTTCGCTATGTGGATCTTTCGAGAAGCCTCCCGATGGACCTTTGGTTGCCGGTATTTAAGCTATACCGGTGACATCTCAGGTGTTGATTTGCTCTAAGGCTTTTTTCCCTCCTAGGTCTGAATATACTATCTACATAATGGCGGCGAGATTATCTCTCAATGCCCGCACTCGACTTTTGCGGACGCCTCGTCTATCGTCGACCCGTCTTCTATCCCCGATCCCGAGATCAAGCATACTGCCCTGCGCCTCATTCATTCCACCAGCCGCCAACCCTAGCCCGGTCCCTGTCCGCCACTATGCCAAGGGAGGCCGTCCACATCCCCGGGCGGCACCCACCGCATGGATATGAGTGGAGAGGACGAGAAACCAGCACTCGAGAAGTATGGTGTTGAGCTTACGGCGAAAGCTAAAGCTGGCAAGCTGGATCCAGTCATTGGACGGGATTCCGAGATTCATCGGACCATTCAAATTCTCTCCCGGCGGACTAAGAACAATCCCGTATTGATCGGTGCTGCTGGAACTGGCAAGACCGCCGTTCTCGAAGGGCTGGCTCAGCGCATCGTACAAGGAGATGTACCGGAGAGTATCAAAAACAAACGGGTTGTTGCATTGGATCTGGGCTCTTTAATTGCGGGGGCCAAGTTTCGGGGCGATTTTGAGGAGCGTCTGAAAGCTATCCTGAAGGAAGTGGAGGATGCGCAAGGTGAGGTGATCCTCTTCATTGACGAGCTTCACACCTTGCTAGGATTGGGCAAGGCTGAGGGTAGTATTGATGCTAGTAACCTGCTGAAGCCTGCTCTGTCGCGGGGCGAACTTCAATGCTGTGGTGCCACTACTCTCAACGAATATCGATTGATTGAAAAAGATGTGGCTCTTGCCCGACGGTTCCAGCCTATCCTGGTGAGCGAGCCATCGGTCGCCTCGACTATTTCCATTCTACGGGGTATCAAGAACAAATACGAAGTACACCATGGTGTCAGAATTACAGACGGCGCTTTAGTAGCTGCAGCTACTTACAGTAATCGCTACATCACCGATCGATTTTTGCCAGACAAAGCGATTGATCTTGTCGACGAAGCTGCATCAGCTCTTCGCTTGCAGCAGGAGTCGAAGCCCGACTCAATTCGTGAACTTGAGCGTGACATTACTACCATCCAAATTGAGCTTGAGTCTCTTCGTAAGGAAACCGATGTTGCCAGCCGCGAACGGCGAGAGAAGCTTCAAGAGGACCTGAAGACCAAGCAAACGGAGGCCGGTAAATTGACCGAGACGTGGGAGAAAGAGAAGGCCGAAATTGATGATATCAAACGCACCAAGGAGGATTTGGAACGCGCTCGGTTTGAACTTGAACAGGCTCAACGCGAAGGAAACTTTGCCAAGGCTGGAGAGTTGAGATACTCTACCATCCCGGAGCTCGAAACCAAGTTACCCAAAGAAGGCGCTAAACAGGATTCTCAAAATCAAACTTTGATTCACGACTCTGTTACTGCAGATGACATTGGAAACGTCGTCTCTCGGACCACAGGCATCCCCGTCAACAAGCTCATGGCTGGAGACGTGGAGAAGCTGATTCGGATGGAGGACACCCTCCGAAAATCAGTCCGTGGACAAGACGAAGCGCTTTCTGCTGTAGCAAACGCCGTGCGGATGCAGAGAGCTGGTCTCAGCGGTGAAAATCGCCCTACTGCCTCTTTCATGTTCCTTGGTCCCACTGGTGTTGGAAAGACTGAGCTCTGCAAGAAGATGGCCGAGTTCCTTTTCTCCACCGAAACTGCCGTTTTGCGGTTTGACATGAGTGAGTTCCAGGAGAAACACACAATCAGTCGTCTCATCGGTTCCCCTGCCGGGTATGTCGGATATGACGATGCTGGTCAGCTCACTGAGGCTGTCAGACGGAAGCCTTACGCGGTTCTGTTATTTGATGAATTCGAGAAGGCGCATCGCGATATCTCAGCGCTACTGCTGCAGGTCCTCGACGAGGGCTTCCTGACGGACGCCCAAGGCCACAAGGTCGACTTCCGAAACACCCTGATTGTGCTGACCTCGAATCTTGGAGCTAGTATTCTGGTCGGAGCAGATCCCTTGCACCCAATTAAAGACTCCGGTGATGCTGAGCTCCCCGAAAAGGTTAAAACGGCTGTTATGGATGTGGTTCAGAGCGCATATCCACCTGAGTTCATGAACCGAATTGATGAATTCATCATCTTCAAGCGCTTGTCAAAGGATGCCCTACGGGACATCGTTGAGATCAGAATCAAAGAGCTTCAGGCCAGACTCGATGACCGCCGTATGACCCTGAAGGTCGACGACGAGACTAAGGACTGGCTGTGCGAGAAAGGCTATGACCCGCGATTTGGTGCCCGGCCTCTAAACCGTCTCATTGCCAAGGAAATTGGAAACCGTTTGGCTGATAAGATCATCCGAGGTGAAGTTGTCTCTGGTCAGACTGCCAGAGTTTCTCTTGATGAGTCTAAGTCTGGCTTGGTGCTAACCGCGCAAGAGTAAATGAAACATGAAATTTGGCGTTCTTTATGGGGTACATACGATGTTTTGCGTCTCCTTTGAAATTTCGATTGCATGATCTTCTCTCACATATCATCACTGTATACTAGTCCATTCTCATTGTACAATAATGCAGTTCTACTTATATCGATCAAATTGCTTGTTTCTATGTAGACTCGAAGAACAGCCCGTGGACAGGTGACTTACGCAAACTGCCCATGGGAACCCACCATTTCATCCCACCCCATCATTTCCCCTCTCTCGTCGCATCTCTAGGTATCCCAAATTCATTGGCATCGGCAAAATGTCTTCTTTAAAAAGGAAGAGAACACCAGCTTCCCGCCCTCCAATCACACCTCGTACCTCTGGGCGACGACTAGGTCACAGGGCTCCATCAAGTCAAGCTCTCAGCACTTCAAATGGTTCTCCTCAAAGACCTGTCATTTCGTCTACAAGTCAATTGCGGACTCCATATCCCACAGACACCAGGATCGAAACAGATCGCTCCGTGAGGGCTACTGACGATGACTTCGATGACCATGTCATTGCTGCCATTGACATCAAGGACCATGGAACTGTGGGGTGCTCGTACTACTCAGCCGAAGAAGAAAAGATGTACTTGCTCGGTGATAGTCGTTCAGGGAATATGGAGACAATCGACGCTCGTGGGTTTATTAAATGTTCAGGTCTAGATCTGAAGTGCTAATCTGGCCATCTCCAGTGCTTCTTCAAATCAAACCTACGGTGGTTTTGACACCTCCTCGTGTCGATCTTAGTTCGCAGGGTCAAGATCAGAATCTCGCACAAGAAGATGGTACATTTGGTTTGCCTTGGGGCTCTTCGACCCTTTCCAATGCAAGCAAATGCTGATAATTTCTGTCCAGTTTCTTCTGCCTACCTTCCTTACCAGATAGACATTCGTCCAACGCCGGAGTTCAGCTACTCCAATGCAGAAAGCAAACTACTTGCTTTACAAATTTCATCTAAGCACGAACAGCGCATCCGGTTTTTTGTGCCTCAAAATGGCCTTGCCGGACCGGAAGAAGTGGACCCAGAAGAGATGGGCTTTACACTCCAAGAAGGAAGACTGTTGCATATCTCAAGTTCCGTCGACATGGAGAATCCCGTGACTATTGGCTGCGCAGGAGCCATACTCACTTATTTGCAGCGCCGAAGAGCCGCGGCGCCTAGCCCCCTCGAAGAAGGAAATGAGTATCGGGTTCGAGCACTACAGATGTTCAATCTACGGGATACCATGTGGATCAACAGCAATACCTTCACCTCCCTCCAGATTATCCAGTCCGAGTCACAACCGAATATGTTCAACCAGGGACCGGGAAAAAAGTCAGCGTCAGGTAAAGAGGGCCTTTCGGTCTACGGGATCTTCCAGCACTTTGCATACACCCCGCAGGGTAGGGCAAGACTCAAGCAAACCTTTTTCCGTCCGAGCGTGGATCTAGATACGATTCGAGAACGGCATGATTTTATAGGGGTCTTTTCACGCCCTGACAATCTTGCTGCATTGGACAAGATGACCAAAGCATTGAAACACATTAAGAACCTCAGACCTGTCATGGTCAATCTTCGCAAGGGAATTAGTACTGGCAGTGCGAAGATTACTGGGTTCAAAACTACGGTTTGGGCTAGTCTTCTTGCTGTATGTTTGATTCGGATGGTTTTTGCATTGTGATGCTAAGGAGGTGACTGACCAGTTTGCGTTCTACTCCATCGATATCAATGATGCACTTCGGGAGGTCTCGGGCGCGCATATACTGACTCTCCGAAGCAAGGTCAATCTCCGATAGACATGTCAGTCGTTCGTGTGCTGACATATTGCAGGCTCTTAGAGTCTTTGAAGCAGCACAGCTGTACAGAGTTGGTCGCATGGTTCAAGAAATTGTAAGTTCTTTTCTAATGGGAGTTAACAACGGATCTGACTTTTTAGGTCGACATTGATAACTCCGAAGAACAAGGAAGAACAGTGGTTAAGCAAGGAATTGATAGAGAACTTGACAAAATCAAAGACAGATACGATGGTCTCAACAGCCTTCTCAAGCACGTTGCTCTCGACATTGCCGCGACAATCCCAGCGACTCTCGAGGTCGACGTCAATGTCATTTACTTCCCTCAGCTTGGGTTCAATATTGCCATTCCACTCAATGATCATGGCGCCGCGGAGTATACTGGCTCCGGTGATGACTGGGAGTTGATGTTCATCACAGAGAATCGGGCGTATTTCAAAGACTTCCGCATGAGAGAGATGGATGAGAAGTTGGGGGATATATACGGTATTATCTGCGGTAAGCCAAATAAACTGACGGGAAGCCTTGAAGATGGGGAACTGAAAATTGTACGTTGGCAGAGAAAGAAATCGAGATTGTGTACGACTTGGCGCAAAGGGTTCTTCGATATGAGAATGTGCTCGTCGATGCCTCTGATATTTGCGGCGATATTGATAGGTCAGTTCTTGTGGGATATGGTTCGAGGACCGCTGATACAAAGTCCACAGTCTCCTTGCTCTCACGCAGGCAGCCAGCTTCTACAAGCTGACCAGACCACGGATGGTTGAACAAAATGTGATCAGAATCAAGGGTGGTCGGTAAGGGCTCGTTAACAACCATCCCTCAACATCCCTAACAAATGGCAGGCACATCCTTCAAGAATTGACTGTTTCGTCCTATGTGCCAAATGACACATTGCTCGTGGGTGGGAATGAGTCCGAGACCAATGATGCTTCTTCGTCCACGGATTCTAACCCTAGCATGTTGCTTTTAACTGGACCGAACTATTCAGGGAAAAGTGTCTATATCAAGCAGGTAAGCTATAATTTGTGTTCCTGAAACTCATTTTCTGACCTAGAATCAGGTTGCTCTGATTGTATATCTAGCACAGATTGGGAGGTAAGTTTCTTTCCATTGAGATGGTCATACAAAGGCTAATTGTCACAGCTTCGTTCCTGCAGACAGCGCGGAATTGGGCGTCACAGATAAAATCTTGACCAAAATCAATACCCAAGAGAGTGTCTCCAAGGTTTCCAAAATTCCCTGCATAAAGTTTCAGATTTGGCAGTCTGACATCTCTTTAGATCCAAAGCACATTCATGAACGATTTGCAGCAAATTTCCCTCTGCCTGAAACAAGTCACAAACCGAAGCTTGATTATCGTCGATGAGTTTGGGAAGGGAACCAACGAAAGTGGTTTGTTCTTATCTAGATATAGCTCTTGATGCAGACTGATTAACGCATTCAGATGGCATCGGACTTGCCTGTGGCATACTCGATTATCTGCTGTGTCTCGAGAGCCCCGCTAAAGTCATTGCAGCGACTCATTTTCATGAGATTTTCGAGAACAACTTCCTCGCTTTGCGGCCTCGACTCCATCTTGGCCATATGGAAGTTCAGGTCTGTGAAGAAACCCAGGAAGTCGAGGACCAGATCACGTATCTATACAAGTATGTGTGGCAAAACCGGCTCCCGGGTTAATGGTATGTAAATGGTGCTTACAGTTCAAACAGTTTCCGTCCGGGGCGAAGTAACAAGAGCTTTGGTACCATGTACGTCCTGCTTTCTATAATACCCGCATTCCTTTTGGCAAAAATGATTGACTTGCGGTACAGTTGTGCGGCAATCAACGGTATCGACCCAGCTATTGTATCTCGCGCAAACGAGATTGCGTCCCTTTCAGCACGAGGGGAGAACATTGTCGCGGCCTGTGCAGTTCTATCTTCAGAAGAGATGCAAGGCTTAGAAGAAGCGGTACGAGTCCATCTTTCTAAGGAACAATAAAAGGATGTAACTAACAGTGTTATTATAAGAACTCCCTAGCGAGAGGTTTCCTGGAGATTGATTTCTCACAAGGTGGCCCGGACCATGTCAAGGCAGTCTTCGAAGGCTTGTTCGAGTGAAAGGATTTATTATTATGGGACCAAGCGCATGGAGGCCAATTATATCCCAAATATCCTTACGGAGGACAACATACATTTACGCCCCATGTCATCATCAATTGGCCGAACCCGCGATGTCGATCTATCCCATTAGGAGAATGAAGTCCCTACTCACTCCACTACATTTGTAGCAACCGGGGGCCAAAACAATAATGAATTTACCCCGACTTTTTTTTTACCCCGGTCATGTTACATATAGCGTTTTGAAGAATGAGGCTCCCGACTTGTACGCTGACAGTATCTCATGCATCCCAATACAACCATACACACCAAGCCAAGCATCTCTCATACAACGTTCGCATCCTCTAGGTTAACACTATCTACGTTATATCATAGGAGAGATCAACGCTGCTACCCTCAAAGTCCGGGGTTCTTTTAGCCCCGCATGTCGCAAGTCTCCGATCTTGTCAAGGACTCGAAGCTCCCCGCCAAATTCGATGCAGAGCTTACAACGCACACTTTTCTTGAATCAACGTTAGTGGGCGGTCGGCGCGGAAGACGTCGAGAGCGCGAGGAAGTATGGAAGAAGAAACGTGATCTTGGAATCGGCATCTTCGGTACTGTGTGGTTGGAAGAATGTGTCGGTCAAGGCAAGCTCCGGGCTGTTAAGGAAGTGCGCAAGTCAGTCCCGGGATCGAGGTCTATGGATTATAATCGCGAGCTAGAAGCCATTGCTCGTTTCTCGCAACAAAAGGTAGGTACATGATTGGTATTCATACCACTCCCGTCAGAATCACTGACCTACGTTCAGTATGACGGTTGCTTTGTGAAATCATCGGGCTGGTTTGAGAACACCGAGTGTCTGTTTATCGCAATGGAATATTTCCCTCTTGGAGATCTGCAGAAGTACATGACGCAGCTATTCCGGGAAAGAGAAGCACAGCATATTACCTTCCAGCTTCTCGAGAGTCTTGACTTTATGCATAGCAATGGGTTCACTCACGGTGACCTGAAGCCTCAGGTATGCTCCAGCCATGGTGCTTTCGATTTTACTTTGCTGATCTCAAGGAGAATATTTTTGTGTTATCTACGGGCCCAGATTGGTGGGTAAAGATCGGCGACTTCGGAATCAGCAAGCGTGTGATGGAAGGATTTACGGGTCTACAAACGTTCAATGACATGCCAGCCTTTACTGCGCCAGAGGTGTATGAACGGTTATGGGGTCCATCCCCAGGAAGCGCAACATCGGGATCAGATTATTGCCCTGAAATTGATATATGGGCCCTGGGCGTGATCACTTACTACCTGCTCACCGGGAAGTTTCCTTTCTCTGGCAAAACTGACCTACTCGAGTACTTACAGAGGGCATTCGATACTGCCTTTTGACTCAACTCATTCTCCAGTCAGCCAAGAAGCAACGTCCTTTTTGGCGAGCATGATGTCTGCAAGCCTGGCAGATCGCCCTACTGCCAGAGATGCCTTGGACTACACCTGGTTAATACCAATGCTGCAGGACTCGCTGCCAGACCAGACTGCTCCAGCTATCCAAGATACAGCCATGACGGCCACTGCTCCGAAACAGCAAATACCATCCACCACCCAAAACGTCTTGCACCCGGGTAAGATTGACTTGACGCCTGGTGCCCCGAAACATAGCTCCAGGACAGAAAGGGCACAGCAAATGCAAACCAGTCTGGGTATCGACGGCGACACATACAAGCAGCTCATAGATACTCTGAATAATGCAAAACTGACTGAATCACCAAATCCTATTACGAACTCCAGCCAACTTTACAACGGCCATCCAACCGCAGACACCGAATCAATCGCCCCGTCCCGATCCAGCGAATCTCAATCCAGCGAACTCGCCTTCCACGCTTCTCATACTCAAAGAATCTCAGAGAAACCCACATCGGTTGACCTACCCTCATATAACCGTCGCAGATCCGACGCAGCTCCAATCCCAATCTCCGAGCTCTCGCATGTAACCCCCGTGGTGGAAAGTCCGACTTCGAGAAGCCCGAGCACAAGTATCAAGAATGGCTCAGACCGGTTTTCGGAAAAGATTAGAAGGGCATCTCGCAGTATTATGCCGAAGCCAAATCGACGTTCCCAAGATCATGCGCCGACTTCGCCCATTTCTCCCAATCCAAGGTATCTACGCTTTACATAGGTGCGTGCGCTTGGCCTCTGCTAACTTGATGCGTAGCTCGAGTACTAGAAGTAGAAAATCACAATCTATCGAGATTCCTCATCGTCCTCAATTTGCAGAGGGATTGCCCATGTTTCCTATTCGAAATAGAAAATGTTGAAAGGTATGCATGTTTAGCTCGACATTGTTCTATCTTCTACGTGGGTATCTGGAACTGATCATTTGTATAGATCGGGACAAGAGTCTAAGTTGGGGCTACACTAGCTAGAATCCCTGGTGCATCAAGCGCACCATATACCTGCTAGAAGATGGATTGAGATGAATAAAACGGTTCTTGAAACTTCGGGTAAACCAAAAGATGAAATCGGGGTTATATACACATCGAATGCCTGAAACCGCCCGCAGTGAACGCCATGAAAACATACACACAAGACCGTGAAGTTTATGATCAAGCACACATTCACAGTTTAACACTCTTGACCAGGTTCTTCTTAATACCCGTAAGCTCACCACCGTATCCACCGCGGCCCTCGCCGCCCTTGTACAGCTGCTTAGTACTGCCAAGCTTCTTCTGCTTCTCCTCGTACTTCTTTCTCTTCTTGACACGCGGGTTGCGGGAGTCCTTGTTGCGTTTCGCGTGCAGACCCTTATTCTTCTGGATCTGATACGTGATAGCACGCTTGCCATCCGGACCAATCTCCTCTTGCTCATAGACCTGACCGCCAAGGCGCTCAGCCTCAGCGTGGGCATCTGCACGAGCCTGCTTGTCATCCTTGCGTTTCTTGGAGCGGGATGCCACCATGTCGTAGTATTCGTCGTCATCAGTGCCCTCCTTGGCACCCTCGCCGCGGCGGAGCTCCTTGGCAACGCGATGATCCTCGTCGTCACTGTCACCACCCAGCTGCTGGTCGGGATGGAGTTCTTTGCGGCCCCGCTTCTCGGCCTCGGCATTGAGGCGGGCTTGACGGTCACGCAGACGTTCGCGGTATGGGAGATCGGCGTCTCCGCCGGCATCCCGACCTGCTGCGTTGCGTTTGTTGGCCTTCTGGGCCAGTTGCGAGGTGTAGAACCGGAGGGAGCGCTTCTGCTTGGCCTTCTCCTCTGCCTCGTGGGCTGTGAGGGCATCTTCGTCACCGAAGTCAGAGTCATCATCCTTGAGGGGTGCCTTGACCTTTTGTGTCTTGCGCTTCCGTGAAGGCTCGGTGGCCAGGTTCTCGAGGTCGGCAAGACCGGCTTCTGTTTGACGGAGACGCTCGGCGCGGAGAGCTTCAGCTTCTGCCTGTGCTATCTCGGCCTTGCTGAGCTTCTTCTGTTTTGGCTTCTTGGTCTCTTGGGTCTTTGGTTGCTTCTGGACCTTGGTTGTCTCGGTCTTAGTCTGCTTAGTAGGCTCCTCAGCGGGTTCCTCAAGCTCTTCAAGATTCTTGACGGTGTTCCAAAGCTTGCGGAATTTGACAAGCGATCCCATGACAGGGTGTTGTCGGAGTTCGGCGGGCGTCATCGGAACATGTTCGCTAGTTGCATCGGGAGAAGGAGAGGAGAGGAGCATGAAGTACATGCTGATAGTGCCAAGGTATGCAGACAACGCACGGAATTTCACCACAGGCACTGGAGATGGCTGTGGCTCTTCTGAGTCCTCGTCTGTTGAGGAAGCTTTCGAGGCGGCTTGTTGAAGATCCTTGAAGGAGCTCTGAAGGTCGACGAAGTCCTTCGCCAGGGGTTCAAACTCGGGGTATCTCGACTTCAAAATCTTCAGCTTCTCATCGGTATCCATGTCCTCAGTGATCTCCAGTTGTGGAAGCACTTCAGTCACCACGCCAGCATCGGCGCTGTCCTCGGCACCCTTGCCGGATTCCACCCACTCAGACTCGTCAAACCCGAAATCGGCCTCATGCATAGCTTGCAACTGCTTCAACTGCAGTCGCTTGGCCTCCTGCTCTTCCTCCAATGCATCAGCCTCGGTCTCGATCTGATCTGCATTGTAAAGATCTTTTTTCGATGAGCCCCAGGCGGCAATGCCCTCATCTTCTTCCTCCGATTCAGCATCACCCTTCTTTGGCTGGCCCATATCATCATATTCGTCTTCATCTGAGTCTTCGAGGTCGTCATCCTCGTCTACCGATTCATAGCCAAGGATTTCTTCGTCGGACGGTTGGATCAATTCCTCTGCGGCGATCAGTAAGACACTGTTTGCACCGGGTGAGTTCGACAATAGAGGGACATACCTTCCTCGGCAACTCTCCGCCGTCTCTTTGTCTCTGGGCCTTCCTCCAGTAGAATCTGGTCACGGCCGGTTTGGAACTCATCTTCCGAGTCGTCGAACCGCTCTTCGATGTCGAACTTGGATGGCTCAGGGGCTGTTTTCGATTGCGCCGGGCGACCGGCTTTTCTCTTCTTGCTGCCCATTTTTGCGTGTAGAAACCAAACGACAGTGAACCAACTCAGTCCGGCCGATAACCTGTGATAAAATTATTTTTTGGTCTCTCACACCGCCTTGGCTGCGCTAACCTCGAGTGGGGGCTTTTGCTCTGTTTGCACTTGTGGTAATCTAAATACTGGTAACCTTACAATATCACACCTTGAAGCGCCAAAAACACAGCGACCTCGGGTATTTCTGTGTCACTGATTTACTTACTGCCCCAAGTGTGCCTTCCCTTTCGTTGTTGTGCCTTCCATTTCGAGGACAACCAACAAGACGCACCTGCCATTTTATCCAAGATGGATCCTCGCGAGTTAATTGCTCGTTTCCATCCCCCTCAATTTCTCTCTTCCTTTTTCTCCTCCCTGCATTCTTCGTATAATAATACATCAATCCCGGTATTGGGCGCTTCCACACTCTTTTGCACTATTATTGTCTACACTATCGCTAAAATGTTCGGTCCCGCATCCCGAAACGAGTTCAATGTCGAGGGACAGGTATGTGCAAGACGACGTGATTGATGTGGTACTTGCTGACTGAATCTTACAGACCGTGGTAATCACCGGTGGCTCCGAAGGCATGGGGAAAGCTGTCGCACTTGAGCTATCCGCGAAAGGTGCAAACGTTGTCGTGGTTGCGCGCACTGTCTCCAAGCTGGTGACTGCCGTCAATGAGATGAAGGTCAGGCATCCCTCCATAATCAGTTGATCAATATTGCTCATCTATCATCCAGACCAAGGCAGCGAATAAATTCAAGCAGAAATTCCATTATATCAGCGCCGATCTCACTGATCCCGCCGAGTGCGAAAGAGTCATCGCAGAAGTCACAACCTGGAATTCCGGAGCTGCTCCTGATGTTGTTTGGTGCTGCGCCGGCTTCTCCCGTCCAGGATTCTTCATCGATGTGCCCATTCAAGAGCATCGACAGCAAATGGACACAGTCTATTGGACTGCCGCCAACACAGCTCATGCCACCCTGCGCAACTGGCTGGAGCCCGTTCTTCCGAGTGCACAGATGAAAACAACCCGGAGACATCTGATTTTCACGTGCTCTACCCTTGCATTCGTTCCCATCACTGGCTATTCGCCGTACTCGCCTGGCAAGGCAGCCATTCGTTCTCTATCCGATACTTTGAGCCAGGAAATCGAAATGTACAATGGAGCCTACAAACGGCACCGCGGTGCCGCCCCGGCTGCGGATGTCAGGATCCACACCGTTTTCCCTATGGGCATCCTATCGCCCGGCTTTGACAACGAGGAAAAGACCAAGCCTGAGTTGACCAAGAAACTCGAAGAAGCCGATAAGCCCCAGGCGCCAGCGGACGTCGCGAAGATCGCTATCAGTGCCTTGGAGCGTGGAGAGTACCTGATCACTACCAATTTTATTGGTTCCATGATGAAAGGCACCTCCCTTGGGGCTAGCCCGAAAAATAGCATTGTCGGTGACACTCTGCTCAGCTGCCTCAGCCACCTGGTATTTCTCCAGGTCATTCCGGACCTACGCAACAAGGCGTTCACTTGGGGAAAGCGGAACGGGCTTCCAAGTGCCAACGGTACTCCGGCTTCGTAACGATCGGGTGTACTCTTATTTTCTTCACATGGTCTGTCGACTGCTTCATGTATGATGATACCCTGAGCGCTGTCTGTACGGGGCCTCCTTGAGCTGCCCCTCCCAACACCTAAACACTCTTCAATTTGTATTAGCCTTTGTTACACATTCTTATTGTACAGTACAAATTAATGGCATGTCTGTTTTGGTATTTTTAGCAATTTGAACCTTTCAACCTTTCATTGACGCAGTCGTATTCCGCTATGTACATCCGGGGAGGATGACGTACCGTTGTAGATAACCAAGCTTATCTTTTATCCTGCCACCCCATTTCCGACCTCGAAATTTCTTTGTCTCCAATTGCACTACCCCGACTGGATATTAAAAGAGTCTTTGTCTCAAATATGAATGGGAACTGACCACATGTTACTATTTTCGGCACAAAGAGGAATTGCTGGGAAATCAGAAACAAAACCCTCGTACCCCCGCCGAAAGACTCGACGATAGTGATAGCACAAGATACAACCAAATTCACCCTCGAGTCTTCTAACGCCATTAACAGCAATCGCCGCACAAACTCATGTCAATATGGAGGCCCTATTCTCGATACCGATGCTGTCCGTCTTCCTCATTCCGGTCCTGTCATCCTACAGCACCAGCCTAAACCTCCTGTTCTTCTACATGACTTGGTCTACGTTGGTTCTGTCGCATTCCCGACTCCGCGTGGAACTGTTCGGGACGATTGCTGTGCGCGTACTCTTCTACGTGCTGCCGTCCATTGTCTTCTTCCTCTTTGATATCCTGACTCCGTCGGCCTCGATTCTCATCAAGGCGCATGGCGCAACCGGTTTGCCGGGTGGAAGGAAGCGACGTCGGATCCGCGTGAAGGAACTCAAGGTCGCCGGGTGGGCGCTGTTCAATTTATTTTTAGGTATCGCTGTGCAGGGAGTACTTGAGACGGTACTTGTCCAGACGCTCGGCAAGCGCAGTGCGCTGAAGGTATCGCTGAAGCTTCCTATGCCGTTTGAGATATGTAGGGATTTGAGCCTCGCGATGCTGGGACGAGAAGTAAGTTTTTTTGGAATTTCCTGACTACATTGCTGCGATGTGGTGTCCTTGATATCTAGTCCAACCTGCTGACATTCTGGTTTTCCTTTGGGTAGTTCCTCACATATGTCATTCACCGCTATGCTCTCCACTCGAGATGGTCTCCTATGCTTGCCAAATGGCACCGGTCTTGGTACCATTCGTTGACGGCCCCCTTCCCATTGACCGCGCATTACGACCACCCAATCCCCTATCTGGTTACCAAGTTCATCCCGACCTATGCGCCGGCCATCATCTTCCGCTTCCATATGCTGACTTATCTTTTGTACCTACTGTTTATCTCCGTTGAGGAGACCTTCGCATACTCTGGATATACTGTCATGCCGACAAACTTGTTTTTGGGTGGGATCGCCCGTCGCACAGATATGCATTTGTTGATGGGTGCAAGGGGTAACTTTGGAGCATGGGGTATGATGGACTGGATCTTTGGTACTGTCGTTGGAGACCCGCATAGCGACGATGAGTCAAGTGATGAGCCAGATGACCGGGATATGCGGAAAGCGTACGAAGCTGCAAAGCGAAAGGCGGCTATTGGGTCTTCGTCAAAGTCAAAGCGACGATGAGACGACTATTGACGAATATATGAAGAATCATTGGAGGTTGGAGCTACATATGTATGTAGATTTGTCTTATTTTTCCGTTTCTATCTGGAGTGAGAGTTGGGATTGTTCAATATATATTCGAGGTTGTTACACTTTAGGACTCCACGTATTTTGAGAAATGATATAATTTTCAGTGTCAATATTAGTTTGGTATAGCCCTAATTTTATACCACTCAAGTGCTATGCAGTCATTAGTTATGAGGGTATACAAGCCTCGTACTTAACCCTAAAATTGACTGGCGGAGTGGTGGCTGCCACTAGACCCCTTACAGATGGGATATTAGATCTATAAAACCTATACTTGTCGCACAACCTCATCGAATGCCATGAGAATACAGCCGAGGAGCCATTGTAATGTCCACGGGTCCCGTCGAGCACCACAAATGTGCTGCATAAGACAAGACTGTTTTATACTTGTCCATGCCTAGATCGCGAGATCTCTACTCCAGTTCCACACGGGCATATCCACTCAATTAAAGACAAGGCCCAGCAACCTTATATTTTAGTGCCTTACAGATATTACATAGATGAATCGAAGGAATTGCCCAATTTTGGATTGCCGCCTGAACCTGGAAAAGGGAGTAGGTCATACTGAACATGAAAGAGAATCCAGCCCGCCTGCTGGAACGAGGTGATTTTTAATCTTTTTTTTTTTGCTTGAAGTCTTTCTTCATAACGCAGCTTCATGCAAAATCAGCCACGCGCAAAAGGAACGGGTTTCTTGAAACATGAGAACGACATCGGGTTGTCCGAATTAACCGCAAATCATAAGAAAAGTGAAAAACGTGTTTTGACGGATCCCGTAGGAATTACATGACATGGTTCATGAAACCGGCCCCCCGAAAGTCGCGAAAGGATGCCGATCTGCAATCGAGCCGCCCCTCGTTGGAAAAATGGTCCTCCCCAACTATCTACCGAACCCGCGGCTACCACACATTTACCACTTCATCTCGTGGGGCTTGTCGCCGTTTCGGAGGCTGAAGGTGGTAGCGAGGTAGCTGCCGAGGAAGTCCTCCTTCTTGATGGAGGCAAGGATGGCCTGGTCGACAGCCTTCTGGTCGCTGGCGCGAGCGCTGGCAACAACCTTCTTCTGTAGAGGTGAAAAAAAGTAATTAGTATTTGATCTCTGCAAATGTGATTTCTTAGACAAGATACGTACCTCGGCCTTCTCGCCCTGCTTGAAGAAAGCCTCCTCGGTCTTCTTCTCAGCCTTCTTGTCCTTGGTGAAGTATCCGGGAGCGGAGATCTTCTCAACAGCCTTGGCGTCAACACCGCTGATGTCGACACGCTTGGAGGTGGCGATAACGTAGCGGGCGTTCACGCGGCGGAGAGGGACACCGTTGATCTTGAAGGGACCGGTGACAAGGAGGACACCCTGGTCGAGGGACTTGAGGAGGATGACACGCTTGCCACGGAAACGGCCAGCGAGGAGGATCAGGATGGTGCCGGGAACGAGGGTCTCGCGGACCTTGGCGGGACGCAGGGTCTTGCGAACCTGTAAACACACAAAGTAGTTAGTCTCTGATGTCACACAAATCCCAGCGATTCCCGTGAATCCCCCCCAAGTATCTCCATCGCCATAGCCGGATCTTCCCCAGATGATATGCGATTCGCACCAAGATCACAAGATTTGATGAACTTTTGTGTCGTCGATTGACACCGGTGTCTGGCTGGATGTTGCCCCGTAATTCACAAAGGCTCTTCCTCAGAATACCGGTGCTATCGTCGCAATCATCGGGGCAGATGTGTGCCGGTCGTATGTCCTCCTCTTTTTTTGTGCCGTCCCATTCTCATAGGGTGTACTGACTTTCTTGGGCTGCGACTGATCGTCCACGGGGTACCACTTCTGGGCCTTGTCGGCGGGCACGACCCTCTGGCTCTTCCCGAACTGCTTCGTCTGGCCGTCCGACATGATGGCTGCTGGCGAAGGATGAATGGTTGTCGGGGTGGTTGTTGGAGATTTGGGTGAGGACTTGGACTGCTAAGCGGAGTCGGCTCCAGTGCGGGAATTCGTCGAGGGTTGTGTGTACAAAGCCCTATCACGTGTTTAACCGACAGCCCTAGCCAATTTTGGAAAGCGGTAACTAATCACATTGATGCCGTATTTGTAAGGCAATTATATACGGGCGACTGTAAAAACCACTTAGGCAGAACACTGCTCGACACAAACAACTGACGTATACTGCTCGCAGCCTCTCTCTCTCTCTCTCTTTCTATATACTCTTATCTCTTACATCCCCCACAACTCTTTTTCTATCTACCTGGCGGGTGCCAATTCTGTCAATACGGTCCCATATATTATTGGATCTCTGTTCAGAATCAAATACCCAACATGTCGATAGCTCCGATCATCACCTTCAAAGCAGGTATCTGCGATCTGGATGTACGTGAGCTTAGCTTTCCGCACCCGATTTGGATAGTTTGATGATCAACTCCATCATCCGGATGTTCACTCATATCTACATTGCAACTTTACTGACCGTTTCAATTCAGACCTCCAGCACTCCTGCCGCCGTAAAGCCGAAGCCCACTCCAGGCTATGTCTATCTTTATTCCGAAGAGGATCTTATCCACTTCTGCTGGCGCTCGCGTAGCGCCTCCCTAGATGAGCCCGAGCTTGACCTGGTGATGATTCCCTCGGATGGCAGCTTTACTCCCTACAAGCCATCCGGTCGGGACGCAACGAATGGCCGGATCTTTGTCCTGAAGTTCTCCTCTAGCTCTCAGCGATACCTGTTCTGGATGCAGTCTCACTCCCAGCACGAGAACGGCGACCCGAGCTGGTTTAGCCCCCGCGATTTGAAGCTTGGAGAAATTGTCGATGTTCTGTTGCAGGGCGAGGATGTTGATGTAGAGCACGAGATCGCCAATCTTCCTCGCCGACCATCGGGCGGTGATGACGATGAGACCATGGAGGACGTGGAAGGCACCGACCATGATCGCGGCCGATACCACAGCACGGGCAGCGGCGGTGCTGGCCCCGATGCGACCGGCGGCGACGTGCGTGAGGAGGGACAAGAGTCGCGGGAGGGCGGTGCCGACGGTGGACGAGCGTAGGTACATATCTCTGACAACCTTGATATGGGCCATCCAAGCTAATTTGCCATTTTGTTCCCTTTGCAGAGCGACTGCCGGGGAAGATCCAGCGTCGGTTGTCCAGGACTTTTTGAAGTCTTTGGGCGGCCGTCAGAGCCAGAGCCAATCCCAAGATCCCGAACGCCCATCTACGACACTCCAAGATCTCCTTCCACCCTCGACCACGCTGCAATTTATCGATTCTGCTGATACCACTACTGCCGATCATCTTCTGAG